GCCAATGGGTCTCAATTCCTCAGTGGGTTAGGGACTTCCTCTGCGTGAAAAGACAGGAAAAAACTGGTCCTAAACCTCCACTGCCTTGCGAGATATCTTAGGGAGAAGAAAAGACTAAGGAGTGGAGCCCCTAAGGCAGTTGGATGGTGTCTTGTATTATAATAATAATAATAATAATAATAATAATAATTTATTTATACCCCGCCTTCCCAGTTCAAAAAACCGGGCTCAGGGCAGCTAGCAACAAATTTAAAACACTTAATTGTAAAAGCAACATAAAATACAGTATAAAAACACGAATAACAATAAAATTCAAAGTTCAGAAATCAATTAAGGGGAAATCCATCTAATAAGCATTAGATAGTCACCAGGGCTAGCTGGCTGAATTAGTCCTACTTGGGCCAGTGAGGAGGCCAGGGGAGAATTAGCTGTGGGGTCTCAAAGCAGGTGATCTTCATAAAAGGGGAGGGGGAGGGAAGAGAAGGGAAATGAAAGATCAGGCTGAATTCAAATTAAAGGCCAGGCAGAATAGCTCTGCCTTACAGGCCTGACGGAAGGAGGTTAAATCGTGAAGGGCCCTGGTCTCATGGGACAGAGCATTCCACCAGGTCGGAGCCATCACTGAAAAGGCCCTGGCCCTGGTGGAGGATAGTCTGACTTCCTTAGGGCCCGGGACCTCTAAACTATGGTTATTCATGTACCTTAAGGTCCTCTGCAGGGCAGACCAGGAGAGGCTCCTTTCAGCAATTCCTGCAACCAAGCTGGTGCCAGACATATTGTTCTGCTTTCCTTTGGACCACAGCAGTGAGGCCGAGAGGAGAGTCTTGTCGTCTGGGCAGCCCAGGACCTCCAGATACACTGCCCAGTTTTGTGCCCCAGGGAAGTCACTTCAGTGCTGCTAATGCAGAGGTTTGATTCACCCGTGGAGGTGCACTCCATTGTCTTCCAATGCAGACGGATGCCAACAACAACAATACAGTGGTACCTCGAGTTAAGTACTTAATTCATTCCAGAGGTCCGTTCTTAACCTGAAACTGTTCTTAACCTGAAGCACCACTTTAGCTAATGGGGCCTCTTGCTGCCGCTACGCCGCCGGGGCACGATTTCTGTTCTCATCTTGAAGCAAAGTTCTTAACCTGAAGCACTATTTCTGGGTTAGCGGAGTCTGTAACCTGAAGCGTGTGTAACCTGAAGTGTATGTAACCTGAGGTACTACTGTAGTTTGTTTCTATTATCTGGAATTTTACAATGTTGCTTTTAAGCTGCCTTGAATCCCAACTTGGGAGAAAAGTGGGATACAAATACATTAAAATAATAATAATAATAAAATTGCTAGAATTTTGTTGCCTGAGCCTGCAAAAGAAGTGTGTCATTGTGAACCTGGAAAGCCCCAGTGGGCGGGTGGTGATCTGGTCTGGGAAAACTGACCAGCCCTACAGCACATAGTTCCTGGACAGGTGCTGCTAGTCCAGAAGGTTGAGGGAGGTCACATGGCTCAGAGGACTTTCAACTTTACCCCTCAGCTTTCTTCCTAACCAGCTCATCCAGTCCAGGAGAGTCCCAGTGGTGCTCTCTGTTGGTGGTGGGGAGAACTGTAGCTCAGCGACAGAGAACAGGCTTTGCAAGCACAAGCTCCCAGGTTTGATGCCTGGTATCTCCAGCTAAGAAAGCAATCAGGGAACAGGTGATGGGACACATCTCTGCCAGGAGATGCCAGAGATCTGCTCATAATTGGAAATAACGCAGGGCTCCTCTGGACGGACCTGCCTGTTGAGCACTCATCCTGATTCACTTGCACAAAGCTCATGCAGAGGTTAGATTTTGATTGCAGCAACACCATATAAAGTGGTACCTTGGGTTAAGTACTTAATTTGTTCCGGAGGTCCATTGTTAACCTGAAACTGTTCTTAACCTGAAGCACCACTTTAGCTAATGGGGCCTCCTGCTGCCGCTGCGCCTCTGCTGCACGATTTCTGTTCTCATCCTGAAGCAAAGTTCTTAACCGGAGGTACTATTTCTGGGTTAGCGGAGTCTGTAACCTGAAGCGTATGTAACCCAGGGTACCACTGTACTTAAAGTACATGGGCTCCCCTCAAAAAATTATTAGGAACTGCAGTTTGTTAAGGGTGCTAGGAATTGTAGCTCTGTAATAGATAAACTGTGGTTCCCAGGATTATTTGCAGGAAGCCAAGTGCTTTAAATGTAAGGTATGGATGTGAACTATATCTTAATTGTTGGCAGGTTATACAACAATGAGCAGCCATCATCCTAGAATCATCCTGATTTTTGTGTGTGTGTGGGTGGGGTGTTTACATGTCTTCCCATAAATCAATTATTTATTCTGCACTTTTCAGTGTCTTTCCCCATCATTTTCCTAACTGCAAAAAGTCTTTAAAAAAAGAAGAAGATTTGTTGCACTGGGCCGACAGAGTGCTTTAACCCCTTTTAATAGCACAAATCTAGATTTCCAGTGTGCTTCGGTCGGTGCCTGAACTGATTTAGCAAAGGGCAGGAAAAACTACGCAGCTCCATGACTGTAAGGATTGCTGCCCAAGTTTGCTTTTGGTTTCCTCCCTCTCTACCCCTCTTGGGGATAACTGCATCTCAGGGCAACCATCCTTTTGCCCTCAGTCACATGGCTACCCACCCCTGGCATCTCATCTGTGTCAGTCACTGGTGAATGAACTCTCCACTTAGACACTCTAAAAGAGAAAAGAAAAGGTGGAGGCGGCAGGAGCGCTTGGCTTCTATGACAATTAAGCTGCTGACAAGAAAATGAAGCAGAGGCCAAGCCTTGCTCAAGGCCTGGCAGTGGGACAGAAGGCCAAGCATTGGTTGGCATGGGGCACTTGTTCTGCCCGCTGCTAATGGCTTGGCCTGCTCCTATTAGCGCAGGAGCCAGCTCCCCGATCAATCTTTTCCAGCAGACACAGAAGCATCATCAGCGATCGATACGGGCCTAAAAGCTGAGTGGCTGTTAGGTGTGCCCAGCACTGATTTTGCATGCGGCCAAGCCTATGGAAAATCCAGAGTATTGTTGGTACTCAAGTTGTGCTATCACATAAGCTCTGCTGGCTCAAAGCACAGGCCCTTCGCGTTCTGGATCGCCTACAGGTCAGGGAACATCCTTCAGGTCAGTGGAGGCTGGCACTCACTAGGAGTGGTAGGGTGGAAGGCAGGGATGCTGACAGTAGGTGGCGCCAGAGCAAAAGATGGGTGGAGCTAGAGTCAATGATGGGCAGAGTCAACTAAGTCTGGTGTTGTTCCCATCAACACTGAGACTAAGGAGGATGCTGACAGCCAGTGCCACATGCTCGACTTGTCAAGTAAGGGAGGTAGGCAGGTGAAGAATGACTGAAGGCAGGCAGAGTTTGGTAGGGCAGTGCCTCACCTCCCATAAGGACCAGCCTCCCCTGCTGCCCATTGGCCATGCTGGGTGGGACTGATGGGAGCTGGAGGCTGACAACAACAGGAGTTTTCCCATCTCTGCAGCTGTTGGCTCAGAGGTACAGCTTGTAACTGCTAGGAACTGGACGTTCAATGTATTGATCCCAGTCTTGTGGAACTCCCTCCCAATTGAGATTAGACAGGCCCCCTACTTGCTGAACTTCAAGCACATGGCAAATACTTTCTTATTCCAGCAGGCATTTTAAGGTAGTATTGGGGTTTAGTTTAAGGTTTAAGATGAGTTTTGTTCTCTGAATGGCATTTTTTTTTTTATGTTGCTGAGAAATGCTTATATTTCAGTAGTACAATAAATAAACAAATGCCTCCTTCAAAACTTTTGCAGGTGCAAAGCGTATTGGAAGAAGGATTGTGTCTAACCACCCCAATACCATCGTGAGCACAAATCATCATGAATGCACAATAAAAAGGATGTCTAGAGGGACTCTCAGAGAAAAGAGAGGTGTCTGTGTTTTGTAGGTGAGTGACAGAGTCAAAAATTCATTTGTAAGCTATGTTTGCTACCAGAACCCTTGACAGGTTCTACCTCACTCTCTCATGCCACTCCCTTTCAGTAAGAAACTGCTCTTTCATGCAATTTACTAGCAAACCATCTCGCCTTTCTTGAGAAACAGTGGAGTGCATGTGTGCGGGGTGTGTGCCTAGATCAAGTGAGATCAATATGCAAGCCATTTTAAATTGGTTGGACATGGATAGGTAGATTTTTAATCTATATATATTGTGTGTGATGTTTCCCCCAAAAAATAAATGCCCAGCAATTTCCCCATTGCCCCAAACAGCTGAAGCTCCTGACTCAAAGCAAAAGAAAAAGGTGATTTGAAACTTTGGCCTACGTTCCAATAATCTGGAAGGTGAAAAGGAGCCACCTCAACACCAGGGAGGCTTAAGATGCAGCGGGAGAGGCCGGGAAGAGGTGCGTCTGGGCAGGGTGCACGGTCCAGACCTCTTTGCGAGGCTCCGGGGCCCTTCTCGATCAATGCTGGCTCTGTGGAGCGAAAGCATGTGGCAGGAAGGGGGTGGAGGATGTGTGGGAAGGATTGGGAGGGTGTTGGAGGGTGGGAGACAGCTTGTCTCTGAGTGGCTCTCCCAGTTTCCTGAGGCGATGGAGGGAGAGAGCACTGAGCAACTCCTGGCTGTTTTCAGCTGCTTCTAGCCCAGCAGAAAGGGCTGAGGCGAGGGAGATGGAAACGGAGGCGCACAAATACGACGACGGCGCAGAGGAGAAGGTGGCCTGGTTCGCCCACTGCATGTGACGACAGCCAGCTTTGCACCAGCCCTTGGGCTCCTGCAAGACTTCCCAAGTCTTTGTGGGCTTGTCGGGAGAACTTCAGACGCTCCCCAGCCCCCTTCCAGAAGAGGACCAAGACTTACTGTTTCATCATCAGGCTGCGACCGACCCCACCGGGACAGGCGGCTGGCTTTCTGCGTTGTCCAGAAGAACTGACAGACTAGAGGCAGGCTAGGCTGCCAGCCTAGAGCAGCCGTTTGTAGCCCCCTCTTATTTTGGTTTTTGTGGAACCTGGCACCCCCCAAACATGCTTTTCCTGGTGCTTCTGGCCATGCCATTGGTGACGGGCCCCAGTGGCACAGCCATGGCACTCTCTACCTGCCAGACCTTGGACTTGGAGGTAGCCCGGGCACGGAGGGTCCAGGCCGTGCGAGGCCAAATCCTCAGCAAGCTGCAGCTGGCAACACCTCCCGAGGAAGAGGAAGGGGTGCCTGAACAACCGCCCCCCGAGGTGATGCTGCTGTACAACAGCACGCGGGAGCTGACGCGGGAGCGGGCGGCCTGCGGCGGACGGAGCGCCAGCAGCAGCAGCGAGGAAGAGGAGTACTACGCCAAGGAAGTGCGGAGGGTGGACATGCTGCCCGCCGGGCACGCTGACAGTAAGGGGCGTGAAACAGGGGTGGAAGATGGCTGAGCCTTGGAGCGGCCAACATGGCCCTGGGTCAAAGCTCAGAGTGTGGGGAGGATGAATCCATTAGGATGGCAAGAGCAACCACGACTGGGGAGAGGTCTGTTGGGAGGGTGAGTCATGATACGTACGCTCCCCGTATGTTTCCGAGCACAATTCAAAGTGTTGGTGCTGACCTTTAAAGCCCTAAACGGCCTCGGCCTAGTATACCTGAAGGAGCGTCTCCACCCCCATCGTTCTGCCCGGATGCTGAGGTCCAGCACTGAGAGCCTTCTGGCGGTTCCCTCACTGCAAGAAGCAAAGCTACAGGGAACCAGGCAGAGGGCCTTCTCGGTAGTGGCGCCCGCCCTGTGGAATGCCTTCCCACCAGATGTCAAAGAGATAAACAACTACCTGACATTTAGAAGACATCTGAAGGCAGCCCTGTTCAGGGAAGTTTTTAATGTGTGACATCTTAGTTTATTTTTTGTCTTTGTGGAAGCCACCCAGAGTGGCTGGGGAAACCCAGCCAGATGGGCAGGGTACAAATAAACTATTATTATTATTATTATTATTATTATTATTATTATTATACCTAAATGGAGCCTCCATGTCCAGAGGAAGTGTACCAGAAGCTATTCCTCTTCTGCCCTCCTTGTGGTATCTGGTTGGCCACAGAGAGGAAATAAGGGCTAGGTGGGCCATTGGTGCAATCACAGGAATTTAGGAAACCGTCTTTTTATACTGAGTCAGAACTTTGGTCCATGTAGACCAGTACTGTCTGCACTGACTGGCAGTGGCTCTCCAGGGTTTCAGGCAGGGGACATTCGCAGCCCTGCCTGGAGATGCTATAGATTGAACCTGGGACCTTCTGAATTCAAAGCAGATGCTCTCCCACTGAGCCACAGCCTTTCTCTCCCCCCCCGGACTCTTAGAGGTTCTTGGAAGGCAATGAGGAAAAATGCTAAGGACCCACCCACAGGGGCCTATTCTCTACTTAGTGACCGCATTTGTTTGTGTGAATGGGCTGTGGCTGATGGACTATCAATGGTTTCATATCACCGTTCAGTCACATTAGGCCATTGCCCCGTGCACGGTTATCACAAGACAGGTTATCAGATAATGCAGAGGGTTGTTTGCCAACATTTAATCCAGTGGTTCAAAAACGTTTTTCCTCTGGGCCACACTTTCAGAGTAAAAACTTGCTTGCACCACACCAAATCTTTAAGAAATATGTTGGAGAACAAAAAGAACTAGTAGACTCAATTTGAGTGGCATGACTCAAATTGATTCGTTTTTTGCGCATACATGTCAATAACCCCAAAGTTTGACAGTCAGTGGTACAGATGTTGTAAAGGTGTCGTGATCTGTCATGGTGGAACAACCCCATTGAAGAATTGGTTACTCAGACATCATTGCTGGTTGCGAAGGAGGATCCCATGACAGGCTTCAGGGCCCCCAAAGTGTAGGTCTGCCACTGTATGCCAGGGATACTTTCGTTGCAGTTCCTGCACCGCAGGGGGTTGGACTTGGGATTCTTCTACGAGTCTATGAAAACAGGTTAAAAGAGCAGTGGCCATTTTCTTACCTTCTTCCTCTGGTGATACTGTCAACTTCTTTGTTCTCCTCCCTCTCTGCAGACTCCATCGCTAGCACCCAAGCCAGCCCCTTCTTTCGCCTTCTGCGTTTCGACGTCTCGGGCGCCGAGCGCAACCTCAGCAGCCTCGTTCAGGCCGAGTTGCGCATCTACAGGGTCCCAAACTCCCGAGCGCGTGTGGTGGAGCAACGCGTGGAGTTGTATCAGGTCAGAGCCCCAAAGTGCCTGAGAGAGGGACAAATCCGTTGCTGACAGCTTCTTTTGGGTTCTCATTTTCTCAGTCTTCAGTACAATTCTTCGTATTGCAAATTTGTGAATACCTCTCTAATAGACACCGTTTTTGTATGCAGTTTTGACTAGTGCACACATTTTTAATTGCAATTACTCGTAGTAGAAAGCATTTTTGTATGCTAGGTTTTTCTCCACTGATGTATGCATGTGGATTCCCCCTAAAATATACATCCCCCCCCACATACACTTTTGGTTGGATGGAGAACTACACTGCAAAATTCAAAGATGTGCAAATTTCAAAGGATCAGTGTGTTACAATTCGTGTATTGGTTTGAGAAGCAGAAATCTGGTCGTTTCTCCATAAAATGCCAACAAATTGGTTGCTTCCTCTGGTTTTAAATTTTATAAGCTGCCTTGGGGACAGTATGAAGAAAAGCAGGGTGTAACATTTTAATGAAACAAAATTTAAAACCTCCCCAGGTGATACGGGCAAGAGAGCCTTCAGGACCAACCCAGCGTTATGTGGAAAGCCGAACGTTTCACCCGACTGATAGGGCTGAGTGGGTGTCCTTTGATGTCACAGACACCATCAGCCAGTGGCTGGATAAAAGAGGTGAGAGCCCCTCTCTTCCTAAACCTATTTGTATGGAGGGAAGATTCTTCACCTGGAAAGTATTCAGAGTTGTATCTAACCTCAGTCCCACACACAGCAGACCCCACTGAAATTAATGAACTTAGGGCCATTATTTTCAATAGGTCTCCTCCCAGCAGGACTTACTTGGATACAACCCATTATTATTATTATTATTATTATTATTATTATTATTATTATTTGAGGGGGGGGGAGGTTACCATCTGCCTGGCACTTTCCCAGCCCACCCCCATTTCCCCAACATCTGTTAGTGGTCAACTGCAGCCTCCATCGTTCTGCCCGGATACTGAGGTCCAGCTCCGAGGGCCTTCTGGTGGTTCCCTCGCTGCGAGAAGCCAAGTTACAGGGAACCAGGCAGAGGGCCTTCTCGGTAGTGGCACCCGCCCTGTGGAACACCCTCCCACCAGATGTCAAAGAGAAAAACAACTACCAGACTTTTAGAAGACATCTGAAGGCAGCCCTGTTTAGGGAAGCTTTTAATGTTTAATAGGTTATTGTATTTTAGTGTTCTGTTGGAAGCTGCCCAGAGTGGCTGGGGAAACCCAGCCAGATGGGCGGGGTATAAATAATAAATTATTATTATTATTATTTCTGGCCTTTCTTCACTCCTACCCAAGCCGTCATCACACCAACCTGCTGCAACAGATGAGGGGATGCTTCTACCATGTCTAGGCACGCCCTTTCCTTTTCCAGCTCAGCTCAGCTGAGAAGCGTCCTGTTCCTTTAGCAGCCTTGAACCATCTCCCCAGCCCTATATAAGCCCTGCCATTGTTTGTGCTGGTTGGGGCTGATAGAAACTGGGGTTGGAGGGCCAAAGGTTCCCCATCTCTAGCCAGCGGAGGATGGTCCCGTAGGGCACATTGGGCACTGCCATGGGAGCAGCCAGGATTTTTTGGGGGGAGGGGGAACAGGACTTTTGTTAGGGAGGGCAGAACCAATGTGATTGGTCAGTTAGTTAAGTATTTCTATTGTTTTACTTGCTCTGGGGAGAGGCAGTTGCCCCCCTTCTCCCCCTTGGCTACGCCCATGGGCACTGCCCCACCAGCATCGGCCTGCCCCTCAGTCAGTCCTCACTTGCCTGCCTTCTTATTTGCAACCAGCTTCCTCCTCCTTAGCTTCAGTGTTGCCCTTTGTGGAACTCAGCAGGGAGGAGGAAGATGGGACAATGAGTTGGCCCTGCTGATCATTGACTCTTGCGCCACCTACTGCCGGGTTCCCATCTTTTTAGCCTACCAGTCCCAATGGGCATCAGCCATCACTGTCTCTGGCATATAGGATTGCCATCTCATATGGGGTGTGTGTGTGTGCTGGCCTTGAACCTGTGCCTTTTAACACCAGCCAGGCACAGAGAAAACGTTTCCTGGACTCAAGATGAAGGGATGGGGAAAAGCATCCCTGGCTCAGTTTCTACCGTGTGGGCCAGACTGCTGTTAAAAGGCACACAGAAGTAGCAGGGTCAACATAATTTGCTTCTACGCTTTATGACGGCGAGATCCAAATTCTCCATTTTAATTCTCCTCCTCTCTGCATCTTCTTCCCCAGAGAGAAACCTGGGCTTCAAGTTGGGAGTGCATTGCCCCTGCTGCACTTACGTCCCTGCTGGAAACACGATTAACCCCAACCACAGTGAGGAGCTGGAGGCTCGCTTTGCAGGTATGGACCTAGGCAGGGACATTGGGGTGGGGTGGGGATTTCAGCACCACCCTCTCTCTACCCCTGGATTTGTGAGTCACTTCCTATACACACGCAGGCCTGGATGACGATCTTATCAAGGAAGCCTGGAAAGGGCGTGCAAGGCCCCCAGATCTCAGCGGCAAAGCTCCGCACCTGATCCTCACTCTGCTGCCCCCCCACCGGTTGGAGTCCCCACCCAAGGGACGGCGTCGGAGGTCAGCCAACACTCCCAGCTGTGCCAGGTGAGGAAGCAAAGCTCTTCAGAGATATCAACATTGTGTTGGGCCCTTAAACATCCTAACAGTTGGGTGTGTGTTTTGTGGTTTGGGAGACCAGAAGTGCCACTGGTTTCAATGAACCGTGGACGACTCTATCAATTCATTGTCAATACAGCTTGGATTTCTCCCAATATACATACAGGCTCTTTTTTTGCAAAGCATTTCCCCCCTAAAACAAGGTATTTTTGCATATTATGTTCACGAATATATACAGTTTAATGCACATTTCCCCCGGTAGATGCATTTTTTTTGTATACAGTATATTGTCTGGCTGGAGAATTGCACCATGAAATTCAGAGATGTTCCAGTTTTGAAGGATAACTGTGTTATGGTTCACATACAGTGGTACCTCGGGTTACATACGCCTCAGGTTACAGACTCCGCTAACCCAGAAATAGTGCTTCAGGTTAAGAACTTTGTTTCAGGATGAGAACAGAAATTGTGCTCCAGCGGCAGTAGCAGGAGGCCCCATTAGCTAAAGTGGTGCTTCAGGTTCAGAACAGTTTCAGGTTAAGTACGGACCTCCGGAATGAATTAAGTACTTAACCGAGGTACCACTGTGTTGTTTCAGAGAGTGCAAATTAGGAAGTATTAAAATGCAGAACCTCATCTTAAGTCTCTGCATTGCTTCTGCAAACCATCCTAAACTGCTCTCCTCCTTGGATGGGCAACTTGTTCCTCATCACCATCTCAATGATCATTAGCTGTGATTCCAGCGTCGCAGGGGGTTGGACTAGATAACCCTTGGGGATCCCTTCCAACTCCACAATCCTATGATTCTGTCTCATCCTAATACCCTGAGCTTTTACAGCCTGCTGCTATGTTCAGGTGCCATTCAATCACATACCAGCACATTCTGGCTGTGCAATTAAAGCCGACCTAGAGCTCTTGCACAACAAACCCACCTCCCCTGCCACCAATTCAACTTTTTACTATGCGGGAAATGATGGGAAAGTGTACATACTGGAAAGGGCGGAACTCACACATGCTTGGTGCAATGTCGCCCAACTTCCTTGCAAACAAATCAGAATGAATGCTCAATAAATAGCATTCTTCCCCACAAACCTTGTGCAAACAAATCAGGGTGGAATGCTCAATAAACTGGCCATCTGGAAGCGACCCTTGTTTCAAGGAGTTCCGCAGACTGCTGGGGAAGGGAGGGGGAGGAGGAAGGTATTGGTTGAATGACCTTAGTGATTGATAGATGGTGCACAGTCCGTATGCCCTTTTACATTTTGTTGGTTTTTCCTTATGCAGCCTATCTCCACTCTTCAATCAGAATGATCACGCTGGGTATAACAGCCCATCCAGTGCTTTTTAAGGGATCATCTGGATTTCAGAAACTGAGCACAGTGATCACCCCCATCTCCTGTCAGTCCCCATTTTCAGAATGATCCCAGCTGTGAACACAGAGACTGTATGTCTTCCTGAAGTGACTCAGTGGCAGAAAAAAAACCCTTTAGTGGTTACTCTTGATCTTCTTGTGGCCCTTCCCTCCTTTAGCAAACACCCATCTAGCCCTAAAAGGCAACCTAAGAGAAAATAAAATTTAAAATATATTTATATACATACATAAAATGAAATCCAACAACACCTCTTTTCACCTGTTTCAACACCTCTTCATTAAACGCCAGACAGGGGTTTGCCTCCAACTAAGTCGTACCTGGAGTAGGGAATGGGTGCATCTGTCAGTTTCACTTCCTCTCAGCTTCTCGTTTTTCCAATTTTAAGTTTGGTTCTCTCACAATTCCACACCAGTTCATGCATTTTTTTTCTTGTAACATGCATATTTGTAAGAAGCTTTGCCTAATGTACACATTTTTCAAAGCAATGTCCCTGATATAATGCCTTTTTGTATGTTGTTGCGTTGACTATTATATGCATTTATATGCACACTTTATCTACATAGCAAAAGTTGGAGAAGTGTGACTTTCAAAGGACGGCTCTGTTTCATAGAACCATAGAATCAACACAGAGTTGGAAGGGACCATGGGGTTCATCTAGTCCAACCCCCTACAATGCAGGAATCTTTTGCAGCCCCGAGTGGCTGGGGCAGCCCAGTCAGATGGGCAGGATAAAATAATACAAATTAAGAATACAAATTCAGAGTCCCATGGCTTGCAAATTGCTTTGAAAAGTGTAAGTTTGCCTTTAAACTCTCACCCATCCATAACTCAGAGTAGACCCTTTGAAATTGACAATTTAGTAATGATCCTTGATTTTAATGAGTCTGCTCTGTGTTAAGACTGAACTGCATAAAATCCACGGAGTCAACATTTATATGTTTTAAAATTTTCTACCCCACATTTCTAACAAAAGAAAAGCACCTCTGAGCATACGCAGAGTGCCCTCTCTTCTATAACTGAGTATATACAACCCTATCCTCAGAATTAAGAAGCAGGGCTTCTTTCTAATACACACACAGAGGCACCCCTGTGAACCTTAGCCCAAAGTCCTACCTTTTTTTGGTTTGGAAAGTGATGGAAACTGCATTGAAAAGTGTGGAGCGAACGACTGAAGGCATTCAGTAAGCACCCCACAAGACCTGTAAGCGCCCCACAAACAGATCAGGATGAATGCAGGACAAATGGTCATTGTCATGTAACTGTCCTGTAAACAAATCAGAACAAAGCCAATAAAGACCAGATATAATATAACTTCTGTATGAGGGAATCAGGACGAATGTACAGTAAATAAAAAGGATTGTCTGGAGGAGCCCAAAGGGGAACAAGGGATAAGGTTCTCCTACCAAGACAGCCTGAGGGAGGGTTGTCATCGTCCTCAACCCACAGAGCTTGAACACTTCATTCTTCTGCAAGGGCGGTTTATGATAAAGATGCAATCTTTGGGCACTGTATTTGCTGCTTCTTTTGGGTTTCTGGTGCTGCCTACTTCCTCCCACCCCCACGGCCGAGCCACTGCTGCGTCCTGTGTCCATGAGTTCCATTGGTTTACGCTGGGAAACCTTTTCCAGCCAAAGGGCCCAATGCCAGCAGTGGGTGGGGCCAGAGGCAAGAGATGGGCGGGGCAACAGATGTAAATTTTGCCTGTGTACAGTAGGTAACTTTCCGCACACACCCGCCTATGCAAGCACATCCCTTTTCAGGCAAGCAAAAGGGGTGTTATCAGAGTTCACAGACACATTCTAGCTAGGCAAAAATATATGGGGCGTGAAGATGGGTCAGGGAGGGGCGTGGCTTGGAGGGAGTTATGAGGGCCAGACAGGGAAGTGCCCCCACTCCTGGTTTACTTGGTGTGTGGACCCCATCTTTTTGATTCCTTCTCTCCACTTCTCTCCAGGAGTACAGACCAGGGCTGTTGCCTGCGCACCCTGTACATTGATTTCCGCAAGGATCTGAAGTGGAAGTGGATCCACCAGCCCAAAGGCTACAAGGCAAATTTCTGCGCAGGGAGCTGCCGTTACGTATGGAGCATGGACACGCAGTACAACATGGTGAGAGGGGCACACAAGCGGGCAGGTGGCGGGTGTCCCTCCCTGAACCCCTAGCCTGCAGCCAACCCCAAATCTATTATTCTACCCCTGGCATCTCCAATTCCACCACCCTTTGTGCCAACATAGAACCTCATGGAGCGGGAGAAAGAAAACTTGTTCTTAATTCAACAGGTGATAGTCAACTAATTTTTACTCAGAGTAGTCCCCTGGACTAACCTAAGTTAGCCATAGTTATTCATTTTAATGGATCTATCCTGAGTTACAATATTCTATTTATTACAATATTTTATTTATTTTATTTTATTCAGATTTATATGCCATCCTTAATCATAAGATCTCAGGGAGGTTCACAGAATAAAATACAGGATAAAGACAAGTACAGTCGTACCTTGGAAGTTGAAAAGAATCTGTTCCGGAAGTCTGTTCAACTTCCAAAACGTTCAGAAACCAAAGCACAGCTTCTGATTGGCTGCAGGAAGCTCCTGCAGCCAACCGGAAGCCGTGGAAACCACACCGGACATTTGGGATCCAAAAATCGTTCAAAAACCAGAACACTCACTTCCAAGTTTTGATCATTCGGGAGCCGAATTGTTTGGGAGCCAAGGTGTTTGGGATCCAAGGTACGACTGTAACTAATTAAAGCAAAACAATAACCACTTTTTAAAAGGCTGCAGAATATTAATCAGCCCAAGGCCTGGTTGTTTTTGCCTGGTGCCAAAAAATATGTAAGCAAGGAACCAGGCAAACCTCCCTGGGGAGAGCTTTAACGAACAGGGAGCCACTACAGAGAAGGCCCATTCTTATGTTGCCACCCTCTAGACCTCATGTGGAGGCGGTACACAAAGTAGGGCTTCAGATGATGAACGCAGAGTCTGGGACAGTCTATATGAGGAGAGGTGGTCCTTTAGGTATTACGGTCCCAAGCCATTTAAGGCTTTATAGGTCAAAACCAGCACTTTGAATTGGGCCCAGAAGCTAATTGGCAGCCAGTGCAGTCGGGCCTGAAGCTCAGTGGAGACCTGCAAGAAAATATGCTCCTATTCCAGGATACTCCATTCCATTCCATCCCTACCCTCCTCACAGTTTACTTTTCCAAACATGGGCCCTTTCAGACTGTCTCTATTTTTGGGTGGGCATGTAGTCACATACCGGATGTCATACTCCAGGGAGCCCTTGTTTCTGAAATACCAGCTTCTCACCAAAGTACCTCACTAGCACAGACAGGGTTGCTGGTGTAGTGTAGCCCAAACAAACCAAGGTCAAACACAGGGAATCCAGAAGGTCAAGCCAGGATCTAGAAGCCAGGTCAAGAAACAGTCCAAGGGCAATATCACAGGGTAGTCCACAAGGTACAGCACAGCAAGGAGGAATAAGCAGAGTCAGGAGTGAGGAACCAGAGACCTGTGTTGTTTTCAGCAAGTGGAAGGTTCAAGAAGGAAGCCTTATACTATCTGGTCTCCTAAACCACATTCTAACCACAGCTGCTGGCAGTGAAGGAGTGCAGGGATTGTTTACTCATGAGTAGAAACATAGAATCTTAGAATTGTAGAGTTGGAAGGGACCCCAAGGGTCATCTAGTTCAACCCCCGATGATGCAGGAATCCCTTACTCACAAGTAGACCCCTTACTCACAAGTAGCCTGCTGACTCTGGGTCCATAGTTGTATACTGTACCATTGCTCTTCAGCTTGGATCTGAAGTTTCTGGCGTTGGCACTCTTATGGACCAGACTCCACCTCCTTCTCTGACCTTTCCAGAGGTTCTTCCTCAGGTATCAGCCCAGAGGAGGACCCCTCTAGGGGATCCTTGGCATAGGACTCAGCGTCTCAAGGTCCATGGCCTGTGGGGTGTCTGGTTTGACCTCTGAGGTCTCCACGCCTGGCACCCGGTCAGGGCTAGGCATGACACTGGCAAGAATTCAGGTTGTACAGTTATTGTTGACTGGAAGCAACAAACCTACTTCCGCAAAAAGATTGGACATTTTGCGACAAGGGAAGTGCATAAGAAAGTGTGGGACAAACACTGTTATCCAACCTCCCTGTGAATAAATCAGAGTCAATGCTCAATAAATAGCTGACATCATCTCCAAGCAAATCAGGATGAATGTTCAATAAACAGGTCATCTGGAAGCGCTATGATACTCAACATTCCATGTCTATTGCGCATGCTTGGGCTATTTCTTTTTTGGGGGTGGCAGTACCCCATGTGTTTTTTAATTCTTTTTTTGTACTTTTGAGCTTCTTAAGGTTCCCCTGAGTATATTACTACTTGTTTCTGGCTTCTTAATTGTTCCTTTAGGGCCCAGTTCTGCTGCCACTCATCATTTAAGTTCTGTTAGACAGAGAGCTATAACACATGGTGGCCCTATATAATGTCATGTGCTACATAAGGGGTGGGGAACCTGTAGATAGTGACATGGGGAAAATTCGATGTAGGCTGCCACATTTATCAAATTCGCACTTTCTGAAAAAGATGAGAACTGCGCTTCTCCCAATTTTGTGATTCAGATCTCCATCCAATGTTTACAAATATGCCTCAAAAATGAATATATTAGTGAAAATAACATGCAAAAATGAGTTATATTAGAGGAAATTGTTTGCAAAATTTGCACACTAATCAGTTGCATGCAAAATAGCACACAAAAATGTGTTTATTAGGAGAAATTCGCACCAAGGTGCTGATGAGTTTTTCCATCACCCTCTCTGACCATTGGCCCTGCTGACAGGGAATGATGGGAGTTGGAGTCCAACAACACTTGGAGGGCCATTTCATTTTTCCAAACCTAGGTTCATTTCCCACATTTCCCACATCAGTTTGCAAATTCTTTTTTGCGAAAGAAATCCTCATGAAAATTCACCTGCAATTCAGTTTGAATTTCTCTGAAAACACACAAGTTTGCATGCTCTTTCCCCCTAAAATATAATGCATAAAATATAATATAATACAATTCCTGTACTGTATGTTACTTTTAGTAATATATGCTTTTTTAAAAAATGCACACTCCCTCGCCAATGTACACATTGCTTGGCTGGGGAACTGCACTGAGTTTTGGTTGGCATGTTGTTTTTTAAAGAAGTGTGAATTTGGTAGATTCACCTTTAAATGTAAACTGAATCCAGTTTGCCCCAATCCAATCACTAGACAGGAGTTCAAGGCATCTGGGTAGCAAGGAAGAAAGCATGTCATCCTTAAAGTGGTTCTGGGTTAGGGAAAGAACTAGAGAAGAAGGCATGTAACTTAACGACTTCTTTCTTCAATCCCAATATCACGCAGGTGCTCCCCTTGTACAACAAGCTGAACCCCGAGGCCTCGGCTGCCCCATGTTGTGTCCCCCATGAACTGGAACCCTTGACTATCCTCTACTACGTTGGCCGCTTGCCCAAAGTACAACAACTCAGCAACATGGTTGTGAAATCCTGCCGCTGCCGCTGAGTGTGTGTGTGAGGGGAGCAGGAACCGGTTTCATGGATGGTGGGAACTGGGCTAACTGGAGTAAAGGGACATCCCTTCTCATCTCTATCAGTCTGTCTGTCACAAGGCTACTGGGAAAAGGATTCTCAACCTGACATTATTCCGTCCCCACCCACCCCGCCAGTACAAGGCTCCAGCATTTTTCTTATGCCCCAGCTCCCAGGGAAGAGTCACCTTCTCCTTCTGTGGCTCCACTCATCAGCAAAAGACTCTTCCCTCTTTCCCAGTTCACTTCACAAATCAGTTTGGTTCACAGATAAGTGCCTTGCCCTTGCTTTTCTCCCAGATACTTTGAAAGGGATTGGTGGGGTCTCTCTCCCATGGTATCCTTGTCCTATCCATGCAAACTCAGCACTTAATTTTTTCAAAAGAAAAATATGTGATTGAAGCTGGTCCGGATATCTAGCATTCTAGCCTCCCTGAGGGTGGTTACTTGGTGGTATAAGATTGGCTCTCGGTGCATGCTCAGAGGCACTCTCCCCTTTAGGATTCTTTGACATATTCCAAGTGTGCAGGCCTTGTGTAAACTTTAAATGATCGACTTGGCTCAGGTCAAGCCTGAGATCCATCTAACCTGGGATCTACCAAAGCTAGTCTTCAGTTTTCTTGGGAGGAAATCCCCCAAGTACTTGGATGCTAGCCACACACACACTCAAAACCAAGCGCCTGCTGAAGGCTTGGCTCAGTGGTAATGAGTGCAAACACAGGGCAGAGAGGCATGCAGAGAGGCAGGTTGACAGACAAAGGATCTCTTGATCAGGAAAGAGGAATATAGAGTGGTAGGATAAACAAGGCTGTGTGCTTAAGTGTTGTATGAAGGGGGGAAAGGAGGGAGAGATAGGAAGGGAGGCAGACAGAACGGGCTGGTGGGGGTGCTCAGCTCGGCTGCAGGTAAATATTTGAGAGCAGAGCTTCGTGGTTTCGGAGCTGTGTGTAAACACAACACAGATGGAAACGCAGAGCCCTCCTAGCATCTCCCTGCCCTAATGCTGAAAGTACTTCTTCACACCATGACAGCGCATAGTTTAAAACTATGGCATCTGCTCCCAGAAGAAGTAGTGATGGTCACCAATTTGGATAGCTTTAAATTCAGAGAGGGTAATAAGACTATCAGCAGATACCGACCCCTATGGCTATGCTCTCCTTCCACAGTTGGAAGCTGGATGCCTCTGAATCCCCATTGCCGGGAACCTCAAGTGGGGATTGCTGCCATCTTTTTTGTGGGCTTCCCATCAGCACACCTGCACTAGATCTTCCTTGAACTGATCCAGCAGAACTGCACAGGACCACAAGTGGTTGTACTGAACTGAGAAGGTGGCATGCTCAGAGATCCCAACATTTTCCCCAGCCTTGGTTTTTGCAAAAACCCAGCCTAAGGAAGATTATAGAAACAGGGAAGGAATTTTTGGAAATGGAGTTTTTCTTGCCCTAAATAACTTTTCTGCCCCCATTATCTGCCCACACCCTCAGTGGTCAGTTAGCTTTCCATAGCTACTAAGCACACTTAGTCCTTGCTGAGCTGTTTGGGAGAGTGTTCCCTGCCCCCACACTTTCAGGTTTTCTGGCCCTTTAGATTGTTTGTACTCTGACACATTTTGGGGTCCCCCCAAGCCTGCTGCTCCTGCTCCCTTCCCTTATGTGGGGGTGGAGCAGTTTTGGCTACATAAGCGCCATTCCCTGCCGGAATATTGGAAATAGAAGGATTGATGATAAATAGAACACTATCCATGCATAGGCCTTAAAGCTTCAAAGTGTTGGGTTTTTAATTTTTTTAAGGGTCCAATTTGTCCAAAGCAGCAATAATTAATGTTGTTGGGCTAATGAATTAAAATTATTGTGGGAAACAGCACTGTAGTTTTGTCCTGAACTGCTTGAAATCTGTGGTGTAATACACAGCCGGACAACAACAGCTGAATTCTGCACCCAATTCCATATTCTCTTCCCCTCCTTATTTATTTTTAACTGCCTCTGCTCATGTTTTTTTGTAATCATAGTTAGCTTGCCTGTACCAAATCATTGCTTAATGATTGTGATCGGTTTACAAATGATATCTGCATTCATTAAGTTACTATAAGCAGCTCTGTGAAGGCTTATGTGAAAAAACATGGACATAAAACATGCAAATTGAATCAAATACTGCACTCTCACAGACTCGCAGCACACACGCTGGTCCTGTGCCCTCCTCTGCTGCCCCAGCCCACAGGGGGGTGGGGGAAAACCACAGGACAGGGCAGGATGAAAACACATAAACATTTACTTGTTCTCAAGGTGGTTTCAAGGTACTGGTGGGCAAAGGGTAGGAGGGGCGTCCTTTGCACAGCATCTTCACTCAAAGAACTCTTCTTCCCTGCAACTGGAGGTGAAGGTGTTCCACATGCTGCTCCATCTGGATGGTGAGAGGGTGCTCTGATCCTAATTTTTTGTGGTAGTCTGAGGAGGGGTGGTAGAGGGGAAAGAGGTTACTTTTACATGCCACACATTTCCGCAGTTTCTACCATCACAATATGGCAGGGTGCATAAGTGACCTGAGTCTCTGGGACCTTGCCCTGCCTCTCGTGAGATGAGTCTGCTTGATCAGGACAAAGGTCCATCCATTCTAGCATTGCGAGAAGCCTGCAAGTTGGACCTGAGGGCAGCAGAAACTCTGCTCACCTGTAACGATTCCCAGCAGCTGGTATTAAGCAACGTATGAGAAGCCCGCACCTCTGTAGGAACCTCACCCGCCATGATCATGAGAATATAAAATGAGCCTTGCTGCCGAATCAGGTCAGTGGCCCACCATGAGTCCTCTTTTCCCCAGGACACATCCTCTTTTTCAGGGGCAAAATTCGAGACAAATTGCATTCATTTGCTTTGAATGGCCACCCCAGTGTCATAGCGTCCTATTTTTTTTTTTATCTTCAAAATATGGCAACCCTAAATTCTAGTCCCACATCCTATTCTCACAGTGGCCAATCGGTGGTTCTGCTCCTACTTCCAGGGTTGTTTCCAGAAAGCAGTTATGGGAGGCAGGACCAGTGCTTGATGCCATGAAAGCTTCCCTGTGGTGTCCTGCAGGGCTCCATCTTGTCCCCATGTAATCTAACATCTATAATTCCCCTCATACAGCTACAATTCTGAGAGCAAATCCCCTTTCCCAAGGAACCCTAGGCATTCCAGCTATCTGAGCAGAATTGAGGTCTCCTAACAACTCTTAGCAGCCTCAACAAACTGAAGTTCCCAGGATTCTTTGGGGGGAGCCATGACTGATTAACGTGGCATGCTGCTGCTTCAAATGTATGGTGCAGATGGGGTGTAAATTACAATGATCATTTCTGAATTTTTGTATCTATACATATACAGTGGTACCTCTGGTTACATACGCTTCAGGTTACATACGCTTCAGGTTACATACGCTTCAGGTTACAGACTCCGCTAACCCAGAAATAGTGCTTCAGGTTAAGAACTTTGCTTCAGGATGAGAACAGAAATCGCGCGGCGGCAGCGGGAGGCCCCATTAGCTAAAGTGGTGCTTCAGGTTAAGAATAGTTTCAGGTTAAGTACAGACCTCCGGGATGAATTAAGTACTTAACCCGAGGTACCAATGTATATTAGTATGAACACATTTTACAGAAGTCCTCCCACTTTGGGGCAGGGGGACAACGTATAAGTGGTGGCTTGACTTCAAGAGGGAGATGTGTCCTTGTGATCACAAAAGCAGGCTAGACTTGCAGTACACAAGCCTTCTCCTCACCAAACAGGGTTTCCAATAAGATGTCAAACACTTCTTCCTCCATCACTTCCTGGAGTGGCATGGGCATCTGTGGAATGGGGAAGTGAGCAAGGGATTAGGGAGATACATTTAAAGTACACACAGAACCCCTCAACCACCACTACCATTATTTCAAGGTGATATTCTGCTTACTTTTTAAATTCAACCATTTCCCCCCACCCCTTGTGATTTTTAAAAAATCTGAACATTTTAATAATAACAATGGTTTTATAATTATTATAATTAAATGATTATGTATCATCATTGAATATTACATTTATTCATCTCCAGCTTTGTAAAGGGTCTTGAAGCGATTTATAATTGTAAAAAACATTCAAGTCCAAAGTCCAAAAGGAACATTAAACAGAGGGCTCATCCAGACTTCCTTTTGTGTTGTGTTTCTAGGCACAGGTCTGGGCTTTCCATGTCTGAATACCAGGGGTTGGGGGGTGGTGTTTGGTCCTGGTGCTTCCCCCGGGAAAATCCACATTTTGCTGCTGGATCAGAGCAAACGGCAGTCAAATTTGCAGCAGATTGCCATTTGCTCTGATTCCGCAGTAACGTGCGGGTTTTCCCAGACCAAGTGCTGGGACAAAAAAGGCCACTTGGATGCAGATCTGGAAAACATGGAGCTGAGCTGTGCCTAGAAAGCACAGAGCAAAGGTACCTGTGGGTCAGCTTCCAGGGAAGAGGCAGGGAACCCTTTTCAACCCAAGATCCACATTGCCATGTGTGCAACGCCTTACAGGGGCCACATGGTACTGGTGGGTGGGGCCAGAGGCAGATGTTTACCTTTGTACACAGTAGGCTAGTGAAATGCAGAGGTTGGTGCAGCAGGAGGCAAAATGTGGGTGGGGCACTGGATGCAACATTTATTTGTGTACAGCAAACTTTGTTGTTGTTGTTGTTTAGGTAAAGGTAAAGGGACCCCTGACCATTAGGTCCAGTCGTGGCCGACTCTGGGGTTGCGGTGCTCATCTCGCTTTATTGGCCTAGGGAGCCGGCGTACAGCTTCCGGGTCATGTGGCCAGCATGACTAAGTCACTTCTGGCGAACCAGAGCAGCGCACAGAAACGCTGTTTACCTTCCCGCCGAAGCGGTACCTATTTATCTACTTGCACTTTGACGTGCTTTCGAACTGCTAGGTTGGCAGGAGCAGGGACCAAGCAACGGGAGCTCACTTCGTCATGGGGATTCGAACTGCCAACCTTCTGATTGACAAGTCCTAGGCTCTGTGGTTTAACCCACAGCGCCACATCCCCCTTAAACAAAAAGCCAGAGGTTCCCAAAAACCCATACACACCTCTTTGTTTATGACAACAATAAGAAGATGAGGAAAATAACAAAGAGAAGATTGAACAGAACTGTGAATACTATTTGGACAGAACTGTGAACATCAAAGCAGCAGCAAGAGAGATGTTTGGATTCCTTTCTGAGCTCGAAGCATGGGTACCCCCAACAAAAATTTAAAAATTTGGCTGTGTAATTTGGAATTAATGTGATGTGATTTGATTGGCTTGTTAATAAAAATTATATTAAAAAAAACCCCACACCTCTTTGTTTACCGTCCAGGCAAGCAAGAAGGCATTGTTTCAGACAGGCGACGGTACTCTAACAGAGCGCAACACAGACTGTGGAGAATGCTGAGGGCTTGATAGAAAGGCCTGGGCCTGAGATTCCCCAGCTCTGCTCTAAGGGAAACATTCAAAGTGTTTTGAGGCCTATACTTCTCATCAATAAATAACACCACCCAAAAGTGAAGTGGTGATATCACAGGTCACGGCGTTCCTTGCAATACAACTGAAAGGTCGAATTGTTGAAAGAGGCTTACAGATATTTTGGTGTCCCGCTCATGTTTCAGTAGCCTTTGCTTGTAAATTTTATCCTAGGATGAAAGGAAAAGGACCAGTCAGTTATGGATTGGCAGCTTTCCCCCTTTTCAGAGCCATGCATCAGTACCCAAAGATTCCAATCCCTATATTAGAAATAAATAAATAAATAAATAAATAAATATTCATGAAAACCCACCAGCATTTTAGTATGGAATTCTTCCAATAAACACATTTCTATATGCAGTTTGGACTAATGCACACGTTTGTACAAACAATTTCCCTCTATCTAATGCATTCTTGTATGTCCTTTTCATGAATACATTTGTTTGTACACTGACTTTCCCCTAATAGAAGCATTTTTTGCAAACACTGGTCCGAGAATTGCACTGCAAAAATTCAGGTAAGCTCAAGCTTTGAAGGATATCCGTGCTTCGGTTCCCATATTGTTCTCAGAAACAGCAAATTGGATAGATTTACATTTAAACGAAATCAAATTTCTCCCCCATCTTTCCTCCCCACCTTGAATCTGGATGACAGATTTTGCCGCCTGAGGAAGAAAACCCAACTGTGGCCTTCCCCAATGGTGTTAAATATCAAATCTGCCACCAGTGAGCGACCTCTGTTAACAAGGGTTGTCTGTTTAAGAGCACAGTCCATCTTTTTTCCCTTCCCTTGAGAGGAACCCATTGCTACATTGTCTTAGCTGCATCTACACACACCTGAGTAAGCTGGCCCACGTGATACCCATGTTGGTGGGCCATCTTCCAGTGGCTTATTTTTTGCCCCATGTTCCAGACAGAGCTTCCTGTGTGAAGTGAGGAAACAAGGCGTAAGAAGCTGAACATAGGGTAAGGACGGGGAAACATGTCCATTTTGGTTTCTCGTTATTCCAGTCTTAAGCTGAGCTCTCCACATTCTCCTCATCAGTTCACCAACTAGTTTTTTTGAAGTCATCCTGAAAATCCATCAGCGTTTTTAGTGTGGATGTCTCCTAATATACACAATTCCCACGCAAACTCCAAATTTCCATAATAGGACGTACTCAGTCATGAAACTCACTGGGTGATCTTGGGGCCAGCCACAGTCTTTCAGCCTAATCTACTTCACAGGGTTGCTGTGAGAATGAAATGGGGAGGAAAATAACCATTTATGCTACTTTGAGCTCCTCAGAAGAAAAGTGGCATATAAATGCACACATGACCTTAGGATATGCATTTCTCTCAATTCCATCAAAATCAGGGGCATGGTTGCTGGTGACAAGAAAGGGAGTCTTTTCTGTGGCTGCTCCCAGATTGTGGAATTTCTGCCCAAGAGCAGCTAGACTGATTCTCTCCTTGTTATCTTTCACCAGCAGGCTAAGACCTTCCTGTTCAGACAAGCTTTTGAAAACTAAGATGCAGACAATGCTGATCACTAGGTTGCTATAAGCCGCCCAGAGTGGGGTATAAATATAATAATTGATGGGGAAGAAGAAGAAGAAGAAAAAGAAGAAGAAGAGGAAGAATATTGCTGCCAGGGCAATCTATCTTTTATTTGCTGGTTCTAAATGTGCTTTGTTGTATTTCAACTAATGTTTTTAACTCGTTTGTTTTCATTAATTTGTATAAAGTGTTAAGATGCTGAATCCCGACTTGGGAGAAAGGCAGGATATGAATACCTTAAATAAATAAAATTAAATAATTATTTGACTGGGGGTCTGCATGGCAAAATTCAGAATGCAGAAGGATGGGTGAATTTGGGTTCATCTATTGCTTCAAATTCAGGATGAATGTGCCCTAAAGCACTGGTAGATTTTCAGGAGAAGTCTGGGAGGGGCAGGGGCAGGCCCATTCACTTATCTAGGAGCCCTTCTCAGTGGCAGAGCAAGCCAATCGGGAGCCTGGGGTGGCACACGTGCCTTGTGCCAGGGGCACGGCCAGCTGCCTGCGGGGCGGGGCAAGCTGGGGCAGGATGTTCCGTGGGGCCTCCAAGGAGTCTGCTTGCCTCCTCCCACTCAGCCACTCTATAGCTGAGGGGGAGGTGGTGGGTGGACCATTTGGGGCAGAGCGGAGCCTGCAGGTGCCCAAGCCACCATGTCACTCCCAGGAGAGATGCATGGCTCGGGCACGCTGCAGGCCCCGCAGTGAGTGTCGCCCAGCATTTTGTCACCCCACTCAGTGCTGACACCCGGGACGGCCCGCCTCTACCACACACCCCTTCCTCCGCCCCTGGTCCTTCTCCCACTCCAGTGATACAACCTCACCTACAGTTGAAGACAAGGATTCACCCTTCTGTGTGCTATCCTCTGCAGCTGCTTCAGCCTGTTGGGCAGGAGTTTAAGAGTTTAGAAGCAAGAAGAAGAGGTAAAGAAATCTGTTAACTAAAAATCAGTATATAAGTAGGGCTGCCATACATCCAGGTTTCCCTGGACATATCCGGGATTCATCCATCAGAAATAGCATTCAAGCAGAATTTTCAAAAATTGATAAAATGCCCGGGAAAACATGGGCATATGGCAATCCATGTTGGAAGTGTTGTTTTTTTGGTGAATATCCTTAAAAATAGCTGGAAAATGTCAAGTTTTCTGGAGATTTTGCAACAACTCAATAGCTCAACAACTGCAATACCTCGACAACTTCTGTGTCTGAATTTTCAGTTTTTGAAATATGGTGACCCTAATCCAGGTCAAGGCAGACCAACATCAAAAAGACAGCTACAACAACATTTAGCATTTGCACTAGCTCACTCATAATGTTCAAAAGACTTCACAGGTCTTACCTGCAGCGTGATATTTCCAAGAACCATAGAAGACAGGTCAGTATGATTAGCCCCACATTGCGGGCTGAGGGATGGCTGATCTAATAAGGCCACTGTCCTAGCTCTCACTGCTGGCTGAAGTACTCTGACTCAAGTTTGGGCTTCTGCCAAATTATTTAATACAGAAATTTGAACGATACATAGGCAGGGCGGGGGTTAAAGGTACAGCAGGCATGGGCGTAGCCAGGGGGAGCAACTGCCCCCCCACCAAGTAAATAAAAAAAAAGACTTAACTAAAAGTAGAAATTGTAGGAAGATTTTGACATTTTCCTGAGCACTTGGGCCAAAAGAAAGTAATTTAAAACAACTGTTACTGAGACATTTCATTCTAAATCTGCTAGGCAGACAGAAGATGATGACAGGTGGGTGTCCTGCCCGGCAACATACTGTAAATCCTGACTACACCCATGACAGCAGGTGAATTGTGAGCTGAGATGGATGTTGAGCCAACAAACGATCTGCCCCCTGTCTCTTTCCTTTGAAGAGCGAGGCAGGTCCCAAGCTTCAATGTGGCAAGCTTTTGAGCACTGGCATCATGTGCTGATGATCGTGTGTCCCCATCAGCTGTCTCTAAAGGGCTTTGAAAATGGTTCAGTATATTGAAGTATATGCTGCAATTGCCTCAACCCGTGCCTGCTGTGTTCACTGCCACCTCCTCAAGTTAGGAAGAGGCAGCAGTGGATGCCACATGGCTGGCATTAAAACTCAGCATGCTCAAATATCTGCAGAGGGACCACTATTGATCCCTGTCCTTCACCTCCTATGCAACTGGCTTGGTCTATAGCAGGGCAGAGCAATCTTTCCTATTGGGCTTACTGGCGCGTTGCGCCAGGGTGCTGGCTTCTCAGGGGCACTCCAGCGAGTGGGGGAGCTGTGCGGCTTTGCAGGAGGCCTCCCCTTTCCCTGCACGCCCGCTAGCAATGCCCCGTCAACCATATGGCTGGCAGGCGTGCAGCTTCCTTCCCAAGCCTCCGCAGGAGGAGAGCGATCCCCGCAGAGGCTTGGGGAAAGGTCAGCAACTCTGCGAAAGGGGATGGGCGCCAGAGGGATCTTTGAACCACGGCGCCGGATATGCTTAAGATGGCCCTGTAGCAGGGGTCCAAAAACTTGGGTCTTAAGCTGTTTTTGGACTACAACTCCCATCACCCCTAGCTAGCAGGACCAGTGGTCAGGGATGATGGGAATCGTAGTCCAAAAGCAGCTGGAGACCAAAGTTTGGGAAACCCAGAGCTAGGCAAACCAATATTTCGACTTGGTAGAAGACAGTTTCCTATGTTCCTGCCACACAAGGACCCATTCAAGGCTGGCAAAAGCCCTCAAGGGTGCCAGCTTAGATGTGCCTTTGGTCTGATCCAGTCTTTTCTTCTGTTTACATGCTACACCAGGCTTGCCAAGAAGGGCCACAGATAACCATCATACCAGCAAGATTTTCATGGGCTTGGTGGCCACAGGAAAGGCCTAGTGTCACACTCTCTGGAGGCTGGGTCCAAGCAGCAGGTGGACAGTCCTCCTGAATACCAAAAGCTTACAGTTCTCTGCACTCCCTACCTTCCTTTTCTCCTCAGAAGAGGTCTCAAAGGGCACTGTCTTGCTACTGCAGGAAATGACGAGGGTGGGGGAGGAGAAAGATAGATCCAGGGTTAGAGTTGACAGGCTGTAGGAGAAGGTTCATAGATTATGGGGAGAGGGGAGGCAAAGCCACCTTTGGTCAATGTTGTGGTGCTAGAACACTAGCTCAGCATGCAGAAGATCCCAGGTTTATTCCCCAGCATCTCCAGGTAGGACTGGGAAAGACCCCCACCTGAAACCCCGGAGAGGCAATTGTAGGCAATATTGCACTAGACAGATTAACAGTGAAGGCCAACGGGGCAGTTGTTTGGGGTGGCAAATTTGAGGAGGTGTTGCATTGTGACTGGGGAGAGATAGATAGGAGGACAGAAGAACCTCCCTGATCCTCTCTTCAAGAGTACCAGCTGCACATGCCACTCCTGGAGTGGCTCTTGCTCCTTCCAGAAAGGCCACCATATTGTGAGAGATGAGTTTGTACACAGCTCTCTCATCTCTAGGGGCAATAAATATTTTCTGCCCAGGGGCAAGGGACACAATAAATACTTGTGGTCTCTAACTCAGTGCAAAGGATATTATTTTGTTGTGCCTACAAAGGGAATTATCTTTCATTATTATTTATTCATTAAATTTGTGTACCGCCCTTCATCTGTGGATCTCAGGACTCCTCTCTGTCTGAGTCTGCACTCATACTGCGACTCTCAGCCTCTACACCCCCCACAATTGCTCAAACCACCTGCTTCTAGCACCTCCCAGCTCGTCCCTTCCCCAGATTGCTCCCCAGTGTCCCACCACCATGATCCAGGATCTAAGTTGCTATCTTCTGTGTCCTCCCCGGGGGGGGGTTCTAAGGCAGGCAGCTCCCACCACTCTTCCTCATCCAGCCAGTCCTTGACACTTGAGGAGTTCGCCCTGTGCTTTTTGGCAACACTGGCTGGGGCATCTCTGCCACAAATTTGAAAGTAGGCGCAGCATTCCAAGGTCACCCTCACTTGGATTCATACCTTGAAGAATGGAGGTCTGGTTTCTTTGACTCATCCTTTTCTTCCTGCAGTGAATTTATAAATTAGAGGGTGACTCTCCAGCAAAAAAAAAGTAATTTAGTCAAGGCAAGACTTTGGGAGCAGGAGGGGTCTCCCCTCCATTATTGTATTTTATTTTTATTGTATTATTGTATTTTGAAGTGAATGAAGCAATATACGCACAATATAAAGCAGAGGTGACGAACCTGGTGCTCCCCAGGTTTTGCTGGACTACAATTCCCATATTCTCTGACAACTGGCTAGGCTGGCAGGAGCTGATGGGAGTTGGGTGTCCAATGATATCTGGAGGGCCACAGTTTAGCCAACATGGGGCTCATAAGACCATAAAAGCACAGAGTCTAATATTAGCCAACTGCACCACTCATCTCTATCCCAACCCATGGATAATCTGGGCAAAAAAGAAGTAAAGACTTGATTCCAATCAAAGAGTTGGAAAGGACCCTGAGGATCATCAAGTCCAACATCCTACAATGCAGAAATACGCAGCTGTCCTATACGGGGATCGAACCTGCAACCACACTCTAACCAACTAAGGCCAGGGGTCTGCAACCTTTAAGACAAAAAGAGCCACTTGGACCCGTTTCCGAAGAAAAAAAAACCTGGGAGCCGCAAAACCATTGCGACATTTAAAACAAATATATCTCTGGAGCCGCGATCAGACAGCGGGCGGGAAGGTGACGTCGGGACGGTGCATGACTAACGCACGCACCGCCCCCATGCGACGTCACAGCCAGTACAGCGCCCGCCACAGTGGGGAGTGTCGGGGCGCACAGTGCGCCTCCCACCCCGGAGCCGCGGCAAAGGTGTAAAAAAGCCACATGTGGCTCCGGAGCCGCGGGTTGCTGACCCCTGAACTAAGCTATCCAGGCATATTCCCTTACACACTTCCTCCCTGTGTGCCACTCAACACATCTTAAAGATATGAAGGGTCCAGGTAAGCACCTTGGAAAATTACAATTATTGACCTTCAAAGTGCCTCCCCCCACCCCCACCCCCCGGCCAGCAATCCAAATATGCTGGGCAACCCACCATTCAGGGATGAAAGATAAACAAGAATAAGCGGCCTACCTCATCTTCAGATAAATCCTGGCTCAGGATCCGAGTTAACCTTTAAAAAAAGAGAGAAGGTCCTGTTCAGAGAAACTATTTTCCAAGAGAAAGCACACTGGGAAAGAGGTGGCCTACAACAGAAATTTGAGAGTATGGCTTGTCTGCTGTCTGTCAAGATACCTCATAATGTTCACTGATTGCCTTTTCCTGGCCATTCTGGGCCATTCTTTTGAAATTGTGAATACCTTGACTCCAGCATCCATTTTCACAGATAAATGTATAGATATCTGCTCTTTTGACAAGTCTGCTTAGAGAGTTATCAATACTTGCTATAGCAGTTTCACAAAGGGGAGTCTCATGAATAATGTGCTGCTTTGTGACTGGAGGAGTCTTGAGGCTGACTAGGGGTCAGACATGGCTGCTTTAATGCTCCCTGTACTAGTTCAGTGCAAGTTTTACTGGTAAAAGTGTAATTTCACTAAGAAATTGGTGGATTCACCGAGAAATAGGGCTAAGTGAAAATAACCACTGTAAATAGGCACATCTGGATACCAAGTTACCTTTTAACTGAATTACGTTGCAAAGACTCCGGGCTCTGGCAATCCACGCTATGCCACTGTCCTTCACTTCTGCCCCCCAGCAATTCCACTGCCACCGTGCACCAAACTCACCAGGAGATGGGGCGCTTCCTCAAAATATTGCCGCTTGGCTTCTCCACCCCTGTGGTGGGGCGGGGAACTGATTGGCAACATGGCACTCAGGAATGCCCCAGCACTTGCTAAACTTGGCAGGGGGCCTGGGTGCTCCTCAAAGCATTGTCGTTTGGCTTCTCACCATGGTTTTGGAAGATGATCAGCAGCACCATGTAGCGGAACGCTTCCCTCTCGGTGGCAGAAGTGATGGGGCAGGCAGAACACCACCTCTTTTACTTCCACCACCTGAGATGGGTTTCTTCCACCTCATGGGTGGGGTGACTCTGCTTATTCTGAACACATATGGAAGGGCCACAAGCTCCCTACCCCTGCCCTTGGTTCTTGCCAACATTTCTGCACATTGCCATGGATTTGAAAGTACCCACAGTGTTCCAGAGCATTTCTGCTTTTGTACCTTGAGTCTTTCAGGGACAGCTGATGCTTCGTTTTCATTTGCTGCAATAACAGGGATACATTAGAAGGCACACTATGCTCCACCCCAGAAACTGCTCCCTGCATCATCATCATCATCATCATCAAATTAAATTTATATCCTGCACTTCCTCCCAAAGAGTCTACAAACAATCACACACGCTCACAGGTAATACTTTCAAAGTTGCCAGGAACAGAAACTTTCAAATGCCTGGGCAACCAGGAATGTTTTATAATTCCTCCCAAAAGTTACTAAAGAGAGGGGAGGGCATCCACAAATGGGGAACCGTCACTGAAAAGGCCCTGTCATGGGCCAATGCCCACTGGGCAGCACTCAGCGGTGAGGCAGCACCACCAGGGTATCCCTTCTGGTCATAGGGCCCAAGGTGGACGATATTGGGAAAGGCACTCTCTTTTGCTAGTACTAATATTTTTCATTGGGCCCCATAGTTCACTGGCAGCCAATGCATCATTTTCGGGGCTGGTGACAAAATGGTCCCATGGAGCTGCCCCACTTGCCTATCTAACAGCTGCAGCCTTCATATAGTCTCCAAGGGCAGCCCTGCACAGAGTGCACTACAGTAGTCCAGATAGGAGGTCAGCAGAGCATGATCAGTTGAGGCCAGTACACAACTCTGTGAACATTCAGTAAAGCCTTCAACTGTTTGGGATCTGAATCCTTGAAGGACTATCTCCCTTCCCATGAGCCTGTCCACACATTGTCTGGTAATTAGGGTGGCCTTACTCTCTGAGTCTCTGCTCCTGAAAATGTGGAAAGCAGGGAAGTGCGGAGATATATACTTTCTCTTCAGGGGCACCCAGGCTGTGGAACTCTCAGCTCTATGAGATATAGTACATTACTTTCCAAAGCACATTTAGGGATAATCTTTTTTGGACATGCTTTTTATGGGGGGGAAATGCTTTTTAGCAACTGATTTATTTGCAGTTAACTTTGGATAATATAGGCTGCTGATTTTATTTTATTTTTATTTTTTTAATGCTGCTTTCCTTCTGCAGGTTTTTGTTTCATGGTTTTCCTGGTGTATGATGAGATTGTTTGAGGGTCTGAAAGTCCTACGCAGCATGGAAGGAGCAGGATACGAATTCTAAAACACACACACACATGCATCCCCCACCCACCACTTCCTGTCTCCCAAATCTTTCTACAGTATATTGTATCCTTTGCAACCTCCAGCTTGCAACCCCACTGTACCACTAAGTCACCACGTGACCATAAGGAATACCCTTGCTAGACCAGAGCAAATGGCAGCCAAGTGGTGAAGATGCACCTATTTAGCTCTTGCTTTTGACACCTGTGTTTTCAGGACCCCCCTACTCCTGCAACTGTCATTATTGTGTGTGCAGTGTATTTTTACTGAGTTTTTAAAAATCCTAAACATAAAATCAATGGCATAATAACAATAATTTTCATAACCAAGTCTGAAATTGTATCATAATAAAGATGGGGGAGAAGGCAAAGAAAAGCAAAGAACAATCACTGGGCAAATGTAAAAAAACACAATCTTCAGGGATCATATCCAGTAAGAATAACAAAAGAAACCTGATTTATATTGCAGTTTTATGAAACGCGGGTACAAAAAATATATGAAAGGGTACGTAAAGAGAAAAATAACACAACGAAAAGCTTCAGATTAAACACATTGACTGTTATTTGTTTCCAGAGTTTTTAATTCTGGATTTTAAATTGTTTTAACTTGCCTTGGAAATTGATGGTCAACGGCAAGTAATAATGTTGTTGTTGTTGTTGTTGTTAGTCCTTCACCTGGCTTGCCTTCTTGGTTTTTAAATGAAAAGGCAGAGGTGTCTGGTGCATACTGTGACTGGCAGGGCACAACGCATCAGTAGATAACACCAGAGCCAATGGCAGGCACTGACTGAGCTAACTAATTCTAGCTTTGATCCCATCTTCCTCCTCCCTGATGGGTTATACAAGGGGCAACGCTGAGACTAGGAAGGAAGAAGCTGACTGATGGAGCCACCTCCCATGGTCAGGTTCTAAGGAGGAAGGCAGGCAGGCAGGTGGGGACTGGCTGAGAAGTTGGTGGGGCAGGGCCTCATTTGCTCTACAGCATGTCAAGGGATCCCATGGTTCATGGATGAGAGTGAAGAACAAAGATAAATTGAGATGCCTACCTGGGTGCTGGGCAGCTCGGAGCTGAGCAGTTTAGCTATCCTTTAAGAAAGAAAGTAAGTCCAGGTCAAAAATCTGTCCTGTTGCCCAAGAGCTTCCATCTCTATTGTGGCCAGTAGAGTTGTAGCAATTTCAAAAGTTCAGGGGCCCCTACATGATAGTCACAGTCACGTCCCCTTCTAAAATGATACAACCTTCTAAGATTATACAGCAATCTTATAATCATACAATAATAATACATAGGGGTCCTTCTCCTAGATGGAGATTGGAGTTCCATAGGGGTTTGGATGCCTCCTTCCAGCAACTCCTGCAGCCAAGCTGGTGCCAAATGTATTGATTTGCTTTGCTTTGGAAAATATCAGCGTGGCCAAGAGAGAGGTCTTGTTGTCTGGGTAGTCCAGGACCTCCATACACACTGCCAAGGCTCGTGCCCCAGAGAGAACAAATAGGGATATAGTGCAATGATTCATGTGTTGTCTTTAAGCTAGTTCTACTATTTTCTGGGCACACATACAGGCAATGGTTGTGCTCCAGTATCTTCTTTTGGAGTGAATTAAGTTGACTTAAGTTGTGTTTCCCTTGAAGTTCCATGGTATGTAACAGAACTTGCACACCACTCTCTGGGAACCAAAGCACCTTGGGATGTCAGTCTTCCTAAATGCTTAGATTTGGAGCCTATATAGAACGATTCTTCCCCAGTGTCCTTCCCACGGCACCTTCTCCAGTGGAGCCAATTCTCAGTTGCTGACTCTCCTTTCGCTCTGATTGGCTCCAATCAGCACAAAAAGTGATAAGACTGCTTCCCAGTGACTAAGGAAGCTCCCCTTTCATGCTGATTGGGAGATACCACAGGGGGGCTTTGTTCTCCCCTAATGCTTTTGGCACCCCTCCCGCCCCAACAGATTTGAAAGTGGTTGTACCAGCCCATGATTATCCCAGTTTCATACCTTGGATGCATATTCTTTCTCTTATACTTTTCTGGCACTTCTGAAGCTTTCTGCAATAACGTTTATAGATTAGAAGGGATACTCTCGCAACAGTTAGCTCCACCCCACCCCTCACTGACAAAACCCACACAATTTGGCTCACTGTCTGCTATGGCAAAATTTAAAGTAATGAATTGCATTATTCCACACCATTCCCAGCGCATATTGGTTGTGGTGAACTGAAAACTATGACAGTGAATACCAATTGTATTATCTGTTTTGATTTCCATCCTGGATATGAAACAAGTAAGCAAACATTGGCAATCTCCCCCCCGCCCCCATTTCTCTTTTCATTTGAGTTCTCTGACAGCCCAACCCCACACTACACCCTGTCTGCTCCCTCAACCCCAGTAAATGCAGCACAGAGCCTTATGAGTGGCCCTCTTCTCAAACCTGCCCATCCCACTACAGCTTGTCCCTTATAAGTCCAGTATTGAGCTCCACTATGACCTTTGCTCCCCACACCCCAGAAAATCAGAGCACATTGGGCCTTGTTTGCACGTGACAATAAACTATGGTTTGCCTCAATATGTCTCTCCCCACTACCTTGGTTTATTTCTCATTTACTGCTCATGGATTGCTTGGGGGGCAGGGGACAAAACATATGAAGGGGAAATGGTGGGGTCACTACCATCCAGAAGCACAGTTCACTGATGCACAGTCAAACGTCCCAGAATAAAATGTTTGAATGCAGACCAAGAGGTTAAATGCAAAGGGGTGGGGGATTATGTAGAGCAGCATTCCCCTCCATTAGGAAGGGAGGTTCTTTGAACCTATGAAAGAAACAGGATAATGGGAACCCCAGAGCAGTTAGTTACTGAGAGCCAGTGTGGCATAATGGTTAGAGTGTTGGCATAGGACATGGGAGAGCAGGGTTCGAATCCCCACTCAGCCATGAAGCTAACTGGGTAACCTTGGGGGCCACTCATCATCTTTTAGTCTAACCTAGCTCACAAGGTTGTTGTGAGGATGAAATGGGGAGGAGGAGAACCATGTACACCACCTTGAGAGCCTTGGAAGATAAAGGTGGTATACATAAAAATAAATAAATAAATAAATAAATAAATAAATAAATAAATAAATAAATGTAAATAAATAATACTGAACCTATAAATGAGAGAAGCTTTTGATCTCAACAGAGACAGATGCTCACCAGGTGTTTTGTTTTGTTTTTAAAGAAGCAGGAAACTTAGGGATGGCAGGGGTAGTAAGTAAACCCTCAAATTATGGTCCAGGTTTGGACAACGTTGGAGAGTTTTTGCCTAGATAGAATGTCTCCTTGAACTAATACCTCCTACTTGCCTGGAGGGAGGACAGAGAGGGGTGTGTGAGTGTGTAGGTAGAAACTAGGCTACTGTACGAAGGAGCATTCTTTGCTCCACCCACTTTGGCCTCTAGCCCTGCTCACCTGTGGCATGTGGCCCCACAAAAATTGCTCAGAAGGGAAGACTGAAAAAGAAGTTCCCCACTTGTGTGTTAAGGAGATTGGCAGAGCCTCCAGGTCAGCCCCTGGCAACTCTACTGGCATCACTCCCTGACATTTAAAGGTGCTTTAGCTTAACATTTAACAGTGATGGAACAAATCAAGATTTGAATGCACAGACCTACCAATTTCTTCTGGAAAGTAGGAAGATCCCGCATGATTCTCTGAGTTAACCTTGAAGAAAAAGAGATGGCTCAGGTTAAAGTCACATCTTGTTGCTTGGGGAAAAGTGGGGACTAGTCAGGTTGGGCCATCACTGTTAGGGGCAGGGTGCCTGGTGGGGCTGCCGCCTGGGGGCTTCTGCTGCCTGAGGTAGCCACCTCAGGCTGCCTGGCTCTGGAGGCAGAACATAGCCATTGTGGCTGGTAGCCCTTGATAGCCTTACTCTCCATGAATTTGCCTAATCCCCTTTTAAAGCCATCCAAATTGGTGGCCATCGCTGCCTGTCAGGGGAGAGAATTCTATATAACTATGCGCTGTGGGAACTGCTTTATTTTGTCTGTCCTGAAACTTCCAACATTCAACTTCTTTGGGTTGCCCTGTTTTAGCCTTTTGTCATTCAGCCCCACCCATCTTGAGATTGCTTCAACTACCTTGGAATTGTGTGTGTGTGTGTGTGTGTGTGTGTGTGTGTGTGTGTAAAAAGCATTGATGAACTCCATAAGTGGTAGGTTCCTGATATGATAATCCCTGGTGGCAGGGGAGTTATCCCCAAAATTGTATTAGTGCTGACTGGCTAAAAGCCTGTAGCTGTGGAAACTGATCTGCTTCCCCTGGCACTGCTAATGGTTTGCCTTTTAAGGCTGTTTCAGGAAACATGGATGCTAACTGGAGGGAGGGCGAGACTGTGGACCAGGATTAGTTTGCTCTGACCCTGCCTGATGGATGCAGGAAGGGAACTGCTTGTTGAGTGATGACCACATGGAATTTTAATTTGGGCATGTTTGTGTCTCCATGGTCAGAAGCAGGGCTAGTGGAGGACAGTCCATTAGGGCAAATGAGGCATTGCCCCACTAACCTCAGTCTACCCACAGCCAGGCCCCACCGGCCTGCCTCCTTACTTACAACCACTCTAGGTGGCAATGCCACCAGCCTCCTCTTCCTTAGCTTCAGTTGCACTTGTGAAATTTAGCAGGGAGGACGAGGATGGAAACAAAACTAGAATTAGTTGGCTCCACCTGCCATTGGCCCTGGTGCTGCCACCTGTTGGGCTCCCTGTATTCCACCCTACCAGTCCCCAATGGGCAGGATCCATGACTGAGCACCCAATGGCCACCTTCCCGCAAACGCTGCTGGGAGTTTTTAATTCCAAATCAGAGGGAGTAGTAGCCCTTCCCCTTGTCCGGAGATCTCTTGGGTTTCCTGGGCAAAGCGAAGGGTGAGGCTCAGGCCCTCCTTTCAGAAGCTTGGCCTTGGATGGCCCCTGGATGGAGGCATGTGGCAAACTCAGGAGCTGCCTCTGGGGCTGTTGAGTGTCTGAAGCCACTGCCACTGTTGCTTTTTAGGGTGTGCAGTACTTGCCTCGCTCCAGGTGCTGGCAACCCACACTACGCCACTGCCTAGATGGAGCAATTATCTGACTCAGTAGAATACAGTTTCCTACATTTCTATGTTCCTATACTCTGGGAGCTTCCAGACAGCCTGTTTATTGGGCATTTATCCTAGACTGTTTGCATGGAGATTAGACAATGCTGTCTATTTAATGAGCATTCTTTCCCATTTGTTTGTGCAAAGGTTAGACAACATTGCCTCAAAGCAACTGTTATTCCACACATGCCAGTGTACTTCTCTTATTTTAAAAAGTCCCGTCTTTGGGAGAACAAGATTTGTCACACAAGAGCTTCCAATTGCACAACCTGGATTTGCTGGGATGTGAATGCACCCCACCTGGAAACTAGAAAAGCTCTTGAAGCATTCTCTGTCCTATGTCAATCAGGTGAGTTAGTTATTGCACAGGGCTTGGTGTGTGTGGGGGGGTCATACTTAGCAAAGTAACCAGGTGGTCCAAGTTCCTCCAGCGGTTTCTCTCCAATCTCTCTTATTTTCTGTAAATTGAAGTTTAAAAAGTTTTAAAAGCACACCCAATGTGCACTCTCAACCCAGCCTCTTATGAGAACCAGAGGTGATGGGGAACTCCACTTCTTGCCCAGCTTTCTTACCTCTTTGTGTTTAACCCACAAGCTTCCAGCACTAGATGGTCTGAAGGAGCAGCAAAAAAAAAAAAGGGGGGGGGAGAGAAAAGAAGCAGAGTTCAGGTAATATAAAGTACTCAGGTCGTGTGTGGAAGGAGGCCAGTGGAAAGTCACCCACTTTGCATGCAAAAGGTCCCAGTTTCAATCCCTAATGAATCTCTAGGTAGGGTTGGGAAAGGCTTGCTGCCTGAAACTCTGGAGAGCCACAGTCAGTCACTCTAGACCAGGCATGGCCAAACTTGGCCCTCCAGCTGTTTTGGGACTACAACTCCCATCATCCCTAGCTAACAGGACCAGTGGTCAGGGATGATGGGAATTGTAGTCCCAAAACATCTGGAGGACCAAGATTGGCCATGCCTGCTCAAGACAATACTGAGTTAGATGAACCCAGTGGTCTGACATGGTAACAGGTAGCTTCCTAGAACTTAAGAACTGCATTTTAAGGGCAGTGCCGCAGATCAGCAGCAAGAGCACCTGTTTTGCATGCAAAGGATCCCAGGTTTAACAACAACAACAACAGCCCATCCATCTGGCAGGGGTTCCCCAGCCATTCAGTGTTGCCACCTCCAGGTAATACAGTAGCTGTCAAACGGCTTGGCTCCCAAACAAATCGGTTCCCGAACACTGCAAACCCAGGAGTGTTCCAGTTTGCGAACATTTTTTGGAAGCCAAATGTCTGACTCAGCTTCCGGCTGAGTGTAGGAAGCTCCTTGGTTTTCGAATGGTTCCGAAGGGACTCCTGGAACAGATTAAACTTGACAACCAAGGTACCACTGTACTGGTAATATAAGAATTAGGAATTCAAGGTGTCTATTTTTTATTTTAATAATGTTGCAGTGTTTTGCTTTTAGTTAGAATACATGAAAGAAAAGGTTTTCTTTCTGCGCGAGGGTTTTGTGGGCCTGCATTTCACAACCCTATGCTCTTTAGGTCATAAGCAAGAAATCTTATCTAGCCCTGTGAGCCCTGAGAGTGGCACAAACACAAGGTCCCCCAGGATGTTATTCTAAGTCTACCACGTGTTAATCAAAAATCCTTGAAGTTTCCTGAAAGATAGAAGGAGGAACGTCAATAGAGACGGATCATGAGCTAGGTTGTCAGGGTAATGTGTGACGTCCAAAACCTAAAATGGTCAAATGACCTAGGCATTTCTGGTCACCACAAGGTAATTAGGGGGTGAAGCTGATGGAATGGAGCCATATGTGTTTTGCTTTTCATGACCTGTAACCCTTCCTGACATAGGTTTGAAAATGTTTAGATGTTTTATGATTCTTTGCTTGCTGTGTTTGAACTACTATATAAGGTTTTGTTCTGATGTGCCTTGGGACAGACCTTTTTAACTGGCTCTGTCCTAAACACTGGGTCCCTCCTGGATGATGGACTTGAATTAGTTTTCTTGGTTCCATGGTTTATTTAAAAGGTGGTACCTCACCTGTGTTATGAACAAGGTGGTGTAGAAGTGAATTCTTACCACACTGGGAAAGCCTAAGACCTTTGATAGCCCCTGCCAGTCAGTATAGACTAGACAGACCAATGGTTTGACTCAGTATAAGACACTGTTAAATTAAAGAACCTTTTAATGAGGGTGAAAGGCTAAGGCTTACATACACCTCCATTTGCCCTCCGACTTCCCCCCAAGGAAACCTGATCTCTAGCTCTGAATCGGAACAAAGGGCAATGGGGTTTCCTGTTTGTTTCAGTCTAGCACTAAACAAGGGAAAGTGGAAGAGCAAAGGGAAAACCACTCGGACCTGTGCCTAGAGAGTCCACTTGGGATAAGCAGAAGTGTGGACGAGCCCTAAGTCATGGTTTGGCTAAGTGTTGTATCCAAGCCTGTGGTTTGTCTTGCGCCAGACAGATCACAAGCTAGGACCAAGGTTTGTTCTATGGCATATCACTTGTGGTTTGTTAGTTTGGGGGAGAAAAATGATGACTCCAGCCGGCCTCAGGAAGTGTGGCAACTGTAGCACTGGGGGTGGGGGGAAGAAGTTGCAATCTTTACTCTGGGAACTTGCCTGTTTGCTAGTGCTAAGCCCATCATTGCTTTGCTTCCATTCTCATTTGGGAGTAGGCCATTTTTATTTTGAAATTTATTCCAAGCCAAGTATCACTTTGATTTTTCAGTGTAGGAGGCAGAAAATATCTGAGACTCCCAGCACTGCAGGCAGGGGGCAGGTGTGTGTGTGTGTGTGCATGCACTATGCGGTGATGCTAATCTCTACATGTGGGACAGATTGAGGCAAGCTGGTGCTTTTTGGGGAGGGTTCTCTTACCCCTCCTCCTCTTTGCTTGATAAAGAGCCTTGTTTCCATTTGACCTTCTCTGAGGATTCCTCTGCTTCAGCCTGCGGTGATTCACTGTCCCTGCTTTCCTGGGTCTCAGTGTCCTCAGTTTCCTCCTGGGTGTTCTCTTCTTCCGTTCCCTGCTTGGACATCTCCCTCACCCTGCCTTTCCCTGCTTCATCCCATGATGAGGAAGGCTCACTTTCTGCCTTGGACCTTCTCTTTGCCGAGGCTTTTCTTACTTCACGCTGAGGTGATTCACTCTCCGTTTCCTCTTTGGACTTTGTCTGGGCTTTCTCTACTTCATTCTGCAATGCTAGGCCTCCCTTCCTTTCCTTGGACTTCTCTGTCGCCTTGCCTTTCTGTACTTCACCTTGAAATGCTGCACTTTCCGCCTCCTCCTGCTTCTCAGCTAAGAGCTTCCCCAATTCGCCCTGCAGTACATTATCCACTTCTTTCCTGAGTGCCTTCTCCTCTTCTGTTAGCTTCTCTGTACCAGCCTGTAATGTCAATTAGGGGGAGAAATTCATTTCAGTTCACATTTCAAGGCAAACCTTCGTAATCTGCACTTTTTGAAACAATACATGAACTGAAACACAGCCATCCTTCAGAATTTGCACTTCTCCAATTCTTGAATCTCTTTTTTTTGTTTTTGTTTTTGTTTTGCAGGTCCATAGGAACTTACCTCCTCAGTCCCACCCTTCCAAAGGGGGGGGGGCTCAACAAGGAATCTCCCTTTCTTACCCTGGAAGAAGAAGAAGAAGAAGGAGAAGGAGAAGGAGAAGGAGAAGGAGAAGAAGAAGAAGAAGAAGAAGAAGAAGAAGAAGAAGAAGAAGAAGAAGAATCGGCTCTTGGAGATGCTGGGGGTGTTGCTGATTTTTTTGTTTTTTGGGGGGAGACTATGCCACTGCCCCCCTCCCCCTGGGGGAAAAAGAAAGAAAGAAAGAAAGAAAGAAAGAAAGAAAGAAAGAAAGAAAGAAAGAGTTGAAGTTTAAGCTGAAAAATGTGTCCTCTCTCTTTGTTTTTGGTGGTTTACAAACAAAAACAAAAACCTAAACAACTTTGGTTAAAAAGAAAAGAAAGCTCAACAATTTCAGAACTTTGGGGGTGCTGGGAATTTTACTTTTTGAAATATGGCCTATTTTCAGTAGAAGATTTTTTCTTCAAGACGCTTAGGAATAACCTGAATACAATGCTCAAATCAAGTTCTTTTTAAGGGAAAGACAAAAAAAGGAATCAATGCCTAACCCCACCTGTTCCAATTACCTGCTCTGTTGTGCCTGTAGTAGGCTTCTTCGCTTTCCTGCTGCTTCTATCCATTAGGAAGCCTCTTGGGGGTGTGGGGAGAGAAAAAGAGAGCGATGAGGACCTTCCGTTTTGACCCATGCCCATTTCCAGTGGGTTCTGCCATAGGCCTTCATTTCCTTTCTACCAAACATTTTACTTCTGTGGTCCCCTCAATCTGACATGCTTTGCCCAGCCATCTCCCCCAGAGCCCGGTAGTTCACGCACATCAGGGGTGAGCAACCTTTTTGGGCCAGTGGACATTTTGAGAAAGTGCCGTGGGTACCAGTTCCAAAATGGCTGCTCTCTCTATGTAACATAACACAAAATGGCTGCCTTTGGGAGTGTGGCATAATAACCAATTGCCTATTCCTCCTGAGAGACCTCACATGCAACATGGACAGGATTGGGTTGCTTATGGGCAATTCCTCCTCAGTAAATCTACCAAAAGGGAGGAGTGGGCAAAGTCTTTACAAACCCAACGGAGAGGGGTTCTCACATTTCAGATTTATGAGGCCCAGGACCAATCACAAAATGAAGTTGTGGGCCAAAGCCAGCCACAAAATGGCGACAGATGGAGGCAGAGTTTGGCAGAATCTGCAGGCAGTTTACTCACTTCTTTTTTTTACTGACACTAAACTTATCTTTGGGAATTACTAAATTCTTTGCCGTGGCATTTTCCTTGCGGCAAGGAGTTTCGTAGCTCAGTTTCCCTCAGCCTAAGTACAAAAGGTGTTTGGGTTGTTTTTTTTAAAGCTCTTTAGACGCTTTGGGCCCTTTTAAGCTTAAATATTCTTATTGCTGGGAAAACATCTTCACCTCTCTCACCTCCACCCCTGTGGGGTAGAACAGGACTTGAAAAGACTGCCTCTTCTTCTCCAACAAGAAAAAGAACAGGTCCTTTACAATATGGCGAACGCCACACAAGAGAGCCATTCAGCACCATGGCAACAGAGAACAACAGATCCTTCCCGAGTTCCAGTCGTCTTCCTTCCCTCCTTTGCAGTTGCTGGTTTCTATTTTAAATTACACAGGGCTCTTGTTCCTCTCATAGCACCCAAACACAGGTTGTGCGTGCACACTGTGCCTTTAAAGCACATGTGAAGCACATAATTTCTCCCAAATAATTCTGTCCTTTACTCCACACAATTCACGGCAACCTTTTAACAAACTACAGTGCCAAGGATTCTTTCGGGAGGGAGGGAATATGCTTTGAATGTTCTTTAATGGAATAGCGTGTACCCAGAGACACAGAGACATTTCAGGACTTGGAGCAGGCGTTGGTGCCCACCAGGACTTCCTATAGCGCCTGCAAAGGTTTCAGGAAATCGGCCCTAAAAAATCTATAGAACATATTCCTGCTCAATTCCCTGTTGACACAAAGGTCACATTCACACCATACATTTACAGCACTATTACACCACTTTAACTAAGCACAATTCCTGGGATTGTTAAGGTGCTGTAGTAGCAATTTAAATATATGCTGTGCATCAGATCTGACTCACCCTCTCCTATATTGAACACCCCCCCCTTTAAACATGCCAATATTTCATTGCACACCCACCCCTAGCAGGGCTGAGATTGCATACCCTCCAACATTTCTCCGATGAAAATAGGGGTCCCGTTTATAAAATAAAATATAATAATAATAATAATAATAATAACCCCACCCATATGACTGGATGGCCCCAGACACTCTGAGCAGCTTCCAACATATATAAAAGCATAATAAAACATTAAACGTTCAAACAGGGCTGCCTTCAGATGCCTTCTAAAGGTTATATAGTTATTTATCTCCTTGGCTCGGGGGTTGCATAACTCCACACCCTCCAACATTTGTCCAATGAAAATAAGGACGTCCTAAGGAAATGCAGGACATTCCGGGATCAAATCAGAAACCGGGACGGCTTTTGTAAATCCAGGACTGTCTCTGGAAAACAGGGACACTTGGCGGGTCTGGGATTGTCCCCAGCCTAAAATCCTGGTACACAGGAGAAAAGGTAGCTGCCTTAGACCACTGGGTTCATCTAACTGAATATTGCATACACTGCCTGGCAGCAGCTCTGTCAAGTTTCAAACAGGGAGTCTGTTCTAGCCCTACCTGGAGATGCTGGGGATTGAACCTGGGATCCTCTGGCCTGCAAAGCAGATGCTCTCCCACTGAACTACAGCACATCCAATGTAGTGAACCACAACCAGAGCATGTAAATAGTGCAATATTTCCAATGGAAACAGGATGAGGCAATTGCACTTCCTGTCCTACCCACCACAACTGTCCCCATCAATACAAAAATTATTATTTCTCAGTTCCCTTTCAGAAAGCGTGCTTTGCTCTCTCTGCTGCCCCTGTAATGCCTGGCTGGCATCCCAGATGTTGGGGTTTTTTTTGGTTTTTTGCATTACCTGGAAATTTCACTTAATCACCATCCTCCTTCTCTTTCCCACCCTTTTTGCAGATCATTAGAAAATCTATTAAATAGAACACGTGGCCCATTATATGCCCTTAGGGAATTCTGTTATTTCTTTCTCTCAGCTACATTTTGAGTCATCTCCCTCAACCCGCCTGAACTTGAAAATTAAGAGAGGACTCTGCGCACCAGAAATACACAAGAATGTTTTAAGTGTTGTGTAAAGTGCATTATGGGACACGGGTGGCGCTGTGGGTTAAACCACAGAGCCTAGGACTTGCCAATCAGAAGGTCAGCGGTTCGAATCCTCGCGATGGGGTGAGCTCCCGTTGCTCGGTCCCTGCTCCTGCCAACCTAGCAGTTCGAAAGCACGTCAAAGTGCAAGTAGATAAATAGGTATCACTCCGGCAGGAAGGTAAACGGTGTTTCCGTGCGCTGCTCTGGTTCGCCAGAAGCAGCTTAGTCATGCTGGCCACATGACCCGGAAGCTGTACGCCGGCTCCCTCGGCCAATAAAGCAAGATGAGCGCCGCAACCCCAGAGTCGGTCACGACTGGACCTAATGGTCAGGGGTCCCTTTACCTTTTAAAGGGCATTATACAAATGTGACACTAGCTGGCGATGGTGAGCTATGGCAAATTCAATATATTTTTTTCAAAACTTTTTTTTTTAAAAAAAGCATTTTCACAATGTTTTTTTATATGTGCCTAGATTCCATCAAGGCCTCAGATTCCTATACCTTACCATAAACGGTCAGGCGGCATTGCGGCTGGGCCACGGCCATGTCACCAATCCAGAGACTGGCTGGGGAGGACTGCATGCCTGCCTGTGGATTGGCCAGTGGCAGGCAGCCCTGTGAATGGGGATTCCCCAGAGTGTGGGACCAACAGGCCGATGAGCATCACTTTGGTGGGGTGGGGGGAATTGAGGCCGGCCCAGCACTAACCCCCAAATAGCAACAGCCTGGAAGCGCTATCAGTTATATAAGGCTAGTTGGAGCAAATGCAAACTTTCTTACAATTCCTTCTTTCTTGCATTCCACCTAGGGAAGCTTTTTGGCCCAGTGGACCAGATCTGTCTCCCCCCACTTCGCAGGCCAACTTAAGACAGGTGGGTGTAGGCCTGGTGTTACCTGGTGACATCAGCTGATGGACATACAGGTATGGTTTAGTTGGCCAAGACGGACCCACAGGACAGAGGTTCCCCACCACTGCTGTAATTTAACACGGAGACGTGTCTCTTTGTGATTAATACAAACAAACAACACAGACACACACATGCTTCTCGTGTAGTTTTGGTTTTAATTTCTGGAAGACCAGACCAATAAATAAATAAATAAATAAATAAATAAATAAAATGCTTCCAATATACAGAGTCAAGAACAGGCACATTTGTGAAGTGAAAGATGGAAGACGGGGAGAGATGAGGGTAGCCTCCTCCCACACTCTCTTCTCTGTAGCTTGGGGTGGCTGCAGAACCTTGCCCCATGTAACAAAACAGCCCTTGGAGGAAGCCCAACCAAGAGGGAGCTCCCATAGGGTTCACACACTCCCAAATTTTACTATACCTCTCCAACATTACTGGATTGCAGGGAGGGTTGGATAGGGACACCCCCAATGCAGTTGTTAGCATATTTTAGGCAATCACACCCCACAACAACCTTCCCAGACACCCCATGGTAGGGATAGGCAAATCTGTCAATTCTTGCTTCCCTCAGTTTCTTATTTTTTCCAATCTTAAGTTCAGTTATTCACATTTCTACATCCATTTGCATCTGCTTAAAAAATAAGAAAGAAAAAAGTCTTCATGACAACTCATTGCCATTTGAGTGTGAATTTCTCCTAACAGACACATTTTTACAAAGCAGTTTCCTCCAAACAAAATGCATTTTTTGCACTTTATTTTCAGCACTATAAGCATTTTTGCACATACTTTACCCCAAATTACGCATTTTTCTACACATTACTTGGCTGGAGAACTGCAGTGCAAAACGCAGAGGAGAGCGAATCTCCAAAGAGGGTTGTGTTTTTTAAGTTTCAGGAAATTCCAGTTTGGGAGGTTGGCCTCTAGATGTGAACTAAACCAAATTTCTCCTCTGTCCCTACACCAAAGCAGGGGAGGAAAGGTGCAAAAGTTTGTGACAAACTTTCAGCAAGTGTACAGGTGCAATACTATCATGGGTTCCCCACCCCCATCCTGGGAATTGTAGTTTGTCAAGGGCACTGAGGCTTCTCAATCATGGCGACATCTGTTCAGACATCTACTCTGTTAAAAGCCCAATGCTAACATAATTTCCTGGGGGAAAGGGAACAACAGCTATGAAACTCATTCACACTTTGTGTGGCTATTCGCCTAATTTCGACTCACAAGGCAGGAGGAGTTTTGTGCGTGTGTGCTTGGGGACAGGGATGATCAGGAGAGCATGCAACAGGAAGTAGACCTGGTGCTTGGAGCCAGAGTGGATGGGAGAGATTCTGACCTGTCCACCCACTCACAAGGTGCAGTTCTGGAAGATTAAAGGAGGACAACCATAACAGGCACACAGGTTGAGATGAGGCTTCCAGTGATGCTCGGGGAACAGAAGTATAATCCTGCTGCCAGGAGGAAGGCTGAATTGGGGAGCACCATGCGGAGAGGAGAGCGGTGATGCCAGGTTTTGTCCCACTGGAAGCAAGAGACTGTGTTGGCACAGCAAAGAGGGTGGCGTTCCTAGTGTCTATGGAAACGGGGACAGAGCCCAGTTGGCAGCATAGAATGGGATACCGCAGTGCAGAGGGTTTGTGCCAGGGCACACAAAAAGGCGGGCACTTAGCACCTCACGGAAACAAAAGCCGAGACGCTTTGGGTTTCACTCTGCTGGGCACAGGAGGAGAGGAACAAAGAGAACTGCACCAATAGGTCGGAAACTTGCTCCAAGACAGGCTTGGGCCTAGCCCTAGCCTTAGACAGGTTCACCTTTGTCCTGGGTCAGGCTCAGCAGGACCATGGGCAATCCTGGCGGCTGGCCCGTGTTGGCACGGTGCCGTGCCCGAGGGCGCATGCGGCGGGGCAACCTGGCAGAAGGCGGCCCTCCATCGCTCAGCGCATCTGAACTCTCGTCAATGAAGGCCAGGTTTTCACCCGCGTAGTCTATAGGCCGCAGCTGGGCCACACGCTGTGCAGTACCTGGAGATGGGCGCGGGGATGGCAGTGGTGGTGGCAGCAGCGGGGGTGGTAAAGGTGGCAGTTGTGTTGGCAATTGCTGCTGCGGTGGCAATTGCTGCTGCGGTGGCAATTGCTGCTGTGGTGGCAATTGCTGTTGCGGAAGTAGCAATGGCGGCAATACCTCTTGGCTGTCCCCCTGCTGCAACATGGCCGAAGGCGACAGCGGCTTCCCTTTCAAGGTGCCCACTCTGTGCAGCTTGTCTGGAAACGCCATGTTTGGGACACGGAGCTGGGAGGCCACGTTGCCCGTCCAGGAGGCAGCGTGCGCAGTCAAGTCTCCCATCTGTAGGGAAATAGGAAGGGGGAGATGTAGTTATAACAGAAAATTCCAAAATCCATATTGGGGGAATGCCTTTTATTCAGTCAAGCAAAAGGTCAGAAAGTAGAAAGGTGGGGAGAAAAACCAATTAGATGCCACTTAGGAACATGCAAGAACTTCTATGCTAAAAGATCTATCTAGTATAGCATGTTATTTCCCCTAATGCAATATCCCCTAATGCAAGACATTTGCATGTTACTGTCGTGGATATATTCATTTATATGCACACATTTTTATATGCATTTTTGTAAACACTGGTTGGAGAGCTGCGTTGCTAATTTCGGATAAATGCAAATTCTAAAGGACTATAATGGATATAGGAACACAGGGCTCTGTCTCTGAGTCACACCAACAGCTTAGTATTGCATACCTTCCAACATGACTCAGATGAAAATAGGGACATTTCTCATTCCCCCCGCAACTGATCCTCCCCAACCCCCCCGTGTGTGTGTGTGTGTGTTTGTGTGTCCCCAGCAGAGCATTTCATATCAGAAGGGCGAGTGCCGCCACCGCCACACCAATGGGACCCAGCACACACGCCCACCACCATCCTGAGAAAAACCCTTAATCCTGGTTTTTTAAAACATTATTCTTTAGCAGATTTATAAACAGGGAAACACACATCAATAAATAAATTTTGGGAAATGGCAAGATTAGATGCGGATGCACAAAGCATTTTTTAAAAAAATCAAGACTCCTTGTGCTCTGCTCGGCTCCCCCTTTCTTCCCACCCAGGGCAGCCCTGCCCCCTGTCTGCCCCTCAGAGCCGGCACATCACAAGGAGCTGGGCCTTGGTGACTGCAGCCTCTCCTTCTCCTTGCCCAAGGCCAGCAGTGGCAGCCATGGAGAGGCAATGGGATGCCACCGCCATCTCTCGGGACAAGTGCTGGCTCATCCTCTCCCCTGAGCTAGGCAGTGGTGCCGCTGGCGGAGGAAATAGGGACATTCCAGGATCAAATTAGAAGCTGGGATGGCTTTTGTAATTCCAATACTGCCCCTGGAAAATAGGGACACTTAGAGGGTATGGTATTGTCTACATCAAGCGTGGGGAACCTTTGGCTCTCCAGATGTTGCTGAACTACAGTTCCCAGAAGCGCCACTACGCCTGGTCAATGGCTAGTTGCAATTCAGCAACAGCTGGTGGACCCAAGGTTTCCCACACCTGATGTACACTGACTGGCTGTGGCGCTACAGGATTTCAGATCGGGAGTCTCTCCCAGGCCTATCTGGAGCTGTTGGCAATTGAACCCAGGACCTTCTGCATTGAAGGCAAGTGCTCGACTCCTGAGCTGCAAGGATCCTTGCGTTTTGGTTCTCAGCGCTTGACTCCTAGTGCTTGAATCTCTCCTGCAAAATATTGATGCTCCAGAGGCAACTTTCAGCAGTCGTTTTGTGCAGCTGATTTTCACGTCTACCCCTCTGAGGCTGCATGAGGAATTATTTCTTTTTGTTTGCCCTCAGCTGACTGCTGACATGCCTATCGTGTGTGATGCCCTGCTACACCCATTGCATCCCTGTTGAGGCAGTTCCCCCTCGCACCCATGCTCAACAAGGCCAGCCACAACTTGGGTAAGGTAGGAAATTGTGCTGAGCAGCAGTTAAGGGGCTACTGCATTCCCTGCCTTGCAAACCGCTTCACCACCAAATAAAATCGAGACCCGCTGCAAACATGTACATATTTCTCCTTAACCACCTCCTATTTCCCTTCACTGTGCCTGGTCCTGTTTCCAGGCGGGTGGGTGCAAAATGCCACCAATCATTTCCAGCTGTTTTTATTGCCTTTCGTCTGAACGCCAGGGTCAGCGAGAAAGAAATGGCTTTCAATTAGGCAAGCCGCTTAATGAGTTTATGTGCAAAATTGATGCCATCTGCTTTTTTAATTGGCAAAAGGGGAAATGCTTCAAAACTCGGAGGCTGCAGATTCTCGCCTTCACTTTGAGTTATTATAGAGCACCACCAGCACAAGGAGTTTGGGGGTGGGGATGAGGAGCACTGTAGGAACAAGGCCCCCCAATTTTTGTTTATTTGTTTGTTTGCTTGCCAGCTGTTAACAGTGGCTTGATCTGCAGACTTCTGCCTTCCCACTTCCTAGACGCCTTGCTCAAGTTGCAATTTGAAAGGCAATAGAGGAGGCCAGGTTTGCTCCAGACGAAACACAGGCTGCAAACTAGGAGCATGGGACTTTTTTCAGCTCAAGGGCCACATTCCCTTCTGGGCAACCTTCTGGGGGCCACATGCCACTGGTGGGCAGCACCAGAAGTCAAAGTGAGTCATGGATGTAAATTTTGCTTTGCTCTACCTTCCACACACATTAAAGCGAGGCAACTAAGAGGCATGAACAGAGTTTAAGGAAACATTCCAGCCAGGCAAAAACCCTAAAGGAGGATGAGTCCCAAGGGCCAGATAGAAAAGGCTGGAGGGCCACATTAGATCCCCAGACCTGAGGTTCCCAACCCTAAAACAAACCTTGGTTGCTGCTCAGGAGTTGGCCTGGACTGGAGAGAGACAAATCATGAGGCTAGATTTGGACAACAACCTTGGCTTAGCTCACAATAGCACAGCAGGAGGAGAACCAGAGTAGGGGAGGAGCACAGCAGTCAGGATATCCTCTCGATTGTGGAACCATGCTAGGCCACGGTTTGGGTTAGTGTTCTGTACAAACTGGGCCAATACTGGTCTATACAAACAAACAGCCTTTGACCTAAGATCTAAGGATATATTGTCTGCGTCAGAGGTTACACCATTGGCTTTTGGGAGTTGTGGACTTAACAAGAGAACCTGGAGGCAAAGAGGGAAGATGTGTCAGAAGGAAAATGAATGGATATTGATTTGTATATATTAGTAACTTTGTATTAATGTAACCTTTTTACAAGTAGCAGTGTGTTTTTGTAATATTTTGTTTGTCTGTCGTTGCTTCCATTTTTTGTACACTGCTTAAAGATATTTCTAATATATTAAGCAGTATAGAAATTAAATAGTCAGTCAGTCATCATCACACTACTATAACAGGTAAATACAGGGAGAAGATTGGCAGGGTTGCCAGACCTCCAGGTCTGACCTGAAGTCTCCAGGTTTGCCTGGCCCCTCCAGGTTGCAGTTGGAGGGCTTGAATCTTCAGGTGAGATAGAGTAATAATAATAATAATAATAATAATAGGAGGAGGAGGAGGGTGTCCACTCTCATTCTCTTCCAACAAACCTCTATCTGCAGGTCCTGCCCTGTGACATCACCAGGACCCTCTCCTAGGTCTTGAAATCTCAGGGTCTGGGATGCTCCTGACCTGGAAACCCTAATAATGGGAGTTGTGGAGGACATGGAGATGATACAATGGGCCTATCAAGTGCACTTGAAGTGTCCTCACCTCAGCCCTCGTGCGCCGGGACAACACCCTCAACCAGTTGCCAATCATAGTCAGGATGGAGGCAAAGTAGGCCAAGCCCAGCAGAATCCAGACCACCACCAATGGCTGGTACCACAGGTATTCTTCGCTTTTCGTATCACCTGGAAGGAGCAAAGTTTAAGGCAAGACAATTTGTGATGAGCACTCCCAACACCACCAAAACCAGTTACTCTCCACCTTAGTACAGAGGAAGGAAGAGAGAGGTGAGGAGGTGGTCCAAAGAGACTTGACTGAATCACCTTGCTGAAGCTAAGATCATGTATGGTCGATGCCTGGATGAAAGGCTGTCAGGAAAACCCAACGAAGTTCTCAATTGGAATAGACCAATAGGGTGGCATTTTGTACTAGGTCTTAGGCCACATCCACTCCAAACATTTAAAGCACTTTAAACAGTCCTGGCTTTCCTCAAATATTCTGGGAAACAATAGTTTGTTATGGGCACTGAGAGGAGACCCTTACGGGCACTGAGAGGAGACAGAGCTTCAGTTCCCAGAGTTCCCTGGGAAGAGGGGTTGATTGTGCTCCGGGAACCACTCTCAGGGTCAGAAAGGGGAATCCCAATGCACCCCACCCCACTGGGCTCACCCCCTTCATTTCGCCCCACAACACCCACCTGCCACATAGTCGCCAAATCCAATGGTGGTCAGTGTGACAACCACAAAGTAGACGCTCTCTAAAAGGGTCCATCCTTCCACCCTCTGGAAGATGATGGTCGGCAGGGAGACGAAGAGGAGGCAGCCAATGAGGATGAAGAGCAAGGCCGAGAGGACCCTCACAATGGTAGCACTGACCTGCCACTTCTGCAGAGAATAGGAGGGAACAGGATGGAAGAGAGGTCAATGTTGAAAAAGCCAACAGCTGATCCACGAGGCAGCCAACTCCTATAAGTGCATTTCTTCCAATCGGCCTGTCTAGACTATAGACTGCCAACATGCTGCCCTGCAAACACACAGGGGGCATTCTTGGTGCCCACAAGGTCCCCTTCTCCCTGATGAAATTGGGGAAGGCAAGCATTATACTGCAGTCAACAAAACAGGCTGTGGTGTGTGTGTGTCTGTGTGAAATGCCCATAACTGTTTCTCCAGTTTGCAAATGTGTCCTAACAGGACTCAAAAAAAGTTGGGGGGAAGTTCACAGAAGGGCACTGGCGCCAGCAAAACAGGACTTTGCAAGCACACCACCTGAGTCCTGCACAGTAGAATGAGCAGGTAAAGGTAAAGGGACCCCTGACCATTAGGTCCAGTCATGGCCGACTCTGGGGTTGCGGCACTCATCTCGCTTTATTGACCGAGGGAGCCGGTGTACAGCTTCCGGGTCATGTGGCCAGCATGACTAAGCTGGTTCTGGCAAACCAGAGCAGTGCACGGAAACGCTGTTTACCTTCCCGCTGGAGCGGTACCTATTTATCTACTTGCACTTTGACGTGCTTTCGAACTGCTAGGTTGGCAGGAGCAGGGACCGAGCAACGGGAGCTCACCCCGTGGCGGGGATTCAAACCGCCGACCTTCTGATCGGCAAGCCCTAGGTTCTGTGGTTTAACCCACAGCGCCACCCGCAAGAATGAGCAGGAGGTCCCTGCAAACAAAGGTGGGCAGAGAAATGTACAAGTGGTGTTGGAAAGGCTGGAGAGAAGCTGCCCTCCAGGCGAAGGTTTTGCTCACCAAGAAAATGTCCTCCACTTTGCCAATGGCTTTCCGGAGAGACGATCCCAAATGGTCCCCGACTCCTGCCAGCAGCATGCCAAAGAGAGGAATCCCCACGAGGGCATAGAAGATACAGAAAAGCCGGCCAGGGTCAGTCTTGGGGGAGATGTTCCCAAACCCTGTTAGGGCAGGAGAAGAGAGAGAGGCAGAGACAGAGTCAGCAGAAAAGAGAAAGTGCTCCTCAATATTGATCCAGACTCTGTTCTAACCCTCTGGCTCAGACTACTCCAAGCAGGCACCCTCCAAATGTTATGGACTACAGTTACTATCAACTCCAGGGAACAAAGCTGCAATAGGCACATGGTCTTATTGTACAAATGAAGGAATTAGGTTCCTGGCTTTTTTTAAAGCAAGTTTCTAGTCTTTACGAATGCGAAAACAGCCCTGAAAGTATGTGGGCCACTGAAGACACAGATGCTTAAAAAGGCAATTTTTATATTTGGATATTAATTCTGTTTTTGGTTTTTAAAAAGCAAGTTTGTAGTCCTCAAGGTTGTGAAAACAGGCCTGAATGTGTGTGTGCAATGTCTTAAAAATACCTTTCCTTGCTTTGACATCTGGATGTTTTATTAATTCTGACGGCTGTTCTGAAACTGTCGTCGTGGTTTGGGATATTTCTTTTCTGCTAATACTTTGAGTACCGCAGATTTGACTGAACTGTGGATTGTTTTATATTATTATTACTGGTTTTTGTTAGCTGCTTATAATTTCTTCTGGAAGATCGGACAGGATATGTTTTTTTTAAAGAAGTAAATACACAACAAACAAAACTGAGAGGTTTTCCCACCACCACCCAATGAATCTAATTGGCAGCAGATTTAGGACAGACAAAAGAAAATACACCTGTACCAAAACATACCACTAACTTATGGAATTCACTGCCGCAAGATTAGACAGATTTAAAAGGGGGTTAGACGAATTCACGGAGGTGATTGTTTAGTCATGAAAAAAGAAACAGAGCTTCTCAGTTCAGAAGCAGTCTACCTCTTGCCAGGCAGCAAGAACAGGAAGAGGACCAATGCACTCCTGTCCTGTTTGGGGGGCTTCCCACAGGCATCTAGTTGGCCATGGTGAGAACAGGGTGTTGGACTAGATGGGTCTTGCATCCTTAATACTCTGTGGGGTAAGAAAGATGCACTCTTCATATCCTCAGAAGAAACCTTTGCTTCTTTACTCTTACCCTTGTCATGGTTCCAGGAACGAGGCCTGGATCAAAACAGAATGTTGCACAAGGATGTACACACACAAAATCCAACCCCCTTGTTCCATTTCTTCTTCCTTAATTTTTGGAGAAATGCCTGGATCAGCTTCTGTCCCAATCCTGCAGACTCCAGCAAAAATAAGCAAAGCCTCTTAGCTTCTTTGCTCAGCCCCAGGTTGTAAATCCTTTGTGTGGCTCCCTGGCACCGTCTTGAAGCTGCAGCCAGCTGGCTGCATTGATCACCCTGATATACCCACTCCTAAGTCAGTTATGCAGGAGGCAGCTATACACACAGCCAGACCGGGGTCCATCTAATTCGGGCACGTCCAACTCCCAAGAGACTGCAATCTACTCACAGTATAAACAGACTGGCTGTGGGGCTCAAACTCATGACCCTGAGATTAAAAGTTGCATGCTGTACCAACTGCGCTATCTCAGATAACCAACAGCACCTGGAAAGTCCACAGGTTCCACCTTCCCACTTTACACCTTGGTAAGCACATTACCTGTCAACCTAGCAACCTAGCAGTTCGAAAGCACGCCAAAGTGCAAGTAGATAAATAGGTACCACTCCGGCGGGAAGGTAAACGGCGTTTCCGTGTGCTGCTCTGGTTTGCCAGAAGCAGCTTAGTCATGCTGGCCACATGACCCGGAAGCTGTACGCCGGCTCCCTCGGCCGATAAAGCGAGATGAGCGCCGCAACCCCAGAGTCGGCCACGACTGGACCTAATGGTCAGGGGTCCCTTTACCTTTACCTAAGTACATTTAACATGTGATCCCTGATTGGTTGGGACATGTACCTAGCATGGGGAACCTGTGGCCCTCCAGATGTTGGGCTATGACTTCTGTCTCTGCGAGAGATTTGCAAAAACACTCTGAGTGCAAAATAACACTTGGATCCATGCTGAACCAGGTGCCACAATTGGTTCAGGCTCCTTGAAGGGCCCTGGACCATTCATGAATTATACCTTATGGGGTCAGCTTCAGCTGTTTCAACCTGAGGATGTGGACCAGGTGATTATGGCCATGAGGCCAACAGCATCCCTGCCCATAATGACTGCCAAATCTAGCAGGAGGGGATTGATTGGATAGATTCAATGGATGAGGCAATGCTGTGCCACTGGAAGGAGTTATGCCTTCTGCCTTGAAAGAGGCGGTGGTGAGGCTCCTCCTAAAGAGGTCCTCCCTAGATGCAGATATTTTGGAAAACTATAATATTACAGTGGTACCTCGGGTTAAGAACTTAATTCGTTCTGGAGGTCCGTTCTTAACCTGAAACTGTTCTTAACCTGAGGTACCACTTTAGCTAATGGGGCCTCCCGCTGTTGCCGCTCCGCTGGCATGCGATTTCTGTTCTCATCCTGAGGTAAAGTTCTTAACCCGAGGTACTATTTCTGGGTTAGCAAAGTCTGTAACCTGAAGCGTCTGTAACCCAATGTACCGCTGTACTTTCCTGGGCAAGGTGGCTGAGGGTGGTAAAGGTAAAAAAGGTAAAGGACCCCTGGACGGCGCTCTTCTTGCTTTCAGGCCGAGGGAGCCAGCGTTTGTCCACAAACAGCTTTCCGGGTCATGTGGCCAGCATGACAAAACCGCTACTGGCCCAACGGAACACTGTGATGGAAACCAGAGCGCATGGTAACGCTGTTTACCTTCCCGCCACAGCGGCGTGCTTTCAAACTGCTAGGTTGGCAGGAGCTGGGACAGAGCAACAGGAGCTCATTCTGTCGCACGGATTCGAACCGCCAACTTTCCGATCGGCAAGGCCAAGAAGCTCGGTGGTTTAGACCACAGCGCCACCCACGTTACCTCTGAGGGTGGTGGTGGCAAATCAGCAGTAGGTATGCCTAGATGAAACAGATTATCAAATCCAGGGCTCAATACTGGGCCATGGCCTGACCTACGGTGGGGCGCAGCAGCAGCACTACCACCATAGAGATAAATGGCAAAAACCTCTTTTTTAAAAATTAAGACATGGGTGTCTAAATGCACGCAGGTGGCTCCCAGGACAGGCAGGAGCTTTCGATAGTCTTTCAGACCTGATAATACCAGGGACTGAACCTGGGCCTTTTTGCATTCAAGGCCATAGCTGTCAATGTTCTCCTTTTTTTAAGGGAAATTCCCTTATTCCGAATAGGATTCCACACAAGAAAAGGGAAAAGTTGACAGCTATGTGCAAGGCACGTGCTCCAAACACTGCGCCACAGCCCTTGCCAGGCTTCTCTGTAGCAAAGCAAGGAAGACAGCCACCCCTTCCCTCTGTCTCCTCCCCATCAGGCCCCAGATACCGATGGTGGTGATCACGGTGCCAGCGAAGAAGAAAGCGCTGCCCATATCCCAGTGCGAGCTGTTGGCGTTTGTGCTGTTGATGGCAGGCTCCACTCCGACGCCCATGGCATCGCCCACTTGCTGAGAGGAAGGGCACAGGAAAAGGTTAGGACCAAGCCACTGAGGGCCCAGGATTCCAGCGCAGCCGTAACCCCAGAGCACTGAGCCAGGCCCCTTCACCCACATGGAAGCAGCCTTACACAGAGTCAGATCACTGATCCATCTAGCTCAGTACTGCCTACACTGGCTGGCAGTGGCTCCTCAGGGTTTCGGGCAGAGTACATTCGCAGCCCTACCTGGAGACACCATCAGGGATTGAACCCAGGGGTTTTTATTTTTATTTGCATGCAAGGCAGGTGCACTGAGCTACTGCCAGGAACGAGCCAGCAGCAAATCAAAAGGAGTACGTAAAGTTAACTCTTTATTAGAAAGAAAAAACAGCATCTGCACAAGAGTGCTAGGCCTAATGAGCACAGCAACTCGTCCTGGTAAATCTTGCCCCTAATGAGGCAGTTGTAGAGACGGAAGGAGTCCTCGCCTTCCCACAGCTGCCTAAGTGCCTTCCTCTCCTGGGTTTTCCCCAAGCAATCTGAGACTGCGCCTGTGTGTCTGCCTCTGCTCCTCCCACTTCGTGCCTCTCTGGATTCCGGGAGACCAGCGGGGAGGGGAGCATGTCGCAGCAGGAGGGGGAGACCCCTGTGACTCTTCAGCAGCCTGACTCATCTCTGCCTCTCAACCTGCCTCATCCCACTCTCCTGCTTCCGACTTTGAGCAGTTCTCTGTCACAGACTCTCCCACCTCACTAAGCTCCGTTACCCCTTCAGCTTCTGACATTGCCTCCTCCCAGTCTGCTCCCTGTGGCCACTTATCATCGTCCTACCACTAGGGCTGGGCAATATATCAAAATACAGTGGTACCTCAGGGTAAGAACTTAATTTGTTCTGGAGGTCTGTTGTTAACCTGAAACTGTTCTTAACCTGAAGCACCATTTTAGCCAATGGGGCCTCCTGCTGCCGCCGAGCCGCCAAAGCACAATTTCTGTTCTCATCCTGAAGCAAAGTTCTTAACCTGAAGCACTATTTCGGGGTTAGCGGCGTCTGTAACCTGAAGCGTATGTAACCCAAGGTACCACTGTATCGTTCAAAACCGGTTTGGTATTCCATATTGTGATATCGGTTACATCATTTCAACCTGGCAGTATATCACGAATCATAGTGTGTGTGTGTGTGTGTGATATAGTCAAACCTCGGTTCTCTGTTGTCGTATGTTTCGGCTCCTGAACACCAAAAACCCAGAGGTAAATGTTCCAGTTTTCAAACGTTTTTCAGAACCCGAATGTCTGACGTGGGTCCCGCTTGAGTGCAAGAAGCTCTTGCAGCCAATCAGAAGCTGCACCTTGGTTGTCAAACGTTTCGGAAGACGAATGGTCTTTTGGAACGGATTAAGTTTGACAACCAAGGTTAGACTGTATAAAAATCAGAATGTGGGAAAAACCGTGAAGCCGGCCAACGCTTCTCTTGATTCCTGCAGCCCCCATTAACTCTACCAACTCAGCTCTCCCCTGCCTTCTTGCAGGGGGCAGAGAATCAAGTGCTGGCAAAAATTAGGATGCAGGAAAAACCGTGAAGCCGGCTAATGCCTCTACATAGCTCCATCCTTATTTCGGACATTGTGATATATTGCTATATCACAATATTTAGCTGGTGATATATCACAATGTCGAAAACAAGGTATCGCCCAGCCCTACCCACCCACAACTGCCGGGCTCTGAGCCTTCTTCCTATGGCAGTTTCCCAGCTGGTTCCCCCCACCATTCCTCTGGGTCCAACCAGTCCCTGAGCCCTGTTCTCCCCCAGCCCTTTGGCCTCCAGCTCTCACCTGGATGAGGTCCTCAAGGTCCTCAGCGGCTACACATTGGTGTAGCTTTAAGAACTGCTCCAGGTAGGCTTGGATCTTCCCCTGCTGGTGGATCTCATAGGGCTGCTCCAGTTGGCGAAAGACGAAGGCACCTGTGACCAGGTAAATGAGGACCACGGAGAAGAGGGCCAAAACGGTGGTCCGGCGCATCACAGTGTTGCGCTCCTGCGGCCGTGGGCTCAAGATAGACTCCTTGGATGGGTAGCAGACTACGGGCATAGAGCCATGATGGTCGGGGGGGCAAATGGCGGGGGGTAAAGGCGGCGGCGGATAATTCACTGGGGGGGTGTACAAAAGAAGAAGAAGACAGGGTGAGTCCACCTTGCTCCACCCCAAAATCCCCAGTCCCCACCATGCCTTAAAGTCTCAGGATCGCCCCCTTGAGGACTGACAAAAAGGGCGTACTTCTTCACACTGTTAACCTCTGGAACCTCCTGCCACTAGCTAGGACAGCTTGCGGGAGGAAAGGAGGAGACAAGTCCATGGAATATGGGTCTGTTGCTAATCCCTAGAACTCATAGTTGCTAGCTCTGAAAAGGAGACACATTCGCAGAGGACGGGTTTGCTGTTAGCCTCTGGAACTTCCTGCCACTAGTTTGAACCCCTTTTGGAAAAAGGAAGCACAGACAAATTCAGCAGCAGGGGAACTGTTCTGCCGACTAATCACAAAGAGGGGAGGGGTCTTGGGGGTCTAGTCGTCGCCCCCTGCTGCTCAAGGCAGGATCTGCGATGCAGGATGCAGTGACAGCATCTTCTGCATTGATAGCGCCCCCCAGTGGTGGCTGGTGCCCATGAAGCCAGACTTAATCCCCTGGGAACTGTAGTTTGTTAAGGATGCTGAGAAAGATAGTTCTGTGAGGAGTAAGCTACCTGTGATTCTTTTTTTGGGGGGGTTACTTTACATATGCTTTAAATTTATGATGTGCATGCAGTTCAAGACCTCTGGTTTAAGGGCACTCCAAAACCACCTGCTTCCAAAACCACCGGAAGCAGGAAACATGGAATTGTAGAGTTGGAAGGGACCCTGAGTTCAACCCCCTGCAATGCAGGAATATGCAACTGTCCCATATGGGGGATCGAACCTGCAACTTTGTTATCAGCACCGTGCTCTAACCAGCTGAGAGGCAGATCAGATAAGGACTATTGCCTTCATGCCTTGCTGGGCGCATCTGGGTACAGAACACTCCATTAGACGCAGCACTGGTCTGCTCCAGGATGCCAGTGCTTAGAAAGGGAGAGCTGTTCCCTCTCTTCTCCTGTCCCCCAATACAGGCAGGATTTAAAACACATTCTTTCACCCAAAGAATCATGTGAGCCGTAGTTTACCCCTCTCAGAACTAAAATTCCCAGCACCCTTAACAAGCTACAGTTCCCAAGATTCTTTGGGGAAACTGTGTGCTTTAACTGTATGGTGCGTGCACAGCCTAAGTCTAATATCTTCCCAACCCTTTAAATGAGCAGAAACGTGATATTTCTTAACCTTAAAAATATTGACCCAAACAACTTAGCATTGAGCAGTCTCGTCAATAAACGGTACTCTGATTTAAAGAATACAGCAGGGGAACTGCGGCGTTTAAAAACAAGATTGTTCCTGGTCAGAGAACAAAACTTAAAAATTTTCCCCCCCAAAGTGAGCACAGACTCACCCTTATAATCAGTGCCAGATTTACGTATAAACTAAACAAGCTATAGCTTAGGGCCCCACTCTCTTGGGGCCCCCAAGTTTTTTTGAAGAAAAACAAAACCTGGGTGTACATTTCCAAAATATAAGATAAAAAACAAATAAAATAAAACCTACATACAGCAACAGTGTTTTGTGTTGTGTAGGCTCCTATTTGTTACGTGCAAATAGCTTTAAATACCTATTAGGTCCATAAATTACCATATAGCATATATTTAACAAACAAACAAAACGGGGACAATTTGTTGTTGACAAAGGACAGCTGGACATATAAAGGGTCCCATTACCTTCAGTAGCTTAGGGCTTCATCAAACCTAAATCCAGCCCTGCTTATAATGATTCCTTCCATGGGTCTTCTAGTTTAGGGGCTCGTGCAATCCCATAATCTCTTTGCTCAGCTTGTTTCCAGCACCTAGGCTGGGTGGAAGAGTAGAAAATAAAGCACCCACTCCCCAATAATTCACCCCAGGCTATGCTCCCCCACTCAGACTCCACACTTCCCACTTTTCTGTGTGCAGCTGACTGGGAATGGTATGTTCCAGCCCCTCCTAAAATTTCCCTACGGAAGCAACCAATGTGCTATACAGTACTTCAACTCTTCCTCTTCCCCCTATCCCTGCAATAAACCTTGATTTCAAACCTGGAGCAATAAAGTAACACCCCAAATATTGAGTGTTGCAGTCCTGTGCCACTTAACTTGGGAGTAAGTAAGCCACATAGAACCCAACAAAACTTAACTTCCAAGTGGACAGATAAAAAGCTTTGAGACTTTGGGAAATGTTATGTTGCAGTTGTTGTTTTTTAATGGCTGAGTGTAAGAACTGCAGAAGCTGACACTTCCTATTAATGCACACTCATTTTCTAGTTATATTGCAGATCTTAAGCTTTCCCCCCTCCCAAACGGCTGTTTGCAAAACTGCACATCTTACTCCTGATCTATACATGGACACTGCATTAGTTAAGAGTTCTTAAAAAGGAGGAAAGAATGAAATATTGTATTCACAAAACATCAAAAGTCACAGATCCCCCATCCTGCTTGTCTCATACCACCCCCCCCACACCAGGTCCTGTACTGAGGTCCTCATGCCCACTCACTCACTGCTGCTACCCAAAGAAGGGTCAAAGATGGACCGGCAAGATCAGAAAATGCAGAGCTGGAACAAATCAGGGCAGCTCTCCCAAAACTTAGTGCATTTGCAAACTCAGCCCCAGGGATGAAGGTGTCTGGTATTAACATGCCAGGACGGAGGAGAGAGAAAGAGACTCCACCAATCTGTATCTGGGGCACATTTTCTTTCACAGTGGGGAAAATTTCACAGTGATGGGTGCTAGGGGTGGGGGAGCCCTATGACACCCCCCATGCACATTCTTCCCAGTGCCCTCCCCCCCCCCCCAGCATTATACACTCACCTTCAAGGCTACCGATTGTAGTCCTGACATGGTCGCTATACAACTGGGTTGGTCCTTTTATTGCAGAGATTGGGGGGGGGGGTTTCTGTAGCAGCTGGTAGCCCTTCCCAGCACTGCGCTGAGGGTGATGTCTGCGGTGCAGTGGGCCCCCTGCCAACCCCCAAGATCCCAAGGATGGCTCCAATTAAACTGAAGACAATTCAATTATACGCTGCCCTCTCTCCAAGACCCAACTCCCCAGGCACATCCAACCAACCACAGATGGATGCAAAGTGCTTGTGCGGAGTTTGCCAGGGACAAGCACCTCCCCACACCTTTTGGGCAGCTCTCTGTTCCCCAGATCTACCTCTCCCATAGTATAGGTATACTGGAATGGGGGGGGGAGTCACTGAAAACAGGGGAAGGCTGCTTGGTAAGGGCAGCCTACCGGCCACTAGTTGTCGATCAAAGAAAAGGGATTATGTATTTCCAGAGGGGGCAGCAGAAAACAGACTCTCCACTGCCGTTCCTGGAAAAGAGGCATTTGTCCATCCTGCCCGAAGAAGTGCTCTGTGCAATATGGAAGCTTGCTAGGGTAGGCCCACCCTTGGCACAGCGCTGTAGAATAGCAGAGCCACAGAATTGCAGAGTTGGAAGGGACCCCCAACCCCCTGCAATGCAGAAATCAGAGCTCGGACCCCAAACCCTGAGATTAAGAACCTTGTGCTCTACCAACTGCATATCTTTGAGGCATAAGGCCACAGGTGTTGCACTCTATTTTTCCTTCACACAACATTTATACACCCATTGCTGATAACATAGAGCACCTCTGCTATACAGTGGTACCTCGGGTTAAGTACTTAATTTGTTCCGGAGGTCCGTACTTAACCTGAAACTGTTCTTAACCTAAAGCACCACTTTAGCTAATGAGGCCTCCTGCTGCTGCCACTGCACAATTTCTGTTCTCATCCTGAAGCAAAGTTCTTAACCCGATGTACTATTTCTGGGTTAGCAGAGTCTGTAACCTGAAGCGTATGTAACCTGAAGCATATGTAACCCGAGGTACCACTGTACATCCCTTACTCCCATCTCACCATCGCTCTTACATACCTACTCCAGATATCGCTCATTTGCACCCATACAAAACAGGAAGGGCGGCAGCTCAAGGGTAGAGCATCTGCCTTGCATGAAGAAGGTCCCAGGTTCAGTCCCCAAAGTCCCCAGGCAGGGCCATAAAAGACCCCAGTCTGAAACATGGGAGAGAGAATGCTGAACTCAATGGACCAGTGGTGACCAGGTTGTAGCCCACTAGGACTGGTAGGGTGGAAGACTAGGAGCTCAACAGCAGGTGGCGCCAGAGCCTACGATGAGCAGGCCCACCCCCTGCTTGGTTGTAAGTGAAGAGGGCGGGCAGGTAGGAGCTGATTGCAGGCTTAGGTTGATGTCTAGTTAAAATATGGAATCCCTTCCCATAAGCGATAATGATGGCCATCCACTTAAAAGAGGATTAGGCAGATTCATGAAGAACAATAAGACTATCAATGGCTACTGATGGGTATGTTCTCCTTCCACTGTCAAGAGGCAGTATGTGTCTCTGAATTCCCAGCTGCTGGGAATCTCAGGAGAGGAGAGCTGATGTTGCGCTCAGGCCCTGCTTGCAGGCTTGGCAATGGGGCATCTGTTTGGCCACTGTGAGACCAGGATGCTGGGCTAGATGGGCCTTTGGCCTGATCCAGCTGCCAGGCTCTTATTACGTCCTTATGAGTAACAGTGAGGGAAGGCACTTGGGTTTCCTGAAGGAATCTAGTTGGGCGCTGTGAAAACAGGATGCTGGACTCTACAGGCCCTTGGTTGTGTCCAAGTAAGTCCTACTCAGAGTAGCCCCGTTGAAATCAATGCCCACGACTAACTTAAACCCATTGATTCCAGCAGGTCTGCCCTGAGTAGGCCTTCATGGGATGCCACCACATTTCAGATGAATATGTGTGTGGAAAGAAATCGGCGTCTACATGTATTCACAATCTCCATCTGTTGTTGTTCTTTAATCACTATATGGTGTTTCTCCTTTGCTCCCCTCTAGTTAGTTATTTATCCTCCTGAGGACTTGAAGGTGGCATGTGTGGTTCTCCCACACACACAACCTGCCCTTGAGGTAGGTTAGGTTCAGTGACTGAGGCTCTGTGTACCATACATGTAAAGCAACATGGCTTCCTCCCCCAAAGCATCCTGGGGACTGTAGTTTGCCCCTCACAGAACGATCCTTCCCAGAACCCTGCGATTTATATCCCTGTACACTTCTGGCGTCAGGCATGCAACTATCTTTCAACATTTATTTATTTTAAGCACTCGCACTCGCACCCATGCACTTGCTGTCTCTCACACACAAAATTCCTCTCTCCCTCTTTTCACATCCTCTTTGCCAGTTTCAACACACATGCTCTATGTGTGTGTGTGTGAGAGAGAGAGCGCATGCATGTGCATTGATTATGCTTTCATTTCACAGCATATTTGTAGTGTCCCATCCCACTGGTTTCTCCTTACATACACAAATCAGCCTTGCATGTAAACACACATGCACTGACATACGTTCATCACCCTCCCTTGCTCATTTCTCTCTCTCTCTCTCTCTCTCACACACACACACACACAAAATCACACACGCTCACACCTGCCCTGCTTCGAGCACACAGCCTGTTTGTCTTGCCCTCTCACTTTCCCCTAGTGTCTCCCTCCCACGCACACGCTTGCACTGCCCCAGACGCTGTTAAAGGTTCACTATTTCCGACACTTCCTCTCTCACACTCACCCACTTGTGCTGCCCCCCCCCCGGCGCTCCTTTTCCGCCTGCCTCTTTCTCACCCCCCAACCCCATCCCTGCTCCAAGCCCCCAACTTTGCTGACTCAGCCTATGTCAGCCTTGCGCTGCTGCTGCCTCTCCCGCGCGCTCCCTCGCCACCCTGTTTCCACAAGGCACCCCCTTGGCATGTGGCTCCTCTTTCCCGGAAAAAAAGAGGGGGGCGCAAGCATTGCATACGTACCTGGAAGCCGGCAGCCCCACGAAAAGCGACAGGACTTGCTCCCCAGTAAACAACATGCTTCGCAACGGCGGCGCCTCGCTCACACACACTTCCCCGCTGCCTCGCCCGCTGCCCAGCCTCTCGTTCTTCCTTTTTCCGCCTGCGCTGCTTTGCAAAAGCAGGAGAAACCACTCCAGCAGCACAAACCATCCCTGCTTCTGCTTACACACACACACCTTCCAGACAATGCACTGGAGAGCAGCCTCCCCTCCCCACGCACCCCAGGCCTCCCTTTCCCTGCAAAGTGCTAGCGTGCAAGGATGCAAGGTGCTAGGGTGGGGTTGGGGGGTTCAGCGTTCAGCCCTGGGACCCGCCCGAGCATCCCTGCAATTACTCACTCTCGCTCTCTGCAGCAGCAGCAACAGCAGCTCCTCCTCCCTTCCCGATGCTGAGGCTGCCGGCTTGCCCCGGGCAGGTGAAGCCTCCCCGCTCCACCCCACCCCACCGCCAGCCTGCCCCACCTTCACTCACAGCTCGCCCGCCCACCCACCCACCTCCTCCGTGCCCAGGCGGTGCCACTCCGCCACCAGACAGATGGAGCCCCAGCGTAGCCCGGGGAGACGCAGGCGAGGTGCCGTGGGTGGGTGTTAACCCTTTGGGGGGTGGGGGTGGGAAATGGAGCCGGGAGGGAGGGGGTGGTTTGGGGGCAGAGGTTTTCAGGAGGCGAGAGCTGGCTTGCCTTGCCTGGGGAAGCCAGGTGTTCATTGCTAAAGATTTATCACCAAGATAAAAACACAGTTATTCGCAAAGCATTGTGAATAATTGAAGGTGGCAAATTCCAACACCCCCACCTCAAAACCATTTAGGGAATCAAATAGTTTGCTTTTTGGAGAAAAAGGTGGGGAAATCTTAATGGGGAAACACACACTTTTTTATCAGCCCCCTTGGGATGCAGGGTGTCTCGACAGACATGCCAACGCTTTTTTATCTTCTACAGGTTTTTATTTTTAATTGTATTGTTTTACCACTTGGGTTGTTGCTGCTCTGGGCTACTTTGGGAGGAAGGGCAGGATAGAAAATAAAATAAATGGGTGGCTTTTTTGCGGGGGGGGGGGAGGAAAAAAAGAGGTACAGGCACTCTTATCTTGACAAAAGTGCCAGCAAAGATTTTTTAAAAAGTGACACCACAAGAAAGTAATTAATAATAATAGTAATATAATGATGTCTGCTAGCTTCCTTTTTATTTTGCACTGTCCAGATTTCTCCCATAGCGTTACATTTATTCTAGGTTTGCTGAATTGCTGCCTTTCGGAACTTACTGCTAGTTTTTTAACTTGATTTCTCTGCACCACCTGAGGGTATTTTGAGAACATGGGCATTTGTCGTAAGCTGCTTTGGGCACCATGGTGTGGAGGTGGCATATAAATGAGCTTAGTGACTCAATCCATCACTGGTAAAAACAACCCTGTGTGTACATCGGGTGCAAAAGAGCATCCTTTGTGGAGACAGGCAAAGGGTGCTGGATGATGGTATAGCCAGTTAATCTTTTGGGTGACTAAATGTGATGAATATTTCTGAGTCTGCATCTGAAGCAGTCATTTTTAGATTTTAAAAAAATTATTTATGTGCCTGCCCCCCCTCCCAAGTCTCCTTTGGGAAGATGGGCAGGATATATATTTAAATATTGCTTTAATTACTACTACTACTATACTTTCCTACCCTAAAACTTAAGTAGAAAAAAGAGGGGGTCTACACCACACATTTAAAGCACATTTAAAACACACTCTTTCCCCCAAAGAACTCTGGGAAGTGTAATCCACTCACATAGCTACAATTTCCAGCACCCTTCACAAACAACAGTTCCCAGGTGAAGTGACAGGGAACCAGGCAGAGGGCCTTCCCGTTAGTGGCGCCCTCCCTGTGGAACACCCTCCCATCAGATGTCAAACAGATAAACAACTATACATTTTTTTCTGAAAGACATAAGAATGCAGCCCTGTAATCCGGTAGTTTTTAATGTCTGATGTTTTATTGTGTTGCTTACATTTTGCTGGAAGCCGCCCAGAGTGGCTGGAGCAACCCAGTCAGATGGGTGGCATACAAATAATAAAATTATTATTATTACTACTACCCTGCTAAATGCAATGTCAGAGTGGTTCAAGAAGACTGAAATCTCCCCCCCCCCCAACCGCCATTTCATACTGAGGAATCGAAGACAGAGTGGGGTGTGTGGTTTATTTTATTATTGATTAACTGATTGGATACTGCCTTTCTGCCAAGGCACCCGAGGTGGTTCACACTTTAGACACCAAAAGAAACACACAATATGGAAAGAAGACAGACTGGCAGAGTCCACTCATGTCAGCGGGTTGCTGGTGGTCTGTGTGCTCCGTGGCTTGGGCTCCCCTTGCTTTTTTCTGACCTCAAGGCATGCAAGTCTCCAGCAGCCCCCAGCGAAGGTAAAGGAGCAGCAGGAGGAACCATCATCACTCAGCAGTAGAGAACCTGCTTTGCTTGCAGAAGGTCCCAGGTTCAATTCTTGGCATTGCCTGATGAATCAAGGGAGGCTTTTGAAGGCCACATTATCTTCTGGGGCAACCTTGGACTGTGGGAAACCGGTGGTGGGCAAGCAACAGAGCAGCCAGCATTCTCCGTGGCAGCTCCTAAGCTGCAGGATTCCTTCTTCCCAGAGGTACCATGACACCTTCAGCGTAGAGCTTCCATCATATGCTGAAGACACGCCTCTTTACCCTGGCCATTAATTTCAGCAAGTCTATCCTGAGTTGGGCTAGCTCTGGATACAACCCCATGTTTTGGATCCGCCCTTTCCCTGCCACCGCAAATTATTTTAACTAATTTTAATCTTGTTGTTATCCTGGGACCTTATGGACAAGGGTGGGTAAGAAATCCAGTAATTATTATTGTCTTGTTATTAATAATAAAACTGTAGATTCTCACCCTTCCCACAAACATATAAGTATCTCCCCTTCTGAAACCTCTGTTTGTGTGTAATATTCATGTACAGTATAGTGATTCTATACAGTATAGTGATTCACAACCTTGATGGCAGAAAGTGAGGAGGAATTAAAGAACCTTTTAATGAGGGTGACAGAGGAGAACGCAAAATATGGTCTGAAGCTCAACATCAAAAAAACGAAGTTCATGGCCACTGGGCCCATCACCTCCTGGCAAATAGAAGGGGAAGAAATGGAGGCAGTGAAAGATTTTACTTTCTTGGGCTCCATGATCACTGCAGATTGTGCCAGCAGTGATGAAATTAAAATACACCTGCTTCTTGGGAGAAAAGCAATGACAAACCTAGACAGCATCTTAAAAAGCAGAGACATCACCTTGCCAACAAAGGTCCGTATAGTTAAAGCTATGGTTTTCCCAGTAGTGATGTATAGAAGTGAGAGCTGGACCATCAAGAAGGCTGATCTCCGAAGAATTGATGCTTTTGAATTATGGTGTTGGAGGAGACTCTTGAGAGTCCCATGGACTGCAAGAAGATCAAACCTCTCCATTCTGAAGGAAATCAGCCCTGAGTGCTCACTGGAAGGACAGATCGTGAGGCTGAGGCTCCAATACTTTGGCCACCTCATGAGAAGAGAAGACTCCCTGGAAAAGACCCTGATGTTGGGAAAGATGGAGGGCACAAGGAGAAGGGGACGTCAGAGGATGAGATAGTTGGACAGTGTTCTCGAAGCTACCAGCATGAGTCTGACCAAACTGCGGGAGGCAGTGGAAGGCAGGAGTGCCTGTCGTGCTCTGGTCCATGGGGTCACGTAGAGTCGGATATAACTAAACAACTAAACAACAACAAATAGTGATTCTGCTTAGGATGGCTTTGTTCTTTGCCTGTTGAATATCTTCAGAATCCTTACCCTTTTTTTTTGCACTTGGCTTTGGGGGCAAACACCATCCTGACCGTCTCAAGTGGCAAACGCTCCTGGCTTGCCAGCATCCACACAACATGTATGTGCAGTGTAAGCTCATCACATGCGGTTATCTGAAAAACTGGTTGCAGGCAGCTGTGCTGCTCCGTGTTGATTTTGCCACATCTTCCATCGTTCGCATTGCTCCAATAACAAAACAAAAAACCCCGCTTTTAAACAGCACGATTCTCCTGGACTGTCCTGTTTATTGCTGATCGGAAATCAGCAACAGCCCCTGCTCTCCCAGGTGAAAAAAATAAATGTGGAGGGCAGGAAACCAACTGCAGCCATGTGTTCCATCCTCTTTGCTACTGGTTACTGACTCGGAGCTCTGGAGTCTGTGATTGGCTGTCAAATAGGAATGGCCACTGTGGAAAGATGGTCTCCTCCAATGATGGGCGAGGGGTGGTATAAATCCAGGAGGGATGATTACGCCTTTTCTTCTAGTCTCTTCCAGTGGATGCTCCCCAAATACTCTTCCTCATTTCCAAAAAGTCCTCTGGGTATCAGAAGGATGCAGGAGAGGGAGGGGGGGCGGGGGGAGGATGAAAAGACTGAAAACACTTCTCCCCCCTTCGGCTTAGAATGCCTGTAAGGAACATCATCTTTTCAGAAACTGACGAAGTGTGGCAGCCAGGGAACCGAAAAGGAGACTCTAGTGCACAGTGGGCAGAGATCATCAGCCCATCTCCTTTCAGATCAGGAACCAAGGAAGCCCACAGCAGGGGTTTCCCACAGAGACACACATCTTTTGGTGGCTGGTGCAGAAATATTGGCGCAGGTGGAAAAGGCCAGGTGCAATATGGAGAGAATGATAACCTGTGCTGAGACAATGAGGGGGGGGGGTTAGGGAGGGAGGGGAAAAAATGTTACACGTCTCATACTAAAAGAGGGAGGAAGTTGCATTGCCAGTATGCAGTGAGGGAGAAGACTTGGGATTGTCTGCTCAGATTGGCAGTTTTGTCTCCAGGGTTTTGTCTTCTCCATCCATTGCTACCTGAGACCCTTTTAAATAGGAGATGTCTGGCATGCTCAACCACTGAGCTATCGTTTCTATCCCTTTCACCCAACTCTGTTTTCACTTGAACAGAATGCTTAATGGGTCTAACAGCAGTGGGGGGGGACCCCATCATCAACTGACATTACAGACAAAGGAGCCATCAGTTTGTGCATTTTAAATTAAACAGGTAAGTTAATGTGTAAGCCCTCCAAATGTCCAAATAGGCATCCACATGAAATTGAAATATGCCAGTTGCAGCTTTGTCACGCTGGCCACGTGACCCGGAAGTGTCTTCAGACAGCGCTGGCTCCCGGCCTCTTGAGCGAGATGAGCGCGCAACCCTAGAGTCGGACACAACTGGCCCGTACGGGCAGGGGTACCTTATACAGTGGTACCTCTGGTTACGTACTTAATTCTTTCTGGAGGTCCGTTCTTAACCTGAAACTGTTCAAAACCTGAAGCACCACTTTAGCTAATGGGGCCTCCTGCTGCCGCCACGCCACCGGAGCACGATTTCTGTTCTCACCCTGAAGCAAAGTTCTTAACCTGGAGCACTATTTCTGGGTTAGCAGAGTCTGTAACCTGAAGCGTATGTAACCTGAAGCATATGTAACCCGAGGTACCACTGTATGCTCAAATGTAGGCAGGACAAGAGGTTAGTTAAGGAAAAGAATGAATATTATTAGAAATATGAAGTTGGAGAACTGTTATACATGTGATATAATGAAATTCAGATAGAGGGGATTCGAGGAAGTCAGTTATCAAAGTAATGAAATTATGGATGTGAAGTAATAATCTCTTTTGAGGGTTATTTCCTTTTTTATTGTATGTTTTGTAATGTTTTTTTTCTGTGATAATTGTGAAAATCAATAAAAAAAATTGGGGGGGGGGAATGTAGGCAAGATGGCGAGGTCCTCAGACAATCATCATACTGTGCAGGGTTGGAAGGGACACCTAGTGCGGGAATCACAGCTAGAGAAACGCTGACAAGTGGCCACCTGAACTCTGTTTGGAAACCTCTAGTGAAGGAGAATCCACTGGTTGTGGTCCTCTCCTCTGGAGCAACAGACAGCAAGCTTGCTCCAACTTCCATGTGACAGCCCTTTAGATATTTGAAGATGGTAACAGACGGTCGATATTTATCCTACTAGGGGTTGCAAAATCCTTTTTATTGTGTGTGTGTGTTCTCCTGCCACTAATCCCCATATGTCAGGCATATAATTTATTATTGCATTAAAATGCAAACAGGACTGGCTCAAAACTGCACCTGACTCCGGGGCGGACCAGCTGTTTTGGACACCAGGATCTCTCACCTGCTAGGCTGTTCTCAGACGCCCGTCCCCTCCTCTGCCTCAGGGGAATCCTCTTCGGGTTCTGCTCGTGGGGCCAGCTGGGCAACGGGGGCACTTCCCAAAATGCCCCGGCGGAGAACGTATGGGCAAGAGGGACCGGATGGGATGTCAGCAAAACCTGCAGGGGAGAAACGAGGCCAGATTTGCTAAAGCAGACACAGTGGTGGGGGTGTCCTTTCTGCTATGTTTTCAAGTTGAAAAGAATCTCCTTTCACCTGAAAAGTTTGCATGCAAACTATCGTATGCATTCCCCCTAAAATAGCACCATCCCATGCTCTTCAATGCACTTTCCCGTTAAACAAACATTTTTGCTTTTTAACATCTTTATGCGCCCCCTCGCCCAGCTTGTCCGGAGTTTTGCGCTGGGTTGCCATCAGTATGCCGATGACACCCAACTCTATCTGTTGATGGATGGCCATCCTGACTCGGCCCCAGACACACTGACCAGATGTTTGGAAGCTGTGGCTGGATGGTTACGTGGAAGCCGGTTGAAGTTAAATCCTTCGAAGACAGAGGTCCTCTGGCTGGGACGGGACGATATGGGATTGGGGGCAACTCCCATCTCTTGCGGGGTGCAATTAGTGCCAGCACCGTCCGTTAAGAGTTTGGGTGTAATCTTCGATACCTCCCTCTCTATGGAGGCGCAGATTACAGCTATAACAAAGGCGGCATTTTTTCATCTCCGCCAAGCTAAGCAGTTGGCCCCTTATCTCTCTCGCCCTGACCTAGCCACTGTGATTCATGTGACGGTCACCTCCAGACTGGATTATTGTAACTCGCTCTACGTGGGGCTGCCCTTGAGACTGACCCAGAAACTCCAGCGGGTGCAGAATGCCGCGGCGAGACTCCTTATGGGGTCTTCGCTGCGAGATCACATTCATCCGGTACTATACCAGCTGCACTGGCTCCTGGTGGAGTACAGGATCAGGTTTAAGGTGCTGGTTTTAACCTTTAAAGCCCTATACGGCCTAGGACCCTCGTACCTACGGGACCGCCTGCCCCACAGAGGAACCTACGGTCTGCAAATAAAAACATCCTGAAGGTCCCAGGCCTCAGAGAGGTTAGGCTGGCCTCAACTAGAGCCAGGGCTTTCTCGGCTGCGGCTCCAATCTGGTGGAACGCTCTGTCACAAGAGACTAGGGCCCTGCGGGACCTGACATCTTTCCGCAAGGCCTGCAAGACAGAGTTGTTCCACCAGGCCTTTGGTCAGGGCCCAGCCTGACTCTCTCCTCTGGCAACCTGCACAGAACTTTGCTTAACGGTTGCCATTAATTTGATTTTAATTAATTTTTATAATGAAATGTTTTAGAATGTTGGATTATTTGATTGTTTGATTATTTGATTGTTGTTAGCCGCCCTGAGTCCGGCTTCGGCTGGGGAGGGCGGGATATAAATAAAATTTATTATTATTATTATTATTATTATTATTATTATTATTATTATTATATACATTCTAACCGTATTTCTGGCTGCATTTTTGTTCTGCTCCATTCATTACGTCATAGTTGTGGCGCCAGCTAGGCTCGGCTCCCAGTGCAGTGGAACCGGTTGTGCTGCCTTAAATCCGCCTCTGATTTAAAGCACTATTATACTGCTTTAACAGCTACGGGCTCCCCCAAAGAATTATGGGAGCTATTGCTTGTTAAGGGTGCTGAGAGCTATTAGGAGACCACTAACTCCCCTCACAAAGCTGCCGTTCTCAGAGTGGTGTAACAATCCATCTCTCTTCACTGGGAACTCTCAGAATTCTGGCTCTGTGAAGGGAAAAAGCTCTCAGCACTCTTAGCAAACTACAGTTCCCATGATTCTTTGTGGGGAGCCATGGCTGTTTAAAGTGGCATCATAGTGATATAAATGTGGTCTGTTTAATTGGGCCAGTCTGCTACAAAAAGCCTCCTCAAAGGGCCGATGTCAAGCAGTGGCAGCTCAGAACAGGACTTTGGGGCAGATGCCCGGGGCCTCACTGAGCAGATAAACAAGGGGGGGCCCTCCGAGAGTAACCAGGCTTGCTGCTAACCTTATTTAAAGTTATATATATATATATATAAAACCATCAAAAAAAGGGTTTCCACCGTAAGCCCATTAAGTCCAGACTCTAAACTCACCTCATGACACCACTGATGGCCTTGTGGTGCTTCCTTTTTCTCTTCCCAATTTCCCACATACCTTTCATGACCACTTCAGGGAGCCCGTAGGGTTCATACTGAGTGTCATCAAAGGCCACAGAGACACGTTCCCTGCGCCGATGGCCACACTCTGGTCCCTCAGTTTGGGTCTGGACATTTCGTCGGCTCCCCTGAGACAAGGGCTCTCTTTTCTGGGAAGCTTCAGGAACTGCAAGACACAGAGACCTTGAATTAGGGTACATATACACCAGATATTTAAAGCACCCTACCCAACCGTCCTGGGAGTTGTAGTTTGCCCCTCACAGTTACCATTCCCAGCACCCTTAGCAAATTGGGGTTATTGGGGGGGCTGTGTGTTCTAAATGTAAGGTGTGCTTGCAACCTAAGGACAGTGCGATGACAAAAGAAGAGATGTCTGGTTTCCCCCATGACCTTCCTGTGCTAAAAGGAAAAACATTGCTATTTCAAAAAAAAGGGAAATATTTGGCTCCATGTTCCTCCAAGGAATCCTGGGAAATGTAGTTTGTTATGGGTCCTGAGAGCTGAGAACCCTAGTCCCCTCACAGAGCCACAATTCCCAGAGTTCCCTGGAAAGTACTCAGAGAACCGGAGCTCTGAGGGGAATAGTCTCTCAGCAACCTTGACAACAGGATTTTTTTTGGGGGGGGGAGCCATGGCTGTATAAAGTGACATCATAGTACTTAATGTATGCTGCTGATGATTTCCCAGTGCACGAAACAAGGTACAGTGGTACCTCGGGTTACAGACACTTCAGGTTACAGACTCCGCTAACCCAGAAATATTACCTCGGGTTAAGAACTTTGCTTCAGGATGAGAACAGAAATCGTGCAGTGGCAGTGCAGCAGCAGCAGCAGCAGCAGGAGGCCCCATTAGCTAAAGTGGTACCTCAGGTTAAGAACAGTTTCAGGTTAAGAACAAATTAAGTTCTTAACCCGAAGTACCACTATATTCCTCTTCTCTTCCGCGCCCAGTTTGGATTCTCTCCCCCCCTATAGTCTATGCCCCCCCCCCTTACCATCTGCCGTCTCGGCTGCTTCTCTGCCATTTCCTGAGCCAGCCAGTTCACAGGGGCCAATGGTGTCCTCCTCTCCTCTTTTCTGGTGCCAGGCCTCCCAGGTAGCCAGCTCCTTGCGCAGGTCCAGGTTTTCCTGCTGAAGCTGGGCAAGAGAGGCCTCCAGCTGCAGACAGAGAATCACCCATGAAAACAGACACCGCTAAGAGCTCACCCACACTTCCGCTTGCCCCCTGCTTGATTTGCACTTTCTAGACCTGGGTCAGAGCCGTTTTCCTCTCGCCCCGATCCTTTCCCAGGGAAAACCCAAGCTTTAGTGCTAAACTGGAGCAAACATCAATCCAGAGAAAACCAGAGCTGCAGCTTGCTCTGATTGAGAGCCTAAGAGTGATTTTCCCCAGGGGAAAGCAGTGCAACAAGTTGGATAGCCTGAGGCCTAATTTCAAAAGGCTGCTTACAAGAGATTAGCCCAGACACCTGGCAAGAGGAATTTTGTGCTTAGCACCCCCTCCCCCCTATATATATATATATATATATATATATGTATTCCAAATGTCATCACTCTCTCTTTCTTTAAATAGTGTAAGCCTTGGATCTGGCTTTTTTTCCTTCTCCCTCCGAATTCCTTTTCCTTTTGTGCAGTGTCTTTTATATTGCAAGCCACAGGCGGGGACCGATAGCATCAATGACCTTTGTAATCTGGTCCAGGGGCCTTTTGTTTTGGCGGAACAAAGACACTTTCAACAATTAAAATCCATAAAAGATTCCTAGCACACCTCGAGGAGAATAAACTTACTTGTTCCTGGACTCCCGGCTGCACCTGCTTCTCTTTGGGCAGACCAACATCTGCAATGCTCAACATGCCTCCCTGCAGCTGGGCCGACACCAGAGGGACCTCTGAGGTCTCGCTGCCTCCGCACACCTCCAAGGTGTTTGAGGGGCTTTCTGCATGGTGCCCCTCTGCCTCCCTCTGCCCCAGCAGAGCCCGCAGCCTCTGGCCCTCGGCGTCGGCCATTTCCAAGGCTTTCTTGGTCTCCTCCAGCTCCTGGCGGAGGCTCCTCATCAGCTGCTCCTTCTCCTCGGCGTCCGCCAGCAGCTCCTCCACGTGGCGGCTCTGGGTCTCCATGGCTCGCGCCAACCGCTCCGTCTGCCTCCCCAGCGTGGCCTGCAGGACCTGGAGTTTTTCCTGGGCCAAGATGGCTTGGGCTTCGGCTTGGGCCTTGCCAGAGGCCAAGTCCAGTGGGTCCTCCTGCAAACCTTCCACGTTCCCCTCCGGGTCAGGGGTCCTGCCTCCTTGGCTCTCTGCCTCAGTTTCCCCATGGGCCTGCCGTGTGGCTGGCGCATCTTCTCCTGTTTCAGACGTCTCTACGTCCGAGGTCAGCTCCTTCCCTGGCTCTGCCGCAGCCTCGGGTTCAACCGCCCCTCCATCCTCCTCAACCTCTTCTGCCACAACCTCTTCTGCCACAGAGACTTCCCCACCGGCCGCCATCACTGAAGCCTGTCCTTTGCTCCTGGGGGCCTGGCAACCCCCATGGATCTCTGGGGAGCCCTTTGTCTTTTGCCAGGCCGCCGCTCCCACCATTGGGACCAACTGCCTCTCCTGGGCCCAGGCCCGGCTTTTCTCTTGCTGCCAGCAAGCCTCAAGGAGGGTTTTGCGTTGGCTCTCCGAGGCATCCAGGCGCCGCCGCAATGTCAAAACCTCGGTTCTGAGGGCCTGTAGTTCCTCCCGGCCCCGCTCCGTACTCTGGGCCCGGGAGCTCGGTGAGGGAAAGCCTGAGGAAAGAGATGGCAGAGAAGAGAAGGCCTGAGAACAGTGATATGTTGTAGTTAAAAGAGATAAAATCACAATTTTGCACTGTGGTGGTCAGTCAGGTCTTAGATTTTTAGTGCACACTTCCAAAGCATCATGGGAATCATAGTTTGCCCCTGTACGGAGCTGTGGTTCCCAGCACCCATAACAAACTACAGTTCCCAGGGTTGGGGGGGGGGAGCTGCGTGCTTCAAATGTGCTTTGAAAGAAGCCCCAGTTAAAACAAAAATTGAACTGCACACGGCAGATTGCTAGTGCTGGTGGGTGTGTGGAGAGAAAAAGCAGCAAGCAAAATTTCAGCGGGTCTACTCTGAGGTAACGGTCATATGTAGCAGAAACTGATTCAGGTGTGCCTAAATCAGGAGTCAGGATCTGGAGGCAAAAATATTATGTTCTACCATTCTGTGTATAAATCTTGCTTGCAATGCTCCCTTGTATTAAAAAATATATATTATGGGTTGGGGAGGAATTCAACGTAGTGCTAAGGAGATCACTCTGTCAGCAAAAGCATTTCGGCTTGCCTGGTGGAAGGATCTGCCCTCTCCCCCTCCACCACCATTCGGGGGGGTCTCCCAACCCCCAAAGACTTGGGGGACATGGGGGGCAGAGGAGGGAGCCAATGGGGGAGAGCCCCACTGCACTAGTGAAAGCTCTTGTGCAAGCTTTCACTAGTGGGACACATTCATTGAATCCAGCCCCATATATTTCTTTTAAAGAAACATACAATTTAAAAAATCCTCCATTCTCCAATTCTTTACACCTGGACAACAGAAAAAAATGATTTAATTAGAGTTCCTGGAAGTTCAAATGCAAACTTCTGAATATGAATGCACAACATTTCAATTCCATATTTTTTATTACTAGGCATTACGCTTATAAATAGCCACACAGACACGGCACTCACCTCTGACACTGTCCATCAAAAGAAAAAAATATTTCTGTTCCTCCCCACTCAGGAGGAGTTCAAACACAGTTAGTGGGGGAACCAGTTCACCGGTTTGTCATCCATTAACTCAGTAGCCTTAAATCATCCAAATTTAGGATTGCGGTTACATCCCTAGTTTAAAGGGCTACTGCTCCTTTAGAACTAGTACAGTATAGGTAATAAAATCTGGAGCAGGAGTGTGGTGCAGTGGTTAGGGTGCTGGACTAGAACCTGGGAGACTAGGGTTCAAATCCCCCCACCCAGTAATGAAAGTTCGCTGGGTCATCTTGGGGGGGTGGCTGTCACAGTCTCTCAGTCTAGCCTAACTCACAGAGTTGTTGTGAATATGAAATGGGGAGTGAGAAGAACCACAAACTCTTGAGCTCTTAGGAGAAAAAACTGGAGTATAACTATAACCAGGAATGAACACAAAAGAACAGCACAGTTAACAGAGTTTTAAAGAAAAATAAAAACCTTCTTGCTTTATTAACCTGCAAACGTGTTCTCTTGGTAGCAAGGGATTACCCTACAACTGAAAAATGCCATAATACAGTAAGCAAAATAGGGTGGAATCCAAATAAGTTCTGCTTGTAGTAAACTTTATTTAAATGAATAGCCATATCTATTAATTTCAACGGTCTACTCTGAGTAGGACACTGGATAAAACCCATACACCTACATGAAAGCTACATTTCATACAAAATATAATTATTCCATATATATATATATATATATATATATATATATATCATAAAGGTATGCAATACAGTGGTGCCCCGCAAGACGAATGCCTCGCAAGACGGAAAACTCGCTAGACGAAAGAGTTTTCCGTTTTGGAGGTGCCTCGCAAAACGAATCTGCAATGGGCTTGCTTCGCAAGACGAAAATGTCTTGCGAGTTCCTGGTTTTTTTTTTCCCTTTCCCCCCTCTTTTTCTAAGTCGCTAAGCCGCTTATCTGCTTATCTGATAAGCTGATAAGCTGCTAAAAGCCGCTAAAAGCCGCTAAAAGCCGCTAAAAGCCGCTAATAGCGCTAATAGCGCTAATCCGCTAATCCCGTCAATGGGCTTGCTTCGCAAGACGAAAAAACCGCTAGACGAAGAGACTCCCAGAACGGATTCTTTTCGTCTTGCGAGGCACCACTGTATATGAAATACTATACATAACATACAAAATATAATTACAAGATGCATACTTCTATAGAACCATGACCAGGGATAAATATAACAAGGACTGAAGGCTCACGATTCTTGCAAAAAGAAAAACAAAAGCAGACTGCTCTTTATATCACGGCCATCTAACACAAACACACACAAAAACATGTGCAGTCTCACCTTTCAATTTGGTGTGAGCTCCCCTTTTCTCAACTGGCTGCTCCAAGCGGGAGGAGCTTATGCTACGACGGCTGCCACTAGAGGGCACCTTTTCTGTCCCAAGCAGGCCCTGTTTTGAAAGTGGGCGTTAAGAGCAGAGAGGTCAGGGCACAAGGCAGAATGCCAGTTTCCCCACCCATGTCTGTCCAACGGCTGCCTCGATACCCCCACTGCAAAAGAGAAAGTTGGCAAAAGAAAGGAGTCTGGGTTGTTGTTTTCTTGGAGACTATTATTCTGGTCCACCCATTTTTTTCTGGTCGTGGCCTTTTCCTTCGTTGCAAATATCGTGGCAGGAGAGCTGAGTTAAAACAACTCAAAGAGTACTTTATTAATTTTATGGTAAAATGCCATTCCAATAAAACCTGCAGAGTGTTGTTCCATGCTTACATCAGACACATGTAAGGAAAAAATTTAGTGCGGACACTGTCAAATCACCGAACCATTTAATATATTGCTAAGCGGGTGGCGCTGTGGGTTAAACCACAGAGCCTAGGGCTTGCCAATCAGAAGGTTGGCGGTTCGAATCCCCACGACGGGGTGAGCTCCCGTTGTTCGGTCCCTGCTCCTGCCAACCTTGCAGTTCGAAAGCACACCAGTGCAAGTAGATAAATAGGTACTGCTCCGGTGGGAAGGTAAACGGCGTTTCCGTGCGCTGCTCTGGTTCGCCAGAAGCGGCTAAGACATGCTGGCCACATGACCTGTACACCGGCTCCCTCGGCCAATAAAGCGAGATGAGCGCCGCAACCACAGAATCGGCCACAACTGGACCTAACAGTCAGGGGTCCCTTTACCTTTTTAAGGCTTCAGCTATTCGTGACTCTCTATAAGGAAGGATGAGTGTCTGCAGGTCTGACATTAACCCCATTCTCTTTACCTAACTCCAACTCTCCACAGGCCTCAATGGTCAGTGCAAAGGCTTCTGGGATTGCACTTGCAAAGGCTCCTGGGATTGCTAGGCGCTGTTTTCGCACCATTTCTGCCATTTCCGCACTCTTTTAGGGCCGCTCTTGCCCCTTTCTGTGCCACTTCCAGGTTCGCAGCGATGTGCCCATGCGCGGTTGCCTGTGCCTTGAATGCATGGGGAGTTGCCAGCACATTTTTTAAAAATTCAGAAACGTGGAGAAGCGGCAGTTCAGTGGCAGAACACCTGCTCTGCATGCAGAAGGTTCCTGCTTCAATCGCAGTTTAAAGAGGTCTTAAAGGGAATTCTCTCTGCCAGAGGACCTTAGACAGCCACTGCCAGGAACTTAAAAAGAGAGACAAGAGTGTGAAACCGCCAAGTCGTAACTTATCCAGGAGCCCATCTAGAACAGCATCCTGGTCGCACAGTGGCCCGTCAGATGCCTATGGGAAACCAGCAAGCAGGATTCGAGCACAAGAGACTCTCTCTTCTTGTGGTTTCCAGCAACTGGTATTCAGAAGCACCCCAGCTGTAGAGACAGATCAGTATCCTGCTACAAGTCTCCATTAACTTAGTGACATTTCAGTGACGGCGTCATCATCAATCGCGGCTGAGTCCCAGTGCTCTTTTTGCACCCATGGATTCTTTGTACTGCAGTTCTGCCTGAGCTCCCTGTTTGAAAGCAGCCCATAGCACATGCGTATGGTTTACATTATGTACTGTATTATATTATATTGTTATGAGTTTGGGGGAGGAGGGAAAAGGCTCTGTGCAATACCTTTCTAACCCCTGGATCCAGCAAGCGTTAAAACATAAGCCAGGCTAGCTGCCTGTGTTGAGTAGGGCTGCCATACGTCTGGATTTTCAAAGGCGGAATTGACGTCCAGGGGGAATTTCCAAAATGTGGTGCTGGATTTTAGACAAGTCAATCGAAAAATCGTAGGGTTTTGGTTTTTTTGTAAAAGTGCTCAACAACTTTCAGGGTGTCCTGGTCTTTACTTTTGAAATATGGCACCCCTAGTGTTGAGGCGATAGCCTGGGAGATGGGCCATTAAGGAAAACAAAGGAACGTGGCTCTGTGCAAGACAGCAAACTCATGGTTAGTTAGAAGAAGGACGAAGCCAGAGTTAGAGTTTAGTCACAGTGATGTGACCTGGAAGTAAAGCAGCAAGCCAGAGTGAGTTTGAGAGCCGTGATTGATTTCTGCTTGAATCCAAGGCTGCAGCTATGAGAGAAGCAAGACCCTATTGGAGTGTAAATGCTGTAAAACCCTCCACTGTAGGCTCGGATTGTATATATATGGAAATAAACCATCTATCATAAGGACACCACGGTCTCTGCTGTGCCTCATTTCCAAAACCAAACATGAATCCTTGATAAGTGCCTGAAACTCCTGAAACATTCAGAGATGGGGGGGGTGCAACAATATGTTAGGAAGATTAGCCCACCTTTTGCTGGTGCCTGCTTTGGCGCAGGTCTCCCACATCCACTGACGGCCGCCTCCCTCTGCTTTCCAGGGAGCTGCTCTGGAACAGAAGAAAAAGAAAGGAACTCCAATCCATTAGAGGGAGGCAATAAATGTCAACCGTTGCGCCACCACTTGAAACGTCCTCACCTGAGCAATAGCCCAGTGGCCATTGGAAGAGAAGGATGCTGAAATAAATGGGCCGTTGGCCTGAACCAGCAGCCAGACTCTTATGTTATTAAGAGGGGATAGCACCCTATGTGTTATTGTATTATGGGCTATGCTACAGCCATGAGGGTAAAGGCAGAGGTGTCTAGGCCCCAAATCTACACATCTATCTATCCACCCTGTTGCCAGGCAGTTGAAGAATTATCACAATTCAAGGGCACAGCACAGGACCATTTTGAGGAGAGCGAGGAGCAAGGCTGGTGAGGGGTGTCCTCTGGGAGGGGGCCTGGGCCGGGGAAAGCCCTGAGGACCACATAGGGAGGCCTGGAGGTCACACACTCCCTAGCCAGCCAAAGAGGCAGGAATTGTGAAGCCCTGCTGGTTCCCCTGGTGTTGCAGCCAATGGAGAGCCTGGATCGGACCACTCTGCAGTCAGCATCTTGCATAAAAGTGCCTGTTGTCGTCCCCCGCCCCGCCCCCTGCAACCTCCAGCGCTGCCAAGACTCCCTTGATCTGTTCCTGAGAAGAAGCTTGTAAAAAGGCACTCGGCTGATGAGCCGCAGCCTTGTAAAACTCTCCACCGGCAGATTGGGGGCCGGCTGGGGGGGTGATGGGAAACATTGGCTGCTACCTTCAGTAGCGTTTCCTGCGAAGAAACACAGGCGATAATTAATGGTGCTAATAATTGCGCCCGGCCAACCGACGAGGACACGGGGCCTCGTAAAACATGTCAGGCGGTGCATGAGGAAGGGGGGAGGGGATACCCAACCAGCAAAGTTGCTTCGTCATGGTTTTGCGCAGAGCTGAGGCCAGGATTTAGGGGGTGGTTGTGGATCCCCTTTCTCTCTCACACCAACAGTAGCTGGTGCCCATTTGAACCGGTAGGGCAGAAGGTAGGGAGCCCAGCAGTAGGTGGCGCCAGAGCCAATGGCAGGCAGAATCAACTAAAGCTAGTTTGGTCCCTATCTGCCTTCCTGCTGAAGGTACAAGGGGCAACGCTGAGACCAAGGAGGAGGACTCTGGCAAGCAGGGCCACCACCTGGACTGGCTGTAAGAAAGAAGGCAGGCAGGTGGGGGCTGCTTGAGGGCAGGCCAAGGTTGGTGGGGCAGTTCCCCATTTGTCCTGATGGACCAGAGCTTCATGATGTGGGTTTGTTTATCTTTTTACAAGGCAGGGGAAGCCTCATTTAAAAGAGAGTGGGGTGGTTTGGGGATCATTTCCATCCTTTCCTTTCCTTTTGCAAATTCGTAATTACAGTTCTCCCATGCTACCCCAGCGAGGGGCAATAGATGCACCCTATCTGCGGCACTTTTGGGGGTGGGGGAGCTAACACTTTGCAGGCAAGCCTCTTTCTGAAAAACAGGTGGTGGAGCTCAAAGCTCCTCCACCAAGCTGGAAGCCTGTGCTGGGCCCAGGGGTTAACCCAAGCAACGCAGTCCAGGTCCGGTCCCGAATCCAAGGAGTCCACGAGGAGTCAGTCCGACAGGGCCAAGGCAGGAGACAAGGCAGGAAACCAGGCTAGGTCAGGTACAGGGTCTCAGGCAGGTTCCAGCAAGCAGCAATGTTGCTCCCGCAACCTGGGGCAGGGTCCAACAGCCTTTTAGCTTTGTCAGGGTAACAGCCGGTCCTGATCCCTCGGCGACTCACCTCCCTGTCTTGCCCGAAGTCAAGCACTCCTCCTGCAAGTACTCAGGTCTCTCCTTCTCTCAGACCTTAGTCTCTGCAGCTCGGGAGATGCCAGTGGGTTACTAGACCCAGAGGCCACCTCAGCCTCCCTTGACCCAACCGGTAGCGGAGCAGCTGTAAGTGATTGCCCAGCTGAGGGCAACGAGGTAATCCCCGTATCTGGAGCCAGGGCAGGCTCAGGCCCCTGACTCGGCCCGGCTGGTGCTTGTTGCAGGGGAACGTGTGCAGACTGGGGCTCTTCAGAACCAGACCCCAGACTTGGTTCCGAGTCCGAGCCCGAGTCCCAGGCCATCACAAAGCCTGGACTCCTAACTGTCACAGGACAGGCAGGTAGGGGCACAGGAGCTGTTTAGGAATTGAAGAGTCAAACTAGGGAGGGCAAGGCCTGGATTCAAATCAGCCCAGATCCCCACTCAACCATTACAGCTCTTGGATGGGGCTGCTAGAGCAAGAATTGCAATCACTCTTCCTCTATTTGGAATATTAATAGCCCTCCTCACAGGGTTGCTTGTGGAGACAAATGAGGCCATTATGGTGAGGCACAAGCCCCCTGCGCAGTTGGAAAGCGAAATTAACAGCGCCCCTCGGAGAGGACAAGAGGATGCCTTATCGCTTTTGGAACCATGCAGGTTTAATGTCTTTATGTACCCCTCCCACAAAAAGCTCTGCCTAATAATAGTATTTCTTAAAAGGAGCCACGCAAATGTGTGCATAAATTTGGTTGGGATTAGATACTTATGAGGGACATGGGTGGCGCTGTGCGTTAAATCACAGGGCCTAGGGCCTGCCGATCAGAAGGTCGGCGGTTCGAATCCCCACGACGGGGTGAGCTCCTGTTGCTCGGTCCCTGCTCCTGCCCACCTAGCAGTTCGAAAGCACGTCAAAGTGCAAGTAGATCAATAGGTACCACTCCAGTGGGAAGGTAAACAGCATTTCCGTGCGCTGCTCTGGCTCTCCAGAAGTGGCTAAGCCACATGGCCACATGACCCGGAAGCTGTACGCCGGCTCCCTCGGCCAATAAAGCGAGATGAGCGCTGCAACCCCAGAGTCGGTCACGACTGGACCTAATGGTCAGGGGTCCCTTTCCCTTTCCCTTTTAGATACTTATAGGCCGCAATCACCCACCTCCTGCCCTTTCTCCTACTGCTGTCCTCTCTTTGTGGAAGTGGCAAATTTGGCCTACCAGTTTCTTCCACAATATGGCCCACCAGGGTCTCACCAAAATGTATGAGTTTGCTGCCAGCCTGGTTTTGCAAGACCCAGAGGTTTGGTCAACAGGGCGACAGTAGCATAGACCCCTCCCGTAGCCTCAGCACCAGAGGTTTGGTCAAGCAGGCCACCATGGCATATAGACAAAGGCTGGCACTAGAGCTATGTGCTCAGCCTTAAGTCAACCTTAAGTTGGAAGGGACCCTGATGGTCATCTAGTCCAACCCCCTGCAGTGCAGAAAGTGTTGGCCCAACGTGGGGCTCGAACCCATGATCCTGAAATTTAGAGTCTCATGCCTACTCACCTCTGTCTGGCCGCCTCGCTGCTTCTTCCACTGAGCCAGCTCAGCTCGGATCAGCTCCAGCTGCCCCTGCAAATTCCACAGTTCCCTTTCCTTTTCTTGCATCCGGGTTTCTGCTTTGCCAAGAGCGAGTCTCAACTCTGAATGGCAGAGGAGGGGAAAGGCATTGGTGGGGAACCATTTCCACCCTGAGGGCCACATTCCCTTCCGAGGGCCACGTGGTGGGCAGGACCAGAGTCTAAAGTGGGTGGAGCAATGATGCAAACGCTGCGTTTGCATGGTAAGCCTCACACATTCCCAGCAAGGCCAGGGAGAATTGTGGTCCGGGGAGAGTTCTGAGGGCCGGGCGGAATTCTGAGGGCCGCAGGGTTTTTAAAAACCTACAGACCACGTTCCGATACCTTGATTTTCTTTCTCGAGCCTCTCTCCCATGGATGCCAGTTCTGATGCCATCGCCTGGGCCCCTTCGCCATTCTCTGTGGGGATGGGGCTCCCGGGTGGGGCACTGGGACAAGCCGCTTCTTGCTGCCAGGAGGCGGTGGGGCTCTCCTTCCCGCAGGGGCCTCCGACGGCAGGGCTGCTGTCCTGAATCTGCTGGAAAGTGGGGAAGGAGTAAGAGAAGGTCTCATGGTCCAAGACCAGCTTTAAAAGCAGACTCTGCCAATCTGATGCCTTTCAGGTGTCCTAGACTCATAGCTGTCAACTTACAGATCTGAAAATAAGGGACCAGCAGCCAAAATAAGGGACCTGCAGCCTCACCTGTTCCAGGCACTCCAGTCTTCCTGTCCTCCTGCAGTCTGGTCAAACTCATGCTGGGTAGCTTCGAGAACACTGTCCAACCAACTTTGTAACCAGAGGTTCAACTGAATAGAATCTGAATCACATGCACCACAAGGCCTATGCAGCCTCAACTTAAGATGGCTCCCCGGCCTGGCTTTGCACTGCAAAATTTGCAGCAGCACGTGCAACAAAATGGCGTCCAGCATTCAAAAACCCCCTCAGCTTGCATTAACTAGCCACACACAAGGCATGCAAGCTCCACCCCCCGTCATTCTTAGACTTCTTATTGGGTGAGCAACACAGCCAAGCAACACAGTTGGAGCCTCCCTCCTCCCTGGCTGGCAGGCAGGGAGGGAGAGGCACTGCTTCCTTTGAAATATAAGGGACATTTAAGGGACATCCATCAATAAGGGACAGCAGCGGGACATGGCGCTGGAATAAGGGACTGTCCCTTCAAATAAGGGACACTTGACAGCTATGCCTAGACTACAAGTCCCATCGGATTCAGCCAGCGCTGGCTAATGGGAGCTGGAGTCCTAAAGCCTGGAGGGCACCAGCTGTTCCAAAGCCACATTAAAGCAATACTCACACTTGCTCCGGCTGCAAGGGTCCTGCTAAGCTCTGCTTTGGCCTCGATGCCACCTAGAGAACAGAGGGAGAACTGGTTGCCCAGGGAACCAATTTGGGTCTGCAGATTGAATAAAGCCTACCTGTGGTAGTAGGCTACCGTATTTTTCGCTCTATAAGACGTTTTCACTCTATAAGACGCAGCAGACCATAAGACGCACCTAGTTTTTGGAGGAGGAAAACAAGAAAAAAAATATTTCTGAATCCCAGAAGCCAGAACAGCAAGAGGGATTGCTGCTTTCACTGTGCAGCGATCCCTCTTGCTGTTCTGGCTTCTGGGATAGCTGCACAGCCTGCATTCACTCCATAAGACGCACACACATTTCCCCTTACTTTTTAGGAGGGAAAAAGTGCGTCTTATAGAGCAAAAAACACGGTATATAGACACGAGCAAAACCACTCCGCTGTGGACTACCACCCCATCTCCAAGCCACCAGAGTTTTGATTTTCCTCTTCCCTCCGTGTCCCTTTTCCCTTGTGTGTCGTGTTTTGTCTTGTTTTCAGATTGTAAGCCTGTGGGCAGGGACGGCCCTTGTAGGAGCCTTTTGGGATGAAGGGGGGGGTACAAATGCCCTAAATAAATCTAAATCCCTCAACTGACAACCCCTCCTTTTCCCTCACCCCCCCCACCACGAAGTCACAGACGCTGCCTTGACTCTTTCCCGTGACTCTTCAGCCGCTAATTCCACCTCCATCTGGCAAAGCCTCTAATCCCCGGACGTAGGAAGAGGCGCCTCTTGCCCACTGGCTTGGCCTAAGAGGACCCTGTGCCCTTTCCTCATCTTCCGGTTTCTTACCTTCGGCCCACTGCGTGGAGGAACCCCAGCGGGGGGGCAGGAGGGCCAAGTGGGACTGCGACTGCAGCTTGTCCAGTTCGATTTGGCACCTGGAGGGAGGCAGAGGGAAGGAAACAGGAGAAAGAAGATCCTCCACAGTCATAGGCAGTGTACCTGTGTGTACCAGTCTGCAGCGAGATCCTGTACCTGGGTGACTTTTTACTCCAGCTAATGGAATGGACCAGCTTTTTTTTTTAATGTTTCATGGGGTGTTCCAAATAAAGAACTGATCCAGGAAAATAGAATTTAAGCAGTTCGAATCTGCTGACCTAACGTATTTTGTTTAGGGGCATTAAAATGTAAAGGGACCCCTGACCATTAGGTCCAGTTGTGGCCGACTCTGGGGTTGCGGCGCTCATCTCGCTTTATTGGCCGAGGGAGCCAGCGTACAGCTTCCGGGTCATGTGGCCAGCATGACTAAGCCACTTCTGCCGAACCAGAGCAGCGCACAGAAACGCCGTTTACCTTCCCGCCGGAGCGGTACCTATTTATCTACTTGCACTTTGGCGTGCTTTCGAACTGCTAGGTTGGCAGGAGTACATTGGAATTTGGCTCGGGATAGCAAAGCATCCCTTCAAAAACTCAGACCCTCCAAGTACTGTATCCCTATTTTCAGGGACAGTCCCAGATTTACAAAAGCCATCCCGGTTTCTGATTTAATCCCGGAATGTCCTGCTTTTCCTTAGGACATCCCTATTTTCATCAGAGAAATGTTGGAGGTTACGGAGTTATCTGACCCCCAAGCCATCTGAAGGCAGCCCTGGATCAGGAAGTTTTTTAATGTCTAATTGTGTTTTTATATATGTTGAAAGCCACTCAGAGTGGCTGGGGCAATCCAATCAGATGGGTGGGATATAAATAGTAACATTATTATTATTATTATTATTATTATTATTATTGAATAGGACGTCACTGTTTTCATTGGAGAAATTTTGGAGGGTATAAACTCTCCATCAGGCTTTATGTTTTGTCCTTGACAAAGAAGTCACCTAGAGTGGCTAAGGCAACTGAATCAGATGGGTGGGGTATGAATGTATGAATGAATGAATGAATGGAGGTTTTGTGGTAGTCACCAGCTTCGAGGGTTTTAAAAGAGGATTAGACAAACCCATTGCTATCACTGGGTACTAGCCACAATGGCTATGCCACTGTTGGGAGACGTATATCTCTGATTCCCAATTGCCGGGAATCCGGAAGTTTGCTGTTGTGCTCAGGTCCTGCTTCCCGGAGGTGTCTAGTTGGCCACTGTTGAGAACAGGGTGCTTGGCTGCATGTTTTCCATTTTAATCCCCACCCACCCTGATCCATAATTCAAGAGGTTAACATTGTCCTACCTTACAGGGTTGTTGTAAGACTTACTGAGCAAATGTAGACAGAGCATTTTGCATGCTCCAAATGCCAGCTTTTATTACCAAAGGAAGCTCAGAGATTTTGCTACCTGCACAGATTTATGGAAATCAAACTAATCTGCATATATCTGCTGACTGTGCTATAATTTCTTCAGCTCCTGTAAGCACCAGGCACAGCAAACGCCTGTCTAGGACACTGAAGCCCTGTCCTTTCATCAAGCATTGCACCCCCCCTTCCCTCTTGGCCTTCAGGTCTAGAAACTTGTTTTGCTATTTTAAAAGTTGTTCCTAGGATCCCTGCCCCTGGCTACTGAATTCTGCTTCCACCTGACAAGCCTGCAAACCTGTGGGGCACAGACTGCTGCTTTCGTCTCTGTCCTTGTGACGCCAATCCCACCGACCCCACGAATCCCAGCTACGTTTCCTGCACTGTACCTACGCAGCTCTTCTTCCAGTTCCGCTTGGCGTCGGGTCGCCTGAGCGAGCTGAGCCTCCAGGCAGCTCAGCTGGGCTTCTTTGGCTTGCAGCTCCTGCGCCAACCGCTGACGGCTACGCTCCACTTGCTCACACGCCTCGGCCAGACTCCGGTTCTCCTGAGAGAGAAGGGCCCATGAGGCCCGTTCCTCTTCGTGCTGCAAAGAACAGCGAGAGATGAGCCGCATTAAAACAAAACCAAAAAAATCGCAGTGTGGTTTGTGTCCACGGAATCATAGAAGGGACCCAAGGGACATCTAGTCCAGCCCCCGCCAATGGAGGAATCACAGCTCCAATCCAGCCCTGCTCAGAGGAGACCTGTCGAAATGAATGAAAATGCATCACCCAATTTCAGTTTATTGAAAACTCTGTTGGATGCAAACCAATGTTGGTTATACATATGGCCCTCCAGGGCTCTTTATCTGGCCCTCAGGAATCTTTCTGGGCCACATACCCATCCTTTGCATACACACAGAGCTCGTTTTTGCCTGCCTGGAATGTGCCCTTGAACTCTGATCGTGCCTCTTGCTTCTCTGGATGGAGCGCAGAAAGGTGTGTAGGGTTGTATGTAATATTTGCATTCCTTGCTCCACCCACTTTTGCCTAGGGCCCCACCCACAATTAGCATGTGGCCCTCAGAAGGTTGGCCAGAAGGGAATGTGGATCTTGGACTGAAAAAGGTTCCCTACTCCTGCTGCACATCCTGCCTATATACTGTAGTGATATTCCTTGCTCCAAAATGTGATTCCGCTGGGTACATTCTGAACACTCCGCACTAAAAAAATCAAGTTTCATGACCCATATATAGATACTGCATTGTTTCCCCTGGTTTATTGCACTTCCAGTGCTTCTTCCCAGCTTGCAGTCTGGTTTTTTATTTGCCAAGAAAGAACAGATTATAGAAATATTCCTGAGTTTTTCTCCAGTATCACAAGGGCTAGAAGCTTGCTTTTTGATAAATTTCAAAAACTTAAAAGATTCATACCCTCCTTTTTTGCTGACTACCAATCTCCAGTCAGCCATGGACCTGCGATTGGCCTGGGCTTAATCCTCTACCCCTGAGCTATGGGGCAATAACCACACTGGCCGACCTTGCAGGGACTCTGAGATAGTACATGCACCATAAATGGGAACAGCAATACATAAGCACTATGCAGAGTAAGAGCCAAGACGGCATATTGGTTAATGCAGCTGTCGGCAACTGGTGCCCTCCACAGGTTGTTGGGAGTACAGCTCCCATCAGTTCTTTCTGGGGCTGATGGGAGTTGTAGTCCAACAACTTCTGGAAGGCACCAAGTTGGCAAAGGCTGGGTTAATGGTATAAGTTTCACATTTGGTTCAAATATCAGCTCACTCATAGCTCACAGGAGATTAGAAGCAAATTATTAGCCTCAGCACCCCAGCAGTCTTGAAGGTGGCTTGCTCAGTTGCTGGCTATTGATAGGTAACCTCCAAAGTGCTCTTTGTTCTTAGGGCTTTTGTCTTTAAACGGAACAGAGGACCATCCTCTTTAAAGTAGGACACATGGTCACCCTGGGCTAGGAACTCTATGCAGCGTGTCTGCAGTGAAAGGGGAGGAGGGAAATGTTGTTCTACCTTACAGGGTTGTTGTAAGGATAGCTCTGAAGCACACCCAAAAAGCACTGTATCAGTTTCATGACCCAGGTCAGGGGTCGGCAACCCGCGGCTCCGGAGCCGCATGTGGCTCTTTTACACCTTTGCCGCGGCTCCGGGGCGGATACTAGCGAGGGCAGGAGGCGCATTGTGCGCCCCGACACTCCCCACTGTGGCGGGCGCTGTACTGGCTGTGACGTCGCATGGGGGCGGTGCGTGCGTTAGTCACGCACCGTCCCGACGTCACCTTCCCGCCCGCCCGCTACATTGTAAGGGGCATGTATGGTGGTCACTACTACATTGTAAGGGGCATGTACGCTGGTCACTGTTTTGAAGGGGAGTGAAGAACACACACACACAAAAAGGTAACATGTTAATTTAACGTTTATTTCTATGAGGAGGAGTAATTCTGAGGGATCAAACAAAGAAATAATAAAAAAGTGACAAAAAAGTTATTTTTATAATGACGAGGATGACATTGGGCCCTCATTATTAATTATTATTTACATCAGGCACTGATTATGTCGCAATGGTTTTGCGGCTCCCAGTTTTTTTTCCTTCGGAAACGGGTCCAAGTGGCTCTTTTTGTCTTAAAGGTTGCAGACCCCTGACCCAGGTGCTCATACAAATAAACTGTGTACATTTGAAAGTTTTCAGGGATGGGGAATTTTTTTTTTTTCAGATCGAGGGCCACAAAAACCCCTGCTACCTTACACACACACACTTTCCTCTATCTTCCAGCCACACAAGCGAGAGGCATTGTCAGACTTCAGGGTCACATGCCAGCCAGGAGGAAAAAAAAGAGGACTAATGAGGGGGTGGAGCCGAGTATATCATACAGCCTGATTCCTGAAAGCCAGAGAAAGATGCCTGAGGGCCACATTTGGCCCGCAGGTCTAAGGTTCCCCACCTCTGGATTAATGCAAAGTGCTGGTGCTGACCTTTAAAGCCCTAAATGGCCTCAGTCCTGTATACCTGAAGGAGCATCTCCACCCCCATTGTTCAGCCCAGACACTGAGGTCCAGCTCTAAGGGCCTTCTGGTGGTTTCCTCACTTGAAGAAGGGAAGTTACAGGGAACCAGGCAGAGGGCCTTCTCAGTAGTGGCACCTCCCCTGTGGAACACCCTCCCATCAGGTGTCAAGGAAATAAACAACTACACGACTTTCTGAAGACATTTGAAGGCAGCCCTGTACAGTGGTACCTTGGTTTACGAACTTAATCCGTTCCGGAAGTCCGTTCTTAAACCAAAGCATTCTTCAAACCAAGGCGTTCTTTCCCATAGCAGCGGGGGACTCAATTTACAAATGGAACACACTCAACAGGAAGCGGAACATGTTCTGCTTCCAAGGCAAAATTCACAAACCAAAACACCTACTCCTGGGTTTGCAGCATTCTTAATCCAAGTTGTTCATAAACTAAGCTGTTCTTAAACCAAGGTACCACTGTATCCGGAAGTTTTTAATGTCCAGTGTTTTGTTGTGTTCTTCTATACTCTGTTGGAAGCCACCCAGGGTGGCTAGGGGCAATCCAGTCAGACAGGCGGGGTACAAGGAATAAATTTGGAGAGTATAAATACTCTCCAAAATTTTCTGGTGAAAATTGGGATGTCCTGTTCCATAATAATAATAATTTTACCTCACACATCTGAATGGGTTGCCTCAGCCCCTCTGGGGTGCAGCTTCCAACATATATAAAAACATAATAAAACATTGAACATTAAAAAACTTCCCTATACTTCAGCCTTCAGATGTCTTTTAAAGGTTTCTTCAGGAAGGTATATTTAAATACCTTTTTCATTTCATTATAGATCATTTCCCAGAATGCCTTAATCCTTGGGCACGTCCACCAAAGGTGATAGAATGTACCTTCAGTTTCTTTACATTTCCAACATTTATTATCGGGCAAATGATAGATTTTTGCAAGCTTGACTGGGGTCATGTACCACCTGTATATCATTTTCATAATATTCTCTCTTAGGGCATTGCATGCCGTAAACTTGATACCTGTGGTCCATAACTGTTCCCAGTCAGCCATCATTATGTTATGTCCAACATCTCCTGGGCATTGTCGGCCAATTGGTGCCAAAGAAGGACAGAACTTTTTTTATGTATGCTACAACAGCAGCAAGAATACTCATTGCAAAGTATTGGAAGACACAAGATCTACCCACTTTGGAAGAATGGCAGATGAAGGTGATGGACTATATGGAACTGGCAGAAATGACTGGCAGAATCCGAGACCAGGAAGAAGAGTCGGTGGAAGAAGATTGGAAGAAATTCAAAGACTATTTACAGAAATATTGTAAAATTAATGAATGATAGAATGCTGTTGGATAGAAATTAAGTGGTTTCCAGCTGTAATGCTTTAAGGGAATATGAAAAATGGGTTGTTAATAGGTAAAAAGCTAACGTTACTATTTTAAGACCAAAGATTAGGATAAATAAAGAGGGTAAGGATTTGCTGAACCAACAAATTGAACTGGAATACAAAAAAGGGAGGTATGAGGAGGTCCGGGAAACAAGCTAAGGAAAAATAAGTAATGGAAAAATTGAGTGGTTTTTAATCATTTTTATTTTGTATTTTCTTTTTCATTTTTATATTGTATCATTTGGAAAATCTTAATAAATATCTTATAAAAAAAACAAAAACAGATGTCTTTTAAAGGTTGTATAGTTACTTATCTCCTTGGCTCGGGGGTCGCATAACTGCACACCGTCCAACATTTCTCCAATGAGAATTGGGACATCCTAAGGGAAAGCGGGACATTCTGTAAATCCGGGATTGTCCCTGAAGAATAGGGACACTTGGATGGTCTGCATTATTGTTATTATAACAAATGGAGCCCCAAGCCGGAACCACAGAAACCCCTTGCATGGCGGATGTGCCCAGAGGATGGGAGCCTCTTGCCAGGTACGAGCTCCCTGCCCCACGGCCCCTGCAATTACCTTCTGCCTCTGTTTGTGCATCATGGCCTCCAGGGTGTCCAGTTGCACCTGCTTCTGCTGCCGCTCCTTTTGCAGGCGCTCCAGCCGCTGCTCCACCTCGGCGATGGCCCGCAAGGCCCGGGACGGCAGACCCACCTTCCATTCCTCGCCCGGCCAGCTCATGGTACTCTCTAGAGGTGCTCCTGTCCGGGCCCGGCTCATGAAAGGCTTCCGTTTCTCCCCCCAACCAGGTCTCTCTCTCTCTGGCCTCCCAAGGACAGATTGGTGGGATTAAAAAGCCAGCCAGGGCTTACAGCGGCGTCATGCAGAGGAGCTGCCAGGATACTTTCCTGTGCAGCCGGCCGGGCAGGAGCGGGTCAGCCTACACCCAAGGCTGGAGGGAATGGCAAAGACCCCCTAGTTTCAAAAAGCAGCAGCCAAATCTCAGGGCTTCCACTAAACTCTAATCGCTACCATCTCTAGGGAAAGGAGTTTAAACTGGTCTCAGGGTGGGGGAATTAAGAGCACACAGTTGGGCGATTTTAATTTTCCCGCTGGGCCAGACCTCAGCCTTCCCCGCCATTCTAAAAATTTAATCCTGATTTTTCCAGCTTGCCCTGCTTAACATTCTCATGCAATCTGCCTTTCTAGGAGCGTGCAAGAATGAGGAAGATCAAGGCAGGCATCAAATGTTCTTTTAAAAAAACACAGACAGAGAGAGGGGAATCAGAAGAGGGGCATTAAACCTCCGCTCAGAAAAATAAAAAAGAGGCCCTCAACTGTCTCTTGTGTAAGGAATTAGGGCTACTAAACTCCCTCTCCTGCTTCAACAGGCTTCACCCATGAGCTCCCAAGCCCCGCCTCCTGCACATTAGGGGTGGAGTTTCAAGCCCTACAGAGGCCTTCAATCAGAAGCAAGAGTTTAAGCAGCCCAGACATTGATGCTTTTGAATTATGGTGCTGGAGGAGACTCTTGAGAGTCCCATGGACTGCAAGAAGATCAAACCGATCCATTCTGAAGGTAATCAGCCCTGAGTGCTCACTGGAAGGACAGGTCCTGAAGCTGAGGCTCCAATACTTTGGCCACCTCATGAGAAGAGAAGACTCCCTGGAAAAGACCCTGATGCTGGGAAAGATGGAGGGCACAAGGAGAAGGGAACGACAGAGGATGAGATGGTTGGGCAGTGTTTTCGAAGCTACCAGCATGAGACTGACTAAACTGTGGGAGGCAGTGGAAGACAGGAATGCCTGGCGCACTCTGGTCCATGGGGTCACGAAGAGTTGGACACGACTAAACGACTAAAAAACAACAACACATCACTTTACAGTGGCTTTCTCTCTGTTTGATTCAGGTGTGGATTGCAGTGGAGGTTGCTTCATTCGAGTGAACTCCTTCCTAACTTTTTACAACCAATCTTCAGGGTGGCCCTTTTTGCCAGCTTCCTCCTTAGTCTCAGCGTTGCCCCCCTTGTGGAACTCAGCAGGGAGAACGAGGACAAAACTAGCATTAGTTGGTTCTGCTTGTCATTGGCTCTGGCTCCATCTAGTGGCGGGCTCCCTGCCTTCCGCCCTACCAGCCACCATTGGCAAACATGGCTCCTGGATGCCATTACGGTGTGTGTTGAGTGAGGAGTGTCTTCCAAAAGCAGTGAACAGGGGTTGTAGCTCCACTCTCTCTACTTAAGTCCAAACGGGAAGAGGAAAAAGCAGCCAGTGAGCTGCAGGCCCAGGAATGTTCCTGGCAGTTTTTTGCTTTCATTGGAAGCACAGGCTGTTTCGCCAAAGATTTAAAACAAGGAGACCTCCCCTACTGGTACACAAGGCTATTTTCCCAAAGCCACACCCACCTGCCACACTCCTGAAGTCGTGCAGTGTCAGGTGTCGGGCAGGTAGAGGTGCAGCTGCAGAAAGTAGGTCTGAAAGCGCCCCATGTATCAGCTGGTGTGGGGGGAGTTCAATCCTGCTCAGTTCAGGTGCCCCATTGAGTTGCCTAGGCTGGCATGCCTGAATCCTGCAGGAAGCAGGATTGAACCCCCATGTATCAGCTCACACATACAGAGTCCAATTATGCTCAGGTGAGCCAGCCAGTGTTCCCCTCACTCCACAACCAGTTTAAAGGTTTCCTCCCTCTCACCATGTTTAGGGGGGAAAGATAAATCTTCCACTTATCCACAACAGATAGCAATAGTGTCCACAAGGTGCACATTTTATTTTGGGGTTGAGGTTTGTGTGTGTGAGAATGTCTTTACAGATCCAACATTTACCAAAAAGAAATATTTTGTCACGTGTTTCAATCTGGTTTTAGCTTGTTGATTTTAATATGTCTTCGAATGTTTCAAATACTTGTCTTTTACCGATAATTATATTTATTCTTTCTGCAAACCACTCTGAGGTTTTGTTACAATCAAATAGTATATAAATGTTGTGAAATAAACCGATTCACCTGTTCCATGGTACTTACTTTGCTATGTTTTTATGCGTAAGAATGCTTGAAAAAAGTAATTTTGTTCAAATGAATGGGGGCAATATAGCCCTCAAGACGGGGCTCCGATACCCATTAATCCCCAACCAGCATGGCCAGCAACATTTGGAAAGCCAGAGGTTCCCCCATTTCCACCGCAGCACAACTACAGAAAACCACACGCAATGTCGCTAACACAAAGTGGACTTTATTGTTAAGTTGGGGGTGGGGGGGGCAATGGAATAGCACCAAAACTGCAGCATGTCTAGCAAATAACAAAAGGCTACTCCAAAACACTGCCGCTACCAGCTCATGGGAAGAGGGGGGAAAGGAGGAACCCCCCTGCCCTGTAGACACATTTGACCAGAATTCATTAAAACAATGACATCACAGATAAAACTGAACCCACCCCTCTCCTCAATCCGAGTCGATTAAAGTGCCAAGAGTTTTCTGTATACTATTGGTTAAGTACCCGGGGTGGGGGTGAGGGGGGGGCCAGAGGGGGGCTGGGGAAGGAGGGGGAGAGCTTAAGCATCAAGACCGAGATGCCAGCAACAAGAGCCAACCCAGCCCCCCCCCCAAATGGCTAAAAGAAATAAAGCTGGGTTTTCCTACAGTTTGGGGAATGGGGTGATGGTGCTTATAATACCGTGTGTGCACATCCCTGCTCCTTCATAGAAACCTGTCCTACATCAGTAGTGATTCCTGGGTCTTCGCATCAGTGCCCCACAAACCCCCCCCCGCTCCCCTCAGTTCTGCGGGGTGGAATAGAGGCTGTGGTGGTGGCTGCCGGACACCGTGGCCTGCGAGAACAAAAGGGGGGCCGTGGGAGGGGGCCCCCCAAACCAGTCCTGCTCCCCGCTGCGGTTGATCGAGCCGTACCAGCTCCCGACGCTGCCCAGGCGTCCCGTCAGGCTGGAAGGAAGCGGGTGGGGTGGGAAAGAAGAGGCAATTTGGGTGGGGGGGGGGGAGGCATGTGAGTGTTAGGAAGCAAAAGGAAAGAAAGGAATTAGACCAGTGGTTTCTAACCTGCTGCCCCCTTGTTTCCATACCACCCCCCTGCTCTGTAAAAAGCGTAACTCAGAATAGTAGTTTGTACGACCCACTCAGGAAGATATAACACGATAAAATTCAAAATGGTCACTATTAATGGCACATTTATTCAAAATCCAATTTTGAATACTTAAATTTAATTATTGATGAACTTAATAAATAATAATTAATTATTTTATTATTATTATTATTATTATTATTATTATTTATTCCCCACCCATCTGCCTGGGCTTCCCCAGCCACTCTGGGCGGCTTCCAACAAAATATTAAAATACCATAATGCATCAAACATTAAAAGCTTCCCTAACCAGGGCTGCCTTCAGATGTCTTCTAAAAATCTGGTAGTTGTTGTTCTCTTTGACATCTGGTGGGAGGGCGTTCCACAGGGCGGGCGCCACTACCAAGAAGGCCCTCTGCTTGGTTCCCTGTAACTTGGCTTCTCGCAGTGAGGGAGAATGATCCAGCGATACCAGCTTTTCAGAGTCTGAAATCATTTACCCCTCATCCCCCCCCAGCCTAGGGGTGGCACGACAACACTTTGGGAGCCCCTGAATTAGGTAAGAGTTGAGGCTCAGTGGTGCTGAAGCACTCGGGAACATAGACAACTTTCCTATTCCACCAGGCCTAGGCAGGCAACTTAAGAATATATCCTTCCACAATGGTTAATTGACGTTTAACCTTTCTGTATGTTTTTATTGTATGGCTTTAAGTTTTATTGCTGTAAGCTGCTTTGATATATATACATTTTATGACACAGCAGCATAGTAATGCTTTTGTAAGTAAAACGACTGTGCCAACTTCATCGATGGAGCTTTTAAAACTTCCAGGCATGGAAACGATTTCCGTTCCACCTCCGAGGCCGGGGGTGGGGAGCCAGTGCAAGGACGGCAGTGGGGCTGTCAGTCAGGGACCGCACACCCACCCCAGTCTAGTTCTAATGGGTCAGCGATGGGAATCTGGGGCCCCAGGAGGACTCCGACCTGGGGCAAGGTCCCAGGGGTTTGGGAGGTGGAGATCCAGGGGAAGGGCCAACAGGAAAGCGGTTCCCCCTCTGCCACCCCCAGGACGTAAGACACCCCAAGTGCACAGGCCATTGAGCTGACTCCTCCTGGGTCAGAGACTAGCTGGATGAGGAAGACGGGTGGGCACTCACAGCCGAAGAGCCCCCGCCAGGGAGGACGTAGAAGAAGAAGACTTAGACTCCAGATCGTGGTGGTGGGATACCGGGGAGCAGTCTGGGGAAGGGACGAACTGGGAGGTGCTAGAAGCAGGGGGCTTGAGGGGGTCAGGAGAAGAAGGGCCTTCCAGGACAGGGTTGGAGGCTGGGAGTCAGAGTGTGAGCGCAGACTCAGACAGAGAGGAGTTGGAAGCTGCCCCAGCTGTCCAGCAGCAGGGCAGGCCCAGTCCTGCTGGCTCTCCTCCCCTGCTAACACCCAGATTGAGGAGCTTCCCTCACATTGCTGGGCAATGAGCCAGAAGAGGAGCCCACCCTTCAACGCAGCTTTTGTCTGCTTCGGATGGATCCAGAGTGAGAGGCTAGAGGGGAAGGGCAGGTCCAGCAGTCAGTTTCAGCAACATCTCCAGCTGGATTAAGACACAGCCAGCTGTGTTGTTACGTTTCTGAGCACAATTCAAAGTGTTGGTGTTGACCTTTAAAGCCCTAAATGGCCTCGGCCCAGTATACCTGAAGGAGCGTCTCCATCCCCATCATTCTGCCCGGACGCTGAGGTCCAGCACTGAGGGCCTTCTGGTGGTTCCCTCACTGTGAGAAGCAAAGCTACAGGGAACCAGGCAGAGGACCTTTTCGGTAGTGGCGCCCGCCCTGTGGAACGCCCTCCCATCAGATGTCAAAGAAATAAACAACTACCTGACATTTAGAAGACATCTGAAGGCAGCCCTGTTCAGGGAAGTTTTTAATGTGTGACATTTTAATGTATTTTTAATGTTTCTTGGAAGGCACCCAGTGTGGTTGGGGAAGCCCAGTCAGATGGGTGGGGTACAAATTATTATTATTATTATTATTATTATTATTATTATTATGTGAATAAAAGCTAATGGCATTTCTCGTCTCGTATTCTTTCCTGCCCTGTGGATGACCTGGGCTCGTCTGACAGCTCCTTGACACTGTGTGAGTGAACAGCCTCCGTGGGAGAGCATCTGTTTGGCATGCAGAAGGTCCCAGGTGGGTCTGGGAATGTCCCCTCTGGGAAACCCCGGAGAGCTGCTGCCAGTCAGTGCAGACAATACTGACCATTGGCTTGACTCCGTATAAAGGCAGCTCCCTATGCTCCTTAATCAGGAGGCTGGGACAAGTGCGGCCTCGGGGAAGAAGAGAAATTACCTGCTCGTCAGTCCTTCACTTTCGCGCTGCCCGGGATGGTCAAAGAAGTAGGATCGGGAGACCCCCAGCTGCCGGTTGAAGACACGGCTGGCGCTCTGTGGGGAGGAAGGCACCATTACTGGGGACGCTGCTCCTGCAATCAGCCTTTGCCTGCAGGGTGGCAAGGTAAGGCCATGTCCGGTGCCCCCTGTCTTTTAAGCAGAAGGCCTTGCCAGTGGATTGCACCCAAGGGATCCAAGCTCTCAGCCTTGGGAGACGCCACGGGAGGAGAACGCAGCGCCCACAGAAATAGCTGCACCCGGAACACTGCGGGGCTCCATCCTTCTCGGTGGTGCCCCCGAGCTACGAAGCTCCCTTCCAAAAGACTTTCACCAGCTGTCCTCATTCTGGTGCCCTGCAAATGTTGCCGAACAGTCTCCCTCCGGAGGTTATGGACTCTCCTTCCTTGGAGGTTTCTCAGCAGAGGTCGGATGGCCATCTGTCACGGATGCTTTAGCTGAGAGTCCTGCATTGCAGGGGGTGGACCATACAGTTCTATGATTCGATGACTTTCAATCCATCCCAGGCAGCATGGCCCATGGGCAGGGGTGTTGGGAACTATAGGCCCACCTGTGCCTGGGGGCAGGGATGGGGGAAGACATGAAACTGGCTCAGGCTGATTTGCACCTTGTCCCTACGATACAGGTGTTTTAAGCAGATCTTGCGGAGTTTCATTTCTTCTGCTGCCAGATAGGAAGTGGTCTGGCTCAGAGCTGCTAAGTGCCTGCTGTATCTATGGTTACCTTTCTGCCATCTCTTTTTTGAAAATGCTGCTTGGGGAAAGCACGCCTTTAAAATGCAGTTTAAAAATACAATTGAACAAATCTAGAATTCCTTCTGCTTTACAACATAAAGACAAGAACCAGAATTTGTCGTGGTGCTTTTATTTTCGCCTCTGCCTGTGGCCCTCGGAAGGCTGCCCAGAAGGGAATGTGGCCCTTGAAAAATGTCCCCCACCCCTGATGCACTGAGTGATGCTCTCGTAACGGCAACAGCCCCCTGCCTCCCCCTACGCTTCGGGCCTCTCCTTCCACTGCCTTTTTGCTGTTCTGCTCCTCTCCCAACCAACCGTTTCAACTCACCATATCTTGAGCAGGCCGGTGCACCCGGAAGAAGCCGACTAGCAGAGACGTGGGCAGCAGCTCCCAGATGAAGAGAATGAGGCCGAAGATGACGTAACCTTGGTCTCCCAGGTCCGTGATCAGATCTGCCTGGAAGGGGAGGGAGAAGGGAGACACTTGAGCAGCTGGTCTCCACTGGGGTGGAAGACAGAGAGCCCAATGGTTGGTGCAGCTGGAGCCAGTGACAGGCAGAGCTTCCCCCTGACTGGCTGTAAGTTAGATGGCAGGGAGGTGGGGGCCGGACAAAGGCAGGGGGAGGCAGCAAGCCACCTCCCACTTACCTGGAGTAAGCCCCAGTTCTGAGTAGACACAGTTAGGTCTGCGCTGCAGTGGCTGCATCCAACACAGAGTCGACCCGGGGAATTTAACGGAGCCCAGTCATTTGTTCCGTTGCAGCGGGTCTACTCCAGAGTAGGAAAGGCGGCCCTTAAGGAATCCGAACTTAGCCCGCCCTGCTCACCTGGTCAGATACGTTGTACCAGTCGTAATCGAAGGAGTCGAGGCGGGTGCGGGAAGACAGAGCCAGGGCTGCCAGGTTGTAGCAAGCTCGGCTGGCGTAGAGCAGGACGATGATGCCACCCATGGCGGCCGTTTGGCACAGCGAGGTGCCCTTTCACAGAAAAGGGGCAGACAGGAAAGAGAGACTGGTCAGTGGGTCTCAGCAAACTCAAATCAAGAGAGCCTTGTGGCGCCTTGAAGCTGTGGGACCCCGGTGGCCCACCATAGAATCATAGAATCATAGAATCATAGAGTTGGAAGAGACCACAAGGGCCATCGAGTCCAACCCCCTGCCAAGCAGGAAACACCATCAGAGCACTCCTGACATATGGTTGTCAAGCCTCTGCTTAAAGACCTCCAAAGAAGGAGACTCCACCACACTCCTTGGCAGCAAATTCCACTGTCGAACAGCTCTTACTGTCAGGAAGTTCTTCCTAATGTTTAGGTGGAATCTTCTTTCTTGTAGTTTGGATCCATTGCTCCGTGTCCGCTTCTCTGGAGCAGCAGAAAACAACCTTTCTCCCTCCTCTATGTGACATCCTTTGATATATTTGAACATGGCTATCATATCACCCCTTAACCTCCTCTTCTCCAGGCTAAACATGCCCAGCTCTCTTAGCCGTTCCTCATAAGGCATCGTTTCCAGGCCTTTGACCATTTTGGTTGCCCTCCTCTGGACACGTTCCAGTTTGTCAATGTCCTTCTTGAAGTGTGGTGCCCAGAACTGGACACAGTACTCCAGGTGAGGTCTGACCAGAGCAGAATACAGTGGCACTATTACTTCCCTTGATCTAGATGCTATACTCCTATTGATGCAGCCCAGAATTGCATTGGCTTTTTTGCTGCCGCGTCACACTGTTGGCTCATGTCAAGTTTGTGGTCAACCAAGACTCCTAGATCCTTTTCACATGTACTGCTCTCAAGCCAGGTGTCCCCCATCTTGTATTTGTGCCTCTCATTTTTTTGCCCAAGTGCAATACTTTACATTTCTCCCTGTTAAAATTCATCTTGTTTGTTTTGGCCCAGTTCTCTAATCTGTCAAGGTCGTTTTGAAGTGTGATCCTGTCCTCTGGGGTGTTAGCCACCCCTCCCAATTTGGTGTCATCTGCAAATTTGATCAGGATGCCCTTGAGTCCATCACCCAAGTCGTTGATAAAGATGTTGAATAAGACCGGGCCCAAGACAGAACCCTGTGGCACCCCACTAGTCACTCTTCTCCAGGATGAAGAGGAACCATTGATGAGCACCCTTTGGGTTCGGTCAGTCAGCCAGTTACAAGGTATTTATCGGACCAAAATTCCTATCGTCCCCGACTGCTGAACAGGAAGCTGGCGGCTGATGGGAGCTGGAGTCCAGCTGGATACCGTTGAACTACTGCTCCCATCATCCCTGACTGCAGGTGGGTGAGGCCTTCATGGATATTGCAGCTGCAACCCACTCCCATGACGACAGCTCCGCAGCTATCGGGGAGAAGAAGGGTCTCAGGGAAGAAGAGTGTCATCACCTTGAGGAAGAGGGAAACATTCCCTTAGAAAGGACCCGTAATTTGGTGGACGAACACCTATCCTCTTTTGCTGAGGGTACTTCTCTGGGGAGCGGGGGCACTGTGGTAGTGGCCAATTCAATCATTACAAATGTTGATAGCAGGGTGTGTGCGACGGGCATGCAGATCCCAGGGCAAACAGGCTGCCTGGCACAAAGGTTGCGGATAACCTGAGGAGTCGTCAGTGGTTTTGGAGTGTGCTGCCACCAACACTATGGGGGAAATGTAACCACAAGGCCCGGGAAACCAAATTTAGGTTGAACCCTGCCGTGTGGGAACCCCTCGCAGACGAGTGCAGTGCCTGGAATCAGGTCATGCATCTGTAGCAGTGAGCAACGGTGGAATGACCGCCGGGAGGAGAGCAGAGAGAAGAAATGCCACGGTGCATCTGCAGCAGCACAATCAGACACTTCCATCTGCCCCAGCTGCAACAAAACATGTCTCTCCCCAATCTATCACTACAGCTATAACCTTCCAGCAGTTTGACTTCACCTCCCAAAGGCACACACATGTTCTCCCGAGACAGAAGAATGCCAGCAACAATGCAAAGTGCTAAAAGCCAGGACCTCCAAGGCAGCTTTCTCCAACATGCTACCAGTTCCCGAGCCAACTTGGCAGGTGAAACGCTGCGGTCTCGGTGCATGGATGAGATGCCACTGCAGCAATGTCAAACCCCTGCTCCCAACCCCAACCCCACCACCTGCCCCCTGGCAAATGCTCACCTTGGCTTCCAGGTAGATGCGGGTGGAAGGAGAACCCCGGGCGACGAGGCAGAGGCAGAGGGCCAGAGAGACGGCCCCCAGCACAAACAGCGAGTCACTGATGAGGACGCGTGCCAGGACCACGGCCCAGGGCTCGGCGCGGCGCCCTCGCACCAGCACGGCGCACACCACGTTCACAGCCAGGAAGAGGAGGCTGGCGCCCAGGCACGCCCCTCGCACTGCCAACCTGGGGGAGAGAAAGCGGGGAGGCAGAGTTAGCGCGGCTGCTGGCCCCCGGGGCAAGGCTCTGCCTTCATTGTCAGAGGCAGACTGCCCCAAAATGCCAGGGAGAGAGCTAGTGTGCTCAGGTCTCGCTTGCAGGTTCCCCACAAGCGTCTGTCTGGCCACTGTGAAAATAGGATGCTGGATTAGATGGGCCTTGGGTCTGGCCTAGCGACAAGTCTCTTCTAATGTGCAGTGAGAGCCCCCTGGCCTTGGGAAAGGTTCAGATTTTGAGCCGTTCTCCAGTTGCAGCTCTGTAGCTTTCTGGTGGTGACAGCTCCTTAAAGGTAAAGGGACCCCTGACCATTAGGTCCGGTTGTGGCCGACTCTGGGGTTGCAGCGCTCATCTCGCTTTATTGGCCGAGGGAGCCGGCGTACAGCTTCCAGGTCATGTGGCCAGCATGACTAAGCCGCTTCTGGTGAACCAGAGCAGCACATGGAAACGCCGTTTACCTTCCCACCAGAGCGTACCTATTTATCTACTTGCACTTGACGTGCTTTCGAACTGCTAGGTGGGCAGGAGCAGGTACCGAACAACGGGAGCTCACCCCTTCGTGGGGATTCGAACCGCCGACCTTCTGATCGGCAAGTCCTAGGCTCTGTGGTTTAACCCACAACGCCACCCGCGTCCCTGATAGCTCCTTACACCCATGCTAAACTGCAGTTAGCATTGGTTTATTAAATTAAGGTGAACTGTGATTTATAAACCACAGTTAAGCCACAGGGCCAGGTTCAGCCAACCAATTTTTGGCAAGGGTTAGCATGGTTTATAAACCATAGCTTAGTGCTGCTTGCAACCCAGGCCACTGAGAAAGAGAAACTGGAAGAGCACGGAAGAGAGAGGCCTGCTGGAATAGACCCAGGGGCCCTCTAGTCCAGTTGGTTGTTCAGCTGTGTCCAGTCTGGCGCTGCCAGCAAGCCTACAAGCAAAAGGCACGAATCCCACCTCTGTTGTCTGTCCTCAGCATTTGGTGGTCCGAGATAGATTGCCCCTGAACATGGAGGCTCCATTGGGAGGCCTGTCCTCCTTAAATTTTCTGAACCCTTGAAAGCTATCTAATGGCAGTGTGTGGGAGTGAGCGAATCACAGCTGTGAATCTCATGCAAGCTCCTCCCCATACTTCAGGGGTGGGGAACCTTTCTCAGACAGAGGGCCAGGCTACCTTCTGGCCAACCTTCCAGGGGCCACATGGCAGTGGTGGGTGGAGCCAGAGGCTAAGGTGGGCAGAGCAATGGTTAATTTTACCTGTGCACCATAAGCTAGTTTCCACGCACACTCACAAACGCCATTTCATCCAGGCAACAAGAGGCATGATCAGAGTTCAAGGACCCGCTTCCAGCCAGGCAAACAACTCAGTTTTGAAACCTCACCCTGTCTCCTACTTTTGTATTGCAAGCTGTAGCTAGGATACTGCTGGGGGAGTGTATTTTTAATTTCATATAACGTTGAGATTTTGCCTCTTAAACTTGCAATCCTGCATTCTCCATTTATTTGCCAGCTATTTTATGTGAAGAGCCACATTGGGTTTATTTTAATTTTAAATTTTTATTTTAAATGGAAAATGCAACTGGTTTTTAAAAATACTAGAATGCTTTATCTTTTTTCTCCCCTGACACTTGAGAAGGATATATGGCAAGGCGGAAGAATGCAAGGTGTTATGATGTTACACACAAATACACATCTACTCACAGGCCTTTGGTCAGTTCAGGGCGGTATTTTGCTTTGGCCTTGAAAACCACCTGGAGGGGAAGGGAAGAAAGGGGAAGGTATTAGCAATTACAGAAAACAAGCAGGACCTGCAACAAACAACCATAGCATAACTTTGCCTGCTAACAAGATAGTCGGGTAGGAGAGCTGAAAAGAATGCCAGTATCTTTCACATCTGGTACCCCATGTTCCCCTTGGTTTCTGATGGCACATGGGTAGATGAGGCTAAAAAGCCCCAGACAAAAATGTTCACAGCCCTCTAGTGGCTAAGGTGGCTCATTTACCAGAAGTCATGGATTTAGCATTAACTCCAGAAGTGTATTCACGATTCTGTCCAAACTAAGCCTCCTGGGGTCTATTTTGCTCTTGTGCTCTGAACAGAATGCAGAAGGCCACTTAATGACTTCACGAGCCAGTATGAGATTCGAATCCAGAGCTTTCTGGCTCACAGCTCAGCCTCTTAGCCGCAACATTGTTCTCACTTTTCTCTGCTTTCATTTCACATTTTTCCATTTATATCCCACCTGTTCCTGCTCAAGAAACATTTTATCCTCACAAAAACAGGTAGGGAAGGAGAAGAGACTGTGACCGGTCACCAAGTGAGCTGCAGGGCTGCACAAGGATTTGACCCCAAGTCTCTCAGGTCCTAGCCCCGTCCTCTAACCACTACACCGCCCTGAAAAGGCAGCAACTAGATTTGCGCAGCAAGTTGAAATTTCAGACCCCACAAAGTTGGTGGGCATTCCTATTCAAATGGTATATGTGCACTGCATCTTGTGATCAGTCATGCGGGGCGGGGCTTACTTGGGCCCCCACAATATTTTATTCAAATTTGCACCCCTGTGTGGCACCATCGCGAGCAGTGATGTACTGGTAAGTAATGGTGCAGAGCCTTCTTGGTGGTGGTGCCAAGGCTTTTGGGTCTTCTTTCCTCTCCGTGAAAATTCACCTGGTTGCCTCCCTGTTCTATGCGCTTTGTGAATAAGTACTTCCTTTAAAAAACAGTAACCGGGGCAGAGGTCGGTGGGGAAGAGCCATAACTCAGTGGCAGCAGAGTAGCTGCTTTGCATGAAGGATCTCTTAGTTCAATCCCCAGTCTGAAACCCAGGAAAGTTGCTGCCAGTCCGTGCTGACACTGCTGAACTAGATGGACCCGTGGTCTTGCTCTGTTTAAGGTAGCTTCCTTTGGTTTATCCTGAATCTCCCAGCATTCAGTTTCATTAGATGATTCAAGTATGATGAAGATCAGGGAGAAAGCTTCCCTTTCTCTACACTGTACATAATTTTATACATGTCTATCATGCACCCCCTGCTACTTTCCCCCCCCTCCAAAAAAAGCCCAAATTGTTGCAACATTTCCTCATTGTTGTTCCAGCCCCCTGAACATTTTGACTGCCCTTTTCTGCAGAGGAATGGTGCTTTTGATCCTGAAACTAATTAGTTAAGAGCCATTTCATGACTAGTAGCCATGAGATTGTGAGGACAGACGAACAGGGCAGAATGACTGGTTGAGAATCCAAGGCAGCACATGTGCAAGGGTTGAGGCCAGAGGGAGGGGACCTGTGGCCCTCCAGGTATTGGCGGACTCCAGCACCCATCTGCCCAGGCCAGCATAGCCGATGGTCAGGGATGATGGGAGTTGCAGCCCACCATCATCGGCAGGGCTGCAGGTTCCCCATCGCTGGTTTAGCAAGCAATATAAAGAGCCCATATTGGGGAGAAGAACCAGACTGAGAACCACGTTCCTTGGGGCGGAAGCTTCTAGAGCCGGGGGGGGGGACACACACACGCAAGTGGTGGGCAGGGCCAGAGGTAAAAGTGGACAGAACAATGGAAGTGACTTTGTACAAGAGGCCACATTCCAGCCATGCAAAAAAGAAAAAGGATGGAGGTTTCTACATCCTCACCCCACACAGCTCTCCATCCTCTTTCTAGGCAAACAAGAGGCATCAGTTCAAGGAAGGGGTGGGGTGGAAGGTCTGGAAAGAGTTCCTGAGGGCCAGGTGCAGAGGCCTGAAGGGCCACCATTTGGCCCTGGCGGCCAGAGTTCACCCACCCTCAAGGCCCCTTGGGATGTTCCCATCCACAAAACTGGCCCAGCATTCCAAGCAGCCATCTTTTACCCACAAGCCACCTGGGCAAGCAAGCAAGCACCCCCTTAGAAGAGTTACCTGGGCAAAATACAAGTTCATGAGGGTCAAGGTGAAGAACTGCAGGCAGACGGGGCAGCAGTATAGGAGCCAGAAGAAGAAAGGGCTCAGGTGGTTGGCTTTGAGGGTGTTCTTGAAGTAGAAGGAGAAGAGCGTGGTGCGCAGCGCAGCCCAGAAGAGGCAGAGAAAGAGGAAGACAGTCTGGTAGCTGAACTTCTTGTGGCGATAGAAGAGGACCAGCCAGAGCTGGGCGTAGACCGAAAGGAAAAGCAAGGCATAGAGGCCCGTGTACAGAGCCGTCAGCCCAACCTTGACGGCCGGCGGGAAGGCCGGGGTGAGGCGCGAAGCTGGCACAATCGAGCTGAGGTTGCCAAAGGTCTTTTCCATCTTGAATCCGGTTAGCAAGGTGTCATTTCCAGGGGGCAAGCCTCGAGGCAACCAGCACCACTTTCTTAAGACGGAGGAGCTGCCCCCGGGTCCGGTAGTTGGTTACATCCTTCAGGGCTGCTGTGGGAGGCCAGCCCCTCAAGCAGATTGAATCAAGGGATTTTCGCAAGTTCCATGGGAAGCGTGGAAGGGATTGGAAGCAGGAGAGAGAAGGAGGGAAACAACAGCTGGCCCACCCACCCTTCTTTGCTAAGAAGGCATGGAGGCGAGAACCAAATCCAATTCTTGCTGTGAATAAAAACAAACGGAAGACTTCTCCTATGCCTGGAAATGAGCTGGGTTACTCCAAGGTCCTGATCCTGTCAAATGTTCAGCAGGAATAACAAGACACCTTCCGAGGGGCTGCCCCCTCCCCTACCTAGGGCTCTTGCATCCCACCCCAGGATCAGGTGGTGAAAGGTGCCTGGGTGCACCTGTCGCTTGGCAGGTCCTGAAGCGCTTCCTCAACCACCCAGATTTCAGGGCCACACCTGTTCAAAGTGCTCGGACACCAGGGTCCCTTAGTCCTTCGAAATCTGGATCCCTTGATTGCCGCCTCCTCTGGAAATCCCTGGTCACTTGGCTCCGTCCTCAGAGAGCTGGACCCGTTTTGCTTTGCTTTCCCGGAAGCTCAGGTGGCCTTCGCTCCAAATTTCCAGGTTACCTAGAATTCTTCTTTCTGTTTGCTCCACGGTATCGGACACCTGGGTCCCTCGGCTTCTTCGCCTTCTCCAGTTTCAGGCGCCGGTTGCCTGCGTCCCTTAACCCTTTTCTTCCCAGGCGCCGGGGTCTCTGGATCCCTTCGCTTCAGACCCTCGGACGCCTGGGTCCCTTTTGTTTCCCTGACTAAACCTCAATATACCTGGTTCCTTTAAGCCTCCCCCCAGATCGTCGGATGCCTGGGTCCCTTGGCTCCTTCCGGATTCTCGAACAATAAGCAGCTCTTCCTTTCCTTTTGCTGCCTTCTCCCCAAAAAATTGGGAGGGGGGGAGAGGAGACAGAGAGCGAGAGAGAGACGGTTCCCAGGCCTAAAGCAGCCCCAGCTGCGTTCCTTCCTGGTAGCTTCGAGCTGCGCAAACTGAGTAAGGCCCGCCCCCTCCCTCTCACCGGCTTGGCGTGACGAAACCTGCACCCGCTCTAGCATCCTAGTCTCCTTTTACGCAAAGGACGTAAGCGGCTTCGTGAATGGGACAGGCGGCAGAAAGTCACCTGGCTAGAGCGTCTGCGCTCCTTCCGGTCGCCATCTTAAGTGTGGGCGAATGAAGCTTACCCTCCTCCCTTACTATTGTACGGACCCCGAGATTGCTATGCGTTTCCAGGAAATGCTCCCCCCTGGCTGTTCCCTCCCAGTTCTGTCCTAGTGCCCAGTAAAGGCATCTCCTGCCCATATTCTCCCAATAAATCTGCAGGGGCTATGAAACCCCCAACTGCTCCAGTATGTTTCAAAGTTAAGCCCCTATTGATGATAATATGGGATTGTCCCTGCCCCTAATGTCAGACTAGCAGCAAAAGTGCTCGCTTGCGGCACAGTTCTAGCCATGTCTACTCAGAAGTAAGTCCTACTGAATTCCCAGGTAAGTGAGGGGAGAGCTGCAATCTTCCTTGCTTACGTTTGGGTAAGCGTCATTGAACTCAATGAGTCTTGCTTCTGAATAAAGCATCGCGCGGTGAAAGGCAATAATTGTAATAACTTTTAAATGAAAAATAAAGATGGCCAAAGCTGAGAGGCAGTGACTGGCCCAAGGTCACCCACTGAGCTTCAGGGCTAAGCAGGATTTTGAACTCTAGACTCCCAGGCACTAGTCCAAGGTTCTTGCCACTGTACTGTATCTGTATCTGTACCATCCTGGGACTAAAGGTTGACACACTGGCTATGCGCTTATTTTGCATTGCACTACTGCAGTTTTGTATTCTATTTTGTGTTATTGCAACCAGCCATATATCAAAGGGCGGGCTTCAAGCCTTCCGAAGAAATAAACAGATAAACTGTGAAATATGCGAGCTGTGCCATTGATCTGTGTGCTGCGCTACTGAATATCCGCTATGCAGAATTGAGTTGTGAATTATGATGGCCATTATTTATTTATTTACGGCTATATATCACTAAATAAATAATCTGGAGATTAGCTCCATTGAGAGTGATATTTGCATAGGTATATTTGAATTGCATTGAATTGCCATTTAGCCCTACCTAAAAAGAATACTTCCATTCTTTCTCTCCTTTTTTTGCAGGTACTTCTGCGATTTGCATAAGCATTTTTGAGAATTTACCTTATCAAATGAGCGTGGAAAGAGGAGGGAGGGGGGAAGGAAAGAGGGTGGGAGGAGCCGAAGGTAGCAGGAGGAGGTGCGTTCTTATCTCTCCCTCCCACCGTGACGTTGGCGACCTTGATTGGGCACGGAAGCTGGCAGTTCTTCATCGCCCCGGCGACTGTGGCTGGATCTCTGCTGGCTGTAAACAGGAGGAAGAAAGAAAAGAGTGACCCTAATTCTGGTAATTGAGGGCGCGGGTTAGAGAGGGGTGAATGGGTTGGGTAGAAGAAGAGGAGGAGGAAGAGGGAGATGGTGATCCGAGATTTTGAAGGGAAGAGGAGTTGAAAATCCAAGATCAGGAGAAGGGAGGGAGACGTAACCTGGATAGGAGGAAGCGACCCTAAAATTTGGAAGTGAGGGGGGGAATGAAGGAGAGAAAAACCATCAGTGGGGCTCCCCAATTCAGGGGACTGAGGAAGCAAGAGAGTGCAAAAATGGTACTAACAGGAGTTGGGAGAGGGAGAAGGAATCATGACTATTAAGGAGAAGGGGCTTTGAAACAAATCATGGGTTTGCATTCCTCTGCCCTCCCCTCCCCTTCTTCCTTGTGTGTCACAGGCTTTTTTTTTTACTGTAAGCCTGAGGGCAGGGAGGGACTGTCTTATTACTGTTGGGTTTTTTTAAAACCAAGCTGCTTCGGGAGTCTTTCTGACTGAAGGGTTAGTTGAAAATGCTTTCAATTAAAAAAAATATCTAAAACCCACATTGCCGCAATACCTTTACTGGCCAACCGCAAAAATGTTGCGCAAGCATGTGCGCGCTTCTCAGTTCTCCAAAACTCTTCTTCAGGGTTGAATCGGTGAGTAAGAAATAAAACTCAAAAGCTTGCATGCTGTTTTGTAACATTTTTGGTTGACTGAATAAAGGCGCTGCTCTAAGGTGGATTTTGATTTTTCTTCTTCTTCCGGGCTATCTTTTTAAAAAAATAAATAGAATGAAGGGCAGGTCGCCAAAGGTGGGGGCTGTTAGAGGAGTGGAGAATAGATCCCAAAGCATTACCATCTTAAATACTCAGAATGAGGTTTGTAAAATGACATGTGGGGTGGAAAAAGCAGATAGAGAGAAACTTTTCCTCCCTCTTATCTCGCAAATGTAGTGATGGCCACCAGCTTGAAGATGGATAGCTTTTCTCTCTGTATCATAATTCTAGAACTCTGGGCTAGCCAATGAAACTGAAGGTTGGGAGATTAAGGACAGACAAAAACAAATACTTCAAACAGTGGGACATAGCTAAATTGTTGGATTTGCTCCCACAGGAGTTAGTGATGGCCACTGACTTGGACCGCTAACTTATCCTCAGTTGGTAGAGCATGAGACCAGGGTTGTGGGTTCAAGCCCCATGTTGAGCAAAAGAGTCTTGCATTGCAGGGGGTTGGACTAGATGACCCTCGTGGTCTCTTCCAACACTATGATTCTCTGCAAGAAATATGCATATGGTTCTGTGTAAGGATGGCTGTAAAAGAGAATTAGACAAATTTGTGCAGGGTAAGTGGCTACTAGCCTCAATGGCTGTGTTCTCCCTCAGCTGTCCGAGGCAGTGTGCTGGGAATTGCCTGTTGTGCTGTGGGCTTCCTTCGGACCTCTGGTTGGCCACTGTGAGAACTGAAAGCTAGACTAGATGGACCACTGGCTTGATCCAGCAGGCAGGCTCCACTTACACAGAATGCTAGATCCTGCGGTTTTGAAAATGTGATTGGTGGTAGACGTAGATCAGAAGCAGGAAAAATTTCACAGGAAGCTTAACGGACTTGCGGAACTCGCTGTCACAAGATGCAATGACCATGGCTGCTGGCCAAGTTAGCTTTAAAGGGGGATTTGACCAATGAATGGGGGATAAAAGAGAGCTGCTCTGTTGGTTGTATGGATCCTCCATTTGGAATACAGGTTGGTGTGTGTATTTCTGGGAGGGGACTGTTTTCATGCCTCGTTTGTGGGGGTTCCAGAGGCATCTGGAAAAGAGGATGCTGGACTAGGCGGGCATTGGTTGGATGCAGTCATTATCTCTGTAAACTAGGGATGGGGAACTTGTGGCACTGCAGATGTTGCTGGACTACAGCTCCCACCATCCCTGATCACTTGCCTGGCTGGCTGGGCTGAAGGAGTCCTGCAACATCTGGAGGACCACAGATTCCCCATCCTTGCAGTAAACGAATGGGGACCAGGATTTCAGAAGGACCGCCTCCACTCATGTATAACTGTCAAGGTCTTAATATTTAGTTTCTGAGTCTCTGGTGACTGGTTCATGAATGAGGCTGGCTGGTAGCAGGGAAGGTCTTTTCTGTGGTGACCTGCACCTCTGGAATACACACTCCCCCCCCAAAAAAAGTACAGCCGCACCCTTTATTAGCCTTTAGGGACGCCTTCAGACTTTTTTATTCCAGTTGGGTGGTTTTGCAGTGCTTTCTTTGAACAACTTCTTCAGCTGCTGTTGTTCTTTAAGTCCCTGTTATCTGCCCCCACTGTCCTGCTTGTGGACTTCCGTCTGAGGCACTGAGAGAACAGGAGGCTGGACTAGGTGGGCCACTGGCCTGATCCGGCATGCTCTTCTTAATATAAATAATAATATATATTATTACCATTTTTGAAACATTACACAAACCACACCCTGAACGTGGAGCCGGCATAACCAATCTGAAAAGCGTGGCAAATTCCCCTCCTAGTCCTCATGATCTTGAAAGGAAACGTATGAGCAGAAACCTAGACGCTATTTCCGTGTGTGTTTGTGGCTGAGTAAGATTTCCGGTCATCATCGGAAGAAACCGCCTGGTTTCATAGCTCCATGCTCTTCCCCAGGAACAATGGGGAATATACAGAAGGGTGGGCTGGGGAGGATGTGAAAGGGAAGAAGGGGTTGGGGAAATGTTGGGAAGAATGACTCAGTATGTAGTGAAGTCCCGATTACAGGCTTCCCAGAGGCAAGCCGCCCAAAATGGCTGGGGCAACCCAGTCAGATGGGCGGCATATAAATAATAAAAGTGTTGTTGTTTTGGTTGATCTCTGAGAGAACAGGATGCTGGACTAGATGGGTCTCTGGCCTGATACACCAGAATTTGCTTATTTTACTTAAGTTGCTGCTACTTTTAACTGATCATGCCCTGCTGTTGTTGTTACCGTATTTTTTGCTCTATAAGACTCACTTTTCTCCTCCTAAAAAGTAAGGGGAAATGTGTGTGCGTCTTATGGAGCGAATGCAGGCTGCGCAGCTATCCCAGAAGCCAGAACAGCAAGAGGGGTTGCTGCTTTCGCTGCGCAGCGATCCCTCTTGCTGTTCTGGCTTCTGAGATTCAGAATATTTTTTTTCTTGTTTTCCTCTTCCAAAAACTAGGTGCGTCTTATGATCTGGTGTGTCTTATAGAGCGAAAAATACGGTATGTTGTTTTAATAAGCTGCTGTTGTAGCATATCAACTTATTTATAAACTGCATTGGGAGGATAATTTGCCCATGAAGGCAGTTTTTTAAAATCCATTTAAAAATCTATCATTAAACTCTTAACAACAGCCCCTCAAGCTAGGTCTGTCTTCCCTGCTGCAGAATGAGGGTGGCGGTGGGTGGCTGAACCTAAGATAACCACTTGCTTTTCAGTGAGTTTTCAACTTCCTGGTTCCCAGCTGAGTGCCTTAGTCATAGGAACATCTGAAGAAGCCTTACCCTGAGTCAGAACGCTGGGCCACCTATCTCAGAATTGTCTGCACCAGGGTGGGGAACCCATTGCCCTTTAGATGCTGCTGGACTCCAACTCCCATCAGCCCCAGCAGGAATGGGCAGTGGTGAGGGATGATGGGAGCTGGAGTCCAGCAATATCCAGAGGGCAATGGGTTCCCGCTTCCTAGTCTATATTTACTGGCAGTGGCATTTCTGTGGTTCCGCATGGGAGTCCTCTCCTAGTTCTAGCTGGAGATGCCAGGAATTGAACCAGGGAACTTCTGCATGGTATAATGGAAGCTGCCTGTCTAGTAAAGTAAGATTCTAGTCCTCATGGTTCTGTATGAAATTGGAAGCTGCCTTGCACTGTATCAGACCATTGGTCCATCTGGCTCAGTATCCTCCAGGATTTCAGACAGGAGGTGCCTCCCAGCCTCACCTGGAGATGCCAGGGATCAAACCTCAATATACCTGGTTCCCTTAAGTGTCCACCCATATTGTCGGACACCTGGGTCCCTTGGCTCCTTCTGGATGCTCTGTCACTGAGCTACAGCCCTTCTCCTGGCTCCTGGAATTGCCTTCATTCTGATCTCCGTGCTTCCTATCCCTCCACAGTTCTGCTGACAACAACCCTCACCCCCCCCCCCGGAGAACGGCACGTTGGGCTTTGGGGGCCATGCCAGCCCCCTGACAATGTTCCACATTGAGGATGATGATGAAGAGACATTCCCGCCGGGTGAGAAGGAACCGCAGGATCTCAAGCTGACCAGGAGGAGCATCGCAGGAGGGGACCAGGCCCCAGGAAGCCCAGGAAGTCCTTCCGCTGGGAATCCAGGTATTTGGGCTGGGGCAGAACAAGAGCATTTCCCTCTCCCTCTTCAGGGTTCCCAGTTGTTGCTGGAATGTGGTTCCTATCAGCCCTGACCATTGTCTCAGCTGGCTGGGGATGATGGCAGCAACCAGCCACTGCATGGAAGTGGGGCAGTGAGTGACCTGGTAGGGGAGGAAGGGAACCTCCTGCACCCTTCAGGGGAAGGGAAGCCCCCACCCCGCTCTATACCTACCATAGAAATCTGTCAAGACCATTGCTACGTCTCGCTCAGTAGACTTGTGTGGTGTAGTGGTTAGAGTGCAGGATTTGGACCCAGGAGACCAGGGTTCAAATCCTCACTCGGCCATGAAGCCCACTGGGTGACCTTGGGCCAGTCACTGACTGTCATCCGAACCTACCTCACAGGGTTGTTGTGCGAATTAATGGCGGCGGGAGAGAGGGAACCATTTTGAGCTCCTTGGAGGAAAAAGTGACATATAAATAAACAAATAAACCAATAATAATGAATACACTGACAGGCAGTGGATCTCCAGCGTTTCAGTCGGGTCCTGGCAGGGATTGAACCTGGGACCTTCTGCATGCAAAGCAGAGTCTCTAACGCTGAGCCGCGAACCTTTCCTAAAGAAACACCACTTTTTCCTCAAATGATGCTTTATTTGAGATCCCTGCATTGCAGGACTAGATGACCCTCAGGGTACCTTCCAATTCTACCATTTTGTGTGAGCTTAGCGAAGCCTAACCTGGGAACCAAGAAGCTGCCTGAGTCAGACCATTGATCCATCTCGCTCAGTATTGCCTGCACGGACTGGCAGTGACTCTCCAGGGTTTCAGGCTGGGTGCTGTTCCCACACCCACCTGCATGCATGGCAGATGATCTCCTGCTGACCTGCAACCCTTCCCCAAAAAAGTTTTTATAAGACGGTCCCTCTTCTGCCCGTCCACAGCACGCTAGTGATAATGTTTGTCAGCTAGTAACTTGCCTCGTTGGGACGCGGGTGGGGCTGTGGGAGCCTAGGACTTGCTGATCAAAAGGTCGGCGGTTCGAATCCCCGCGATGGGGTGAGCTCCCGTTGCTCGGTCCCAGCTCCTGCCCACCTAGCAGTTTGAAAGCACCTCAAAGTGCGAGTAGATAAATAGGGACCGCTCTCCAGCGGGAAGGTAAACGGCATTTCCGTGTGCTGCGCTGGTGCTGGCTCGCCAGCTGCGGCTTAGTCACACTGGCCACATGACCCGGAAGCTGTCTTCGGACAAGCGCCAGCTCCCGGCCTCTTGAGCGAGATGAGTGCACAACCCCAGAGTCGGTCACGACTGGACCTGTTGGTCAGGGGTACCTTTACCTTTACCTGTTTAACTTGCCTTGTTGGTTAGCTCAGTGGTGCGGAGAACATCAAGGTTACAGATTTGATCCCCATATGGGTGCATATTCCTGCACTGCAGGGAATTGGACTAGATGATTTGCATGTCCCTTCCGATTCTGTGAACTTTTGTGGGCTTCATCTCAGGACAAGACTGACTAAACCGATTCTAAGATATTGGCTCAGTAACAGGGCCATAATTAGTCACGTTTCGTGCTGAGCTTTGGAAAGTGATGAAATCCTTAATTTGTTTCTACTGCTTCTGAGGTCAGCAGAGGCCACAGAGATTCTCTTGACTTTTTCTCACGTCCAGAGGATGGATGGCAAAATCTGCCTTGCTTATGCTGTGAATTAAAAAAAATAAGTGAAGATAATAAATGCAATAAAACAAATTAGCTGTAATGAAAGGAGTTGTGAGAAGAATATTAAAGGGGATCATTTATATCAAGAAAGCCATGTTCTTCCATGAGAAATGTGCCAAGTAGAATTGATAGAATATCAGTGCAATCCCATATTTTTCTATTCGGAAGTACAGGCAATGACTGATTGACGCAAGATTGTGCACATGCAAGGCACCGAACCCGGAAGTGACCCGAAAACTAAAATGACAGAACGGGGTGTGTGGAACGCTTTACATGGGCCCTATGGATTGGGGTTGGGGGTCTCGGGACATAACCCCTGTGCAAAAGGATTGCTTATAAGCCCCACTGAGTTCAGTGTCACTTCTAGGTAAACTGGGAGTCAATCTAAGTTTGCAATTGTACTCCCAACACCTGGAGGGCCAAAGGTGCTCCAATCCTGCTGTAAATGATAGATCAACTGAGATTTCTTCAGTCAGGTGACAGCTTTATTATCCAGCCTTTTTTTAGCAGCTCAAACCAATGTAGCACCCACATTATATTTTTGTTCTGAAAGACCGCCTCCTACCTAACATACCCTCTTGGGTGTTACGATCAGCAGTGGGGGCCTCTGAGGAGAAGTCAGTTTCTGCCCTATGCTGAAGATGTAGCTTTTTGATAACCGAGTTGTGTTTTGGGGTGCCCACCCTGTTCTTGCGACTGTGGGTTGTTTTAATACTGCATTGTATTTTAAATTGTTGCAACCCATCCCAAGACCTTAGTGTGCAGTACAGGTAATTAAATTGAACTACCGTATTTTTCGCTCCATAGGGCGCACCTGACCATAGGGCGCACCTAGTTTTCAGAGGGGGAAATCAAGGGGGGAAAATATGATTCCCCGCCCCCCAGCTCTGGGAGCAGCGGACAGGCTGCAGGCAGCCTATGCACTTCTCCCAGACCTTCTCCCTGCTTTTGCGGGAGGTGGGGGAATTCCCCCACCTCCCACAGAAGCCAGCAGAAGCCGTGCGCTCTTTAAAGGGTGCGTGGCTCCTGTGGGCTTTTCTACGAGGTGGGAGAAGGGACTGATGCGGCCAGTCAGTCCCTTCTCCCTCCTGGGGAAAAGCCCGCAAGAGCGCACGGAGCTTGTGTGTGGCTCTTGGGGGCTTTCCCCCCCTGCCTCCCCCCTGCATTCGCTCCATAGGACGCACACACATTTTCCCTTGCTTTTTAGGAGGGAAAAAGTGTGTCCTATAGAGCGAAAAATACGGTAATAATAATAATAATAGTGAGATCTCCACAACCACCACCCTGGAAGTTGGTGGACAGTGGCTGATGGTGGCTTTGCGGCAGAACAGGGCCTCAAGCAGGCCTTTCTGAGCCATGTGTATTCAATACACCACCTTAACCCTCTAGGCCAGGCAGAGAACCAATAGCCCCCCAAAATGCTGCTGGGACTCCAGTTCCCACCATTCCTGGGCACTTGCCATACTGGCTTGGGCCCCTGCGAGGTGCAGTTCAATAACATCAGAAAGGACTGGACCTTGGCCTGTTTTACAGTCTAGCAGTTTCTGCTGCCGTGTTGTGTCAAGTGTGGCATAACCCCCTTTCCTGTCTCCCCCCTTCCTCCTCCTGTGCCAGAGCTCCGGCGTCGCATTGGATCCGACCCTCCCTTGCCAGACCCAGAGGCCCTGGATGAGGTGGGCACTTTCCGGGCACGCTCACGCTCTGCCCCTCCCATCCTGTGGGCAGCCCAGCGGTACGGGAGGGAGCTGCGCAGGATGAGCGACGAATTCCATGGCGAGCTGCAGGTGAGTCTGGCCTGCTTACAGAGAAGTCCGTCCTTCCCAAGGGAGAGGTGGGCTTTGTTGCCGCGGGCAGCCTGCCTCTGAATGCCAGCTGCTGCCAATCACAAGCGGGGAGAGTTGCTGCTGTGCCCAGGTCACATTTATGGGCTTCCTACAGAGGCATCTGATTGACAACCGATGATAACAAGGTCTTGGCCTAAGTGTCGCTAAGGTGTCAAGTAGGTAGAGATGTTTTTTCTCCCTCCCTCCATTAGGCCATTAGTAGCCTAATCCTCCATGAATTTGTCTAATCCAATAATAATGATGATGATGAGGATCTGCCCACCTGACTGGGTTACCCCAGCCACTCTGGGTGGCTTCCAACAAAATATAAAAGGACAAAACAAAACAGCGTACATTGTTTCCCAAGACAGGGCTGCCTTCAGATGTCTACAGGTCATAGAATTGGTTATCTGTTTGACATTTGACGGGAGGGTGGGTGCCACTACTGAGAAGGCCCTCTGCCTTGTTCCTATAACTTCACTTCTGTGTGGGAACCACCAGGAGGCCCTTGGAACTGGCCCTCAACGATGAGGGTGGAGATGCTCCTTCAGGTATACAGGGCCAAAGCCATTTTAAAGTCATGTGCTTTGAGTAGAACTAACTTTAGCTACAACCCAAAGAATCTGTGGTTCTCTAGACACTTTTGGACTCTAGGTCCTGTCAACCTCACCTGGCCAGGCCAGTGGTCATGGATGATGGAAGTTGTAGTCTAGCAACACCAGGAGGGCCTGTCAGTTTCTCATCCTTGATGTACCAGCCTGCTGGATTGAGAGGTGCATGTCTGGAAGAGGGGGTGATGCCACGTTTTCCTTCTCTCTTGCAGAAGCTGCCGCGCCCCAAGAGTGCAGGGACAGCTACCCAAATGCGCCGGACGTTGGGCTGGAAGGAGGTTCTGCAGTCATGGTGGCGTCGGAATTCCCCAGGCAATGGTCCAAGAAGCCCCCCATGACTGTATCTTGCTGCTGTCCGTTACAAATGGTGGGGGGAGGGTTGAAGGAACAAATAAAGGGGGGGGGGTAAATCTGTAGGGTTGATGTGGCACATGGCTGGTGTCCCCCCAAATCTGGGGGATGCTGTGATCATTCCTCTGCACCTCCACACCCACTCCCCTAGGAGTTTTTTTTACTTAGGCCACTTTAGTATGACATGTTAAGAATTTAACCTTCTGCCCTATGCACGGATTCCCACCCCTTTCTCCCCTGCACCTCCCCTATAAGACCCCCAATTTTGAGGGGATATTCCCCTGCCCTTTCTAGAGTGTACTTTTTGTATTTTAAAAGGAAAAAAACACTGAACAAAACCACTGTATGCATTACTGAAACAAGAACCCCTGACATTCACCAACCCTGCCTAGAGAAATTTGTATGCCCTTTTATTATATGTTAATAAATGTTTATTAAATACTTTTCTGGCTTATAGCATGTCGCTGCCTATTCCTTCAATTCAAGCTCGCAGTGACAACCCCCAGACTGCCAGTCTGACTGCAGTGGGGGCAGGGTTGCTTTAGCTGCCTCGGGAATGAATGTGTCGAAAGAAAATTAAACTCAAAGGGACGCAGAGAAATTGAATTCCTGTTTAATATTGCTCTTTTCGTCTTACAGCAGCAATAGGGAGCCTGTGGGCCTCCAGATGCTTTTTTAAGACTCCCAGCTCCCATCCTCCCTTACCACAGGCCATGCCGGATAGGGAGTTCAACCACATCTGGAGAGCCACAGATTTCTAGCCCTGCCCTAGAGTTCTGTTTCCAGGGGGAGGTGGTAAAGGCAGAGACGAGGGAAGACCGAGTTTCTCCATCCACTGGCATTTTCTCTTCTGAATTTAAAGGCTGGCTGATGGAACTGCAATATGATAAAGGCACTGCTTTCAAATGGGATTCTCCAACTGGGTGGAGATCAGTCCCCGAAATTATTATATTCAGTCTCGCATCCCCCATGTCTCTGGCGAACGCCTGGTCTGCCAGATGTTGCCGGACTTCAACTCCCACCATCCCTGACTGATGATTATGTTGGCTGGGACCTGGTGGGAACTGGAGTCCAGCAACATCTGGAATGCCCATCTTCCCCCCCCGTTTTATGCCACATTGGTGGGATCCCAGCAATAGCGCTTCCCACAATCCAACGCACCCAGCTCCTCCATATCCGCTGGGCTCAACTCCCAACCCCAGAGCTGGCTGTTTTCCACCACACGGCTCGGGGTGGCAGACTTGGGGATGACGCTGACCCCTTGCTGCAGAGCCCAGCGCAGCAAGACCTGGGCAGGCGGGCGCCCGTGTCGTGCAGCGACCTTCGCCACCTCTGGCCGCCCCACCAGCTGGCCAGTCCCCAGCGAGGAGTAGGCCTGCAGGTGGATGCCCTTGCTCCGGCAGAAGCCCAGCAATCCCCCCTGGGCCAGTTCTGGGTGGAACTCCACCTGGAGGACGGAGGGGGGCACCCGGCACACTGCCAGCAGCTCCTCCAAATGCTGGATGCTGTAATTTGAGACCCCGATGGCCTGGAGCTTCCCGGCCCCGTACAGCCTCTCCAGAGCCCGCCAGCTCTGCTGCCGCCGTTCCCGGTTGCCCTTGTCCTCCTGCGGACGGCCTTGGGTCCCGGGCCAGTGGATGAGGTAGAGGTCTAAGTAATCACAGCCCAGCTCCTCCAGGCTTCGCAGGCAGGCTCTTTCGGCCGCCTCCTGCCCCTGGTCCCTTGGGCTCAGCTTGCTGGTTAGGAAGATGTCTCCCCGAGCCAGGCCGTGGCGCGGCAGCAACTCCTGCAGAGCGTGCCTGATGTCAGACTCATTGCCATAGACAGCGGCCGTGTCCACCAAGCGGTAGCTGTTCCCGAGAGCAGCGTCCAGGCTGAGGCGTACGGCCTCCTCACCCCGCAAGCGGAAGGTGCCCAGCCCCAGAAGAGGCATAGGGGCTCCACTGTTCAGCCATACTGTGCGCTCTGGCGCCCTGGAAGAGATAAAAGTGAGGGTAATAATAATAATTATTATTATTTATTTGTACCCCGCCCATCTGGCTGTGTTTCCCCAGCCACTCTGGGCGGCTTCCAACAAACATTAAAAATACATAAAAATGTCACACATTAAAAACTTCCCTGAACAGGGCTGCCTTCAGATGTCTTCTAAATGTCAGGTAGTTGTTTATCTCTTTGACATCTGGTGGGAGGGCGTTCCACAGGGCGGGCGCCACTACCATGAAGGCCCTCTGCCTGGTTCCCTGTAGCTTTGCTTCTCGCAGTGAGGGAACCACCAGAAGGCCCTCGGTGCTGGACCTCAGCGTCCAGGCAGAAAGATGGGGCTGGAGACGCTCCTTCAGGTATACTGGACTGAGGCCGTTTAGGGCTTTAAAGGTCAACACCAACACTTTATATTCCACTGTGCCCCTTGGGAAGGTCTGCTGCACTCAGCCGTCCACCTTTCTGCCACAGGAAGGGTAGGAGCTGCGCTCCTCGAGATGTTGCTGGACTCCTGTCATGGACTGGCTGGGCAAAGAGGAATGGTGGGAGGCACCAGCTGGGGAACCCCCCAAAGGGAAGAAGGCTCAGAGCCCTGGGATGGGTGGTGGGATGGGGATGGGTGGTCAGAAGGTGAAGACTAGGAAGAGGAGGCATTGGAAGCTGAAGAGGTAACAGGGTTTAGTGAGCAGGAAGAGTCCGTGGCAGAGAGCAGTTCAGAATCAGAGCATGGAGAGGAGGGGTGGGGCAAGAGGCAGAGATGGGTCAGGCTGCTGAAGAAGCCAGGGTGTCTCCCGCTCCTGCTGTGAACAGCCCCCCTCCCCCCGGTCTCCCAGAACACGGAATGAAGAGAGTGGAGCAAAGAGAGACAAGGCAAAGGAGTCTTGGGTTACCGGGAAAGGTCCCAGGAAAGAGAAGTCTTAGGGAGCAGTGGGAAGGTGGGGACCCTCAGTCCTCGCAACTGCCTCATTGGGCCGAGACCAACTGGGAAGAGGTGTAGTGACCACTAGGCCTGAACTGTTTTGGTTTCTTTGAATTAAGTTAACTTCACTGACACTGGGTGTTGGATTGCTGACGTGCTGCTGACAACTCCAGCAGATTGGCGTCCTCCCATGAGGACCACAGGATCCCTATTTTTCTTCCATCTCTTTGATAATAGAAGCAGGTTGTGGGTACCGCAGGGCTGCTGCTCTCCATCCCACCCCGCCTCGTGGTGTTATATGCACCTAGCACAGTGAAGGGCAGGCATGGAGCACCTGAGGCCCTACAGATGTTGGGACTGCAATTCCCACCACCCCTGACCATTGGCCAGGGGCAACGGGAGTTGGAGTGCAGCAACATTTCAGGGGCCACTATCCCAGGCAGGTACCTGGTCCAGCTTCAGGTTAGATACCTCCAGCAAACCAGCGAAACCACCTCTGTTCCACCGTCAAGAAGCATTAGGAAATGAGCTGGACGGGCCTAACCCAAGACAGTAGTTTCTGCGTATGGAACGATTCCGAGCACGTCTACTCGGAGGTGAAGTAAGGCGGGGTTTGCGCCTTAATAAGTGGGCTTAAGATCCGAGCCTTAGCAAGCAAAGTAAGCGGGTATTATGGGCTGAAAATCAGGCGTGTTTGGGTTTCTCAGTCTGCAATTCTGGAAGCACTGTTGGGCGCAAAATGCTTGTGCAAGGAGTGGAAACGGGTAAATCACACACCCTTCGTCACATGCAAAAATTAAAGGTGGGGCAGCCCTGGCTTCCCTCCCCCGCGGAACCCTTACCAGGATGCGGGAAGCTCCCGCGATGCCCGCTCCATGGCTGCTCACGGACTAAGACGCGTAGGCGGAGCTGAGGTCTGCTATCCAATCGCCGCGCGAGGACCAAGGACGAGGGCGGGGGCCTGGAGGGAGGTGGGCGTGGCTCATTGAACGTTGCTGAATGAAAGGAAGGGTTCGAACGCGGGAAGCGGCGCGTGACTTTTCCCAGCACGGGGGAGGGCGATTCATGAATGGCGCGGCTGCTGGTTCGCCCCAATCGCGGCCGCCTCCCTATATGCCCTGGCGAACACGCTAAACTCCAAATCCCATCATCCCTCACCATTGGCCACTTGCGGAATGGCGGCGAAGGATGATGGGAGTTGTAGTCCTAATAACCCCTGGATGCCTGCAGGTCCGGGGTTCAGCCCTACCCAGCCTTGGGCACAGCCAACTTCCCCCAAAGCACATGACTTTTCCCAAAGAATCCTGGGAAGAAGAGTTTGGATTTGATATCTGTTACGGAAATTACGGGGGCGGGGCACATCTTAAAAGTTAAATATTACAAATATTATGCCGGAATGTATCCTATCAACTTGACAGCTCAGGGAAGTTACCTAGCTTTAAAAATAATATAAAATCATCTCCTTTGCCAGTTTTCTCCGTTCCAAAGCTATTTTCCCCTTGAAAAAGGACTCCAGGAAGTTCCCAAAGGTGACAATTGCTGGACTCATTGTTAGCCAAGGGAAGCCAAATCTCATCACCTGACTTGCCTCAGGCTCCAGACATGCAAAGGAAGTTCTATTGTACTTTTGGGTGGTGGGTACTTAAGACATATTTGTCTATGCTAATCTTATACCTGAGTCTTGCCCTGCCATGTCTGCTTATGCTAATCTTGTACCAAGGACTTGTCTGGGCATGTTTGCCAAGGTTAACTCCTCCCCTTTTGTGACATGTCAGTGATGTAGCAATGATGCTGTACGAACTGTATTCTGGGATATGGTGGGAAAGTTTTAAAAGTTTTTGTCACCCCATCCTCAGGGTTCAAATTTCCTCTTTGAACCTACTGTGCAATAAACTTTGGTCTACAGCTATTTGCTCGGGTTGGTGGCTGGAATCCTTCCTTTATTCCGCAAGGACCCACGGGCTCTGCCTGACGAGCTGGGTGACTGAGCAGCCTCACACCTAGATTTTTCCGTAACAATATCCCACTTTATCACTACCCAAAGGAGTCTCAAAGTGGCTAACATTCTCCTTTCCCTTCCTCCCCCACAACAAACACCCTGTGAGGTGAGTGGGGCTGAGAGACTTCAAAGAAGTGTGACTAGCCCAAGGTCACCCAGCAGCTGCATGTGGAGGAGCGGAGAAGCGAACCCGGTTCACCAGATTACGAGTCTACCGCTCTTAACCACTACACCACACTGGCTCTCTGGGAGCTGGGAGGGTGCTGGGAATTATAGTTCTGTGGGTGGGGGCAAACTACAGTCCCCAAGATTCTTTGCGTGAGGAGAGGGAGCCACCTGCTTTAAATGTATGGTGTGTATAGGATGTCTCTTCAGATGAGCCATCAGAAAGAAGGTGTTCATGAGGCAGAGTGGAGTTTGATGGTGGAGAAGACCAGGACACAGTGATAGAGCACTCACTGCTTTGCATGCAGAATGTCCCAGGTGCCATCCCTGGCATCCTCAGGTGGGGCTGGGAATGTCCGAAACACTGGAAAGCCTCTGCCAGTCAGTGTAGACAATGCTGAGCTGGATGGGCCAATGGTCAGACTTAGTGTAAGGAAGCTTCCTCCAAATCAAGGAACTGGGGTGCACCATGGCTCAGTGGCAGAGCATCTGCTTGTGGGCGGAGATTTAATCCTGAGTGGCCTCTCTGAGTAGGGCTAGGGGAAGGCATCCCACCTGAAACCCAGGGGGGGGGGGGCACTGCCACTCAGTGTAGGCCAGCCTTTCTCCATCTTGGGTCCCCAGATGTTCTTGAACTACAACTCCCATCATCCCTGACCACTGGCCATGCTGGCTGAGAATGGTGGGAGTTGCAGTCAAATAACGTCTGAGCATCTAAGGTTGAGAAAGTCGGCAGACTATTCTGAGCTAGATGGACCAATGGTCTGATTTGCTTTAGGGCAACTTCCTATGTTCCTCCTGGGGAGACCTACTTACGCCGCCTTATATTTGTGCTTCTTTTTAATTCACCCCCCCACACCATTTATCTGTGCCATTCTAATTACAGGGGCACACACATTATTATTGTTGTTTATTGTTGTTGACATCCTTCTGTCTCAAGAGACAATGGAGTGGCCTCTGGGGGTGAAGTTAATTGCAGCACCGAAGTGACCTCCTCTGGGAGCAAGCCTGGGCAGTGCCATGCATATGGGTGTGCTAGGTTGCCCAGACAACAACACCCGCCTCTAAGCCCCACTGAGGTGGTGCAATGGAAAGCAGAGCAATACGTTTGGCTCCAGCTTGGCTGCAGGAGTTGCCAGAAGGCATACATCATCATTATTACTATTACTGTTACTATTATTATCCTTAAGGTCCGTATAGTTAAAGCTATGGTTTTCCCAGTAGTGATGTATGGAAGTGAGAGCTGGACCATAAAGAAGGCTGATCGCTGAAGAATTGATGTTTTTAAATTATGGTGCTGGAGGAGACTCTTGAGAATCCCATGGACTGCAAGAAGATCAAACCTCTCCATTCTTAAGGAAATCAGCCCTGAGTGCTCACTGGAAGGCAGATCCTGAAGCTGAGACTCCAATACTTTGGCCACCTCATGAGAAGAGAAGACTCCCTGGAAAAGACCCTGATGTTGGGAAAGATGGAGGGCACAAGGAGAAGGGGACGACAGAGGACGAGATGGTTGGACAGTGTTCTTGAAGCTACCAGCATGAGCTTGACCAAACTGCGGGAGGCAGTGGAAGACAGGCATGCCTGGCGTGCTCTGGTCCATGGGGTCATGAAGAGTCGGACACGAGTAAACAACTAAACAGCAACAACAAATTATTATCCTTTCACATACTCAGGCACCTGGTTGGCCACAGTGTGAACAGGATTCTGGACTAGATGGGCCATTGGTCTGATCCACCCAGGAGCTCCTTATATTCTTAAGTTACCAAATGTTGGTGCATTGGGTGGGTGGGTGGAATCCCTGGGCTGAGCCCCAGTTCAATTCCCTGGCTTGATCGTTCAAAGGCTAGGTTCAAATCTCTGCTGAGCCAAAATAACTTGCTGGCCTCTGGCCAATCCCCATCTCTCAGCTTAATGTTGCAGGAACAATTTATTCTCTATTGGCAATAGGCCGTAACACCAAAAAAAATCTGTGTAATTATACAAGAAGTCCAGCAGTTATAAATAAATAACCTGGAGGAAAATTGTGGACTTCCCTATGTTGTTGGACTCCGAATCCCATAAGCCGCAGCCAACCATGGCCAATGGTCAGGGATGATGAGAGTTGTAGTCCAGCAACATTTGGAAGGCCACAGGTTGCCTAATATCCACAGAAACATTCACCACCCTTTTCCAGTCAGCGCACAGCTTCAATCTAAAACCAATTCCATGAGTGTCAACGTAAAGCCAGCTACTAATCTAGTGATGATCCTCTGGGAGTTAGCCAACATAGAAATGATTTTTTGTACATCCAACCAATACCATCACCCCTCTTGTAACTCATTAAGAAACTTAAGACAAGCTTCCTCCAGAACTGTATACATCGTTATGTGTCGCGAGGAATGCCTTCCACAATTATTTCCCATCATTCCCTGACCATCTAACGAAAAATGGAGCAGCCTTCTTAGCTGGGCACTGGGTGTCCTCCCTAAGTTCCAGAAAACAAGTCCATTATGGGCATGCACATAGGAATTTGTTTATGGGCACCAGAGTTTAAGAAGCTAGAATGTGTGCAGAGGAAGGAGACCAAGGGCTTATCCACACTTCTGCTTGTCCCCTGCGCAGGCCGAAGCAGTTTTCCCCTTGCCCCCCCCCCACAGGGAAACCTGCTCTTTAGTGCTAAATCAGAGCAAACGTCAATCTGGAGAAACCCCGAATTGCCATTTGCTCTGATTGAGCGTTAAAGAATGGTTTTCCCCAGGGAAAGCAATGGGCAAGAGGATGAGCACCAAAACGAAGGACAGTCTGGAAACCAAGTTTAGGAATGGTTGAGGGAGCTGGGTTTGTTTAGCTCGGAGAGGAAAAGACAGGGCTTCTCATCTTGTTGCCTTGTCCTGCCCCTTTCCCCTGGGGACAACCTGCTCTTCGCTGCTGAATTGGAGCAAACAGTCGGGTTTTCCACTGATTGACATTTGCTCTGATTTTGTAAAAAGGAGCAGGTTTTCCCAGGGAAAGTGGCACTGCAAACGGGAAATCTCTCGGACCCATGTTTTCTAGGTGTGCGACAAGCAAAGGTTGGATGAGCCCCAAGAAGTGACGTGGCAGCCATCTTTAAATATCTAAAAGGGCTGAAAAGTGGAAGATGGAGCAAGCTCGTTTTTTTGTGGCGCCAGAGGATAGGACCCAAATTGATAAATTCAAATTACAAGAAAGAGGATTTCAACGAAGCAGTACAAAGAGCTCTCTGAGGGTAAGAGCTGTTTGTAAGTGGAACAGACTGCCTCAGACACGCAAGAGGAAATGGAAAGGGAGGGAAGAGGAAAAAATAAAACACAGCCAGCAGTTCTTAAATGGTTCTTCTTCATAAGGTACAGTGGTACCTCAGGTTAAGTACTTAATTTGTTCCGGAGGTCCGTTCTTAACTTGAAACTGTTCTTGACCTGAAGCACCACTTTAGCTAATGGGGCCTCCTGCTGCTGCCAGAGCACGATTTCTGTTCTCATTCTGAAGCAAAGTTCTTAACCTGAAGCACTATTTCTGGGTTAGCAGAGTCTGTAACCTGAAGCGTATGTAACCCGAGGTACCACTGTAATTGAAATCAACAGTAAGCAAAAAAAGATTAAAACGAATGTCAGCATTTTTCATGCCTGGACAGGCTTGCCTTAACAAAAATGTTTTAAGCAGGTGCTGAAAAGAGTCCACTGCAGGCACCTGGCTAATGTCAATGGGCAGGGAGTTCCAACGTGTAGGTGCTGCCACACTAAAAGTTCCATTTCTTACAATTGCAAAACAAGTATTTTGTGGCACCCGTAGCTGTGCTACTTCTGCAGATTGAAGCAGCCAAGATTGATTCCTTACAAATGCTGTAAGATTCTGTTGACAACTTTATTGAACTACCCCCAACAATATCACTAGGGGGTTTGTTGATAGTGCCTAACCTGTTATTTCCTTTGTACAGTCTAATATAATTCATACATTTTTTAAAAAAACTTGACTTATAGCTCTGCCAGAAGGCCTTGGCAATGTTCACCAAAGTTGTCCTTCCAATAAAATATCATTGGACGCAAATTTGACGGATACTGGGAGATGTTGTGTAAATTTAATACTTTTGGCAAAACTTCAATTATATTTCCCCCCTGCCAAAAAAGTGGGGCGGGGGGGGGGTGGAACACAAAAATTGGAGAGTTGGTAGCAGTAGCAGAAAATAGCCAGCAGAGAGCACCACACACCACATGGTACTTTGAGGGTGGAGAGAGAGAGAGAGAGAGAGAGAAATATCACATACTGCACACCTTTCCTTATGGGGATGGAGAAGCTATAAGGAAATACTATCCCAGAGTCCTTTTTAAAAGAATTGCAACATCTCCGCTATAGATCCAACACCTGAAACATCCAGATCCACCTCTTGCTGTGGGGTTTTTCCACTTGCCTGACTCAAGCCACACCCCAGCACCTTAAATATCCCTCCTGATTCCCCCCCCAACCTTTCTCAACAGGCTGCAAATTGGGGTGATGGGTGGCACTGTGGGTTAAACCACAGAGCCTAGGACTTGCCGATCAGCAGGTCGGTGGTTTGAATCCCCGCGATGGGGTGAGCTCCCGTTGCTCGGTCCCTGCTCCTGCCAACCTAGCAGTTCGAAAGCACGTCAAAGTGCAAGTAGATAAATAGGTACCGCTCCGGCGGGAAGGTAAACGGCGTTTCCGTGCACTGCTCTGGTTCGCCAGAAGCGACTTAGTCATGCTGGCCACATGACCCAGAAGCTGTACGCCGGCTCCCTCGGCCAAAAAAGCGAGATGAGCGCCGCAACCACAGAATCGGCCACAACTGGACTTAACAGTCAGGGGCCCCTTTACCTTTACCTTTACTATAGGAATGCCGGAAATTGCCCGATACTGACTCATGCTCTTGGCCTATCTACATCAGTGTTGTCTACCCTGACTGGCAGCAACTCTCCAGGGTTGCAGGCAGGATTCTCTCCCATCTCTACCCAGAGATGCCAGGGATTGAACCTGGGACTTTCTTCCGCATGCCAAGCAGATGCTCTGCCACTGAGCTAACAACAACCTTCCTGCTAAGAAGAAAGGTTCTAGTCCTCATGATTCAGGATGCAGAGCTGCTTCAAAGAGAAACATAGGAAGCTGTCTGGTACTGAGTCAGACCACTGGTCCAGCTGGCTTGGTATTGTCCACACTGACTGGCAGCAGCTGTTCAGGGTTTCAGGCAGGGGTGTCTCCCAGCCCCTAACTGGAGATGCCAGGAATTGAACACAGGACCCTGTGCATCAAAAGCAGGTGATACAGCCCTTCCCCAAATTTACCAGCTGACAGCTATTTCCCTTTCTCTACCTGACTGCTGAAGTGGGGGATCCTGGGGAAACCCGCCCCCCTCCTTCTCTTCCTCCCCCAGATCAGACAGATAAGTGGCAGTCCCTGCTGCTTTGAGTAGGGGAATTCCTTCTTCCCACTCAAGTTGTTCCAGCAAAACACACACACACACACACACACACACACACACACACTTGTGCTCTGTAATAACCTGCAGGTTTTTGAATAAAGATATCTACTGGAGGAGCGGAGACGTTTGCAGCTCTGCAAACTGGGCAGGGGTTAGGAGAAGAAGGAAAGCTCCTGTAGGCGAAGGGACAGGGAGCAGTTCAGGACGCAGCTGACACCAGCGCCACCCCTTTCCCTTTCTTCCTTCCAGCCCCCACATCTTGGCCGAGGGAGCCAGCAGAAAGTAAGGGACCGCAGCCAGAGGAATAACACCGCGTGCCCAGAATACAGAGCCAGCCAGGCAGCCGAACGGGCGGAGGCAGAGAGAGAGATGGAAGGACCTGTCCTGCATAGCGCCTCCTGGCGGCAGACGCTGGAACTGCTCTGCTTATTGGGCTGGGTGTTTATTGAGTACCCCTTCCTCTCTGCTCTGCGACCCCACAGTCCCGCCCTTCTTCCAAAAAGCGGGAGGAAAAGGCACCCCACATTTCTGCTCTTCAAAAAAGACGCTCTCGCCCTGCAGCGCCTCCTGCTGGAAGCGGAGAGGATTGGCAGTGGTAGGGAGTTCCGCTGGCGCCCCTGCTTTTGCGACCACCACCACCACTGAGTTGCTGGGCTTTTCTGCTTTGTGGTGAAATCCCTTATCTTTGGGGTGGTGAATCTCGACCAGGCACGGATTCGCCAGCCTTCCTTCAGCTTTTATACATTGCTGTGCAATCTTGGGGCCGGGGCGCGGGGTGGGAAGAAGAAAGGCACTGCGTGATGGGAGGGAGGAGAGTGTATATCTGGGGCGGGGTGTAAGAAACTGGGTTTTCCTATATGTCAGAAATGAGGAACCTGTGGTCCCCCAGATACTGGCCGTGATGGAAGCTGGAGTTCAGCAAAATCTGGAAAGAAGAACGGCAATTGGGGAGGAATTAGGATTTTCCTGGGAGTCCCCTGGGGAACTAAAGTCCACCTTTTTAGCCAGGGAGGGGATTTAGAGCATTTCTTATAGATGACTGGGTCATTCTTGGATGGTGGATTACAGTTCTCTCTTGGTCATTGGAGTTGAGGATGGTACACGGACTTCCTTATTGAACACTGGAAAGATCGCATCAGATTTGGGGCTGTGTGGGGAGAATTAGGTTTCTCGTTCCTGGAGAATTGGGAGGGATTAGGTTTTTGGGGAGGGGATTAGGGCCTTCCCCACCGCCTCAGGCGACTGGGCTTCAATAAGAGGGGGTGAGTTACTTCCCTGTAAATGTACCCCACCCCCGCAGGATCTCACAGTTGGTCCCGGTGGGGGAGCAAGTAGGATCCTGTTGGTAAGCGATGGGAACACAGAAACCACCTCGGAACACAGGATCCAGACGCATGTAGCTCAGTGTTGTCAACACTGGCTGGCAGCGGCTCCCCTGGGTTCGAGGCAGGATTCTCTTTCCTACCTGCAGATGCCGGGGAATCGAACCAGGGACCTCTCTGCATGCAGAGCAGATGCTCCACCGCTGAGCTACGGCCCTCTCCAGGATTTCAGACGGCAAACATCCCCATCCCTACCTGCAGGTGCCGGGGGACCGAACCTGAGAGCCTTCTGCACGCCGAGCAGATGCTCCAGCATGGAGTTACAGCTCTGCCCCAAAGGGGAGGCAAAGAGTGATGGAGTAGAAATGGGATCTTCTCATTAGGGTGGGAGGAAACCTCTAGGACATCCTTCACTCCCCCTAGGAAGCCCCTTCTAGCCTCCTCGCACCCACACCAGCCAGATTTTCCTTGTTTATCTCTCTCTCTCTCCCCCCCCCCACCCGCCTGGCTGTGATCTGCATCCCCAAACAACCGGCCCTCCCAGGACAAAATCGATCGGGCTGGCTGATGGATGCTGCCAATATGGTCCCTTCTGGTGTCTGTGGGTTTGATGGAGAGGATGTGGTACCCTGGTGGGATCCGTGGTGGGAAGCAGGAGGAGGAGAAAGGGGAAGATGATCCGGGGAAGAAGAAAAAAAAGACAGCAGGGGTTTTTTTTGGAGCAGCGACATCTCTCCCCCCCCCCCCACTGCTCCATTGCAGAAGCTGCGCGCGGTCCTCTCCGCTCCCCCCACCCCACCACTCCGCCCGCCCCACCAAGACTCTCTCCAGGGTGGAGCAAAGAGGAGGAGGAGGAGGATGCTGGTCGCATAAGCTGAGCATCTTCTCCGTGCCAGGGACCGGGGGAATCTGCTGGGGAAGAAGGGGGGGGGCGAAGAGAGAGCTGTTTTGCTGGCACCCCAAAGCCTCACATTGGCGGCGCCCCCCCCCCAGCCTGGTCTAATAGATCCGCTCTTGCTTTGTAAGCAAAAGGGGCAGAGCAGGCTGGGGGGGGGGGCACAGAGGAAGAGAGGGGAGCGGGAGACACCCGCTCGCTTGCAACATGGACAAGTGATTGAAGGCGACAAGTCAGCTCTCCGTCCCAGCCTCTCCCCCAACATAGACACCTGCCCCCCCCCCCGCCCGGCTGGTGGATCTGCACGGATCTGAAGGGAGGAGGGGGCAAGGAGTCGCCCCCTCCCACCCGATTGACTTCTGCCTTTGGCTGTAAAGACCTTCGGACAACCAGGTGAGGAGCTGTGTTGGGGGGGGAGTGGGGGAGAAAATACCTGGGCTGGGGTATTAGAGCGGGAGGGAGGGGGTCCTCTTGCGAGGTGGATGCAATTTAGGAAGTAAGGAATTGTAATTATTTTCTGCAATGAATTCTGCAGAGATCTTTTCGCCCAGTCCCATTTTTATATATAAAAAAGTTAAATGTGGCAATAGAATGGGTTTGTTTGTTTTTTGCGGGGGGGGGGAATTTAAAAAAATCTGTCTATATGTGCCCCCAAAAGATGTCATGTTGTGCGCCCCCCCCCCCGGTAGAGGTGGGCTTTGTGGGGCAAACATGCATTCCTAAGATGTTTGCTCTGAGAAGGATGGGGTTCAGACACGGTATGCTGGGGAGGGAGGCAGAGAACAAGGCAGGGAGATTGTAGCCAATTGAGCTCTACTTAGAGTAGACCCAGTGAAACCCATGGACCTAAGTTAGTGGTGTCTATTTGCTTGTGAGTATTATAGTGTCTGGGAAGGGAATGGGTGGCTGGTCGTTTGGGGAAGTGGGGATGGGATCAGAGAAAACTGGGGGAGGACAAAATAATAATAATAATAATAATAATAATAATAATAATAATAATAATAATAAAAATCCGGGATGGTTAAAAGGAGGGAGGAGTATTTTCGGCTCAAGGACCAAGAGGTCTCTCCCACTATTTCCCAGCTTTGTACCTCCCCAGACTTGGGAAGAATACACCCCATGCATTTTAACTGTAACACACACATACATATGCAGAGAAGTTTTAAGGTTCAGTGATCCCAGTCAAATCCCCCCTCCACTTTTTCCCCAAACACAGACAGAGTGCAGATTTCTCGGCTCATCTCATTGCTGATTCTCTCCCATACCTCTTTTCCCCACCACCCACCGCTGTCCAGGAATCACTTTTAACACAAACACAAGAAGAAACAGAGAGCCCCGGCTGAATCTTGGCTCCTGGCTGGGACTGCCAGTGCCAAGGATTTAACCAGGGGGATTCCCTCCCCCCCTGCCCGCCTCCACACACTTCCTTTTCCTCCTCCCCATCCACTCCGTGTGAAAAGAGGTTGCAGGGGGAGGAGGGTGGCTCCTGCCTTCAAATCAATGGGAAACCAGCAACAGGAACTGCACCAAGGCAGAAATTGGGGGGGGGGGTGAGGAGGGAAGGACGTGGGTGCCTAGCCTGGCACCAGCCTGGGCACATTTGCACCGCCTTGCACGAGGGCATCCGCTGAGTCTTGTGCTGAGCGGCAGCAGCATGCACACTCGAGGGGTCTCTCCCCCCCCCAACATGCATGAGGTCAGGCTGTGCAAAGACTTTTAAAACGCTTTAATTTTTTTGCTGGGAAGCGCCTTGCAGAGCAATCACAACAGGGTCTGGTGCTCATGGAACTCTGATGTTTTTACTTGCATCTTAAATGTGGCACAATTCTGGGGAAAGGCTCCATGGTACAGCATGCCAGCATCTGCTTTGCACACAGAAGAAGGTTCCGTGTTCAATCCCCAGTGTCATCTGCAGGGAGGGACCCTTGCCTGAAATCCTGGAAAGATGCTGCCAGTCAGTGTGGACAGTACTGACCTAGATGGACCAACAGTCTGGCTTGGTGTATTGCAGTTTTCTAGGGACAGGCACCAACCCGTGCAGAAAGGGAATTCAGTTGGGTGTGAGTGTGCAAACGTGCTGAGGAGGTTTCGGAGGGCCACACATATAAGAGAGGGCCCGGCAGAGGCTGAATTGTTTAAGGCAGAAATAATTGCAAGCGGAAAAAGGCACATGAAATGGCGAGAGGTCAAAAGGGCTTACAAACAGAGGACACGGCTGGTTACTCTGGTTGCCACAGGTGTCTTGGGGGCAGGCCCCACACAGCCTGGTGTTGGATGGACACAACTTGACTGGCTGCATCCCAGCGGGTAGCTCTTCCTGCCAGGGTGCCCCTGTTCTGCCAAGGAGCCCTGGGCATATGTCGCTTTCCCCGCCTCCCCCAGGGGATTCTTGGGATGTCCTCCTAGAGCCAAGGCCTGGCACAGCATCGCCTGCTCATGCCCCCTTGGCAGTGCCAGTTGCTGCTGCCAGTGAACTCGGATGGGAGCTGGCACCTGCTTAGGGTTGGCCCCTTAACGCTGCGGAGGAGGTGATGGCAAACACATTACTACACACATACACACACAGAGAGGACATTATAAGCGGAAGGAAATGGAAAAGCCTACTTGGATACGTGTAACCTCAAACCCAGAGCAAACGCCTCTGTCACATCCCGCCCAGGCTGCAACTTTCTATACGGGCAGGGCTTTTTTCCAGCTGGAACTCAGTTCCCGCACCTCTCAGGTGGGCACCATTGCCATTCTAAGAAAACAAGGGAGGTGCTCATGGCGAGATTTGGAAACCCTTTCCCTAGAAAAACAGCTCTGTATACAGGCATAGATAAAGTGTGGTTCAGCCCTTAGGGAAGGGGCAGAGCTCAGTGGCAGAACATCTGCTCTGCATGCAGAAGGTGGCAGGTGCAATCTCTGGCATCTCCAGGTGGGGCGAGGAATGTCCCTTACCTGAAACCCTGGAGAGCAGCAAGACTGAGCGAGGTGGACCAATGGTTTGACTTGGGATAAGGCAGCTACTCCACAGCTTGGCCTCTGGGCCCGATTCCAGTGCTGGAACTATAAAAGGAGACCATATCTGAGCATGTGTAAAGTACCTGCTCATCTTTGCCCCGCAAGGCCTGACCCTTGTAAGATGAAGGATGTACGTAGGGGCCCATTCAGTCCAGCATCCTGTTCTCATAGCGGCGAACTGGAAGCCCTAATGGGAAACTCCCCTGCTGCCATTCAGAAACATTACCAGTTCCTACAGTGGGGGCAGTGGGCTTCTGAAGCCCAGGGTGCAATTTCCAGGCTGACATATCCATCAGTTTGGTTTTTCCTGATTTGTAGAAATACTGCCCTTTGCGCCCATGCGTCAGCCGCGCACAGAGGCGCATGTCGAGCTCCTTCACATAATCTGTGTGTCATCTTGCCCGCTTGCTTGCCTTTGCCTGGCAAATGTGCCCCTTCCATGCGCTCCTGGTTCGCCGTCTATTGAATATATTCTCATCCACAATGGACATTTTTCGCTGGATGTGGGCTGCCCGTTTTCAGTAGCCTTTCACCTGCCTGCCTGCTCTTTTTTTGCTTCGGGACATTGCCTGGGATCATGCACTCCTCCCTCCGCACAAATGCATGTGCAATTAATGCCACTATCTTTTGCATCGCATGAGAGAGCCCTAGCTACCACTTTCCTCTCCTGATCTGACCAGTTCACACTTGGCTACTTCCCTACTATGAGCTGTGCAGGAAACTAAATGCTCACTGCACCACTGATAAAGAGACCACATGTGCGTTTCGCTGCGCATACAATGCCATGGGAAGCCCCAGCAAGCAGCTATTGGATGCATTTTCCCAAAACGGGTATGTGTTTGGAGAATCAGAGGCTAGAGGAGCAAGCAAGGCACCCTCCTCAGTGCTTTACCACCTTAAAACCAGAAGGTCGGTGTGGGGAAAGCACACTGTGTTTTCATCACGTATAGTATTTTCTACAGAGCCGTAACCTCTGCTGGGAGAAAGAGAGGAGGACAGGCTGGCCCTGGCCGACTCCTCCAGGGAGAGGGCAAGCAGAAGGGGAATAATGGGGGATCACCCGTCCTCGGTGCCCCCCCCGCCCCCATGCACAACCCAGCACAGAAAGCAGCGGTGGATTAATGGCGGGGATTACAATGCCAGATTGCCCAGCCAAATGGGCACAGGGACCGATTTAGGACAGAGACGTATGGGAGGGAGGAGGGATGAGACACTGAGACAATGGGAAAGAAGGAAGGATCCCATGGCAGGGGGTGCAAGCTCCCCTGCTGCCTCCTGCTTTAAGGTCCCACACAGCTCCTTTGACTTGCACAGGAGCTGTGCAGAAGCCTTCCTGAGCTGGGGGGCGGGGAGGTGAGTTACATCTGCAGAAGGAAATTCCCTGCCTTTCCTCTTCTCCTGATCTAATCATAGGAACACGCAAAGTCATTTTATACTGAATCAGAACATTTGTCCATCTAGCTCAGTGCTGTCTACTCTGACTGGCAGTGGCTCTCCATGGTTTCAGACTGGGAGCCTTTACCACCTTTCCTGGAGATACCAGGGACTGAACCTTCTGCATGCAAAGTGAATGCTTTACCACTGAGCTACAGCCCTTCCCTAATCAAAGATGCCCCTCCGCCCTTGGATTCAACAATCCCCCTCTGCAGTCTTCATCAGTGGGAGAGCAAGTGGCTAGGAGGGCAAGCGATGAAAGAAAACACCTGGTTTGAATCTCGCCACAAATTCACTAGGTGACCTTATTCTCTCAACTTCCAACACCTGCAGTGTGTCAGGAAGCAGGGGGAAAACAATAGTACAGTGGTACCTCGGTTTAAGAACAGCCCTGTTTATGAACGATTCGGTTTACGAACTCCACAAAACCGGAAGTAGGGTCCCGGTTTGTGAACTTTACCTCAGTCTACGAATGGAAGCCAAACGGTGGAAGGGCACCGGTGGTGGGAGGCCTCATTAGGGAAAGCACGCCTCGGTTTAAGAACGGTTTTGGTTTAAGAACAGACTTCCAGAACGGATTAAGTTCGTAAACTGAGGTACCATTGTACTGCCTACCTCTTTTCAGGGTTATTGTAACTCAGGATGGAAGGCTCTATCGATTTCAGTTCTCTCAATTTTTCATTTGTCAGATGAGAACAGTTAGATGTAAGTAAGAATGCAGGCAGGTGAGGGGCTGGCTGAGCTCAGACTGAGAAGTTTGTTTGTTTGTTTGTTTGTTTGTTTAATAAATTTGTATCCTACCTTCCCTACAAGGAGCTCATACATGGTTCTCTCACTTCACATTTTATTCTCACAACAACCCTGTGAGGTAGGTTAGGCTGAGAGACAGTGAATATCCCAAAGTCACCGAGCGAGCTTCATGGCCAAGTCGGGATTTGAACCCTGGTCTCCGAGGTCTTAGTCCCACACTCTTGCCACCACACCACACTGGCTCTCCGTTTGATGGGGCAGTGCTCCATTTGCCTCAATGGGTCAGCCCCCCACTGAATTCCTGTCAGGTATTTCCTTCCTCCACCCCCATCCTCCATAGCTTTAGGGAAGGATTGCTCAGATCTCTCTCCTCTTCCTTAGCTGGGAATGGGTCCAGAAACTGGTTGATCTCCCAAGAGTCCATTTCCCACAACTAGAAATCAAATATAATCAGCCCAAAGGCTGGTTAATCGGAATAATAATAATAATATTTAGTATGCCTAAAGCATCCCGGCACCTGGCACCACACAGCCATCAAGTTAAAAAGTAACAAGCCTGCAGACTTACGACCCGGCGACGCTTGATTTTTACAATGCCGGTTTTGATTTCTCTCTTCCACTTTCCATACCTAATGAGCAGCGTTCAACAGTCGCAAAGTCCAAATGAAAAGGTGCTTATTGACACTGCAACAGCCTCTTATCTGGTGCCGGCTTCTGAAGCGGAATGCATTAGCAAACGGGCCCATCATAATTCCCTTTAAAACACACACACATAGTACATAGAATGGAACACATTAAGAATTTAAATGGAATACTTAATCTGGTTCTGGTCACACTTATTATGGAGCTGAAATGCATTCCGTGTCTCTGCTGTTATGGGGAGGGGAGAGGTGGAGGGAAGGAAAGAGTGTGTTGGCATTTTGCGTCAGTGTGAACGCATTTAAGAGCTTGTGCACCAGAGGCAAACTGCCCCCACCGCTTAAGTTCTCAAGACTCAGGAAAGGAGAAATCCGAAAATCACATCTGCGGGGATGCACAAACAACATTAAAAAAAAATAAAAAAATCTCCGGAACGGTAGCTGTGTTAGGCTGTGTACATATTATTGGCTAAAAATAAAAATAAAAATTGCAGCTAGCTCGTTCTTTTTCTCAATTTGGATCGAAGCTGGTTTGGGGTAGGGGAATACATCGAAGTGTACTCTTTCATAAGCAACGGCAGGAGGGATATGGATTTTGGGTAATGTCATGTATACGCCGCTTCCTAAACCAGTGGTGGAAGCCAATGGTCACAAATGGGAGTGCGTACACGCAGCCTTAGCCTCTTGCAGTAAAAACGACTGCGAGTCTTAGGGAACCGTAGAGCAAATGTTGTTCCCAACATGGTGCTGGAAAGGCAGGCCAGGGACTTCTAGGGATGCAAGAACAGCTCAGACCAACAGTTCATGTAGCCCATCATTTTGGTTCCCCTCAGGGGCCAGTCAGATGCCAGCGGGACCCACAACCGGAACAAAACGTAATGCGGAGTGCTCCTGCCCAGGGTTTCAGCCTGCTGTGCCTTCTCCCAGGATACTCCATTCCAATCAGACAGCCGTGCCCTCTCCTGGATACTCCATTCCAACGCCCCCTTCTCCCCACACCCACCCAGTTTTCTGTTTATCCTCTCAATAGACATTCAGTGTTCTGTGGCCGCGGAATACTCAGTCCTCAGCCAGGACCTGAAGACGACAAACTTCCCCTCAGTGTTTTTACCTCAGTAACTGATATTCAGAGGTAGACTGCCTCTGGACGTGGAGGTGCCATTGCTAACTATCGTGGCTAATAAGGGAAGCTCTGCTGGATCAGGCCCAAGTTCTGTCTGTTTTCCTGCTGGGGCCAGCTGGGAGCTTCAAAAAAAAGCTCACAAGCTGGGTGAGAAGGCAACTGCTCATTCCCATACTGTACTGTTTATTTCCTGTAGGCTGGAATTTGGGGCATCTAGCCTCCAAACACAGCCATTCTAGGCAGCCATGCAGAAGCCATCAACAAACCTATGGTTTGTATGTAGAAATAGCAGCAGCAGTAATAATAATAGAATATATCAAATATTAGTCCTACTTAGAGCATACCTATTGAAAACAATAGACATGACTACATGAGTTCTATTCATTTCAATGGGTCTGCTCTAAATATGGTTTAGTTGGATACAGGCCAACAATTCTTTTTTTAAAAAATATATGGCCAGCTATTTATGAAATTATCTAAGCTGTCTATAAAGGGAAACAAACACAACACTTTTCTTTTTAAATGCAAAGCACAAAAATCAAATCAACACAAATCAAGAGGAATTAACAGCACAAAGCTTTCTAGCAAAGGCAGAAGAGTAGTTGTAGTAATTCTTTCTTAAATTTCTACAGCCAGCCGTCAGGAAGATTCCTTAAGGCTGTTCACGAAGTGAAATAAGCATAATTAAAGAAACACCGCCAACACCCTAATAATTAAAACAAAACTAGTATAAATAACAGCACAGAATTGAAACAATTTGTGGCTCAGCGTAAAACTGCAGTAGAAGAGCGAAACCATAAGGTTTGTTTAAAAACACATTAAAACGGCCGAGGCGGAGGCCCATCTAATCTGCTTTTAAAGCTTTCTAAGCCAGAGTGAGTGATGTAAGTCAATTACGCACGTGTGAAAAAGTGCTTTCTTGTGTCTGCCCTGAATCTCTTGCCCAATCAATCAATTTCACTGGGATTATGATGCCCCCTGTTGCCCCAGCTTGGTCCAGTATGTTGAGAGAATAACAAAAACTCCCTAGCCACTCTCCAAACCCAGCAGCTTCATTTTATAAACCTCTCATAGGTAAACAACAAGAAGTAGCAAGAGCCACATAATAACATAGTCCATCATCCTTTTCTCACAGTGGCCAACCAGATGCCCGTGGGAAGCCTCCAAGCAGGGTGCAAGCACCAGAGCACTCTGACCTCCTGTGCCTTCCAGAAATTGCTACTCAGAAGCATTACTGCAGGGGTCAGCAACCTTTTTCAGCCGTGGGCCAGTCCACCGTCCCTCAGACCATGTGGTGGGCCGGACTATATTTTGAAAAAAAAAAAGAACAAATTCCTACGCCCCACAAATAACCCAGAGATGCATTTTAAATAAAAGCACACATTCTACTCATGTAAAAACACCAGGCAGGCCCCACAAATAATCCAGAGATGCATTTTAAATAAGAGAACACATTCTACTCATATAAAAACATGCTGATTCTCGGACCGTCCGCAGGCCGGATTGAGAAGGCAATTAGGTTGCCTACCCCTGCATAACTGCCTCCAGCTGAGCAGAGCATAACCATCAAGGTTAGTGGCGATTGAGAGATAGCTTTTTCCTCCACAAAGCTGCCCAATCCTCTTTTCAAGCCATCCATGTTGGTGGCCAATACTGCCTCTTGTGGGCGTGAGTTCCACATGCCATGCAACTATCCTGTTTTAAGTGGGACATGCCGGAATTACAGAAGCCGTCCCAGCTTCTGATTCCATCCCGGCATGTGCTGTTTTGGATCCCGTACTTCCAGAAGCACTGTGGTGGCAGATGGGTGACCAGTGGCGGTGGCAGGCAAAGATGCGTATCACCAGGATTGTGCAGGGCAGGAAGTAATGGACCCCAAGGGAGAGAGCTGAGAGAGGGGGCCCCATCGAGGTTGTGTCCCGATTTGCCTCACTGGGATGTTGGAGGGTACGGTTCCATAATTTAACTCTGTGCTGTGTTGAAGAAGGACTTTCTTTGTCCTGATTCTTCCCACATTCAGCGTACCTGACTTTTAGCGTCAAAAGAGAGGGAGAACAACTTTTCTAGCCGCTTTCTCCACACAATGCATAATTTTATAAACCTCTGTCGTGTCACCTCTTAAGTGCCTCTTTCCTTGAAACTAAAAAATCCTACACCTTTCTTTGTAGAAAAAGGATGGGAGAAATTCATGGAGGACAAGTCTATTCGTGACTACTAGCCACAATGGCTAAGTTCTCCCTCCGATTTTTGAGGCAGTGTGAATCTGGATACCAGCTGTTGTGAACAGGGCTGTCCCATGGGGCAGACTTGAGGCAGTTGCCTCAGGCGGTGAAATCTCACGGGGCAGTGCCCTCAAGGGCGTCTCGCTCACCAACCACCAGGCAAGCGAGGGGAAGCAGTGCTGAGGGCTTCCAGTGAGATCTCACAAGATTTCACAGAGCTCACAAGAGTTCCAGAATGTCTTGCCAGAAGCTGTTGCTGCTGCTACGCAACCCTGGTAAGCGAGGCTTCAGCAGAGGGGCAGCAGCAACAGTGGGGCTGGTGGCATCTTCTGTTTCGCCTCAGGCAGCGAAATGCTAGCTGTGAATCACAAGTGGGGGGCGAAAGTGTTCTTCTGCTCAGTCCTGCTTTGGGGAACTCCATGAGGGCATCTGGCTGGGCATTGGGAGAATGGGATGCTGGAGGATATGGGCTTTTGGCAGGCAGCCCTTTCTTACACCCATATGCCTTACATCAGAAAACTGGAATTGCGGAAGCTCATGAGAAGTAGGGTAGTGAAAGGCAGACCCTCCCTCCTTCCTTTCACCAAATGTTTATGGGGTTTAAATCCGTGTTAGCGACTGCACGTATTTCAACAGGGATTGGTAGTTATTCTGGATTGATGAATGAGGGAACAAAGGCGTGGTTGTGCTCTGTGTCATCGGTGCGGACGGGTGTCTAGAGGAAAAGGCATATAATAGCTCCTGCAATTCTATTCTTGGGGCTGGGGCTGGAATCTATTTTTCAGCATCAGTAGGCGGTGGTGTATGTGGGAAGGGGGGAGGGAAAGGGATGTTGCTGTCTCCCCTCTTGCAGAAAAGGAGTGAACAAGGAAGTGATGGGGAGGACAGAGAGAGCTCCTTTTGGAAACATGTTAGCCCAGAATTCTGGAAGTGAGAAGCTTGGGACACAGAAGTGACAACGTTTCTGGAATATCCTAGTACCAAACCAGGGCCCTGTGCCTTTAGACTGACAGCAATGGACTCCAGATTCCCATAAACTCTGTGGACAAAATAAAAGCATGGTTAATCTAATTTATGTACATAATTTTTTATTTCCGTCTCTTCTTTGAGTTCCTGATACATGCACTCTGCTTCTGCCACCAAGTTTGAACCTTCATTTTCTTGTCTAGTCAATGCCTTTAATACACTGGCTCTGAGCACAAGTCATAGTGTTGGCGCTGACCTTTAAAACCCTAAACGGCCTTGGGTCAGCCCTGTATACCTGAATGAGTGTCTCCATCCCATATCATTAAGCCAGGACACTGAGGTCTAGGTCCGAGGGCCTTCTGGCAGTTCCCTCACTGTGAGAAGTGAGGTTACAGGGAACCAGGCAGAGGGCCTTCTCGGTAGTGGTGCCCACCCTGTGGAACACCCTCCCATCAGATGTCAAGGAGATAAATAACTATACAAGTTTTAGAATACATCTGAAGGCAGCCCTGTATTTGATGTTTTATTATGTTTTTCTATGTGTTGGAAGCTGCTCGAAGTGGCTGAGGCAACCCAGCCAGATGGACGGAGTATTATTATTATTATTATTATTATTATTATTTTATTATTTCACTAACACTCTCTGCCCTACCTTACAGGTATCGTCTTCCTCGCCATGTCACTCCTGTCTCAACTGAAGGCTTCAGCCTTGCTGCTGGCCTTGTTCCTCCCTTCACCGCTGGCGACGGTGGGTGGCCATGGCGGCACGCACGGCATTGAGACAGCGTCCCCGGACGGCGGCAACCACACCGCCAAGTGCCAAGAGGCCACGGAGTGCCAGGAAGGTGTGATCTTGCCAGTGTGGTTCCCACAGAACCCCTCTGTGGGGGACAAGGTGGCAAGGGCCATTGTTTACTTTGTGGCTCTGATCTACATGTTCCTGGGCATGTCCATCATTGCCGACCGCTTCATGGCCTCCATAGAAGTCATCACCTCACAGGAGAAAGAGATCACCATCAAGAAGCCCAACGGGGAGACCACCACCACCACCATCCGCATCTGGAATGAGACCGTCTCCAACTTGACCCTGATGGCATTGGGTTCCTCAGCCCCTGAGATCCTGCTCTCCATCATTGAGATTGTGGGCCACGGCTTCACCGCAGGAGACATGGGGCCCAGCACCATTGTCGGCAGCGCAGCCTTCAATATGTTTGTCATTATCGCCGTCTGCATTCATGTGGTCCCTGAGGGTGAGGTACGGCGCATCAAACACTTGCGGGTCTTCTTTGTCACCGCCGCCTGGAGCATCTTCGCCTATATCTGGCTATACCTCATCCTGGCCTGGTTCTCTCCCGGCATAGTGGAATTGTGGGAAGGGCTCCTCACCTTCCTCTTCTTCCCACTCTGTGTGCTCCAGGCTTGGGTGGCTGACAGAAGGCTCCTCTTCTACAAATACGTCCACAAGAAATACCGAGCGGACAAGGCCCGAGGCCTGATAATTGAGACTGAGGGTGATACTGGCTATCCAAAGTTGGACATGGAGATGGACAACTCGCTAAAGGAAGGATCCGAAGGTCTTGTGGAAGCAGGGAAGGACCAGGATGATGAAGCTCGCAGGGATATGGCCCGCACCTTGAGGGACCTCAAGCAGAAACATCCAGAAAAGGACATGGAGCAGCTTATCGAGATGGCCAACTATCACGTGCTAGTCCAACAGCAGAAGAGCCGGGCTTTCTACCGCATCCAGGCCACACGCATGATGATCGGAGCAGGGAATATCCTCAAGAAACATGCGGCGGACCAGGCCCGCAAAGCCATTAGCATGCAGGAGGTGCGTGCGGAAGAAGATGAGTCCGTGACCAAAGTTGGCTTTGAGCCAGCACACTACCAGTGCTTTGAGAACTGCGGCTCGGTGGTGCTGACTGTGGCCCGGCGGGGAGGGGACCCAGCCTGCGTCACACTGCGGGTGGATTTCCGCACAGAGGACGGGACGGCCAACGCTGGCTCAGACTACGAGTTTGCGGAGGGCACCTTGCTTTTCAAGCCAGGGGAAACCCACAAGGAAGTGCGGGTCGGAATCATTGATGACGACATTTTCGAGGAAGATGAGTATTTCTATGTCCACCTCAGTAACGTGCGGGCAGCCTGGGCCGAACCAGGCCCTGAGCCTCCTCCCAAAGCATGCCTCGGGCCTTCTAAGATGGCCACTGTCACGATCTTCGACGACGACCATGCCGGCATCTTCACCTTCGACGGGGCCTCCATGCGTGTGAGCGAGAGCGTGGGGGCTGTGCGCATCAAGGTGCTGAGGACCTCGGGGGCACGCGGGAGAGTGGCCATCCCCTTCCGCACCATTGAGGGGACCGCTAAGGCCGGAGAGGACTATGAGGAGGTAGCTGGCAAAGTGGAGTTCCAGAATGATGAGACCATGTAAGAGACCAGGGAAGGTGGTTTGTTTTTGTCTTTGAAAATATTGGTGTGGGCACTGTGTACTGAAAACACGAGCAGGAATGCTGTGACCCACACAAGAGGGCCACCAAATTGGATGGCTTTTAAAGAGGATGTGGGAGGGAGGAATAATAGAGCATGAGTCTACCAATGGCTGGTTAACCATGATGGCTATGGGGAGGCTGCCAGGAATCACAAGTGGGTAGGTGCCGCCACACTAAAAGCCCCACTCCACTGTATGGAATGGTCCTCCTGATAGGATGCCATCTGTAGGATGCCTTCTCCCACAAGACACAGTGACTGATTGGGTATATACTGTATTTTTCGCTCTATAAGACGCACCTGACCATAAGACGCACCTAGTTTTAGAGGAGGAGAACAAGAAAAAAAATATTCTCTCCCTCTCCAGCAAAGTGGGAGGAGAAATGGAAGGGGCTCCGTTTTTCCTCCCGTTGCCCTAAAGAGGCTTCGCGTGGCTATCCCTGAAGCCAGGAGAGCGAGAGTGATCGGTGTGCACCGATCCCTCTTGCTCTCCTGGCTTCAGGGATAGCTGCGCAGCCTGCATTCACTCCATAAGACGCACATACATTTTCCCTTACTTTTTAGGAGGGGAAAAGTGTGTCTTATTGAGCGAAAAATACAGTAATGTGTGAGAACAGGGCCGGTTCACCCATGAGGCAAGGTGAGGTGACTGCCTCAGGCCACGGGATCCACAGGAGCAGGAGAGAGGGCCTCCAAGGAATTCCTCACGAATTGCCTCTGTAGCAGTGGCAGTGACGGCTGTGGCAAACTCCTCGAGGCCAAATCTGCCTCCTCCTCTGCAGCCATGCCGCCTCTACAGCAGCCTTTCGATGAAAAGGAGGTGCTGCTTGGCTTCCTCCCGTCCCTAAGGAGGAAATGGTGGGGGCTGCCCTCTGCACCCACCTGGCATGATTCAGCCGCCTCCCCAACCACAGCAGCCTTTGATTCCCACTTCAACCATTGGGGGAAGGTGGATTTATCCCCCCACCCTTTTTTTGCAGTTTGCCTCAGGTGGCAAAATATATTGGACTGGCCTTGGGCAAAACGATCTTTTAGGTATCCTGGCCCCAGACTACATTCAGTAATTTGTGGCTGTTATTGTTGTTTTAATGGTGTAAGTTTTATTTCCTATTCCTCTGGGTTGTTATCGAGCAAAATTGAGCCTTGACTGGAGTCCAATGAATGTTAGTGATTTGTTAACATGTATAGCTAGGGCTCTGCAGCCCAATACCGGCACCTTGAACCTAGTCTAGTATAGGGCTGCCATATTTCAAAAATAAAGTTGTTGAGCTTTTTTTTAGGGAGACCACAAAATTGTTGAGCTATGGCAGCCCTAGTAGCTAAGTGGCAGTCAGAGATTGCTTTCCCCGTTCCTCCCATCACACCTCCCCTCTGGAAAATGTCAACACAGCTCATTTCCCTCTTCCCAACCCCTCAACCCATTCTCCTCTAGCTCCTGATACAGTGGTTTGACGCAAGCAGAAATTCAGCTGCGGAGCGTTGCTTGGCTAGAGCTAAGAAATGGGAAACAGATTTATTTTTTTTAAGGGTGCAGAGCCTGAGGACCCCCAGATGTTGATAGATTACAACTCTCATCATCTGTGCCTGGGCATGCTGGCTGGTCCAACCACACCTGAAGGACAGCAGATTCCCCACCCTGATTTAAGAAATGGGAATAGCATGTTGAATGTCTGTTGCACATACCAGGTTTATGTTAAAAGGCATGGGAGGAGGCTGATGCTGGGGCAGGAGTGGCAAAGCCTGATAAAGGTGCTCTGTACATGCTCAGTGGCACCCTTCCTTCATGATGCAACTTCCTTCATGGTGCAACATGAAAGAAAGACAAGAAAGAAAGGCACACACTGCCATAGGTCAGTGGTAGAGCATCTGAAATGCTCTTTTGAAAATGAGGTGCTGCCTTTATTCTTTAGTCTCTCTCCCTCTCCCTCTCTCTCTCTTGGCCTGTGATGCCTGCTTTAACTGGCAGCTAATCCTCGAGGTCTTGAGTACACAACAGTCTTTTCCTGTCACCTGCGATCTGAGCCTGTTAACCTGGATAACCCACCTTCCAAATATCCTGGGGTAAAAGGGACATTCCGTTTTTTGTCATGCAAGATCTCGGCGGCCATTTTGAGTGCCACGATCTTGTGCACTCTCACCCCGAAAAAGTGCATTTTTTTCACAGCAAGAGCAAGGTGCGGGTCACGTGACTTTCCTGGGTGCGCCTCCTGGAAGGCGTACGTCCCGGTTTTGCATCAGAAAAAGTTGGATGGCGGGGAAGGGCTCCATAGTTTGATGCTAGAGCTTCTGCTTTGCACACAGAAGAAGGTCCCAGGGTTCAACCCCTGGCATCTCCAGCTAGTCCTGAGAGACACTTCCTGTCTGAAACCTTGGAGAGTCACTGCCAGTCAGTGCAGGCAGTTCTGAGCTAGATGAACCAGTGGTCCGACTCAGCAGAAGACTCTTTCTTAAGGACATTTGCCATGAGTGGCAGGAGGTCCCAGGCTCCATCCCTCAGGAGCAGGCAGCATCCTGTGCTCACACATCCATCTCAGAAAATTATCTCCTCATAATTGCTGCTCGGCTGCCTTGTCGCCAGCCTCCAACCAACACCACCACTCACCCCCAGCATCCCTCCGGCTCCGTCAGACACATGGAATTAATTTCTTGAAATCTTAATCTTTCACCCGTCAAGCTGTGCTGCAGCAACCTCCAGCTCCCAATTTGACAGGCTCTGACCTAATTGCACGAGAAGGGGAAAGTGGGGTGGCGGGGGGAAGGAGCGGGACGTTTGGCCGACGGCACACGCGGGAGAGAGCGTGAAAGCACCCGTGTGTGGGGGCGAGCGGCTGGCAGGCCGTAAGCCGACGTGCGACGGAAATGGTGCAAGTGCGAGCAGATAAAAATGGGTGGTGTGTGCCAGTAGAGAGGAACATGCAGGAGTTTGTGTGTGTGAGGGGAGGGTGGTGGCAGACAAAAGTGAGTGTGAGTGAAAATTTATGGGATGCGCATTTATGTGCTCCTATGTGAACTAGCGGAGAGCAACGTTTCTTCCAGAGGAAAGCGGGTAGAAATTACCTCACGGCAGTTGCTCTTCAAAATGGGGATGTGGAACCACAAGCCCTTGAGGCCTATCTCTGGCCCCTGAATCTGTCCCTAAAATACACCCTTCCCTGACCCCTTTGCACCCCACACCCTTGAGTGTTTTTGTCTGATTGGGATGTGTCCTTGAACTCTGCAATAATGTTTCTTACTTGTCTGGATGGAGAATAGAGAGAGGCGTCTGTGAGTGTATGTGTGGAAACTAGCTTCCTATAAAAAGATAACATTGACATTCGTTGCTCCGCCCACTATTGCCCTTGGCTCCACCCACCACTAACATGTGGCCCTTGGAAAATTGTCCAGAATGGAATACGGCCCCTGGGCTGAAAAAGCTACCCCGCTCTACAAACACTCTCCCTCCCTCTCCCTCTCTCTCGCTTTCTCAAAAGCACATGCCATTTGTCCTATTAGTTTTAAAGGGTATGGCTTTTCCGTCTTTTCGTGACAGCCTCACTCACAGAAATGGAAGCAGGCAAAGTTTTTATTCCACATAAAGTTTGGGCCCTCCAGGTGTTACTGAACCACAACTCCCATCAGCCCCAGCAATGACAGGAGTTGTAGTTCAGCAACATCCGGAGCGCCAAGACTCTCCACATGCCTGTTTCATTAGAGTAAGAATTACTGGTAGACCTGCTTAGTTTACGTGTGCCAGACAGCTTATGTAAAAAGTGCAGGAGCCATCCCTGTAAAGGAGGTGGCAACTTTACCTCAGGTTTTTCAGGTATCAGTCAACTGAGCATTAAAGAAAATGCTCTATCTATATCATCTATATCTATATCTATATCTATATCTATATCTATATCTATATCTATATCTATATCTATATCTATATCTATATACAAAGCCACAGCCTCAGAAGAATAAAGGTGACATGTGGAACTAACAAGCATAGCCGTTCCAGGGATATTACAACATTTTGCTATATTGCCACCTGTTCAAGTGATGGATTTATGAGACCCCCTGAAGGAAGATACTCAGAAGCGCCTCTAAGGATTGAGCCAGGAAACCAGCTCATAAGAGGATAAATTATGTGTTCTCTATCCCCTTAATAAAATCTACAGTAGAGAAACAGACACGAGGCTGTTTCAAGCTCAACATGATCACAAGGGCGACAGCACCTGTCACTGAAGGGAACTTCAGCAAATCTGTTACTGAGGATCTTGGGAAGGCAAGAGGTTAAGACAGCCCAGCAAAAAAACAAAACCGTTCTTCTGTACTTACGTACCGCTAGAAAATATAGCTGTGGCATGCATTTGATCAGATTTGTTGTTCTGACGCAAATGCGGCAGAGTTTGGGGATATGTCTCCGTGTCAGTGAGACCTGAATCTTAAGAGCCTAAAGGGTGGCTTGGCTTCCACCCCCTTGGCAGCCCTATAGCGTTGACGTACCCACATATATTCCCATCCCATTAGTACCAAGCCGTCTCTTTGTGTTTGTAATTAGGGAACTAAAAACAGATGGCATCAAGCGAGGCTCCGGCTGCCAGACTCGGCTTAGCGTACCCGGAGTGTGTGCATGTGTGTGCGTTGTGCCACAGCTTGGCGAGAGCGAAGCCATGGGGTCATGCATAAGCAGAGATGAACTCGAAGGAGCAGGAGGTGGCTATGGGGAGGGTTGTGGGTTCTCCCTGCTTCTCTGTGCGGAGGGGGCCGGTTCTGGGGCAGAAGACAGGGGCCCCAATGGCAGGTGGAGCCCGAACGGATGACAGGCAGGGCCTGGGTGTGAGTTCTGCACACCCAGATCTGGAGCTAAGATTTGGGTGGGGGTGGGCCAAGCTTTCCTCCCTCTCTCTTAACATAATTGACCAGTGGTTGCTGGGGCCCATTAAGGCTGTTAGGGCAGAAGTGAGGGAGCCCACCAGTAGGTGGCACCAGAGCCAATGGCAGAAGTAGCCAAATAATTCTAAGTTTGTCCCCATCCTCCTCTTTCTCCCTGCTGATTTCTACAAGGGGCAACGCTGAGACTACAGAAGACGAAGCTGCCAGGCAGGGCCATCCACTGGACTGGGTGCAAGGAAGAGGGCAGGCCGGCCAGGGCTGGCTGGCTGGCTGGCAGCAATCTGAGGTTGGCGAGGCAATGCCTCATTCGCCCTAAAGCACCGGCCTCTGCTATGTGACTTTTCATGGCTGCCTGCTATGCCATATTAAGCCAAGGAGTAATTTCCCTGTTGCGTCACTTCCGTGCCAAAAAAGTATGGGCTTACTAAATTTCCATTTGCTGGGCTATGAGCAAGGCCAAGGCCAGGCCCAGGACAGGGGGGGAGGGGAAAGCGGGGCAGTACCTTGGGAAGATGGTTTCCTGTATTGGTCTGCCTGCTCCAAAGAACCCATTATTTTCTTCCTCGTCCCCAGGAGATACATCGAAATTAAAATTATTGACGATGAGGAGTACGAGAAAAACAAGAACTTCCACCTGGAGCTGGGGCCACCAGAACTGCTGGACACAGGTCCACGGCATGGTAAGGAAAAAGTGGATAAACCTGGGGTGTGTGTGTTGTTATTGTTGTTTTAGTTTGTATTCTGTGATGTATTTTTGTGTTGTTATATTGTAAACCGCCCTGTGATCCTTGGATGAAGGGTGGCCTAGAAATTGAATAAATAATAATAATATGATTTGCAGGAGAGACTTCCTATGATACTTGAGGGGCAGAGTGGGATGTGGGGTGGGCTACAACAGGGATGAGGAACCTCAGACTTGGGGGGGGGGGCGCAAATGTGGTCCTCCAGGTCTTGTAAGCTTGCTGTACAAAGGTCAGGTTCACATTCATTGCTCCGCCCACTTTTGCCTGTGGCCCCACCCACCACTGGCTTGTGGCCCCTGGAAAGTTGCCTAGAAGGGAATGCGGCCCTCAGGCTGAAGGGGCTTCCCTTCACCTGAGCTTATGGCAGAAAGACGTAAGGAAGACATGGTACTAGAGGAGCCCTTTATTTGTAGGGTTGTGAAGGTAAGTTTAAAGACAAGGAACCCTCAGTAGAGAGAGAAGTTGTCCACCCACAGGGAGTGAGCAGAAGCCAGGCAGCAGACTAAGCAGGCACGCAGGTCATCAGCTCACACTCTTCCCTAGAATCATAGAATCGTAGAGTTGGAAGAAACCCTGAGGATCATCCAGTCCAACCCCCTGCAGAAATGAAAAGTGTTGGGTTTTCCCCCCCAAATTATATTCAAGCTTTCTAAATTCACATTGTCCACATCATAGATTTAGAACACACTGTTGTCGTCATCCCCCGAATAATCCTGGGAACTGTAGTTTACCCCCCACAGAGCTGCATTTCCCAGCACCAAGCTCCAGTTCCCAGGACTCTTAGCGGTAAGTCATGTGCTTTCAATGTATGGCGTGCACACAGTTGACATTAACACAGTCCTAATTAATGCAAAACTGTGTCCTCTTTTTGGGTGACTCTCAAACAATTGCAGGATGATGTCTCAGAATTGTCTCGGTTGTTTCAAGTCCAAGAGCAACATTTAACCGACTTGCCGAATTGGTGGGGAAAAGGCTTTGCCTTTTTAAAAAAAGAAAGGAGGGGAGCACAAAGAGAGATGGCCAAGTTCTTTTCCTACCTCTGTTCCCCAGCTTTTAAACAGTAGGCTGGCAGGTAGAAGTTTAGCAGGTGATGGTTTTCATGAAAGAGGGATAAAGTGATAATAGAAGCTTCACTTTCTGCATGCTGGGCTGCTGTTTGAAAGGCAGAGGGGCCAAATTGTTAGGAAAGCAGGCAACATTTGGCCATTAAGGAGATGGATTGAGGCAACTGGGAAGGGGACTGAGGACGGTGGGTGACGGAGGAGGTTAGAGAGTTGGAAAGAGGTTTCTGGAGGCTGGCAGAGAGGGGATGTTGGGATTCCAGCCTCTCCCTATGTGCCCGTTTTCTCCCCAATCTCACCCCAGGTGACTCCAATGAAAACCGCCTGCCTAACGGAGAAGAGGAAGCAATTGCCAAGATGGGGTGTCCTAGCCTTGGAGAGAACGCCAAACTTGAAGTTGTTATTGAGGAATCTTACGAATTCAAGGTAAGAAGACACTCTCTCACCTGGCACTCCCTAGCAAGAAAGACATTTCAGTCACAATCCCCCTCCTCACACCTCAGCATCCACACACCCCTCCCAGCAGTGGCTGATGCCCATTGGGACTGGTTGGGTGGAAGGCAGGGAGCCCACCAGTAGGTGGAACCAGAGCCAATGACATGCAGAACCAAATAATTCTAGCTTTGCCCCCATCCTCCTTCTACTTGCTGAGTTCTACAAACACTAAGACTAAGGAGGAGGAAGCTGCCAGCAAATGCCATCCCTTGGACTGATTGTAAGTAAAGAGATAGACAAGTGTGGGTGGACTGAACTTGGTGGGGCAGTGCCCCATTTGTCCTAGTGTGCCAACCTCCAATTTTCCCCATCCACTGATTTTTTTAAACAAACAAGACTATTTGCAGTTTGGAAAGTGACAGAGAAATGCGATGAAAAGTGTGGGATGAACGAATGACTAACAGGAAGATGTTTAAACATTCGGCAAGCAAATCAGAATATAGCAAGGTGGATGCCCATTGTCGTATAACTACCCCATTAACAAATCAGAAGAAACGCTCAGCAAAGACCGGACATAGTCTGGCCACTGAGCAAGCAAACCAGGATGAATGCTTAATAAAAAGGCTGTCTTGAAAGAACCCGTGGGCTTTTGAATAAGGAACCACATCAGGAACCAGCTCCTTGCCCATCAACCGAGGCTGAGAATCCCCCAGAATAAGCAGCTGAAGTTTAAACATTTCTGTTTCCTCACCCGCTCAACCCCTGCCATGGACTTTTGGGCCACCACAAAACATCCAACCCTGCCAAATGTGAATCTGCCGCCTACAAAGTGCCCTCGCATCTTGTTCAGCCTCCAAGCCTTATCTGTTTTTCACAATCTGTTATTGAGGTGTCCCTGTGTCAGTTATCATCTCATCCTTATGCACTCAATGGATCACTGTGCTCTGCAGGTGAGGGCTTCCTGCAGATATCACCTTGTCTGGACGTCCATTCCACACAATGTAGGAATTGTGCCTTTGGTATCGTGGCACTTTACTTGCCTTTTGGAATTCCCTCTCTTTGAATATATAAGTTAATAATAACAAATTTATTTCTGAGATGGGCAAACGTCCATCCTGGTTCTTTATTAAAAACAGATTTGTTTTCTTTGAATCTGTCTCCCGGTTTCTCACGCCACCTTTTGCTCCAGTGCCCTTGTCATCATGGCTGGTTAGGCAGATGGCAGGGTGGCAGGGTGCCCAAAGATACAATGACATTTCCCACGCCATCCCTGACCACAGGCACTGAAGAGCCAAGAGGAGGAGGATAGCAATACTGGTGGTGGTGGAAAGGGGCACGCAGGAGAAGTTCCATAGGGACTAGCCCCTTCTGCCCACTTAAAGTTCTCACCTCCCCACACCCCTCTTTTCCAGAGCACTGTGGACAAATTAATAAAAAAGACCAACTTGGCCCTTGTCGTCGGCAGCAGCAGCTGGAGGGAGCAGTTTGTTAGCGCCGTAACCGTCAGTGCTGGTAAGAAAGAATATGGACCTTTTTTGGAGGGGTATACCGTAGGTAGGAATGTTGGGACAGAGGGTGTAGCCAACTTCTGAACACCACAGACAGCTGCTTCCAGTCACCAGCCACAACACACTCAGACGTAGCCTCATCCCTGTGGGAGACACTTAAGACATTTCTCCCAATGAGAAAAATAAGAAAAGGAAAAAAAGACAGCAGGTCTCTGCCCCAAGGAACTTCTGGTTTAAATATTCCACAGTGGAAGAGAGAACCCACTAGAGGGGCCATGGGGTGAATGCAAGAAAATGCAGTTACATGACAGGGATGGGTGAAGCTGTCAATTTTGTTTTCTCCCAGTTACTCTTTTCTTTTTCATTCTTAAAATTCAGTTCTCCCCATCCCCATTCCACTTTGTGATTATTATTTTTTAAGGTCTTCCTAACAATTCTCAAGGGACGCGGGTGGCGCTGTGGGTTAAACCACGTAGCCTGGGCCTTGCCGATCAGAAGGTTGGCGGTTCGAAACCCCGCGATGGGGTGAGCTCCCGTTGCTCAGTCCCTGCTCCTGCCAACGTAGCAGTTCGAAAGCACGTCAAAGTGCAAGTAGATAAATAGGTACCGCTCCGGCGGGAAGGTAAACGCCGTTTCCGTGCGCTGCTCTGGTTGGCCAGAAGCGGCTTAGTCATGCTGGCCATATGACCCGGAAGCTGTACACCAGCTCCCTCGGCCAGTAAAGCGAGATGAGCGCCGCAACCCCAGAGTCGGCCACGGCTGGACCTAATGGTCAGGAGTCCCTTTACCTTTAACAATTCTCAGGAAGCTTAACAAGCTACAGTTCCTGGGATTCTTTGGGAGAAGCCATGAGCTTTAAATGTATGGGCTTGATGGGACCTTTGGGTAACTTAAAATAGCAGCGAGCCACTGGGGATGGGATCAGAGCTTGGCTGTCACGTGAAAGCGGCGCAGCCACTTGCCACTGAAAAGCATCCATGGGCCTGGTAGGGAAGATGGTAAATGGCAGTGCAGCTGGGTCAGGCCCCCAAGGGCCCCCACACCTGGCCCCTGGGGCCCTCGGCAATTGTCTAACTTGGCTAGCCACTGTTGCTGGGCCTGCTCTCCCCACCACCATAAGAGATTTTGTTGCCCCATTGGAATTTACTTAATTGCCTCCCCGCTCCCTACGCTCACATGAGGTAAGCAAAAGAGAGGCTAGAAGAAAGACTAGGACCTGTGGGGAGGCTGGCTAAGGTTGACTGATGGTGTCCCTATTAATTTAAGGTGTCTCTCTGTGCTCCCTCCCTCCAGGTGATGACGAGGACGACGACTCTGGCGAGGAGCGCCTCCCCTCTTGCTTCGACTACATCATGCACTTCCTGACGGTTTTCTGGAAAGTTCTGTTTGCCTTTGTGCCACCAACCGAATACTGGTGCGGCTGGGCCTGCTTCTTTGTCTCCATCTGCCTCATCGGAGTCCTCACCGCCCTCACCGGAGACCTGGCCGCCCACTTTGGCTGCACCATCGGCCTCAAAGACTCTGTCACAGCCGTGGTGTTCGTGGCCCTGGGCACCTCCGTGCCTGGTCAGTGAGGGGCGGCAAGCGGGGCAGATCATATCAGGGTCAGGAGTGACCTCAGTGAGGGGAAGGGTGGAACCGCCACAGGGCAAATTGTATTTTATGGGCTCTCCTGGCCCCAATCAGCTGGGAGGAATCCGGGTTTCTTGCCTCTGACTGTCCTGAAAAGCTTTGCCTCTTTAAAATTGTTGTAAAGGCACACTAGCCAGGCCAGTTAAAAACAAAACAAGCCACCAAACTATCTTGAAATAGGCATCACATTGCTTAATGTAATCTGAGTATCTGAAAGGTTGGCTCACTCCCCATAGACCACCCCTGGGGAGAAATCGGCAGAAGGGCCTTTTTGGGAGTTCCCCTGCCCTCAGATGTTCGAGGAGGAAAGTAGGGGAAGGTCCAAGAGAAGGGCTTTCTCTGTGGTAGCCCCCAAACTGTGGCATTCCCTCCCCAGAGGTAAATCCCTCATTGTGCAGCTTCTGTCATGTGCTGAGGAAATACTTGAACACACAGTCTTGGCCTTTGGCATAGGAACCAAATTATAGTAACAGTAATTATTATAATCATTATACTAACAGTAACAATAATTGCTACTAACATGGGCTCATTCAGGAGGAGGGGCAGGATATAAATTGACTAAATAAAATGAAATAAAAGATTGATTTGGCGCTTGAAGAGACCTTTGGCCTATCCCAAGGCAACAGGGATGATATTATTATTATTATTATTATTATTATTATCCTTTGTTGTCTTGGGTTAGACCAAAGGTCTCTACAAACACACACACAACTTATATCTCTAACAAGTCCAGGGCAGGGCAGAGAAAGGACTTCACTAATTTTAAAAATACAACATTAAAATCAGCTAAAAGAGATCCCAGTCAAGAAAGCGGTTTATCTGCCATCCAGTCTCTCCTTTAACAATTTTTTTTATTGATTTTCAAAAAATTATTTTTTTTAATTAAAAAAATCTATTAAAGAAGCCTTTTGGTGGTGGATAGACTTTTCTGCTTTCTTGACTGCAATCAAAGAAGCAGGGAGGTCTATTCGCCATCCATACACTTAACAGCATAAGCAGAGTGTGACAAGGCAATGACTTTCCAGGATGGTTTGTCTCACAGCACCTGGGATTTAGAGGCAAACTCCCTCTTTACATAGACTTTGCATTTTTAACTGTCAACAGCTAATAGCCATCGATAGCCTTAATTTGCCTAATTCTACAATAAATCACACACACACAAAAAGACTGTGAGCCTCCCTTAGTTACCTGGGAATAAGCCCCATTGAACTCAGCAAGACATACATCAAGATAGACACATATAGGATTGCACTGTAGGGCACGAATATGCTTTAATCATAAACTGGAGCAATCCTATAAATCATAGTGGGGTACCATTTGCCAGCCCGAGGGCCGCATTCCCCTTTGGGCAGCCTTCTGAGGGCCACATACCAGTGGTGGGTGGAGCCAGAGGCAAAAGTGGGTGTTACCACCTTCACCCTCTCTGTCCCTGCCCAAAGTTAAGTACCGTATTTTTCGCTCTATAAGACGCACCAGACCACAAGACACACCTAGTTTTTGGAGGAGGAAAACAAGGAAAAAAATATTCTGAATCTCAGAAGCCAGAACAGCAAGATGGATCGCTACGCAGTGAAAGCAGCAATCCCTCTTGCTGTTCTGGCTTCTGGGATAGCTGCACAGCCTGCATTCGCTCCATAAGACGCACACACATTTCCCCTTACTTTTTAGGAGGGGAAAAGTGAGTCTTATAGAGCAAAAAATACGGTATTTTATTTTGTCTTCTAGTTTATTAGGTAGTAGAAACCCATAGAATTCCATCAACCCAGAATAAAAGGGCATAGAGGGGAGAGGAAAAAGGCACTTATGCCTCAAGGAAGAAAATCAGTGTTTTTAGCTCTGCAGTCCTGCAGACAGATCAGATCTCTTTCTCCAGATCTCCAGATCTAGACCTTTTCTACTGCAGAGGTAGGGAACCCACAAACCTTATTTTAATTTGCCCCCAGAGGAGCTGCTTTTGCAAAGTGCTTCCCCTCTGTTGTAAACAAAATCTGCCCTTTTCCCTTATGGGGTATCCAAGAGCCCATATAGAGTCCTTACGTAGGTTCCCTATTGGTAGGAGTAAATTATTGGGAGGTAAGTCATAGAATAAGGGACACGGGTGGCGCTGTGGGTTACACCACAGAGCCTAGGACTTGCCAATCAGAAAGTCGGCGGTTCGAATCCCCGCGACGGGGTGAGCTCCCGTTGCTCGGTCCCTGCTCCTGCCAACCTAGCAGTTCGAAAGCACGTCAAAGTGCAAGTAGATAAATAGGTACCGCTCTGGTGGGAAGGTAAACGGCGTTTCCATGTGCTGCTCTGGTTCTCCAGAAGCGGCTTAGTCATGCTGGCCACATGACCTGGAAGCTGTACGCCAGCTCCCTCGGCCAATAAAGCGAGATGAGCACCGCAACCCCAGAGTCGGTCACGACTGGACCTAATGGTCAGGGGCCCCTTTACCCTTTACCTTTAAGTCATAGAATCATAGAGCTGGAAGGGACCTTGAGGATTATCCAGTCCAACCCACTGCAATGCAGGAATCTTTTGCCCAATGTGGGGCTTGAACCCATGGCTCTGAGATTAGGAGTCTTGTGAACTACCCCATTGCTTTAATTTGTTAATATTGGCAGCTAGGAACCTCAATCAGTTGTCCCAAATGAAGGTCGTTGGAGCTGATGGGAACTTTTGGCCCTCCACTTCCCCATCACTGGATTTCTGGCGTGCACACACACCAGGGGCTCTAACAAATCCTAAGCCTGCTCTTGCTATTTAGGGTGAGCAGAGCGGGGGCGAGCCTTGGGTTCATATTAATGGCTCGGGATGAAAGAGCAGGAGACTCTCACGTCTCAGAACATGTGGCCGACAAAGCCAGAGGCGACGGCAAGAGGATTGTCGGGGAAGAGAGGCGGCTGTATTTAACAGGCAGTCTGGAGAACAGGATTAGAAAGGAGAAAACTTGCTGTCTTGATGAGCTGGTGGAGAAATGATGATAAGGCTAAATCTCATATTGAGAGAGGGAGAGTGGGAAGCTAACCCTGCAAAGTGCTTAAATGCCCAGATATATATGACGTCGCAAAGAATGAAGGGTTCTGGAGAGGATTGGAAGTACGATTGCACAGCAGTGTAATACAGATTTTTACTTTATTTTATTTCGCAGACTTTTTTTTTTTAGGCTTAGCAAGGGGGGAAATGGAGACATTCGTTTGGGAGATTTGCCTCCTGCTCGAACAATTTATTCTGATTTCACAGTGTCCTGAGAAGGAGCAGGGTGCTGCACCCGTGGCAGTGCCGGATTTAGGACAGTGTGGGCAGTTAGCCGAGGGGGCGCAAAATGATGATGTTGATAATGATAAAACCTACAATAATATGGGAGGGGCACCAAATCTTGCCCTTGCTTGGGGCACTAGGGTGCCATGTTACAAAAGTCCGCCCTGCCCTTAGCTTCCCAAAATTCCAACAGACTTACCCCTTAGATGAGAAATGGAGAATCCTAGCATTGAAACATGGCCCTCCAAGCTCTGTTTGGCCCTCCAGTTGCCCCAGGTCACACCCCACTCAGCAGCCCTGATCTGCACTTTCCTTGAGGGCTTTTGCCTGCCTTGAATGGGTCCTCGTATGGCAGGAACATAGGAAACTATCTTCTACCAAGTCGAAATATTGGTTTGCCTAGCTCTGGGTTTCCCAAGCTTGAGTCTCCAGCTGTTTTTGGGCTACAGTTCCCATCATCCCTGACCACTGGTCCTGCTAGCTAGGGATGATGGGAGTTGTAGTCCAAAAACAGCTGGAGACCCATGTTTTGGAAACCCTGGATTAGACGATACCCTGGGTGAGCCTCAATGTGGTTGGAAGGAAGCATGGCCGTAGCTCAGTGTGAGAGTATCTGTTTTGCAACCGCCTTCTGCCCTTTTGTCTCTGCAGATACCTTTGCCAGCAAAGTTGCCGCCATCCAAGACCAGCACGCCGACGCCTCCATTGGGAATGTGACAGGCAGCAACGCAGTCAACGTCTTCCTGGGCATTGGGGTGGCCTGGACTATCGCAGCCGGGTACTGGGCCAGCAAAGGCCAGCCCTTTCACGTGAAGCCCGGCAACCTGGCATTCTCGGTCACCCTCTTCACCATCTTCGCCTTCTTCAGCATTGCGGTGTTACTGTACCGGCGCCGTGCACCCATCGGCGGAGAACTGGGCGGTCCCCGAAGCCCCAAAATCCTGGCGACCCTCCTCTTCCTGAGCCTATGGCTGGTCTACATCCTCCTGGCTGCCCTGGAAGCCTACTGCCACATTCAGGGCTTCTAAGAGACAAGCGCAGACTGGGAGATTCGCTTTCGGGTTTGGCCTGGGGGAGGCCCTTGTCCAAACCTTGGGACACTGATCCCCGGATGACTTGGGGGTGGAGGGGAGAAAGGAAAAGCCAAACCCTCCCTCCCCAAGCTGGGAGACCCCCTTTTTCTCAAGCACATGAGAACACCTTCACTTCCACAACGGTTCAGTGAAGACTTTGGCCAACGCCAGCCACGCGGTCTAGTAATGACTAAGGTGGTAACAAAAACGGGACAAAGTTACAGGGTCGAATTCTGGCCAAGGCTTCTGCGATGGACTGATGGCAGAGTTGCCCGCCTCTGTTTGGAGAGAGAAAATGCCAAGCTATTAAGAACCCTGATTTTAGACACATCTTAGGGGTGCAACAGATTCAAGGGAAGCTGAGCCAGGGCATAGGCCACCCCCTTCCACACTGACCTGGGTGAATTAGTAGCCTCAGAAAACAGTGGGATGGGAGGGGGATACTGACCAGCCCTGCCAATTATTCTTATCCTTGCAAGTATTGGAGGGCCAGTTAGTTGGACACACTGTCCTTCCCCTTGCAAGCCTGGCCAGTTTCTTGCAGCGACAGAGATGGGGCGCTCTTTGCATCCCAGTGGATGGTAACGTAATGATGTCAGCAAAACTGGAATTTTAGATGCAAGTCGAGGTTTGTGCTATCTTCCTCCTGTTCCTGGCCAAATGATCCAAAGAAGGGTGGGAGCAGGGAGAGAGAGGGAGGGAGAGAAAGGTGGAAAAAGCAAGCGAGAATAGATAGGAGAAGGGAAGAAGGATCCTAATCAGCCAGTTTACCTTGTTCCAAGCACAGTCGATACCCTCCGGAAAACCTGCACTCTTTACAAACTCCCCAGAACAGCACAAAAATCTCAAAACAGCAAAAAACAGAAATATAGCTAGATCTAGGATAGCTGCTTCCCCCCCTTCCTCTTCCACGGCACAGCGTTCCCCCTTCCCAAATTAAGAACTCCCCCCATATTAGTATTCGACTCCCCTTTTCTGTACAGAACTCAGATTTCTATTTAGTTGAGTTTATTTTACTTACAAGGTGGGGAAGCCCCCCACAGAAATTATTTTATTTTTATTTAAAAAGAAGAAAACCCACAAACCTCCGGCACCCATGCAATTGTCCGCCCCTTCCTTGTCCCTTAATGTGGACACCCCCCCCTCCTGTCCAGACGCCACGGCCGCTGCGCATGGTGCTTCCCTCCTCTCTGAGGCGGGGGGCCCCCGACATTGGTACGTCCCATGCCTCAGTTTGCATGGTGGCCCCTGTGACCCCAACCCATACAATCTTGTGTCTCTGTAAGTCACTCTGGTGTCCATGCTTGCCCGTTCGTCTTTTGCACCAGTGCCTGCCTGTTGCTCGTGCCTGCTGTCTGGTTTTCCCCAAAAACAAAAAATGTGCCCTTCCTCTTACGTCCTGTTGCCTGCGCTACCTTGGATTTGTGTTGTGTTGTGTGTGCGTGTGTTTTCTAAAAAAACAAAACAAAAAACTATTTAAAACTTATTCAAGAAAGCTGTGCATTTTTTAATATATATATATATAGGTTTATCATCTTATTTAGAAAAAAATAGCATTTCCCAATCTTGGGCCTAAGGTTCCCTGCAAGCCGGAAAAATGGTCTTATCCGAGGGATGGCAGGCTTCACAATCTTTATGGAGTTCCAACAGGCAAGAGGATGGTCACAGAGGAAACAGTGGACTAACCCAGCTGGACTTTGCCCGATCCCGATAGCAAGCCATGTTTAAGGCACTCCTGTTGCTGTGACTCAAGGAGGTGTAGCTTGGTTTCTGACCAGGTGTTTTGGACAGGTGCATGTCCGTCACTTTCTCCCCCCCCCCCAATGTGTTCCAGGTGCAGTGCAAATTATACTAAGGCTACATGGCTTGAAACACAGCAAGGTTGCTCCCTGCTATGTTTCAAGTCACTTTCTTACTCAGCTGTACGACAAGAGAGTGGGGGATGTCTTTGCCCCACATCCATTATCTGGTTTGTTTCCCTGCACCAAACTCCAATGTTCTCATCTGCATATGTGCAAAGGCTGCCTGAATGCTACACACCTCAGCTTAACTGCAGCTTCGGTTTTCTAACTGGACGTAAACCAGTTTGAGGAACGGGAGTATTTCTCAGGAAGCCACAGGATACAGGTGAATTGTGCTTAACATCGTGAGTACTTGGCTTCAAACACGGGGGTGGGGTCACCCTGGAACTGGAGCAAGCGGTCATGTGAACATAGCCTAAGATATTCCCAAACTTGGGTATCCGGCTGTTTTTGGACTACAATTCCCATCATCCCTGACCAACTAGAGATGATGAAAGTTGTAGTCCAAAAACAGCTGGAGACCCAAGTTTGGGAAACAAGCCTAGACCTTCACAGGCGCCTTCCCCTAAGCAACTCCACAGGACTTGCCCAGTCCAGGAAGTACACCTGAATGGAAACTAGAGAATTGAAGGCCTGTCTTCAGGCAGACAGCTGGCCCTTTAAGATGTAGTGAGTCACAAAGGGGTGGAGTGTGAGAGAAGTTGGCCTGAGGGGAGGGGCTTAAAAAGGCTCAGCCTGCTTTCCACCTTTGGCCACACCCACACCATACATTTAAAGGGCTATGATACCACTCTAAACAGTCACGGCTTCCCCCAAAGAATTCTGGGAACTGTGGTTTGTCAAGGATGCTGAGAGTTGTTAGGACACCCCTTATTCCCCTCACAGAGCTCCAATTGCCAGCATTCACTGTGGAGAGGGACTGCTTGTTAAATCACTCTGGGAATGGTAACTGCGAGGGGAAGTGAGCTGGGAAAAGTCTGGACTTTTACAAGGATGAGACGTCGGCCAAGCGTTCCTACGATAGTAATAAAGCCACAAAGCTGGCTTAATAAGGAAAAAGAAGAGCGGGGCAGGGGGAGCTATCTATTCCATCTATTCCACTACCACCCCATTCCTTCTCTGAGCCAAGGAAGAAACAGAAGGCAACTGAATTACACGTTTATTACATATGTTAAAAAAAAAGTTTAAGGCAAGAAAGAAAATTACATCCATAGGAAGGAAATAAGAAATAAAAAGAGAGGGGCTCTAGGTTGTCTTCCTGCCACAACCTCACATGGGCAGAACAAAAGCCCCCCCTTCCCCTTTTGCTCTTTGCACCCATCTCCCAAAGCAGCGAAGGACCTGCCTCCCAGGATTTTTTAATTAGCCCTTTTGTTGCATTGCCTTCCCAAATCTGTCCACCGCTTCCCTGTCCCCCAAGCTCCTCACCCCATAGAAAGGGGGGGAAGGATGAGAGGGAGAAACATACACAGGTTGTGTACATACCGTAAGATCTGAACTGCACGACTTCCCCAAGAGAACCCTGGGAACTATAGTTTGTTAAGGGTGCCGGGAATTGGAGCTTAGAGAGGGGTAAACTACCATTCCCAGGATTCTCAGAGGCGAGGGAGTCATGCTCTAAATGTACAGTGTGTATGGAGGCCTGGCCCTCCTTTGGTGAGAAAAGCCTTGGTGGATCAGTCCCACGTATCCACACGGTAAAGTGCACAACATCCACCAAAGAATCCTGGGAGCTATAGTTTGCCCCCTCACAGAGGACTAGTTCCCTGCACCCTCAACAAACAACAGACCCAGAATTCTTTGGGGAAGTCATGTGCTTTACATGTGCAGGCAGCCGCGCTCCTCTGGGGGAGAGTGGAGGTGTTTTCCCACAGGTTTTCCCCTCACATGTTCCATCGTTTTTATTTTTTTTAAAGAGGAGGATCTTATATTTAAAATAGCCCTTTTTGCTTCCTTCCCCTCTGCGGGGGGAAAAGTATTGGCGAGCAGGGAGTATGGGAGATCCCACCCTCCCTAGATAGTGCATTAAAAGGGGAAAAAACACAAAAGAGGCCGCCATCAGCTGCCATCTTCCCCATCTCGCCCCCCACGACGTGTGAGGTGCGCATGAATGCATGTTGGTGGTGCCAGGGTTGCCTGATACTTTAGCCCTCACCAGTCACCCCTCCCGCAAGTCTTTTTCCCAGCTTCAAAAAGCACAGACCGAGAGGTTGGGAGAAGACAAGTTGCACTTAGTTAATGAATTAAAAAAAAAATAGTTTAAAAAAATAAAACATTTGCTCTTTTTGCTTTTTTTTTTTTTTTAAGGAAAGGGGGTGGAGGAAGCCAAGTGCCTTTAGTGTGTGTTTTTCTTCCATAGGCTCTGCCCCATGACACACTTTTTAACAAGCCCTGGGACGGCAGGAGATGCCCCAAAGATGCCTCCCGTCTCTCTCTCGCACGTGCGTGCGCATGTGCACATCAGCACTGCGGCCACTGCCGGGTGTCCTCCTCCAAGTCTCACAAGACGGTCAGGTCTTCTTCGGGAGGGGTGGGGCCGAGGGGAGACCCAGGGGGGTGCCCATTGCTGACGCTGCCATCCAGCTCTTCCTGCAGGTAACGGCGGATCTCCTGAGGCAGGGTGAGGCCCTCCAGCTCGCACTCGCGCTCCAACTGGGCTGCCAACTGGGGGGGGAATGGGGAAAGGAAGAAAGGAGAGAAGCAGGAGGGGAGAGAAATGAACACGCTACGATCTCTGCTACAAGCCGTTTCTAACATTTCACAAAACTCAAGGGGTGGCGCTATCCCCGCCCGCTCCACCGCTTCCATCGGTGGCAGAGAGGCTTTCTCACAAGTGGCACCGCTGCTCGCCTTCCCCGTCCCCAGAAGTCAAGTGAATAGCAAGACTTGAAGGAGCACGCCAGGTTCGCACTGGGATTTGTGAGAATCGGGGTGCGATGGTGGTAGCGGAAGTGGGGCACGGTGGGCAGGCACAGGAGGCAGCAATTCCCACTTCGCCTCCAGTGGCAAAAGGGGATGGGCCACCCTTAACACACACACAAACACACAGAATGAGAATGAAGGCTGCTAAAAATTTGCATCTCAGGTCTCTATTTTTTTTTAAAAAAAATATTTATTGATTTTCCAACCATTTGAACACGATAAAACAGAAAAAAGAAAAAAGAAAAAGAAAAAAAGAGAAAAAACATAAGATTAACAAAACAAGACGCAAACCATTTAAAACACAAAACAATTTCAATATCTTAGCTTTCATTCCCTTATTTCCACGACCTCCTCACACCTCCCTTTCTGTATTCCACTTCTATTAATTGTTTCAGCAATTCCTTTCCATCTTCCTCTGTTTTCTATCCTATAATTATCTTAACATATTCTAATCTTATTTTTCCCTTTAATACTCTATTTCTATTTATACTTAATTCCTTATAACATTTCTACTAAAGCCATATAACTTCATTCCAACATTTTTCTAACATTCATTATTTTTACAATATTTCTATACATAGTCTTAAACTTTTTCCAGTTTTCTTCCACCGACTCTTCTCCCTGGTCTCGGATTTCTGCCAGTCGTTTCCGCCAATTCCATATAGTCCATCAACTTCATCTGCCATTCTTCCCGGATAGATAAATCTTGTGCCTTCCAGTACTTCACAATGAGTATTCTTGCTGTTATTGTTGCATACAAGAGACAAATTCTATCCTTCTTTAAGACCAATTGACCGACCATGCCCAGGAGAAAGGCCTCTGGTTTCTTCAAAAGGGTATATTTAAATACCTTTTTCATTTCGTTATGAATCATCTCCCAGAGTGTCTTAATCCTTGGGCATGTCCACCAAAGGTGAACTCTAAACCTCAAATTCGTCTGTTTTTCCTTAAATTCAGTCATAGCGAGCGTCAACTTATGTTCATCAAATTGCCTCTGTAGGACTGGGGCTCTCTTTCTCTCCAGTTGTGTTTCTGTACCTTCAACAGCAACAGCTTTTTCCTTGACTTCCTCCACAGCTTGCCATATCAAAATAGGTTCTTGTATCAATTTCTGGGTGGTTTCTGTATTGGTATTGTCCATACTCCCTGCATTCAAGTCAACCTCAACAATTGAAACGTCCACTTTCGCATTTATCATGTCCGTTTTCCTGTGAAGCTGATACAATGAGTCATTTATCTTATATAATGCAGCCACCAAAGCCTCTTCTGTCGACATTCCTCTTAGTTTCAAATGTACTAGTACAGAGACAACAACAAAAAAAACAAGAGGGCCTAATATTAGACCTCTCCTGGATTGTTACCAAGTCCTCCCAGACCTTAATGTTTTATCAACAGTTGACTGGTCTGTTTTTCCTCTTCCATTTACCATAACATTTGAAAGATTCAAGGTTAGTCCCAGAGTCTCACGGTTTTTAACTTGCAGCTGGAAATTCCCCTAGTCCAACTCTTGTAAATCAACCAGTTTCAAAGGCTTCCACTCGGGGGAAACAGTTTCTATTTGTAAAAGTCAATAGTATCCTCTTTTAAACAATCCGAAGTTAGTTTCAAATTAGTTTCAATTTTCAGTTACTTTTACTCCTTTTTAAAGCAGCCGGAAACAGTAGAAACAATGTATTTCTCTTATTTAACTAGCTGTCAATGAACGTTCTAAGCACTGTCAATTAACATTCCAAAAAACGTCAGTTTTACTAGCAGCCCGTTTCCAGGGTCAGAGCGGCGGTGTTTTAAGCCTCTTCGCTCTCTCCCGCAGGCATACTCAGTCCGCAACTTCCCCCTCTCTTCTCCTGCCTCCAAGAGGGGGTGTAATGTTCGTTACCGTTGGAAGTTTGATCTTTTACAAAATACCTTCCAGGGCTCCAGCGTGCAACTACATTGCCTCAGTCTACTTACAAAAAGGGAAGGCGGACTTCCTGTTTTGAACCTCCACGTTACGATACCAAATTAAACTTTTAGAAATCCAATTCTTCCGTTTCAGCTCTACTCACGGGTAATTACTTTAAAGTCAAATTGTCCACAGGAAAAGGTCAGCGCTCTCCAGCAACAGCTATGCGGCTTCGCTCCGTGGAAGAAGCAGACGATTCGATGCACCGCGCCGCTCACCCCACGTCGCTCCGGAGCCCCAAAAACCGGGGTTCCCCGCGAGTGGGGGAGGCGCAAAAGGTGCCCGCCGAATCCCACGTTCACAGGCTTCTCCCGCCTCTGATTTTAATGGGTCTCCGCCTTCGCCGTGGCGGCCAGACCCAGATTTCCACGGAGCAGATTCCTCCCGGTCAGAGGAATTCTGCCATTACCGGAGGCGCCTCCCCCGGAAGTCCGCATCTCAGGTCTCTACGCAGGGGGTGATAATTAGGCTGCCATCCCTTTGGTAGGTGGGCAGCTCCTACAGCATGGAGAAGAGCCATAAGCTCAGTGCTTGCACATCTGCTCTGTGTGCAGAAGGTCCCAGGTCCAATCCCTTGCCAACTCCAAGTAGGGCTGGGAAAGACTTCCTGTCTAAAACCCCAAAGAGCTGCTGCCAGTCAGTGTAGACAGTCCAGAGCTAGACGGACCAACGGTTTGGCTCAATATAAGGCAGCTTCCTATGTTCCTATTGGCAAAGCGGCATAGCTCAGTGGTACAGCATCTGCCCTGCATGCAGAAAGCCCGAGATTTGATCCCTGGCATTTCCAGGTAAGGCTGGTAGAGACGCCGTGTCTGAAACCCTGGACAGCCACTGCCGGTCAGTGTTGATGATACTTGGCTAAATTGACTCAACTCCCTATCTTTTTAATCGTCCTCTGGCAGCCCATTTCTGATTGTGAACACACACAAAAATGGGAACGCTCCCGAGGCCTGAGAACCTATAGCCAGAATGAACATACAACTCGAATTCATAGAAGAAAAGCAACGGTTAGCAAACACAACTGCGTACACAACAGAAACCAATCCTAAACACTCTGTAACACCATCCAGTATATCTGAAGGAGCGTCTCCACCCCCATCGTTCTGCCCGGACACTGAGGTCCAGCTCCGAGGGCCTTCTGGCGGTTCCCTCACTGCGAGAGGCCAAGTTACAGGGAACCAGGCAGAGGGACTTCTCGGTAGTGGCGCCCGCCCTGTGGAACACCCTCCCATCAGATGTCAAAGCGATAAACAACTACCTGACATTCAGAAGACATCTGAAGGCAGCCCTGTTCAGGGAAGTGTTTAACATGTGACATTTGAGTGTATTTTTCATCTTTGTTGGAAGCCGCCCAGAGTGGCTGGGGAGGCCCAGCCAGATGGGCGGGGTACAAATAATAATAATAATAATAATAATAATAATAATAATAATTATTATTATTATTATTCATAAAACCCTAGAAACAGAGGATTTGGAGCCTAAAACACAACCAAAGAGAGAGAGAAGGACCCACACTCTCAGGAGCTGCTGGAGTCAGTGGGAAGGCTCTTCACGCTGTTCAGCAGATTGCAAACACTTTACAGCTTGGGTAGGAAGCAAGGCCACTTGGAAGCGCTTCCTCGATGGCCTCAGCCCGCAGGCTGCCTGCGTGTTAACACTTTAAATTGGCTCAACAATGGGAGGTCTTTGGCGCTGGCAAACGCAGAAAGTGCTCTCCGGCTGGGTGGCTGCCAGGTGACGGGAAGATGCAGCCGCTTTATGACTTGGCAACCAGCCCTAGAAGGTGGAAGCAGCAGCCTTAAGCCTGCCTTTTTTGTTTGCCAAAGGCCACAGGGCAGTGGTGGCTGGGGCCAGAGGCAAAAGCAGGCACAGCAACTAACACAGATTTTCACCTTTGAGCAGGAGGTTCGTCTCCACACAAAAACACACATTCATACCCTGCCCTCTATCCTCCATCCGCACAAACAAGAGGCATTATCAGAGCCCAAGAGCTCATTCCAGACAGGAAAAGCCCTGAAGGAGGATGTGAAGCCTGGGGAGACTTCTAAGGGCCAGAAAGAGAGGCTTGGAGGGGCGTATTTGGCCTCTGGGTTCCCCATCCCCTGCCCCTACGGCCATTCTTTCAAAAGAAAAGGTCTTCTCCCATGTTTACCTAAGAAAACAACGCAATAAAAAGCTGCGCAGGATCAGGCGAATGGCCCATCCAGTCCAGCATCTTTTTCTCAGAGTGTCCAACCAGATGCTTACAGGAACCCAAGAAGAGGACCCGAGTTCAAGAGCAACTCTCCCCGCTTGCGATTCCTAGCAAGAGATATTCAGAAGCACACTACCGCCCTCAACAGGGGAGAGGGAACATAGTCATCATGGCTAGTAGCCACTGATAGCATCACCCTCCATGAATTTTTCTAACCAGTCTTTCAAGCTGGTGACCGTTGCTGTATCTTCTGGAACAGTGAATTCCAGACATTACATATGCGCTGTGTGAAGGAGGACTTCTTTTTTGCCTGTCCTGAATCTTTTAGCTTTGTTGTACGACTCCAAGTTCTCCATTCTGAGAGGAGGAGAAAAGTTTCTTCCCGCCTACTCGCCTCACACGGAACTACATTTCCCAGAGTTCCCTCTGGGATGTTGGATGAGGGGATTATGACCTAGGGAGGAGGCGTGGGCAAACGGAGTCGCACAGGCCCCAGTTGTCCCAATAACCCCGTTCCCTACCCAAATATACATTCTGGAATTTTTCCAATGGACAACTTGAAAAATAAAAACCCAGGCTCAGTCGGTAAGAGCATGAGACTCTTAATCTCAGAGTTGTGGGTTTGAGCCCAGAAGCATTTGCTGCACTCACCCGTGGCTCTTCATCCTCAATCAGCTGTAGTATCCCCTGGTGTCCTGCCAGTAGCTTCTCTTGGCGCCGTTTCTGGGCTTCCTCAAGCTTTGGGATGGAAGGGAAAGCAGAGTCAGTGAGGCAGGGATAACGTTAACATGGCTCTTGTTTCACCAGTTCGCTCAGACTTGCAAGCTACAGTGTTTCCTGGGGAAAATAAGGCCTACCCCTCCTTGGTCATTCCTGCCTTTGATGCTTCCAGGTCGGACCCCTGTAATGCACCTACACTCGGAGATGGTCCAGAAACTTTAATGAGCTGAGGAAGCAGCGGCCAGAACTTGTGTGTCCAGGGCTGGCAGGATGAACCATTCTTAGGTCATAATTGGATTGTGATTTGTTTCCAGGCTAATTTTTATATATATAAATAAAAAATGCCAGTTCTGGATGTTCTAAATTTACAACCTGGGAATCAGGGTTATCGCAGGAATTGTCTCTTTTTCTACATACACGTGTGGGATTTGTGCTCAGTGTGAAGCTCTCCTTGCTTTTGCTTTGCCAAGAGTAACGCTGTTTACGGAGTTGAGCAAAAGGGCCTTTTCGGTGGTGACGCCTACTCTATGGAGCAGCTTCCCAGGAAAGGCATGCTGGGGTCCCTCTTTTGCCTGCTTATAAATTGACCCTTAAGATTTTGTTACAGCTGGTTTTAACTGGGGTGGGTTGTGCGGTTTTATTGTTGCTGAACAGATCACCCTCATATTTTTTTATGAGATAGCAGTTGTTGTTGTTGTTTAGTTGTTTAGTCGTGTCTGACTCTTCGTGACCCCATGGACCAGAGCATGCCAGGCACTCCTGTCTTCCACTGCCTCCCGCAGCTTGGTCAAACTCATATTCATAGCTGTCCAAAAGTGTTTATATACTGCTATCCATTGAGATAACAGTATATAAACACTTTTATGAATAAAAATACAATCAAAATAGCAATAAACACAATGTTTTTTAAAAAAATAAAACATCCATTAAAAATGCTTTCGGGTTATGTACTAAATAAATAAATAAATGATAGCAATAACACTTTCATACGTGAAAACAAATTAATGTGAAAAGTTCCCAAGCAATAAAAAAAAACATTTCTAACCAACACTACTGTTGTATGTTACTTGCTGTGCATGTTGAAAATGACAATAAAGACTTACAAAATAAACACAAACACACAAATTCACAGGCAAAACAATTTCAAATCCAATACAGTACTGCACGGATAAAGAATGGGATAAAATTTTCTCCACTTAAAAGGGTCATTGAAAAATGAAGGTCTTCAATAGGTGCCAAAAAGATGACAGGGGTGGCTTGCCCAAAGCGAGGGAGTTGCAAAGTGCAGGTGAGATTTCAAGAGTGCCATCTGGACTCAAGAGCCAGCGTGGTGTAGTGGTTAGAGTGTTGGTCTAGGACCTGGGAGATCAGGGTTCAAATCCCCTACTAGACACAGCTTTGAGGTTTGGAGAAACCCAGCCAGATGGGCAGGGTATAAATAATAAATTATTATTACTATTTCTATAACCAAGTGGTGTGTGTGTGTATAAAAATAAAATTCATTTTATTTTAATGTCCAATTTATAAAAGTAAACGGATACTGTATGCCCTTGGGCCAGTCACTGCCTCTCAGCCTAACTTACCCCACAGAGTTGTGGTAACTCCTGGTTTTACCCTCACAACATGTGGCGCCTTGAGCTCCTTGGAGGAAGGTGGGATAGAAATATAATAATAATAATTGAAAAATGAATAAAAATGGGAATGGGAAACTCACCCTGCGAATGGAGTTCACCGACTCGGTGATATGTCTCCTGTTTATCTCCGTCAGTTCCCTGAAGGAAGACAAAGAGCCTTTTCAGGATGAGAAGATAAGCCCCTGTTTCCAAATAAAAGAACCCCTGTCCTCTCCACACAAACAAGCACAAGACACTAGCCGTAAACCAAAGCAGAACTGGCAATCCCACCACCCTTCCAAGCAAGCCAGGTTGGGGTCTTCCAGCTCTGGTGAGATGGGCCTTCAAGAACGTGGCCCGACGCTTGAGGCCCAGCAGCTCCCATGCCCTTAAGGGTTTGCCCCTTAAAAATTGTGCGCTTCTGCAAACCGTAGCTGGGGTGGCAGGTGCCCATTGGGGCTGCTATGGCAGAAGGCAGGAAGACCAATAATAAGCGGAGCCAGAGCCAATGATAGATACAGCCTAATCATCCTGGCTTTGCATCTATTCTCCTCCCTGCTGAGAGGAGCAATGCCAAGTCTAAGGAAGAGAATGCAGAAAGCCAGTGTCACCCACCGGACTAGTCTGTAATGAAGAAGGCATGCAATGTGTACAACATGGGTATACAGACTAAGGCCCGGGGGCCAGATCTGGCCCAATCACCTTCTAAATCCGGCCCGTGGACGGTCCGGGAATCAGCGTGTTTTTACATGAGTAGAATGTGTCCTTTTATTTAAAATGCATCTCTGGGTTATTTGTGGGGCATAGGAATTTGTTCATTATTTTTTTTCAAAATATAGTCTGGCTCCCCACAAGGTCTGAGGGACAGTGGATCATCCCCTGCTGAAAAAGTTTGCTGACCCCTGGCGTACAACATGGGGCTATCTTTGAAGGTGACTCGGAAACTAGAACTAATCTAGAATGTGGCAGCTGGACTGGTGAGTGGGAGCGACAGGGAAGATTCTTTGGTTTTTGTTTGTTTGTTTTATAATTTTTTATTGCGTTTTTGATAATTTTATACATATAAAACACAACCATTTCAGACATTGAAAGACAAGGTTCTTTTGAACCTTCAGACCTCCTTTCCTAAGTTCCTAAGTTTAAATTTGCTGCATCTTTTACCATTACACATCTATTATATAACCATAATTGCCATAAATAATTCCACATTACAAGTGTCACTACATCCCTGCCAAAGATTTTAACTGTTTGCAGTGGTCTTTTAAATAAATTACAAATTTACTCCAGTCTTTAGAAAATTCTTTGAGATAAAGGTTCTTCGGACGTATGGTTAAGATGTGATCTAAGACAACAACACTAGCAGGGTTGTAAGAAGACTTGTAACGATAACTGCTCCTACCTTTTTATATTTATTTAAAAACTGACATTCTGAATGACTGAAATGTAAATTGGAAAATGTATAAATGCTATGATATAAAGATTAATTTTGAAAACCAAGAGACGGGAGGGAGGGAAGTTGAGGATGTGTTTAAATATTATAAAAGGGAAACTGAATAATTTATTTATTTATTTTAAAAGATGTGATCTAAGACACCACTATGAACTTGAGGATACTGTTTCTCTCCATTTATCTCAGTTTAGGTTTAATTTTGGTTTAGATTTTTTCAAAAAAGAAGATCACGCCTGCTTTGATCTTACGGGAAAAGCAGCCCTAGAAAGCAGTTGAAGGAAACCAACCCATCCCCAAGCCAATTCAACTCACACATCCTTTTTGCTCTTCCTCTCCCGGGATTTGGCTTCAGTGATGCTGTTGTGTCGTTTCCGGTCCAGGATTTTCTGAAGCTCCTTCTTCTCTCTAACCAAAGGTTTGGGGGTGCAGGGAGGGAAAGAATGGGCATGGGCTCAGTGGCAAAGCAGAAGGTCCCAGCTTTAATCACCGCTACTTCCAGGTAGGTCCGGGAGAGACTCCTGTCTAAAACCCTGGAGAACCACTGCCAGTCTGTGTAGACAACACTGAGCAAGATAGACCGATGGCCTGACTTGATATAAGGCAGCTTCCTAAGTTACTGTTTGATTAGATATTTCATTCAGAACAATGAGGACTAGAATCTTACTTTAGCAGAGCAGCAGTGAAGCACCTGCTTTGCAAGCAGAAAGCTGCAAACCCACCGCTGGGAAAGACTCCAGTTTGAAACCCTGAACTGCTGCTGCCACTTAGCATAGACCAGAAATGGGGAGCCTTGACTCCAACTCCCATCAGCCTCAGCATGCATGTCCAGAGGTCAGGCATGATGGGAGCGGCAGTCCAACAACCTCAGGAGGATGAGAAGGTCCCCACAAGCACAGAGCTAGGTGGGACCTCAGTTTGACTCTGTCTTAAGGCCGCTTCCTATCAAAAAGGCAGGCAGCATCTGGAGGAGGCGGAACAGCCCCTGAGAGTCCCCAAGAGAGGCTGCTGCTTCCCCTCCCATTTTGCCTCACGCCAGTACTCACTTTTCACTCATCTCCTTCAACTTCTTCAGCTGGGCAGCCTGGCAATCCCGGGCAATCTCTCTCAAGCGCTGCTGGGCCTGAGGCAAGGACGGGGGCGGCGGGGTGGGAGAGAAATGGGGGCAGGAATTAATATTCCTCTAAAATGGGCCCAGGGACACGGGTGGCGCTGTGGGTTAAACCACAGAGCCTAGGACTTGCCAATCAGAAGGTCGGCGGTTCGAATCCCCGCGACGGGGTGAGCTCCCGTTGCTCGGTCCCTGCTCCTGCCAACCTAGCAGTTTGAAAGCACGTCAAAGTGCAAATAGATAAATAGGGACCACTCTGGCGGGAAGGTAAACGGCGTTTCCATGTGTTGCTCTGGTTCACCAGAAGTGGCTTAATCATGTTGGCCACATGACCCAGAAGCTGTCTGCGGACAAATGCCGGCTCCCTCGGCCTATAGAGCAAGATGAGCGCGCAACCCCAGAGTCGGTCACGACTGGACCTAATGGTCAGGGGGCCCTTTACCTTTAAAATGGGCCCAGGGTGTGTCTGTTGTTATTATCTTCTAAAAATTGATATACTGGTTGATTGTAAACAGATAAACAAATCCCAGAGTGGTTGACAAAAATAATAAAACAATGCAACAATTAAAAACAACTGTTTTTGCTTGCTTGCTTGACTGACTTACTTCCTTACATATTGCACTAGCCAAAGGCCATGGCAACATCCAAAGAAGGGTAAAAGGGGGGAAAATACAGCAGTCGCTTTATGTGCAGTAAAACCATAGTCAAATCCACCAAAATTTCTTATTATACAGAATAAAAAGTAATTCTCAAAAAAAAAATGTGCAAATTAGAGTCCCCATTTCAATTGGCTGCTAGCCCATCTAGTTCTTTCTTCTTAATCTTCCTAGCTCTCACCTATGGTTTAAAAGACCATAGATTGTTTAATTAGAAGAGGAACGTTTTCACTGCCACCTAAGGATATATAATGAAAGGGTGCCAGGGGAGCGTCCCTGGGGAGAGCAAACCACAAGTGGGGCGTCACAGCAGAAAAGGCCCCGTTCTCATGTTACCACCCTTCGAACCTCTTGTGGAGGAGGCACACAAAGAAGGGAGATTTTAATGTATGACATTTATTGTGCTTTTAATATTCTGTTGGGTACGAGCAGAACCACAGGATCACAGATTTTGACATGAGGACAAAACTTGGAATCGTTTCTTTCTTTCTTTTTTAAAAAAGGCCGAAACTAGAGCTCAGCACTACAAGACACAGAACCACCCGCTCAGACATCTCAAGGTCTTTGTGCAATTTACCTTTGTGCGCACACACAAACTTTCCCAGCAGGGACATGGTGGTTTGGGAACAGGGATGCTGAATCTCAGGGCCGCCAGGTGCTGCTGTGCTTCAGCTCCCATCATCCTCAACCATGCTAGCTTGGGCTGAGAAGAGCCTAACAACAGCACATGGACACCCACAGCACCTCCGGCTTAGAGCCCACTATTTGAAGCCCCGCCCTGCCTTTAAACACCTGGCGCAGGTGCTCTCGCTTGCAGTCCCTCTCCAGCTGGTGCTGAACCTCCCGCAGCTGCAGCAGACCTTGCATCTGGCTCTCCTGATCCAGCTCCAAAGAACTTTGAGACCTACAGGGGGAAGGAAAAGAGCCGCACGTCAGGAGGCGCAAGTTGGCAAGAAAGGGTAAAGACTGCTCAAGCTCAAGCAGAACGGGGAGCTCACAGTAAAAGTCAACAAGGAATGAGTAATAATAATAATAATAATTTATTATTTATATCCTGCCCATCTGACTGAGTTTCCCCAGCCACTCTGGGCACCTCCCAATCGAGTGTTAAAAACAATACAGCATTAAATATTAAAAACTTCCCTAAACAGGGCTGCCTTCAGATGTCTTTTAAAAATAAGATAGCTGCTTATTTCCTTGACATCTGATGGGAGGGTGTTCCACAGGGCAGGCGCCACTACGGAGAAGGCCCTCTGTCTGGTTCCCTGTAACCTCGCTTCTCGCAATGAGGGAACCGCCAAAAGGCCCTTGGCGCTGGATCTCAGCGTCCGGGCTGAACAATGGGGGTGGAGACACTCCTTCAGGTATACAGGACCGAGGCCATTTAGGGCTTTAAAGGTCAGCACCAACACTTTGAATTGTGCTTGGAAACGAACTGGGAGCCAATGCAGATCTCTCAAAACTGGTGTTATGTGGTCCCGGCGGCCACTCCCAGTCACCAGTCTAGCTGCCGTATTCTGGATTAATTGCAGTTTCCAGATCACCTTCACAGGTAGCCCCACGCATGCACTACTCTGGCAAGTAACCAAGCAGGTGGAAGAGAGTCGGGGGGGGTGTCATATACCGTCCCCCTTTTTCCTCCCAGTAAAATCCTGCCTCATGGGTAAGTTCAATGGCAGCTGCTACCTATCTAGGTAAGGGGGGGGAGCCCTACAAGTAGGCAGAGCCAATCACAGACAAAGCAAACACACACTTCTGCTTGTCCCAGGCCCAGAAAAGCATGGCTCTGAGCAGTTTTCTGCTTTCCCCATGCTTTCTAGGCAGGGGTCCAAGGAGTTTTGCCTCTGCCCTGCCGCTCTGTCCTACCCATCGACTTGTCCATTCCTCTTCTAAAGCCATCCCCAAACTGGCCTGCACTCTGCTTATTCCAATCCCCATCCCTGGTCTGGGATCTGGCTGGCTCTAGCTGCACAGAGCGACAGGACTGTAGAATTGGAAGAGACCCCCGAGAAATGCCCTGCTGCTTTCCTCTAAGAAAAGTCATGGTTTATCACTGAATTGGACTAAACAGCAATTCTGCGGGTTTCTGTTTTTTTCTGTGGGGAAAGCTGCAGAAAACCTCTCAGGCAAGTGAAGTATGGCTGAGCCCTCTGTTAGTGTGCTGCAGCAAGACTTTCCCATGAAGGCAGCTCTCCTGCTTCTAGCCACGGACGCATGAGCCCAAGCCAGTCCCTTCTCACCCTTCCTGGCTGCGCAACCGGCTTTTTTCCCCCTGGGAGAACTGGGCGCTCTGCTTCTTGTTTTGGCTGCAGATCTTCTTCATGTGCTTCCGCCGGAGCTCCTTCAGCTCACGGTACTGCTTCTTCAGCAGCTTCACAAAGGACTTGTGCTGGCGCAGCTCCTCCAGGGACTGGGGGGACACTTCTGGAAGATACCCCCCAAAACACCCACTCAGGCACAACGGGTTACAGAATATTGTAATCCCCGTCCAACAACAAGGGGGTGAGAGAGAGCACGTGCAGCGCAAGGCAGTTCCCACCTGCCTCTGTCCACACGTTTTCAAGTTTCTCTCTGGAGCCATAAGGAATAGGAACTTGATTCCAGAGAGAACTAAAAATGACTGTCTGTGGTTCCACCATAAGGCAGGTTTATTTTTGAAATCCACAGTAGCAGTTCAAGACTTTTCCTTCCCCCACTTGAAAATTGATGAGGGTCTTGGAAGATGGATTAATTACAGTATTTTTCTGTGTATAAAACTAGGGGGTTTTTAAACTAAAAAATTAGGTTTGAAATTGGGGCTCATTTTATACATGGATAGTGCTGAGGGGTGTTTCCTTAATTTGGAGTCCTCAAAAATAGTCCTCTTATACATGGGGGCGTCTTATACACGGAAAAATATGGCATTATACAAATAAAAAACATTCACAACTTATATTTTCACGACAGTTTGTTTTCCAGCACTGGCATCAAAACCAGCATCGCATTATGAGAATCTCAGATTTATTTATTTGTATTTATAATTAGATTTATATTCTGCCTTTCCTCCAAGGAGCTCAAGACAGCACACACTGTTCTCCCCTTCCCTATTTTATCCTCACAATGACCCTGTGAAGTAGGTTAGGCTGAGAGAGCATGACTGGCCCAAGGTCACCCCATGAGCTTCATGGCCAAGTGGGGATTTGAAGCTGGGTCTTTCCCCAGTCCTAGTCCAACACTCTAACCATTATGCCACACTGGCCCTGCCTGGGCAAAATAGCCTCAGTCTCCATTAGCCGAAGAAGTAGGTCAAGCACAAGAGTCAAGGACAGAAAAAGTTCAACTGGGCTGCAACAGACAACCCTGAACGGGGCTTGTGGGCCCACAGTTTAAGAAATCAGTGATCTAGAGGAGCTGTTCCCAGTTATGGGTCCCTAGATGTTGCTGCACTACAACTCACAGTGGCCCCAACCAGCACAGAGGAATGATGGGAAATGTAGTCTAACAGCATCTGGGGATTCAAGGTTGGGAAAGGCTGGTCTAGAGGACCTTTGGATTCTATCTTCAAGGGTGTTGGCACAACAGTGTCTTCTTACCTGCAAGGATGCTGGCAATCAGATCGTCCCTTTGCACTACAGGGTTGAGAGAAGGCGAGAGAGAAAGAAATGAGAAACAGGAGTTAAAACAACGAAAGGGGCATGAGGGTATCCTTTTAGAAGTTTGTTCTTAAAACACGGGTCCAGGAAAGTATGGGGAGGTAGTGGGGCACATTCCCAGAAAATGTACCCACTGCAAAGACAGCAATTGTGGCAGCAGTAACCCCAACCGCATAAACCCCAATTGTGTTTTCCTAGAACTTGTTTATTGCTAGAAAGCTGCTACCGGCAGTTCTTGGGAGCAGACAGATCAATAATATTAATATTAGTAAGCATTTAATAATGAATATGCCACTTACTTGCCAAAATGCCTTCTAAAGGCTTTACAAGTATAAAATAGATTATAAAAAGTATAGCCACACGTGATTCGTTGTATTGAGTTAATTGGCACCATGAAGAAAGCAATGGGAAGATAAGCATTATAAAGACCGTAAAAGTAAATAAATATAGAATAAATCACTTCCATCAAAACACTGAAGAGAAGCATCCACAATTAAATTGTACAACAACCCACCCCCCTTAAAACAGTCAAAAGAGCAGGTTCAACTCAGGAGATCAGGAGAATGCTTTTCTAAGCAGGTGTGTATTCAAGAGCCGGCGGCATGCCAATACTGATGGGACCTATTACAGCAGGGAGATCATTTTGTGACAATGGTGCCACCGGTGGAAAAGCCCATCCCTGCATTACCACAAACCGGTAATCACCAGGCCACAGCAACACAGGGGATCTTCCCAGCATAGTTCAGGGGAATGTGTCTCCATTGTTTGTGGGGTGGGGAGGAAGCGGGGGGGGGGGGAGAGAGAAAGAATACGCCCTGTTGCTGTAAGGCTATAGGCAAAATAAAAAGAGGTAAGCAAAAAAAAAAACCCAGCCATTTGCAAGTAGTGGAAGGAAAACCTGAAAAAAATAGAGGAAATATAGCTCAGTTGGTGGAGCATGAGATTTCAGAGTTGTGGGCTCAAGCCCCACACTAGGCAAAATAAAAATAAAAATGCCTGCATGTAAACTTGTCTGTACACTAGACTAGCATATCTGAGTTCAAGGACATATTCAAGGCAAAAAGAGGGAGCACAGCAGGGCTGTTGAGGGGCGAGGCCTAGGGAGAGTTTTGCAGGACATACAGAGGCCTAAAGGTAAAGGGACCCCTGACCATTAGGTCCAGTCGTGGCCGACTCTGGGGTTGCGGCGCTCATCTCACTTTACTGGCCGAGAGAGCCGGCGTACAGCTTCCGGGTCATGTGGCCACATGACTAAGCCGCTTCTGGCAAACCAGAGCAGCACACAGAAACACCATTTACCTTCCCGCCAGAGTGGTACCTATTTATCTACTTGCACTTTGACGTGCTTTCGAACTGCTAGGTTGGCAGGAGCAGGGACCGAGCAACGGGAGCTCACCCCATAGCGTGGTTTCGAACCGTCGACCTTCTGATCAGCAAGTCCTAGGCTCTGTGGTTTAACTCACAGCGCCACCCACATCCACATAGAGGCCTGGAGGGCTGCAATTGGCCCCCGGGGCCTGACACGCCCTGAGCTTGCTTTAGATCTTACCTTGACTGGGAACTACACTGGGGGTCCGGGTCGGAGGGAGCAGGGGAGGTGGGGGCTTGTGTGCCTCTTCAGTGGGGCCAGCGGTCACGCCAGAGGAACTTCTTGACACCGATGTCCGTGGCTTCTCTGCATTCTCCTGCTGGCAAGGAGAAGTAGCACAGTGGCAAATTCAGAAGTACAGGGTCCCTTCAGAACAGTCACACCCTCACCCTTCTAAGATTGTACAATAATATTGCAATTGAACAACTGTAATATGAAGGGGCTACATTCCAGTTATTGGTGCCATGTGTTGCCTTTCAGCTAGATCTGCCATTTTCTGTGCATGTACAGCCATACCTCGGGTTGAATGCGCTTTGGGTTGAGCGCGTTCGAGTTGCGCTCTGTGGCAACCCGGAAGTAACGGAGCGCGTTACTTTCGGATTTTGCTGCTTGCGCATGCGCACTCAAAATGATGTCACGCGCATGCGCAGAAGGGGCGAAAAGCTGCGTGTGTGTGCGCAGACATGCTGTCGCTAGTTACGTTTGCTTCTAGATACGAACGGGGCTCCAGAACGGATCCCGTTCGTATCCAGAGGTACCACTGTACATGATTTGGAGTGCTCCAATATCTTCTCTCAGAGGGACTTGCGTTTGGCCTGAAGCTTTGTTGTACGTAACAGAACTTGCACACCGTTCTCTTGAAAATGAAGCGACCCTAAATGCTTAGCTTTGGAGCATGCAGTGGCTAAAAAGATCCCCTTTCATGCTGATTGGGCGGCTGTAGGATGCTGGAGACAGAAACCCTGCTGCAGAAATAGTAAGGAGTCCTTGACCTTGGACCATTACATCACTGGCAAGGAGGGAGTTGCCTGCACTTCCACAGGTTTCAGCCCTTGTCCCACCTTCTTAGCAGCAGGTGAATCTGTCTCTTCCCAGTTTCACACAGGGTTCTTTCATAAATCCATTTTCTGTCTTAACCTGTAACTTTTTAAAATCCTCATTCTTCATTCAACTTTTAAACCCACCCTTCACCACAAGATGCCAGGGTGGGTTAAAGCCATTTTAAAAAAAATATTAAAATGAGTTTAAAAGAAACACTATTATTTCCTCTGAAAAATAAATATGTATTTTTTAAAAATACACTCGTTAACATGCCAGGCTGCATCCAAGTCAGTTTTATTCTGAGGAGACTCACTGACATTAATGAACCCAAGCTAGCAGTGTCCATTAATTTCAATGGGTCTACTTTGAGTAGGACCAACACTGCATACAACCTTTTTATTACACATTATGCCCTTCTAATACATATTTTTTTAAAAAAAGTAGAGGATTCTATGGCAGAATTCAGAGAACTATGAAACCTGGGAGGTAACTGCGATCCAACCCACATGGGGAGGTGCAGATCAGGTCCAACGAAAATGAAACCCTTCCAGCCCCACATCCGCTTCCCTCCCTCTGTGTGCCATGGCTGCCCTCACCTCACTCTCTCCTATCAAAGCCACAAGCTGCTTGGCTCGCTGGTCCATTAAGCTGACGTGTTTAATGGGGTTGATCAGAGCCTCTGCATAATCTGAGGGAAAAAGAAGATCCATTAGTTTTAACACATGAGGAAGCCTGTGAGTGCATGCTTGCACCAACTGAAGTAGACCCAATGAAATTAATGGACCTTAGTTCATCACAGTGAGATACAAAAAAATTAGAATAGGCACATCCCAGTCTCCAAAGCTGGATTTAAGACACAGATTCCTTAAGACATACTAGCCCTGCTAAAAATATTTTTGTTTACACAAGCCTATCCAGACATGTAGAATGTTCACATGTGTTTTAAATCTTGTTTTCAGCTTATCGTTGATTTTAATTATTTTTTTCTGCACTTGCTTCAGCAGCACATATACTGATTTTAATTATTATTTTTTCAATCATTTTAGATAGCCGATTTAAACATTTTTTTAAACTGCTAATTTTATTATTGGTTATTCTCATTTGTAAGCCACTTTTAAGGTTTTATTACAATCCAGAGGTATATAAATCTTTTGAAATAAACAGTCCTACTCAGAGTAGACCTACTCAGAGTTAGCAAGTTAATGAACATGGCCAACTAGGTCCCTTAATTTCAGCAGGGCTACTGAGAGCACAACTGTGTTCAATATAAGGAATTTAATAAATGAATAAACGTAATAGAACACAACCCAAAATTGGGTAAGAGCTCCCCCCCCAAAAAACCCCAAATGTAAAGTGCTACTAAAATGTGTCCAAGAATAAAACACAACTATAATTTCAGAAAAAAATGTGAAACATATAACAAAGAGGTGGATAAAATTACACAAAAATACATGAGGCTGATACAGCGTCCTAGCAGCAGTCTGATGTGACTAAGAATGAACAGATCTATACTGGAGACGAAACGTGTTTCAAACCCCAAGGAGTCTTCCTCAATAGTCAAGGTGAGCAGGGCTCAAAACACATGATCAGGCACAAGCTGAAAGGTACCACCTTTTCACATCAGCTCATATATCTTCTTATTCTCCTGGTGTGCACAGTAGCCTTCTAGATACGATACGTCAAGCTAACCTTATCATCGATACAGATCAGCCAAGCGGCTAACCTTCAGTGACGAATCATGTGTCCCCATCTGCACTGTATAAAGCAGTATCGTATCATTTTAAACAGGCATGGCTTTCCCCCTCAAAGAATCCTGGGAAATGTAGTTTCCTTGGTTTGGCACGGAGAGTTGCTAAGGAAGCTGTTCCCCTCACAGAGCTACTACAATTCCCCAGAGTTCCCTGGGAAGAGGGATTGATCATGAAACGCCTCCCACCGCAAGCATTCAATTACTTTGGTGATCATCTGGGATGTAGTCGTAGGCTTCAGTGTAGACCAGCAAGGCCGGGAGGCAGAGGGGCTGGTTGCTTTCGCTGCGCAGGCAAATGTAGTGGTAGCCTGTGGGACAAAGGGAGGGGGAAACACAGGGAAAAAAAACAGTAAGAACAGAGAGGTGGACATTCAGGGGCAGCAAGCAGAGGTGTTAGGAAAGGCCAATACTTGGAAATGGAGAGGGAACAGTCATTAGGGGAAAGGAACAGAGCTTATTGGTAAAGCATTGTTCTGCAGGCAGAAGGCGCCAGATTCTGACATCAGGATTCCAGATGTTGCCAGACTCCAATGCCACATCCACACCATGTAATTAAAACTGAGACTTTAGTCTCACCGGCCCAGTCCCGTGAAATAATCTGCCCTAGGACTTGCCGATCAGAAGGTCGGTGGTTCGAATCCCTGTGACAGGGTGAGTTCCTGTTGCTCGGTCCCTGCCAACCTAGCAGTTCGAAAGCACGTCAAAGTGCAAGTAGATAAATAGGTATCACTCCGGCGGGAAGGTAAACGGCGTTTCTGTGCGCTGCTCTGGTTCGCCAGAAGCGGCTTAGTCATGCTGGCCACATGACCCGGAAGCTGTATGCCGGCTCCCTCGGCCAATAAAGTGAGATGAGCGCCACGACCCCAGAGTCGGTCACGACTGGACCTAATGGTCAGGGGTCCCTTTACCCTTTACCTTTTAGAGATTCAGCAGGTTCTTCCTGCGCCCCCTTTTAAACACCTGCTGAAAACCTTTGTGTTTTGCCAAGCCTATGCGGGCACTATGCATCCTTCCTCAATGGTTAATTGATGTCTGTTTTTAAGTTTTTTATATGGTTTTTCTTGTACGGTTTCATGTTTTATTGCAGTAAATCACTTTCACTTCTTTTTTTAGACATGGGGGTATACACATTTTTTAAAAAAAATAAATTAATAAATGTAAATAAGCAAAATACTATAATACCACTTTATGCAGTCATGGCTTCCCCCAAAGTGTCCTGGAAACTGTAGCCCGTTAAGGCTTCTGAGCAGGGGCACCAGTTCCAGGGGGCTGAGCTGTTTTGTTCCCCCCTACATATCTGGGGTAGGTTCTGCCCCTCCTATGCTCAAAAAGCATGGAGGCAAAGCAGCTCTAGTGACTGGCTTCTTCCCCTCCTGCCACAACATTGGCCTCCCCACTTGCCCTCACAAAATGGCGCCTCTGGTGCTGAGAGCTGTTAGGAGATCCCTATTCACCTCACACAGCTACAATTCTCAGAGTTCCCTGGGAAGAGTGGCTGTCAAACCACTCTGGGAGCTGTAGCTTTGTGAGGGGAACTCGGGTCTCTTAGCAATTCTTTAGCACCCCTAACGGGCTACAGTTCCCAGAATTCTTTGGGAGAAGCCATGACACTAAAAACTGGCACCGTATTTTTCGCCCCATAGGATGCACCGGCCCATAGGACGCACCTAGTTTTTTGGGGGGGAAATAAAGGGGAAAAAAATCCCCCCCCAGGTGCGGGGCTGGGGCGGGGGAAGCCCGAGCTTCCCCCGACCCCAGCCCCCAGAACAGGCTGCTATCCCACGTAGAGCTAGCGGAGGACTGCGTGAAGCCCGAAGCTTGGGGCGTGCTGAGCTCAGCGCGCCCCAAGCTTCTGGGTGCAGGCAAGCTCTCCGCTAGCCGTGGGAGAGCTGCGTCTCCCACGGCTTGCGGATAGCTTCCTGAAGCCTGGAGAGTGAGAGGGTCGGTGCGCACCGGCCCCCTCGCTCTCCAGGCTTCAGCGAAAGCCTGCATTCGCCCCATAGAACGCACACACATTTCCCCTTCATTTTTGGAGGGGAAAAAGTGCGTCCTATAGGGCGAAAAATACGGTATATGCAGCTTTAAATGTTTGGTGCAGATGTGCCCTAACTTCCAAGAGCCTCTGCCAAGGACAGCCGCTCAGCTAGCGACGGGGGTTGTAGCCCAACAACATCTCACAGGGTCAAAGGTCCCCCATCCCTGACTTCAACAATCTCAAGCGTTGTGAGAAGACTTTGGAGTATCAAGCACCTTCACAGCTTCATGCACTAGCCAATCATCCCAGTGCCTTTTCATTCAATTGGTGTATTTTTGGGAGAAGGGCTGCAGTTCATTGGTAGAGCAGATGCTTTGCATGCAGCAGGTATCGGGTTTGATTCAGTTAAAAATGATCCAGCAGCAGATTGTGGCAAGAGCTCCCTCTCTGCCCCAGACCCTGGAGAGCAGCTGCCAGTCAGAGTGGACAATACTAAGCTAAGCAGACAAATAAGCTGAGATAAAGCGCCTTCCTGTGTTTATGGTCCTTGTCTAGCAAATTATACAGTACACACATGGTGTCTGTGTGTGTGTGTGTGTGTGTGTGTGTGTGTGTACACACATAGAGGTACAAAAAGGAAAATTATTTAGTAAACAATGAGGCCAGAAGGCCATTAAATGCAAAGCAGCGGGTTTCTGACATTTCTGCGCAAAGCACAAATGTATACAAGATAAGGACCACATTTCCGGTGATAAATCAGCCCAGCTAATCTAGAAATCTAGATGGCTGCCCTTATTTTGCACGCATTTGGCTCTCCACAGAAACATTGCAGAAATATCCACTCTTTACACTTCACGGCCTTTTGGCTCTGCTGTTTAAAATGCACGTGCATATATGTAATTAATAAAATCTGCTCCCTAAGGATAAACACTTCTACTTTCTGATAAAGCAGGCGATAGGCTGGGCATAGATAACCTTTGGCCTGTCAAGGGCTGCAATCCCTTGGAGGTGACCCCTGAGGCGCTGCATGCTGGCTGCGGGTGGAGCAGCGGAGGGCAGCGGAGGGCAGCGCCTGAGCAAAAAGGCTGCTGTGGGGAGAGACACATAAGCTTACTGAGGGCCATGGGACTGTTCAGGATAACCCCGATGCTCTAATGCACAAAAGATGGTGCCAGAATAAGTATTTTACAGCGCTGTCATGTCTAACCTCAGAAATAAGCCCCGCTGAGTTGAACGGCAGTATCTCAGTAAACGGGTATGGGGAAGGGAAGGGGAAGGGGGGGTCACCTGAACGGATGGCAGAGACGGGCAGTATCCGATGCCCCACAAATTTGCCCCCCTCTTCAAAGACAGCTATACGCAGCGAGGCTAATGTAGGAAGCACCACCTGAGGGGACAGACAAGACAGGTGTATTATTAGGGGAAAGGCAGAAACACAAAGACACGACACCTTCCATTGTGATTTTTAGAATCGGAATTTGAAGGGTCCTATAGGTCAGCTAGTACAACCCACTGGCTGGTGGAGGAAATTCAGAACACTGCCCAAACCTCCACTTGGAGGGCTCCACGTGTAGCATGCCAAAAGCCAAAAAAGTTGGAACAGTCCCACTTGCTTAACTTACGGAATCTCCATCTACATTTCATAAGACCCCCTCCACACTACAAGCATGCAGCTGTTTCATACTATTTTCAAAAGAAAGCTGGAAGTTGTAGTTTGACAGCCCCCGCCCAGAGTGGCTGGGGAAACTCAGCCAGATGGGCGGGGTATAAATAAATTATTATTATTATTATTATTGACAGGGGTACGAAAAACTGTTAAGACAGGTCTAGCTCTCCCTTAAAGGACTACAATTCCCAAGGTTGTTTGGGTAAGGGAGGTAGCAAATATTAAGCCACTTGATGGCATTGATCTGTCTCTACACAGGCAAGTACAATTATGAAACTGCGCTCTGCATAAGCTCAGAAGCGTTCTTATTTTAGGGAGCTCAGATACCAAATTCAAATTAGATTTAAACGTAAGACATTATTATGGCTTCTTCAAGAGTCCTTGTGCTAGAACTGTGTTCACCAATACCTTGTGGAACAAAAAAGGTTCCTCATCCCACACTGGGTTGAAAGAATTCCCCTGCGATGTCCGCGTCCGGAATTTGCGCTTGGTGTCCACCGGCAGCCCAAACATATCCACCTCGACGTAGATGCCCACCCGCTTATCCGAAAGAAATTGTCCTGAGATTATCTGGGAGTGTGATGGGGGAGAGGGCAAGAGAGAGAAGAGAGAGATGGGACCAAATGTTTACTGTTTATAAAGTGAGAAGTGTTAACTCTTCTCTATATTTTTCATTGGGAGGACAGTATTGTTCAAATCCTCGTTTTAAATCAGCGTGGGGAACCTGCCTCTAGCAGTTGCCCAATCAGGTGCAAGCAGGGCGTGGAAGAAAGAGCTCCCCCTCTTTGTTTAAGCCTCCCACTAATACATTAAGCTGGCAACTCCTCATAGCAACAACCCAGGGGTGAGGAACCTGTGGCCCTTCAGAAACTACTGAAAAACAGCTCCCATCACCGCTGACCACCATGCTGCGGGGAGCTGGAGTCTAGCAACATCTAGAGAGCCACAAGTTCATCATCCCTGCAACAGCCCTGCAAACCACCACCCTTCGAACCTTCACTTTGACGGTATTAGCCACGATGCCATCAATGATATCTTCGGTGAAGGGGTCAAAGAGCTTGTCCTGGCGCCGCATGAACTCTGGCTTGAGTAGGTACCCGCTCCGGCGATTGTACTCAAAGGTGCCCAGATTCAGCTGCATTGGCAAGTCTGGGCAAACAGAGATTCAAGCACAAGTATCAATACATCATACAAGCGAGAACAACCAATATTCTATCCTTCCTCCTTCCCCGCCTCTTGAAACCTCCATCTCTGAACAGCACACAGACTCTACAGCAGGGATGTGGGGAAGCTGTAACCCTCCAGATGTTGTTGGCCTACATCTCCCATCATCCTTCACCACTGGCCATGCTGGCTGGGGCAGATGGGAGTTGGAGTTCAGCAACGTATGGAGGACCACAGGCTCCCCATTACTGCCTTATGCATACGTGAAAGTGAACTGTGTGTGGTTAGATCCCTCCCTCTTTAATTTGGTAGGAAAATAAGTCAAGAGAGTTGCCACGGGTCTTTCCTGCTTCTGGCCAGCTTAAACCAAAACACAGACCACCAGCTATGTCTGGCAACCCACCAGAGGCTTAAAAAGCTTCCCCCCCCCTTTCTGCCTGGGACTGACAAAAAAAAAATGCAACCCAGAGGATGGGAGGGCTGTTCCATTCTTTCATATGAAAGCCATGCAGTCTCAGCGCTGAGGGCCTAAAAACGTGGAGTTTCCTCTGGGCTGAGCTTAGACATGCACCCTCCTTGCGGAGTATCAGACACACGACAAGGACTTTCTTATTCCAGAAGTCATTTAGTTTGGTTTTACTGTCACATTCTCTGAATGGTTTATTTTTCACGTACCCTGCTTAGAAATGCTAATGATTAAGCAGTATATAAATGCTGTAGATAAAATAAAACACATGTGAAATAAGTTTCTAGCCCTCATTGTTAGCAAGCAGAGGGGGGGAAAAGAGGATGGCACTTACCAAGCGACTGGAAATTGAGTGCCACCATCTGGCAGCCGGCATTCCAGAAGACCTGAGGCATGTAGTTGGAGGAATCCACTCGGGTCCCTTTGGGGTATATCCGGCTCAGCTGCTGCTTGTTGTATCTGGGCAAGGGGTGCTTGTCAAGGCAACAGCCAACGAGGGCACCTCAACTCTACCATGGCCGTCAATGATCATGGATCAGCTGGGAGCACTCAACGTGCCCTTGAAGGCATTCTGTTTTCTCAGGCTCTCTGTCCCTCTTTCTAACATTAGTCATCAATTACTTACACACACACACACACACACACACACACACACACACACATAAACACACATATCAAGAAGTAACCGAAGGGTGGGAAACCTTGTCAGCTCAAGGGCCACGTTCTCTTCTGGGCCATGTTCCAGGGGCCACATGCCAGTGGTGGGCAGGGATGAAGCAAAAGTGGATGGAGTAATTAATACAAATTTACCTTTGCACGATAGGCTAGTGTCTACACACGCTGCTGGAGAAATCCTGGAGTGCTGCAGACAGTGTAGACGCTGGCCAGGATTGGAGCCTATTGTACAAAATGCAAGAATCCTATACATTGCTCCACCCACTTCTGCATCTGGCTCCACCCACCATTGGTATGTCACACACACACACACACACACACACACACACACACACTTGCCCACAAGGGAACAAGGTCCTCCAAACTGAAACCGGATTCCTCATTCTTGGCCTGAGACCAATGGTCCAATCCAATAAAACTGATGTCATCCCTTTGCTCATGGAGAGGCTTAGACTACCTGATTTTACCACTGAGCATTTGCAGTTACTCCCCCAACTCCTACTGATGCCTGGGTCTACAGAATGAGCCCCACATACATAACCTCCTATCTTGGATTTTCTTTCCCACAGTTCCCATGAGCAGGACATGCAGGAGCCAATGCCACCTGGTGCCTATTGGGACTAGTAGGGCAGAAGGCAGGGAGCCCAACAGAAGGTGGTGCCAGAGCCAATGATGGGCAGAGCCACTCCTGGACTGCTTGTAAGAAAGAAGGCAGAATGAGCTTGGTGGACCCATTTGCCCTAACAGATCAGTCTCTACTAACAGAAGAGGTTCCAAGCACTCAAAACAGTCGTACCATTCACTGTTGTAGCAACAAAGGTGCTGCCACAGGGATTCATCTAGGGCCTCGTCTACACTAGACATTTAAAGCAGTACCATACCCCTTTCAACGGTCATCGCTTCCCCCAAAGGATCCTGGGAACTGTGGTTTGGTAAGGGTGCTTACAGGAGACCCCTATTTTCCTCACAGAGCTAAGGAGTTCTCTGGGAAGAGGGGCTGACTTGCTAAACCACTCCGGGAACAAAAGCTCTGTGAGGGGGAATAGCATGTGTGTGTCTCCTAGCGAGACTCAGCACCCTTCTCGAACTACCGCTCCCATGATTCCAAGGGGGAAGCCATGACTGGTTGAAGCGGTAGGATAACTGCTTTAAAGGTACAGCACAGATGAGGCCTTGGGGCTGCTCAGCAGTGAGGCCAACTCTGCTTCAACCCACCCTACATCACCAGGCAGGATACTCAACGAACTCCATGGGGCTGTTGGTCAGCTGCTCCAAACCTTTGGTCTCCACGAAGGAAGACATCTCGTAAGATTTGTTGCGTTCTTGGGAAGAGAGAAGTAATAAAGGCACCGTGTTAATGCTCCACATTACGCAGACAGCCTTGCGCACACACCTCTCCCAAACTGCCTACTGCTGCTTCTTCCCTATCAGGGGAATATTTACACACTGGGGCGAATGTCAATAGGGAGAGGGTCATAGCTCAGTGGTAGAGAGCACGCACTTCGAACGCAGGTGGTCCCAGGTTCAAGTCCCTGGCATCTCCAGTTATAAAGGAATCAGAAAAAGACCCTTTTCCGTCAGAGACCCTTGAAAGCTGATGTCAGAATACCTTGACCAAACATAGGCTGCATGTGTACCATTTAAAGCCCTGGATGCGATTGGAATCCAAGGCCACATCCACACTACACGTTTAAAACAGTATCTTACCACTTTAAACAGCAATGGCTCCCCTGCCCAAAGAATCCTGGGAATTGCAGTTTGTTAAGGAATAGGAGACGTTTTATTCCCCTCACAGAGTTACAATTCCCAGAATTCTCTGCGACAAGAGGTTGACTGTTAAACCACTCTAGGATAATGGAGGTAGAACATAGCCATGTTGGCTGGTAGCCACTGCTAGCATGAGCCTGTATAAATTTTTCTAATTGTATTCTGAAGCCACCCATGTGGGTGTCCCTCACCATGCCCACGTTCACGCCATACATTTAAAGCAGTGTGATGCCACTTTGAACAGTCATGGCTTTCCCCAAAAGAATTCTGGGAGCTGTAGTTTGTTAAGGGTGCTGTTAGGAGACCCCTGTTCCCCTCACAGAGCTAGAATTTCCAGTGTGTTTTAACAATCAATCCCTCTTCACAGGGATCTCCGGGAATTGTCGCTTTGTGAGGGGGATAAGAGTCACCTCACAATTCTCAGCACCCTTCACAAACTAAAGCTCCCAGAACCCTTTTGGGGAAGCCATGACTGTTTAAAGTGGTATCACACTGCTTTAAATGTATGCTGGGAATGTGGCCTACATCTGGATGGGGAGTCTGACAATGCATGGAGGGCCACAGATTGCCTGCTCCTAAACTTACACCCAACACCTTACTGCCAGCGTCCATCCCCCTCCCCGCTCTCACTCACTCCTGGCCACCTCGAAGCATTTGAACTTGACAGGTTCGATGTAGTTCACCAGTGTAGACATCTCTTCTGTGGCATTGACCTCACTGCTTGCGGTGCCCTGTCACAAAGAAGAGAGGGGAGGACAAGGGGAGATGGAAACAGTTTTTTAAAAAAATAGTTTAAGATCACATCTGTACCTTATGTTGAAAGCACTCTTTAAACGTGTGTGTACACACACACACACACACACACACACACACAAATATACACACACATTTGTGTGTGCATGCAGGCTAATGCATGAAGTGATGCCATAATGTCATATTCCTGTTACTACAATTTATGGAGAGAGATGAATGTCAAATGTGATGTAGCATTTAAAGTTTTTTGGCATCGGCCCACCTGCCATTTGTAGCATTAAATTCTATTATTATTATTATTATTATTACATTTCAATCCCACCTTTCCTCTGAGGAGTTTAAGGTGGCGTCCGCCACTCTCCCCTTCACCCTTTTCTCCTCACAGCAACCCTATGAGGTAAATTAGGCCTAGAGTTGCCAAAGGACCCTCTAGGCCACCAAGTGATCTTCATGGCCAAGTAGGGATTTGAGTGATGGCCTCCCAGACCCTCCCAGTCCGACACACTCTTAACTGCTAAACCACATTCGCTCTCCACCCAGAAGTCTGCTTAAAATACAGTGTACACAACACTCAAACCAGTCCCCTTGACACCGCTGATGGGGACCCCTCTGTTGTCAGCCTACAATATCTCCCATCATCATCCTGGACAACACTGGCTGAGGCTGATGGGAGTTGAAGTCCATCAACATCTAGAGGGGCCACGGGATTCAGATCCCTGCTTTGCATGCACCTCATCTGTCGTAGGCTTTTTGGGGTCCGGCTGCTCTTCCTCCTCTTCGCTCTCAGCTTCACGGTCTGGACATGGAAGGAAGGAAAGGGGTTAGAAGCTCAAGACCAAAATGTAGTTAAGGTGGGGGGAGATGATTCCTGAACCCTGAAAGGCAATGAATTGAGGGCACATTTACAGTATACTACAAACATAAAAATAATAATGGATTAATGTAGTCCCACTCCCCACAGAATGGGTGTGTGTGAGAGAGAGACATCACTGATGCAAGATTGTTTTCTGACCTACTGCTCCTTCCTTCCTCAGAAGCAAAAGTAGCTAGCTTGCTCCAACGTGAAGTCTTGCTCAAACTTTTAACAGCCCCAAGTGGGCTATGAGCTGCTGAATCAGAGGATCACAAAATATGGTATCCTTTTATTGACTTTGTTAAGACAAACATATTGACTTACGAACCTTATGGAGAGACACTTGCATCAGACTGCCTTTCATGAAGTGTCTAAAACTGCAACCATGAGCTGCTGTTTTACTTTTCTTTCTATACAACTTCTAAACCCTGTTTTCCTTGCATGGGTATGTTTTGTTACTTGAAATTAAAAATCAATTAAATAAACAAACAAAAAACAGCAGCAACAGTGAATACCAATCACATTCCCTGCATTGACTTCTGCTCCAGACACGGCAAGAATAAGCGAACACTGGCCAGCCATTTCCCTTACTGACTTTTTTCTTTAAATTTTTAATACTTTATTGCTCAAACCAAACCATTAAAATCATTAAAATAAGGGATTCTAATAAGTAAGATTCAACAAAATAAAGATTTCTGTATTCAAACAGTGTTACAGCAAACTGAAAGCGGCATAACGTTGAACATTATCATTAAACTTGTTATTCCAAAGCATTGCAAAAAGTAGCCCTTTTACCATTAACATGTTAGGCTTTTTATATGTATTCTTTTATAATAAGTTAACTTAATCATTCTTACTGTAGACCAAATTTCGTCAAACTATCTACATACAGTCGGAAATGTACCTTCCCTCAATTTTTAGGCTGCAGTTATACTATTTCTCAGTCTCTTCAGAGACAGCATCCTTCAAATAACTGAGTAGAGTGGTACCTCTGGTTACATACTTAATTCGTTCCAGAGGTCCGTTGTTAACCTGAAACTGTTCTTAACCTGAAGCACCACTTTAGCTAATGGGGCCTCCCACTGCTGCCGCGCCGCCACCACACGGTTTCTATTCTCATCCTGAAGCAAAGTTCTTAACCCGAGGTACTATTTCTGGGTTAGCGGAGTCTACCTGAAGCATATGTAACCTGAAGCGTCTGTAACCCAAGGTACCACTGTAGACATATTTTGGATTCTAAGGATACATGGTATCCTAACATGTCCAGAATACTAATCTGTATGGATTTCCAATTTCCATTTGAATTTTCTGGCAACTCAACTGACAACTCAACTAGTACCTGAGGTACCTCAGACAGATTCCTGTCTTCCCCGAAGGATACTCACCAATAGACTTGCGGGGTTCAACCAGCTTTGCGATTCTGTCGGAAGACTTCTCCTCACCATTGGTCATGACTGGTGACAGTATCTCAGCCTGCTCTGCAAAAGGAGAGCCTGTTTTTGGGGGGGAGGTCAGGGGGCAAGGGAGGAAAACAATAAAAAATTGTGAGCAGCAAGAAAACGTAGAGCTCACGCAATACAAGGGTTAACTGCATATATACCATGTATTTAAAGCCCTCAAAAGCACCCTCAGATCTGTGGTTTACTCATACAGCTACCATTTCCAGCACCTTTAACAAACTACAGTTCCCAGGATTCTTTGGGGTAAAACATGTGGATGGTGTGTACGCAGCCTATTTTCCAAAAGGGAAAAAAAAACAAACAGAGAAAGAAATCTTAATTCTTGCACCTTTGAACCAGTGAGACAAGATCAGGTGCGTTCTTCCACCTAACTGGACGAAGACCTGGAAAACCAGAGTTCAAATCCTCCCTCAGCCATTAAGACAGTTCACTGGGTGATGTTGGGCCAATCACTGTCCCTCATCCTAATGTACGTCACAAGGTGGTTGTGAGGATAAAACGGAGATGGGATGAACAGCGTTCCCAACCTTGAGTTCCTGGGAGGAAAGGTGGGCTATACAATGAATTAATAATACAGTAGACAAAATTCTAGAGTGTAAAGGACCTCAAAGATCAACACAGGCAATCCTCTTATAGGGTAGCCATTCAGTCTCTGAATTAAAAAGCAACAACCCTCTAACCAAACTGAACTCATCATCTTCCAAGGTAAATCTGCTCCACTAAACTGTTGTACCAGCCAGAAGTCCTTCTCAACATTTACCGTATTTTTCGCCCTATAGGACGCACTTTTTCCCTTCCAAAAATGAAGGGGAAATGTGTGTGCGTCCTATGGGGTGAATGCAGGCTTTCGCTGAAGCCTGGAGAGTGAGAGGCGTCAGTGCGCACCGACCCCTCTCGCTCTCCAGGCTTCAGGAAGCTATCCGCAAGCCTTGCGAGCCCGTGCTTCGGGCAGGTGTCCGCAAGCCTTGTGCGCCCGGCTGGAGGTCCTGCCGGGCGCACAAGGCTTGGGGCGGCAGCCTGTTCTGTGGGCTGGGGTCGGGGGAAACTCGGGCTTCCCCCGCCCCAGCCCCGCGGCTGGGGGGGAAATAAAATTTTTTTTATTCATTTCCCCCCCCAAAAAAACGAGGTGCGTCCTATGGGCCAGTGCGTCCTATAGGGCGAAAAATACGGTAGTTTAAAATCGCATTGTCATTTCTGAACCCTTTCTTTTGGGTCCTACCCTCTAGGCATGACAGAAAATAAGTTTCCTCCATCTTCTATGAGACAGGCCTTCAACTATGAGAGCACTACATAGGAAGATCTGGCCTGGACCCCAAATCAAGGGAGGGGGATAAAGCTCCAAAGGTGTTGAAATCCCAGCTTGGGAGGAAGGTGGGATATAAAGACATTAAATAATGATGATTAAAGACCTCTCCCCTCTCTTTGGAGGGAGCGGCCCTGGATCTTTCTGACCAACGAGAGCCATAGCCATGCTTGTAAGGTAGGAGGAGAGCTGACGTCCTGTCTCCCAGGTAGGCATCTTAAGCTACCCTTCTGCATTTGAATAAAACTGGTGGGAGATATGCGACTCTTGGCTCGGGGGAAATGGCGTGGAAAAGAGTCCAGGGCTTTTTCTCTACAGCCCTAATGAGTCTGTGCCAAGTATTGTCAACGTACTCATCAATGCCAGGCTAAAAGAGCTGGAGAGCAGCTATATTAAACATTGATGAATCATATTCTGAGGTTTCCTACGCTGTGCTCTTTCCTGTGCCTGCAGTAGCTATACGTGCGTGGGGAGATACGTAGTGTATATCACTGAAAGATTGCATCTCCCTTTACCTGCAAAGATTCTCGGGCGAGTACCTCCTCTTGCTCCATTTAACATCGGAGGCACAGTTGGTGTGTGTGTGTGTGTGTGTGTGTGTGTGAGAGAGAGAGAGAGAGAGAGAGAGAGAGAGAGAGAGTCTTTTCTGTGGCTGCTCCCAGACTGAGGAACTCCCTCCTAGGGGAAGTTCGATTGCCTCCCTCTTTGTTGCCCTTCCGCCAGAAGGCTAAGACCTTCCTGTTCAGACAGACCTTTGGAAACTAAGGTGCAGACAAAGCTGGCCGGTGGGACGCTGTCGGGGCAAACTGTGCTTGAATGGCTGGCTCTACATGAGTTTTATTGTGTTTTAACTTTTGATTTCAAATCGTTTGTTTTTATTACTTCATATTTCATAACAATGTGTTTTTAAAAAATAATGTTCTATGCCACCTTAATTCCCAACTCAGGAGAAAGGCAGGATACAAAGACATTGAACAATAACAGCAATTCTGCCGCTTTGATGCAGAAGTTTCCCATGTACCACCTCTAGTTCAATGGAGGAGGGTTCTCAACGATCGCTACTGCTAGTCAAGGCAGACAGCGCTGGGCTAGAGGGAGCGCCGCTCTGACTGTTGAAAGCTAAGCTCAGATGTTTCAAGGAGGAAGCAAAAGCAGGGGGATTTGATTTGCACTTGCTCTAACCCTGCTTCTGGGTCTGATGTAAAGAAGGAAGGAAATGGGTGCTGTGCCTCGCATCAGCCTCCAGTATAGTTGACTGGATTCGTAAGAAGGCATAAGAAGTGCCTGCTGAACCAGGCCAAAGGCTCATCTGGTGCAGCTCATCTCACAGTGGCCAACCAGAAGCCTGTGGGGAACCAGCAAGCAGGATTTGAGCGCAAGAGCACTCTCCCTTGCTGTGGCTTCCACCAGCTGGTATTCAGAAGCATTGCTGTGAAGGCAGAGCAGAGCTTTCATGGCCAGCAGCCATCAATAGCCCTCTCCTCCATGAATTTGCCTGATCCTCTTTGAAAGCCATCCAAGCTAGTGGCCATCACTGCCTCCTGCGGAAACAAGTTCCTTAGTTTTAACTCTGCACTGCATGAAGAAGTTCTTTAGGGTTGCCATGTGTCCTCTTTTTCCAGGACACAGCCTCTTTTTCAGGGGTAAAATTTCTGTCCGGGTGGATTTTCTAAATTTGCCAAAATGTCTCTGGCTATACTTTCTGGATGAGAAATAGCCATAGCTGCATTTTAAATTACATTTTAACCTGTATTTTAAATTGGGATTTTTCTTTTCTTTTCCTTCCCCCCAACACTTCTCTTTTCCCCCTATTATGTTTTTACTGTGATTTTATTGGTGTTAGCCGCCCTGAGCCCAGCTCTGGCCGGGGAGGGCGGGCTATAAATTATTATTATTATTATTATTATTATTATTATTATTATTAGTGGCTGAAGACTTGCTTTCCTCTTCTCTTCTCCTGCCCCCTTCAGCAATAGATCACAGCTTCTATAGCCTACGTATAGTACAGGTATTTAAAATGAGAGTCGCCACAGCGTCCCCTTTTTTTGCTCTTCAAAATATGGCACCTCTATCTGCCCTGAACACCCCAAGGCACAAAAGGAAAAGGGGTTGGAATGGAGGAGGAAAAGAGAAAACCTAGGCACTCTTTTTTAGTTGCTGAGTTCCCGCAATGACCAGCTGGAATTGAAAGATTTCGGGGAGGGGAGCCAAAAACCGCTGGTATTTCACATCAGAATGGACGGAGAGGCCCTGCAGCCCCTGCTCTCCCCCTTCCCTTTAGCCTGACAGACCGACTGCTGCCAGATGCCAGCTGAGGGAAGAGTCTGATGGAGATGGACTTTCAGGAGAACAGATGGGGATACCAGTGACTGAACCTGGCACATGAAGAACATACACTCCACTACTGAGCTACTCTGAGCCCCCCACCCGCCATCCCCATGCTCAGTGGGGCAATAACGTTGCAGAACTCTTTTGTCTTCCCCTGGCTAGCCAAAAGCAGAGCAGAAACAATAATAAGAAAGATAAAACGGTCGCTTCGGCTTACACATCATAGATTCTAGTTGAAGAATGAGTTAGCTGCTCAGGCAAGCCTGGACTCATCTTTTGCCAGCTACAGATGAAAACAGATGCTCATCTGAAAAGGTGGGGACAGACTACAACCAGTACATCACTGCGGTGCTTAAACGTTGGGCACTGTGCCATATTCAAGGTTCCGGTATGAATTTACAGTACAAGGTCCTTAACAACTTGGGGCAGGGATACCTTAAGGGAGCTCCCAATTCCTCACATCCCTGCCCAATCACAGAGTTTTGCAGGTGGGTGGTCTCTGTTCATGGGCCCCACCACCATGGCTCGGAAGCATGGCTTGCTTCCTCCCAGAGCCATGCATTCCGTATTGTGGGCCCAATTCTGAGATCAGACAGGCCTCTCTCCCTGTTGAACTTCAGGTGCTCAACAAAGACCTTTGTATTCCAGCAGGCATTTAAATAAGTTATATAAGAACAAGCACAAAGGAGGTTCCCAGCCTGCTCTTAGGTCCTTATAATATCAGTGGAAACAGTTGGTCTTGGCGAGTATTAACCGCTTCCAATTTTAACCTGAAGACTGCCACTTGTCCAGTTTTAATTTTAATTGTTTGAATTAATTGTGGGATGTATCTTAATTGATTGATCACTTGTATTATGCACATTGTCTTATTTATATGATGTTAGCCACTCTGAGCCCGGCTTTGGCTGGGGAGGGCGGGATACAAATAAAATTATTATTATTATTATTATTATGCCTATTTATGGGACCTTAAGCTTCCCCCCCCACACACACATCGCAATCCTTTATAATAATAAAAATTTCAATACTTGGTACAGATATGACATCCAATATAATAAATTCCCACAACTGAGACAGAATGTGCATAGTAAAATAAAGCAGGTATAAGTTATTTTGTTATCAAACCAGTGACCCGAAATGCTTAAGAATTGCATCTGAACACAAGGGTCTTTTGCAAAATCAGAGGCAGTAATTTACCATTTTGTGTGTTAAAATATAAACAATGAAGTAATGGAGAAAGATTTCCACATTTTATCTCCTCTAGCCTCTCTATTGCACTCTGTCGCTTTCTCCTCCGCAGCTAATCACCAAATTCTACTCCCATCGAGTAAAATGCATGCAGCATCCCCTTTGTGAAGCAACTTCCATGCATGCAACTACAAGTAAGAATGTGCTTAGATCTGATGTCTTTTAGCCCGTGAGTTTTGTTCTAGATGCCGTATCATTTTGGACCGATGGGTTCTTTTATTAACTGTGGTGAAAAACTGCCTTGTGACCGTCTACGGTTAAAAAATGGTCTATAAATATTGGAAATAAATAAATGCACACACCTATGTCCAGGGGAAAAAATGGCTCTGCAAATCATTAAGACGCATACCTAGCGCAGGAGAGCCTGGCTCACCCACTCCGGATGAATCGCTGTAGGAGCTGGGTGTCTGCTCCAGGAGCCTTTTCCGAATGCTGCCTTCAGATCCCTTGCCGTGCACACGGCGCTTCTTATTTTTCACCAGGATCCGGCCCAACAACTCCTGGGGACTTGGCAAAGCTACGCCAGGCTGAAGCTGCGGGGGGGGGGGGAGCGAAATGGAAGATGTTAAGATGTTAGCAAGAGCAGGAGATCTTCACAGACTAGGAGACAAGACGGGTGCTGATGCCCTCAAAAGATAAATCTATTCACAGAAGGGAAGGAGGTGTAGCTCAGTGGCAGAGCTGTTTTGCGTGCAAAAGCCCACAGGTTCACTACCTGGCAGCTCCAAATAAGATCTTGATCTGAAATCCTGGAGCGGTGCTGCTTGTGAGTGTGGACAACTGTGAACTAGATCAGGGCAGCCCAACTTTTCTTACCATGTGGGCTGCAAGAGTACTTCAACACGGAACCAACTGGCCGCACAATACCCTGTCGAGCGGGGAGTGAGGCCAAAATTTGACACCCCAGCCCTCACACTGCCTTCCCAAAGTCAGGTAAGCAAGGTGCTGGGCTTTGTGAAGAAGGTGCGAAGCTCTGGCCGGGGCCTGACGCTCTCCCACCTGCTTCCCAAAGCTGGGAAAACACTAATTAGGCTTTGGGAAGGAGGCAGGAGGACTCTAGGACCCTGTCAGAGGCTCACACCTCCTTCCCAAAACCCAGCGTCTCTGAGTGCTGCATACAGTCCTTGGGACTACCCTGAGCTAGATAAACCGAGAGGATGTATTCACCAGATGCCCATTACTTGATTTGTTTCTCCAGGCCAAACTCTAATTCACTGAAGCTGTCAACTGAGCATGTGCAATGGCTGCCTGAGCCGTACACACCTCAGATTCACCACAACTTCCATTTTCAAATTGGTTGGAGGCTGGTTTGAGGCAAAGCACATCGAAGCTACAGGGTACCTGTGGATTGTGGCTAACATCAGGCGTACTCGGTTTCAGAAACCAGCAGTGCGAGCGAACTGGAGCCGGAGTAAGTGGTCATCTGTACACAGCCTAAGTGAGGACCACAGCCGCTCCCAACCAACCTGCCCACATGTCATTCCCCTGGTTGATCTCGCTCCCAGAACGCACCGGATATTTATCCAAAGGGTCAATAAGGAGAGCATCCCCAAATATGCTGCGGCAATACTCTGCCATCTTCGCCTGCTGCTTTGCCCTGGGGAAGGAAAACAAGAAACACAAAGGTTATCAGTCACGCAGGCCTCTCTGATCATACAGCGCTGTAAGAAGGAGAGGGGCGAGGATGACAGTCTCAGACAAGCCACTGCGGCACTGCAACTACTCACGAGTCAACGTGGTTCTCAAATGAGAGGATAACAGGGAAAGGTGAAGTCTTGAAGGCACTTTCAGCAATGGCCTCTATGACTTCCTGCAACAGAGTGAGGCAAGGAAAGGGGTTAAGGCAGAAGTGGGGGATGTTTTCCAGCCTGAGGGCCACACTCCCTTCTGGGCAACCTTCTGGGGGCCACATGCCAGTGGTGGGAGGGGCCTGAGGCAAAAGTGAGCACAGCAACCTTTGCAAATTTTACTTTTCCACAGTAGGCTGGTGTCTACGCACACCCCTCTAGCCTCCATTCTGACAAGCAAGAGGCACATTCGAGTTCAAGAAAGTGCAGAAAAAGTGAGGTGCAAAGCAAGGCCAGTGAAGGATGTGGCCTGAGGAGAGGGGGTGTGGTATGTGGAGAGTACTGAGGGCCTGGGGGGGCACATTCAGCCCCCAGGCCTGAAGTTCCCCACCACTGGGTTTAGAGGTCAAGAGCACTTATTTGCTTACAGTGGCAGAGTTTGGGGTGGGTGTGGGTGTGCTACAATGGACAATAAACTTAAGAGGAAGTTCCCCATCAATGTGCTGACATGTTTCAGGAGGATTCTGCTCCCATACCCAGGCCTGGAACAAAAGGCTGAACACATGGATGGGGAGCCTCGCAACCTCTAAACACATTGATGGACTACAACTCCCATCATTCCTGGCTATTGGGTCATGCTGGCTGCAGCTGATGGGAGCTGGAGTCCCACAGCAGCAACTGGGAGAGCCACAGTTTCTGCTTCCATGACTAAAATGATATCAAGCAGGGACTGGACCTCTGAGTTCTCACCCTTGTTGGATAACTGGAGCTTCCATGATCAGAGGCAGTCCAGATCTCCACCTGGCTATGCCAACCTCGGTCTCATTCGTTGCAAAGAAGCCTTTTAAGGTAATATTCCAAGCTTACCTCAGGAACAGGTGTGGGGAACTGTTGGCCCTCCAGATGTTGCTGAACTACAACTCCCATCAGGCTCAGCATGCATGATCGGTGGCCATGCCTGAAGGGAGTTGTGGGTCAGCAACATCTGGAGGGCCAACGGTTTCCCCAGACTTGTTTAAAAAGGACCCTCCAGCTACAGATTTGGGATGTTTCCTCCTCCCAGTTTAAAGCATGAGGAGAAAACACCCCCTTCCAAATAAGTTGTGGGCAAGGAAGGATATCATCACCTTCACTGCCAAGGAACAGTACAGTGGTACCTCGGGTTAAGTACTTAATTCGTTCTGGAGGTCTGTTCTTAACCTGAAACTGTTCTTAACCTGAAGCACCACTTTAGCTAATGGGGCCTCCTGCTGCTGCTGCGCTGCTGGAGAATGATTTCTGTTCTCATCCTGAAGCAAAGTTTTTAAGCAGAGGTACTATTTCTGGGTTAGTGGAGTCTGTAACCTGAAGCGTATGTAACCTGAAGCATATGTAACCCGAGGTACCATTTCAGGTATCGATTTCAGGAGTCTCTCAGCGTCCCTCAATGGGACCCCTGCTAACTTGGAAGGGGTGCAACAGGCCAAGTAGACCGCCACTGATCACATGCTGAAAAACTGGAAATGGCAAACACAGGTAGGAGGGTGGGCACCCCTGTGCTGGCCTTGGGGACTCTTGCAAACAGCCAACCGGGCTGGGTGCCAGTTACCTTGAAAGGGATTTCGGTCGTCATGGTGAATCCGTGTGTGATGAAGGGCTCCTCGTCTTGGGGGCGTCCCTTCCAGCAGTCCAGCTCAATGCAACGGCAGCCACTCAGCAACACCTGCCGGTACATCTCCACTGAGGAATTGCCTGTCAGCTGCCCAGCTTTTTTGAAAGGAGAGAGAGAAGATGATGGGGAAATGTTAGATGCCTGGGGAGAGGAGAGACAACCAAGCAACGATACCAGACCTCAAATCCTTAGAAGAGGCAAAATAAAACGTGAAATAAAGAAGGCCAGTAACTCTGAGCACAGAGGAAGACACTTGATCTCCAACAGGGATGCATTTTCTGCACAGCCGGCCTCTCACAAAACAATTTCACCTCAGGATATAATGAGGAAGAATTGCTCTGCCACAAAAAAGGGCAATCATCTTTCTCAACCCCTATTTTCCTACACCTCCCAGAGTTCCCTGGGACTGACTGTGAGACGACTCTGAGAACTGTAGCGCTGGGGGGAGAACAGAGGGTCTCCTGACAACTCTTGGCTCCCTTAACAAACTACAGCTCCCAGAAGACTTTGGGAGTAGCACAGGCGGCAGGCACCCGCATTCAGGGCGCCTGTCTCTGTTCGGTGCACGTACCTGTGAGGTAGGTATTATGTGAAGAGTTAATAAAGTAGCTGCTTAACGGCTGGGTCATGTCGTCACTTAAATCCAGCTTTTCGGGGGGCACAATGGTGTTCTCTTCTCCCCCCAGGTAGCGGCCAAACCCTTCCATTGACATCTGGTCTGCGGAAGGACAGACGGGGAAAGAAAAGCAGGTTTATAGATGTAGGCAAGAGAAGAGGCAGGCTGAAATAAGTAGGGGAACAACTGTGTTTATCTGTGCCCCACTTTTATTTAATACATCTACACACACACACACACACACACACACACACACACAAACACACACACACGACTAGGGGTTGCTCCCCCTGGTCACTCCTCTCACCAGCCCCACTACCCACCAAGCCCTTTGCCAACCCTCCTTTCCCCACACCTAACCAAACTGCCCCCTCTTTGCACCTCATTCACCCCTTTGCCTAACCCCCAAGTCCATCCCCACACCCCTCAGTTTGCTGCAGCCCCTTTTTTTGTCTTCTTTCTATGCATATTTTTTAAAAAAAAATTTTTATTGATTTTCCAAAATTTATAAACAAACAAACAAACATAAATCCTAACTGTAATTATTCCACTCTTAATAACATTGTTACGTGACTTCCTCGAATCCCCCTGGCTGAATTTCAATGCATATCATTGTAACAAGTTTTCCACAACAAATTTCTCATAAAATTTACTTAATCAATTAACGACTTTCTTTCTTTCTTTTCATTTTAAATTTAAACATATTATTCTATAACATCACATATTTAAATCCTAAGCCAATCTGGTATTTGCAAGTATTTCTATTTATGCCGCAGCCCCTTTTAAAGGAGGGGTGAGGCTCTTCACAGAGCAGTCTGCCAAACGGCTCTAATAATAATAATAACAATAATTTTATTATTTGCACCCCACCCATCTGACTGGGTCACCCCAGCCACTCTGGGCGGCTTCCAACATATACAGAAACACAATAGAACATCAAACATTAAGCACCTTCTCCCTTCTCTTAAACAGCTTGCCTGGGCTGTCTGCCACCCACACTGCTTGCTTGCTCGCTTGCCTGCCATTATACTGGGATTTATTTCTTGCCATTATTATTTATTATCTTTATATACCGCCCTTCAACTCAGAGCGGTTCACGAGATAAAAATACAGGATAAAAGCACAAAATAAATAGTTAAAATGAAAACTAAACGAAAGAATAACACACACGCCCCCCAGCAAATCCCACAAACACATTTAAAAGGTTGTAGAATATTAATCAGCCAAAGGCCCGGTTGAAGAGGAACGTTTAGTCTGGTGCCTAAAGGTATATAATGAGGGCTCCAGCTGAACCTCCCTGGGGAGAACATTCCAGAAATGGGGAGCCACTACAGAAAAGGCCTGTTCTCATCCTGCCACCCTACGGATCTCTTGTAGAGGAGGCACACGAGGAAGGGCCTCAGAGGAGGACCTCAGGGTCCAGGTCAGTTTATATGGGGAGAGGCGGTACCTTGAGGTATGAGGTCTTTGGCATGGCTGCTGCAAACCATAGCATGCAACAGCCATATATTGCATGTATATAGGTAGATACATACACTCTATAATACATGCACACCCACCCACACAATAACAGACATAAACACCCACCCACCCATACATACAATATGTATACACCCCCCCACTTTATATCTATTTACATAAACACACCCACAGACAAATGAAACCAAAAAACAGTAACAACCCTACAATATACAGTGGTGCCTCGCAAGACGAAATTAATCCGTTCCGCAAGTCTCTTCGTCTTGCGGTTTTTTTCGTCTTGCGAAGCACGGCTATTAGCGGCTACAGGTATAAACTCGTTCCCGCAACTGCAAGCCTCGACCCCTAGGGAGCATCTGGCCATTGCATAAGCCTCGTCCGGCCTCTTAAGCAGTCCCTCCTGACGCGCTTACATAACACAAGCCCCGACCGCCGCCATCCCAGTGACCCTGGAAGATAAGATCTGCAGCAAGCACCCCGCACCTCCGATCCCGGGGCGCGCTCAGCCAAAGCGTCCCCGGACACCTGTCCCGCCGCACCTTTGCGCAGCGCTCTGCCGAGCGGAGCGAGCCATCCCAGCGACCCCGGAAGATCTGCAGCAAGCACCCCGCACCTCTGATCCCGGGGCGCGCTCAGCCAAAGCGTCCCCGGACACCTGTCCCGCCGCGCCTTTGTGCAGCGCTCTGCAGAGCGGAGCGATGAGCCCGGCCGATCGCAGGCAGGGCAAGCAGCGGCGAGCGGAGAGAGCGAGGCCCAGAGGGAGGAGTCTCCGGCAACGCCATCGACGGCCCCGCCGCAGCTCCGTGTTCTGGAGCCCTCCGGCTGCCGGCTGCCTTTATTTTGCTGCAGGAGCCTCCTCTGCACCGGGATCCTCGTGCGCTCCCTCCGTCTCTCCATGCCTTTTAGGTGACTGGCGTGCTCGGGCTGACTTTGGACGACCCACAGTGGGGCTTCCCTTGGCCGCACGACCGGAGCTCGCCTTTGCGGTCACTTTGACAGGCGATGGTGCCAGCCTCGGTTCGGGGGCACCGGCTGCTGGCAAATGGGTGCCCCCTTCTTCCCTTGTCAGGGATCATCTCCCCCCGCTTCCTCGGAGATGGGCAGGCAAAACTTTTCATGCCCCCCCGCCCAGTCTGCCGTCCTCGGGATCTAGCGGTCGCCGCGCGCGCTAAGAGCGCAGACGGGGAAATCCCACCCCGAGCCGGGTGTCGCCGCCAGGTCCCCTCCCAGTTCTAAGGCTGAAGCCTAGGAACTTTTCAAAGCGGTGCGGGGCAGCATCACCACCGGCTGTGTTTCCGGACGCTAATAATGTATTGATTGCTATTACTATTAGATTCCCCGCTGCTGCATAGATAGATTGGCGGTGAAAGCGGTTTGCGCGCGGCGCGGATCAAGCCCTTCGTCTTGCGAAGCAAGCCCATAGGGGAAATCGTCTTACGAAGCGACGCAAAAACGGAAAACCCTTTCGTCTAGCGGGTTTTTCGTTTTGCGAGGCATTCGTCTTGCAGGGCACCACTGTAGTACAAAACAATACCTCCCGCCCAGTCCAAAAAACAAAAAAAATGTGCAGCACATTTTAAAAACATCTGCCACTGCCTCCACCCGCTCTGTATTTCTCTATCATCACCACCACCACCACCTGCAAATTCTGGAGAGGGCGGGGGGGAGGGGCTCACCACGCTGCTGGAACTGTTGGTTGGGCTCATACTTGTTGATTAGCTGGCGCACCTGCTCCCGAGTCAGTGGCGGGTAGAGGATCTCGTTGAGACGGGGGTCTCTTTGCTTCTGGTTGATAAAGTCCATCAGCTGGTCCAGACTGAGGTAAGGCTTCCCCTTGGCACCGCTGTTTGCAAAGGAACAATCAGAGGGAAGGCAGAACAATGGCGCTTTGGCCGGTTCCAAAATTTGCAACTGATAAAGGAGGCACCCCCACCCCTTAGAATTAACAGAACAGAACAATTTGTTATTGCCCAAGCCAATTCATGTAGTCACCTGAGAGACTTCAAAAACACAAGCCAAACCGTTTGTGCAGAAAACAGGACGTTTGCTTGTTACTGGAATAAAATGGTCAGACAGGACAACATCAGGTCAGGAATGCTGGCCACACTGAAAGGGCACCAAGAACTACCAACCCAGAACTACCTAGAGCAGTGTTCTTCAACCTTGGGTCCACAGATGCTGTTGGACTACAACTCCCATCATCCATAGCTACCTCAGCCAATGATCAGAGACGATGGGATTTGCAGCCCCAAACCATCTGGGAACCCAAAGTTGAAGGAAAGTGGTCTAGAGGAGAAATGGGGATTTGTGGTCCAATAACATCACAAAGGCCACAGCTCCCATCAGTCACAGCCAGCACAACCAACAGTCATGAAAGTTGGGCATTGTAGTAGTCCTACATGAGCAGGGGCTCATGTCTCCCCTTGCCCCAATATAGAGCACCTCCAGACTGGTGCTTTTTTGTGAGTGTATTCTGCAGCATGTCATTGATGCAACAACAGTATGTTTGTGCAGCGGCGTAGCGTGGGTTGTCAGCACCCGGGGCAAGGCAAGTAATTTGCGCCCCCTAACCCGGGGCAAGGCAAGTAATTTGCGCCCCCTAACCCCTAACCTGCCGCCGCTGCCAGCTTCTTCTTGCTGCTGCCTGGTCTGGTCTGGTGTGGTTCTCTCCCGCGCTCAGCGCTGCGCTGGGCGGCCGCTGCACTGTCCCTCCCCCAGATAGTCCCTCACTCTCTCTCCGCACCGCACGCCTGGCACCCACCCCCTCCACAGTTGGTGGCGACCCAGCGGCTCGGATCGGATTCGCACAGCCAGCACTGCAGTGAGAGAGAGTGAGTGAGCCAGGTAGGGGCAGAGAGCTGCGAGTGCGAGCGCCCCCCCCCCAGATGTTGCGCCCGGTGCGGCCGGCCCCCCCCTGCACCCCCCACGCTACGCCACTGTGTTTGTGTTGGATTTATACTGGACTGTCCACACATCATTCCCTTTTATTAGTCCTTCTGTGGTGCTTCCCATCTGGAACGACACTCTTGCATTATAGCGCAACGAAAGCAGGGTGAAACCTCCCCCCAGAATGTCTGCAGAATGTATAAAGTTACAGGATCTCAGTAGGAAGTTAAGGGATTGGAAACGAAGCAGTGTGTCCGCCCTGAAACAGTACAAACAGGCACAAACGGTACTGAAAGTGGGATTGCATATAACCACTCTGATCCCATTATCACGAATTATCATCAACGCACAATGAAAAGGACACTTGGAGAGGCCCCACAGAACACTAACATGAACATTGCTTATTCGGAATGGCATCTTGTTTAATCAGGATTATATTGGGTTTTGTGTAACTGTTTTTGCTAACATTTGCATAATCTGTTATCAAACAGAGGAAATACAAAGATACGCTGTACTCTTTTCCACAGTAATCTTCAAAACAAGAGACCAAGTCCGTTTCCTCGCTTCAGATATCCTGTCCTTCCACACCACCGTCTGTGCCCCCACCCCCACCCCCGACTCTCCTTTTACTCACATTTCCAGCAAGATCTTGTCTATGTCTGGGCGAAGGCAAAGCTTGTTCAGGAAGCGTTCAAAGATCTCCAGGGTGAACTCTTCAGGTTTGATAGATTCGCTCTAGGGAGCCGGAGAGGAATAAATAAATAAAAGAAAGACAGTGTACCCCAGAGAAAACACTACAGTTCTGGGGAGGGCAGGTGAGGGTCAGGGAGGAGGAGAAGGAGGAAGAGAAGGAAGAAATCAGAGATAAGAATAGAGTCAGGGAGTTAGGCTGGCTTTGTGGCAGCAAGACCAAGATCCAGGAGGGAGGGATGGGGAATGCTGGGAAAGGGAGGAGAAGGTGAGCAGCAGGCAAGAAATCAATACATTTTTAAAATAAAGACATACCCTGTTAAAATTAAGACCGCAGGACTCCAAGGCCGTCTCCACCCTCTTTTTGTCAGCTGAGAACATTTTCAGGATGCTACAAAGGAGGGAAATGGGAAGCTCTTTATCAGACTTGCAGAGGTGGAAGCAACAAGCCAGACATGTCGGAAGCAGACCAACAAAACAGAAACCAGCAAAACAGAAATAGGCCAAAAAAGGGAGAAGAACGTATGCGATACAAAAGGAAGGGTAGCCAAGGCAGTGCCTTCCAGATGTTGTTGGGCTACATGTCCCATCATCCCCAGCTGCTGGACATGCTGGCTGAAGCTGATGGGGCTTGGAGTCCAACCATTTGTGGAGTGTACCATGTTGACTATCCTGGAGCTAAGCTTTTTTTAAAAGAGAGAGAGAAGCAAAAGGCATCCTGACTGCGGTATTCAAACAGATACAGTGGTACCTCGGGTTAAGAACTTAATTTGTTCTGGAGGTCCGTTCTCAACCTGAAACTGTTCTTAACCTGAGGTACCACTTTAGCTAATGGGGCCTCCCGCTGCCGCCGCACGATTTCTGTTCTCATCCTGAGGTAAAGTTCTTAACCTGAGGTACTATTTCTGGGTTAGCGAGTCTGTAACCTGAAGCGTCTGTAACTCGAGGTACCACTGTACAGGTCAAAGGCCACCTGGGGCCAAAGGGCAGGGGGAATGAAAATAAGCTTCAATGGAGCTGATGGGCGTGAGGTGGAGAATTTCCTTATCAGGTTGTGGCCTACTGGTGTGTACTCCCCAGTTTCCCTCTGTGTATTTCACAGACTGCACATGCAAAGAGCGAAAGCAGCTGTTATTCGCAAGGAAGCGGGCCTTCCTGCTGGGGCACCCACTAGAGAGTCAGACAGCTGCTTCAAGGAGCCATCTGGAGTGCCAGCCCCTCAGCGGGTCTCCAAAAGTAAACCCTGCCCAACCACACACCCCTGGGCACTGTTTCAAACTGGTAAATCTTCAGGAGGGGCAGCTGCCCTTGCAATTAGGGATGTAAGAAGGCACCATTTTCAGTTCCATCCTGCATTTGTTGGATGTTTCCGTTCTGCTGCAGTTCACTTCCTCTACAAGCTACATTATTTGTCTTGCCGACTGCTGTGGCAAAATTACGCAATTTACATAATTAATTATGTGATTATGTAATCACATAATTAATTACATAATTAAATTATTGTTGTCATTACAGTATTCCACCTTATTCATAGCAACACAAAGGAAATGCAATGCAAATTGGGGGGGGACGAGGATGGCGAGAACGAAATCAATTACGTATCATTTACAGACTGAAAGCAGAAATGGCGAATACGGATCATAATCGCCAATTTGATTTCCATTCCAGACATGGGACACATAAGGGGACACCTGCAACTTCTGCTCCCATTTCCACTGGAATTCTCTGACATCGCTGTTTGCAACGCCACTGGGAGTTGAAGGGTGGCTATAAATAGAAATAATCTCTCTTTGGAGTGACACCTCTCTCTGAGCAACAGACCCTAGAAGCCGAACCTTCATCAGGGGCACCACACAGAACGTGGGCCTCAGGACAGAAGAGGGAGGTGGGGATAAAGCAAGCACAGCGGTTTTGTGGGTGAAAATATAACCTTACTTTTTGACAGGGATCCTTGCATCCTGATTGACCTGGATCTTGAGCCGAGTGTACCTGTGAGGTTATAACTGAGAGTCAGCTGTATGGCACAAATTTGCCTTCCCTCCTACTAACCTAGGGTTGCGGGTGGCGCTGTGGGTTAAACCACAGAGCCTAGGACTTGCTGATCAGAACGTCGGCGGTTCGAATCCCCGCGACAGGGTGAGCTCCCGTTGCTCAGTCCCTGCTCCTGCCAACCTAGCAGTTCGAAAGCACGTCAAAGTGCAAGTAGATAAATAGGTACCGCTCTGGCGGGAAGGTAAATGGCGTTTCCGTGCACTGCTCTGGTTCGCCAGAAGCGGCTTAGTCATGCTGGCCACATGACCCAGAAGCTGTACGCCGGCTCCCTCGGTCAATAAAGCGAGATGAGCGCCGCAACCCCAGAGTCGGTCACGACTGGACCTAATGGTCAGGGGTCCCTTTACCTTTCTTTACCTACTAACCTATGCAAGGCAGCATGGACAGGACTGTCCAGCTCAGTCGAGAGAGCAAAGGATCATTGTGTCCCTCCCACAACTGCGATAAGATATTTTAATTCCTTATGACTGTCCCCTTTCAAGCAACGGAGCCCCACCAGCCCTTACAACAGGCGCGGAAGATAGTTGGCCTCCAGATGTTACCAAAATACAACCCCCATCCACCCCAGCAAGCATGGTCAACAGCCAGGGATGGTGAGAGATATAGTACAGTGGTGCCCCGCAAGACGAATGCCTCGCAAGACGAAAAACCCGCTAGACAAAAGGGTTTTCCGTTTTTCGATGCGCTTCGCAGGACGAATTTCCCTATGGGCTTGCTTCGCAAGACGAAAATGTCTTGCGAGTCTTGAGATTTTTTTCGCTCCCCCCCCCCTTTTCTAAGCCGCTAAGCCGCTAATAGCCTTTTAGCCGCTAAGCCGCTAAGCCTTTAATAGCCGCTAAACCGCTAATAGCGCTAATCCGCTAAGCCGCTAATAGGGTTGCTTCGCAAGATGAAAAAACCGCTAGACGAAGAGACTCGCGGAATGGATTAATTTCGTCTTGCGAGGCACCACTGTAGTTCAGCACTATCTGGAGGGCTGAAAGTTCACAACACATACCTTACAGGTAAATAGGTAGAACATCCTATACTTTGGCCTGAGCCACCAACAAGAAGCCAGCAAAGAAACCACAAAGACCAACAGCCCCAGAGGACACAAATCCAGAGGGATATGGGAAGCTGCCTCATACCAAGTCAAATCACTGGTCTATCTAAGCTCAGTATTGTCCACATTGCCTGGCAGTTGCTCTCTTGAGTTTCAGACAGGGGTCTCTCCCGGGCCTACCTGGAGGGGATGATACTAGGGACTGAACCCACAACCTTCTGCATGCAAGGCAGACGCTCTGTCACTGAGCTGTGGCCCTTTCCCAGGAGTCTCTACCCTGTTTAAAACAGTAGAAAGTCGACTCACGCTTTTTGCAGGAAGGTGTTCCGCGAGGCGTTCTGAGCCAGGATGTTTGTGGATAGTTTGAACAGCTCCTCGGTCCACAACTAGATAGGAGAGGAGAGGCAGAACAGGGTGAGGCCAGCCGCTCTCATCTGCCCTTCCCCATCCCATTGGCACCCTCGGGCCTAACGATCCAGCCCATACCCTCAAATTCGGATCATTAAGCAGGGCAGCCATACAACACATGCTGTCCAAGTTTGGCATGGTTAAAAAGAGAAAAGCTGTATCATTTGGAACTTTTTGAAGTTACAGAAGAAGGGCTATATTTATATTCATTACAGTAGCGGCATTTTTGCACCCGTGCCTCTAAGCAACTTACGCAATAAAAAGAAAACAATGACAACATTGAAATTAGATAAAAGCAGCTATAAACAAAAACTAAAATACTCAACCAATAATATATTTAAAAGGAACAAGTCCTACCCGCCCCACTTAAATGAAGAGCACAGGGAAGGTCACGAACATAATTATCCTCCCAATTAGAAACCATTAAGCCTGGGTAAATAGGAATGCTTTTTGCCTGGTGCCTAAAAACAGACAGTGATGGCACCAGGCGTGCCTCCCTGGAGAGAGCATTCCACAAACAGGGAGCCACCCTTGAAAAGACCCGGTCTTTCGTCTCCTATGCCTCTCTTGGAAGGGACGCAGATGATGAACACAGAGTCTGAACTGATACTCAGAGTAGACCCATTGAGAATTATGGACATGGCTAAGGTCATGTACACACTTCAGATTACTCTGCACCTTAAGGGCTACATTCAATCCATATATATCTTAGGAAACACAGTACTGTGTTTCGATGAGTTGTCCCCATCCCCCACTAAAAAAAAAAACAACAGCTTCAAATTGAGCAGGGGGGGGGGGGGGTTGAAAACAACCTAGCTGCATTTTAAGCCAGTAATGTATACAAAGCCCAACTTAGGCCCACCAATTTCAACAGGTTTGCTCGGAGTGAGATTTAGCTGGCTATGATTCAAGGAAAGATGCAAGAGAGAGGCTTATAAATTGTGTACAGAATTGTTATTTAAGTGGATATTCCCATCAGTCCTAGCAAGTGTGGCCAATAGCCTTGGATGATGCGAGTTTTAGATCAGCAACACCTGCAGCCTCCGAGCGGTTTACAAGGTCAGTTTGCTTCAAAACACACACTTAAATTTCTCAACCATCTCTAAGGGAAGTGGCTACTACTGACATATACATCCCCCCAAAAAGTGCACTATTAATGTTATTATTGAATATTTCAGGTTTTTTTATTCTCTCTGCTCCTCCATAAATTGGTTTTAGAAACCAGAACTGGGTTAGTGCGGGGGGAATTCAGGTATTGACAAAGGAACAGGAACAGCAGCCAAAATCCAGAAAGAATATGGACACCTATCCTTACAGCATCAGTGACAAAGCTGTAAATTAAAGCCAATTATAAACCAAGATTGATTAAGCAATAGAACTGTAAGGGCATTAGAGGAACAAGGTCAAAGCCTCAAAACTGGGGATGGCCATTCATTACAAGACACTAGTGGAGGGAGATTGTTTTGTACTCTCCAGCCTGCGATCATTTGTGACCTGTGAAAGTATCTAGCAGGTTCAAACAACTGGATTCTGGGTTAGTTCTTCTCTGGGGGTGGAAAGTCTGGTGCTCTCTGGATGTTGCTGAACACCAGCTCCCATCATCCCTGACCATTGGCCAGGCTGGGTGGGGCTGATGGGAGTTGGAGTCCAATCCCACAGGTTCTTCCTGGGGCTGCTCTGTGCATACACTCCCAAGAGCACAGTTTGCAAGGAGTGTGAAAATGAAGTGTCAGGCAGCTGTTCTGCAGTACCCCACAAAATTAAAAAATTAAAAATGACAAGGCGGTTTCTGGAACCTGGAAGATCAGCGTAATTTATCACAACATGGTCTTTATTTGCAGATTAATTCCAGCAGATTTTTCATATAGATTTACCTTATTTGTCCCAGGCACTGGTTGCCAGTCCAGGCCCAGTTCAAGTTGTCGGTGCTAGCATACCAAGCCCTAAATGGCTTGGTATCCAAGTACCAAGAAGACGGCCTCACACAGTATCAGCCATCTCATATCCTGTGACTCGCAGGTGAGGCCTTGGTGGTGGTACTGCCACCAACTGGGAGGTGCCCAGATAGCACTCCCCTATGAAAGGGCCTTCTTGGTGGTGGCCCCTTGCTTGCGGAATGCCTACCTTGGTGTGCAGAGTCTGTTTCCTTCCATATCAACATTCGGGAGGCATTTAGAGACATTCCTGTTCACTCAGGCCAAAAGATACATTTCTTGGCAACCCTGAAATCATTGGCTGAGATAATTTTTTTTTACTGCTTTTAATGATATTGTTTTAATGATGCATTTGCTGCCCTGGGCTCCTTTGGGAGGAAGAGGAGGTTATAAATTGAATAAATAGCAGTAAGCAACAACAGAGGCAGCCGCAATGCTGGAACTGGGATGCTAAGGCACTTACATGAAGATGAATAATCCATCTCGAACAGAAGAACCGGCCTCATTCTTTAATGGAAGGTTACTGTGTGGCAAAACCTTCCAGATACTGGCTCCAATGTACTGGCTTGTACATTGACAGCAGCCTCATGCCATTTTAAACAATCATGGCTTCCCCCCAAAGAATCCTGGGAACTGTAGTTTAAAACAGCTGAGAGGTGTTCGAAGACTCCTATTCCCCTCACAATTCCTAGAGTTCCCTGGGAAGAGTGGCCGATTGTTAAACCACCCTGGGAACTGTAGTTCTGTGAGGGGAATGGGGGAGGGTCTCCGAACTACAGCTCCCAGGATTCTTTGGGAGAAACCATGATTGCTTACAGTGTTATGCATAGTGCAGAGGGGGCCACTGTTGGGATTCCACCTCTCAGGTACTCTAACCACCAACCATGCTGGCTGGGACTGATGGGCACTGAAGTCCCAACATCACCTGGCAGGGCCATAGGTTCATGAAGAACTGTTGCTTTCTTAAAAAAAGAAAAAGAAGAGTTCAGTGTGACACTCCTGCCCTACCTTGGCCGTATCATCCGGAACAACTGCCATGAAGTTGAGGAAGCTGACGTTGACAAAGTCTGGACCGTGCACGACCGTCACCAGCATCTCCTCGGGCCGTTGCTCTGGCCCCCCAAAGCCAAGAATCTCCCGGATCTTCGGGTCCTACAGAAGTCAGAGTGCAAAGGAGAGAAGTTAGCCTGACTGGCACCAATGGCATTTCCAACCCTAGATGCCTAGCGAATGCCGTTAAACATGTGCTTTTTGTGTTATGCAAATAGCAGCCTGGGACCTGGGAAGTTAACTCTCTTCCCTCTGCCAGGGTGCCAACAAAAACTACCTCTCTGGAGCTGTTCTTTGCATTTCACGGAAAGCTCCCATTTCAAGCTTCCCTTGAAATGCAAATAGCAGTTTCAGAGGAGGGAGGGACAAGGAAAATCTTTCCATTTCGCTTTCTCTTGGTTTCTCATTTTTCCCATCTTAAATGCAGTTCCGCACATCACTTACTTTTCCAAAAGCCCTCTTGAAAGTAATCCAGCATTTTAGTGCATGTTCCTCCTAATAAGACACATTTATGTATGCAGTTCTGCCTAATATGCATATTTTTTTACAAAGCAGTTTCCGCTAGTATTGTGCAATTTTGTATGTTACTTTCACTAATATTTGTACTTCAATGCACAATTTACCCCAGTTTAAGCAGTTTTTGTACATACTGCTTGGCTGGAGAGTGGCGCTGCAAAATCTGGAGATGTGCTAAGGTTAAAGGACGGCTGTGTTGTCAGTTTTCACATTGCTTCAGAAAGTGTGAATTGGGTGAAGTTTGCTGTTCAATGCAAACTGAACCAAATTGCTCCTCGATCCCTATTTCACAGAGGAGTTTTTAAGGTTTCACTCAGTGGGGACACAGTGGTCACTGTGATTTGTGCCTAGATGGTCCCAGTAAAAAAGAATTTCAGAAAGTATCCTGCGGCACAATGGGGTTAGTGTGTGTCTTGCCATTAACCAGAAGGTTGGTGGTTTGAGCCCATCCAGGGATGGCTGTGGGCAGGATTCCTGCACAGCAGAGGGTTGGAGGAGTAGATGGCACTTGGCGTCTTTTCCAACTCTACAACTGTATGATTTTATGATTCTACCTATTAGAGATCCCAGAGAGTTACTGGCAGGAAAACTGGCAATACAGTAGCCCAGGGCCACATTCACACCATACATTTAAATCAGTATCATACTACTTTAGATTGTCACGGCTTCCCCTCAAAGAATTCTGGGAGCTGTTTGTTTGTTAAGGGTGCTGAGAGTTGTGAGGAGACCACAGTTCCCTTCACAGAGCTACAATTCCCTGTGAAGACATTTTCATTGTTAAAGAACTCTGGTAATTTTAAGTACTGGGAGTGGAAAAGGGATCAGTCAGCAACTGCAGCTTCCAGATTTTTTTGGAAAAAGCCATGGCTGTTTAAAGTGGCATAACACTGCTTTAAGCATATGTTAGGAATGCGGCCTAGGTAGACTGACCAACTGGCTTGGTTCAAGACAGCTCTGTGTATGGCGGAAACCTGCAGCTCTTCAATGTTGCTTGAACTGCAACTCCCATCATCCTTCACCGCTGACCATGCTGGCTAGGGCTGATGGGATTTGGAGTCCAACTGCCTCTGCAGGGCCACAGGGGTCCCCGTCCCTGATGGAAGGGAATCACCGTTACCTTTGGTAGCTTGGCATAGCGCCCGGTCCGAGTGTCACGGATACAGCTGATGTCCAAAACGTCAACTTCCTGAGAGGGGAAAGAGATAGAGAAAGACAAAGAGAGAGTTCTTGTCACTTAGTGCTCTTTATGAGCAGAGACTACATATTTCCAACAGCCTTCTCCGCTAACGAGAACTGCGAAATGTGTTAATTAGGTTAGATAATGAGGTCTCTTCCCTCCGCGGCAAGTAATGTATTAATTTTAGCTCCTTTTTTGCCAGTTGCCATATTTCATACAACAGACGCTTACTTTTGCATAATTAGTTTAAGGAGAATGTGGCCGGGGGAGGGGGGACAAGACGCCAAAACAACAACAACACACATTTGTATCCATTATATTTTGCTTGCAGCTACCCATTAGAACAATTTGCCGCTTTGTGTGCAGGAGTCATAACGCAAAAACCTACTTTCCTGCTCTCTCTGTAATGGAACCAGAAGGAAACAAGTTTTAATTTTATTGTACTAGATTTCCATTAATTACCACTGTTAGTTTGTGGCTTTTTGTGAAGTCCTTAAAACTTTAAGAACATAAGAAGAGTCTGGCTGGATCGAGCCGGAGGCCAATCTCTCTCTCAGGGGCCCTCAAGATGCTCATGGGAAGCACACAAGTAAGACCTGAGTAAAACAGCTCTCTCCCCAACTTGGGATTCCCAGCAACTGATACCCAGAGGCATATTTCCTCTGACAGTGGAGAGAGAACACAGCCATCATGGCTAGTTCTGGGTAAAAAGGTAAAGGGATAAAGGGACCCCTGACCATTAGGTCCAGTCATGGCCGACTCTGGGGTTGAGGCGCTCAACTTGCTTTATTGGCCGAGGGAGCTGGTGTACAGCTTCCGGGTCATGTGGCCAGCATGACTAAGCCACTTCTGGCGAACCAGAGCAGTGCACGGAAACGCCGTTTACCTTCCCGCCGGAGTGGTACCTATTTATCTACTTACACTTTGACGTACTTTCGAACTGCTAGGTTGGCAGGAGCAGGGACCGAGCAATGGGAGCTTACCCCATCGCGGGGATTCGAACCGCTGACCTTCTGATCGGCAAGTCCTAGGCTCAGTGGTTTAACCCACAGCGCCACCCGCGTAACTTCACATGAGTTATTCAACCCAATTTCTTAGCTTAATACTCAATAAACCATTTCTATTCCTTTCTAAAAAGTTTGTTGTCCTGATTTCTTATTCTTCCGGTAAATTTCGCCATTTCTGCATATTCCATTAGTTTCTGTATCAATTCTTCTTTCGTCGGGACCTCTTCATCCTTCAGGCAACAGGGCAAATAACATTCTTTTGGGCAAATAACATTCTTGCAGCTTTAGTCACATACATAAATAAATTCCTATACTGTTTGGGTAGTTCTAATCCCATAATTCCCAAGAGAAAAGCCTCTGGGGTTTTCTTACGAATGTTATCTTAAACATCTTCTTCAATTCATTATATATCATTTCCCATTAAGCTTTAACCTTATTACAAGACCACCACATGTGAAAAAAGCTGCATTCTTTCACTTTACATTTCCAACGCAGATTCCACTTTGATTTATACATTTTTGCCAATCTACTAAGTGCTAGGTACCATCTATACAGCATTTTCATATACTTTTCTCTCAAACCATAACATGCTGTACATTTTATATCTGTATTCCATAATCGTTCCCATGCTTCCATTTCTATGTTATGACCAATATCAATTGCCCAGTGTATCACTGACGATTTCACTTGTTCATCTTTTGTCTCCCATTCCAATAACATCTTGTACATTTTAGACAACACTTTAACATTACCATTTAACAGGTCTCTCTCTAATTGTGATAGTAGTTCCCCAAAGCCCCGCTTCATATCCTTTTTAAATATTTCATGCAGATGATGATATTGTAACAATGTTGTTAACATTCCTGGTAAATCCCTAAACTCTTTTAAAGTCTGTGCAAGTCCTGTTCTTGCCAATAAAGAGTTAACTCGAATGTGTATGGTGTGATTTACTGCTAGCTCCTCCTGTCATGGGCATATTGTCTCTAAAAGCCTCCTCCTGAACTCACATGGCTTCCCCTATCGGAGGTCCTCCTAACACATGGTCAAAAAAGAGCATGGAAACTTTGGCTTTTAGTTAAGCATAGCTTGCTGTGTTGCCTAAACTAGAAATTGTGGTTAACATTACCTATGAGTAGTAAGCAAAGCACTTCATGGTGAAGGCAGCGTGATTTGTACTTAATCCTAGGTGACGCTAACCACAGTTTGTTGGTTTGGGTAAACTGACAAACCACGATTAACCAAAAATGGAAGCTGCGTAGGAGGGGAGAAGAAGAGAGCATTGCAGAAGCCTAGGGTGAAGTCAGCCTCATTCGTGTTGTGACTTCATGTCTGGATTGCTGCAATGCACTCTGCGTGGGACTTTGCTCGTGTTGGATCTGGAAGCTGCAGTTAAGTAAAGAAGGCTGCAGCAAGGTTGCTGGCAAGAGTGAGACTTTGTCATCACACGACACCTCTGCTCAGAGATCTGCACAGGTTGCCCATTTACTACCGGGCCAAGTTCAAGGTGTTGCTGTTAGCACAAAGTCCTTCACATTTACTTGCAGGATCGTCTTACTCCATATATTATACCTATTCGACTGCTTCCTTCTGTGAAACTGGCACTGCTACAGGTGCCACGTAATACTCATTCTGCAGTTGTAAGAAATCAATCTTTTGCGTGTGGCAGCAGCACTTACACTTTGGAACTCCCTGCCTATTGACACCAGGCAGGTGTTTTCACTATTGTCCTTTCAACACCTGCTTAAAACGTTTTTGTTTAGGCAAGCCTATTCAAACACGCAGGACACTGAAATGCATTTTAAACTCTTTTGCTTAAACAATATATAGAGGATAGTATATATAGAGATGCAGGGGAATGAACCTGGAACCTTCTGCATGCAATGCAGATTCTACAGCCCTTCTCCCATATACTGCAATCCTAACGTGTGGGGGGGGGGGATGTCAGATGAGCTGGCATTTCCTGCACACCCTCAACAGACAACAGAGTGCTTTGATTTCCCTTCCTCGCCTTTCTCCAAGCCATTCTGCTAGGCACGGCCTCTCTCTTTTTCTCCCCCCTTCAGTTCCCTTTTTGCCATTCAAGCAGCTCGGGCTGTATATATAGCTACTTAAGCTAACTGTTTTGTCCTGGGCGGCTGCCAGATGCAAAAGAGCTTTAACCACAGGGAAATTGTGTGGTAGCAGTAAGAGGAGGAGAGGTGGGGGGGTGGCAGGAAACAGGGCTTCCCTCCAACCAAAAGGAAATTGCTGCTAGGCGTTGGAGTGGGTAGGAAGACAGGATCAAGAGAGCTCATCCAAAGAGGAAGGACTTGGGGGTGCAGGAGGTGGGGGGGGGGAGAGAGAGATAATTTCTCCTGGGGCTCAGGCATCCCATGTGAGCCATAAACCCTTGAAAGACATTGCCATTGCTTCTCTTGTAGCACAGCAGAGAGGGAAATGCATCCATAGAGGGAAACACATCTTTTAAATAAAGAATTCAATGGCTACCAACTTAGATGGTTTCAAAACAGCACTAAACAAATTCATGGAGATGGCTATAGCTATAAATACTGCTTCCAGTATGGGAGGCAGATAGCAGGCCTTGGGACGCCAGTTGCTGGGAGTCACAAGTGCTGGGAGTGTCCTGCTCATGGGCTTCCCAGAGCCATCTGCCACATCCCCACTATTATACCTCTTTGATAGCCATGGCTCCTCGCCCCCCCCCAAAGAATCCTGGGGAAATTGTTATGGGTGCCGAGAGTTGCTAAAACTCTATAACTCCCCTCACAGCGCTACAGTTCGCAGAGTTCAAGGAAAGAAGGGTTGGTTGTGTAACCCGCTCTGGGAATTATAACTCTGTGGGCAGTTTCTGTGGCAGACACCCAGCCCTTTAAACGTGCTTGAAGTGTATGGCATGTATGGAACCTTGAGAGCACGGAGACCCAGGTTCACATCTGGCCACAAAGATCATTGGATGGAGCACAGGTCAGCCCATAGCTGTCAACTTTCAGATTTGAAAATAAGGGATCAGCAGCCTCACCGGTCCCAAGGACAGTCTACGGGATATCTAACAAACCGGGATAGCAGCAGGAAGCAGCGGGAAACGGCGCTGGAATAAGGAATTTCCCGCGAAAAAAGGGGGAGGTTGACAGCTATGGGTCAGCCACTTCCTGCACTACTGAGCAGGGATGTTAGGTTGTTAGGAGGATTACAGGCAGCGTCAGAAATTGAGATACGAATGCTAGGAGCTAAATGGGACCTTAAACTTAGGTTATGGGCGCAACAACGGAATGTCTAGATGCGCTTTTTTATAACAAGAACACACAAGCTTATTGCTAAAATGTTATTTTCATTTTTCACATGGTTTAGTCCTTCCCCTGCTTGCCCCCTAATACTATTTAAGAGGGTCTCTTCTCCAGTCTTCAGAGAGTAGCTTGAAGTGGGGAGGCAGAAAAAGGTCCTTTTCCTTCCACTCTGCAGTTTTACCGGTAATCTGAAATCGTAGACGCAGTACTGCGTCCCCAGAGCTCAGGAACTGCTCGTGCTGATGAAATTCCCTGTCGCAAAATATGCCTAGAACAATGGGAGTTTCAAACACTGATTACAGGGAGGCGATTGTATACTCCACCATTAAACTGCTGGGAAGGTTTGGGAGTCTTTTTGAGAAAAATGTTAGGGCCACTTCAGAAAATGCCATACTCAAGTCACAACGTGCCCTACTGATGTCAATGCACGATGAACTCTGGGCCTTTACTGTCTGTTACAAATATTGAGGTACAACGGCCACGTTTTGGGGTGCAGGTCTCCGGAAGATTCATTACGAAGCCGGAAAAGCAAAGGAAGCAATTGGGACAGGAAGGAGAGCAGCAGCCGCTGTTTCAATCAGTTTTTTTTATTTTTTAAAAACCCGCTCCCTCCCTTTCCGCCTCTCTCCCTCTCTTTGGCTCCCACCCCAGAATTCTTGCCAAACCAGCTTAACGACTCAAAAGGCATTGACAAGAGAGTGGAATGAACAGCCTGGGCCTCTGCACAAATCACTCCTTCCCCTGGGGGCCAGTGAACTGCACGCAACCCCAAAGGCAGGGCCCTGGACAAGCCGGGTGCCCTGTACTTTCAACACCTTCCAGCAAGGGGCGCTTGGAGAACTCCACTATCCAGCCACCCAGCAGCATCCCCAAGTCACAGGCAAGCGACCACATGCAAGCCCATCGAAAGCACTTTGTTGTTGTTTAGTCGTTTAGTCGTGTCCGACTCTTCGTGACCCCATGGACCAGAGCACGCCAGGAATTCCTGTCTTCCAGTGCCTCCCGCAGTTTAGTCAAACTCATGCTGGTAGCTTCAATAACAGTGTCCAACCATCTCGTCCTCTGTCGTCCCCTTCTCCTTGTGCCCTCCATCTTTCCCAACATCAGGGTCTTTTCCAGGGAGTCTTCTCTTCTCATGAGGTGGCCAAAGTATTGGAGCCTCAGCTTCAGGATCTGTCCTTCCAGTGAGCACTCAGGGCTGATTTCCTTAAGAATGGAGAGGTTTGATCTTCTTGCAGTCCATGGGACTCTCAAGAGTCTCCTCCAGCACCATAATTCAAAAGCATCAATTCTTCGGTGATCAGCCTTCTTTATGGTCCAGCTTTCACTTCCATACATGACTACTGGGAAAACCATAGCTTTTACCATACGTACCTAGCTTCCCCCAAAGAATCCTGGGAACTGTATTTTTTAGCGAGTGCCGGGAATGCTGCTGCTGCTGCTGCAAGTGATAGACTACAGTTCTCAAGATTTGGGGGCAGGGCTGTGCTTCGGAGGTACAGAGTGCACACAGATAGACACAGACATGCACACATCCTCACAATGTCGCCGACCTCAAAAGATAAAGGACGTGCTCGTAAGCGCCCAAGAGTTTCCGGGCTTGGTCACCCATCACAAGTGATAAGAAGCTTTACTTTTAAAAAACGAAATGAATATAAATAAAAATGCAGTTTGAAGAGGCTGGGGGGTGGGGGAGAGAGAGAGAGAGAAGAGACAAACAGAAAGACTTCTAAAAGCAGAGTGCATATATCTACCATATTTGGGCCAGTCCAGTAGAGGAAAAATCCTTTAGGGTCAACCCGTAAGGTCACCAGAGCCCGGCTTGTTGGTTCCTAGGAATGGGGGGGGGGGGGAGAGAGAGAGAGAGAGAACAGTCAATACTCTTCCACCAAGCTATAGATGACAACTTTCCCCAAACTGTTTATTATATGTTGATCTCCTCTGTTTTGTGCAACTCACAGGGGTCTCCCACTCAAGGAACAGATCCAGTACACAACTGCCAGCTTCGGAGATTTGCCAGCTGTGTGCCAGGAGCCATCAGGCAGTACTTTTAAACAACAGCAACCTATTGCTTGTGAAATTTATATAATCCACCTGGCCCCAGGATGGCATACAATTAAAAAAAACCCCTCCAACTTTAACATCTTGAAAATCGTCTTTAAAACAATTCAGAAACAGACGCAAACAGGGAAAGATCTTTACATAAAAGGCTTGTTGAATGAGGAAGGTCTTCAGGAGGCACCAGCAAAACCACCTGCCCAATATTTAGCAGGAGCGAATTCCAAAGGGTAGGTACCAAAACCCTAAAGGCCCAATTCCTACATTCTGTGGAATGGACCTCCTAATGAGATGGCATTTGCAAGGCATAATGATCAACTAGGTTTGTAAGGGATGGAAGCTCAGCAACAGTGGTCCATACACTGATTGCTGTAATGCGCTTTACCTGGGGCTGCCCTTGAATTCAGTCCAGAAGCTGCAGCCGGTGTCAAAGGGCCAACACACAATTCATTTAATTTTATTGAACAGAATCTATATATTGCTTAATCACCGAAGCCTCTAAGCAGCTTGCATACAATATGAATATACCATGAAAATCACTGATAAAAACCAAGTATTAAAAACAAGCTCACCTTAAACCACTTTTTGAAAAACGTAAATCAGATGGTTTAAAAATACGTATTATTAAATAATTATGATGATGTAGTGAAACAGATGTCTACATGTCTGGGGAGGCTTTCTTGAACAAAAAAGGCTTTTAGCAGGTGCCAAAAAATTGTACAGGCAACGACTAATTTACATGCGTCCAATGGATGCTGACTGCGCACACACGCATTGCGCCAAACACAGAAGAGACATTTAAAACGGCAAAAATGGGACGAAAAAGGCACAAAGGGGATGAAAAAGGCACAAAACCAGCACTTAGCTATCCCACAAGCCTTTGCACCGACCGTTGAGGCCTGTGGAGAGTTGGGAGTTTGAGCAAGTAGGTTTGGAGGGAGTGCTGCTGTTTTTTAAAGGGCGTTTCAACAGTTTCCAGAGGTTTAGAAGGTGTCTGCAGGCTTTTCCAATGGCGTTTCAAATATAGGCGATTTCATGTAAATGCCCAATGCCTTGGAACGTAACCGTCACATAAACTGGAAGTTGCCTGTACAGTGAGGGCAGTTGCTTTTGAGGGCAACCCACAGATAATGCCTTTGCTGAAAGTGTTGCATTGGCTACCAATTTGCTTCTGAGCTGGATTCAGAATTTGACTACTGGTACCGATATGGATCTGAACCAAACTGCCTCACCCACTACACCCCACCCCAGTCAGGTAAAGATGTTCATTGCCGGAGGCACTAGGCCCCTGAATACCAGCTGCTGAGAACCACGTGAGTCAAGTATGCTGCACTTTAGGGCATCCCATAGGGACATCTGGCTGGCCACTGCGAGGGAAGAGGATTCTGCGCTACAGAAGCCTTTGGTCTGATCCAGCAGCCGGGCTCCTCCTCCTCCTCCTCCTCTTCTTCTTTGAATTTAAATACTGCCCTATACCTGGGGTTCTCAGGGCGGTTCACAGAATAAAATCAAAATACAAAACCACAAATACAAAATAAAAATTAGAACAACCCAATAGCTCCCCTCCCACACACACAGAAAAGCCACATTTTAAAAGAGCATAGGATGTTAATCAGATCAACCAAACGCCTGGTTAAAAAGGAATGTTTTTGCTTGGTGCCTAAGGGTGTATAATGAAGGCACCAGGCAAACTTCCCTGGGGAGAGCATTCCACAGATGGGGCCACTGCAGAGAAGGCGTGTTCTTGTGTTGCCACCCTCCGGACCTCTTAAGGCGGCGGCACACGAAGAAGGGCCTCCGAAGATGATCTCACAGTCTGGGTAGGTTCATATATAAAGAGGTGGCCCTTGAGGTATTGCGGTCCTGAGCTGTTTAAAGCTTTATAGGTCAAAACGAGCACTTTGAATTGGGCCTGGAAACTAATTGGTATCCAGTGTAGTCGGACCAGGATCAGTGTAATATGCTCAAACCGTCTTGCTCCAGTGAGCAACCTGGCCACTGAATTCTGTACCAGCTGAAGTTTCTGAACCATCTTCAGAGGAGTTCCTAATGTTCTTAAGATGTGCTGATGGCGCCACACACCCCTGCAAGAAAGCATGTTGCGACTCGAACATGTGCCTTGCACTCCCAGTTCTCTGGAATTCTCTTCCCTTAGAAGTCAGGCAAGCCCCAACACTGTACAGTTTTCAATGTTGGTTGAAAACTTTTCTCTCCAGCTTTCTCAATTTAGTCATTTTTAAATGATCATTGATTCATTAATTGCCTTCTAAACAATCATTGCAAAGTGATGTACAATTTTTTAAAAAGTTTGCAAACAGCAGATGCGGGTTTTGGTGTTTTTAAATAAAAACTAAAAACTAAAACCATATAAAATTGCCGTGTCTAAGATCCATTTATTCAGCTGGGAAAGCCAGCCGCAACAAAAATTACTTCAATTGTTTCCGGAAAGTGCCTCAAGAGGAATGCTATTCCACAGAGCAGAGGCTGTCCCAATGAAAGCCTGATATAGAGTCATATAATTAAAGAGCTGGAAGGGACACCAAGGGTCATCTAGTCCAACCCCCCAACAATGCAGGAATCACAGATGAAGAATCCCTGACAGATGGCCATCCAAGCTCTGTTCGGAAACCTCCAATGAAGGAGGGTCCATCATTTTCCAAGGGAGTCCTTTCCACAGCTCTTACTGTCAGAAAGAGGCAGAAATTCAACATGTGTAGCTTTTCCTGGCACAGGGGTGCAGATGTTGAACACCTGCCCATTGTTGCAACTGTTACAGGCACAGGATCTGTGTCAGGGGGGAGTAAGGAGCAAACCCTACCAATACGATCCCCACCAACTCTCCCCGCCATGGGTAACTCCATTCCAAAACCATCTGATTTGGAATCATGAAGTATCTACCTGTAGAGCAGTTTTATACAAGCGTAAGTTTTCACGGCCTAAGGAATCTTGAGAACTGTTGAGGCCTTAGCAGTTACAAAAACTGAGAGCCCAAGCCCTCTCACCTGAGACACCAACTTGCGAGGGAGAAGGGGGGCGCAGATGTCACGCACATGGCGTCAAGATGTCGGGAGGAGCCAGTGGCAGAGCCAAACTCAGTGGCAGCCTGGGTTCAATGGCCAGCAGCTCCATGTCCTACTGCTGCTGCCGCCGCCGCTGGCTGCGGTCTGCTTCCCCACTCCTTCCCCTCTGTGGCAGGAGAAGGAGAAGGAGCAGGCCACAGAATCTGGGTCATGCTCGTCTCCACACTTGGCCTCCTCTGCCTCCTTTGAACATGGGGGGTCCAGCCTTCTCCCCCAAATTATTGGGGCCCCCAAAAGGGCTCGGTCCCTAGGAGTTGGAGGCCCTGCCTCTCACGGTAGTGCCCAGTGTGCAGCAGCTGTGAAAAAGACAAATTCCATGCTAGGAATCATTAGGAAAGGAGCTGAAAATATAAATTGCCAGTTTCATAATGCCATCATACAAATCTATGGCACATAGATTGGGGGTTCCATTCCAGTCATCTCGCCTGAAAAAGGATATCACAGGTTCAGGAAAGGGCAACCTAAACTGAAACTGGTCTTTATACAACTTTATTTCTTTGGTTGTCCCAGAGAATCCTGGGAAATAAGAAAATGATCAGGGGGTGTAGCAACTCCCCTGTGAAGGAACAGTTACAATATTTGGGGCTTTTCAGTTTAGAAAAAAAGGCAAGGAGACATGATTGAGGTGTATACAGTAATGCACAGTGTAGAGAAAGTGGACAAGGAAAACATTTTCTCCCTCTCGTGTAACATTCGAAGGAAGCATTTCTTCACACAGCGCAAAGTTAAAATTATGGAATTTGCTCCCACCTGAGGTAGTGATGGCCAACAACTCTCTCTATGACAACAACAACAACAACAAATTTATTAAATTTGTGAGGTCCATGCCTTTACACAAAATACCATAAAACATTATTAAAAGATAAACCAAAAAGATTATAAAAGTAAGCTAAAATTCATGCCATGTTGTCCCAGCAAGGAAACTACCCAAAAACCCCACCATTCAAGGAAGAAGGTACAGCAACAGGTTAGGAGAGCAATGGGAGGACCTCACCGTTTCATCCAGGAACCATACCCTAGTTTTCATAGCCTTCACCACAAAGACCGCTACCACGTGAGAAATCCGTGGATCAGCGTCTACCAGTAAAAACTTTACTTGGTCCTCAGAGTTGACTATTGATTTAGGAATAGTTTGTAACATCGCATCCCTGAAGGCCGAATAGATGGGACAATACAACATGTAATGTATGAGATCCTCTTTGGTTCTCATATAACAAGGACATATCCGCTGCTCTACTGGGATTTTTGCATATCTGCCTGACAGATAGGCCGTAGGAATGGTTTGAAAACGGGCCATAGTAAAGGCTCTCCGAAGAGTGGGATTGGTGATATTCGCCAAGTAGTTGGCGCAGATTTTGACTGATTTCATTCGGTGTAGCCAGTGGGAGGACCCTGGGATCTGTATTTTTGTGGTATCTAACAGAGCGTCTCTCTCCAGGATCCATTTCCGGACTTTGTCCGGGCTCCACCGTTTGAGGATATTAAACTCCGGTAGGGTGTATCTAACCAGGATCTCAGATAAGTTTTGGCGCCAAGTGGTATTCTTTTGAAAAGATACGAAGGCTTGTTTGGCCAATAAGGTGTTTGAAGAGTTTGCAAGGTTGATGTAAAATCGTAGGAATCTTAAGTGGGCCCTGGCAGACACAGAGGGTAAACCAACCTCCACCCTCAAGAAGGCTGCTGGGGTTCCTTGAGGAAGGCCTAGAATCTTCTTGAGATAGTAGTTTTGCAAAATTTCAAGCCGTTCCAACAGCCTCTGGTTCCACCCCCAGAGTTCTATCCCATATAACATCTGGGGAATAGCTTTCCCAACGAAAGCTCTTAATGCCGGGATCACCAATTGTCCTCCCCTGGTATGGAAGAAACTAAGCAAAACACCAATTGTTCTTCGTGTTAGGATGGTTACAGCCTTAAAGTGGGCTAGCCAGCTAGATGTAGCCTGGAATGTAACACCCAGATATTTAAAAAAGGGCACTGTTCAATCACTTGTTCATCTAAAGACCATCTAAAGGTGTGGCGAGCTCTAGTAAACACCACAATTTTTGTTTTATCATGGTTTATCTTTAGTGAATTATGGGAACAGTAGGCTGCGATCCCCCCAGCATGCTGCGTAAGCCTCTTCGGGTGAGTGCCATTAAAACCATGTCATCGGCATATAGCAAAATATTCAGGCGTTTACCTTCAAGGGCTGGAGCCGATGACTTGTACTTTGCCATGTACTGGACAATGTCGTTTATATAAAAGTTGAAAAGAAATGGGGCTAGCAGGCATCCCTGTTTGACCCCTTTCCCCAATGGCAGTGGGTCCGTAAGAGTTCCCGATGGCCCAGTTCTGATTTTGACTGTAATGTCTGTATGTAACTCTCTGAGAATTTTTAAAAGTCGTCTGTCAATGTCCGTTTCATATAATTTTTTCCATAGTCTATCTCTACAGATTGAGTCGAAGGCAGATGTCAAGTCTACGAATGGCCAACAACTCAATAAGGCTTTAAAGGGGGATTTAAACAGTTTCCTCATTGCGAGACTTGAAGCTACAAGAAACCAGGCAGAGGGCTTTCTTGGTATTGATGCCCACCCTGTGGAATGCCTGTCAGTCAGATGTCAAAGAGATAAACAACTATACCTACGACTTTCCAGAGACATCTGAAGGCAGTCCTGTATTGGGAAGGTTTTAATATTTGATGTCTCGTTATACAGTGGTACTTCGGTTTAAGAACAGTCCGGTTTAAGAACGATTCGGTATACAAACTCTCCAAAACTGGAAATAGTGTCCCAGTTTAAGAACTTTACCTTGGTCTAAGAACGGAATCCGAACAGTGGAAAGCATCAGCGGCGGGAGGCCTCATTAGGGAAGGCATGCCTCGGTTTAAGAACAGTTTTGGTTTAAGAATGGACTTCCAGAACGGATTAAGTTCATAAACCAAGGCACCACTGTATTTTTAAATTCTGTTGGAAGCCACCTAGAGTGACTGGGGCAACCCAGTCAGATCGGTGGGGTACAAATAATAAATTATTACTACTATTATTATTATTATTAGACAAATTAATGAAGGCTAAGGGAATGCTCTGCCTTTGTTGCATTCATTGTCAGAGGCAGCATGTCTCTGAAAACAGACTTCTGGAAATCCCAAGTAAGGAAAGTGCTGTTGAACCCAGGCCTTGCTAGCAGGCTTCCCACTACAGCATTTGAGTAGCGAGGCTGGGAGGGAGTTTCATTTGTTGATGTTAATTCGTTAATTCTGTTTCTGTCTGAAAAACCAATAAAATGTGTGTGTTTTTGAAAAAGACAGAGGTCACCAGCAGGCTTGAGGAAACCCTGTGGTGTGCTGAAGTACAAAATAATCCTTATAGACACAAACAAACCTAGAGATGGAAAGCCCCCAAACATCTTAGTGATGATTGACCATGTTCAGTGGCCACAGAATAGGGACTGACTTCAGGGGGTGGGAGAAGAGAAAACCAGACCTGGAGGCTGCCTAGCAAGAGAAACCCACAATAGGAACATTTGAAGTTGACTTATACTAAGTCAAACGGCTGGTCTATCAAGCTCAGTATTGTCTTCACACTGACTGGAAGCATCTCTCCAGGTTTTTCAGGCAAGGGGTCTTTGCCAGCCATACCCAGGACTGAACCTGGGACCTTGTGCATCGAATGCGGGTGCTCAACAGCCAAACTATGGTTGCTCCCCTAAAAATAGAGATTCTAGTCCTCACGGTTCTCAACGAACGGCCGTTTTAAATAGGAACATAGGCAGCTGCCTCATGCAGAGTCAGGCCATTGGATCTGTCTAGCACAGACTGGAAACAGCTCTCCAAGATTTCAGACAGGGGACTCTCCCAGCCGTACCTGAAGATGCCAGGGATTTCACCCGAGACCAGTGACTTGCAAGGAAAGTGCTCTGCCACTGAGGTATGGCCTTTCCCAAGCATTTAACTGTGACATGTTATCGTAGGCCCCGCTTGTGACTATTCAATTCAGCCTGTAATTCTTTCAGTCTTTAACTTAGACCCACCCAGCTTGGGGGGAAAGGTTCTCTCACTACCATCATCCAAGCTCTTTAGGGACTCCATCCTCACCCCCACTTGCCCTCAGTCCTTTTAATACCTCTTATCAACACACAGCTCACATCACCACTCAGTACCTGAAATTAGCCTCGGAAGCAGAGGTGTGTAAGGGACAGCTTAGGAAATGGAGGAGAAAGAGCCTACCACTCATCTGCAAAAACGTTTAATAGGGTTCATTAGGATCTGCACAATAAGCTCAGGTCTCCAGCCAAACAGCAGGAAAGAGCCCACGCCCAGATCCGATGGCTTTCAAAGCAGGAACGCTCCAAAGGAGACCCCCTAAGTCTTGCACAGGAAAGTAAGTGGCCTGGGAAAAGCAGAAAGAATCAGGCTTGGCGTCAGCACCAGGCATTTTCTGGCAGCTGCCAAGAGCCCCCTGGCGCCAACTGGACCCCCTCTGCCGCCCTCCTCCTCTAGTTTACAATTTGTCTTGGACTGTATCCATGTTAGCCCTCCTCAGAGTAGAGCCATTGAAATCAATGACCATGACTAAGCTCAAGTCCATTCATTCCAATGGGTCTTCTCCAAGTAGGACTTAGTTGGATACCACGCACCACAGGGGTAGCGGATGTAGTGCCCTCCAATTTAGTTGTTGAACGACAACATTATCCCCTAATTGTAGGCCAAACTGAGTGGGGCTGATGGGAGTTTGAGTCCAACAACCTCTAGGAGAGCATTGTGCTGGCTTCTCCTGATCCACTGTGAGGCAGGCAGCTGCCATTTTAAATGCGTAGCATGGCATTGTGGGAAACCTAAAGTAGCAGGTACCTCGCCATCAGGCTTTCCCTCCAAAATCAATTTATTTAAGTGCCCGGGTTGGGGGATATGAATTCTATAAACAAACAACAAATAAATAAATTCACCTTAGCTACTGGCCCTCACAGTATCCTGCAGCAGCTAATTCCATAGGTTAACGATGCACAACGCCTGTATCCACACCACCATACATTGAAAACCCAATTATACCACTCTTAAGCAGTCATGTCTTCCCCCAGAGAACCCTGGGAACTGTAGGTTGCCCCTCAGAGAGCTATAATTCACACACCCCTTAACAAAGGACAGTTCCCAGGATGCTTTGGGGGAAGCCATGTGCTTTACATGTATGGTGCGAATGTGACCTATGTGAAGAAACACTTCCTTTCGTCTTTGCTCATTCAGCTTCCTTACACAACCCACAGTTCTGAGGGAAAGCGGTGGGACATCTCTCTCACTCACTCACTTTCTTCACACCATGTATAACGTTATAAGTCTTAATTACGTCAATTGTGTCTCCCTAGACTAGATTAGGAAACCTGTAGCCTTCCAGATGTTGATAAGACCCCTCTTTATCTTCCCTGGGCATTAGCTACGCTGGCGGGAGTTGGGAGCCCATCTGGAAGCTTACAGCTGAAGTTCTAAGCTAGAAAGTTCAAACATCTCTCGAGCTTTCCTAATATAGAGGAGTTGCTTCAGCCCCCCTGATCATTTCAACTGCACTCTGCTACTTTCTTCAGCTCTGTGATATCCTTTTTTGAGACTGGTTAGTCAGAACCATACATAGTATTCAAATAGTCTTGCGCCATATATTTATTTGGAAGCTTTACGAAACTGGCAGGTCTGCTTTCAGATAGCTTGCCTAAGAATCCCCAGCAAGGAATTTCTCCTTGTTGGTGCTGACACACAAAGCAGGTTGATGTTTTCATAGAGTTATCCAGCACAACCCCAGGATCTCCCTTTTCTAGTTAGCCTCTACCAGTTCGGAACAAACCGGTTTGTATGTTTATATATAAAACCTTTTACGCTTACTTACACTAAACCCCAATTGCCGTTTTTGTTGGCTGTTCGTCCAGTGGAGATATTTGTAGTCTGCTCAGATTGTCACCATCCTGAATAGTTTGCTGTCACTCACAAACTTGGCTAGCTCACTGCTCACCCCGACTCAAGATCACTTATGAATGTTAAACAGCACCAGACCCAAACAATACAGATCCAGCTCCCTCCCCACGACCGTGAGAAATTTATTCTTTAAGCAAATAACAATCCATTAAGGCAATGCACAAAAGTTTACTATAAATCCTTTGGCCAGAGATTCTGTCAAAAGGTTTTTGGAAATCTAGGGAAGTTAGCCCAAGGTTGCCAAGAATGGCTTTCTCTTTGCAAAAGCCGTGCTGATTCTTCCTCAGCAAGGCTTATCGTTCAACATTCTTTATCATTCTAACTTTAATCATGCTTTCTACCAATTCTCATGGGACAGACATTAAGATAAGAGGCATCATTTCTGCATCCCTTTTCAAAAAAATAGTGTAGTGCTCAGCTATGTCCTAATCATTCAGTAAAAAACATTATTTTTGTTAGACCAGCAATTTCACATTTGAGTTCTTAAATAAGTCTTGGGCAGACGCGCCGACTCATAAACCTCGAGCCCTGGATTCAAATTCCGCTACTCAGCCATGAAGTTCAGTGAGAGATCCTGGTTACGCCTCATTTGACTTAACCTACCTCACAGGGTTCTTGCAATAATAAAGTGGTAAAGGGAGAAAACCCCAACCCTGTATATGCCCTGAGCTCTTTGCAGGGTGGAATGATAATCTAATAAAAACATATTGAATCAAGGTTCCACACACACACCCCACCAAGCCTCCTCCATTTTTTAAAGACTGCTTACACACCATACATTTAAAGCCCACCCTCCCCCACCCCAATAATCCTGGGAACTGTATATCACATCTCACAGAGCTATGGTTCTTAGCATCCTTAGCCAACTACAGTTCCCAATAATCATGCAGGCCAAAAATATGTGTTAAATGTACAGTAAGAACGCGGCCCAGCTGTATAAATACAAACAGGGTAACCTGCATTTTGCTGTGCCAGCTTGCAAAGATTTGATTAAAATAAAAATGCACACAAAATCCTATTTTCCCCGTCAAAGATTTTATTTCACTGCATTGCGCTCCACACTACACAGAAGCAACTATGAAGTTCCTACCCACCACCCCACACTTTGCCTTTGTCATCTGAAAGGATTTGGCTGTTCTCAGTGCACCCTCTCAAACTCACCCCCCCATCCATGGCATCACAGGGCTGTGGGAATCCCCCTTAGGCCCTGTATTAGTGGGGTGGGGGGGAGCTCACAAGACAGGAATTTTAATAGAGACCATATGCACTCCCATTGGTCAGCACGCTAAATACCCAGAGACCCTGAAAATCTGTCTGGAGATGAAAAGGAAATGGGGGTGGGCACTGGAGGCCGGGAGCTGGTTCCGGACACTGCAAAGGACTCCAGAGTGGGGGGCCATTTCCAAGCAGCTCTGTAACAGCATGCCACCACCCCGCAAATCTTACATCACCCACCCACACAGAGAGTCCTTCCCTCATCAGCTGCCCTCTGGACTGTTATCGCCGTGGGAACATTGAACGGGAATCATTGTTCCAGGCTCTCCCACTTATGATAAGGAAACCGCTGTAAAAATGAGAACCTGGGCGGAGGCGAAGTCAGTCAGGGATCGTATCTAATGCTCACACATTGATATTTCTGGGGCAGGGTGAGGAGAGATAGAGGGTGGAAAGGCAAAACACAAGGCATCCCCCCCAAAATAACCCAAAACGTTTAAAAGTCAATATCGCCATCACATGCCAGCAGCAATTTCAAGGGTACTTAAGAGAAGCAAAGGGCACCCTGATATCAGGATAATGCAGGAGGAAGAATGAGGGGTACCTCAAGATGAGCTCTTCATTTGCTCGAAAGTGGAAGCACACAAAACCCCATTCAGATTGCCCTGTCTAATCCTACAAGCCCCAGTGAAGCCACCCATCTGTATGAACCTGTTGCACCCCTCAGGATATGGCAGTCAGGAGAGCAAGAGACTCTTGAAGTCAAGGTTGTGGGTTCGAATCCCATGTTGGGCAAAAGAATCCTGCATTGCAGGAGTTGGACTAGATTCCTCCCATGGTCCTCTCCAACTCTACAATTCTATGATTCTATTAAACTACAAGGTTGTCTCCAATATGTTACTCCTATTCAGAGTAGACCCACTAAACTCAATCCACATGATTAACTGGGGACCATTAATTTCAATGGCTCTACTCTAAGTAGAATGACTCTCTTCCTCTTTCCTAGCAAACATGGAGATTCCCTCCACAACATAGAGACCTGCCCCCCCCATTTTATCCTCACAATAGCCCTGTGAGGCAGGCTCAGCTGACAAAGAGCAAAGAGAGATTGAGGCAATTGCTACCACTCTCCCCCCAGGGAACTTAACTGACCTGGGAAATTATCCGGTTTTTGAGAGCTGTTTTGAAAGGAAACGGATGGGAAGGGGGAAATTAGGCGCAATTTGCTGCTTGACATTCTGGCCCCGCAGATCTGGGCTGGGATGCTGGGGAATGAGGAGAATTAAGATCGGAACCAGACAGGGGAGGGAAGAAGGGAAAGTATTCCTTGTTTCCCCATGTTGTTTGCAATGTTGGCTGGGCAGTTGAGCTCTCCATCTTCGACCATTCCAGGCAAGAAACAGGATTCCCCTGAGAGAGGATTTGTCCTCACAGCTGTTTGAGAAGCATTTCTGAGGGGAAAGGAGGGGGGGAAGAGGGCCATTGGGGGGTGTCATTTGGCAGACACCTCAGAAACATGTTTCCTCGGGCTGTGCAAATAGTCATTAGATTCACATCCTTGGGTTAAAAAAAAGGCGGGGAGAGAAAGTAGCAAACAATCAGAGTGTGGGGCATAGACGAAATATGGGCAGTTGAGGGTTGCAAAATCCCTTGCTTTCCCTCACCCCCAGATTATATCAAACATGCACACGCATGCACCTCTCTCAAACCAGGCCCACTTGACACCCGTCTTGCCTCCAAAACTGCCTGCCACCCTCCCAGCGCCAATGTGGCCTGGCACAGGATGCCACAAATCACTAGGCCCACATACCCCACCCCACATGCTCTATGAATTGGTCACATTTTAGAAGAGATCTTCTGGGCGGGGGGCAGAGACTGGATGAGATTGTGGGTGTTTGCAGGAATTTTTCCAGCAAGGAGGAGTAAAACGCTGAAAGCAGGAAGCAGGCTGATTCCTCAGCCGAAAATGAAAATATTGTCTGTATATTTTGCCTCGTATCTCAGGTTCTGCCAATGCTAAAAACCTGACTCTTTGGTAAAAAGAAAAGAAAACTGAGACTATGGTTCCTCACCAGGAGGGAACTTCACCCTTCCCCACCCCAGAGTGAACACCCACAGATAAGACACAAAACTGTGAGCGTGTTTACACACAAACCACAAACCAGTGTCAGAGATTTCTTGTCAACACCAAACTTTCGCCCAGTTTTCCTCTAACAGAAGGAGATAGACTGCCCCATCCATGCTGACCCTCCCCATAGTATTCTGACACAGGAGTCTGGGGTGTGTATACAAAACACACACACATGTGCACAAAGAGAAAATATCACTTTGCGTGTACTGGAGCTTCCCTTAGCATTTTTCCTTAACAGTTTCAATCAGGACAAGTCCTGAATTCCTTCCCTTAAGTCCTGAATCTTCTCTACTAAGGGGTGATTGCCTGCCCCCCACTATCTCCCCCCCCCACAAAAATCCCCTTTGATCAATGAGAGGGGCCCAGGCCCATTGATCTAGCTTGTATGTCTTTTTTTTCTTGCCTAAGGCTCTGGGCTTCCTTTTTTGGGGTTGGATAGAGCAAAAGGAAGGAAGGCCAAGAGGGCTGTTGCCATAGTGCTTAGATTGTGAAACCCCCAGCAGGGCCGAAGGAGGGAAAGTAAGGGGGGGGCAGAAGTCAGAAGCAGCTTGTTCCTGCCCCCCAGTAACCAAGGCCCCAAGGGAATGGAGGAAATAATCAAGGCTTTCTTATTTCTGCCCCAAAATCACTGGGCCCCAATGAAGCTGTAAACACCCATTCCCCATTCAGGCTGATCTGCCAAATCCATCCCCACAATTCAAATGCCACCCATCTACTCATTCTAGGTTCCACTTATAATATTTATTGGTTTTTAACCTCACTCTTCCACCAAGGGCCTCAGGCCTCTACCTCCCTTCCAGTTCTTCCAAAGCAACTACACTCTATTCCGAACTTAAAAATGGAAAGTGTAATGCTGGTGGTCAACAAAAGAGGTTCAAAGACTGTCTCAAGGCAAATCTTTTAAAATGTAGTATAAACACCAACAATTGGGAAACCCTTGCCTACGAGCGCTCCAGTGGAAAACAGCCTTTACCAAAGGTGTCATGGGCTTTGAAGACACTCGAACTCAGGACGCAAGGGAGAAACGTGCTAAGAGGAAGGTACGCTTGGCAAATCCACACTGTGATCAACTCCTGCCTGGAAACCAATGTCTCCACTGTGGAAGGACGTGTGGATCCAGAATTGGCCTCCACAGTCACTTACATTGTTAAAACCGTGTTTATGGAAGACAATCTTACTGGCTACGAGTGATCGCCAAAGAAGAAGAAGATGATAAACTCTCCCCACACCCGACACCATCTGCCCATCTCCAAGACAGACCCAAACTCATAAAGCTTCAGAGACTGCCTTTGCTTCAATTTTGGGTCTAAGTGGCTCAGTGGGGCAGGCCTGTATGCATCTGCCGCAAGAATGCACCCCACTGAGAGCACCCCATGAGCATACACACACTCCAAAGGTTTGGCCAGTCCCCTTGCAGGCAGATTCCCCTATAGAGAACACCCCTGTCCCATAGAGAACCCCTGTGAATGGCAGTACAGTACGCAATCTCTTTTTTATAATAAAAAACACTTCATGTTCATAAAATGTACACACACCAAAATCAACATTCAGGGCACATGGGAGTATAAATGCACCGGAAACTAAATGGGGGCGGGTGGGCTGGGGGAGAGACAGGGATAGGGGGCTGGCAGTCAACAGAGGGTCCAACAAAGCCTTGCTCTTTTTATAAACACTGAGAAAAAGTTGGAAATGTTGGGGGGGGGAGCGGAAATGCTTCTTGTCTCCCTAGATACCACCCAGCGCATTGCACATTTAAAGAAAAAAATCCTTCCGGCGCAAAGAAGGCAAAAAGATATCTCGATTTGAAGACTTAGGGAGGTTAAAGTTCCTGAAAAAGCGAAAAAAGGCAAGGAGGGGTCTGTCTCCAGAAAGAGTCAGGCTAACAGGAGAAAAAGAGAGAAAGCAGGAAGAGTGGGAGGGCAAAGGCATCAACTCCACCCGGTGCCTTGACAGCTCAGGGCAAAGGAGCCTTGGAGAGGTCACGCTTGGGGGCAAGGGGGACAGGAAAGCGAGACAGGGGAGGGTCAGGCTGAAGTTTGAAAGTGGAAGTTGGAGGACTGTGTTGGAGATATGCTATAAGGGGGCTTCAAGGAGAGGAAAAGGCAGCTGGGGGGCCCACTGAGAAGGTCTTTTCCAAGGAAAAGTGGTTCTACTAAAGGAAGAGATAGGGTGAGGTGAAACAAACAAGTCAGAGGGGACCCCCGTGTTTTCTCCAACCCCTTCCCAGGTTGTTGCTCTGCTGTGAATTGTGGGTATACATGTGTCAAGAAATAGAAGCCAAAAAGAAATAAATAGCAGAATTAGGGACTGGGAAGGGGGCTTCCCAAGACTGATGGAGAAAAGAAATACTCTTTCAAGGAAGTGGGGGGGGGTCCCCACTTAATACAGAGACCTTTTTTCTCTCCTTTGGGAAGGGGCGTCCCTATGCAAACCATGGGGGAGCTGCAGATAAGTGAAAAGAGGGGGGAGATTTGTTTCTGCAACAAAGTTTGCATGAAACCGCCAAAAAAATAAATGAATAAAATAAAACTCAAATGTAAAGAATTGGGGAGTTTGCAAAGGAATGGAATTTAGGAGTGTCATGGTAGATAAGGGGGGAAGGAGGCGGAGAGTAATGTAGAGAGGGAGTCAAAAAGGAGGTCTAAAGTGTAGGAGGACAGAGGAATAATATATTTCTCTCTACAAGAAGGGAACCCCCAGTAAATAAAACAGTGGGGTGTAAAGATACAGATAGGGGACAAGATTGCTTCCCAGAAAGGATCTACCACCCCACAAAAAAACCCCAGAGGCAGCAGCAGAATAAGAGAAGGGGGAAAGCAGGGGAAATGGGCAAACTACCAAATCTTTACTTTTGGAAGTCTGAGGGTTCCCCCCAAAGTAAACCAATGGGGTACACGGGCATGGAAACAGACTGTTGAGCAGAAAAGACCGACAATCTGAAGCGAGGGGATAAGTGAGGGAACGGGGGTTTCTGGTGGCCCACGCACTCCCCCCCACCACTGAAAAGGGGGACCTCTCTTAAGATCAAAGCAAGCCTGCAGAAGGGAGGGTGGCTATTTTGCAAGAAAAGTTTGCAAGGCAAGGAAGGGGGAGATGTGGGCTCGTCCCGCCCTCCGAGACTCACCTCGTCCCATTTGATGAACTTGCTGCCTTTCATCAGGGTCTCCGGGACCTTCAGGGGCTCCAGCTGGAGCGCGTGGACCTCCGGGCGCGCCCCGGCCATGGCTGCGGCGCTCCTGGCCCGGGACCCCCGCTGCCCGCGCGGAACCGCCGCCGCTGCCTCTCCCTGGGCGGGGACTGCGCGCAGGGGTGGGACCGGCCCGGGAGAAGGCGCTTAAAGAGACCGCCCGGTTCCTTCTTGGAGGGAAGCGGAGGAAGGAGGAGCTGCGTGGTAGGGCTGGGGGCGAGGACTCCGGCGCGCATTGCTCCGAGCGCGCGTAAGCCCCGCGGGGATGGTGGCGAGGGCTTACTTCTGGAGAAACCTGCCCGGGAAAGTAGGCCGTGCGGTGCAGTGGTTAGAGAAGCTCCAGATGTTGTGAAGACTCCAACTCCCATCATCCCTGGCCAGTGTCCATGCTGGCAGGGGGCTGATGGGAGTTGGAGTCCCAACAACATTAACTTAAGGTCTGTGTATGTGGTTTGGGAGCTGCACGGTCAGGGGGAAAACAACGCTGTCCAAGGTTGTAAAGACTGCGGAGAGAATAATTGGGTGCACTCTTCCAACCTTGGATCAAATCTATGCTTCCAGGTGCCATAAGAAAGCTGCAGAGATAGTGCAGGATAGTGTGCACCCCAGAAATGATCTCTTTCAGCTTCTGCCTTCTGGAAGAAGGTACAGGGTTATAAAGACTCGGACTAGCCGCCTGAGAAACAGTTTCTATTCAAATGTGATTTTGGTTTTAAACGCAGTGGAAGGTAGTCTCTAGGGCGCTGTGGGTTAAACCACAGAGCCTAGGTGGTTCAAATCCCCGTGACGGAGTGAGCTCCCATTGCTCGGTCCCTGCTCCTGCCAACCTAGCAATTCGAAAGCACGTCAAAGTGCAAGTAGATAAATAGGTACCGCTCCGGCGGGAAGGTAAACAGCGTTTCCGTGCGCTGCTCTGGTTCGCCAGAAGCGGCTTAGTCATGCTGGCCACATGACCCGGAAGCTGTACGCCGGCTCCCTCGGCCAATAAAGCGAGATAAGCGCCGCAACCCCAGAGTCGGCCACGACTGGACCTAATGGTCAGGGGTCCCTTTACCGTTACCTTTAAGGTAGTCTCTGTGTGAGTATATTGTATTCAATTATGGGGTATCAGAGTTTTTAGGGGCTAACCAGGCTGGGATAGTTGGCTTGTTGGTTTTTGAATGTCTGATGTAGATTTTTCGATTTCGTTGTTCTGTATGGGACAATGACAATAAAAATTATCGTATCGTAAGGGAGCCCGCCCGCTCCCCCACTTCTGGGTTTAGGGTGTCGGATTCAGATCGGGGGAGACCCGGGTTCAGTTTGTGCATCCTGCCAGCCAAAAACAGGAGAGGAGAGTGTCCCCACAGGCACCTAGATGGCCGTTGTGAAAACAGGAAGCTGGACTAGATGAGCCATTGGCCTGATCCAGCAGGTTCATTTTCTCTTCTCATGTTGTTACGTTGAGGCCAAACAGCTTCTTCTGGAAAGCTCACATTTTTTTCCACCTAGCAGCAAATTGGTCCTCTGAGGTAGACTGCTCCTATGGCTGGAGGCTCTACTTAGCTTCCACCGCTAATGGCAGACCATTTCTCTCCATCCTATGATCAGTTCACTGTGGAAGTGTGGACCTGGGAGAGACCAGGGTTCAAATCCCCACTTGGCCATAAAGCACACTGGATGGGCATGGGGACAGTCGCTGCCCAGGGTTGTTGTGTGGGGATTAAATGAGGAGGGGGAGAAGCATGCAAGCCACCTTGAGCTCCTTGGAGAAAAGACGACAGGATATTAATCCAATTTATTATTATTATTATTATTATTACTATCACTTTTGCTCTCAGCCAAGCCTACCTCATAGGGTTGTTGGGAGGATAAAATCCACACATGTATTTTGAGAACACTGAAATTCCATCTACGGCCATGCTGCCAAAACAGTAGATACTTAATCCATCAACCACTTTTCAGGATTTCTGCAATCCCAGGACTGAGACCACCTGCAAAGGTGGTTGTAAAGGTTGCAGAAGAAATTGGGGAAAGTCTTGCACCCATTTTATAGATTATGGGAGAGGGAGAGTCCTGGGGTGGCAATTATTATGCTGCCAGATGTTGGGTGGTGGTAGTCAAGGAACAGTAAATGCGGAAAGTGCTTTAAGGCACTGAGGCTGGCTGTATATACATTTAAATCACACCCTCAAGAAAAGAAAAAAAAGGATACGGTACTAGTTTGTTCAGAGAAACTTCCTCAGTGATACACCTTTGTCCCCATCTGCACTATTTCAAGCCGTTTCATTGCACTTCTCTCGCCAAATCTGGGAACTGTAGTTTGTTAAGGGTGCTGGGAGTTGTTAAGAGAGAGCCCCATTCCCCTCACAGAGCTACAATTCCCAAAGTTCCCTGGGAAGAAGGATTATTGAGTATTAAACCACTCTGGGAATTGTAACCCATTCAGGGGAAATAGTGATGTATGGAAGTGAGAGCTGGACCATAAAGAAGGCTGATCACCGAAGAATTGATGCTTTTGAATTATGGTGCTGGAGGAGACTCTTGAGAGTCCCATGGACTGCAAGAAGATCAAACCTCTCCATTCTTAAGGAAATCAGCCCTGAGTGCTCACTGGAAGGACAGATCCTGAAGCTGAGGCTCCAGTACTTTGGCCACTTCATGAGAAGAGAAGACTCCCTGGAAAAGACCCTGATGTTGGGAAAGATGGAGGGCACAGGGAGAAGAGGACGACAGAGGACGAGATGGTTGGACAGTGTTCTCAAAGCTACCAATATGAGTCTGACCAAACTGCGGGAGGCAGTGGAAGACAGGAGTGCCTGGCGTGCTCTGGTCCATGGGGTCACAAAGAGGCGGACACGACTAAATGACTAAACAACAACAATAATTCTCAGCACCCTTAATGAACTACAATTCCCAGAATTCTCTGGGGGGAGCCATGACTGTTTAAAGTGCAATGAAACTGCTTGAAATAGTGCAGGCGGGGCCATTATTGCTGTTCAGAAGGGCTATAGTACCAACAAACAAACAAAAGTGGGAGAAAAATATGCCAGAACTTTTGTGGTGTAAAACATTCCTGAATTTCAGCAGGATATGCACTGCTTGGAAGGGAAGTGGTGTGGGGGACCCTCCCCCCCCCAAAAAAAGCACCTTTGCAGGTACAAACGGTATTGAACGTGGGAACCTGTGTGACTGCTCTGAACGCGAATCATCGTGAGAGTGAAATAAAAAAGAAGTCTGGAGGGGTCCTCAGTGTATGTTGTGTACATAGGCACAGATGTCAGCAAACTGAGGGGCTTGCTTGTTAAAGAGGGCAGCATGCCATGCAAGCCTGAGCAAAATGAAATCTAAGTGCAAGCTGCTTTTGAGATTTAAGGTTGTGGGCCCTTTAAGGAGGCAGAAGAGTGCTGTGGCACTGGGTCATAAACATCATTAAATGTCGCTCATTGCTGATCTTAGAGTGGGATGGGAATTTCCCCAGCTTACAGCTCCTAGCCTGAGTCACTCACAACAACTACGCCATCTCCAGGGAAGAAAGGCCCAACTAGGAAAGGGAAGTTATGGCCTTTGATATCTGGGTTGCGGTCCTGGCCTTCTCCTGCTCTCCTTTTCCACAGATGTGATGTTCAAAATGCTGAACAAGGTTGCGTACACACCATAAAGCACATTATAAAGCACATCCCCCCCCCTCCAAGAATCCTGGGAATTGTAGTTTGTCAACGGTTCTGGGAATTGTTACTTTGTGAGGAGCAAACTATAGTTCCCATGATTCTTCAGGGTTAAATCATAGAATTGTAGAGCTGGAAGGAGTCACAATGGTCATCTAGTCCAACCCCCTGCAATACAGGAATCTTTCACCCAACGTGGCACTCGAACCCACAACCCTGGGATTAAGAGTCTCAAGATCTACTGACTAAGCTATCCAGCCATACTCTTTCAAGGTACAACCATCTCCCTAGTCCAAAATGCAGGCCACTACACCAGACAGTCTCCATGGCCTGCGGTTGCATACTCACCATACACTGAAAGCACATATTTCCCCACAAAGAATACTAGGAACTATAGTTTACCCCTCACGGTGCTACAGTTCCCAGCAAACTTAACAAACCGTGGTTCCCAGGATTCTTGTGGGGAAGGGGGGAAGCCATGTGCTTTTAAAATTATGGTGTGTCCACAGCCCAAGGCATCAGCTCTCAAGCTAGAACTGTCTTTGCAGGGCCGCTGTGGGAAAGGAGGACGTCACCAGCTGTAATTTAGTGGCCAGAAAGGTCATATGTGCACCAGGAAAACCTAGAGAGAATAAAATGCTGTTGTTTTGTTCCAGGCTGGAGGGCTTCCCCTGTACAGAGAGCGATCTCAGCCGCACCCTGCTTTCAAGAAAGTTATTTAACAGGATCATAGCGCTAAGCCAACTTGGCCGTAGTCCACGGAGGAAAGCAGCCTTCGCTTTTGAACTTCCAGGGAGTTGGGAGAGAATGTAAACACAGAGAAAAGGAAGAAAACAGGTCCTGACCCCACAGACGCTCTTCCTCGTCTGCGGAAGGGAAAACTGAATCACAGCCACCAAGTCACAGCGCAGAGGCGATGCTTACATCTGAGCGAACTCTGAGCGTATGTGTTTGCATAATCAGGGTGGGAAAGTTGCATGATAAATTTAAAAACAAGATAAGTCATTATTATTTTGATGTTGCACTGGATAATGCTTCTTCGACTCCCCCCCACCATGGAGATATATATACATACACACACACACACACACATATAATAATAATAATAATAATAATATCTTTATTGTCATTGCCCCCTTCGGGGACAACGAAATTACTTGACTGCTCCATAAAAACACTAATTAATCAATACAGTATAATACAGCAAGGGAGATTAGATGACTTTCAAAGTCCGGGCTTCCCATTCAGGGCCGAGATCGCTCTGGAGAAGAAGCTGTTTTTAAGACGGCTCGTTCTTGTCTTCATCGTCCTGTATCTCCGTCCCGACGGCAAGAGCTCGAAGAGACAGTGACCAGGATGCGATGGATCTTTTACTATGTCCAGTGCCTTCCTATGGCACCTTGTGGCATAAATCTGCTCTAAGGTGGAGAGTGGGCAGCCAACAATGCCCTCTGCTGCCTTAACAACCCTGCACAACCCCATCCTGTCCTGGGTAGTACAGCTTCCGTACCACACACATAAGCCATAAGTGAGCACGCTCTCAATGGCACAGTGATAGAAGGCAAGCAGCAGTTTCTGCGGAAGATGGTTTTTCCTTAGTATTCTCAAAAATACATATATATATGTATGTGTGTGTGTATATATATATATATATATATATATATATATATATATATGGGCCAGACAAAAGCACATTGGCTTCCTTGTGTCACCTGACATCCGCTGAGTGTGGAAGCTGCAGTACCTCCTTCCAGCCAGCTGTATTGGTGGCACCCAAGCGCAAGAAAGAGAACAAGCCAGTGGCTCCCTCTACTGGTGAACTGCCATGGCAGCACAGGCTTAGATCAGGCTTGGTCTCTGGTTCGAGACCCAAACCCTCTACGTCACCAAGGAATGCGTGGCTGCTTACAACACAGTAGCAAATACAGTGGTACCTTGGTTCTCAAACATAATCCGTTCCAGAAGTCCATTCGACTTCTGAAACGTTCAAAAACCAAGGCGCGGCTTCCGATTGGTGCAGGCGCCCCGGAAACCATAGCCGACAGCCGCATCGGACGTTCAGCTTCTGAAAAACGTTCAAAAACTGGAACACTTACTTCCAGGGTTTCGGCGTTCAGGAGCTGAAATGTTTGTGTACCAAGGCATGCAAGAATCAAGGTTCCATTATAATACAATAATTCATGTTTCCAAATTATCAAAAGCGTTCTCCTTGACTGTAACAAAGCCTTGGCACATGTATATAAATGCCTGCTAAATGCCTTTAGACATGTAATGAATTATTTTAGCAGCCTAAAAGTGCATTATTGGGGCTGTCACATAAATGTGAAACTCACACCTGTCACCTGCAGGAGGTATAATAAAAATAAGAATAATGTAATTATTTGTACTCCACCCATCTGACTGGGTTGCCCCAACCACTCTGGACGGCTCCCAACAGATATAAAAAGATATTAAGCATCAAACATTTAAAACTTCCATATATGGGGGTTCAAGTCCCCTCGCTTCTGAGTGCAACAAAGCCACTTTTTAAAAGAATTTTTGCAGTTAGGAAAGTGATGAGAAAATGCATAGAAAAACGTTGGATGAACAAATGATGAGTGGGAAGCATATCAGGATTGACGTTCAGTAAAGATAATGCTTGGTCCGACCTCCACATAAGCATCCTACAAGCAAATCAGGATGAAAGCTCAATAAACGGGTGCCCAGATGAGCCCTGCGACCCTCCAGACATTTCTGGACTACAAATCCCATCATCCCTGACCATTGGCTGTGCTAGCTGGGGCTGGTGGGAGCTGGAGTCCCAACAAAATCTGGAAGGCTATCAGTTCCCAACTCGAGGGCTAAATTGCGCATTCTGGTTCAAATGATGTCTCTCTTCAGCTCTCAGTTGCCCATCAACAACACGCAGACCTTCCCACAAATAGCACGGGGGTCAAAAGGTGCTTTAGAGTCATGTAGGGCGGCAGAGAAGCTGTATATATAGACCCCAGGATGAGTTACACACAGACACACACATCATTCCTTTTTTTAATACAAACAATTTCTTTACTCCCACGATGGTTCTAGGGGCAATAATTTTAGCGTTCGGCTCCTTTTATGGCGAAAAGCTCTCTTCCAATCCCCAACCTCGTTTATTAACGGGGAGTTTATTTTAGTCTTGACAAGATGGCAACGTTTACTCCCGCAACGCCTAGTTCATCTTCCTCCGTTTGACACTTTCTGTGCAAGAGGGGCTGGATGCCGAATCCAATTCCATCGACTAGACACACGCACCCCAGGGCCACGATCCACAGGAGACGGTCTTCAGGGGGAAAACCTCGAATAAATAAGCAGAGGATTCTGGCGGTGCACTATCTGAAGAATTTCATCAGGGATCTTCAGCTGTCCAAGCCAAATAAATAGAGAAATAAAAATAATAATACCGCCGTCATTCAGTGAAGTTTGATTCATTCGCTTAAAACAATGAATCATGTCAGATTACAAGGCTGAATGTAAACATCTGACCAGAGGCAGCGCCCAAAGGAGACATGTTTGACTGTCTGCCAAGGTCCCACACCTAGGAACAGGAAGAGAAATTTGATTCGGTTCATATCGAAAGGCAAACGTACCTGATTTGCACTTTACAAAACAATACGAGAACAGAAACACAGCCATCCCTCGAAATTTGCACTTCTCTGAATTTCACAACACAGATCTGGACAAGTAATGTGTACAAAATTCACATACTAAAGTGTGCATGTAAATGCATATATTTGTGAAAATAACATACGAACATTGTATTGCATTAGGCAAAATTGCATATAAAAAAAGTGTATATTAAGAGGAAAGTGCCTTCAAATGTTGATGAATCTTCATGAGGACTTAAAAAAATATGTATCCCAAACTGAACTTTAGACTGGAAAAGGGAGAAACTGAGAAGAACCAAAATGGATATATTTGCCCATCCCTACTTAAACCCAATTTAGAAACTTCCCTATACAGGGCTGCCTTCAGATGGCTCAGGGGTTGGAGAACTCCACAACCTTCAACATTTCTCAGACAAAAATAGGGACATCCTACCATACCCTCCAACATTTCACCAATGAAATCAGGGACGCCCTAAGGAAAAGTGGGATGTTTTCGGATCAAATCAGAAACCAGGACAGCTTCTGTGAATCCAGGACTGTCTCTGGAAAATAGGGTCTGGCAGGGTCAGTGGTGGCTGGCCGAGTAGGGTAAATGGGGCCTTGCCCCACCAACCTCTGCCTGCCCTCTCAGCCCCCCTGGGCTGCCTCCTTACTTACAATCAGTACGGTGGTAGAGTTGGCTGCCAGTTTCCTCCACCTGCATCTCATTGTTGCCCCTTGTAGAACTTATCAGAGAGGAGGAGGAGGAGGATGGGGACAAAACTAGACTGACCGTCTCTGCCTGCCATTGCCTCTGGCTCCATCTACTGGCGGCTCCCTGTCTTCTGCCCTCCTTGACCTAATGGGTACCAGCCACCCCTGGTTGGGGGCATGGCTGGGGAAGGGGTCTGGCCTAAGGAGAGGGCCAAACAGAGAGCAGGTGGCGTCAGGTCGTCCACCACTGATGTACTATAAAATCTAAATAATAAAACACAAGAGCAAGAATTGCAAAAATCAAATGAAACGATCTGTTAGAAGGCGACATTACACTGGCTGTATTTCTGTTTATTTTCTATGCTTCAGATGCAAATCCTGGGCTGTATCTAACTTAACTTGCACTCTGAGTAGACCCAATGGAAATAATGAACCTAAGCCATGCCTATTAACTTCAGCAGGCCTACTCTGTGTAGCTCTAGCATTGGCTACAACCCCTTATATTTAACCTGATCAGATTGGAGAGAATAAATGTTTTGCCTCGTGGCTCATAATCTGATATCCTAAAATCAGGCAGACCAGGCAAAAATCTAGTTGGGGTCTGATACTTAAGATATAGAACGGTATACTATTTACAAATTATTATTGTAACTATAAGTAGCATGGATATCACTACAAACATATGCAATATACCCAACAATGATAGGGTCTGAATTTATTTTTTCTTGTACTCCCCTTTTCATAGAATTGTAGAGTTGGAAGAGACCTTGAGGGTCATATGGTTTAGTCCAGGGGTCAGCAAACTTTTTCAGCAGGGGTCAATCCGCTGTCCCTCAGACATTGTTGGGGGCCTGACTATATTTGAAAAAAAATAATGAACCAATTCCTATGCCCCACAAATAACCCAGAGATGCATTTTAAATAAAAGCACACATTCTACTCATGTAAAAACACGCTGATTCCTGGATCGTCCGCGGGCCGGATTTAGAAAGCGATTGGGCCTGATCCGGCCCCCGGACCTTAGTTTGCCTACCCATGGTCTAGTCCAAACCCCTGCAATGGGGGGATTCAAAGATACAGAAATCCCAGAAGATGGTCATCTAACCTATTTCAAAGCTTCCAAGGAAGGAGCGTCTACCCCCTTCCAAGATAGTCTGCTCCACTGTCAAACAGCTCCTAACTGCCAGATATTTCTTCCTAATGTTTAGTCAGAATCTCCTTTCTTGCCATTTGAATCTCTTGGTTTCAGTCCTACCCTCTGGAGCAGCAGAAAACAAGCATGCTCTGCCTTCCGTGAGACAGATATTTGAAGATGGCTCTCATATCACCTCTAAGCCTCCTCTTCTCTAGGCTTAGTGCCACTTAATGGTGTTTTTTTACTGTTTTATAACTTTAGCATGGTGGGACACGGGTGGCGCTGTGGGTTAAACCACAGGGCCTAGGACTTGCCGATCAGAAGGTCGGCGGTTTGAATCCCCGCAACAGGGTGAGCTCCCGTTGCTCAGTCCCTGCTCCTGCCAACCTAGCAGTTCGAAAGCACATCAAAGTGCAAATAGATAAATAGGTCCCACTCCGGCGGGAAGGTAAACGGCGTTTCCGTGCGCTGCTCTGGTTCGCCAGAAGCGGCTTCGTCATGCTGGCCACATGACCCGGAAGCTGTATGCCGGCTCCCTCGGCCAAGAAAGCAAGATGAGCGCCGCAACCCCAGAGTCGGCCACAACTGGACCTAATGGTCAGGGGTCCCTTTACCTTTTTAACTTTAGCATAGCTGTCAACTTTTCCCTTTTCTTGTGAGGAATCCTATTCGGAATAATGGAATTTCCCTTTAAAAAGGGGGAAAGTTGACAGCTAGTGAGTATATAATTAAAATTCTATTTTAAAGGGGGGGGATCTAGCTTGAATAACTATACAGAGGGCAGTGCAGCAAATATTGAACAAACTTCTCTTTGTCCATTAACACAAAAATGTGCTGACCCCAAAGGTACCTTAGCAAAACCTCCCAGTAGTTCCATGTCCAGACCTAGGACCTCTACACATCCTTTGCAAGGAAAGCTTTAAGAGGCGATCACAGAAATGCTTTAAAAGGAGACAATGAACTGCGCTTAGAATATGTGAATTTTTTAAATTACTGTTATTATTTTAGAACCGACATGGACTGAGCTGCACAGGGGAAGAGATCACTGAACTTGGGCTCTGACATACCATGCATTACCATAGGGTTGTGGAAAGAAACCCTGGAGAAAGCAAGATAAAGGCCAAACTGAATGTGCCGTTTTTGGAGTCTTGCTTCAACACCTGTGGATATCTGTTGTCCTGGGGAGACCTTGCCATCTAGTGGCAGGTGTGGAGAGCTGCAGGCAAAAAGCCCGTTGAAGCAATTTTCTCCTCTCCAAGCCAAATTACGAGAATGAAGGAAGGACGACTTGAGGGAAGGAAAAAGGAGAAGTGGGCGTTGCATTTTTAAATGGGCATTTCTGTGCAACTATAGAAAAGCAAGGAATTTGATACCGGATGCAGAATTCAATACACACATACCCAAATTCCACCTTTGGTTTTTTGTTTTAAGTTTCTAGACCTTATGTTCGTCAAGATTTACCTGAACGAAAGTGCCCTGGGAACATGACTGGAGAGTAGTGCAAAAAGACATAAGAAAATACTTGTGGACAATGTTAGGTAAAATTTCTGCTTGGGGTTGATGAACTCTACAATATGTTGAACTCAATTCGCGCGCCCCCCCCCCCCAATATTTTTTCTTGTTTTTCATTGCTGAATGGATGTTTGCTGTGTAAGCCTGTATAGATCCATAAAGGTCCATTTGCTGGATTTGCATAAGGGATGCAGGCCAGAGACTAGGCCTAATGATTAGAGATAGACAGATATTGACAGATAGCACAGAACACAACAGTGCCCACTAGAGGTTAACTATTGTATTACTTCTCTGAGTCACATCGTAGCTGTCTTGCCCCATCAATCATCGTCATAGCCAGGGTTCTCTGCGTGAACTAATGATTAACAGGGAGATGTATAAATAAATCAGAAGATGTACGCTCAAGATTCAGGTCAAACAAAACGAAGGACTTCTTCAAAGAGCACCTACAGTAGTTAAGCTGTGAAGTTTGCTCCACCAAGAGGAATACGAGTATGGATACCTTTAAAAGGGGGGTTGACAAATTCATGGCCGATCAAGCTGACAGGGGCCACCGGCTGGGATGGCTCCATTCTGCATCCATTGCTTCTGAATATCGATTGCTAGGAATCACAAGCAAGGAAAGTTGCTGTCGCTCTCAGGTCCAAGGAGCTCAGGGTGGTGTATGTGGGTCTCCCCTTTCTCATTTATTCCCCACAACAAATCTGTGAGGTAGGTTAGGTTGATTTGAGGGGCATTCGATAACTTTTTTTTTTATCTGCCGCCAGACCAAAATATGAGAGACTCCTCATTTAGAGCTGTGAATTAAAGTAAATAAGAGATCTGATAAAAGTGTGGCTTTGTTTGCTCTTAGTTAACTGATACAGATTTTCTCCTATTAGAGAGTTTTAGAGTTTTAACAAATATTGATCGAAATATATCGGTTTTGATGATGGCCTGAGATTAGGAACGCCTCCTCTCAGAACAGCTGATTATGTCACCAAACTACTCACGCTTTGGGGTGGGGTGGGGCAGCTTTATTTTCTTTTTGAGTGTCATCATCATCATGCTATTGCTAACCTAGGGACCTCAAATGCTGGACTCTGGACGTCTCTGGACTCTGAACCCCTGGCTGTACGAGGGGGAAAGGAACCTCCTGCCATCCAGAGGCTGCAGCCCTTTATAGGGAACCTTCTGGTCACCTGTCAGTGGTGGGCGGGGCCAAATGCAAAAGTGGGTGGGGCAGCAGACATGAGTCTTACCTTTGTACTGTAGGCCACTCACCGCCACAACACCCCACCCCAGAAAACAGGCTCCTCATCCTAATGAAGCCCTTACGACATGGGTAGGCAAACTAAGGCCCGGGGGCCAAATCCGGCCCAATCACCTTCTAAATCTGGCCCGCAGACGGTCCAGGCATCAGCGTGTTTTTACATGAGTAGAATGTGTCCTTTTATTTAAAATGCATCTCAGGGTTATTTGTGGGGCATAGGAATTCATTCATTCCCCCCCAAAAAAAAATATAGTCCGCCCCCCCCCACAAGGTCTAAGGGACAACGGACTGGCCCCCTGCCGAAAAAGTTTGCTGACCCCTACCTTAAGACAATCCCAATGGAACTTAAACAAACAAAAGAGGTCTGCAAAGTGAACTGTGGGTTTTCTGAGTGGGTCTCCTTTGTCCTCCCCCCACCAAAGAAACCTTCTTCATAATGGCGACTAATGTTAATTAGTTCATGGTTAGGCCTCCTGGCAAGCAAATAAGGAATTTGTTCTTTTGTTCTGCCAGAAGAGAAGAAGAAGAGGAGGAGTTTGGATTTGATATCCCACTTTATCACTACGCGAAGTAGTCTCAAAGCGGCTAACATTCTCCTTTCCCTTCCTCCCCCACAACAAACACTCTGTGAGGTGAGTGGGGCTGACAGACTTCAGGGAAGTGTGACTGGCCCAAGGTCACCCAGCAGCTGCATGTGGAGGAGCTGAGTCGCGAACCCGGTTCACCAGATTACGAGTCCACCGCTCTTAACCACTACACCACAATGTGCTGCCCCCACAATGTGCTGCCCCCAAAAAGAGTTTGCCCCCACCCTCCTGTCCTACAGATGCTGAGTTGCCTCTATAAAGTCTCCCCACAAGGTGACTAATTCCGGAGTGTTAGTAGAGTGCTTGTTATGGGAGGGGGAATAAAGAAAAAGAAAGGAGTGCAAGCATCTCATAGCTCACTCGGTAGAGTGCGAGACTCTTAATTTCAGGGCCATGGGTTCGAGTCCCATGGGCAAACTGCCTTGCAAAGGGTTGGACTAGATGACGCCCGTGGTCCCATCCAACTCTACAATTCCATGATTCTGTGACAGAACATTCGCGGCTTAACTGGTGGCACAAACTGCAGCCCAACAGATGGCTGTGCCCAAATCAACCTCTTTGTCTTTTCCTGTACCACACAGCGCATTTCCCCTTCCAAGCTGGGCAACCTAGAATGCTGCTTCAGACAATTCTGGGTGCCACATCAAATACTAATATTTTTTTAAAATTATATTGTTGAGATGGAGAAGGTGCAGAAAATAGGCAATCAGGATGCTATTGAAACATCTCCCATATTTGCGGGGGTGGGGGCTTATAATTTGTGGATCTCTGAGGGAGCAAGACGGGTAAGGGGAGACACGATTGAAGCGCCGATGTGGTGGAGAAATTGGACTGAGTTTTTCCCTTTTTCTGTCGAGCGGAGGCTGGTTTGTTTGGCAAATGGGGCACTGCCCCACCAACCTCAGCCTGCCCTCAGCCAGCCCCACCTGCTTTCCTTCTTTCATGCGACCAGTCCAGGAAAGTGGCCCCACCTGCCTCAGTCTCAGTGTTGCCCCTTGTAGAATTCAGCAAGAAGACGGAGGATGGGGACAAATGCAGCATCAGCTCTGCCTGCCATTGTCTCTGGCGCCACCTACTGTTGGGCTCCATGCTGACCGCCCCATCAGACCCAATGGGCACCAGCCACCACTTTCTGTATTTCATCCAGTGGAGCTGAAAGGAGCCAATTCACTGCAGGCAAGAGGAAAGACTCGCTCCGGCACAGCACATTGTTAACCCTGCCAGCCATCAGTTTAGGGGGCTTTAAAAGGGGATTAGACAAATTCACAGAGGATAAGGAACAATGGCTGCTAATCATGACGGCTATATTACCTCCAGGATCAGAGGGGGGCCGAGCCTTTGAATTACGAGTTGCTGGGAATCACAAGCAAGAGAGGGTTAAGGCACCCATGTTCTGCTTGCATAGAAACAGAACTGTAGAGTTGGAAGGGACCCCGAGGGTCATCTAGTCCAACCCCCTGCAATACAGGAATCTCAGCTAAAGCATCCACGACAGATGACCATCCAACCTCTGCTTAAAAACCTCCAAGGAAGGCAGGCCACAGATGCTGATGTTTTCAAAACGCAACCTCTCGTTCTGGAGAAGATTTAGGTTCCAAGGAAGGAAGCCACACGGGTCACACTGAGGATCAGCCTGCAGAGGAAATGGGGAGCAATTGTCAAATGTGCAGAAATGTAATTTGAATTTGCATCCAGGAGCACATAATGCAAAATGGCCTCAGTTTCCCTGGGTCCTAGGTTCTTCAATTTAAAAGATCTCGAAAAGCAAGTGGTGGGGGCAGGAATCTCTGCCCAAAATGCCAAAGAGCTGCTGCCAATCTCTCCTATACTAGCCAACGATCTGACTCAAACTTCCTATGTTCAGAAGTGTGCCTTGCAGCTGCTGCTCCTGCTGCTGCTTCCCCCAACTCTGGCAGGAAGTGGCTGAATTAAGCTTCTGTTGGGGCCCAAACCACGTGGTCCAACTCCCCCCCCCCCGCCAAGAGTCTTGTATCTTAAAGCCACAGAGGTCTTTTTTAAAAAAAATGGCATTCGATCACACGGTATAAGCTTGTTTCCAGTCTCCTGCTTAGGCAATGCTGGGACCTTGAGATTAAAACTCAGATCCAGCACTTGCCGAGAGTCTGCCTTTCATTTGTGCATTTCACTGTGCAGAGAGGAGAAAGCCCTGTGGGGTGTTGGTAACAGAGATTATGCCCTTCCAAATCCCAGTTTCTCCCAATCCACTGTGAGCGAGGTCTCTGATTTTTTATTTATTAAAAAAGCTACAAAGAAACCAACCAACCGTCTCTTATTCCAGGATAATAGCCTGTTGGATATCTGCCTGATGTGATGCAGTGAAAAGCATGCTGTGTTTTTTGCAGTTAGTGTTTTTATGTTGTAAACGCCCTGAGACCTGCGGGGATAGGGCAGTACATATACATAATTAATTAATTAATTAATTAATTGGATTATAGGCGCCCCTGCAGAACAAAAAAGGGGCATCTTTCTCAAGAATAAATGCAGATATAGTTAAGATAAGCAATTGTTGCTTTGGGGCATTGCTCTAATCTTCATTTTTAAACCACAATCTGCTTAGAGTTGAAATCTGAGTACCTTGTTAGCTGATAGTGAAGGGGATTAAGGGAAGTTTATCCGGAGTCAATAATCAGGATTAAAAACAATACCATGATGTGTATCCAAACCAAGGCAAAGGGTGACAACATCCTAAACACAACAAAACCCCTCCCCAGAACCAGATGAATCACAGTACTGGAAGAGCCAGGGTTACATGCTGACCCTTCCCCTTTTAAGAAATAAGTATCTCACTTCCTCCTCACCACCCTGGAGTTTTCCAAATTTGGAAATCATATTTAAATCGGACAAACATGCCTGTTGCAGAATGGCAGAAGAAGGATGCAATGAGACTTTGCGATTGGATTGGGGTAGAAGTGGAGTGATGGGGAGGGGTGTTTGTTTGTTTGTTTGTTTGTTTGTTTGCTTTGCAGAAATAGCCCCCCACCCCACTTAACTGGAAAGCTCCACAAGCACTTTAACCAAAGTGGCTTCAGTTTTGTCTGTATACGTCACATATACACAGACAGACAAAATTTGTGTATACATTAGAAAGCATACGTTCTTCCAAAATGTCTGTACACAGACAAAATGATTCAGCACATATCATTATCATCACCAACACACACACACACAATTCATATATATACATGATGTAGTTGATGCAATGAAAAATGTATCCATCTGCCTGAAATGACATCCATATTTGTGCCTATCTGGACTAGCATATTTGTATACATGTATATATTTTATCGAGTGAAATAAGCAAGCATGCGTCTGTGTACAGAGACTCACAGTGCATTTTTGGGCCGTAGTAAACTGAGTTTCATTCACGGTTGTTGAAATTTCATACATACTTTTATCAATATATTGCATCATAAATAATGGCTTGCACCAACTAAGTTCTACTTTGAGTAAACCCATGGAAATCAATGGACGCAAGTGAATCATGCCTCTTCATCTTAATGGGTTTACTCTGAGTAGGACTGACATTGGATACAGACATCGGATCACACGCACTTGCACTTCATTATTCCATTTTTGTTCCAACAGGCTTTTCCAGCTGGCTAAATGAGCCTTTGCCCATGCGTGCCTGTTTTGTATCCTTCTTATTTTGTTTTATTATTATTAACATCTATTTATATGGGTCTGTGCACAATAAAAAAAAGCAATTCCTCTCCAAATCTCATATAATCTAACACCATTTAAACGCATCTGCCTTTCCCCTGTTTCTGTTCTTTATTGTACATCACCTTGAGACAATTGTGTAGAAGGCTATGAATAGATTATTATTAATAATAATAAAAAATCTTTTGATATGTAAGAAAAAATTATGTTTCTGTGTCTAAATCTCTCTCTCTCACACACACACATACAATTTGTGGTTCAGAACTACCCCTGCTGCTATTGATGTCCTGACATTCACGTGGACGCCTTAACAGCATCCATACGATGCCAGTTATAGTCACAAGCATTAACCTAATAAACAAATGAAGCCATTAAACTAAGATTAACCTGATGGAAGCTAATCCACCCGCCCCTCCTCTCTTCCAACAAGGCGCGCGGAGAGATAGAGATCAAAGCGATTGACAAAGCGGAATTTTCAAACCATTGTGGCAAAGCAGACAGAAATTGGTGGATGTGCGTGCGTGTGTGTGTGTGTGACAACCGGGCACACCCTTTTGATAACAGAATAGATTGAGGAGTGGGCGGAGGGGGTGGGGGAGAAAACATGTATCCAGACAGAAGATCTGAAAGGGGGGGGTGCATTGGGGTGGGGCAAACTGGGGGGGATGGATGGATGTGGTATCAAAGAGAGAGGCGGGCGCCCAGCCGGCCAGCCCTGGGGGTGGTCAGGCAGGGCAGCTGGGCAAGCGCTGGCTGGAGAGGGAGAGAGACGTGCTGGCCCTTTAAGGGGGCGGGGTGGGGAGCGGGGTGGGGGAGCGGGGAGACGGAGCCAGCGCAGCAGCAGCAGCAGCAGCAGCAGCGGGACAAAGGGCCGAGGCGAAAGCGGATCGCAACCTGGACTGGACCTGCTTGGCTTAAGGAACTCCTGAAGCGGAGTGAAGCAATCGCGCCCGGAGGGAGGATCGGGTGGGCGGAGGGAGGGAGAGAGTCGAAACCGGTTTCTAGTTTTGCAAACAAAGAGGAGGAGGAGAGAAAGAAAGGCGGAGTTCGGGATTCCGGTTCTGGTTCGGCGCCGAGTTATTGCCCTTGTGTGTAAGAAGAGGCCAGATCCAGATCCCGTCGCACGTGCCGCAAGGAACGAGGAGCAGCGATCCAGCAAACCAAACCAAATAAAGGACCCCCCGCTTCCTTCCCTGGGTTTGGACTGCACGTGGCGCTAGTCCTCTTGAGGCTCGGTTCTGGGCAGACTTCGCATCGAGCTCTCTCTCTCTCTCTCTCTGCCTGCCCCTCCCTCTCGGGTTTTGGTTCAGCCGTGTGGGGTTTGGGTGGGGAAGCCCAATCCGGTGCTGGGGCTACTTCTGCCCTCTGGATCCAACCCGGGGGTCCCCACCACGTGGCGTCGGGGAAGGAAAAGAAGACAAAAGGAAGACTCGCCAGGGCAGGAAGCGGAGTCAGCGATTCCGTGTGTGTGTGCGGTTGATCCGCGCTCTTTTTCCTTCGCGCGCTCCGGTTCCGATCCGGTTCGGATGGCGGCGCCTTGCAGCCCAGAGAGCGGCCCCCCGGCGGCTGCGGGGACGGGGCCCCGGGTGTATTTCCAAAGCCCCCCGACGGGAGAACCGGCCGCAGAGGAAGAGGAGGGCCCGGTCCGGCGCCAGGGGCGGGTGACGGTGAAATACGATCGCAAAGAGCTCCGAAAGAGGCTCCACTTGGAAGAATGGATCTTGGAACAGCTGACGGTCCTCTATGACTGCCAGGTAAAAACTCCGAAATCCTCCTCTCGCACTTGGGTTTCCCTACAATCCCTTAAAATTTAGCCTCCTTCCATCATTCAGGGGCTAGATCGCGGCCCCTATAACCCAGACCCACGTTATGTCATCCCCTTAATGTGTGTGGAGCCTGTTACATGAATTTCAACTGCCCACCCAATGAATCTTGTTCCTACAGTTGCAGGCTTTGTGCTACTCCCACCCCACAAAAATTACTTGTAATAATTTCTTTTTTAAGGTCTCTGCCCCCAGGAACTTGCTCAATCTTGAGGAAGGAAAAGGTTTACGGACCCCAAAGTATACCCTATGCCCCAATACCATCTTGATCTGGAGGGCAGGCCTCCTGGTCACATAAACATAACCTTTACAATAATATTATTTCCCATCACAGCAGTACAAAGAAAGTGGTGGATAACAAAGAGAAATGAATGAGACGCTGTCTAGAAATGCAGGCTTGACTTTCAATTCGATGCCCCTGCCACCTCCCAGAAAAGTCCCTGAAAACCCGGCCCTTTTATGTTGGTGTCCCCCAAATCCACTCTTCTGGAGACTTTAATGTCTCCAGCTCCTCCACCCTGTTACATCCTCCTTATAACCCAGCTTAGATCCTAGATCAGCTCACGCAGCCTCTTCCCACCCCACCCCACCTTGTCCCCCCATATATGCTGCCCCATTACCCTCCAATGCAGCCCGGGTTCAGGGAGTGGCTACCCAGGCACTCCCACCAAAGGGACATTGAGGACTAGTGACCCGCAGAGTGGGGGACTCACTCCTTGGCAAATTCCACCCACTGAATCTGGGGACCATTTGTAATCCAATTTACACCCCATATTGAACCCCTGCCCCGTCCCAAGCTACAGGCCTTCCCCCTCTCTGCAGCCCCAAGAACAAACGCCCTTAGTTTTTGGAAGGCCCCCCATTTCCATTGAGTGGGCCCGATGCCACCCCTCCCATTTTTTATTCCTCCCCAAACCCACACTTGGGTGCTTGTTCCCCCCCCCCCCTCAGAACCACAGACAAATTTGTGGTTTCAAGGCCTGCTCCTCTCCAGAGAAAATGGTTTCCACAGACCAGAAGAAAACTCTTTCCCCAGCCCCCCAAACCCAACTTTTATTCATTTATATTTTTAATTTAAAAGGGCATTATCTAGCGATTTTTGGCTCGCCAGGGCATCTTGTGTTCCCCTTATCTCCGCTGGGCATTTGACCCTGTGCCAGTTTTCCTCTTTCCGCTTGCCAAATTTTGGAGCGTACGCTTCAGAAGTGACCACATGCCCAACAAAATGCTTCACCCTCTCCCTCCCATCCCAAGATTCTCCGGTTCTTCTTCCCTGCCCTAAAGACTGGAGAGATGGTGATGCCAGGACCCCTGCTTTTATTCCCCACCCCCTCCAACTAATGCTGAAGGTCACTTAAGGTCAGAGGTACTCAAAGGCCTTCATGGGGCCTGTGTTTGAATCCTTCTTTTCCCCAACCCCTCTTGAAAAAGAGCAAGGGGAGGGAGTTATCCTCTCCTGATTTTGCAGCATTGTGGGTGGGTGGAGGGATTGTGCCTGGGGAGTGGCGTTCCCCACCCTCTCTGCTGTGCATGCTATGCCATTCTGGGTTTGGAAGTGTGGCCTTAGGCCGCAAATGCAGCTGTCTCTTGAGAGGAGCAGCTGTCTTTTAAGATACGGCTTTTCTTTTTCTTTCTTTAACGCTGCAAGATGCTTGTTGCCAGAAACCTTAAGGGGAAAATGGGTGGGTGAGATTGAAACCAAGTAGGGGTGTGGGCGGTTGATGGCACTAACCCTGCCCCCCCCCGGACTTGCGGCCAAGGTAGCATTCGAACGCGAGACCAGTGTCTAATTTTTTTACTGTCCAGGCCGCAGCGGCAGGATCAACTTTCTGTCTGCCCTCTCCTTGTGTGTGCCTGCACACACACACACACACACACACACACACACACACCCGCCTGCCAAATGTCATCTGGCAGCTGGCCAGCCCGCTTACTGGGGTGGGGTGGGATTTAGCCAGCCATATGGGGCTTGCGTCTGAGTAGGCTAATGGGGCAGTAAGTAGCTAGTCAAGAGGGTCCGAAGAGGAGCCGCTGGGTCCTTGCAAAACAAAACACACACTAGTTGATTCACAAATTCCAGGGGGAGTGTGTGCGTGACCCAGTTACCTTTGCCCTTGTTCTGCGGCTGAGAACGTACCTCAGCTGTTTGAATTCTCCTTTGCATCCCTCAATGACTCCCTTGTTACTAGGCTGTGCCTTTCGGCTGGAGGTACCAGTCAGGGCAAGTCCGGCGTGGATTTAGCAGGGAGCTTAAAGGAGCTTAGGGTTGCAGCCAACGCAGCCCTGCTCAGAGTAGACTCGCTGAAATTATTATTTATTAGATTTTTATACCGCCCTACATCAGAAGGTCCCAGGGCACTTCACAATATTAACATGAATGGACTTGCATTGCTCAGTGCCTTTTATCGTTTCAATAGGTCTGCTCTATAGTAGGATTAACCCCACTTACAACCCTTAATCTGCAACCCCACTTACCTGGGAGAAAGCCCCACTAAATTATTATTAGTAGTAGTACTATTATTATTATTAATCAATTAAATTTGTATACCACCCTGTACTCAGGTCTCAGGGCGGTTACAATGTAACATTACAATAAAAAAAACACAAAATAAATAATAAAAACAAACAAACCCCCTTATTGGGGTTGTTCCCCAACACATTTTAAAAGGATGTCAGTCAGCCAAAGGCCTGGTTAAAGTGGAACGTTTTCTCTGGTCACCTAAAAGTGTCTAATGAAGGGGCCAGTGGGGCTTCCTTCCGAGTAGACTTGGTTAGGAGCCAGCTGCTGGGGTCTCCTGCTGTTTTTGGACTACAGTTCCCATCATCCCTGGCCACTAGTCCTGCTAGCTAAGGATGATGGGAGTTGTAGTCCAAAAACAGCTGGAGACCCCCATTTGGGAAACCCAGGACTAGATGATCCTCAGGGTCCCTTCCCACTCTCTGATGCTATGAGTAGCATGTACGGGAAGCATTTCAAGCACATGGTTCCTCCCCCCCCCCCCCCCGGAATCATGGGAACTGTAGTTTGTTACAGGTACTGGGAATTGCAGCTCTGTGGCAGGGGGAAACTACATTTCCCAGGATTCTTTGGAGGAAACCATGACAGTTAAAGTGACACAAACATGCTTTAAAGGTGTGGTTGCGGATGCCAAACTCTTCTAAGACGGTGCCTACCATCCATATTTTGTTTTCCTTCAAAAATGACTTCTAAAACTTTCAAAACTGCTGTCCAATAAATAAATGCTTTACACAACAGGTTGTGGATTCCTCCCACCCACTTACTCTAACTGATGAACTGACTAAAAGTCCTCTCAGGGAGGCGAGGCCTCTCTGCTACCCTAAAGCCTGGGGAATTAAGATCTGCCTCCAGTTTCCCACAGATTGCCTAGAACTCCCTCTAATAACAAACTCTAGCTAGTGAGGAAAAAAGACGAGGCTTTTGGGGGAACCCCAAGGTTTCCAAATGTACAAAGAAAAATTGTGTGGAACCTAAGACACCACCCCACCCACCTCCCCAAGCAACCCAAGAGTTCCTGTTGGCATGGGGTATCCTGAAAAGGGCATGGCTGGCTGGCTGGCCACGTTTTGTTACCACTCTTGAGTACCTCTTGAGTGCTAAGCACTGTACACAGGACCAAAGCCTGCTGTATAAGGGCAGCAGAATTAGGTGGTTTGAGAACATTTTCTGCCTTGATGACGTGCATCAAAAGGGTATGTGGAGGAGGGCATTGAAATGATCCGCTCTTCCCCACCTCCTTTTTCAGTGCCAGTGTAGGATTAGGCGAACAGACCGGCATCCTCCTGACCTAGAAGGTTCAACTGTTCAACTTTTAAAACAGTTGAAGCCAGGAAAGGAGGGAATGACAGTGATTAATCACATGCCCACCCACCCGCCCCCAGCACAACCTTCCCAGTTAGGGACTAGAGGGTGGAAGCCTCAACATTGTAGCTGCTTGAGGGGGTGTGGGAATGCCTGCCCCCAAATGAGCTGAATCCCAAAGGGGTGTGTGTACACACACACAAACAAAACTTGTAGCAGATGAGTGTGGCAGGATTCCAGTCCTGGGAAGTCTGGAAACAAAATCCTTGATAACATCCCTCTCCTTGAGAAGGCAGAGAGAAAACAACTTCTTATACCCAACTGGTCCTCTAATTGCCTCTGTCTATGGGGCAGGGAGATGCCCTTTTACTAGACACCTTAAAAAGGTAAAGGGACCCCTGACCATTAGGTCCAGTTGTGGCCGACTCTAGGGTTGTGGCGCTCATCTCGCTTTAGTGGCCAAGGGAGCTGGCGTACAGCTTCCGGGTCATGTGGCCAGCATGACTAAGCCGCTTCTGGCGAACCAGAGCAGCAAACGGAAACACCGTTTACCTTCCCGCCAGAGCGATACCTATTTATCTACTTGCACTTTGACGTGCTTTTGACCTGCTAGGTTGGCAGGAGCAGGGACCGAGCAACGGGAGCTCACCCCGTCGCGGGGATTCAAACCACTGACCTTCTGATGGGCAAGTCCTAGACTCTGTGGTTTAACCCACAGCACCACCTGCGTCCCTACTAGACACCTTACCAATGCTGAAATTATATGGAGAGGTAGGTAGGGGGTGAAGTACCCCCTCCCCACAGCATCCTAAAAGGGGTCGCATTGTTCCTGTAATCTGAACACTGCAACTCTGCCCTTTATTATACAATTTGAGTTCATTTGAATCTCGCACTCTCAGCCTGCCCCCCCCCCCCCGCCAATCCACTGCCCTGGGTAAGGTTTTTACATGCAGAACTCCTTTCCTGCTCCAGCTGCGCGCGCGCGCACACGCGCACACACACACACACACACACACACACCCCTCTTCAAACAATAAAATGACTGGATTCCTGGCAGGTTCTTCTCTTTGTCTTCTTATAGGAAGAGGAGATTCCGGAGTTAGAAATAGATGTTGACGAACTCCTGGACATGGAGAGTGATGAGTCTCGGAGCGCCCGAGTGAAGGTAGGAGCTGTGAAAGCTAGGTTGAAAAGGGGGAGAGTATCCCTTCCTTCTCCACAGCCCCCCCCCCCAGAAAAGGAGGGGTTGAGAGGAGGGGCCCCCGTGCGCTGCCTGGGAAGACCAGATGCTGTCTTCGCACGATGGCAGCCAAGCAGTGGGTGGGCTGTTCTGGTCAGCAATCTGGAGACCATACGTATCTGCCAATATTTCTTTATATATCAATAAAAAGAGAGGCCTTCTGTTGCTGCCATAAACACTCAGGATTTGGCTAGAGATTAAGGGTGAGTTTTAGACTGGGATTTCTATTTTCGGAATGTATCAGAAATGGGGAACCCACAGATGTCACCAGGCTCCCATTAGCCCCGCTTAGCGTCACCAGTGGGTTTGGGGGTGATGGCAGTATAGCGACTTATCTGGGGGGGCACGGGTCCCCCCATACCTGCTCTACCACCTAAAAATTTACGATCCAAGTCCCCATGGTTCTCAAAATAGGAAAATGGGAATCTGGTTCATGTGGAGTCAGACTATTAGTCTATCTAGGTCAGGGCAGCCAACACTGGCTGGCAGCTGCTCTTCAGGGTTTCAGATGGGGTTCTCTCCGAGCCCTGCCATTAGGGATTGAACCTGGGACAAGGCCTGTCCCTCAATGAGATCTGGGCGGACAGGGCTTCCCGCTTGTCCAAACCTTTGGCATCTAAATTTATCGTTTCTTTTTCCAAAAAAACAGGAGCTCCTGGTTGACTGTTACAAGCCCACAGAGGTGAGTGCTTGCCTGCCTGCCTGCCCTGAGTCCACCCCACCCCGCTTTTCCCATGACCCCTTAAATGCTCCCACATCCTTCCCTTCGAGAAGCTCCCCCATGTCCCAGCCCTCCTTCCTTCGCAGCTGCTTTCTTGGCAGATCAGGAGAGCAGCAGCAGCTGCCTCTGCCCAGCGCCAGCTCCCAATCTTCTCCTGTTCCTTCCTTCTCTCACAGCAGGGAGGAGAGTCCCCTCCCATTCCAGCACCTGTTAGGGGAGGGGCTGCTCAGCTGTCTCTCCTCCTCACCCTCCCTTTTCCCCTGGCAGAGAGATTTCAGGGAAGGATCTCAACCTGCTGGTTTCATCACAGAATGGGAGGCGTTGCTTGCGTTTGTCGTTTCTGCCCCTGGGGTGGAAGTAGGCAAGAACTGTCTTGCTGGATCAGGCAGCTCAAGGGTGGGCAACCGCAGGCCGTGCTGCCTGGCTCGCCGAGGCCTCTTTGTCTGGCCCTTGGGATGCTCCCCAGGCCCTGCACTGGCTTGGCTCCCCCTTCCAGCTCTTCCGCCTGGCTGGAAGAGAGATCATGACTCTTGCTTGCCTGGCCACAGAGAGCTGTCCTGGTAGGAGGCTCTGAGTTTTGTGGGGCTGGGCAAAGATAAAGAGTCTGTTGCCCCATCCACGCATGGGCATGTGGCCCCCAGAAGGCGACTCCCTAGGAAATCCGCCTCAGGGCTGGGAAAGTTTTCCCCATCCCTGGCCTAGATTGCAGTGCAGTTCCTAGATTCCCAGCAAGTTAAGAAGCCGGCAAGCCAGGGCATGAAGGCAGTGCTCTCCCTGCCCATTTGTTGTCTGAGTTTGTAACACTCCAGTGTACTGCACGGGTCCAGTGCACAAGTGGTCGCACTGACCGACCCAAACGCCTTGTCCACACCTGAGCCTTACTGACTGAAACTCCTCCGACACAACAGGACCAGGCAGCGCTCTGGGCACCCTGTGAGATTTCATCTGCTTTAAGATCTCGGTGGATGCCAATGATTTTATTCTCAAAATGCTTTGCCAACAAGTCTGGCCAGACTGTAAGAGTCCCCTGCACCACATGGAAAAGTTCTGCCGGATGGCACAATGAGGATGCAATGGAGGCAGCCAAGTATGCCTTCTTTGTTGCCTCCACTGCCACTAGGCAGGCTCAAGTATGAGCCCTCACCAGTGTTTGATCTGAATCCTTCCATGCAGATACCCCTAGAAGTTCACTAGCAGGATGCAAAGATGCCTGCCAGACTTTGTTCGTCCCTGGTGCCTGCATTTCAGGGGTAGACTGCCTCTGTTTGTGGAGGTTCTGCTTGGCTGTAATAACACATTTAAAGCAGAGAAGAGGAACTCTTCTCTTTTTTAATCTGAGGGCCACATTGCAGGCTGTACCTCAGGTTAAGAACTTTGCTTTAGGATGAGAACAGAAATCACGAGGCGGCAGCTGGAGGCCTCAGGTTAAGAACAGACCTCCAGAACAAATTAAGTTCTTAACCTGAAGCACCACTTTAGCTAGTGGGGCCTCCTGCTGCCGCCGCCCTGCCGGAGCACGATTTCTGTTCTCATCCTGAAGCAGAGTTCTTAACCAGAGGTACTATTTCTGGGTTAGCGGAGTCTGTAACCTGAAGCGTATGTAACCCAGGGTACCAGAGCCAGAAGCAAAAATGGACAGGGCAACAGATGTGTACATTCCAGCCACATAAGACCAAGCAAGCAAGAAGCATTATCACAGTTCCAAGTTTCCTCACCCGCATTAAAACCTTCTGGGCTAATGGGTATCTTGTGATGCAAGTTCCAAAAGTTAATGATGCACTGAATTATTGGGGGGCAGAGTTAAAATACGCAGCCAGCTCGAGTCTACAATTGTGTACACACTGTATGTTTAAAGCACCCAATTCCTCCCCCCACCCAAAAAAAGGAACCCTGGGCACTGTAGTTTACCCCACACTGAGCTACAATTCCCAGCACCCTAAACAAACTAGAGTTCCCAGGATTATTTTTCCCCTGTATGTACACAACCTAAAAGGAGGGCAGATGAGAGATCCGGTGCCTATGCCTTTGACTCTGGGTTCCTCGCTGACGCCCCACCCTTTCCTCCTCTCCCCGGCCTCCTGTCGCCCACCAGGTTTTTGTTGCCGACTTGTTAGACAAGATCCGTGGGATGCAGAAGCTCAGCACTCCACAGAAGAAGTGACTTGCCACTGGTGTGATGATCTCCCATCGCTGCCCTCCTTCCTCTTTGGAGAGTTTGTCATTGTGACTCTGGCTGCTGGCTGGGTTGGAGAGGGAGAAGGGAGCTTTTCAGGGGTCCAGTGGAGAACCAGCTACTGCCCTTATAAGAGAAGACCTTCCCTTTTCGGTGGGATTGCCTTGATAATCAAAACCATCTGGACACCTTTTTAGCAATACCAAGCTGCTCCTTCCTGTCCGTCACCCTCCTCCACCCGTGAGCATCAGAGGAGGGGAAGAGGAACGTCAGTTTTCCAGGGGAAGAGAAAGAGGGGTAGGATCCTGAGAAATCCTTTTTTTTTTTTTTTAGAACGTTTGGGTTGGGTTTTTTTTTTTTAATTATTTGCGTTTTTATATAAATTTAATAAAAATGCTTTGAGAACAAGGGTCTGGTTTCTGCTTTAGGGAATGGAAGCGTGCGCCAGGGCAGACGAATATTTGCGTATGTGTATTTTAACAAAACCTTTTCACTTTTAAAAAGAGAAAGCAGTGTTATGCAAGCAAGTAGTGTGGCAGGCCTTGGGGGTGAGAACTTGGGTTCAGATATTTACTTGACCAGGAAAATTAACGTGCAACCTTGGCCAAATTATTTCGCCTTAGCCTACAGCAGGCATAAGCAAACTCGGCCCTCCAGATGTTTTGGGACTACAACTCCCATCATCCCTAGCTAACGGGACCAGTGGTCAGGGATGATGGGAGTTGTAGTCCCAAAATATTTGGAGGGCTGTGTTTGCCTATGCCTGGCCTACAGTCTACCTCGCAGGGTGGCTTTTAGGATGAAATAGAAGGGTGAGGAGGGGAGAGAAAAGAGGGCCGCAGCCGCTGTCTTTAGTAAAATAGGCTATAAAAAGGAATACCTGCTTGTCGCTTAATATTCATTACCAGTACTAGTAAAAACTGAAGTTTTGGAGATTTTTGGTTTGCTTAGTCTGGTGAATTGGGAGGACATTTGTGTCACTCCCTGGCCGAGTCTGTAGGACTGGAGTGGGGGCGGGGGGAGAATCCAGGTTCAACTCCCTTCTTGGCCAGAAAACGGAATAGTGACCATGGGCAAGTCACTTTCTCAGCCTATGACCTATCTTGCAAGGCAATTGTTGGGCGAGGGCAGGGTGGAGAGTGCTATGGACACTGCCTTTTGCTCATTGAATATGAATGAAATAATACCCACTTCTGGCTTATCATTGTCACCCATTCTAGTGAAAAACAGAAGTGTTTTGGAGATTTTTGGACCAGCTAGGCTGGTGAATTGGAAGTGAAGAGGAGATTCTGCTCCCCGCTCCCCAGTGGGCCTTCTTCCCCTTCCTCACTGCCTGCAGCAAGTATTTTCAACCAGGTGCAACTGCAGACCAGGCCAAGTGCAGAGTTACAGGTCCCCCAGTTAGCAACGCTGTCCCTGGTGGGGACGCAGCCGGAGCCTCCCCTTCATTTGTGGCGGGGCTGAACTCAGCAAGGAAAGAATGTCTTATGGGGCCTGGAACTAATCGGGCTTCGTGTTTCCTGCCTGAAGTCACCAGGCAAGTTTTGTGTGTGTGTGTGTTTTGGGAATTGGCCTGCCCTGGCCTCCGGAGCTGGCCCCGGCCTGATTTTTCCACGTGGCTCTTCTTTCCAAACCAAGATGCCTAAGAGGGGTTGGCACTGGCCCCAGAGGGGAGGGAAAGGAACAGGGAAAGCAGGCACCGGAGCCACAGCCTTGCCACAAAACACTACGTGGTTCCCAGACTGGGCAGGGCAGGGCGAGAGAGATGCTGTCTCGAGGGTGGAGCAGTCCTCCTGGCTGCTGTGCCCGCAAGCTGCATCTTGCAAGGCTCCCTTTGGCTCTCTGCCGCAAAGGGCGTGGTTGCCTTTAAAGCAGGTGCCTCATTTCCTGAGAAAGCCAGAGTTCGCTTTCTGCCAGCAAGCACAACCTCCCCAGTTTGAAGAAAGAGGCTAAGCCAGGGGTGGGGGGAGCTGTGGTCCCCCAGCTCTCCTTGGGCCCCAACAACCCCATGGCCAGGGATGATGGAAAAGATCCAAGAACATCTGGAGGGTCCGGCAGGTTCCTCACCCACAAGCAAACCCAATTTCTCACTGTGGCCTTGGCAGAAATTGTTTTTATGAAGGAGGGGTGGTTTATTTCTCTCCAGCACACATACTTTTTCCTGCTTGGTTGATGCAAGGAAGTAGTTCGCTTACAAAGCCACTTCTGCTTCTCTGTGCCAAGAAACCATAAAGATTCACTCACGTGCCACAAGGGATTCTGCTGCAGCACCTCACAGTGGGTATAAGCCACCAGCCTAGATGGCTTTAAAAAGGATTTGACAAATTCAGAGGGTTAGGCTACCTGGCCATGTTCTCCACTGCTGGGAGGCCATACGCCCATGAATGCCACCTGCAGGAAACCTCAAGAAGGAAGAGTTGCTGTTCCACTCGAATGCTGCTTGTTGGTGTCCTATCGGGGCATTTGGTTGGCCACAGAGAACAGGATGCTGTGTGCTAGATAAGCCCCCAGCCTACTCAGACATCCTAGGTTGTTTTAATTTTATTTTGGGCATGGGGGGGGGAGCAACTTTCTAACCCTGATGGCCAAAGGATGAGTCTTGAAAGTTATGTGGTGAGAATCACACTGAAATCAGGGTGTGGGAAATGGCAATGCTTTCTATGCTCTAAAGGTGGGGAGGGGGAGTTGTGCCTTGCTAAATAGGATTTTTTTGTTTGTTTCTCCACAGCCCTGACAGGAGCAATTAGTTATACCACACACGAAAATCACTTCACTGGCATTATTTATGGAGGTTGCAAAATTAGGCACAAATGCGATTTGTAGGGGTTGGTGTTTTTTTAAGTACAGCGTGCGCACACACTGTCTCAACTGTTCTTCCTGCTGAACAAGGGAGGCTGGAGCATGGTCTCTTTGCAAAAGGCATTCTGTAGCTAGTCCCTCTCTGTCAGGGAGGATAAGTGAGTTCCTCACAGCAACCCATCCTGCCCCTTCACTATGCAGCAATGCTCACAACTGTTCACTTTCACAGTAGACAATACTGGCAGGGTCCCAGCAGCATTCACACTGGTGGTTTCACTGGGGAAGAACACCCCCGCGCAGTTTTCTGCTCTGCAGTGCAAACTTATCTGTTATATCATGTTCTCGCCCTGCTTCACAGTTCACAACTTTCACGGCTCGTTTATTCAGTACAGGTTGTCCTGAAACAAACCCAAATTGCACTACAAAGTCGGCGCATGCTTCAATTAATTAATTACACAGGTTGTTGGGAACGTGGCTTCACAAATCCCCATACGCCTCTTGTGGAGGTCCAATGCCACAAGCGCAGAAAAGGCCCCCAGAATCCCTTGAAGTCTATCGCAAGGGGATTCTGGGATGTGCCGCCTACAGCAAAGCACACGATATTCTCCAGAGCTTGCTTTCCCTTGGCAGGTGGACAGGACCAGACTGTGGGCAGCACAAGGCCCCACGTTAAGCCAGACCAAAGACAGAAAGGTTGGCTTTGGACAGCCAGGCCACCATGACTGCCCAATCCTGCTGCCAGCCACACACAAAGCACAAGACTTCCCTGCTCTGCAAGTCTTTTATTGGGCTTCCAATGCCCCAATACTCTGGGAACGGAGAATCTGCAGCCTTCTAGATGTACCTAAACTAAAACCCATACCCTCTCAGGCCACTGCCCAGGCTGATCGGAAGCAACATACCCTACAATCCAACGCCATCTGGATTCTGGAAAGACACAGGCTGCCTGTCCCTGGCAAGCTATCTGTGCATTTCATGTATAGGGAGCTGCCTTGCTTAGGAGCCCAGCCCTTAGTCAATCTAGCTCAGTATTGTCTAGAATCATAGAATAGAATCATAGAATCATAGAGTTGGAAGAGACCACAAGGGCCATCGAGTCCAACCCCCTGCCAAGCAGGAAACACCATCAGAGCACTCCTGACATATGGTTGTCAAGCCTCTGCTTAAAGACCTCCAAAGAAGGAGACTCCACCACACACTCCTTGGCAGCAAATTCCACTGTCGAACAGCTCTTACTGTCAGGAAGTTCTTCCTAATGTTTAGGTGGAATCTTCTTTCTTGTAGTTTGGATCCATTGCTCCGTGTCCGCTTCTCTGGAGCAGCAGAAAACAACCTTTCTCCCTCCTCTATGTGACATCCTTTTATATATTTGAACATGGCTATCATATCACCCCTTAACCTCCTCTTCTCCAGGCTAAACATGCCCAGCTCCCTTAGCCGTTCCTCATAAGGCATCGTTTCCAGGCCTTTGACCATTTTGGTTGCCCTCCTCTGGACACGTTCGTTTGTCAGTGTCCTTCTTGAACAGTCTCCCCCAACAAACGTTTGAGACTAGCTCCCCTAAATCTAAAAGATGGATCAAACTGCCACTGCCCTGCAAGCTCTGATAAGCTCCTCCCACAGCTAATCACCTGCCTCAAACCTGTCTACACCTGTGTTCTTCAAGCTTGGGGCACCAAATACTGCTGGATAGGGCTGGGAATATCTGGTTTTCTACATCACAATAGATCACCAGCTAAACTTATTGATATACCGATATATCACAATGTCTGAAATAAGGATAGAGCATTGGCTGGCTTCCCGGTTTTACCCACATAGTGATTTTAGTATAGCAAACACACACACACCCCCAAAAAATATTGCCAGGTCAAAAATTATGAAACTTGTATCACAATATGGACTTCAAACTGGTTTTGGATGATAGATTGCCCAGCCCTACTGCTGGATTACAACTCCCATCATCCATCTGCTTAGCAAATGGTCAGGGATGATGGGAGTTGTAGTCCAACAACATCTGATGCGGCCCAGACACCAATCAAAACCGACAGGCAGTGGCTCTCCCGGCCCCACCTGGAGGTGATGGGGTCAGGCCAGAGACCAGACACCCACAAGGACTTGAACCCCTGAGGCTGCCTTACACAGTCAGGCCAGCAGGGCACCCAGCCTAGTAATGTCTGCTGCAACTGGCAGCCTCTCTCCAAGGCTCCAGGCAGAGGCCTTTCCTAGTCCTCATACCTTAAGTCATATTTGCAGGGGTTGACACTGGGGCTTTCTGCACCCAAATATTCCCCCCCCCCCGGCCACAGAAGTCAGACCAGCCCAAATCTTGAGCCCAAGGAACCCCCCACCTCCACCGCCTTAGAACAGCGTTGCCCCTTCTCCTGCCACCAGGCCACCACCACCAGGCAGTCACAATACAACTCTGGTCTGTGCTTTTATTTGGCCCATCAGTATCAACAAATCCTGAGTCGCGTCTGGAGATTACCTCCCCTCCCCGCGTGCCCCCTCCCCCGAAGAGATGTCGCTAAAATTCCTGCCTTCGCTCAATCTTCAGCAGCTCAACTTCAAAGATTAAGGTTGCGCCACCTGGGGGAAAAAAAGAAAGGGACATCACAAGTGCAGGCTGGAGGGAGCGGTGCTGGGAAGAAGCACTACCCATCCCAGCCCCTAGAGCAGGTGCCAGAGGGCCCCTGGAAGCTTTGATGGCCCCACAGCTGACTGCCTGGAACTCGAGTGGGGCCACTAGGTTTTGATCCCTTCCATTCTCATCTCCTGGTTTTCAAAAGGCCAGTAGGGAGAGGGCAGGTTAAGAACATGGTATCAACACTTCGCTTGGGGTGGGGAGGAAGCCCCCGCCCATCTGTTCAGAATCCATAGCAGGACTGATTCCAAGGGGGAAAGGGCATGCACGATTTACCTGGGATTTTGGGTGGTGCTCCCCGGTCCCCATAACCTGTGAGCAAAGGGAGAAAAATGGCAAAGTTACCCAAGAGATCAAAGAGTTCCCATAGTGCAGGGATGGAGCGATCTGTGCGATTGCTGTGGGATTTCAACTCCCACTGACCCCTGCCAAAAAATGCTGATGGCAACTCCTTAGAACATCTTGCCACTGCCACCTCCCTGGGGCACGTTCTGAACCCAGGAGCCCAATTTCTTCCCCCTCCCCATCCCACATTCCAGCTCCTCACCCAGCTCGGAGGGAATGACCAGCTTTCTCTTCTCACCCTCGCACATCCTAGAAAGACCAAAGGAACAGTATAAATTCAGTTACCAACCAAATACAGTACACGGCTTTGCTGCTGTATAAAAGCAACACAAAACAGGAGGGCTGGAATCTGACTCGAAAATAATTACTTCATTCATATCACTTAACCTTCCCTTCTAACGTTGCCTAGGGGCAGCTATCAATATAAAAATTACATACAAATGAAAAAGAAGCCACTAAATGTAGTTAACACTGGAGAGAAACACAGGATAGATGAACCGTCCTGATTAACAAGACACTTTAATAAATAAAATGAGCCGGGACAGATGGATTTTCAAAAGACGGCAAAAGGTCATTAGAAGATGCCAGCTAGATCTCCGGGGTGCAATTGCACAGAGTGCTCTCCCCCAACATTCCTGCCAAAGGTGCCGCAGATGCAGTTGGAATACAGCAGAAGCCCTTCCTTGAGGTCATGCCCAGATTATGGAATTCTCTGCTCTTTATTAAAAAAAAAAAAAGTTCCAGGAGACCCAAATAAATAAAGTTTTAGGAGCTTTCAAGCATCCTTTGAGAAGGGAGAGTGAAAATCTGTGCTTCTGACTTGCCACTGGAGAAATTGCTTCTTTTCCCCGTTCGGGTGCTTGAAAACCAGCAACCACAACACAGCGGTCACTGCCACACCTGATCCCTGCTGGGAGGAAGAATTTACCCAAGCAAGCCCTGATCCCAGCCTTTAATGACTTGTCCAGTCCCCAAGGAGAAGATAAACGGCTGACCACGAGTCAGGCTGCTGTCAAACTCTGTCCCATCCTCCAGCTTGCCCTATGAGAGAGTGCAGATGTTAAAAGGGGTGTGAGCCAGCCAGGGTTTCTTCTTAAAACATCCAAGATGCTATGCTTATTATCCCAAAAGAAGAAGAGCCCTGTGAAGTAAGCCCAAAGAGAGCCCATCTAGTCCAGCACCCTGTTCTCACAGTGACCAACTGGATGCCTCGACGGGAAGGCCGCAAGCAGGACCCAAGCGCAACTCTTGAGAGCCAGTGTGGTGTAGTGGTTAAGAGTGGTAGTCTCGTAATCTGGGGAACCGGGTTCGCGTCTCAGCTCCTCCACATGCAGCTGCTGGGTGACCTTGGGCTAGTCACACTTCTCTGAAGTCTCTCAGCCCCACTCACCTCACAGAGTGTTTGTTGTGGGGGAGGAAGGGAAAGGAGAATGTTAGCCGCTTTGAGACTCCTTAAAGGGAGTGAAAGGCGGGATATCAAATCCAAACTCTTCTTCTCTTCCCACTTGTGATTCCCAGCAACAGACATTCAGAGACATACAGACAAGGGAGCCAGTGTGGCTAGCAGACACTGATAGCCTGGTTCCTCATGGATTTGTCTACTCTTTTATAAGTCATCACTACATCTTAATAAAGTGAATTCCATAGCTTTAACTACGTGCAGTTTTAACTAAGCACATGTTTACAAACACCCTCCACAGCAGGAGGATGGCCCTCCTGTGGCCCTCCGGAGTCCAGTCATCACTGGACTACAACTCCCATCATGCTGGCTGGGCTGATGGGAGTTCAACAACATCTGGAGGGCTGAAAGTTCCCCATCCCTGCTCCACCCTAGTAAAGAAACCCCAGGGTGTCTCAGCCTTGCTCTCTCACTGACTGACTAACTCAGGGCACATTCACACATGAGCGTCTATCACTCAGTGATTCACTGCTCCACTGCAGAAAGTGACTCATAAGAACCTGAGAGGCGGAAGCCCTGCTGGGTCAGAGCAAAGGTGAGTCAGGTCAAGGGCCCTGTTTCCTAACAATGGTTAATGAAACGCCTGTTGAGAAGGCCACAAGCAGGACATGAAATTAATACACCCACCCTCTTTTCCCCTGCTGCTCAGATGACCAGGGGCCCTCAACTCTGGAATCCTGCCACCATACAGAGCAGGGATAACTGCCAAATTGAGATGGTTTTAAAAGGGGATTATTTATTTACTTGGTACATTTCTGACCCACCCTTCATGATTCGATCCCAGGTCCACTTACACATAAATTTTTAATTTATAAAACAAACACATCCCTTAAAAAAAAACTTAAAAAGGGAGGACAAGACTATCAGTGGCTACCAGACACTAATCTCATGATGCAACCCCCAGGATTGTTTTTGAGTCCCATTAGCTGGGGGAAAATAGTGAGAGGCGGCTATTGCTGTCATGCTTATGGGATTCCCAGAAGGATCTAGCTGCATAAAAGAGAGCTCTGCTGCATGAAGCCAGTGGCCCATCTAGTCTAGCACTCTGTTCTCAATGGGAAGCATGCGAGCAGAACCAGAGGGCAATGCTGCTCTCCCTAACTGTGATTCCCAGCAACACAGAATTCAGTAGCATACTGGCTGGCTGCTATGGGAAAGAGGAAACTGAACTAGGTAGCCTTTGGTTTGATCCAGAGGGGCTCTGCTTATGTTCTCTGGCCAAACATAGGTCTGGAAATTGCAGAAAGGAACGAGGTAGAGTAACCTCATGTCCATATGGTTGGAATCAAAGGGGGGTAAAAGCTCCACCCCCTTCTCCTCCTCACACAGGGAACACAGAATTTTTCTCTGGTTGTCCATTTCCTGCATTCAAATTGCCATGTAACACAGCAGTCATTGTCTGAGTCAGCAAGGATGCATGGCTGAAAAAAGCAGCTGAGCCAAGCATATGCTGCAGTGGCAGCATTTAGTAGTGGGTGCAGAATTCAGTTGCTTCAAGAATTCCTTTTTTAAAAAAGCTAAGCATCTAGTCCTTATGGTCACAAAAATTTCCGTCAAAGCCTTGGAGATACTCCTAGTGAAATCTCAGAGGGGTTGCTGAATTCAGATGTCAAGGAGTAGACAGTTCCATGAGACACAAGACACGTGTGCCTAATTTACAGTGGGATTCTTTTTTTCTTTTATTTCTTTCTGTTGAAGCTTTGAACTTGGGTCACCCACAGACGTCTGCCTTCCTAAACAAACCCAACCCCACCAACTTAGCAACCACACACACACCAATTTTGGCAGGAGTTGCTGACTCTCACTGCTTCAGGTCAGGGATGGGGAACCTGCAGGCCCTCCCGGCTGTTGGGCTCCAGCTCCCATCAACCACAGTGAGCATGGCCAACAGTCAGGGATGATGGGAGCTGAAGTTTTGCAATACCTGGAGGCAGGCAGGCAGGTCCCCCAGCCCTTCCCAAAGAGCCACAACTCTGTGATGAGAGAGCAGGGGCTGGAGTCTAGAAATGCATGGAAGGCCCGACAGGTTCTCCACTGGATTACAATTCACCCTTTGACAATTATGTCTCTCCCCCGTGGCTTCTGGAAAAGACCCCGCAAACCTCAAGGTGCTCAGCTAACACTGACCTGCCTTTCCACATCACGCCTGCAGCACTCACCGTATAATGCATGTGGAGCATATCACCCTTGCGGGACTTGATGGGGCAGTTGTCCACCCGCTTCTTGACCCCAATCTGGAGCTTCCGTTTGCCTTCCGTGCCCAGACCTAGCGAGAAGACTGCACACAGCGCCAAAGCGAGTAATGTTGCTCCCTGGCTCACCTGCATCGCATAAGCTCCTGGAAGGGCAGAAACTGGTTAGCTGGGGAGAGCTCTCTGTGGCTAAAAGTCTACTGTCACCACTATCTCTTGCTTTGTTGATCACAATGTTACAGGAAGGCGGAAATGGAGCTGGCTTCCTGGCAGTGGTGTCGCTGCCTTTTATCAGGAGGCAGGGGGAAGTTGGAGCTGTCTATGTGCACCAATGGGAGTACTTGAATGGCTCCACCAGGGTGCCCACACAGCCCTGATTTCCCCAACACTTCACCCCTCCCTATAAGCAGCAGTGACATTGCTGCTGGCAAGCAGGCGCGGCAGGCCCGCCCCACACTGGGCAAGCCACTTCTGCAGAAAGGGATCCATTCAGCAGCTGCCAGACATAGGGTTCGGTTCACTGTCCTTGTACATACAGGAAAAGGAATAATGGGGAAGAGCTCCAGTCCTTCCATGCCGACACATACCAAGACATGAGTTCTATTTGGGAAGGTCCACAACACAGTCATAAACACCTGCCTTGCATGCAGAAGGTCCCAGGTTCAACTGTCAGGTAGGGCCCTGCCCCGTTTTTCACATGGTGCCCAATGAACAGAACAGACGCCTCCTCCCCATGAAGGCCCATCCTTGAATTACAGTAATTCATGCAAATTCAACACTCCCGCCCCAGTCGCCAGCACCCCCAGCTCCTACCCTGGCATGCAACAGCATGCGGTCCATTCAGGTCCCCCCGGGAGCCTCCGGACCCCGACTTACCCGTGCGGCCAGAGGCGCCTTGGACTCTGCTCCCTCCCCTGGTGGCAGCCGCCGCCACCCCACTCCAGATTCTCTCAAGGATACTGGGCTGTAGCCACCCCAGGAATAATCCAGCAAGGTCTCTCTGCTCCACCCTCCCTCCTCTACTCCCTAGTCCTCTAGACAGGATCTCCCCATATGAAATCATCCTTATTTCTAACCCTTTCCCTCAGGTATGAGCCTAGCATTTCCTCCCCCCTCCCTCCCAGGTGCAGTATCTCCCTCCCCCAACCCATGCCCCCCAAATAGACCCCCGCCCTAAGATACCCCATATCCACCCTCACCTTGCCCCCCTTTCCTAGGGCCCTCCTTACGGAAGGTCCAAACCCTGGTCTCCTCTGCTTCATCTTCTTCATTACAATTTGTCACCTTGGCCCAGACCCACATGATCCCAGCCCCAGAGGGATCCCTCACCTTGTGAATCCAGACATCCCCGGGACCCCCACCCGCAGGAACTGGCTTCTCTCGGGGGATCCAGACCTGGCTACGTTCTGGGGAACAACCGACACCCCTAGATTCGGGCTTCCACTCTCTCTGCTTCCCCTGGGGACTGGCTTCCCGTTGCAGCCACGGCAGCCCCATCCTATCAGAGGCCCTGGCTGGCTTGCGGGGCACCCAGACCTGCCCAGAAGCCTCCGCAGGGTCCCGGTACCACTCCTTCTGGACCCACATCCCAGCTCCCCTTACAGGATCCCTCTGGGGACCCACATGCCCCAAGATCCCCCCGGAGTGGCTGCGGCTGACGCCCCGCGCCGGGAACTCTGGTTCCTCGCCGCCTCTTCCCCTGACCACCCCGGGGCCCCCCGCCCCCAACTCCCAATCCTCCCTGTGAGAGAGCTGGGTCCCCACCTCTTTGGGGGCGCCCTTTCCCTTCACGGCCACAGCCACGCAGGACTCGCAGACCCCCACGCACCACGAGGCTCTCTTCTCCTGCCTCGCTGCTTGGCTGCTCCTCCCTGAGCCGGGCGGAGGGCGGCCCAGGCTCTCCAGGCTCCCGCTGCCTGGGGGGCCCCCAAACCCACGAGGCCCCCATCTGCTCATCGTGACTCTCCTCGGGCCACCCTGTCCCTGCGGGGCCTTCCCCACGGCTGGGGCCTGGATCCCCCCATTGTCAAGGGCCCCCACGCCTGGACCCCAGGACACCTGGGTCCCTACGTCCCTCCGCTCCAGCTTCCGTGGCTCCTGCGTTGCCGCCGGCCCTGCGAGGCCCTCCTCGCTACCAGCCACCCCCCACTTGGGTGCGCCGGACGCCTGGGTCCCTTCGGGCCTGCTGGAGCCTCCCCGCTCCCTCCAACCCGCCTCTTGGGGCTGCCCCATATCTAGGTCCCCAGGCTGCTGCCGCCGACCCTCGCTCGGTCCAAAGCTCCTGGGCGCCCCCCTTCCCTGTCCCCCCGTCTCCTCAGGACCCCCCATCCGCCCCCCCTCCTCACCTCTCCTTTCCTCAACGGATACCACCCCCCTCTGCGCATGCGCGCCTCGCAACGCTGATTTGCCTAACAACAAGGGAAGCAGCCATGGGGTCCGCCATGTTCCCTCGCCCGCCCCGAGGCAGGTTGGCCGCCGTCACATGATCGGCGCGGCCCCACGTGACAGGCGCTCGGCTAGCTATTTTATAAAAATCAATGACCGGCATTACGATTCTAGTTCTCTTCTCTCGGGACATGGGAGAAATAATCAGAGAAATAAAGGCATGCCCCCCCCCTCAAAATACAAAAAATATAACGGCCACGGCTCGCACGTGACAAGGGCAAGGCATCACTTCCGTTCTGGGCTGAGGCATATGAGCTGCAGTAGGCGCGCTGACGTGTGAGAGCGCCCCCTGGTGTTGGAGTGGAGAAAGGGGGCTCCCCGGCCTCTCTGAAAGTGGCCTCGTCTTCAGCACGTGGCTCCGATGATGATGATGATGATTACCCCGCCCATCTGACTAGGAGGGCCCTAGCCACTCTGGGCGGCTTCCAACAAATAAGCCTGTTGTGAAATGAGCCTCTTGGTGAAATACAATTTTTTGGAACATATTTCCCCAATGCGATTTTATTTTTTAATTGTTTATTAAATTTATTTTTCTTTCTCCCCACGCATTGTAAAACCTACATTTCAGCCAGCTCCCAAGTGGTTAACAATAAAAATTGATTTTAATTTTTAAAAAAATCATTGGGCAAAATCTTCCTTGGCATGCACTTTATTTTTAATGTATTCACTGATTTAATATTTTTCATTTATTTCAGCAGCCCAATGCACACTGACGTTGGAGCAAATCTCACTGATGGGAAATGGGGCTTACTCCCCAGTAGACAATCATAAGTGATTTCCTACCCCCCCCCTCCCGCACAGTCAGGTGAATTTCGGAACACAAGAACCTGCCTCAGATCTTGGATCTATCTAGCTCTCGGTCTACATTGACTGGTAGTGGCTGTCCAGGATTTCAGTCGGGTCTTTGCCAGGGATACGTGGAGATGCCAGGAATTGAACCTGGAACCTTCTGCATGCAAAGCAGATGCTCTACCGCTGAGCTATGGCCCTTCCCCAAATGTGCTGTACCCACTGCATTGCAGCCTTTCCTTGTATGATGCAAACCAAACTGGAGCAAGAGGAGGGGGTCATTCACCCCTGATACTCTAGTATTTTTGTGCGCCAACACCCATCCTCCCTCCCTAGCTTTTAGTAGTGGCCTTGGGAAAGGTGGCTGCGGAGGGAGATTTCTCCCCCCAACTCAACATTCAGGCCTCCAACTGGACTCTGTAAATATTGATTCTTCCAAGGTTAGGGCCAAAGTCTGCTTGGAAACCCCACAGGGCAGCTTTTCCAAATGCCCATTCCTGGGAAAGACATGGCCCTGTGTCCCAGGCTGCCCATAGGACATGAACCCAAGTTAGGAGGCCCCACAGTCCCCACCACTTCCAAGAATCTTGTTTCTGAATGTGGCCAAAGGTCACTCTCATCCGATGCCCTGTTTCCAAGGCCAGTCAGTCAGATGTTTTTTGGGAAGACCACAAGCAAAGGGATGGAGGAAACAGTCCTCCCCTGTAATTGGCCTCCCTGTTCTCTGGATATTGTGCCTCTGGACATGGAAGTTCTATTTTAGCTGTGGCAGTAAGGCTGGTTCCAGAAGGTTGGCAGCGCTTGGTATTTACCAGGGCCCCAAGACCCATGGCGCTGCAACATCTTCTTCGAACAAAACACCCAGGAAGATCAGGAGTAGCCTGGGAGAAGTCTCAGTTTGTGCATCATGGCTGTTCCAAATTATGGGGGCCCAATGAGAGTTCAGTGCCTGAGCCCACTCCCAAATCCTGGAGCCATCGATTTTCCTCCATGGATGTGTCCTATCCCATTTCAAAGCCAGGGAAAGCAGTTGCTATCACCACCACCTCCTGAGGCAGCCAATTCAATAAATTAACAATGTACTATGTGATGAATTAAATTTATTTTGGCTGTCCTGGATGTCTTGCCAGTCAGTTTTGTTGGCTAGCCCCGAGTTCATTATTACAAGAGAGGGTGGGTAAATCGCCTTCCTCCCCACTTTCTTCACGCAACACATGCTTTTATCATCCTCTATCGTGCTTCTCTTGGGCGTCTTTGATTCTTAACCCAGGGACGGGGGACCTCAGCCCCAGGGGACACATGTGGACCTCCACAGCCCTCCATCTGGCCCTTGGGACTCTCCCCAGGCCACACCTCCTCCAGAGCCCAGCTCGGCAACCTCCTTGAGGGTTTTGCCTGGCTGGAATCTGTCCTTGAACTGTGATAATGCTCTTGCTTATCTGGATGGGGAATAGAATGTGTATATAGAAACCAACCAATTGCACAAAGGTAAGATTTACATTTGTTACTCTTTTGCCTTTGGCCCCACCCACCACTGACATGTGGCCCCCAGGAACTTGTCAAGAATAGAATGTGGCCCTCAAGCTGAAAAAATGTTCCCCACTCCTGTTTTAACTGAAAAGTCTGTGAACTAGAGTTGTTAGGAGACTGCTATTCCCCTCCCACAGCTACAATTCCCTGGGAAAAGGGATTGGTGGCTAAATCACTCAGGGTATTCTTTTGGTACTGACATGCTTGCCACCCTGGGATCCTTTGGAGGAATTACAGTACTGTACAGTAAGCCCACAACCTGCGTGCATGTATCTTGTGCACATTCAGCCTTATGGACTTGGGAAAGATTAAAAAATAGACAGTATATATTAAGGGGGCAGATAGGGGAAAAAAGACTTCTGCAATCCCAACCGCCATTGCACCCAATGTGTTTTGACTATGTGCAATTTTGGCTTTAGGTGCAATCCCTGGAATATAACCCCTGTGTAAGTTGCTGGCTTATAAATTTATAAATTTAGCAAAATACAGTAATAATAATTAGGGTTGGCCCAGGTCAGGAGCACCCCAGACCCCGAGATTTCAGGGCCCAAAACAGAGACCTAGAGGAGGCCACTGGTGTCATCATCAGGGGCGGCCCATCCATTAGGCAAGATGAAGCCACTTGCTTCAGGCAGCAGATCTGCCTCCCTGCCCCGCCTCCCTATTGTGCTGCTGCCAGCCCCAGCAGGCTTTCACCCGTGGCCCACATAATCCCACTGCCCTTGCCACTGCATCAGGGCAAGACTGGTGGCAGGGTGTAGGCAAAACCCCTCGGGCCAGCCCTGGGGGTCATAGGGAGACAAGCCCTGGTGTTGTCATGGGGGTGGGCCCTGGTGATTCTTCCTTTGCGCTCCCTCCCACCACTGAGCCCTGGAGACGGAGGTTCATTGGGAGAGGGGAGGGGAGGAGGGCAGATCCCTCAAAGAGTCTGTGCAATAATTTGGAGCTGGCTCCTGCTGGACTAAAACTTGCAAGCTGCATGTGTAGTCTTCTTGATCAATTTTTTTTCAGGCACGCTCTCCCACGTGGAGATTGGAGCCCTCCCCCTGCCAGCTGGAAGGGGCCAAGCAAACCTGGAGGCTTCAGGGCAGCCCTGGAGGTCTGGCAGCCCTAGGAATAATAGATAGCAGAGTATGGTATGTGACCTGGTCAAGAGAGAGGGGGAGGCAGGAAGCTCCCGGGCACACGTCAGCCAAAGAAGGGGAAGGGTGAAATATTGTGCAGAGGCCCAGGCGCCAGAGCCGAGGCTGTGAACACACTCAATGCAAACCCTTCCAAAGAGACCACCACAATATATTAGACATATATGGTCTGGAGACTAGCCGATAGTGAAATATGTAAATACTTGCAAGTGTGACAAAATGAGCAGAAAGGAGAGAGGACCACGGACACGTCATCTCAAGACCAACCAGCCGTTCTAAAGACAAGACCTTCAAAGGCAGCCGTGCTGCCAGCTCAGTGCAGTTTTGCGATGCGATTTAGCCATATATGTCAAAGAGCAAATGTCTGTTTCCCAGCCTCTGTTTTGGTGGACAATTTTGGCCACGAGTTAGAATTGACACCCCCCTCCCCCCAGCACCCTTGGCTCTGTCACTGTCCCTGGTCCAGGAACCAGACTCACAGAGATGTGAAAAGCAATGCTTTTCTTGCCGTGCCACAAAGGGAAATCTAGTCTCTAGTTCAGGGGTCAACGGGCCAAATCTAATTCACAGGCCAAACATCAGACTTCCCCATTTGTCCCGCCATGCCATTTTTCTGCACCAATGGCCAACTGCCCCACACCCTGATGTCATTTTGTGGGGAAACTGGCTGGTGTACCTGAACCTGAAGTAGGATTGACCCATCCGGTTCAGGAAGTCTGGTCCTGCTTGGGCCACTCCCAAGGGCCAACTTGGACAAATGGGTGGGAAAACCCACCTGCCAATCACCTTACATCAATGTAGCATCAGATGATGGGCATGTGGGCCGTCCCACCTACCTGTTAAAAGTCAGTCTTCTGGGAAGGTGGGTGGAACATTCAGAGAGCTGTAGATCTTTGTGAAGGGCCGGAGAACCTGCCTCCTTCCAGATATTGCTGGACTACAGTTCCCATCATTCCTGGCCACGCTGGCTGAGTCACGAGTCCAGCAACATTTGGAGTGCCTGCGTGTAATTATCTGGATGGTAGGGCTTTGCCCAGTGATATGCGGACGAAGGAAGAAATGACAAGCCTTCCCCTGAGCACATGAGGAGTGCATAACCACACACAGTTTCTAGGATTCAAAGGCTTCCAAGTTGAAGAACCCGTGGATTCCACAAATGGGAAGCCTTTGGAGTCCTCGCACGTCCCCGTTTAGGATCAAACTGCTTGTTGTTACAGAGCCAGCTCCTTATTCTTCATGTGAAACTCACACAGCCAGGATCCCCCCACCCGACACACACACAGACACACACACACACTGACACACACAGCCGGCATGGGCTGGGGAATCCATGCGGAGAAGCACGTCTCCGCCTGGCACTGCCAACGCTGGGCATGGCTGGGCCCATTCAGCCAGCCTGGGAAAGAAAGGAGCGAGGGACTCAGTCATTCACGGGCCCTGAAAAGAGGAGTCGAGTTCCACGGGGCTGGGGAGGGCCAGAGGGAGGGCTCTGTGCTAACAACAGCAGCCCAACTGGAGCTGCAGGAAAAGCCCGGCACTTTTCCGCCCTGGCCAAAATACCTTGCCAATTTATAAACAGCTACCCATTAGCCATAATAGCTAAATGGGAACGGTGGAGCAGCAAGTAGACATGGAGCCAAATGGAGCCTCCACAAGCAGGGACAGTCTACTCTATACCAGATGCTGGCAGTGGGAGGGCGGCACAACAGGAGGAGATGGCTATTGTCTCTATGCCATGCTTTGTGGGCTTCCCGGGGCGTCTGGCTGCTGACCACTGATGGAAGCAGGATGCTGGGGCAGGTGGAGGGTAGACTCTGGATTTTTATATCTCTGTGGCCTGGCAGAAGACTTGCTTGTCTCTTCCAGAAATGCAAAGAATGCCCTTCTTAGAATGAGGCAGCCTCCTCTAGGATGTAACAGGGATCCCTTGTGGATACTTTCCCATCCATTCATAGCACCGCCACCCACTTTTTTCCTTTTGCGAAACCTTTGGCAGAAAGTCTGCTTCCGTGTATTCAGCAGCAGCTGGGGCTAAATATGTTTCACTGAAATATTCCACCAGCACTCCTTTACCCCGTCTGCATTTCCTTCCTCTGCCCTGAGGCAATTTCTAATTTGTAAGCTTGCCCCCTTTTACTCTGTCAAACACCATTGAGATCTATAAGGTGTGGGGGACCTTTGGCTCTCCAAATGTTGGTGAATTATAAATCCCCTGGCCCCTGCCCATGCTTGATGGAGCTGATGGGAGTTGTAGTTCATCAACATCTGGAGGGCCAAGGTTCTCCACATCTGCTGTAGATGAATAGAGATTAAGGTTTTAATGCCACAGTAAACATGCACGTGCCCAGGATGTTTCCACTAATAGCAACTTGGTGGGGTGGGGGGGAGTGGGAAGGGTTTTGATTCAAGAAATGGCACAGGAGAAAGGGTGAAATACAAATTTCCTCTTTCCTTGAGATTTTCCAGATAAGCTGGCCACTAGAAGTACCTGTAATTAAGAACATGCACCTGAGTTTGATTATTTCCTCCTTCCCACCCATTTTCCTTTTGTGCTATGTCTTTTTAGAATGTAAGCCTGAGAGCAGCCATAAATGTCTCATTTACGGTTGCCTATATGCTGCTCTAGAAGTCTTTATTTGGCTGAAGAGCAAAATAAAAATTATTTAAATAAATACATAAAATAAAATAAAGCCTATCTTCCCTGAGCAGCATTGCCCTGGCCAAAATTAGAGTCCCTTCTGGCCGCCATTAGGTAAATGGGGGGGGGGGGGTATGGGAAGTCTGCTCACAAATCTCCTGCACAAATAGCATTGCATTTGCTCATGCTTATTCCTAGGGATGCGGGTGGCGCTGTGGTCTAAACCACAGAGCCTAGGGCTTGCCGATCAGAAGGTTGGCAGTTCAAATCCCCAGGTACCGCTCCGGCGGGAAGGTAAACGGTGCTTCCGTGCGCTGCTCTGGTTCGCCAGAAGCGGCTTAGTCATGCTGGCCACATGACCCAGAAGCTGTACACCGGCTCCCTCGGCCAAGAAAGCGAGATGAGCACCGCAACCCCAGAGTTGTCCAGGAATGGACCTAACAGTCACATCTTGCTTTCATTTAACTCCAGATTCAACATTTGAACTGACCACTCCTAGGGGCAGGGGGCTTACCTAACATCTGCTCTAACCTGTTAAGCATCATATATATTGCTAGCCTGTTAATTGTTAAGTTGGAGCTGCAACAAGATGCTGCAGCACAGCAAGATGTTGTTTGAGAATCCAGCTAGCTGTGCCCTATTCCAGAACACTCCATTCCATAGCCACCTAATAGTCAACCACCTTTCTGTGGCCATTGAGTATGCTCAGTCCTTATTGGAGTGTTTTTGGGGTTTCCCCCGACTTAGGATTCTTTTCCCAAATCTTTTGTGTGTGTGCGTGCGCAAGGGGGAAATAGCTGCTCTGTTTGGTGTTTGTGTATGTCAATACATGCATTCATTTGTTTGAGTGAGCAGGCTTATCAATGGTCACTCATTAGCTGAAGTGCCCTGGGCTTCATAAACATTTAAGTAAAGTCAAATTTCCCCAGATATTTAACCCTGGAAGCTATTATGAACTGTAACACTTTCACTGTAAAATCCAAAATTCCTTTGAAAATACAGCTGAACTCACCCCACACATTGCCTCCTTCTCCCCACCCTGTCCTAATTTAAATTTAGGAGCATAGGAATCTGCCTTCTACTGAGTCAGACCGTTGGCCCATCCACCTCAGTATTGTTTACTCTGACTGGCAGCCGCCCTCAGGTTTCAGGCAGGGAGTCTCTCCTAGCCCTTCCTGGAGACGCCATGAGGGACTGAGCCTGGCACGTTCTGTTTGAAATTTAGATGCTCCATCACTGAGCTACCATGAGGCTTGACCTTTGCCGCTGTGACTCTGTCAAGCGGGGTTGCAAACATGGCACCCTTGGGTGCACAGGTAAGCCACAGAAGCCTTTCCTGGTGCCCACGAGGTCCCCTGCTGAAATCAGGCTAGCTCAAACTAGAAGGCAGACTGTGCTTGATCTGCAGTGTGTGTGTGTGTGTGTGTATGTGTGTTGCCCACAACAACTTCTCTGGTTTGTAAATGTGCCCACTAAAATGGGCGAACCCCACCAAACTACCCATGATGAAGAAGAACGGCATTGTGGGATGGCGTTCTGGAAGCCACGCAAGGCAGAGAGGTCGCGGCTCCCAGGAGCTGTGTCATAGTGGCAGATCTTTATGTTAAGAGTAATATTCCCTCTCATAAAAGAGCGGCTCTTTGTGACTCTTCTCCTTCAGCCTGGAAGAGGGTGGGATGCCGGAAGCCTCCCCAACACACCACAAAACGTGGGAAGAAAGCGAGTGAGGGGCGGGTGGGAAAAGAAAAGAAAGCTCCCTCAGAGGAGAGACAGTTATAAATTAGAAGCAGCCCAGGAGAGGCCCAGGACAAACAGACGACCAGTTTAGCGGTTGTTGTTTTTAAATATGAGTGGGACCGATCTCAGTGTCCTGACACTGAGGAGATGCTCCTTCAGTCTGCCTTCCATGGGAGTGTGGTACGGCTCTTGCGTGTGGTACAGCCTCCTTCCGCTGTGAAGAGAGGTAATCCGGTATGGTGTTGCAGTGGTAGATAAAGAAGACTGCTTCTCCTTCCCCAGCGACCATTGGACGTCTCCTTGGCAAGTCCCGTGCTTCATTCCCACCAGAGAAAAGTCATCCCCGACCGAGAAAGGTCCGAGATCCAAACTCCTCCAAGTCCTGGCTTCCCGTGCAGCTACGCTTTTGCTTTCCTGCCGGATCGCCTGCGGTGTTTCACACACCTGCAGTAAGAATAAACCCTCCTTTAAAAATGTCCTCGGGTTTCTTTATACCTGTGGGGACTGGCTCCCACTGGGGCTGGCAGGGCGGAAGTCAGGGAGCCCAGCAATAGGTGGGAGCCGAGGCAATGACAGTTGTAAGGAGAAGGCATGCAGGCATAGACTGAATATTCAAACAAACCGCTGTGTTGCAAAGAGAATGTCAACAGTCTAGGCAACACGATGACCATATACATACGTAACAGACAATCTTTATAAAATTCCTTCAAACCATAAAATGTTCAAAATGAAACCGTTAGTCTCAAAGTCTCTGAAAATCTTTAAATGAAGCGAGGTACCAAACTTTGTACGATGAAAGACAAGCTGTGAAGCTTTGTGTATTCAACAAATATGATGTCCAACACTGAACAGTGATTCCGGATATTGACTACTGTTTCGTAGAATTCTTCGTCAGCGTGGTGGGAGGATAAACAATGCTTCATAAACCCATCTTATTTTGAAGGAATTCTATAAAGATTGTCTATTACGTATGTATATGGTCATTGTGTTGCCTAGACATTGTTGGCATTGACTGAGGGCAGACTGAGGGTGGTGGGGAGGGGCCCCCTTTGCCCAAACAGAGTAACCGTCTCTGCTTGCGTCCCTTCAAGGGGTCACAGGAGGTAGAAATGTTTTCTGGGGTGCATTCAGAAAACTAGCCCCACCCCCTCCGTCTGGCACCTGCATTCCGAAAAGGGTGACTTTCATAATGGGGAACCAAAGTTTAAAAACTTGAAGCCGTTGGTTTGAGTTCTACCCCCATAGCAGGAGAAAACTTGCTTGTTCCACACGGAAGATGTAGCCAGTATGTTTTCTCCTGCTCTTGAGGGAAGGACTCAAACCAATGGCTTCAAGTTACAAGAAAGGAGATTCTGACTAAACATCAGGAAAAACTTTCTGACGGCAAGAGCTGTTTGACAAGTGGAATAGTCTCCCTCTGTGGGTTGTGGATTTTTTCCTTCATTGGAGGTTTTTAAGCAGAGGCTGTGTCATGGACACTTTAGTTGAGATGTCTGCATTGCAGGGTGTTGGACGAGATGACCATTGGGGTCCCTTCAAACTCTACGATTCTATGAAATGAAATAAGCCAAGTTGTTGGCTTGGATCCAGGTACCTTAAGAGGTAACATTTCCCATAATGCCCTGGGAGTTGTGGGCAATTAAAATGGTGGCCCTAAGCCACAGATCTGACGTCGTTGCTACTGGCTGGAGCTGCTGCCCGTTAAAGCCTGCCAGGGCCCACCAAAAGATTGGGGGGTGCCACTAGCACGCACTTGGCCCAAGACTCCCTCAGGCCCAATAGTATCTGGAAGGTACTACACTGGCGGTCCCTAGCCTGAAAGCCCACCATTAGAGGGATGTTCAGGGTTGGGGGGGAAGGGAGGTGAACCCCACCTGCAAGTGGCCTTGTTGAATTCCCAGCCACGCTGCTGACAACGGACGGAATCACGCTTGCATACGCATTCACATGTCAGTGGGTTGACCCGCTTCTTCCTGTCCGGACAGGGTGCGCAGGACGGGCTGTTGGGAGAGGAAAATCCCAGATGAAGCAACATCTTGGAGGAGTGCCCTCCAAATATGTGGGGTTACAAGCTCACCCCACATTTCCCTTCTTTTTAATTGTTTTCAGACAGCGTCCCTCCTGTGCCTTTTAGCATATGGAGGGTATGTGTCCCCTTTTTACAAAGGACATTCCTCGATTCGGAGCTTTGGGGCTACTTTTGGTTGCAACATTATTGGATTTTTTAAAAAACAAGTTTACCTATTGGTGAGCTTTGTGTTCATTTAAATTTCGATGTACGTTACATGAACCGTTGATTGTTCTTTTTATTCCCCCCCACTATTGATATTATTATGTATTCTCACTGTACTACCTTGTCAATTAAGCAGTGTTAAGAGGTATATATAGAAATTAATTGTATGTATTAAGCAGGATATAAATGAATTATTGTTATGGCTAATACAGTTTTGGATTGCTTTTATGCGAACTGCTTTGAACACAGATGTATTTGCAGAAAATGTGATTGATAAATAAACTGAATATGACTAGAGTGAGTCCTCTGTTTGAAAGGTTATCTGGTCCAAGTACTTATGGCTCTGGGTTGTGTCCATTGTTTGTTAAGGGTGCTGAGAGTTGTCAGAAGACACCTATTCCTCTCACAGAACTACAATTCCCAGAGTTCCCAGGGAAGAGGGGTTGATTGTTAAACTACTCAGAAAATGAGGGGAAGGGGGGGGGGTTACTAGCATCTTTTAGCACCCTTATCAGACTATAGCTTTCAGAATGTTAAAGTGGTGTAATACTGTTATAAACGTATACTGCAAATGGGGCCGAAATTCTATTCAGGGTAGACCCCCTGAAATTAATAATCTATGTCACTCATGCCCATTAATTTAGGGGGCCTACACTGAGTAGGACTAATATTCAGGGGCGGAGCAAGGGTGATGTGGTGGGGGCGGTCCGCCACAGGTGTCACCACTGAGGGGGTGACAAAATGCCGGGGCCTGCTGCGTCCCCAAGCCATGCGTCTCTCCATGCTGCCCCAAACGGTCGGCCTGCCACCTCCCCCTCAGCTGTAGGGCAGCTGAGTGGGAGGAGGCAGTCAGACTCCTCGGAGGCCCCTTGGGCGCAGGGCACATGCCCGATCGGCTTGCTCCACCACTGCTAATATTGGATGCAACCCAAAGAACCATAAGATGTATTTTAATGCAGGGAGTTGGACTAGGTGACCCTAGACGACCTTTGCAACTCTAAAATTCTATGACTCTATTGATGCTCCCCCAACATCATCATCATCACCATCATTATTATTACAATATTATAATTATTAATTACCCACCTTTTACCCTAAATTCCAAGAGCAGGTAACAACAATCACAGCAATTAAACTATTAAAAACCAGTTAAAAACCTACAACCACAGAAATAAGGTGGGTCGTAAAAATATACAGTGGTACCTCGGGTTACATACGCTTCAGGTTACATACGCTTCAGGTTACAGACTCTGCTAACCCAGAAATAGTGCTTCAGGTTAAGAACTTTGCTTCAGGATGAGAACAGAAATCATGCTCCGGCGGCGCGGCAGCAGCAGCAGGAGGCCCCATTAGCTAAAGTGGTGCTTCAGGTTAATAATAATAATTAATAATAATAATTTATTATTTGTACCCCGCCCATCTGGCTGGGTTTCCCCAGTTAAGAACAGTTTCAGGTTAAGAACGGACCTCCAGAATGAATTAAGTACTGAACCTGAGGTACCACTGTACATCTCAAGTTTCAGAGTACAGTGGTAATTCTGGTTTTGGATGGGATCCGTTCCGGAGGTCCGGTTGGATCCCGAGTTTTCCTGAACCTGAGGACTGCTTCTGCGCATGCGCAGACCGTGCGGCGAAATCCGGTAAAATACTTCCGGTTTTGACATGCACGCATCCCGAAGTTTACGTAACCAGAGGGTAACGTAAATGGAGGTTTTGACTGTAATGTTTGTATATTGGTACAGGGGGCTTGAGGGGAATTAAAACCTACACACACACACACAATAGAGGCCTATAAGAGGGAGAAATTTTTTTACCTGTGCGTGGGCAATCTATAAACTTCCTTTGGTCTGAAAAGCAGAAGAATAAGGTTAGTATTTGGTGCTTGTTCGGCATTGATGGCTCCCAGCACTACCTAATCATTGCTCTTCCACTGCAAGCCTGCGAGCAGAATTATAACTGGCTTAAGAACATAATAAGAGTCTGGCTGCTGGATCAGACCAAAGGGCCATCTAGTCCAGCATCCTGTTCTCACAGAAACTTATGGGGAGCCCGCAAGCAGGACCTAAACACAGGAGTGATCTCCCCTCCTGAGGCTCTCTGGCACTGGCATTTGGGATCATCATACTGCTTCTGAAAGAGAAGGGTGAACCTAGTCATCCTGGCTCATAGCCACTGGCTAGTAACCTTCTCCTCCATGAATTTGTCTAATCCTCCTTTGAAGCCATCCAGGTTGGTGACTATCACGGAATGGTCCCAATCACCTGTCTCTTCTTCAGCAGCCCCCCACCCTTCTGACTCTCACCTGCATTCACAGGTAGCGTGCTCCTCAAAAGTCAGCTGCTGCAAGTGGCTGCGTTGGAACTTGCTCAACAATAACACCTGGAGAATGGGAGAAAGGAAGGAAAAAGGAGACCATAAGAGGAGTGTTGATGGTTCTGACCCAGAATTCATCTGGGCAAGGGATTGAGGCCCGGTGGCCCTCCAGATGATGTTGGACAAACTCCCATCATCCTTAGTCATACCAGCATCTCTACCCGTCAGATGGGATGTGGGTGGCACTGTGGTCTAAACCACCGAAGAAGAAGAAGAGGAGGAGGAGGAGTTTGGATTTGATATCCCGCTTTATCACTACCCAAAGGAGTCTCAAAGCGGCTAACAATCTCCTTTCCCTTCCTCCCCCACAACAAACACTCCGTGAGGTGAGTGAGGCTGAGAGACTTCAGAGAAGTGTGACTAGCCCAAGGTCACCCAGCAGCTGCATGTGGAGGAGCAGAGACACGAACCCGGTTCATCAGATTACGAGTCTATCGCTCTTAACCACTACACCACACTGAGCCTCTTGGGCTTGCCAGTCAGAAGGTTGGCAGTTTGAATCCGTGCGATGGGGTGAACTCCCATTGCTCTGTCCCAGCTTCAGCCAACCTAGCAGTTCGAAAGCACACCAGCACGAGTAGATAAATAGGTACCGCTGTGGCGGGAAGGTAAACTGCATTTCTGTGTGCTTTGGCATTTGTCATGGTGTCCCGTTGCACCAGAAGCGGTTTAGTCATGCTGGCCACATGACCTGGAAAGCTGTCTGAGGACAAAAACCGGCTCCCTTGGCCTGAAAGTGAGATAAGCGATGCAACCCCATAGCCAGCTTGGACTGGACTTAACCGTCCAGGGGTCCTTTACCTTACCTTACCCATCAGGTGTGGGGCAAGTGGGCATGGCTTGGGGAGAAGCAGCCTCACAGGCCAAATTTGGACCCCATGGTGGTCAAAATTTGGCCTGTGAGGCTGCTTCTCCCCAAGCCAGAGGTTCCTCACTCTGCAAAATGCAGACTTTAGGGGCCTAAAAAAAAGAGCTCCCACCTTATAAAATAAAAATAACCAGGTAGCTGAATAACTAACTAATCAAAGGACAGTATATGTGTATATAACCTGTTAAGATATTTTTACTCACCTTGCAGGGCTACATTTTCCAGAGCTCTCTGTGGAGAGGGATTGGTTGTTAAACCAATCTGGGAACTGTAACTCTGCAAGTGCTTTCCGCTTGTGGTATGAATGTGGCCGATATGTCTAAAAATATTGTGAAGCTTTTTATTTTTATAATTATATTGAGAACAAACCAGAGCAAATATTCTGGGGGGAAAAACAAAACCAGATTTTGTGGCTGTGGTTCACTTATTTACTTTTTCATTTTTGCAGGTGGGGGCAAGTTAACCTCACATGTAACCAAGAACTGGCCTATCAACTTTGCAGGATCCTTCCCTCTTCTTGAAGGGTGCTAGGTGTCCTGGAAATATCCTGAGCCATGAAGGCTAGCCCTTTAGGATGAAAGGGGCACTGCCCACCTGCCTCAATCTGCCCCCACCGAGAATATAAGAAGAGCTTTGCTGGATCAGGCCAGTGGCCAACAGTGGCCAACCAGATGTCTCTGAGAAACCCACAACGGCTGTCTCTGAGAGCAACTCTCCCCACATGAATATGGAGGCATCCTGCCTCCACAGGGAGAACATAGCTGTCGGCTGCTGCCACCACCACTCTGGAGGGCAAAAGGTTCCCTGTCCTGGCCTTACTGAGGGGATTTCCCCTATTCTTGCCCCAGGTCATTACCTCCATGGTCACTGTATACGTCCGGGACGGCATACACTGTGCCGATTCATCAGCGCAGCAGCCCACACAGCGCTTTAGAGCCACGCAGGAGGGCACAATGAGGTGGCTGATGACTAAGTCCGGGTACTCCTTGTCCAGAGATACCATTGTCTCCTTGGCTTGGCAGGCACTGCGGCTGAACACCTCCAGGAACCTCACCACTAAAAGAAGAAGAAGGGGTTAAAAGCATTGTCAGAGGACGATCTCTGAGGAGGGATGGAGGAGGAGGTATCCATTTCAAACAGATTTAAACATTTAATTTGGTGGCTCTGACCAGGGGTGGGCAAATCCCAATCTCCGTTTCTCATTTTTCCTGGCTTAAATTCAGTTCTCCCCATTTCCGCATTTGCAATTGGGTGTTGTTCTTTGTTTTTAAAGTGCTTGTCATTTTTTGTCAGCATTAGTGTGTATTTATCCCAATATATACATAAGAAGAGGGACGCGGGTGGCGCTGTGGGTTAAACCACAGAGCCTAGGACTTGCCAATCAGAAGGTTGGCGGTTCGAATCCCCACAACGGGGTGAGCTCCCGTTGCTCGGTCCCTGCTCCTGCCAACCTAGCAGTTTGAAAGCACGTCAAAGTGCAAGTAGATAAATAGGTACCGCTCCGGCGGGAAGGTAAATGGCGTTTTCGTGTACTGCTCTGGTTCGCCAGAAGCGGCTTAGTCATGCTGGCCACCTGACCCGGAAGCTGTACGCCGGCTCCCTCGGCCAATAAAGCGAGATGAGCACTGCAACCCCAGAGTCGGCCACGACTGGACCTAATGGTCAGGGGTCCCTTTACCTTTCCCTATACATAAGAAGAGCCTGCTGGATCAGGCTAGTGGCTACTGTGAGAGCATCCTGTTCTCACAGTAGCCAACCAGATGCCAGTGGGGAACCCACCTCATGCAAGATTCAGGCACAAGAACTCTCTGCCCTCTTGTGTTTTTCAGCAAGGGGGAAATCAGGAGCTTAACTACCTCCAGGTGTGAGGGCAGAGCATGATCATCATGGCTAGGAGGCACAGATAGCCCTCTCCCCCATGAATTTGTCTAATCCTCTTTCAAAGCCATGTAGGATGGTGGCTGTCACTGCTTGCAGTGGGAGGGAGTTCCACAGCTTAACTGTGTGCTGAGTGAAGAAGTACTTTTTTATATATAAAGCTCTCCTGATTCCTCCAACATTCACCTTCATTGGATATCAATAAGTGTTATAAAGTGTTATAAAGAGGGAGAAAAAAAATCTCTATATATATACTTTCTAAACACCATGCATAATTCTATAAACTTCTGTCGTGTCAGCTGTTGTTGAGATTTTTACTAAGCCAAAAAGTCCCAAAGCTGGAACCTTTCCTCACAGCGGTTGTCGCTCCATCCCATGGCAGCCTAAGGCCCGGGGGCCGGATGCGGCCCAATCGCCTTCTAAATCCGGCCCACAGATGGTCCAGGAATCAGCGTGTTTTTACATGAGTAGAATGTGTGCTTTTATTTAAAATGCATCTCTGGGTTATTTGTGGGGCATAGGAATTCGTTCATTCCCCCCCCCTAAAATATAGTCCAGCCCCCCCCCACAAGGTCTGAGGGACAGTGGACTGGCCCACGGCTGAAAAAGGTTGCTGACCCCTGCTCCATCCCCTTGACAATTTTAGGTTGAGCTTTTTGGAAACTTTTCCAACTGTAAGATATCCTTTTTGAGGTGAGGTGACATCTTGGTACTCAACTTTGCCTGACATGCGCATCATTTGGCAAAGCAATTTCCCCTGACATAATCCATTTCTGTCCGTCATTTTCAGGAATATATGCATTTTTAGACACTCTTTCTAGTAGTATATACATTTCTAGACACATTGGCTAGAGAATGGCATTGCAAAATTAGGAATTTCGAAGGGCAGCTGTTTTGGTTTGTGTATCATTTCAGAATGTTGGAGTTTGTTAGTTCAGGCTTTCAGTGCAAACCGAGCCAAATTTCTTCCCCACTCCCAGAGAGAGCCCCTTGGAGTGTGATACAAATGGAAGAAATAGCTAATAAAGCTCACACATAATTATCGATGGGCATGGTGCTGTAAACCATCAGCAGGAATAAAAATAAACCAGAGCCCTGGTTAAGAAGTCTAAAAATTTGAGAGTGGTGTTAATGAGGCATGAGCTGTGAGCAAAGCGGAAGGATAGCAAGTTTACTGAGAATCGGACAGGAAGGGGATGGAAGGAGTCTTCTACTCCTCAACCACCATCCTTGTCCGACAATAGTTAGGTTCAATATCCTGTCCTGCTAATTAGTTTCTTTCCCCATTCAGTGAGGGAAAATGTGTATATTAAGGGAAACTGCAAACAAACCTGGGCATGTTTGGAGAAATCCACCCTAAAATGCCGATAAATTTTCATGGGGATATTTCTTTTTAATTGCAGACTGGTGTGGAAATGTAGAGATCTGAACTTACAACTGGGGAAAAATGAGAAACCGAGAGAACCCAAAATGGGCAGATTTAACCTACTCTTCCCTTTCATTTTATCGTCACAACAGTCCTGTGAGGTAGGGCCAGGCTGTGAAAGAGATTCACCAACCCAAGATCAGGTCCCCCAATGGGCTGCATTTGAACCCAGGTCTTCGCAGTCCTAGACATGTGAGCTCAAAATCTGGGGCTGAAGGAAGATGTGTTTTGGGGTGTTTTTTCTAACAGTCCCTCTCTCTCCGTCCAGGAGTGATATGCACCCCCACTCTCAAAACCACTGTCCTCAAACTCTGTGGCTCTTACCTTCTGTAACTGGCTCCACAACTGGTTCCATCTCATTAGTTGGATGCGGCAGAATCTGCAGATAGATCAGAAACAGCAGCGGATCAGAAATAGGGAAGACACTTTGAGGAGTCTGCTTCAAGCTATCTGGGCCACAGGGATCCATGCACTGGCAACCTCTGGGCTTGATCACTGCCATGCGCCCTGCATGGAGCTTGGTCCAGAGACTGCAGCTCCTGCAAAACACTCCCACTAGAGTCTGTTGGTGGGGACAGACCACAGCCAGCACACAACTCTGGCGCTTAAAAACATGCGCTGTTGTGGGGGACATGTCTGCACCATTTTATGGTCCCCTCTCTCCCCCCCACCACCACTCTGTGACACGTAGCAGCTTTTTTGAGCTATGCCACACATACACACAAACAAGGCAGCCATTTTGCGACTGGCGCTAATGGCATTTCCTCAGGATCCCAAATGTGCCTGCCCAAGAGGTAGATTGCCTCTGAACATGGAGGTTCTGTTTACATGTCATGGCTGAACAACCACCTCCACAAATTTGTCCAGTCCTCCCTTTTAAGGCCGTCTTTAAGGCAACCACCACCGCATCCTGTGGCAGTGAGTTCCACAAGTGAATTATGTCATGTGGTGTGAAGGAGCAGCCCTCTGCCAGCAAGAGTATTATAAGAGCCCTGATGCTGGATGAGGCAAAAAGGCCGATGGAGGCCAGCATCCTGTTCTCACAGTGGCCAACCATTGTCTATGAGAAGCCTGCAGGCAATGTTCCCCTTGTTCGTTCCCAGGATATTCCTCAATCCCATTTGGTTCTCTAAGCTTTCCTTCCATGGCACTGTCATCAGTGCATCTCATGGTAGCAAATTCCAGAAGCAGGTCATACACACATAGTGATCTTTCTTTCTTTCTTTCTTTCTTTCTTTCTTTCTTTCTTTCTTTCTTTCTCTCTCTCTCTCTCTCTCTCTCTCTATTACTGAAAGATCCCAAGGGGGGGGGGGCAGAAGACATGAAGGCTGTAAATGTGCTATAGGAATTATAATCTACAACTGTGTGTACTTACTATACATTGAAAGCACACCCAAAGCACACTCTTTCCCTCAAAGAATTCTGGGTGCTGTAGTTCACCCCTCACAGAGTTGCAATTCCCAGCAACCCTTAACAAACTACAGCACCCATAATCCTTTGAGGGAAAGAATGAGCCTGGATGCCTGGAGCAAATGGATTTTTAAACGGTTTTATTTAGAATATTTATATTGTCCGCTCATAGAGATGCCTGTCACTGAGCCAATTCCCAGTGTGTGCATAGTGGTGTAATGGTTAGGGTGTTGGACTGGGACCTGAGAGGCCAGGGGTTCAAATCCCCACTAGGCCATGAGTGGCCTTGAGCCAGTCATAGCCTCTCAGCCTCACCTACCTCACAGGGTTGTTGTGAGAATTACATGAAGAGGGGGAGAACCACATATGCCACCTTGAGTTCTTTGGAGGAAAAAAACTTTGGATACAAACACAGCAAATTATTATTATTATTATTATTTTGCATACCACCATACACCCACAGATCTCAGGGCAATTTACAATACAAAACTACAAAATAAAAATATATATAATAAAAATAAGAACAAACCAATCCAAAAATCCCGCTAGCAGCACCACTACGAAGAAATGTACTATTGGCTGTATTCACACTGTATTTCCCAAAGAATCCTGGGAACTGTAGTGGCTTAAAGGTGCTTGGATTTGTAGCTCTATGAGGGGTAAACTACACTTCCCAGAATGGTGCTGGAAAGGGGCAGGCCCAGTGCCAGTGGGGCATTGGCTGAAGGCCCCAGGGGCCTGGAAAAGTCCCTCAGCAGCTCCCCCACCACCCACCACCCTCCCTGCCAGGCTCCTGGGTGCTTTTCGGGTGGCTGTGTTGCTTTTGAACAAGAGCAAAGCTCAGCTGCTGCCACCACCAGTGGCTGCCCGCTGTCTTATGCAGCTCAAAGTTCACGTCCACACCATACATAAAAAGCACATGTTTTCCCTTAGACAACCCTGGGAACTATAGTTTGTTAAGGGTTCTGGGAACTGTAGCTCTGTGAGGGGTAAACCTCAGTTTCAAAGGTTATTTGGGGGGAAGCCATGTGCTTTAAATGTGTGGGGCACTTTTACAGAAGTTCCGCGTAGGATGACAGCCTGATCGGTGGGTGGACACGTGCATCGTTAAATTACCCATATGGAGGGCAGAAAATGCGAGCGCACATGGGGCCATGCCAGGGAGGGAGAGAGGGAATTTATTTGTCAGAAGCCATGTGGCAAGAACCCGCAACTCTTGAATAGCCAAGATCCAAGTAGCCAAGTTTGTCTATCGGCTGATTGGTGCACGGTGACTCTGTTTCTAAGCTTTGACCCACGAAATGCCCTTCTCTGTAGCATGAGGTGTGTGGGGGAGAGCAGTGGTTTGTAATTTTGCTGTAAGGATCCTTCCATGTGCAATGCTTTGAACATTTGAAAATGCAATACAGGTGTTATCTAGTTCGTAACCTTCATTATTATTTACATTTATTTTGCAAATCCTGCCTTTAAAAGTGGCATGCAAATTATGAATAAGGTCCAAGGTGGGTTATTGCTGGCTTTTGGGTTTTTTTTAAGAAAAAGCTAACAGTGCAATCCTAAAGAACTTTACTCAGAAGTGAGTCCCACTGAGCTTACTGTTACTCCAAGGTAAGCGTTGCAAAGGACGGCAGCCGAAATCCTAATATTCTCTCTGGCTATCATTTAGACACAGCTGGAGGGAAATCTTTTGGGGATTTTTACCTCTGTGACTGGCTAATGTGAAAGGATTGTTTATGTGTCCCAAGGTTTAGCTCCGTGATCCGTTTTTGATTTTTAATAACTAAGGCTGAATCTTGGAAACCCCTGCGAAGCAAAGAGCCTCTGAGCATTTGTCCCTCTTTACCGCCTTCCCTCCCCAAACCACAGTTAACACAAGATGTGTGGTAAAGGACATGAAGGGGCCCCTAATCTCTGGCAAGCAAAGTCCTTACATAGACCCACTTGCTGTCTCTTTCACAGCTGTGTCCCATGAGGGAATGCTCACTGACTGCATGCAAACCATGCATTTAAAGCATATTCTCCCCGCTATCTATCTATCTATCTATCTATCTATCTATCTATCTATCTATCTATCTACTGTTATTTAAGGGTACTGGGAACTGTAACTCTACGAGGACTAAACTACAGTTCCCAGAGGGTTTTTTGGGGGGGGGGATGCACTTTGAATTTGTACACAGTTCGAGTGGGGCACCCAAAGCAAAGCATCAGGATTTGAGTGAAACGGGAAAAAGTGGGGGGGGGGGAGAGAGAGAGATAGAAATGCCAAAAAACTTAACAGTCCAACCAGCACCACAGCTTTGACAATCAACGCATACTCGATCACGTGACACAGTGCACACACACTATTTGAATGGCAATGCCAACTGGGGGCACCCCCTCTGGTATTTTATTGGGGGGGTGGCAAAGGGACCTCGGCCCCTAGTAGTTGGCTCCTATGTCCTATACCATCTGGGCACACCAGTTTGGGCTATGAACTTCTCCCCGCGCCCCCTTCAAGAAAAGCCTCGCCCCTGCCTGCAATCCTGACAGCACCCCATAACCTCACCCCCTTCTGACACCCCTCTCTGTCTTCCTCCGCATTGGATGCCCATCTGAAACCCACCCACCCTTCTCTGCCAGCACCCATTTGTGTCAGCTCGCTACCCCATGCCTCTGCGGAGTTATTTAAAAAAACGAAACAAACCAAAAAAAACCCCAAACTTGCTTGCCATCTCTCTCCTCTCACCCCGCTTCTTTCTCAATGCCAGGGGCTTTTGGGTGCCACCTCCCAGCCACGCTCTCCGTGCGCCCCCCCCCCAACGTCCTGTGCCCACCTACCGTCGTGGCGGCGCAGTAGTGCAGCTGCAAGGTGGTAGCCAAGAAGAGCTGAAGGGCACCGCAGGGGGCGTTCATGGTGGTGCCAAGGCTGCCGCTGCCGCTGCTCCTGCCGGGCAAGGGGGCACACGCGCCCGCCTCGGGCTCCTCTTGGAGACTTTTCTCCAAAGTTTGCTGGCTCGGCGGCAGCTTCTGGGGCTGCTCTCCAGTCAATTGGGGAAGGAGGTCGTCCAGGATTCCCGCCCCCCCCCCGCCCCTCCTCCAGGATTTGCCACTCAGACAAAATGCCCAGCCGACGGGCAGCCGCCACTCAGGAACTGGGCATTGCCCCTGCACCTGGGCATGGCTCAGATCAGCCTGGTGCCCGGCGCAGCCTCTCGCTTCTCTCTCGGTGCCATCCTACTCCCAGCACCTGGGCGCAAGGAGAGCCAGGGGTGGGTACAGGTGCATCTCCGCAGCTGCTGCCGCCGCCGCTGCTGCCCAGGGAGGAGGTGGCGACGGCGGTGTCGTCGTGCCAGGCGGCCGCAGAAGTAACTGGGCTCCAAGTCGAGGGGGGAGAGAGAGAGAGGGAGACAGAAGCTGCTGGCACAGCGAGGAGAGGGAAGGAGGCAAGCGAGCTCTCATGTGACTGTTCAATCCCACCCTAAGGGAGGGAGGGAGGGAGGCTGAGCCTGGCGGCTGGCGCAGGTCAGAGAAAGAGAGACGGGTGGGGGGATTTGCACCCCTATCCCAAGAAAAACCTTGAACCAAACAGGTCAAGGAGGGTCTGCTTCACCCAGCATCCTGCACCCCATCACACCTTAAAGCAGCCACAGCTGGATGCTTTGGAGAGGTTTCCTCTAGAATTGGTGAGGGCAGCAGGCTTCAGGTCCCTTCAAACTCTACAATGTTGTGAGTCAGATGGTTAGACTATCCAGCTGTTTTCTGAAAACTGACAGGCAGCCGCTCTCCAGAGATTCAAGCAGGCAGTATTTCTCCTATACCTGAGTATCTCACTGAGGGATGAACCACTCTGCCACTGAGCTATGGTCCTTCTCTAAAAAATGAAACAAGATTCCAGTCCTCATTGTCTGCTCTATCGCTGAGTGATGTGTGTGGGTTTTGGGGAGGGCAGTTATCTTCTGCAACATGACATGGCGGGTTTATATTGGGCCATCCACACTGCCCTTTCGCTCTGTTGTTTTGCGAGGCTCCCCCAGGGTTAGCGCACTCTTGCTATTCAGAGGGGCGCTCTTGCGCAATGAAAGCAGGACAAAGCAACAGCAGCCCTGGAATATTTGCGGTATGAAAAGTTGCAGAATTTCAGCTGGAAGTTACAAGACTTGCACCGATTGGAAGTGACGCAGTCTGTCCCAAAACCTTTGCAGCCGGTGAACAAGAAGATTGAAAGCAGGATTGTGTATAATCGCCACCAAGCCATCATGAACACAAATAATCATGTACGAAAGCCTTCTGGAAGCTCACAACCAGGAATGGAGGTGACACTGCCATCCCTTGCTGTTTGTCCACCCAGCAGTTTAGCATTCAAAGGTAGACTACCTCCGGAGTTGGAGGTTCCATCAGGCGCTCTGCTGGGCTAAAAATTGGCAGGGTAGATTTCTCATACGCTCCTCCTTGGGAAGAGCCACAGAAGTCCAAGGGGCCGTCACACCCGGCCCATATTTTGTGGCCAATGTTAATCATGCATTTTTATAATATTTTTGCAACCCGCCCTGGGTCCTTACGGTGATAGCTGGGCGAGAGATCAGAATCTGAGAGATATGCCAGTGTGACGTAATGGTTAGAGCAGGCATAGGCAAACTCAGCCCTCCAGATGTTTTGGGACTACAATTCCCATCATCCCTGACCACTGGTCCTGTTAGCTAGGGATCATGGGAGTTGTAGTTCCAAAACATCTGGAGGGCAGAGTTTGCCTATGCCTGGGTTAGAGTGTCAGACTATAGGCCCTGGCAGAGCAGGGTTCAAATCCCCACACAGCCATTATTCTCACTGGGTTACCTTGGGCCAGTCACCATCTCTAACCTACCTCACAAGGTTGTTGTGAGGATGAAACGGGGATGAGATGAACCATGTACACCACCTTGGGATCTTTGGAAGATAACAGTGATATTATATATATAAATAAATGAATAAATAAATATTTTAGGTGGTCGATGCTGTGACTTGCAGTTTGTTCTACCCCAGAATGGGTAAAATAAATACACAGGGTTGGAGGGCACGCTCTGTCCAGTGTTGGCAAGGTCTCCTGCAGACTTTGCCAACCTGGTGCCCTCCAGGGTTTTGGATGGCAGCTCTCATCAGCCCCTCCAACTGGCAGGACCAATTGTCCCCCCTGTAATCTAACAACTGTTGTTACCCTCCCTAGCACTTATATTTTACAGCAAACTTTGCCAGCCTGGTCCATTTCCCCCCATGTTTTGGACTGAGCTGTATTTGAAAACATTGGGAGGGCACCAGGTTGGCAAACTTCCCCTCAAATGTGAACTAACAAACTAAACCACAGCCTTTACCTAACTCTCCTAGAGAGTCCTTACCAGAAGAGGGGACCCAGGAACACAGAAAGCTGCCTTCTGCTGAGTCATACCATTGGTCCATCTAGCTCAGCATTGTCTACACTGACTGGCAGCAGCTCTCCAGGGTTTCAGGCATAGAGTCTCTGTCGGCCCCACTTGGGGATTGAACCAGGGACCTTCTGCATGCCAAGCAGATGCTCTTGACCACTTGGCTACGGCTCGTCCTCCATGAAGCAGACTTCCTAAGCAGACTTAAAACCCTGGTACCTCTTAGTTCACCAATTAAGACACAGATTACGCTGCCTTGCTTGCTAAAGGAATCCAGCGACTGGGGAAATGCCTGGATTAGCCATGGGGTAGATGGGGAGGGGGAGATGTGCCGGGTCAGAATGGGAGGGGAGGGGCATGAATTCCACCCAGATTAGAGGGGGCCAATGCCTCTTCCCATCATTGCAAGGCTTTTCGTGCCTGAATTCCTTCAGTCCCACTTTCCACATTTTCCCTCCTCCAATATATGTTAGAAGTAGCTCTGGCATGGCACACAACAGGGATGTGCAAAGGCCATATCATCTCCTGGAATAAGTGAAGTTGGCTATATCCCTGTCCCCTGCTGCAAAAACCCGGGTCATTTATGGGCAATTTCTGTTGGAAAACTAGGTGCTTCCTGAACCAGCCAGCAGGGGGTGGTAGCTGTATAACACACACCCCTGCAGAGATACTGCATGTGAATCTATGTGCAAGTACACATGTGTGCACATGCAAGAGGCACACTTCTATTTCATTATTTTGGTTATGGATGTTTATGTCCTAACGTCCCAAGTGTCACTAACTTAACACCCCGCCTGCGAGATTTGCACCGGCTGCCAGTTTGCTGCCGGGTCAAGTTCAATGTGTTGGTACACATAAGACCATATACAGCTCAGGGTCAGGTTACCTGAGAGACCGCCTTATCCTTTATGCACTCAGTAGATCCCTGTGATCTGCGGGGGAGTTTCTCCTGCAAGTTCCAAAGATCTGGGAAGCCCACTTCACAGTAGCTCAGAGCAGGGCTTCTAGGACGGCTGCCTGTTGAGAAACAACAGGCACCCTTCGGAAATAACGGAAGTAATTATTGTTCCAGCAGGTTTTCTCAGCTGGATAGATGGGTCTTGACCACAAGCATCTATTTTATTGTGTTTTGCTTTAAGCGGATGGGCAGGTTTAAATTTTTTAAAAACCTGCTCGCTGATGTCATTGTACATTGCCTGGTGATGATTGTGTGGAAGGCAATTAATAAAATACTGTAATGATCATAACGAATGCTTTGCCATTACCCAACTTCGTAAGCTCCCACATGCCGCATCCTTTGCGTGAACATGTGCACACACAGGCCCTCCCAGGTGCTGGGGACATACATGTACAAACCCTTGGGCATGCTCCAGCAGTTGAGGGCTGCTCCTTTATCCCCCTGTCGCCTCCCTCCTGAGAGCAGGAAGCTTTGTAGTTCAGGCCCCTGCGCACAATGAGATTAAACCAGCATTTCACACATAGTTCCCCTTGCAAGCCGTGGTCTTGCTAATCCTCCCTGCACGTCACTCTGAGCTACCTCCAAAGGTTCATTTTCTCCTACACTCCCCCACCCTCTATTTGCTGGAAATAACAGGCTCCAAAGGGGGCAAGGGGGCACAACCTTCCTTTCAATACTTGAGTTTCCCTCTACATAGTCCCTGGCTGAATACACACCATAGATTTTAAGCACATGGTTCCCCCCCCCCAAAAAAAAACCCGGGAACTGTTGCTTACCCCTCAGAGAACTACATTTCCCACCATCCTTAAGACACTATGGTTCCCAGAATTCTTTGAGGGAAGGCAAGTGCTTTAAATGCATGATGTCTGCGCAGCTCCTCTTTATTGTGCCCTGGCACAAAACATTTAAAGCCACTGAGGCATTAAGCCCAGAGAAGGCTGCCTGTGGTATCTCTGCATGAATCACTGGTCTAGGCCTTTTGTCAATCAGCCACTGCCCAAGGCGGGGTAATATTGCCATGCCTTTGCACTGAGCGCGACTGAATTGCTTCCACTGTGGAAATGCAGAATTACTAGCCTTCAGAAGAAGTTACCCATTTCATCTCTGAGTGAGTAACAGCCCTAAGCAATCTCCTTCCAATCACACTCAGAACAGTGGGTAGATAAGCTGTTCTGAGGTCCCATCTCGATTATGCGTTTAAGGCAATGCCATAGCACTTTGAACAACCACGGCTTCCCCCAAAGGCCTGTAGTTTTTCTCAAGGGTGCCAAGATCCATCTTCCACCTTCAAAGAGCTTTAATATTTAGAGTGGTTTTAACAGCCAATCCCTCTTCCCAAGGAGCTCTGGGAATTTGTAGCTCTGTGAGGGGAATAGGACTCTCCTTACCTCGCCTTCGCAAACAACAATTTCTAGGATTTTTTGAGGAGAAAGCTCTGTTTAAAGTGGCATGATAGTGATTTAAACATATAGTGAAGATGGGACCTGGGTGTGGGTGGGTGTTTAATTCTTGCTCTTACAAACCTCTCAGGTTTAGAAAATGCTGCTTCAGACAACACACAGTGGCAAAGTGAGAGGAATGAGTGGTGTGTTGTTTGGTTACCTGGAGGTTCTGCTCATCTGTGCTGCCCACATCAAGACTGCAGGTTTCCACTTTCCAGGATGGGCTGCAACACTGAGTTGGAGGATGAGGGAAAAGCTGTGTGTCCCCCTTCCATATTTGAGGTGTCACAGGCCCAGCTGTGCTGGCTGATGGAGCCTGAAGCCCACAGGGCAGAGGAATAGACTGGGCCAGTTCCAACTGCTGAAACATTCAGCAGCCAGCTTGGGAGGACACCCTAGACCTGAGGTGGGAAATATTTTTCAAACTGAGGGCCACATTCCCTTCTGTGCCACACTCTGGGGGCCGCATGCCAGTGGTGGGTGGGCCCAGAGCCAAAAGTGAGTGGAGCGACCCATCCAAATTTTACCTTTGTACAGTAGACTAGTTTCTACACACACTCCCACAGCACTCTCTGTCTTCCCATCCAGGCAAGCACTGTCAAAGTTCAGGGAAGCATCCCAGCCAGGCAGAAAGAAGGATGTGAAGCAGGACCAGTGAGGGGTGTGGCCTGAGGAAGTGAGGTGAGCTGTGGGGACAGTCCTGAGGGCCAGGCATTTGGCTCCCACACCTGAGCTGCCCCACCCCTGCCATGGACCAAGAGCTGGCAATGCAGGCCGTTGCCAATCCTGGCTCCTAGGCCCTGCTTCCAATTAAACTCCTGGGTGGAGAAACATGCTTTCAGCCAAGCCAGACCATCGGCTCCATCTAAACTCAGTAATGTCTGCACCTGTCCAGGGTTTCAAGGCAGGGGGTCTCTCCCAGTCCTACCTGGAGAGGCCATAACAGGTTGGAGTGGAGGAAGGGCAGAGGGCGTATTTCTGTGTGGCAAGAGAGGTAGGCCAAGGAAAACAACAACAGAGGCCCAGTTTTCACTGTACAGCGATGTTTCTATTAGGAAGGAGGACAAGTGGAGAAATGGGTGGTGGAGGCTCAGAAATGCCCCTTCCTCAGCAGCTGGCCACAATCAAAGGCAGGGAACCCAGGCTTGAGGATTTCAGGTCCAACTCAGTTTTTCTTTTCATTTGGCAGTGGAGATGGGGAGAGCCTTTTCCCTCCCAGAGTCCAAGGCTCCTCCCGGAACCTGCTTGGAGATAGCGCTGTTTCGCTGGGCGAATTCGGCATGCTTCTGCCGCAGTAGCTCCTGCTGCTTCTGGAAGCCGATGGACCTGGGGGTGGGGGAAGCACAGGCACCGCGGGTGAGAACCAACCAGGCTTCCTCCAGGCAAGCAAGCTCAGTGTTGCAGAGTGCTAAAACAAGCAGCCACCTTTATCAGCCCAAGGGGCACACTGACATTGCGGGAACCTTCCAAGGAGCCAGTGATGGCCAAAAGAGGGCAGAGCAATGGATGGGATTCTCACCCATGCACAGGAAGCCCCATTGCAGTCATGCAGAAATCAGTGGTACACACACAGAAAGAAGACACACACACACACACACAGAGAGAGAGAGAGAGAGAGGGAGGGAGGGAGAGATGTCTCTCTCCATATCCAGGCAAGCAAGAAGCACCATCAGAGTTCAAGGACACATTCCAGCCAGGCAAAAGCATTCAAGGAGGGTGCAAAGCAGGGACAATGAGAGGCATGGCCTAGAGAGGAGGTGTGGCTGGGGAGACTTCCGAGGGCCAGGCAGAGGGGCCTGGAGGGCCACATTTGCAGCTTGGGCCTGAGGTTCCCCACCCCTACAGTAAATCAAGAGCCTACTCAAAAGCGCTGCAAACCTTAGTACTGTGTTCCACATAAGCACACGTTGCTCTGCAATGAATTCTTATCCCAGGTTTCAATGATACCAACTTCTTAAGTGCAGCCTTATTATGAGCTGGGCAGGGACTTATAGTTTTGTTGCTTCTAGTTTAACTATTTATTTGTGTGATAGAAACTATTTATTCTAGTTTAACTTTTATATTGTATTTTTATCTTGCGAATCGCAAGATATTTTGATAAAGGGTGGTTTGTTTGTGTATCACATTTGTTAGTCATTTTAGCTTGCCCAAGCCAAACCAGAGTGGCTTACAACCAAACCAACCAACAGCCCCATGTTAAAACCAAGGATGGGTGGGAAATACAGTATCTGGGTTTACAGTTAACATTAATTTGTCTGCCTGCTAATCGTTCGCTCACCCTGCACTTTCCAGTGCATCTTCCCATAACTATTGTAACTGAAAGAAGTTGGCATTTGTTGTTGTTTTTTGAAGTAGATTTGTTGTGCTAGGACGACAGAGCCCTTTAATCCGCTTTAAACGCCCAAACCTAAAGTTCTGATAAGCGCATGAATCCCTTGTGCAAAAGACAGACCATCTGGAGACATCCTAAGAGAGAATCCCAGGATACCTTGGGAGAAGAAGCCACTGTCCCTTCCAGACTGTTTTACAGGAAGGATTCAGTTGCGTACTGGAAATTTAGGTTTGCACAATTAAAGGAGATCAAACAGCTCTGGTGCAACGAATCCACGTTAAAAACAACAGGCAGACCTTTTTGAAGTTAGGAAAACAAAGTTAGGAAATGTACTAAGGAGTGTGGGATAAAGGACTGACTAGTGGAAAGACATGCAACCACCACGCAAGAAAATCAGAATGGAATGACAATGAGTGCCTGTTATTATATAACCTCCCTGCAAAGAAATCAGAACAAATTAAAAATAAGGTACCAGGGGCAGAAATCCGCATCTCAAGGATCTCAGCTTTCAATTTATTTATTTACTTTTAAGAGGCAAGTTTCTAGTCCTCATAGCCTCATGGGTTTCACCTGTTGGGGGTGGCAATTGCCCAGTAAAGTCACTTAAAAAAAATAGGAAGGGAAAAAAAGACTTCCAGTGGTCACACCATACATTTAAAGTACTTTTATACCACTTTAACGGGCTTCCTCCAAAGGATCCTGGGAACTGTGGTTTGTTAATGGTGCAGTACAGTTCTCAGCACCCTTAATGAAGTACAGTTCTCTGGATTCTCCATAACTGCTGAAATGGTATAATAGTGCTTTAAATTCACAATGTGGACAACTTGTAGGGTTCAGTGCTACCCAGAGCTTTGACTGTACTTAGCAAAACTTAAAAATAAATTATGGAAATTAAGGAAAATACAGTCATGTTGTAGAAAGAATACAGTTCACATTGAGGGTCATTTATGTGGGGTTAAAAAAAATGAGAATATATGTACCTAGCCCGTTCCTTGCTCTCATTATATATCTGGGTTATGACCCGGTCCTTCTCATCCATGAAGTTGTTGTGAACTTTCTCCAGCTTCCTGCAAAAAAGGAAGAGAAAAAAGGTGTTTGGGTAGGTTTAGAAGTGGAACAGAAGCAGTAAAGCATTACTGGTTAGCGTTGGTAATGCATTTAACAGAAACTAAGCAAGCTGAACTGCAGCAGAATGGAAACAGTGCTGATTGCGAAGGACCCAGGGAGGGCAGAAATCATTGTGCCTCCTTATAGCCCTAGCTCAAGACAGAGGCCTTCCCTGGGGTGGGAGTGCAAGGAAACAAGAGATGGTGTAAGCCCAAATATCCTGTTCCCTTGCAGGTGGGGGAAGCAGTCAGATATATTTTCTGCCCTGGTCCATGACTTTTTTTTACAACTGGGGTGGGAGGGTTTGGGGAGACAGATGTGGAAGAGGATGAGATGGACTCTTTGGGTTCGGAATTCCAAGTGGACAATGAGGTCCATCTAGCTCAGTGTTGTCTACACTGAATGGCAGCAGATCTCCACGGTTTCAGGCAGGGATCTCTCCCAACCCCACCTGGAGATGCCATCAGGGATTGACCCTGGCACCTTCTGTATGCTAAGCAGTTGCCCTGTCAACAAACAACAGCCACACCGCCCCCCCAATGTTCCCTGCATTCTATGTTTCAGTTGCACACAAATGCTGTTGGTGCTGGATGTTTCCTTCCATTTGGCAGACTGCCTTTCCCTCTCCCTGAATGTTTGACATTATATTCACAGCATGTCAAAGAGACTGCTACTGCTTATTCCACTAGCGCCTCACCTCCTGAAACAACGGCAGGGGTGCCACACTTCTAATAAATACAAGTCCTATCGATGCGCAGGGAAGAAGAGCTAATGAAGGACTCAACCCACCCACCCTGTTTCCATCTTCCCAAATTTCCATGAGAAAATGTCTTGCCACTTAATAGCCTTTTCGTGTGTTTACCCTGGGCTCCGCAAAACTGGGCTTGTGTGGTTGTGTGTGTGTGTGTGTGTGTAAAGCAGGGAGGGTGGCAGAATTTGCTATGAGCAAACTGAACTGGCCCACAGACTGCTTGTCCGCTCTTTGCAAGCCAACCTTCCTTGCAGATTTCCCCTAATACTGTTTTGCTTTTAGCATTTTTCTAATATGACAACATTTGTTCCCACACAATTTACGACTCGTCCAGACTCCCCCCCCTCCCCACTTTCCACCAGGGAAAACCTGCTATTTATCACAGAACTGGTGCAAACAGCAATTGGGTTTTCTGCAAGTGGGCATTTGCTCCAATTCAGTGGTACAGAGCGGGTTTTCCCAGGCAAAAAGCTCTCAGACCCATGCTTCCTAGGCATGGGACAAACACAAGTGTGGACACCATCACCAAATTTGTCCTCAACTGTCTGCTAACTGGGTATTGCAGAAATGTGTATTTACTTTAACATCACAGGTGAAGTGTTGACGTGATTATGTTAGCCATTAACCACCATTAACATTCATTGTTTTATCGTTAACCTTTCTCTCGCCTTTTGCCCCTGTGGCTTAGCCAAATGCACAGAGAAAGCACAGCCACTGTCTTGCATCTTAATGTGAATCCATGACATCTGTTGATGGAACCCAAAATGGGCTTTGTGTGTATTTTGTGAGAGTTCAAGGGCAAGTCTGATGCACGTATTTTTTTTTTAACAACGTCATAGTAATGGGTTAATTTTCCTATCATCTTGTTTATACTTATTAATCCATGCAAAAAGACAATTTGCAGTTTTTGTTCTTTTTTTCCTGGGCAAAGTGTGTGGGGAGGTTGAGGGGGAATTATCAGCACTCCCTGAGAGCTATGCCTTGGCCCTTGACCAATTATGAACTGAGCTTTTGGGGGTGTGGTGAGTCATCATTTGCTTGGCAATATACGTGAAAATGCTAGCCGGCTGACAAGAAAAGAAATGGCAAAGAGCTGTAACTCCAGTGAGTGGCTGGGTGTGGGGAAGAAATCCATCACCGCCTCATCATCCTCACTTGAACAGACAGTAACCCTGCAGCAAGATGCATGCTTCAATGGGCAATCATCGGCTCATTGAGTTTTCAGTCAGCTCTGAAATCATCATAAAAAAGTTGAACAGCAACGCTATTTCCGAAAAGCTGAAGGACCGGATCAGGAACAGTTAAAAATAGCGAAGTGAGAACTGAAACGAAACCGTACGGGTGACGAGTACGTCGAATTGGATTAGATCCCGAGTGTAGAGTGTTTAGCTTCTTGAGCAGGCAGACGGCATTGCCCATCCCAGAATCCTTTGCAAACGCCGCCTTTCGTTCTTAGCCAGCAAAATAAAATGAAAGGAATGTTTGTGGACTGACTGACAAGTGCATCCCTCAGTTCCCAAGTCTTTATCTGTGGGGAGATCGCTCAAAGGTTCTGGAAGCGGGATTAAAAAGCAGGCTGGCAACCGCCTGAGGAAAATGCCAGCTGAAATCTATCCATGGGTGGCCTCCACTGGGCATTTTTTGGTGGGGCAGGGTTGTGTCTTAAGCTCCACCAGCTTCGACAGCTGAAGGTGCCCTCCCTTGACAACCTGGGAAGAAGCAGGAAGTGGCAAAGCCGAGGCTCACTCGCCCCAGCACTGTTCATACTAGGTGCATACCTCCTCCTCCTCCTCCTCCTGCACCACCACCACCCCAGACATGTTAACTGCTCTGCAGAAAGATCCTCTGATCGCCGCCCAATACTGCTGCATGAATGAAAAGTGAGTGGATGCATTAATTATTTTATGAATGAAGAAGAACATAAGAAGAGCCTTTATGGATCAGGGCAAAGGCCCATCTAGTCTAGCTGCCTGTTCTCACAGTGGCCAATCAGATGCTTTTGGCATGTGGCGGCTCTCCAAGATTTCAGATGCGGTCTCCCCCAGCCCTACCTGGAGATGGAACCAGGGGCCTTCTACATGTAAATCAGATGCTCTGCCCCACACCCCCTGAGCCACAGCCCTTCCACAAACTTGGGGGAATGAGAAGCACGGAAGGAGAGGCAGTTGATGGCAAGACGCCCTGCAAAAGCGGGAGGGGCATTCTTCCCCTGTTGCTCATCTCCCCACATGGGTGTGGAATTTGATTCACCCATGTGCCCTGCCCCCCCTTTTCAGGCCCCTTTAAATGCCCCTCCCCATTCAAGCATAAGCAGGCATGTTTAATTGCATTAGGCTTGATTAAAGGCTGCTCACGATTAATCTCTCCCTGGTCATGGCCGGCTAATTAGGCAATGGATTAGAATTAGAATTGGCTGGCTGGCTGGCAGCCGGGGTTGGCAGGCTGCGTTGCTGGGAGGGGGGTGGCGAAGCAAGCCAGGGAAAAAAAGAAAGGAAAAGAACCAGCCCAGCACCAGCAACTGCACAAGGGTCCGCCGTACCACCAAGACAGGCCAAAAGGATGCAAAGGCAGTTGTCTCCAGAACCATGAGGGCTTGCGTCCCTTTCTGGCTTCAAAAGGAGGGACTTCCCCTACATGAAATCTGTGTGAATGTAAACCAGCACCAGCTTCTGCTAAAGAGCCCATGGCCTACAAGTGTCTGATGTGGGCTCCTTCTATCTGCCATGCATGTTGCAATTATCCACGAAGCTCCCTTATAAAAGGACATACAGGCAACTCCCCTATTTACCTGTGTTCAAGGCACAAGCGACCGCGACCTCATGCATCGCTGTGAAGCCGGAAGTGGCATGAAAAGGGTCAAAAACGGCCTCAAAATAGTACAGAAACAGCAAAAATTGCACACAAACAGCGTCTAAGAATCCCACGAACCTTTGCAAGTGCAATCCCAGGAGCCCTTGCACCTACCTTGGGAGGCTGTGGAGAGCTGGAGTTTGAGCAAGGAGGTTTGGAGGGAATGGTTTTGGTGAAGTTTGGTGGGGTTTGTTTTTTAAAAGGTTTTTCAAGGGCTTCCAGAGGTTTAGAGCATGGGTAGGCAAACTAAGGCCCGGGGGCTGGACTTGGCCCAATCGCCTTCTAAATCTGGCCCACGGACGGTCCGGGAATCAGCATGTTTTTACATGAGTAGAATGTGTCCTTTTATTTAAAATGCATCTCTGAGTTATTTGTGGGGCATAGGAATTCATTCATTTCCCCACCCCCCAAAAATATAATCTGGCCCCCAACAAGGTCTGAGGAACAGTGGACTGACCCCCTGCTGAAAAAGTTTGCTGACCCCTGGTTTAGAGGGTGTTCACAGGCTTTTTTCAATGGTGTTCCCAATACTGTATACACATTTTCACTTAAATGTGCACATATCCCCCACACAGAAATAGGAAGTTGCCCGTACTTTTTCATGCAGCACGTAGTTAAACTCGCTTGCATAGGAGGCAGAGAAGGCCACCAACCTAGATGGCTTTAAAAGAGGATTACAGTGGTACCTCGGGTTACATACGCTTCAGGTTACAGACTCTGCTAACCCAGAAATAGTACCTCGGGTTAAGAACTTTGCTTCAGGATGAGAACAGAAATCATGCTTCTGCGGTGCGGCGGCAGCAGGAGGCCCCATTAGCTAAAGTGGTGCTTCAGGTTAAGAACAGTTTCAGGTTAAGAATGGACCTCCGGAACGAATTAAGTACTTAACTCGAGGTACCACTGTAAATAAATTCATGGAGGAAGACAGCTATGAAAGGCTACTAGCCATGATGGCTAAGCTCTGCCTCCACAGCTGGAGGCAGCCATGCTTCTGAATACCAGCTGCTGGAAGCCACAGGAGGGGAAAGGGCTCTTTTGCCCGAATCCTGCTTGCGGGTTCCCCACAGGCATCTGGTGAGAACAGGATGCAGGATGAGATGGGCCACTGACCTGATCCAGCAGGCTCTTAGCTCATTATTGCCTCCACCAACTGGCAGTGGCCCTGCAGGGGTCCAGGCAAGAGATTCTCTCCCAGCCCTATGCTGCCGGGGATGGAACCTGGGACCTTCTTCATGCAAAGCAACGATGGCTTCAGCTATGATGGGGCTGATGTCAGCATTTGGAGGGCACTGGGTTGGCAAAGGGAATTCATGGAGAGAAGACAGCTGTGATCAATAAGTGGAACCTCCATGAGCAGGGGCAGTATACCTCTAAACAACAGCTGGGCTTTGAAGAAACCAGGAAAGGGAAAATCTTGCTTTTGCGTCCTGACTGTGGGCTTCCCCTAAGCACCCAGGTTGGAAAGAGCTTGGTGGAATAGTTTGGTTTGATCTAGCAGGGCTCTTTCTTGTTCTTATTCTCTCCATGTTGCATGGGGAGGGGAATGTGAGTGTGGCTTAAGGCCACCTGGAAAGTTCACGGCTGGGGCAAAATTTGAACCGAGGACTTCCTCATTTGTAGCTCAAGTGTCTTAGCTACTAAATTGGAAGGATCGCCACTCTGTGGCAGAGGGAGGGACACCTCCTGCCTGCAGAAGGTTTCAGGTTCACTCACTGGCCCCTCCGACGAAAAGGATTTCAAGCAGCAGGCGAAGGGAAAGGCCTGCCGGTCAGAGAAGGCAATATTAGGGAGGATGGGCAAATGGCCCAGCCTGGGAGAAGGCAGCTTATAATGTTCCAGTGCTCCTGCTTTGCATCCATAATCCCAAATGCTGCCTTGAGCTCCTTAGAGAAAAAGGTGGGATATAAATGCAAAATAAATAATCATCAGCAAAGCACTGCAGTGGGTTGGACTAGACGACCCTTGGGGTTCCCTTCAACTCTACAATTCACACACACACAAACGCTCCACCAAAGAAGGGAGAGGAGTTGGCTCCCAGTATCAAGGAACAAGAGTGGCTTGCAAATCACACAGCCTCCTCAGAACTTTTGGGGCTGCCCACTTTCCCACGCAGCTTGTCTTCATGATGGTAAAGCAGGGTGGTGTGGGCAGGACACCTTTGGAGGCGGTCCAGGGGTGAGGAGGCAGCAGGGCCTGCTGCCAGAGAGGATTCCCAGTGCCCTACTTAGCTCTTTGCCCCTGCATTGGCTCAGCAAACTATGCGGAAGAAACTAACGCAGCTAAATCTGTGCGATGCATTGTCAAGCTTCACCAGGGCAGCGATGGGGAAGCTGTTATAGCCCGATGGCATATTCCCTTCCGGGCAACCTTTGGGAGGGGGCGGAGAGAAGGGCAGAAGTGGGTGGAGCCAAGGATGCAATTTTTTACCTTGGTATAGTAGGCTAGTTTCTACACCCACACTCACACACACCCCTCTCTCTCCTTCCTCCAGGCCAGCAGGAGGCGCTATCAGAGTTCAAGGACACATCCCAGCCAGGCAAAAGCACTCCAGGAGGGTGTGGAACAGGGCTGGTGAGGGGTGTGGCCTGCTGAGAGTTCTGAGGGCCAGATACAGAGGCCTAGAGGGCCACTTTCAATCCCCTGAGCTTCCCCACCCCAGAACTTTAAACCTGGAACCTTCTCATCTGGTTTGGGGTGGTGGGCAGGGACGGAGGAAAAGGGAGCAGCCCCATACCTGAATCCTATGTAGTGGGCAGCTAAGCCGCCCACTATGACGAGCAAACAGTACCCAAAGATGTATCTGTTCTGGCGACGCTTCCTCTCAAACTCGGGGCCTGAGAATGACTCTGAAGGAGAGTGGTGGAACTGTTGCCAATACCGTACGTCCTCGTTGGGCTCTGATGCGCTCCTGCAGGGAAAAGCAGAAAGTCAGCACAGGGCTGGCACAGAGACCGCTGCACTCTGGTTGGCTGGCTGCTTACAGAACTGGGCAGGTGCAAGATTTTTTGGTGCCCTCTACAGTTGGGGGGCGAGCAGGGGGCTGTAGAGCCTGAAGGAGGAAGTTCTGGCCTTCCAGGTGGGGTTGGCCTCCATCTCCCATCAGCCCCCAGCCAGCATGGCCAATGGCAAGAGATGATGGGCAGCTGTAGCTCCAAAACACCTGGCAGCCCAAGCTTGAAGAGCCCTGGCCAGTGGTGGTGCAATGTAATTTTGTTATGTACTGAGTCGAATAGGATCCAAAATGCAGCAGTCTGATTGGTCCTAGAACAATGCAGCAGTATGATTGGTCCGCAGGAACCACCCAATCCAGCTCCAGGTGGAAGTGAATCCGCAACCTGATTGGCCTACAGGAGAATCCTGGAATTAGCCAATCACGTGCAGCCCATTGTGTAAATAATGTATATAAAGCAGATATTTTGGGGGAACTTGCATTCCTCACTACTATGAGCTGAATAAAGAGCATGAAATCCACACTCGACTCCGAGTATATTTCAAATTGCTTAAGGCAGAGGACAAAGAAGGATGGCGATCAATGGCTACTAGCCAATAGCAGGGTTGCCTCTGAGTGCCATTTGCCAGGGATCACAAGCGAGGAGAGCGTTCAGGTCCTGCTTGTGAGCTTCCCATGTGGTCGGCCCCTGCCAGAACAGGATGCTGAACCAGATGAGCCATTGGTCTGACCTACCAGATGGGCGGGGTATGAACAATAAAATTATCATCCTCATGATTATTATGATTATTACTGCATACCCTCCAACCTTCCTGCGGATGCGTCTTTCTGTACCAAGCTCTCAAAAGAGCCGGCTGACTCGCACAAGAGTACAGCACCTCTGCAAGTGTCGGCTCATCCTCCTCCACGAGCTCAGCGCTGGAGGGAGAAAACATGACATTCCAGGATTCAAACCAGAAGCTGGACGGCTTCTGCAATTCCAGGATGTCTGGGGGAAATCGGGACACTTCAGGGTACACTGGGAATCGCAAGTGTGATTATATATGGTGACCCGCCCTGAGATCTGTGGATGAAGGGCAGTATAGAAATTTAATAAATGATAATAATATTGATTGGGACACGGGTGGCGCTGTGGGTTAAACCACAGAGCCTAGGACATGCCGATCAGAAGGTGGGCGGTTCGAATCCCCGCGGCGGGGTGAGCTCCCGTCTTTCGGTCCCAGCTCCTGCCCACCTAGCAGTTCGAAAGCACCCCTAAGTGCAAGTAGATAAATAGGTACCGCTTTCTAGCGGGAAGGTAAATGGCGTTTCCGTGTGCTGCGCTGGTGCTGGCTCGCCAGAGCAGCTTCGTCACGCTGGCCCCGTGACCGGAAGTGTCTGCGGACAGCGCTGGCCCCCGGCCTCTTAAGTGAGATGGGCGCACAACCCTAGAGTCGGACACGACTGGCCCGTACGGGCAGGGGTACCTATACCTTTTTTACTAATAATAATATTGATTGGGACACGGGTGGCGCTGTGGGTTAAACCACAGAGCCTAGGACTTGCCGATCAGAAGGTCGGCAGTTCGAATCCCTGCGACGGGGTGAGCTCCCGTTGTTCGGTCCCTGCTCCTGCCCACCTAGCAGTTCGAAAGCATGTCAAAGTTCAAGTAGATAAATAGGTACCGCTGTGGGGGGAAGGTAAACGGCGTTTCTGTGCACTGCTCTGGTTCCCCAGAAGCGGCTTAGTCATGCTGGCCGCATGACCCGGAAGCTGTACACCGGCTCCCTCGGCCAATAAAGCGAGATGAGCGCCGCAACCCCAGAGTCGGTCACGACTGGACCTAATGGTCAGGGGTCCCTTTACCTTTACCTTAATAATAATATTAAGTGGGGAGAGTTGCTGTTGTGCTCAGGTCCTGCTTATCAGGTTCCCATAACAGGCACAAGGAGGTGAGAACAAGATGACGGACTGGATCTTTTACCCTTATGTGTGGTAGTCAGGAGCCATTGGCATGAAGCTCGCAGGAAGGGAAGCTTTGTTCCCAGAGGTGGGGGGCATCTCTCGTTCCATACCTTTTCCCGAAGTTGCCCAAATCAAAAGGGTTCCTCCAGGCGCTACTGCTGGTGCTACTGCCATGGCTGCCTGGGGGAGGCCGAGCTTCTTGGGCTGCTTGTGTGCTGTCGTAGCGCCTCCGGCTGCTGGCCTTGCTGAGCACCCGGTAGGCCTCGTTGAGCTTCACAAACTGGCTGTGCAGCTCAGGGTTGCCTGGGTCGCTGTCAGGGTGGAGCTGTGGAGAGGAGAGGCGCTCAGCTGGTTAGAGCGCAGTGCTGATAATGCCAAGGTGGCAGGTTCGATCCCCGCATGGGACAGCGGCATATTCCTGCAACGCAGGGGGCTGGACTAGGTGAACCGGAGGGTCCTTTCCAACCTTATGAGAAAAGGCTGGCCTTATACACGCCCCTCCTGCCCCCCCCCTTATCCCAAAAAGGATTTGCTGCAGCTTCTGCTTCTCTGGCGATTCAGAGGTCATGGTGGAGAGCTGACTTAAAGCACTGAGCCAACCAGCTTAATATTCATTATTATTATTACTATTAGCATTTATAGCCAACCTTTTTTCTCTCTCCAAGGAGCTCAAGGTGGCATACATGGTTCTCCCGTCCTCATTTAATCTCCACATCAACCCTGCAAGATAGGTCATGTTGAGAGGCAGCGACTGGCCCAAGGCCTCCCAGTGAGCTTCACTGGTGAGTGGGAATATGAGCCCTGGTCTCCCAGCTTCTCTTCCGACACTCTAACCACTACACCACACCGGCTTGCACAAAGCTTCTGCAAAGGTCAGATTGCATCCAGATTTTTATCTGAGCATTTGTTTTCCTTTTTTTACTACAGCGAGCATTCACCCTGCATTTATTTTATTTGATCAAGCAATTTATGCACCACTTAACTGCAACAATCTCTAAGTGGTTTACAGAGAATAAAAATTAAAACTATAAAATCAGACGTCAATTAAAATGCCTGCTAGGAGAAAAGAAAAGTATTCCATAGGCACTGGCAGTTCAGCAGAGAGGCGGCACATCTGACCTCAACTGGAAAGGAGGCCCGTAAGATTCTTCCTGATTTGCAAGCGGGGCATTTGCAAGTCTTCCCCTTAACCAGTTGTCCAACCCACACTTTTCGGCACATTTTCCTATCACCTTCTTAACCACAATGGTGAATTCGTAGCCCTAGGGCAACGGAGCACTTTAATTCACCTTAAATTGTTCAAACCTAAATTCCCCACTGAATCAGAGCAACTGCCAATGGGGTTTTCTGCGGACCAATGTTTGTTCCTGAGCAAGGGGGCAGGTCTTCACTGCATGGGGAATATAACATCCACCTGGGAACATCAACCAAGCCTGTTCGCAGTCCCCTGTCAAACAGTTCATCTGCTTTGAAGATCAGGGGACTAGGCAGACTGGAACTTGTTTCTGGTTGCGAATCCTCTCAGAAGGCCAAGAAGAGAGGACCTTTTCTTCTCCCTCTGTATATCTGTAACACACAAGCCGCCTGAGAGCCTGACTACAGCAAACCAGCTGGATTCGACTTGCCAGAACTGGCATTCTAAGTCTTGAGAGCATTTGGCACTTCTTCCTGTATGCACTTTCTTGCAAGCGTATCATTGCTTCAGAAGGACTAGAAACTTGCTGCTTTGAGTTTTTGTGACTGAAAATGGAGATCCTCAGAAACTGGCCTCCAACACTCCTACAGAATGACAGCATAGGTGCAGCTTCCGAGAACCACCTTAGCCTTCCTCTTAGCGGATGTTTTGGCTAACATTTAAACAGTCACTGCATCGCCCTCCCAACGCCCTCCCTGCCTCCTGCAGTCCTAGTCTCACCTGCTCTAGTCTCTTCTCTTTTTGGTACAGCACCTAACACACTGTTGGCTTTGAATAGGAGCATAAGAAGCTGCTTTTTCCTTAATCAGACCAGTGGGTTCATCTAACCAGGGGCCTCTCCGGACATCCTTTCTATTGTGCATTCATGGTTATTTGTGCTCATGGTGGTTCCAGGGCATTAATTTGCACATGATTCCGCTTTCAATACCGCAAAAGCATCGGGCCTGCATTTCCAATTGGTGCACAACCCATAACTCCCCATGAAATCTTGCAGCTTTTTATATCACTGAATGATCTACGGCTGTTGTTTTTAACCCCGCTTTACTTCCACAATAGCACAAGAGTGCCTCCTCCAAACGACAGGAATGCGCTAACGCTGGAGAAGCACAACAGAACAAATATTAAAGCAGAACGATGTCTGTATGGTCCAGTATAAATCCGCCACTGATGGACTATGCATATTGCAGAGTACACAATAAAATAGATGGCTGGAGGGGTCCAAAGACACTCCGGTCAGCCCAGGCTGGCACCCTCCTCTGTAAGCTCCTGCTGTTTGAGCTTGGCTGCCAGGGAGGTGAGGCATTGGACTCAAAATCTCTAATTCCATCTGGCTAAGTTGTAGTTGTCTCCTAGCAGAGCTTTTGCAAAAAGCTGACTACCAGCAAAGGAGAGAAGGGCCTTGCTGGCTTGTTCCAAAAACAATATGTTGGGACAGAGACCCTGGCCTGAGGCTGCTGCTGCCTCTGCACTGGCCGCCCCTGTATTCCCACAAGACCATCCATCACTGAGCCGTGCGCAGTGGGTGGCAACAAAGAGACGTTCCGAGCCAACGTGCCGAGACCAGGAGCTCCTCTGCTTCCCGGACCGGAGGAGAGGCAGGCGAAAAGTGTTCAAGGCTGCAGCCTGATAAGTCTCTTGCTGAGGAAGCTCCCCGCCAAGGCTACATGCCAGGCTGTCCTCACAAACTGTTAGCAAGGAAGGCATGGGGTGAAGCTGGGTGGGAATTTGTACTCAAGAGTGTTCATGGGTGGGTGGGTGGGGGGAGGACAGCCCGATCCCATAGCCTGGTCCTGGTAAGAGCCAGGAAACCTTATATGTGCATCTGCACCAGTCCAAGAGGAAGGTCCTTGAGGACTTCCTGTGTAGCTCAGAGAATATCCCAGCTTTGTGGGCCCGATTGCTGTTTTTTCCTAGCCCATGGGCTGAATATGACCATGCAGGTATCTTTATCTAGGCCCCAGGACTCTTCCAGCCTCCATCTCACCTCATCATGCCCTGCTCTGAGCCCTCCTTGAGTGCTTTTTGCCATGGACGATGGAGAGATGGGAGTTTATTGGGTGTAGAACGAATTTGTTTATTTGTTTGTTTGTTTATTACATTATTACAGTTGTAATCTCATAATGCAGAAATCTCTGGCTTTCACATAGATGGATCATGGGCTACCGTACAAAGCTCTGTACGCTTTCCCCTCTGACCTTGCCCACTGCTGGCATGTGCCCCATCCCCCAGTAGGTGATCCATAAAGAAATGTGGCCGTGGGGCTTAAAAATCCCGCCACCTCTGGTCTGTAGTTGTAACCCACCCTGGGATTTATGTGAGGTGCAGGAGGACTTGGCCTCAAATATCTAGATGAAAGATGGCCACTTCCTTCCCTGCAGAACCTCTCGGGTGTAGTGATCAGCGGGGGGTGGGGGTGGGGGAGGCTCTTGGTAATTCCACTGCACTCTGAAACTCAGGGTGGGGCCATTCATGCGGCAGCCCCCAAGTTGTGGAACTCTCTCCCCACAGAGGTGGGTCGGACACCTTCGTCAGATAGCTTTTATAATATGCTGAAGACCCTTGTGAGAGAGATATTTTCAGGACCCACCCTGTTCCTGTGACTATCATTTGTTTTAAACTGTATTTAATACTGAATTTTAAAAAATTGGGACCTTATGGTGAAGGGCAGGTAAGAAACCAAAATAATGAGAATCTTTAATAATGCTATCTTTCTGTGGGTTGTAACCAACTAAGTTCTTTTCAGAAGTCGGTGAACCTAAGTGAGTCATGTCTATTAACTTCAGTGGGTCTATGATGAGTAGGATTTGCATTGGATACAACCCTTTTTTCCTTTCTAACTACAAATGCACAAACACAACAGCACTCTCTCTTTCTCCCTCTCATACACAGATACACACTTGCCCATCTTCAGCCTCACTTTTTAAGGAGCTCAAGGCAGTATAAATGGTTCACTTTCCCATTTTTATCTCCACAAGAACTCTCTGAGGTAGGCTAGTCTGAGAGAGCAAAGGGCTGAGGGGAGATATATATTGTTTTGAATCAGTACCTCTTCAGTCCTAGACTTGCCACTCTAACCACTACACCACCCTGCCTCTCCTAATGTCCTTTCCCTGCTAAATGAGGGCACAGTACGAGCACCTAAAAGGCCCCCGGGGAACAAAAGTGGGGCGCAGAGCACCAAGGAAAAACCACCAGGGCGAAGTTGCCGGCAAGAGAATCTCACACTCGCCGCGCCATTCAGCTTGTCATCTTGACACGCTCCTCTGATTTAGCGTCGAACACAAGCAATTAAAACAGGCCTGCAGTTAAAACCATGGAGGCAAGAAGGGGGTGGGTGGGATTTTGGCTGGTGGAGAAAGAAATGAGGGGAATTTAGAATGGGGCACTTGTTCTCCCTGGAGGTAATCCTTCGGGTGAAATGAGTTCCCACAGACAACTCAAATGCGGGCTTGGCGGCGGGTGGGAAGGGGGAGAGGGGCCTGGAAATAACAGGGACCTCTCTCCTCATCCAACTGCAAATCGTGTCAAGTTTGTAGAAAACAAAGCAACCTTCCTCCTCTTCCTCCTTCCAGGAGCTGGTTGAAGTATTTCAGTGCTCCCATTCAATTCTTAAACGCCTGTTAACTACCGTGAAGCCACACGACAAATCTCTCTTTTGCTGTCTCCACCGCAAAATCTTAAACTTTCAGGTTGGTTCAGGCTGCTTCCTGGCAACCAGTTAATTGACCAGTTCATCCTAATTTGTTTGAACAAAGTTTGAAAGGAGGTCAGAGACCATTCTGGCTTGATTTCATGGAGGTTGAATTGCATTGTTGTGTCAAGCAATTGTTATTCCCTGCTACACACACAGACACCTTGCAGTGAATTTACCTCTCACTTTCCTTATCATAAATAACAGGCTTTTTTGGGGGGGGGTGAGAGAGGTTTGCTGCACAAGAGCACCAAACTCACTTTAATTGTGCAACCTGAATTTGAACGCAGCACCTCTAGACGTCTTTTTTTTAAATTGCGCATTCATGATGTTTTGGGATCACGGTGATATTGAGGCAGTTATACGTGACCCTGTTTGCTGCTTCATTCCCCATTGGTGCAAGTCTTATAACTTCCTGCCAAACTCTTGTTAACGATTTGCACCAGAAGCGTTCAGAGGGTTCTGTGTCTTTCTTGGGCTACAGAGCAGGAGTGCCCCTCCAGACACAATAAGGGCGGTAACGTTGAACGAGCATCACAAAATAACTAATAAATCAAAACAATGTATTGGCGTTCCCGTATGAATCTGCCACTGATGTACTATTATTGAACCAATAAATATACTTGGGGCGGGGGACCCAGCAGTCTGGAGGAGGCCCCTTGTAGCATTTTCTCAAAGGACGATGAATCCTAATCAAGTAATTCACCTCCTGCTAAGCATATTCCTTTACTGTTCTTTTTTTTTTAAAATAAAATAAAAATCTGTTTATTTCATCAACGCTTGGTGGCTGCAAAAAGCCTCTCACTCACTTTGGTTCCAAAACACATGGCACTCGCCCTCGTCAGCTGAAGGCAAATACAGCCTCCCGGGACTGTAATATGTTTCATGACCACAGAAGAGCAAACATCCCTTATTGCCTCTCCCCCGTCTTCCGGCCCCCCACCCCCGGCTGGCTCCCCACAATGCAAAGCTGGCATCACTCAGCGGAGGCCAGAGCAGTGGACAACAAAGATGTTCTGGAGCGATAAGGGGGTTGTGTCAGTTGGAGGCTGCGTGCAGATTTTCCCCTTACATGGGGAAGTGGTAGGGGTGGGGGGGAGGAAGCCCAGCACAACATCCTGCGCCTTTCAGGCCCTTTAGCCGGTATTAGGGACAGGGCAAATCTGTCAACTTCAGTTTCTCCTTTTCCCCATTCTTAAATCCAGTTCTGCGCATGTACACGTCAGCATGTAAACTTACGAAAATTCATCAAGATTTTAGTGCGACGTTTTCTTCTAACACACAACGCAACTTTACCTAATACGCACATTTCTGCAAGCAATTTCCCCCAATATAACGTGGGGCTTTTTGTACATTATTTTCAGCAACAAATGCATTTTACGCATTCCTTACCATAGCATGTTTGTGCGCATCACTTTTGGCTGCAGAAATGCATTGCAAAATTCAGAGAAGTAGGGCTCTCCACGGATGGCTGTGTTTTGGTTCGTGAATTGTTTTGGGAACTGTAAACTTGGTAGGTTCGTCTGGACTGTGAAATGAACCAATTTTCTCCCCCTCTCCGCCCCCGTTCCCTAGCCATGATGCCCGGCAGTTAAATAGATGTTCAGAATGTTAAAGAGTTACGGATAGCCTGCCGGTCCCTCACCCAGCCCCACCGTCAATCTTCCCCAGCTAGAAAGGAAGCGCAAAGCTCAATGTCCTTGTGAAAGAAAAACGCTTGCTATGCTGGGCAAACCAATAAATCCTCCCTAATGGTTAATTAAGAGATTTGACGCAGGAAAACAAGCGAGCTGGAGGGGGAGGCAATTGTTTTAAAGCAGCAGGTCAAATGCACACAGGCAGACCTTATTCTCCACTGGTTTAAAATACCAGGGTAGGAAGAGAGGGACAGAGGGCGATGTGGGGGGGGGGCAGGGGCAGGAATGTGCCAAGCAAAGGAAGATTCCCAGCTGTGACCTGCCTTTTCTGGAAGAGCCTGGTTGGGACAAGGCTGTGGGTTCCCAAACTGTGTCCCCACTCCCAGCGCCTCCAGCCTTTTGAACCCCTGTGCAAGCCCTTCCTCTGCCAAGCCGTCATTAGGCAGCTGCTTTGGGTTAAGGTCCCTCCAAACTGGTACGGTTTTGTGTGGGTAGGTGCGTTCTGCAACATGCCACTGATAGCGTAACAGTGCATTACTAGTGGATTGATAGAGGGCTGCCTGCAGATCATTCTGCTTTATGAGTAGTAGTTGTAGTTGTAGTAATAGTAGTAACAACAACAACAATAAATGTGTGCAAAAATACATTAGGGAACATTTGCAACAATATACGTATTAGGGGAAATTGCATTTTGGGGGGGAAATGTGTACATTAGAAGAAATGCATACTGAAACACTGGTGAATTTTCATGAGGATTAAAAAACAAATGTATGTATGTATATTTGCAAACTGACGTGGAAATGTGAAAAACTGAAATTAAGAGTGGAAAAATAAGAAACTGAAAGTGATCGGCTTGTTTATCCCTCCCTGCAACCAAGGATGGCTGATTTTGTCCTCGTGTGCACTTGGGACGCTCCTCTTTGGCCCCAGGCACAGGTCTCCTCTCTATTTACCTTGCAAGTGGTAGCTTTCGGGAATGGCGCTAGACAGCAAACACTGGCCACTGGGCTGCTGCTTACAGGAAGAACTGCATGAAGTGAGGTGGGGGAGAGGGGATGTGCGTACAGCAGGGCTGACTTTACCTCCTTCAGCAAAAGGGAGTGGTGAGCTACCAACTAGGCCCGGTGGGGGGTTGTTCTCTTCTGATGCCCAGGCATTGCCAAATCCCTCCTGCCCAATAAAGAGCTTCGGTCTTGAGAAACCCTCCTTCGTTTCCACTGCAACCAAAGCCAACCAAACATTGCCATTTCTACCTCAATGGTCCGCTAGCGAACTTGAAGGTATGCAAGACCCATCTCTCCGCTCGACCCCTGGCAGACAGATTACGATAACACTCTGCAAGGCTGGGGTGGTGGAGGAGACATTTATATTGCATAGATGGGGCAAGGATGGGGAGGGGGAAGATGTTAACCAATCGCAGGCAGGCGGATTCTAAAGCCTTAGAGGCATCTTGCCCCTTTGCACCGAGCCAGCTCCAAAACTTTTGCAAGAGTGCCTGGAACACCCCTGAATTGTACAATGTTTGGTCTGCCTTGATCCTTTCCCCCAGTATGATCTCCCCTCTCTCCTGCAGGCCTGGCTCACTCTCCTCTAGCAGGAGAGGGCTGCATGAGGGTGGAAGGGAGAAGGAGGGAGTGGAGCTGGCGAAAGGGACAGAACGTGCCCCTAGCGGACCACCTCATGTTAAAAATCTACTTGGGTGAGGGGATGAGGCAAGCCACAGATGAAAGAAAAGAAAGGGAAAGAGCCCCAGTTAAAGATTGATGGGAAGTGCTACTAGCTACGTGGGGCCTTTTGACATCGCCACCGCTGCTCTCACTCCAGCCCCAGTTTTAATTCCCGCCCGGGTTAGAGAAACAAGCAAACGTGTTCCACATTGGCCCAGACCTAGAGGCCCTTCCGCCCGGCCAAAAGAGATAAAAAGATTCCCAATGCTAAGATTCCTGGGCAGCCCTCCAAGGCAGCGGAGGCCAGAGGCGGCTGAAGGAGGGAGCCAGCCAAAGCGGCCACAACTGGGAGAGACAGTTTCGCCATGCAACAAGGGCAGGGGTTTTCCCAGAAGGGATTCTGGAAGAGAGAGATTGTACAGTGGAGCAGCAGGGGGACTTTCACGTGCATGGCTTAAATCAGCCTTGCATTTGACAACTTGTCCCTGGTAGCCATGGGCGACCGGAAATCCCACGCAGGCGAGTGACTGAGCTGACGGAGAAGGAATGGATCCGTTCCATCAGTGGAGGGAGGTTTGCTTGTTATGCTTTTACAGGAGGGGAAAACTGATCATGAAGTGGCACAGTCCACTTCTGCCATCTCAGGACTCTGCTGCCTTATGCTTTGTGTGTAAAATCAGGACTTGGTAAGAAAATACAGGAAGATATGTGAAGTTATTTGTCCAACATGTTCAGTATTGTTTCCTCTGCATGGCAGCAGCTCTCAAAGAGTCTCACACAAAGGAGACTCCTTTCTGTCACCTGCCATCTCAGGGGTGGGGAACCATTTTCAATTGGGGGGCCGCACTCCCTTCTGGACAGCTGTCTGAGGGCCACATGCCAGAGGCAGAAGTGAGTGGACCATCAAAGGTATATTCTACCTTTGTACTGTAAGCTATGTACTTTCCGCACACACACTATACTTTTTTTAATGCATTTGTACGTGATATACCACCCTCTGCACAAGTCACAGGGCAGTTTATAACTGAAGCATGCAGATAAAAATCTGAAAGAATAATGCGACCCTTTAAAAACACAAACAACAACAAATCAAGGAAAGCCAGTTAATCTGTCCTCCACTGAGACAAGCAAGAGGCATTATCGGAGTTCAAGTTACGCATTCCAGCCAGGGAAAAGCACTCAGGGTGCAAAGCAGGGCCAGTGAAGGATTGTGGCCAGCAGAGGGTTCCAAGGGCCATACAAAGAGGCCCAAACGGCCACATTCATCCAGGGGAAAACGTTAGTCACAATCAGTGGTGTTTTCACTGAGCTGCAGTTCAGTTTCTGTCAAATGCTCACTGTCTGTAACTATGTAACTCTTTAAGTAACATATATTCATTTCAATGTAAAGGAAGCATCAAAACAATGTAAAAAAAACAAACAAAAACCTCATCAATTGTGCAGTGTTTGCAGACTTAGAAGCAACAATGATGTGGAAAAATGCCAATCAAATTCATTTGACTGGTTTTCATTCCCAACCACAAACAAACATGCAAACTCCTGCAATTCCCACTTCCTTTTCCATTGGAACTCTCTGGTATTATTATTTATTACTATCTGGTATTACTATTTATTTGTTGCATTTATACTCCAAATTTTTCTCCAAGGGGCTCAAGGCAGGGTATATGTTTCTCTTCCTCCTCCTCCTCCCCCTTGAATCCCCACAGCAAACCTGGTAGGTGGGTTAGGCTGAGAGGTAGTGACAGGTCCAAGTTCACCCAGTGAGCTTCAGGGCCAAGTGGGGATTTGAACCCTGGTCTCCCAGGTCTTAGTCCATCCCTGTTTGAGGATTTAATGCCTGTTTTTATAAAATGCAGTATGGCTACTAATGGAGACAAAATGTGCAAGAGGAGGACTGGCCACTGGCCACAGGCCCGGCCAACAAATAAAGCAGTTTTCCCTCCACCCCACCTTACACCTCTGAATAAATTGCCTCCACTTCTGATTTGTCACACCCTCCACCCCAATCATCCGGACGGGAGTTAAGTCGAATGTTCTCTTCCTCACTGGTGCAAGGGCTTGGTCTCAAAATAGCTCCTCACTCTCCCATCCCAAATGCAGTTACTAACTGGGGACATTGAGCCCAACCAGAAGCAAAGGCCAAACTGTCCCGTCCCCCCGTCCCCAGAGGTCCAAGTACCACTTGGAAGCGATCAGTTAAATAGCTGGGACGGGGAGGGAACAGATGCAAAGCTGCTTTCTGAGTGGTGGGGGGGAAAGGATGGCGGCAGGTCTGGAAGATGTCACTTTTTGCAGGGGCAGAGGGACAAAAAACAGCTGCGTGCAGATGGCGAGAAAGGCTATAAAACACTTGGCACAGGGCTACCGCTGCTGAAAGTGATATAGTGGGTTGTTGTTGTTTTGTAATGGCTAAAGGATAAAAACAAAACAGGACACACAGCAAGAGCTGCTACTGCACAGCTGGGAATCCCACCCCACACAAATTCCACGCAGAGGGAGCCCAGATTTGCAGCTCTGAAATTCTAGCAGTCTTTAAAAGCACAAGTGACCTGCTTGCACAATGTAATCTATTTTGCAACTGCCGGGGGGCCCTCCAGACTGCTGGGGTTTGGGGGTGGGCATACTCTGCAACATGGCACTGATGCAATAACAGTGGTGGGCTTATATCGGACTGTCCAAACATCGATCCATTGTATTAGTGGATCGGTGATACTTTCTCAATGTTACAGAGTTCTTGTGGCATTCTTACTCTATAGTGCAACAAAAGCAGGGAAGAAACTAACAAACCCCGGAATATTTATGACATAAAAAGTTATAGGATTTCAGAAAGAAGCCACGGGACATTCATTGGTTAGAAATGAAGCAGTCTGTCTGCCGCAAGACATTTGCAAGAACAAACAGTGCTGAAAGCAGAATTGTGTATAACTGCCCTGGTACCATTGTGAGAACTAATAACACACAATAAAAGGGACATCTACTATAACTCACTATAATAATCTCAATAATAAAAAAGGGACGTCTGAAGGGGCCTTGGATGTTTTCAAATTTCCTAGTGTTTGGGGCTGAAAGGCAAAGGATGGAAGATCTGGCCCACAGCAGTGAAAGATGGGAGAATTATGTGGTCTATAGAAGCTTATTTCCAGTCCCACTTTTGCTACTCTAGAAAGCCCTGGAAAAAGGCATGGCTTCCAAACAACATCCTTTGCAGTCGTAAAGCCTAGAAACTATTTTCTTTTTCTTTAAAACGAAGGCTGAGATTTTCAGGATTCCGCACAACTAAATCCAATGCTTGCATACTGTGCGACTGTGCACATTTGAAGGGCACAATACCTGGAAACTTGCGTAAGGTTTCTGCGAAGACAGACGGTAGTACTGCCTTAACGAGCTTAGGTCTGAGCAGAGCAGGTTTAAACACATTTTGCCCCAGAAATCCAGCAGTCTTGATCTGTGGGGGGCGGGACCTAATTGCTGGAGACACAACTGTCCCGAATTCATCCACGCTGGAAGTTAAAAGCACCAAGCAGCGGGATTACTAATTGCTCTGTGGAAGATTTTGCAACCACATCAAAAGGGTCTGAATGCCTCCTCTGGCACTGAGGGGGGTCTGCTTCCTCCTTAGTGGCGCCTGGCCAAGCCGAGAGAAATATCCACTGGAGCCACTCTAACCGTGGGCCCCTCCAGACTGGTGTCCTATTAAGGGTGTGTTCTGCAGCATATTTTTGACACGATACTTGAGCATTAGTGGCAGATTTATTCTTGTTTCATGATGCTTCCCTGATGTTCCCACGTGTCAGCAGCGGGTGTCAACTCACACGGCATCTGTGAAGTTAACACTTTGTTCGAAGAATCAAGAAAGCTCAGGAGGCCAGGCCTAGTGAGCACAGCAACTCGTCCTGTTAGATCTTGCCCCAATGAGGCAGTTGAGGGGACTGAAGGTCCCCACATTCCCACAGTTCTCTAAGTCTCCTCCTTCTCTGAGTCCTTCCCAAGCAATCTGAGACTTTGCTGCCTTGCTTGCCTTTGCTCCGCCCTCTTCATACCTCTTCTGGTTCTGGGAGACCAGGGGGAAGGGGAGCTGGTCACAGCAGGAGGGGCAGACCCTCTGACTTCTTCATCTCTGCCTCTTGGCCCCTCTCCTCTCCAGCCTCTGCTTCTGCCTCTGATTCTGGGCTGCTCTCTGCCACAGACTCTCCCTGCTCATTAAACTCTGTTACCTCTACAGCTTCCAACACCTCCTCCTCCCAGTCTGCTCCCTTCTCCCTCTGACCACCCATCCTCATCCCACCACCAATCTCCTGGCTCTGAGTCTTCTTCCCTTGGGGGTTCCCCAGCTGGTGCCTCCCACCACTCCTCTGCATGCATTGTCATCCAGTAATGACACCACATTACTGCTGTCTAGAAGGGCTGTAGCACCACAAAAGTGGGACAAAAAAGGAACCAGAACATTTGTGTATAAAAAGTTTCAGCAGGACGTTACAGAATATGCACTGACTGGGAATGAAGCAGTGTAACCAGCCCAAAGCCTTTCCAGGTACAAACCATGGAAAGCGGGATCACGTGTGACCGCCATAATAGCACCGTGAGCACAAATTGTCACGAATGCACAACGAAACAGACATCTGGAAAGGCCCTGCCTCACAGCAGGAGGTGCAAATAGGTTCTCCAGCTTGCAAATGTGTCCATGGGCTCCAAAAAGGGTGGGTTACTCTACGATGCTTCCTGCAAGGCCAACTAACCACGCACACTGGAAGTGCACCAGAGGGAAGGGGCTACTGCTGAGTGGTAGGGCATCAGTGATGCCATGCAGAAGGTCCTGGGTTCAATCCTGAGCATCTCCAAATAGGGTTGAGAGACACTCCCTGTCTGAAAACCTGGGAGAGTCGCTGCCAGTCAGTGCAGACAATACTGAGCTCAATGGACCAATGAGGTGACTCAGTATAAGGCAGCCTCCTACCTTCTGCCCAGGGATGCTCTGCCAGCGTGATGCTACAGTGCAAGAATCATTTTGGCTTGACACATTCAAAAGCAGTCACTGCAAATATGCTTGCTCTTTGCAGTATGGTGAGTGCCATTTGAGGTCTACCACCTTAAGTGGCTCCCTTGGCTATCTATATGGTAGAGACAGCTCTGGAGTACCTTTGGGCTGAGAGACTGTTTGATTTTAAAAAGCTAGGTTGTCTCTTTCTAAAGCAGAAGCGGAATTCAAAGGAGCACCCTCCTGCAAAAACAAACACTGTGCTGGTTTTCCTTCGGGAAGTGGATCCAGGGCTCTTTCGGCTCAACACTGCCCTCTTCAGGGAAGAAGGGAGAGGAGAAGATCCAGGACACACCTGACCGGACGCAAAGGATGTTTTAGGTAGCTTTAGAGATGTCTTTAATGACAGACATGGGTGCAAGAAAATTTTGATTCAGTTCACATTCAAAGGCAAACCTACCAAATCTGCATTCAAAATAATGGGCAAAGCGAAACACTGGCCTCCTCCAAAATTGGTGCTTTTTTGAATTTTGCAATGCAGCTCTTTGGCCAAGTAATGCATACCAAAAAAATTGCACAGAGTGGCTAAAGTGTGCATTAAATACAAACATTAGTAAAAATAGCATGTAAAAAAAGGCATTATATTAGAGGAAATTGGTTTGCAAAAATATATGGATTAGGCAAAAGTGCATATAAAAATACGTACATGCTGATGCATTTTTATGCAAACTGATGTGGAAATGTGGGGGACAGAATTTAAGACGGGGGAAATGAGAAACAGAAAGTGACAGGTCAATCCATCCCAAGTTTCAGCACACACAAAGCTTACTTGCCCTTCTCCCATCCAAAGTAATCCACAGTGGTCACTTCCCAACAGCCTCTTTCATCCTATTTTTTCCACAGAAAGTTTGTGGGAAGGTTAAATGATGTCGGCTATTTACTGTGCATATGTTTCGAGGAAGGGTTACCCCACACCTTCTGGCACATCTTCCCATCCACTTCTGATGGACTGACTGTTGTCTACAATGGCTGAGGGTGACAAGAGCCGGAGTCCAAGAACATCTGGGTGGCCAAAGGTTCTCCATCTTTGGCCTAGGGGGTAGCCTCTCATAGCATCCTTGTGGAGAGGTTCAACCACCCTTGTGTACATAACATACGATGAAAGCACATGGCTTCCCCCAAAGAACCCTGGGATCTGTAGGTTGTTAAGGATGCTGGGAACTGTAGCTCTGTGGGGGTGATCTATAGTTCCCAGGATTCTTTGGAGGGCAGGGGGTGTGCTTTAAATGTAGAATGTGTATGCTCACCAAGTTGGCTTCAGGGGGTGCTGTTTCCTCCTGCAAATGTATATCCCTCTGTCCCTCCCACCCATTTTATAACACACCTTCTTTGACTTGCTGAAGAAGGCCTGCTTGATCTCCTCCAGGGTGGCATCCTGCTTGATCCCCAGCAGGTCATAGTAGCTGCTGTTCCTGGCTGGCGACCTACGAGGAGGAGGAATTGGTTATGCTGACGTCATCGCCCATGTCTCCTCCCCGCCCACAAATCTCTCAATGTTGACACTTGTTTATTTATCACATTCATGTACTTCCTTTCCTCCAAGCTCAAGGTGGCATGCATAGTTCTCCTCCTCCCCATTTCATCCTCACAACAACCCTGTGAGGTAGGTTAGGCTGAGAGACAGTGACTGCCGAGTGGGGACTTGGATCCTAGTCTCCCAGGTCTTAGTCCCACAGCTACACCACATTGGCTCTGACATGCGCCACCAAGCACTAGTGTGGCCATTTTAAGTAAGTCTTTACCATTCCTAGAGAGAAAGTTAGGAGAGGATTGGAGCATCTGCGTATCTCTCGTTGGAAACAGAATGTATGATCTATTGCTGTATCAGAAAAAAAATAACAAAGACATTACATGCTTCAAATAATACAAATGATGCAAACGATTTTGTTGACATATGGCATCCTTTTATAAAACACTTTGCTGATAATCCTGAAGAATGGCAACTACCAAAATCACAGAATGGATTTTGGCAAACTTAACCAGATTGATGAGTTCGGGGGGTGGGGGGGAGTTGGGATTTTGGTTTTGTATTCTTTCCTTTCTTTTTTTGGTCATTGTTATGTATTGGAAATAAATAAAACAATATTTTAATAAAATAAAGAAAATTATGAGGCTAAAAGTGCTGGTACCTTTTAAGTGATTCTGTGAAATGAAAGGGAATGTGGCTACCTTGGATACTTTTTCTGGTACCTAGGAATGCTCCTTGTTGCTGATGGACAGCAACATCATAGGTGTGTGTGTGTGTGTGTGTGTGAGAGAGAGAGAGAGAGAGAGAGATGCTATTGTGTTGTGTCAGTGGCGCTCTCTTAAAATTTGAAGTCTGGTCCAAAAAGGTTGACAACTCGTGGTCCACACATGCTCACACTCCCTTTCCTGTCCTCCATCCAAGCAACCAAAAGGCATTTTTAGAGTTCAAGGGCACATTTCATCCCGGGGCAAGAAACACTCAAGAAAGTTGCCAGGCTTGGGTGTGGCTCGGAAAGGGGTGGCGGTGGCCTAGGGCAGGCTTCCTCAACCTCGGCCCTCCAGATGCTTTTGGCCTACAACTCCCATGATCCCTAGCTAGCAGGACCAGTGGTCAGGGATGATGGGAATTGTAGTCTCAAAACTTCTGGAGGGCTGAGGTTGAGGAAGCGGAGAGTCTTGGGGGCCAGAGAGGCTTTGAGGGGTGCGTTTGACTTCCAAGCATGAGATTCCTGATCTACACAGAATAGCAACAGCTCTCCAGTGTTACAGAGAGGAGTTTTTCTCCTACCTGGAGATCAGAGGATTGAACCTGGGAGACTTCTGCATGCAGAGCAGACACTCTCCCACTGAGCTGTGGTTTTTACTAAACAACAACACAGGACGTTAGTCTAGAGGATGCTCAGAAAAGCAAACAGGCTGAGGGGGGCACTGGGAGCTGACATACAGGGCTCTTTCCCTCCTTCCCCTGGGTACACAAAATTCAAGAATCACTGTGAAGAGTGCTTGGTAAACGATATGCAAGAAATAAGTCTCCCCTCTCCACACACACACACACACACACACACACACATGCATACAGAGAGAGAGGAAATAAAAGAACAGGCGGTTCATTACAAACTCAAGAGGACAAGACTGAAAAGAATATGCATAACATCCACCAGCTGTGTATATAATATCCTCCGTAATCCACCAACCAAAATACTCTGTTATCGGTAAGGACCAGAATGGGAGCAGCTTGCCAATGGAAGGGGATGCAATTCTCCCACTTCCTGTGATTCCTTTTTTTGTTTTGGGAATAAATCTTGATAATTCAACCAGAGTAAATAGTTAAAGGAAAGGAGAGAGAGAATTAAACAGGTGCAGGCCTGCAAAATGGGTGGGCTGTTATGCTTCGTGGCTTCTTGCCACTGGAAACAAAAGAAGAACAAGGGAGATTTCATATGCTGGGCAAATGCAATGGGGTGATCCCCTGTGTGCAGCGTGGGGGAGCCTGTGGGCACCCTCATCTGAATCCAGAGTACTCCAGAGATCAGTAGAAGGGACCTGGAAGCACAGAAGATATATTTAGGGTGGGCAAGAGCTGCCTTGTATCATTGCTCTGCCCTGCTCAGTTCTGTGTCCTCACTGGCAGTAGTTCTCCAGGATTTCAGACAGAGGACATTTCCGGCCCCACAGAGAGATGCCAGGGATCGAACCCGGGACCAAAGCAGTTGCTCTACCACTGAGCTATGGCCCTTCCCCTCTCTTACCAGCCTTATGGTATTTATCCCAGGCACAGTCACCCCAGAGGCCTTATTCCGCCTGCCTGGTATTGCAAACACCCCTAAGCCCTTTTCTGTGACTGACAGGGGCTCTGAGGACTGAGAACACACACACGTCCTGGATAGCACACCAGGCTTAAGTCCCAGCCTAAGGCCACGAGGTCCTGGGTTCATGTCCCCAACATCCTGTCATGACCCTGGGACTGTTTCCCCTTTCTTCAGGTGAGAAGACTGAGGAGCCAGAAGGGGAAATGGAAGGGAAACATCTTTGGCAGAAGCCAAGAGACACTAGATTCAGACTTAGGTTGCATAGACACTACACATTTAAATCACACGGCTTCCCGCCAAAGAATCCTGGGAACTGCATCTTGTTAAGGGTGCTGGGAATTGTAGTTCTGGGAGGGGGTGAACTACAGTTGCCAGGATTCTTTGTGGGAGGAAGTTATGTGTTTTCAGTGTATGGCGGGCACACTATTGCCAATGCATCATCAGAAGTCTGCTCTCATAGTGTTCGTCCCGAGCTTTGTTCAAGGCCCTGCATTGTAATACATCCCAAATGAGCTAGGAGGAGAGCACTCACCGGCTGCAGAACGCGGTAGAAAACACCCGGTGCCTGGCACTTTGGCACAGCCAGCAGGAACGGCACATGGAAAAGGGAATGGCTAATGTCATATTCAGACCTCCCGAAGAGCGCCACACCCTGGTCCTGGGAAGATGCCGACCTAGGAAAGAGAAAGAAAGGGAAGGCATCTGGGATTTGAAGTTGAAGTCTGTGTGGTGCTTTAAGATCTTAAAAGCATTTCACAGGCATAGACTGACTCAGTAATCCGTACAACGGCCTTGTAAATTAGGGCAGCATAATGAACACCCCCTGTGCTGCACTTGGGAGAGTGAAACCAAAATTTAAAAGTGGCTCAGATAAGGTGACCTCGAGAGCCTTGCTGCCAAGCCAAGATTATTTTATTTAAAAGATGTGCATCAGGAAGCACTGGCAAAGTCCCCCGAAAGGATTTTTCCTTGAGATGGCAGGTTTGAAAACAAGTTGATCTTCTCAAACTGTCCCATTCAGTCCTGAAACATCTAGAGGGCACCATGTCACCAAGTGGCACCTCTCTGGTGAATGCCTTGTGTACTTTGTACTGGGGACCCCAATGGGGAAAAAAATTATTTAAAAACTTGGAAACAGCATAAGGGCTGTTGTGCTAGGATTGTCCAGGGTTTGTGAGGGTCTTCAAAGTCAGGATAGGCAGGGATAGACTGGTCAACGACTGATTTGAGTCTCACCCACCCCAACTGGAAGAACCAGCAGGCTAGGCGCCTCTGGTCATTATTTCCATGATCTGCTGAACTCTGGCCAGGAACTCACAGGTGGTTGTGCTTTACTTGGCTCCTTTCAGTTGTGGCAGCCCTTCCCTTTCCCATACAGCTGCACTGGTTTCCAGTTCATTTTCAAGGCCAATCTAAGGTGCCCCAACTATCTGAAAGGTCACCACCCTTGGAAGTTCGGTGGGACGGGAGAGGGCCTTCTCTGTGGCAGCCCCTAAGCTGTGGAATTCCCACCCCACAGAGGTGTGTCCTGCACCTTTCTTTATATAGCTTTTATCGTATGCTGAAGACACATCGCTTTACCCTGGCCTTTGACACCATATATATATATGGTGTCAAAGGCCAAGGCCAGGGTAAAGCGATGTGTCTTCAGGGTTGTGTGTGTATGTGTGTGTGTGTGTGTGTGTGTTATGACCCACTTACCCTATTCTTGGGATTGTAATTTGACTTGAACTATTTTTAATACTGTATTTTTTAAACTGCTGCAACCCAGCATGGGATCTTACACTAAAGCACAGGTAAGAAAACATGTAAGTAAATTATTATGATTGCATTATCCGTCAGCTGCTTCAGATGTCTATTTATGCCTGGACTTTCTCTGACCCATAAGATTGGATCATGCTTATAAATATTGTTTTCCTGTTTTTTATGGTGCACCTTTATTGTTGTTGTTATTTATAAGACTTGTTACCTGGAGATCTCCGAGTACTTAAGAATACATTTTAAACATCAATGCATTATACCATAAAAACAGAACAAGACAACCCCATAACAGCCGTAGGAAGCATTGGGAGATAACATCATCGTAGTTCATCTTAGGACACACTTGTATTATTTTTATGCTGTATTTTTTGTATACCACTTAGAGAATTTTAATTATTAAGTAGTTTAGGGCTGCTTTTAAATTAACTAAAACACACATATCAGATGCTGCCATTGAATAGGAAAGTGGACTAGATGATCCCCAGATTTCACCCACCCAGAAAATGCTATTGATTGTTGATTTCTGCACAGTGCTGGCACAAGACTCCATGTTTGAATTCACTCCCAGAGAAGTAGGAGGAATCCTTATTTCCTTGCTTCTAGAAAAATAGTACATCAGGCAGAAGGGCTATACTGGCTGAACCCTTGACCTTTTAACATGTCAAATTTGGCCCGTTGCCTGACAGCTGCCTCTGGTGTTCCCAGTGTTAATCCAGAGCCAAACAATTATCAGAATCCACAGCAAACCTTTGGAAAACATGTCCCCCTCCAGACGTCCTTTTTATTCTGTATTTAATCATAGAATCATCAAACTGTAGATTTGGAAGGGACCACAAGTGTAATCTAGTCCAACCTCCTGCAATGCAGGAATCTTTTGCCCATCGTGGGGCTTGTGATTGTTACTGGGACAATTCTACACAATCCCACTTTCCATAATTGTTTGTGCCTGAAAAGGGTTTTGTGGTGGACGGACCGCTATGTTTCCAAACAGTGCGTGCCTTGTAACTTCCTGCTAAAATCCTGCAACTTTTTGCGCTGCAAATGCTCTTGTGTTTGGCTGGCTGGCTGGTTTGTCCCCCTTTCGTTGCTCTGCAGCGCAAGACTGCCCCCCTCTGGACAGCAATACTGCGGTAAACATTGGGAAAGCATTGCAGAGCAGCTAATAGAATGGAATAGAATGGAATTATGTGTGGACAGTCCAGTATAAATCCAGCACCAATGCACTATTATTGTGTCAATGGCATGTTCCAGAATAGACTATCACACACACACACACACACACACACACAACCCCACCAATCTGGAGGAGCCCCGTGGCTGTTATCTCCCGCTGACCTTGAAGCGGTCAGGGAACACCGGTCCCTTCCTGGCTTCAGTCAGGCACTCCTTTAATCAGGAGCCAAAAATTATAAAGATGCAGTTCTCCATCTGCATCCCTGTCACTCGGCTGAGTTGTTGCTATGGCAACCACCCTGTGACCCCCCCCCTTCTCTGTCACGTCCCATCGCCGCAAAACCATCAACGTGCCTCCCTTTGCCCTTTCTCAGCAACAACAAAATAATCATTATGATTTCTCGCTGTCTCCTCCAGGTCCAGGCCACACTGACGGCTAGCTTGCTCCTGAGCTGATGGGGATGAGGAAATCAGCAAGCCCCCCCACAAAATTCATGCCTGGCCAGCCGCCAGCCCCCACCCTGGCAGCTGAAGTGCTGAAGCAAACATTAACCAAGCAGAGGAAAACCATCTCAGTGGGAGGCAGGCCTGTTAAAAGGGGGGAGCGGGTTTGCGATGTTACGGATACGCTGTCATTTTCCTGCCGTTTTTTACAGATAAAAGAAGGATTTGCCACCTGTTTGGCTTCCCAAAGCGCCTTACATTGGCTCAAATCCTCTCTCTGCAACCTCTCCCCACCGCTCACAGGATAACAGTCTTGTGAAGTTAAAAATATAACACGACAGACATAGGAGGCTGCCTTGAACTGAGCGTCACACACCATTGGTCCATCTAGCCCAGTATTGTCTTCGCTGACTGGCGGCAGCTCTCCAGGGTTTCAGGCAGGGGGTCTCTACTAGCCCCACCTGCAGATGTAGGGAATTGCATGGGACGTCCTGCATGCAAACAGACACTCCGCCCCTGAGCTCTACCCCTTCCCACACCCACCGGAGATGCTGGGACGCCTGGGATTCAAGAGAACACAATTTTAGAGAAAACGTCTGCTTGCAGGAATCGTATTTCCCCCAAATATCGTCACCCCCTCTAACTTCGCCATCCCTTGGTTTCTCAATGCAGGAAGAAGAGAGGAGGCAGAGGGGAGTTGGGGGAGTACATGCAAAGGTAAAAGAAAACACTTTTTAAACAAACACCTTGGAAGGCGGTGGACTCTCCTTCATGGGAGGTTTTTAAACAGAGGTTGGGTGACCACCTGTCAGGGACTCTTTAGCTGTGATTCCTGCGTCGCAGGGGGCTGGATCAAAAGCCCCTTGGGGGTCCCTTTCAGCTCTACAGTCCTGTGGTTCCATGAAGTGATTGCATCTCCTTGACTGAGCAAACTGCCCCGAGAGAAAGGGCACCGACTGACTGCCTGGATGACTAGCAGTGTATTTTTAGCAAACTGTTTTGCTGGCCCGAGTCAGAGCCCAGTCAGCTGGGCACCCACCACATAAGGCTAAACTCATTTCAGAATAATTCAGTGGACCCAGCGCATTGCAATTCTTCCTCCGTTTACAGTGGTACCTTGGTTTTTTAATGTCTCGGAAGTCGAACATTTTGGTTTTCGAACTTCGAAAACCCAGAAATAAATGCTTCCGTTTTCGAACACGGATTGGAAGTCCAACAGCTTCCGCTGAGTGTATATGTTATCTTTTTCAATTTTCTCTATTAAAAAATTGGCAGACCAATTTTTGCACAGCTGTTTCCAAATGTTTTTCCGAATGGTCTTCCGGAACAGATTACATTCGAAAACTGAGGTACCACTGTATTTATTTCCATTTCAGAGGTAGGCCAGGTACTTCTACACACACACACACACACACACACAGAGAGAGAGAGAGAGAGAGAGAGAGAGAGAGAGAGTTTCCACCACCATCTCTTCCTTTCTGCCAACTCAGCAGTATTAAGTGTTTATTTCTCCTTGTTTCAGAGTTTGCAGAAACACCATCTGGCTCATTACAGTGTGGAGCACATGGAAATAAATTCTACACCATTAATCAGGACAAAACAAACAAACAATCAGATAGAAAGAGGCCAAGCCAAGCACCCCAAAAGGGCAGTTGTAGGTGCTTTGTAGGCACCAGCAGCTAACACTTGGGGAAGGGCCGAGGATCAGTGGGAGAGCATCTGCTTTGAATGCAGAAGGTGCCAGGTTCAATCCCTGGCTTCTCCAGAAAGGGCTGGGACAGTTTACCAGCAGGTTAATCACATACAGAACCTTATTCCAAAAAATAACTTAATAGCACTTTCTTCTAGCAGTGTTCATAAAATGGAATACTGATCGAGGAACAGCAGTCTTTTCTCATCAGGGAATGATAAGAGCCAGCTGGCCTTCCATTAACATGACTGTATGGTCTGGTAGACCCAGGAGAGCTCAATTTAGTCCCTTTGGATGAAAACCCGTGTCCTTCAAGCAGAGGGCACAGCCCAATCAGATTTAGATAAGGGACAGTGAAACCTTCTGACCCATTTGTCAGAGCAACCAGGGCTTCTGTCTCAAAGCAGGTAGAAAGGCAATGGAGCAAGGAGACTAGGGATTCAGTCCTTGCTCTCTTAGGTCCCCTCCCAGGCATCCTTTTTATTGTGCCCTCCTGACGATTTGCGCTTGTGGTAATGGTTATACCCAACCCCTCTTTCAATACTGTTTCATGGAAGCATAGAATTGTAGAGTTGGAAGGGATTCCAAAGGTCATCTGGTCCAATTCCCTGCAATGCAGGAATCTCAACTAAAGCATCAATGACAGACAGCCATCCAACCTCTGCTTAAAAACCTCCAAGGAAGGAGAGTCCACAACGTACCGAGGGAGACTGTCAAACAACTCTTACTGTCAGAAAGCTCTTCCTGATGTTTAGTCAGAATCTCCTTTCTTATAACTTGAAGCTATTGGTTCGAGTCCTTCCCTCTGGAGCAGGGGAAAACAAGCTAGCTTCCATGTGACAGCCCTTTAGGTATTTGAAGATGGCTATAGTATCTCCTCTTTTGATGATTTGTGGCAAACCACAGTTTGCTATTTTGTTCATGCAAGGTAAACAATGGTTTGGGCAAACCATAGTTCTACAAACCACAACACTGAGGTCACAACTGTGGCTGACGTAAGCCACAATTTGCAAAGCTCACTTTGCACCTCCATTCATAAAGTGCTAAGGTGTGTGTGTGTGTGATGTTCACATCACTGCTGACTCGTTTTTCTAGTCGGATTGAAGCTGGTTTGAGAAAATAATGCATCAAACAGCAGTATTTGTCAAGAAACTACAGGATCAGCATGGATGGTGGCTAATGTTGTGCAGATTAGGGTTGAAAAGCTAGCAATAGGGGTGAACCGGATGCAGAACAAGCAGCAACATGAACATACTCTGAAGTTTGCATATTAGAAAAAGCAAAAAGGTTTGGAAAGAACTTGCTCATCATATCCCCAAGGAGAAATTTCAACTGTAACGGCACAGTGTCTGCGACTCCCAGTCCCTGCAGCAACTTTCACCATACTAATCAAAACAAATGCTAATTAGAACAGCTCATGCACACCGAGGCTTAGGCTGCAACTCACTTTTAAAACCTCACTGCTCCTTTCAGCCAGTGTAGCAAATGGGAGCCAATCCAGCTTTATTGCTAGTATCATTTCTGCCCCCCCTTTTTTAAATTAACTTTTTTTAAAAAGACAAGTAAACAAAGCAGCTGGGACCCACAGGCCATTTGTTTTCACAGTAATCCGGTCGCTTACCAGCAAGCACTACCTATTAAACTAGGCCAGGTTAGTTGCACCCCAGGGAGAACTTCAAGAAGAAGTGAAGACTGGAGGAATTTAGGACTGAAGAAGTTCAAGCAACAATTGCTTAAAAGAAAACAGAAATAAAGGCACAGGGTGCAGGGGTGAAGGAAAGGAATATTTTGAAGCGTCTGACAGCTGCTTAAAATGCGCAGGCTTGGAGCCCCCTGCGGGGTATTACGGTTGCACACAAAACAACCTTGAAGCTGTCGGTTGCATGCTGTGCTTAAACCCCCACAGGAAATACCGAAGGCACAGAGTGTTGCTTCAGTCCAGTGTAGCCTATTCAAGGGGAAGGGGGTCTTGGGTTAACCCAGGGGAGCACACTGTAACCTGGCAGACAAGTCTGAGCTAACAGCTAAGCCACAAGAATTTTACCAGCTGAATTTAAACCTTGAGAGGCTACTGCTGGCCTGGCAATTGTGCACAAACACAGGAAGTCAGTCCATCTGCCTCAATATTGTCTACACCAAGAATGAGAAATCTGGGACCCCCCAGATGTTCACAGAATCATAGAACTGTAGAGTTGGAAGGGATCCCAAGGGTCATCAAGTCCAACCGCTAAAGCATACATGACAGATGGCCACCCAAGGAGCTTCCACTATCCCTGGCCATTGGTGACACTGGCTGGAGTTGGAGTCCGAAAAACATTTGGAGGGCCTCACAGGTCCCTCAATCCACTGATGGGATGGAAGCAGCTCTCCAGAGTCTCAGAGAACAGTCTTTCCTGGGCCTGCCTATACATGGCTTGACTACTGAGCCATGGCTGTTCCCTAAACGATGGTCTGCTCTGTTGAATGAGCAAGGTCAAAAGGCCAAGCTCCTAATATTAAACCTGGCTTGGCCAATCTCATACTGTCTCCTGCTGCCTTCATGGCACTGATGCTGTTCTGACACAATCTTGGGATCTCTAGATGTTGCTGAACTTCATCAGCATGGCCAGTAGTTAAGGATGAATGAAGTTGAGGCCCAGCCATATCTGGAGGGCCACAGGTACCCCACCACTCTGCTAGATGGACTTCTGATGTCCTGATGCCACATAACAGCCACTGGCCCTCAGAAGACAAGCTCTACCTCCAACCTTTATTGGCTGAGCAGCTCTGGTGTTACGGACTATCTATGGACATTCCAACTTCTCAAGAAGAGTTCTCAGTCCAGCTCCAGCCAGCATGGCCAGTGGTCAGGGATGATGGGAACTGCAGTCCTGCAACATCGAGAGGGCCACAGGTTAGGGAAGGCTGACCCAATGGCTTTGGTGCCCAAAAAGGACTCTTACCTCACACTGTCTCACACTGTCTCAAGTAACCTATAAGAGAGCTGGGGTTAACAAGTCACACAAGAGTACCTTCTTCTTCAGTGGGGACAACTGGAATCCTAGTGGACTGTGGTATTTTAAATTAAAGGAGAATAGCCAGAATGTTTTACATAGTAGGATTTGTGCAACTGGAAGAAAAGTTAAATGGGGTGGCCGCAGAACTGTGCCTGCAGATGCTTATCAATATGAATTGTTTTACACAGACGTAACTCGATGAACGTAGTAAGTAAAATAAGGATTATCTTCAAACACAATTTTAAAAAGCCATAAAACTTCAAGAATGTCTTTGGTTTTTCTTCATGGTCTGTCTCACATGTCAAAGTCCCTGACAAACTCCACTTGACCTAACATTCATTACCATGCTGTTTTAAGCCCAAATTTAGCCTTCATCAGGCAATGGGGCGGTGGGGGAACTATACTCCCAAATGGAGCTGGGGGTGGGGAGCAAGGCGAGATGAACTCCTGGCATTCCTTAAGCACAGCAGCAAAACAAACAGCAATTAGGTCACTAAAACAGGTTTAACTCTCTGACTTCTTACACGCCTTTTTTTGCTTCCTCATCCCACAAGGATTGCTATAAAGTTGAAAGGTATCTCCTAATCTGTGCTATAGAGAGGGTGGAGGAGAGTTTTGGATATCATCTTTTACCTTCAGCTAATGCTCACACTCACCCCTACATAGCCAGGCCACTCCTTTCAAAACAAAGACAGAAACTTTTTGTAAAATAAAATAAAATATTTTTTTAAATCCCCAAAACAACCAAATCTATTATTTCTTTCAGGTATTTATTTACCACATGAGAAAATTTCTAAGCAGTGATGGGCAAGGTTGTAAGACACATCAGACCATTACCTGAAGTTAAGCAAGGCTGAGTCTGAGCAGCATCTGAATTGGTGGCCACCACATGGGCGCTGTTTTAAGCTCCATGATAAAATATATTCACATATTCACACACACACATACACACACACACCACAAAAAAGCCCAAGCCTCTGCTGCAGAACGTGGTAACTAAGGGCTGGTAATCTTTGGGGCACTTCTGGACGACTTGTTTATTGAGCATTGGTCCCAATTTGTTTCAGGGGAAGTCTTCAGGGGAAGACGCTGCACCAAGCAAGCAAGCGATCCCACATTTTCCAATGGATTTCCACCCCCCTTTCCTGTTTTCAGGAAGTCTGGGTTTTGAAAGTAATCAGGCTTACTGCGCAAGACATCCAACTGTGCAACCACAATGTGAGTGAATCCCACCCCAAAATAGCAACAGTCTGGAAGCACCCTTGGAAATCTTGTGCTCTTGCACACTTCCTGTGACTTTTTTTTTTTTAAGTGCACGCACAGAGGTACAGAAATATCATTCCAGGAATGTGAAAACAGAGTGGAGGGAAGGGGTGGGAGTGGTAGCAATTGAGGGGTGGGGCCTGAATTGCAGGGAGCTGGGCTACACGACCCTTGGAGTCCCTTCCAACTCTACAATTCTATGAACACACAACATGGGAAAATTGTATCACTGGTGTGGACCAGAAACAGTGGTATAGCTATGAAAAGAAGACTTAAACCATGCATTGTGTGAAGCCTGGTGGGCCAATTATTCATTTATTAATGTATATCCTGCTTATATGCCAAAATGACTTCTAAGTAGTTTAGAATTAATCAAGAACACAGCAGGGTGGTGGGGAGGCACTCAGCTATTTGTCTGCAAGATAGTGCCTTATACAGAAGCATTGTAACAGCATAATCCTAACCACATTGTGTTTGGGAAAGGGCTGTAGCTTGGTGATAAGAGCATCTGCTTTGCATGCAGAAGGTCCCAGGTTCAAAACCCCGGCATCTCCTGGGGGAGTCTCCCTGCCTGAAACCCAGGAGAGCTTCTGCCAGTCGGTGTGCAGACAACACTGAGTTAGATGGACCAAAGCTTACGTTCCGACTTCCGGGGGAGGCGCCTCCGATAATGGCAGAATTCCTCTGACCGGGAGGAATCTGCTCCGTGGAAATCTGGGTCTGGCCGCCACGGCGAAGGCGGAGACCCGTTAAAATCACAGGCGGGAGAAGCCTGTGAACGTGGGATTCGGCGGGCACCTTTTGCGCCTCCCCCACTCACGGGGAACCCCGGTTTTTGGGGCTCCGGAGCGACGTGGGGTGAGCGGCGCGGTGCATCGAATCGTCTGCTTCTTCCACGGAGTGAAGCCGCATAGCTGTTGCCGGAGAGCGCTGACCTTTTCCTGTGGACAATTTGACTTTAAAGTAATTACCCGTGAGTAGAGCTGAAACGGAAGAATTGGATTTCTAAAAGTTTAATTAGGTATCGTAACGGGGAGGTTCAAAACAGGAAGTCCGCCTTCCCTTTTTGTAAATAGACTGAGGCAATGAAGTTGCAAGCTGGAGCCCTGGAAGGTCTTTTGTAAAAGATCAAATTTCCAACGGTAAAGAACATTAAACCCCCTCTTGGAGGCAGGAGAAGAGAGGGGGAAGTTGCGGATTGAGTATGCCTGTGGGAGAGAGCGAAGAGGCTTAAAACACCGCCGCTCTGACCCTGGAAACGGGCTGCTAGTAGGATTGACGTCTCTTGGAATGTTCATTGACAGCGCTTTGAACGTTCATTGACAGCTAGCTAAATAAGAGAAATACACTGTTTCTACTGTTCCCGGCTGCTTTAAAAAGGAGTAAAAGTAACTGAAAATTGAAACTAATTTGAAACTAACTTTGGATTGCTTAAAAGAGGATACTATTGACTGTTAAAAAATAGAAACTGTTTCCCCCTAGTGGAAGGCTTTGAAACTGGTTGATTTACAAGAGTTGGACTAGGGGAATTTCCAGCTGCAAGTTAAAAACCGTGAGACTCTGGGACTAACCTTGAATCTTTCAAATGTCATGGTAAATGGAAGAGGAAAAACAGACCAGTCAACTGTTGATAAAACATTAAGGTCTGGGAGGACTTGGTAACAATCCAGGAGAGGTCTAATATTAGGCCCTCTTGTTTTTTTTGTTGTTGTCTCTGTACTAGTACATTTGAAACTAAGAGGAATGTCGACAGAAGAGGCTTTGGTGGCTGCATTATATAAGATAAATGACTCATTGGATCAGCTTCACAGGAAAATGGACATGATAAATGCGAAAGTGGACGTTTCAATTGTTGAGGTTGATTTGAATGCAGGGAGTATGGACAATACCAATACAGAAACCACCCAGAAATTGATACAAGAACCTATTTTGATATGGCAAGCTGCGGAGGAAGTCAAGGAAAAAGCTGTTGCTGTTGAAGGTACAGAAACACAACTGGCGAGAAAGAGAAAGACAGCCCCAGCCCTACAGAGGCAATTTGATGAACATAAGTTGACGCTCGCTATGACTGAACTTAAGGAAAAACAGACGAATTTGAGGATTAGAGTTCATCTTTGGTGGACATGCCCAAGGATTAAGACACTCTGGGAGATGATTCATAATGAAATGAAAAAGGTATTTAAATATACCCTTTTGAAGAAACCAGAGGCCTTTCTTCTGGGCATGGTCGGTCAATTGGTGTTAAAGAAGGATAGAATTTGTCACATGTATGCAACAATAGCAGCAAGAATACTCATTGTGAAGTACTGGAAGACACAAGATTTATCTATTCAGGAAGAATGGCAGATGAAGTTGATGGACTATATGGAATTGGCGGAAACGACTGGCAGAAATCCGAGACCAGGGAGAAGAGTCGGTGGAAGAAGACTGGAAAAAGTTTAAGACTATGTATAGAAATATTGCAAAAATAATGAATGTTAGAAAAATGTTGGAATGAAGTTATATGGCTTTAGTAGAAATGTTATAAGGAATTAAGTATAAATAGACTAATAGAGTATTAAAGGGAAAAATAAGATTAGAATATGTTAAGATAATTATAGGATAGAAAACAGAGGAAGATGGAAAGGAATTGCTGAAACAATTAATAGAAGTGGAATACAAAAAGGGAGGTGTGAGGAGGTCGTGGAAATAAGGGAATGAAAGTTAAGACATTGAAATTGTTTTGTGCTTTAAATGGTTTGCGTCTTGTTTTGTTAATCTTATGTTTTTTCTCTTTTTCTTCTTTGCTTTTTCTTTTTCTTTTTTCTTTTTTCTGTTTTATTGTGTGTAAATGGTTGGAAAATCAATAAATATTATTTTTTTAAAAAAACAAAGCTTACGTTCCTATGTCTGCTCAGAAGTAAGTCCTAGTGAATTTAATGGGACTTACTCCCAAGTAAGAGAGGTTAAGACTGCAGTCAAAGTTAGCTGCATTTATCCCCCACAGCACTGAAACTACTGAGCTAAGTTACTAAAAACATAAATCCAACTGATGTTCATCTAACTTAGCATGGATTGCGCCCACTATGTCACAGTAAAGGTAAAGGGACCCCTGACCATTAGTTGCTGCGCTCATCTCGCTTTATTGGCCGAGGGAGCCGGCGTAGCACTTCCGGGTCATGTGGCCAGCATGACGAAGCTGCTTCTGGCGAACCAGAGCAGTGCACTGAAACGCCGTTTACCTTCCCGCTAGAGCGGTACCTATTTATCCACTTGCACTTTGACGTGCTTTCGAACTGCTAGGTGGGCAGGAGCAGGGACCGAGCAACGGGAACTCACCCCGTTGTGGGGATTCAAACTGCCGACCTTCTGATCGGCAAGTCCTAGGCTCTGTGGTTTAACCCACAGTACTTTTTTTATTATTACATTTTCTGTTTTACAATTTAAAATACTCATTTTACATCCTTAAGTTATCAATGACTTCCCTTCTTCTCTTTCCATGGTTCATTTTACATATCATGAATCCCTGCCTATTTCATAGAAACTATATCGTTCAGTATTCCATTACTGCATCCATCAAAACTTATTTACACTGTTGAATTTATCTTAATGCTGCCAGTGTTTTCAGCTGTACACAATTATTTCCCATATATTCGATAAACGTTACCATTATAGTTATGTATAACACAAATCTGTAATGTTGTAAATAAAAATATGCCCTTTTCCCTTATGGGGTATCCAATAAACGTTACCATTATAGTTATGTATAACACAAATCTGTAATATTGGTATTTATAGACTGGCTATTTGCACGAAAATCATTAACATCCCAAATACGATCACTCCATAATTAATCGGGTGGGGGTGCCCAAAATCAGAAGGACGGAACCACACAAATGCCGGCAGATTTTTCCCGGGGTAGGAAACGGGAAGGGCACTAACGTCAAAAGCAACAGATAATGAACAAGGCAGATACTGTTGCAAGGAGCGGGGTTTGAAGGACCAATAGTTTTGAACAGTGTGGAAACGGAAGGCGCGCTCCTATTAAACAAGCAGTTAAATCAATATCGGCCACCCAAGGCCGAGGGGGGAGGGAAGGATAACGCAAGGAGGAAAGGGGGAGGGGTAATAGTGGGGACACGGCGGTTACCATAGAAACTCACAGTCAGCCCTCGGGTCGCGACCGCCATTTTGATGCCGCCGCCGCCTCTTCCAACTCGCCGGCTGCATTTGGGCCCGCCCCTTTCGAAAACGGAGGAGGGGTGGAGCGACATCCGGGCACTTCCCAATCACCTTGGGCTAACCTAGTTAGGAGTCAAGTCGACTTTTAACCTAAAACCGTTGGGTAACATTAAAAGCAAATCCCATTGAATGCAATGGGGGTTACACACAGGTGCAATTGCAGCCGCAATATAAACTAATAGCATTTGTATACTGTAATTCCTTTTCCCGGAATATATAAATATGAAAATATGTAAATTTGCCCAATGGTTGCGTTAGCAGTTGTATACATTGCATGCACTGCCTTTTACAACAGGTGTGTCATGTGAGATGCAAAAATTGGGCAGATCTCCTTACTCTCACTGGGAAACTGGGTTTCAATTTGCAGTGGAAAGAGGAAAACTTGACATGCATCACGTATATGTGTCCATCACAGTTAATAGTTAATATGTTAAAATTGTTTTTCTTTTTCATGTTTCTGGGAGTTGCTCCTGAAAACAGTTGTGAGGCGCTTCCATGGGCATGATTATGTGTTTTTAATCCACTAGAAGGAAGGGGAAAGGGATTCACTGAGACCAGATAGATAGGTTCCCCACCCACATCTTAGAAACTGGGCAAAGTCTCTGACATGATAGGGCCCTTTAGTAACCAGTCTTCACTGCTGATTGCTTAAGGATCAGGGGCCACTTCAAATGTTGGCCACCAGAGGTCTGTGGCATCAAGTGCCTCTCTCTCCTCCAAAAGAACTGCTGTCCACAAATTGTTTGCATTGAACATTGTTTTCCTGATAGTAGCCCACAAATGTCTGAGGTCAACACACAGCCTCTGATCCAGACAGGTCAACAGCTACTGACGCAGACTATGCTAATGCTGCTTTGCTTTTTTTAAAAAAAAAATGCAAATGAAATACAAGCTAAATCCAGGGGGTTTAAAGGGCAGGAAATGCCAGGGCCTCAGCCAAACCTGCCTGCCTTGACTTGAAAAGGAGATCCACAGCAAGCAGTGCTGTCTCTAAATGAAGGCTGGGGACAGATCACAAGCCCTCCGTCACAAAGGTTGTGGGAATGGTGCCAACAGCCAAGGGAAGAGGGTGCAGGAGGGGCTCTTGCCAACAAAACCCACTTTTGTCAAAATTGCTAGTGACTTCACCCTTTCACTGGGGAAGGGAAGGGGAGGGATAATGGTCCCTTTTCTCTTGCCTGGGGTTCCCCCTACAATGGCTCCAGTCAGGGCTGCTTAGTGGAAGTGTCAAAAAGGGGATGCTGTTGCCAAGGGAGCAGGGACTGTCATGAGGGGCAGGACCCCCACATGGTGTCAAGGTGAGGTTATAGCATAGAGAGAGACGGAATGGTGAGATGTTCAAGAGGCTGTACAACTTGGAGATTCAGTTTTATTTGAAGAAAAAAGGAAGACAATAGACTTAATGGTGTTTTTCTAATATTTGGTTTATTTGCAAATATATAAGCATAACGGAGACAAGCTGCATACACACCCCACAGAACATAAGAAGAGCCTAGCTGCATCCTGTTCTCACACTGGCAAAGCCAAATGCCCCAATGGAAGCCCACAAGCAGGACCTGAATACAACAGCACTCTCCAAACTTGCAATTCCCAAACAACAGGTATTCAGAGGCATGTTGCCTCCAACAATGGAGGCAGAACATAACCACCATGGCTAGTAACCATGGATAACCTTCCCCTCCGTTGATCTGTCTATTCCTCTTTTAAAGCCATCTGTGTTAGTGGCCATCGTATGTGAGCAAACCTCATAACTGAAATATGTGTGGTGTGTTTTTCAACCCTTTAGGTAGAAAAATCCCCTGTAGAGTATTTGTTTCATGAAGCCAGATGTTCCCCAGCAGGCAATAAATTAAAAAGCAAGCAAGACTTTTACCATGACAGGCACCATCTTGAATCCAGCCAGGCTGTGTTTGGTTTCCATTTACAGTGGTGCCCTGCAAGACGAATGCCTCACAAGACGGAAAACTCGCTAGACGAAAGGGTTTTCCGTTTTTTGAGCTGCTTCGCAAGACAAATTTCCCTATGGGCTTGCTTCGCAAGACGGAAACGTCTTGCAAGTTTGTTTCCTTTTTCGTAAAACCGTTAATACCCAGGGTGCATTGCTTGAAGAGGTGCAGTTGTGACTTGACTTCGAGGAGCAACTCATAGCACGCGGTGTGGTAGCCTTTTCTGAGGTTTTTGAGGACTTTGCTGATTTTTGAAGCTTTTCCAAAACTTCTTTTGCAGCCGTTTGGTAAGTTAAACTTTTAAAACTTTTTGGGGAGTTTTTGGATTTTGGGTTGGGGTGTTTGGAATTCAAGGACTTGGTGTTGGGGAGGGGTTTGCAAGAATCTGGGAGCTTGTGTGGTTCTTTTTTTGAATTTTTATGATTTTCTGTGACCATTGGGGCACTCTGCTTTTTTAAAAAAAAAAAATTCTGGGTTTGAATTTCTGTGTGGTGGGTGGCTGGGGGAACAGTTGAGGAGGGGTTTGCAAGAATCTGGGAGCTTGTGTGGTTTTTTCTGCATTTTTATGATTTTCTGTGACCATTGGGCCATGTTGTTTTTTTTCAAAAAAAATTTCTGAGTTTGAATTTCTGTGTGGTGGGTGGCTGGGGGAGCAGTTGAGGAGGGCTTTGCAAGAATCTGGGAGCTTGTGTGGTTTTTTTTTTTAATTTTTATGATTTTCTGTGACCATTGAGCCATGTTGTTTTTTCCCAAAAAAATTTCTGAGTTTGAATTTCTGTGTGGTGGGTGGCTGGGGGAGCAGTTGGGGAGGGGTTTGCAACAGTTGGGGAGGGGTTTGCAACAGTTGGGGAGGGGTTTGCAATTTCTGTGTGGTGGGTGGGTTGGGGAACAGTTGAGGTTTTTGAAGACTTTGGTGATTTTTAAAGCTTTTCCAAAACTTCTTTGGCAGCCATTTGAGGATTTTGAAGACTTTGGTGATTTGCAGCCATTTCGTAAGTTAAACTTTTAAAACTTTTTTGGGGGTTTTTGGATTTTGGGTTGGGTGTTTGGAATTCAAGGACTTGGTTCTGGGTTTGAATTCCTGTGTGGTGGATGGCTGGGTGCTTTTGAATTTTTTGGGTGTGAAGCACTGATTATTATTATTTTTTCCTGAGTTTACGAAGCTAGGAGCTGTGCTGCCATGGGACCCAAGAAGACTGCTGCTGCAGAGGCCGGCGAGAGGAAGAAGGAGAAGGTGAGGCTGGAAATGAAGAAGGAGATCATCCGGAAGCACGGCGGTGGAATGCGTGTGACAGACCTCGCCAGGAAGTACGGCAGGAACCCATCGACCATCGGCACCATCCTGAAGATGAGGGAGAAGATCCTTGCGACTGATGCAGCCAAGGGAGTCACCAGGATCGTGAAGAACCGCCCAGCTGTTCTGGAGGAGGTCGAGAAGTTGCTGCTCATCTGGTTAGAAGAGAAGCAGCGTGCAGGGGACACAGTGACTGAGGCCGTGATTTGTGAGAAGGCCAAGGCCTTGCATGCAGACCTCATCCGGGAACAGTCAGGAACCTCAGGCGAGCCAGAAGTCTTCAAGGCAAGCAGAGGCTGGTTTGACCGGTTCAAGACAAGATCTGGAATCCACAGCGTGGTCAGGCATGGAGAGGCTGCCAGTTCTGATGTTCCTGCGGCTGAAGACTTTGCAGCGGAGTTCCTGGAGGTTGTGTCCTCCAAAGAACTGAGGGACATTTGCCAGAAGTGGAAAGATGTGCAGGCTTTTGCACAGCGGCACCACCCTGACAAGGACCTGACACGTGACCTTGCGAACACTTTTGATACGAGGGTCATGTCGTCTTTCAGGGAGGTGCTGAAAAGGCGGATGAAGCAGCAGACCATGGACAGGTTCTTCAGCAAGAAGCAAAGAGTGGAAGAGGAACCTTCTTCGAGTTGTCCCCCAGAGTCTTAGAAAATGTACTGTACACTTTGATGATTTTTAAATGTTTTTCTATCATGTTTAGAAACTTAATTTATTGTTCCTTCATTTTTTGAAATGCTCTTTACAGTATGTGTGACTTTAAAGAGCATTTAATAAACTCTTGTTGTACCAAATCTGGCTTTGTTTGGACTTTTTTTGACCATAGGAACGCATTAATTGAATTTCAATGCATTCCTATGGGATTTCGTGATTCGCAAGACGAAAAATTCGCTAGACGAAAAAACTCGCGGAACGAATTAATTTCGTCTTGCGAGGCACCACTGTATGCTGACATAATTGGAGAAATACTTCAAGAAAGAAGCCCAGAAACATTTCTCTCATTTCCTTTTCGGACAGACACTCCTCTTATTTATCTACTTTGTGGCCTTCATTGTGTTCTGTTATCTATTTCACAGCCAGGCTTGAGGAAAATGAAAGTTACCAGTTGATTTTGGTGGGTCTACTCTAAGTTGGAGTTACTTGGACACAACCCTTAAAATTTCTCGATTTCTAGATGAACACAAACAACTGAAACAACTTTGGGACAGCAGACAGCAGATGCCAGCTTTGTGTAGCAAATAAATAAAGTATAAAAACTGCCTTTGGGATTAGATAAACTTCTGTAGTCTGCATTTTTTAGATTGTGTTGATTTTTCCATGGAGTATCTGAAAAAGGACCAGCCACCCCAGAAGCAGAGGTTTGAGGCAAAATACCTTGAGGTCTTTAGTGCTGGTCGGCAAAGAAAAATTAGTCATATAAAAGGAGAATCCCTGGGTGCCAGGATCCAAGATTGTGCAAGTACTCTTTGGTGAGAGAACACCAGCAGAGATTTAAAACCACAAAACATGCAGCAAAGTAAAACATAGAAATATAGGCTGTTAGACCTTTATAACAGTCCAAAGTAGTCCACTCTTCCCCCAACATAGAAAAAGACAAGGTTGGTAAGTTAAAAATTGTTTCTTTACAAACATGCCAAAGGTCAGGTTCATGTGCTTTTCCATACATCAGTCAGAAAACACAGGCAGTACAACTTGGCTTAGTTACAGTAGTGAAAGTTCCTAAATTATTGGTATAGGAACTCAACGACGACTTGTAAGAGCCATGCAGTCTGAGCTGCAGCAGCCAACTCAAAACCCCTGCACGTGCCAAATTTCTCAGGCAGACTGGAAGGAGAACAAAGACTTGATTACCTGTTCCCACTCAAAGTGAGCTAAGCCTGGTATTAATTAGACCTAAGCATGATGGTTATATGAGGCTGATTATCCCACATCTACCTTGCTTTGTATTCACGTTGATGAATGAATCAATAAAATTTCATTTGCTTTAGCTGTTAATCAGGCAGGGAGTGTCTCAGGCTTACAGGATGTTTTAGAAAGATAATAAAAGAGACTCCATGGCACACACAATACAATGGAACAACAACCCAGTTTCAAATGTAAATGAATTTAACTGAAAATTTGCTGTCATTTAACTTGTGGTGGCTGGTGCCCATTGGAATTGATAGAGGGGAAGGTAGGGAGTCCTCACAGTAAGTGGATCCAGAACCAATAATAGGCTGAGCCAACTAATTCCAGTTTTGTTCTGCAAGGGACAACACAGAGATGCAGGTGCAGGAAGCTGGCAGGCAGGGTCAGCCTCTGGACCAGTTGCAAATAAGACAGGCAGGTAGGGTTGGGGGGGATGCCTGAGGGCGGCTTCTTTCTTTGGCGATCACTCGTAGCTGAGTAAGATTGTCTTCCTTAAACACGGCTTTAACAGTGAGTCCGTAAGTGACTGTGGAGGCCAATTCTGGATCCACACATCCTTCCACAGTGGGAACATTGGTTTCCGGGCAGGAATTGATCGCAGTGTGGATTTGCCAAGCATGCCTTTCTCTAAAGGCACGTTTCTACCTTGCGTCTGGAGTTCGAGTGTCTTCAAAGCCTTCGAAACCTTTGGTAAAGGCTGTTCTCCAGCTGGAGCACTCGCAGGCCAGTGTTTCCCAGTTGTCAGTGTTTATACTACATTTTTTAAGATTTGCCTTGAGACAGTCTTTAAACCTCTTTTGTTGACCACCAGCATTACACTTTCCATTTTTAAGTTTGGAATAGAGTAGTTGCTTTGGAAGATGATCATCAGGCATCCGCACAACATGACCAGTCCAACGAAGTTGATGTTGAAGAATCATTGCTTCAACACTGGTGATCTTTGCTTCTTCCAGTACACTGATATTAGTTCACCGACTGAAGTTGGTAGGCAGAGCTCCATTTATCTTAACAGAGCAGTCTCCACTGCATTTAAAGGTAAAGGTAAAGGGACCCCTGACCATTAGGTCCAGTTGTGACCAACTCTGGGGTTGCGGCGCTCATCTCACTTTATTGACTGAGGGATCCGGCGTACAGCTTCCGGGTCATGTGGCCAGCATGACTAAGCCGCTTCTGGTGAACCAGAGCAGCGCATAGAAACGCCGTTTACCTTCCCAGTGGAGCATTTAGTAGTGCCCAAAATCTGCGCTCTGGACAAAACATGGTTCAAAAGTTGGCACCCTCCTCCGGCTTTTGGCTTCTCACAGAGTCCCATTCTGCTTCCATCAAGCTGGGATGAGCAAGGAAGTGGGATATAGGGAGTTCAGAGCAATAGGGTTGTTATGTTTATTTTATTTTCTTCTGGCAGGATTCATTGCTGTGGGACGCATTGTTGTGTCAGTTGCCTTGAAAAGATTAGTCTGCATAAAATGCTGCATCCGTTTAAAGGCAATTCCAGGGCACAATCTAGTTGGCCTTAAGGTTGCCAACTGAGCAGGGAGGGAAATGCCCAGCCTGTTGCTAGTCAGTTTTGCGCTACAGAATAATCAGTTGAATCTTTTCCCACAGCACTGAGAAGTTTCCCCGATATTATTTCCCAAATAACTGTCTGCAGACTGAAATGGCAGAAGAGCAGGGGCAGAATGAAAAATTGGCCGCTCCAGTTTTGGCCTATAAATATACCAGCGTCCTTTATGGATACAGCAAGGAACTGAATGTATACCTTTCCTTTCCCTCCCCCAGTTATTATCAGCCCCACCCCCTGTGAAGTGTTCCCACTGAGATTAAAATTAATTAGTGCCAATTACAAATCAGATTACACATATCCTCTTGGGGGTCAAAGCTCTTACTGAATGAAGCTATTGCCAGAGGGGGCGTGCGGATATTTAGCACAAACGAAATGGGGGCTGGAAAGTAATGTTAATTTCCACACATGCCAAACCATCAAAATGCCTTTCTGTGAGACTGTGAATGGTAAGGAGCTAGGGGGAGATAGGCTTTTCAGCATTCTCTGCTATAACCATTGGACACACATCAGGAATCATGGCTTGTCATGAGCTGTCTGTTGCTGTGTTCGGTCACACTTAGGAATGAGAGAGGAATTTCATTCAGTTCTCATTTAAAGGCAAATAATCTATCTAATTTGCATTTTCTGAAACAGCATGTGAAGCAAAACACAACCACCCTTCAAAATTTGAACTTATCTGAATTCTGAGATACAGTTCTCCAAACCATGTTTACAAAAAGTAAGATATACTGTATTAGGGGAAATGGCTGCATTAGTTAAAATAACATACAAAAAGGCATTAAGAGGGAATCAATTGCAAAAATGTGCCCATCAGTAAAAAAATAAAAGCATACAAAAATGTGTTTATTAGGAGAAACTATCAATAGAATGGTGATGAAGTTTCATGAGGATTTATTTTTTTAAATCACAAATTGTTGTAGAAATGTGAACTTCATTTAAGATGGGAAAATGAAAAACTGAGAAACTCAAAGTTGGCAGATCGTTCTATCATTTTCAGAGTGACAAAATACATTAGGAACTAGCATTTATAAGGACAGCTATTGTTCCAGAGCATATAGCAATAAAAGAAAGCAGGGAAGGGTGTACTTTAGTGGCACAGAGCAACAAGCCCCCATAAAAGGATAAAACTCTCATATACACACTTTAGTTGCAAGGTGGCATTGGGCCAGTTCCTCTGGTGTTTTTGCCTCAAAGGATTTCTTCCTTTATCTATTTTGATGGTTTCATCTATCTTCCTTGTTACTGCTGTCAGGATCCTAATCAGATTCATCAGTCTCTTTTTCTTCTCTCCGTCTCAATCCCAAATGAAACTCTTCATTCGGCAATTTTCTTCTCCCGTATTAAATTGTGACATAACCAGCAGCTCCCCAGCTCATGGAGGCTGTCAATCAGCTCGCTTGCGTTTATTACACACTGGTGTCAGAATGGGATTAGCGCAAACCAATTTGTGCTCTGCGGAGGCAGGGGAACGGGAGAGGACTAGGGAAGGCGCTTGATCTGAAAGCAGGGGAAGGGGACAGCCACAAGCCCCTAGCTGGTTAAATGTAGGAGTTTTTAATCAATTAAATCTACATGTGTTCGCATTCTAATTATAAAATTATTCCAGGTAGGAAAAAGCCTACTTTGCTTTTACATGTCACAGTAGGCCCTAGTGAACATTTGAACATGAGCTGTATCAGGCCAGTGGCTCATTCAGTCTAGCATCCTGTTCTTGCAGTAGCTAACCAGATACCCACTATGGGAAAATCAGTAAATGGATTATGTTTAGTGGTCACAAAATGCAGGGCAGGGGTGAGAGGATGAGAATGGAATGGCATACCTTCCAAACAAGCATGGCTGGCTTAGATTGGCATCCTGAACCGGAACACTGCGCTAATAAGTAGAATCATAGAATTGTGGAGTTAGAAGGGACCCCAGGGTCATCTAGTCCAACCCCCTAAAATGAAGATATTTTGCCCAACGTGGGGCTCAAACCCACCACTCTAAGATTAAGTGTCTTATGCTCTAGCGACTGAGTTCTTACTAATATTATTACTCCTCTCGTAGTAGTAATAATAAGAAGTTAAAGGCATAAGGATTGGATTCACTGATTTTTCCGGCAGCCTAATCCTGGAAAAGAAGCGTGTCGGCATCAGACAAGGGGGCAGGCTGATAAAGCAACCGGTTTGGGAGCTGCCCGGAGCCGAGGAGAGACACAGCAGCAGGCAGCGCCGGCTTTGCAAAAGCAGACTTCCTTCCGGGAGGCGGCGGCAGAGAGGTAAGGAGCCTGGCTCGCTAGCTAGGCCCCCGATTTCGGTCCTTTCCAGACACACACACCCCTTTCCGATCTCGCTGTAGCGCAGCGGAGAATGAAATCGAGACGCCTGCCCGGGCGGGCGCACAGCACCGCGCGTGGGCACCTTGCAAACGGGGCGCGCGCGTAGTTCGCAGGCTCCCCTGCCGGTGGCGCGGGGCACCGAGGGTTAATCCGGATCGAACCGACGTGGCGTCGCCGTCACTTGCATAATAGGCGACTTTAATTAGGCAGCCCGGAATGTGCCCGGTTAGCAAATGCGCAGATTAAACGCTGATTGTCTTGGCTAGGCGCGCGCGCACGCAAGCACACGGTTAACAAATAACACCAATAAAGCATACGAAGCGAGCTCCATTGTGACGTCCGGAGCATAACAGGCATGTGTTTTAATTGGTGTGCTAATTCAGCCCTCTTGGCTTCACGTCGCTTTCAACAGCTGGGGGGAAAGTGGCAAGCGAACCCATCTGTTCCCCCCTGGGTAGTAACAGTTCCTGTCTTGCTTCCTCCCAGCCTACCAGAAAGAAAGGGATATGTTTTTTATTTGTTGGGAAAACGAGCAATAAAATCATACAGATCGAGAAAAGATTGCAGTATAGGCATGATTACAGTCAAATGGAGCTTCCGAGTATACAGATAGTCTACCCTTGATTACTTTATACCAGGCAAGGCTGTGAGATTCTCAGAAATGTCTAGCCAGCTGGTGGTGGTAGATCTGGGATAGGGAACCTGTGGTCTTTCAGATCTTGTGAGACTGGCCGGTGGTCAGGGAGCTGAAGTCCAGCCAAATCTAGAGAGCCACAGGTTCACCTTCACTCTGCTAGATGGACCTCTAGTGTTCTGATGTCATGTAGCAGCCATTGGTACACAAGCAGACAGAGCTGTGGAACAGACGGCCTCAGAAGGTGGTGGACTAATTCATCGGAGGTTTTAAAACAGAGGTTGAATGGCCATCCATCAGGGATTCTTGATTCCTGCATTGCAAGGGATTGGACTAAATTACACTTTGCATCCTTTCAAACTCTACAGCTCTATGATTCTATGAAGTCTACACACACTCGACTTCTAATCTGTATTGGCTGAGCTGCTGTGATATTCTGAACTATCTATGACCATTCCAGCTGCTCAAGGAGAGTTCGTAGTCCAGTTACTGTGAGGAAGGATGCTTGTCAGTTTGCCTGGGATTAAACCTTCATATGGACTTGATGGAAGAGAATGCTGCTTGGGAGGAAGTCTGTTTCAAAGTACCCTTAAAGTCCAGATTATTCTATAAGAATGGTAACCTGCACCTGGAAAGGGAGGTTTTGTTCTGGCCCGCAGAGGAAACAAAACAGCTTATATTATTGTAACTCAGGGGCCGTAGGTCGGTGGTAGAACATTTGATCTGCATGCAGAAACTGCTAGCTTCTCCAGGTAAGGTGTGGGATCTTCCCTGTCTGAAACCGTGGACAACCACTGCCAGTCAGTGTAGACAATACTGAACTAGATGAACCAATGGCATGGTATGAGGCAGCTGCCTGTGTTTCCCAGCAAGCTGAGCTTCAACACCTCATAGTGCTGTCTCTTTTACTGTAAATACTTAGTTGTACATTCTCTCTTACTCCTTGTAAATTTAAAATTAAACTAAAGTGTATCGGACACCTTCTGGAAGTGTGAAGCCAAGATACAATCACCTAAAATCCCACACCTTCCTTCTTAACTCTCACCCTTCCTACAATAACTAAATCAACCGTGTACACACTGTATCTTTAAAGCACATTATTTTCCTGAAAGACCTCTGGGCCCTGTAATTTTCACTTCACGGAGTAACAATTCCCAGCAAGCCTTAACAGGCCACAATTCCCAGGATTCTTTTGGGGCAGTCATGTGCTTTAAATCTATGGTGTAGGCACAGCCTGACTCAGTCAAAGATAAGGTTCCTCCGTTTCGACTCTTTTATTGATTTCTAACTCTTTCAGACTTGGCTTATTGTTAATTCAGTGTCTGTGCCAATTAACACTTGCTAGTGTATTTTTAATGAGCATGCTAATTCCCTTTTGGATAAGGATGACATTGATTTAGATTTATATTTCTGGTCCTTGTTAACCCTTAGGGTACCAAGTTTCCGAGTGCATTCAAATCTCAAAAGTCAAAAGAACCCCAAAGCAGAGTCAGGGTTGCATGTGAGAACTGCAGGCTTCTGTGCAAAGTGCACACTTCATGTCACGCCCTCCTGGGCGATAGGGAGCCAAGAGGTCCTTGCTCTAACCCATAGTCACTACTTCCTATCGATGCTATTTTTTAATGACTTGGGCACAATTTCTTCTGCGGGGGTGGGAGAAAGCTGCACAGATCTGAATATTAAAACAAAGGAGTCAGGATTTTTATTGGCTCTGCTCCTGTGCCTTTAACAGCAGCCTGACATACCAGGAAATGATTTAACAGTTTAAGTGTGTTGAGCTGCTTTAGAGAGGCGGGGGAGCTGGGCCTATACAAAAAGTTGGCAACCTTTCTCTTGGGACTTTTTAAATTTTTGATTTCTGTGCATCAGGCAGCTGCAAAAGGCACAGGAGCAGAGCCAGAAAACTACAATAGCAATCCTACTGTGGCAAAGACACCGGGGATATGGGTGGATAACTTTTATTCTTATCTTCCAGGTGCCCTTAGATGGACAGAGCAGGCAGAAGATGGATCCTGATATCTCTCTCCTCTTCCAGTGCCCATCTCCCAAGGGCATCACAGAGGCTCAGGTCCGAGCTGAGCTCTCCCCACTGTATGACCGGCGCCCACTCCCTGGCGACAGGGCCCGGATCGAGACAGCTTGGGTGGCACGTCGCCAGCAGAGCCCGTGGCTCTTTGACGGAGCCAAATTCCGTCTCCACTCAATCCAGCTGGAGGGGGACATCTTGACCTTCTGCCTCGGTCTCACCTGCTACAAGGACTTTGTGGGCACCAACTTGGCGGACGCAGCCGGGCAGCTCCAGGAGCGTGGGCGCGAGGACTTGGGGAACAGCCAGGCCTACCTCGCTGAGCCCCTGGGGGTGGGCGCCATGCTGCACACAGCAGATGACAAGTTTGTCTTTTTGCGGCGGAGTCAGTGCGTAGGGGAGGCGCCTGGGAAGATCGACATTCCTGGAGGCCACCCTGAACCGCAGGTTGATGGAGTGCCTGGTTTTATGTCTTGGGGGTGTTGCTGTTAACAAATGGGTCAAATTTCAGTGCTGTAAGAAGTGATAGGACAGGCATCAGCTTTGCAGCTTATCCCAAGGGTTCCCCTGAGTCCATCTCCTTAATTAAGGTGGACCACAGCTTGGAAGTTCTCCTGCCACTTTAGCTTGGAGGCAGAGCATCTGCTTTGCATGCAGAAGGTCCCAGGTTCTATCCCCGGCATCTCCAAGTAGGGCAGAGAGCCTCCTTGCCTGAAACCCTGGAGAGCCATTTGGGCTATAGAGAATGGAGCTGTGTTCCTTGAATGGGCCTGTGTTCTTCTTACTGTGCCTCGCTTTGCAGGTTGTCATGGAAGATGCCGCCTTGGAGGGGCCTGTCCGTCACCAGGACCTCCCAGGAGAATCTGTGGTCAAGGAGTTGTTCTGCTCTGTGCTGCGAGAGATCCAGGATGAGGTGAGGAGAGGGCAGGGAAGGCGGAGCGGCCAATGGCTAGGCTGCCCTCCCCTCGTCTCTGAACCAGCTTTTGAGAGTGACTCTGAACCAACTTCCCCCTTTCCTTCCCAGGTGAACCTTCCACTGCCCACTCTCAGCAGCCCAATGTTGCTTGGAATAGCCCGGAACGAGACCAGCGCAGGCCGCTGCAGTGCTGAATTCTACATCAGGTAATGTGCTGAATCCTGATCTGAATAGTAGGCCTCCCTCTTCACTATCATCCCAGTACCAAGCTGTGGTTAGTTATGAAGAGTGCATTGATTTTTTTTCCTGCTTAAGAATGTTTTTGTTTTATGCATTATATCAAAATGATTCCATGAGCTGATGGGGCAACACTGTAGGAAACAACCCTAAAGAAAGATCTTTGCCAAGCTCTGAAAGGAGAATAAGGTAGTTGTGCCAGGCAAACCACCCTGGAGTTAGCTTCCTACAACTGGGGTGCCACCACTAAGAAGGCCCTCTCTCTGGTATACATCTGCCTCATCTTTGATGGTGGTGGCATCCACAGAAGGCCCTCTGTAGAAGATCACAATGCATGGGTACATACGTATGTATGGAAACAGCTTGCCCTTCAATATTAGAAACTCTTCTATTGAGCCCCACCCAAGAGATGCTCATCTGTTCTTTGTCCTGCAGCTCAGCTGCCCCATCAGGGTACAGCCTCAGCTTCTCCCTCCTTTACCCCACAGTGTGGGCCCTGCCATGGACACCTCTTTCTCCAGGCCCAAAGTCTCCCCAGTTTAGTCTTCAGCTCCTAGTGCCTACGCCCACCCTCAGCTTCACTGGTTGCTTTCTTCTCAACTTTGCTATTCATTAATTAATTCAGGTGCAGTCTCAGCTCTGAGCAGGTGAGGCACCATTATGCTATCGGGGGCCCTGAGGCCCAAGAGTCAACCAGCATCATCTTTGTTGACAGAGAGGTAAGTGCTGGAGCTGGAGGCAAAAGTGTGTAGCTCAAGGGTGGGCAGCCTTAGACCTGGGTGTCAAATACAGCCCTCCAGGCCTCTCTGTCTGGCCCTTAGGCTTCTTCCCAAGCCACACCCCCTCACCGGCCCTGCCTTACACACCCTCCTTGAGTATTTTTTGCCTGGCTGCCCTTGAACTCTGATTATGCACATAATTCTTGGGACCCAATTCCTAGTTTATATTGGTAAGACTGGACAGTCAGCCATCTAAGCATACAGGAACTTCCTAGTTTCCCCATTGGCAAGTGCTAAGGCCCCTTTAAAGAAACATCTGCCTCTTCTGGACTCAATTTAAAGTTAATTAGAATACATTAATGAAGTTCATCGTGTCATCGTCCCCCTTTTTGCATGCCAAGGCACTGTGACCCTGTCACCCCCAATATAGTAAAATAACTAGACAGGACAAAGAGTATAAGTGTCAACCCCATTTTCTGCATCTCTTTTAACATATGGCTGCCTTTTTCTCTGTGCAGGATGTCCTGACAATGGAGCAGAGTGGGGACTTTTGGAAGGAACTGTGCCCATCAGCCAAAGGGGCCATAGAGCTCTACAGAGGGGTCATGGGCACATGCCAATGACGAGCCTATTGGGAAGAGGTACTTCGAGGAAGTGAACTACTCTCTCAGGGACTATTCAGAATTACTTTACAGATCACCCGGTTACCCCAAAATCACCAGCAGTCCTTTGGCAAAGCAGGAATATTATGCCATGGATACGGATAGTGGGATTATTCTCACCTCCCAAACCTCCCTTGAAACTGCACTGGCTGAGACCCACCTTAGCGCCTTGTGAGCCCTGTCGCTGTGCCTGTTTGTGCAACCTGTTTCTTAATAAAGAAGTAGTAGTATTTTTTAATTATTAGTTTTCTCACCCATGGCGTGATTGCAGGTTTCCTAGCATGCACTGGGCCTTTCTCTGCACCTGCAATATCCTCTTCTCATCTCGGTTACTAAGAGGTTCCTCTTTCCCCTATATCAGATTTCCCAATATATCTAGGTCTGGTGCACACTGTTTGTACAAATAATTTGCCAAGAGAAGTGAATTCTGCAAGCAATGTTGCAGGGTGGAGTGCTCAGTCTTCCAGCCATGCCCTTTCCCAGGATACTCCATTCCACTGTTGGGCACAGCAAATGCCTCTAAGTACCAGTTGCTGGAAACCATTGGAAAGGAGAATTGTTGTTGTGCTTGGTTCCAGCTTGCCGTCTTCCCAGAGGCAACTGGCTGGCCACTGTGAGAATAGTATGCTAGACTAGATGGGCCACTGGCCCGATCCAGCGGAGCTTCATCTGGTGCGTCTTTAAGAGGAGAAAAAACAGTTAAAATTAGGAGTCACTGTAAAATGTCCATCAACCTAAAAAAGAAAGAAAGAAAGAAACCAGAACTGCAGTAAAATTCACCACGCAATCTCTTGGGAGGTTTTTAAACAGAGGTTGGATGGGCATCTGTCAGGGAATCTTCAGCTGTGATTCCTGCACTGTGATTCTATTTTCATAGTAATTTCTGTTGTTGTTGTTGTTGTTTTTTTGCACATGCAAATCACAAATGTGCAAAGAACTGCAGTAAAAAGGCCCCAAGATGAGAAGGGCTCCCAATCCGCTCAATGAACAAAGCTTGCTTCCTCCCAGGAATAAAAGGGGCAGTGAGGCCGGACCCTCTGTCTGTATGCTACATTTGCACATGGTCACCCTACAGCTATGGAGTGTCTCCAGAGTTGTGCAAGAGCCTCAGAAGACTGAGGAATTGGGGGAGGGTGGCCAGGGTGGCGTGAGAGCAGTTGCATTTCAGGGATTTAGCTGATCTTCCCCCAGAGCGTTGCTTATCTGGATTACTAGCAGCTTGGAGGCAATTAACAAATGGTGATCCGGGTCCCCCGACAATCCCACTAGTCTTTCACCCACCGCCTGAAGCAGATTAGTGTCTGAGCTGTGACCCGAGGTGCTCAGGTGCTGCATTTACTTGGCTATTTCTGCTTTATACAGGGGACATCCCTCCCCAGCCCCCATTACACAATGGACATGGCTTCAATCCATGGTGGGTTGCCAACTGTTGAGGGGGAAGTGGCCCAGCCTGCTCCTGCGCATTTAACAGCTTCCTCATCTGTCTAAAGCAGTGTTGGCCAAACTTGGGTCTCCAGCTGTTTTGGGACTACAATTCCCATCATCCCTGACCACTGGTCCTGTTAGCTAGGGGTGATGGGAGTTGTAGTCCAAAAGCAGCTGGAGACCCAAGTTTGGCCAACACTGGTCTAAAGGAATTGAGAGGGAATCCCCCTTCCAATGACATGAAAGGTTAGCTTGAACACCTTGCTAACGCCAGCAGATCAAGCTGCGGTTGAAAGCATAGGTGCACGGGCAAATAATAAAAGCTGGCAACCTGTAATCCATGTAAAACTCCAATCTATCAGACTCCAAAAGGGTGTGAGATTAGGGACAACTTCACACACATTGTGTTTTTCTTAACTCTGATGCTTTTTTAAAAGATTATTTATGAAGCATAGTTAATGTGCCCTAAGTTTACAGAGGCAAATAGTTCTCTGCCTCAAAGAGTAACAATTGGTAAAAGGAGGCAACTCCACACAGCCAGAACTTCTTATGCAGTAATTTGAGGCATGGGGGGATGCTGCTTAGGTGCAAAAAAGAACAAGTTCCTTTATTTTCTTGTTACTATCTGCAGAATTCTGTTTTGATAACCTCAGTTGGCCCAGAAAAGCTAGTATGAGAAAACGGCTCTTGACAACCCATTGGCCTTAACTAGTAGCAGGAACTGTGTTTGAGGAGCAGGGTAATTGGTGAAGGTACAACAGAAAGATCCCCCCACTCCTGCTGCTGCCACCATTTTATAAAGTCTGTGGAATAATCCAAAAGGGTCTTCTAATAAAACTCTGTGGTTTTAATTTATTACATGTGAAGTTATTATCTCAGACTCCCTGAGGGCAAGGTGGCATTTCCCTTGGCGCGTCTTACTGCCTCTTCCAGAAGTTCCATCCACCTGCCAGGAAAAGAGGGGAGGGGAGAGAAAGACTCACTAAAACCCCCCGAAAAGAATGGAATAGCTGTGATTTGTCATTAGAAAGGCAGACATTAAAGAGAGGCTCCATATTAATCTCAGCAGCATCTTTGTCTGAGGGAGGGGGTACTAATATCTCTATATTTTATGCATTTATATTTACATTTATATTTATGTCTGTGTCTGTCTGCCTGGATATTTTTGGGACCCACCTAATTTGTGTGACTGTAAATTGTTTTGAACCGCTATTAATATTGTGCTCTGTTGTAACACACACCCTAGGACCTTAGGGTGAAGGGCAGGTAATAAAATATAACATTAACAATTACACACACACACACACACACACTTTTAAAAAAAATACAACAACCGCAGGTGTGTGTGCACATGTACAGAAATAGCTAGACACCTGCCCAGAATGGAAAAAGCAGCAGCAAACAGGGCAGGGCAAGGCAGAGAGAGGAGCAATTGAGGGCTGGTTAGTAAAAACAACTCTAAAACACATCCTGGATACATTCCATCAAGCTCTGCCTACAACTGGACAGCAAACAGTGGAATAGCAACAAATACCCATGATTGAAAAAGCAGGAAAGTGGGAAAGGTAAATGTGCCACACCCACAAAGAAATGTCTGCTCCAGAATTGTGAGGGAAACAACAGGTAAACAATCTTACATATTCTTTTCGGAAGGTGTTGAGGCAACGAGCCGATACAGATGGGGTACCAGTTCTGTTGTGCAAATGACAAAGAAAGCTCGCGGATCTGGACAGAGAGGAGAGACAAGATGGAGAAAGAGGCAACACGCCAGGGCTGGTCTGCCTAGCTTACAACCTTTAAATGAGGAAACATGGTTTAATCCCATTTTACCTGTGGCCACGGAGCGAATCAGCACCACATTCAGCTTGAGGACGGGGCTGATTGTTTGCCAAGTGCCTGAGGAGCCCCACAGCCTCTTCCTGTGGCACTTGAGAACGAGTCTCTCATCCTTCCTCTGCAGGAGAAGCAGGAGATTTTCCAGCAGCAACACATGCAAGTCTAAGAGAGAGGCAGAGATTTTTGGAGTGGTTAACCTGCTCTGCGTATCCAGATAAGAACATCAGGAGAGTTTGGCTGCAGAATCAGTCCAAAGGCCCAACTAGTGAGAAGAACAAAGGAAGCTGCCTATACCAGTTCAGGCCAGTGGGATCCATCTAGCTCAGTAATGTCCACACTGACTGGCAGCAATGGCACTCCAGGATCTCAGGCAGGAAGTCTTTTCCCCAGCTTGACCTGGAGTTGCTGTTGGGGACTGAACCTGGGACTTTCTCCATGCAAATCAGGTGCTCTGTCACCAAGCTAGGATGGCCCTTCTTCTGAAGGTAGCCTGTCTGGGAGAGTCTTTTAATCTGTGGCCTGTTGCTTTAGAATTTCAAACACCATTGGAGGTTTTGATGTTCCAATACCTGATGCTTTAGTTGTTTTTCGGGGTCTTGTTCTAAAATTGCTTTTTTCTGTCAAACCTTCTGCAAGCTGCTTGGTTCATTTAGCTCAGAAACCCAGCCAGATGGGTGGGATATAAACAATAAAACTATTATTGTTGTTGTGTTGTTTAGTCGTTTAGTCGTGTCCGACTCTTCGTGACCCCATGGACCAGAGCACGCCAGGCACTTCTGTCTTCCAAGTAATTGGGGATTGAACCCAGGACTTTCTCCATGCAAATCAGGTGCTCTGTCACCAAGCTAGGATGGCCCTTCTTCTGAATAATAGTAATTATTACTATTACTATTATTATTTGTCTGACTGGCAGCAATGACTCTCTTGAGGGTTTGGGGCTCAAGAGTCTTTCTACCACCAAGCCACAGGGCTGCCCCACTTGGATTACTATTAAAAGTGGGATATAAACAAAGTCAGTGAGAGAGGAACTGCACACAAATCTTCACTATGAGAGGCCTGTGCCACATGTGTGTGTTCATTGGGGTGAGGTTGACAGCCACGTACCCACAGTCTTGTCTTTGCGCAGGCGCCAGCGCAAGGGGCCCTCGTGGATCAGGCAATGACTCCGGAGGTCAATATTCTGGATAGACGGGACAGAAAAAGGCAGCGCTTTGAAGAGTGGGGAAGTAATATAAAAGCAGGAACTCAGGCAGAGGGTGATGATGGGGAGGGCCATACCTTGAACTCCGCTGCCAGTGCGTTGGTGGTCCACTGCAGCGAGGTGGTGTCCAAACACATCTGATAGGTCTCCAGGCGATGATGGTTTTCAGCCTTCTTCACAATCTCTTTCACACACTGAAGGATTTCCCGGCATTGATCCCGAGCCTGGCACAGCTTCTGGTGCTCTGAAGACTGCCCTAAGCAAAGAAGGTGCAAAAAGAGAGAGAGAGAGAGAGAGAGAGAGAGAGAGAGAGAGAGAGAGATGGGCTGTCACGCAGCTGTTAAAGTTTGTTTCTATTTACCAAAAACTTGGAGGCTGCTTTGGAAACACAGGGGTTGTCCCTAAGTGGTTCCCAACACAAAACAGACACAACACTGCATTTAAAGGAAAAATGACCTTGGACAGATGAGCAGCACTGCAGTAGGAATACATCCCAAGCAATCCTTGTTTTCTCCTAAGAAAGTTGGCCTCTGAACAACCCTTGCAACCCTGAAGCCCCACCATCTGCTAATACTAGCAGTGGAGAGGTGTGTATACTGTACCACCATCACTGATGTGTGTATTCACTTTCCACAATAAGCTACGCTCCATGTAGCCCACAACATCCAAAGGTCACAAAGCATAACATTCAAATTATAGGAGATACGACTCTTCTCCTTCCCCCAGCACACACATAAATATGTAGAGACATTGATACCATCAGTGTGTTTGATAATATTATCCAGCAGCAAAGGGTAGTTTGTCAGCTGCTGCATTTCAGAGAGGATGAGATCTTTCAGTTGATGGTGGCGGCACTGGTAGTTGCTCTCTGCTTCCTGGTAAGGGGAGACAGACAGACAGACAGACAATATGCTTCTGTGACCATATGGAGACTGGAGACATGTCCTGTCTGTGGGCTTCACTTTGGGGCATCCGGTTGTCAATTGTGAGAACAGGATGCCGATGGCCTGATCCATCTGCAGGGCTCTTCTTAGGTTCTTATTCTTGTGGTGGGGGTGTAGGTTTGCAAAAGACCTGTCCAGGGGATAGTATGTGTATGGCAAAGGGGAGAACAACATAAGATGAGTCTGTTGAATCAGGTCAGTGTCCCATCTAGTCCACCATCCTGTTCTCACAGTGGCCAACCAGATTTCTGTGGGAAGCCCACAAGTAGGATTCAAGCACAAGAGCACTCTACCCACTTGTGGATTCAAGCATTATTCAGAAGCACTACCGAATTCAGGGTAGGGTAGCAGGGAGAGGAGGACAGGCCTCTGGCCCTCCAGAATGGAGAAAGAGCCTTCCAAGGACTTCCTCTTGCACTCCACACTGAAAGTGCAGACCCAGCATCTGAGACAGTCCCTCCCTCCCACCTCCTTAGCCTATGAGCACACAGATACCTGAATGATGAGCCGGAATCGAGTGTCCTTCTGCAGCTTGGTCTCAATCAGCTCCAGGGCCTTGGACTGGTTCACGCAGAAGTCAGAGACTGCCTGTTGGATCTCTTTACGTGCAGGCCCACCAAACTGGGGGAAAGGAATAATAATAATAATAATAATAATAATAATAATAATAATAATTTATTTATACCCCGCCCATCTGGCTGGGTTTCCCCAGCCACTCTGGGAAGCTCCCAACAGAATATTAAAAATACAATAAAATATAAAACATTAAAAACTTTCCTAGATGGAAGGGGGCAAAGGGGGCAGGGGAGAGGAAACACTTCCTGGTTAGAATCAGGCAGGTCAGGAAATCAAGGGGCCAAATTCAGCTGGAGCCCCAAACACTGCCTACACACGCAGTCGCATCACCACCACCAGCCCAGCCACTCAGAGATTGTTACCTGGGAAAGCATGAAGTGCCCAATTTCATGGATGATGGGCCCTTGTTCTTGAAGTGTTTTCATTGATTCTGACAGAGAACCTGGAGAAGGGACAGGAGGAGGGAATGGTGAGAAAAGGGGCCTGGGGAAATAGCCACAGCAGAGATGGGAGGAGGAGAAGGACAGACACGGTCTCTATCTCTTTTTTTAGAATCATGCCCCCGGTGATGGGCCTCAAAGCTGGCCATTACAGACTGGCACACCCTCCAAGTGTCCCTATTTTCCAGGGACAGTCCTGGGTTTACAGAAGCCGTTCCAGTTTCTGATTTGATCCCAGAATGTCCCGCTTCTCTTTAGGACCTTCCTCTTTTCGTTGGTGAAATGTTGGAGGGTATGGAGTTATATGACCCCTAAGCCAAGGAGATAAGTAGAAGACATCTGAAGGCAACCCTGTATAGGAAAGTTTTTATTATGCTTTTATATACGTTGGAAGCTGCCAAGCATGGCTGGGGCAACTCAGTCAGATGGGCAGGGTATTATTATTATTATTATTATTATTATTATTATTATTATTATTGAATAGGATGTCCCTATTTTTATCTGAGAAATGTTGGAGTTCCTGGGGAGCGCTGCTGTTGCGCTCAGGTCTAGATGAGGCCCCCTTTGGCCTTATCTAGCTGCCTCCTGCAGGGCTCTTCTGATCTTCTGCTCCTATGGTCCTCCTGAGCGAGGGCGTTTGATGGAGGCGACCCTCTCCCTCTACGCCTGACCCGCCCATGAGCAAGCAACGATCTGTGCGAGACACAGAATGGGGGCCTAGTCCAAAGGGGCTCCGACTGAGTAAGAGAGGCAGCCTTACTGTGAATCTTCAGCAGCACTGGGAGGTTGGGGAAGAGGAGGGCCAGCTCCTCCTGCGAAAGAAGTTTCTCCCTAAACATGCGCTGATAGAAGAAGACAGTCAGGACACGCAAAAGCCGCAGGTGAGAGGCTTCTGTCACAAACAGCTCTGTGCAAAAAGGGGGGAAGAATGTCAGCTAGAGGTCAAATCCCAGCAGGATCCAGGAATGAGGCAGCTAAAGCAGGTTCATTGAAAAAAGCCTTGGGTTGTGCCTTTCAAGAGGAGACTGATCATGCTCTCTTCCTGTACTGGGAGCAAGCCCATGGAGTTGCTATTGGTGGAGCATTAAGAAGCTGCTTTCTTCAGTCAGACCCTGGTCCACCTGGCCCAATGCCTACTTGTCTCTGACTGGCAGGTGGCTCTCCAAGGTTTCTGGGGTCATTCCTTCCCATTCCTACCTGGAAATGCCATCGGATATTGAACCTGGGGCCTTCTATATGCAGAGCATGTGTTCCACCAAGGGGCTGTGGCCCTTTCACTAAAGATAAAACAAGATTCCAGTTCTCATAGTCCCGGATAAAGGGCGCTGATTTAAATGAGAATGCAGGAAGCTGAGTGAAATACCATTGGACTCTCTGGCTCAGTGTTGTCTGTAGTACTTGGCAGAAAGTGCTCCTCTAGAGGGGTTCAGGAAGGGGACATTCCCAGCTCTACCTGAAGATGCCATCGGGTATCAAGCATGGGAGGTTCTGAAGGAAAAACATGGTCTCCACCACTGAGCTATAAGTCCCGCCCCAGCATGGGCACCAATATGCAGCTGATAGCTCTGGTTACCAGTGCAACACACACAAACACCATTCATCTATGGATTTCCCTTCCTCCTCAGAGACATTACAGCACACTTCAGGGCCAATAAGCCTTCTTCCCACCCTGCTCCCCTGGCCCTGTGTCAGAACTTTACAGGTGTCCATCTTTACTGACCCATGTGGGTCTTGCCTGGAGGGAATTTCACTAATGGCCATTTTTAAGAACTCAAAAGTTCCAAGCTACATGTACAGCCAAGGACCCACTTCCCAGGAGAGATCTCACTAGGCACTTCTTCCACTTTTGCTTAAAGTAAGTTGAGATCCTTCCAGAGCCCCATTACTTTCTGAGGGTAACCCAGTCATATGAGCCACAGAATGACCTCCTCACCATTGATGGCTTCCTGGTGGTCAACCTCCCGCTGTGGCAGGGAAGATGCAACATGGCGGCCAACGGTGTCTTTCCACTTCTGTGAGCTCAGGTCTGACACATAGAAGAGGTCGTCCCCCAGCAAGGAGGGGAGGGAGGGGTCTGAGGTGGACCACAAGTTTGGGGTCTCGATGTTCCTGTGGGGGATTGAGGAAATGGGAGAGGCAGGGTGTCAAAAGAGGGTCTGCTAAAGGTCCTCTGGCCTCATACATTGATTTTGGACCTTTCTTGGGGCTCAATGTTTTACATAACATTAAGGAAGGAGACACGGATTTCCGTTATCACGTTCTTGGTGGACAGACATTTTGCATATTATGTATACTTTACCATTTGATTTTATTGTATTTTGTATTTTTAGTTGTTTTGAGACACTTTAGTAACAAGTGATTAATAAATTTAATAAATAACAATGATACTTCAGTGGGACCCAAGGGAGCATTTTTATATGAAAGGCTTCCAAGCTGCATTTAAGCCCCTCCGGGGCTTCTTCCAAGACTTTGGCTAGCAGTGAACATTGTGGATGTGGAAAGAGGGAATAAATGACAGGAAGTATGTTGAATGCAAACGAGGAGTATCTCTTCCTAATCCTCCACCACCACTTCCACCCTCCTACTGACAGGAGGGCCTTTGTGTTCCTTGTGTTCCTGACTACTCCATATAAATGGCCTCCCTCAACCCCGTGCCCTCCAGATGTTGTTGAACTACAACTCCCATCAGCCCCCAGCCAGCGTGGGAGTTACAAGGGTCTAATCACCGATGAGCATCTTCAAAAACTGGCCATAGGGGACCACCCGGCTTCAAGATCTCTCCCCTACCCCCCAACTTTACCTTCTGTGAAAAGAGGACAAACAGCCCCCCATTGTGCAATGGGAAACGACAAATTGCCTGCACTTTCAACTGTACTGAGGAACACAGATGTCTACGCTGTCAGCGGATCCAAAGGCAGATGTTTGCACTTTCAAATGAGCCAAGGAATACCAGTGTCTGTACTTTCAGCTGATCCAAGGCTCAAAGCAGACTCCTCACCAGGCCTCCTGGGAAACAAATATGAAGGATCCCACTGTCGGTTGTGAAGTCAGAGCCTGGTCTATCCCTTAATTTACCACCCATCCTGCCCTCTCAGTTGGGCCAGGCAGCTGGATCTAGGCTACCCTTATAGTTACCGTAGTTCCCCTAAACACCCCCAGCCTCACATGCCTCTGGGACATCAAAGGAAATAAGGCAAGCCTTTTGATTTTAGTGTGTGGGTTTCATTGTATTATGGAACCAACTTCTCTTTCAACTCAGGTACACACCCACATTCACAACATCTAGGCATCTTTTATAAGACACACCTGTGCTCCCAGGGACCTTTCTTGGTGCTTAATTTTATGATTACATGAAAATCCTAACTTTCCTCCAAATAACTCAAAGAGTTGTATGTGGCGGTCCCCCCCCCCCAAAAAAAATTATCTGCACAATAGCCCTGTCAGGTAGGCTAGGCTGAGACTTGGCCCAAGCTCACCCAGTGAGCATCACGGCCGAGTGTGGATTTGAACCCTGGTCCGGAACGAACCGCTACACTCCAGTATATTATAATTTTAACTACTCTTCCTCGTTTGCTATCTCCAGGGAGAGAGATGTGGGAATCCCTTTCTCCTCCCTGACAGACCCTCTGAACAAGGGGCTGAGGCGGGTGCTCCTTGTGTTCACCTGGCGCATTCATATAGAATAATGCATGTCTACCTGTACTAGTAATTGAGATGACATTGCATAAATAGGTGGGTATATTAGAAGACGTAAGGTAATGTTCAATAGGAAGGGGGAGGTGGAATGTTAGTGGTGAAGGATGATTGGCTGAGCTGGCATTTGAAGAGTGGTTTGAATGCTGGGAGGGAGTCGGTTGAGAGTCAGTTAGAGCCTGGAGATCAGAGAGGGAAGAGCTGGGGGTGGATGTGAAGCAGGGCTGGTTAGATGAGTGGCATAAGAATAGAATAATGGCCTGGTTAGAGCTGTAATAAAGTGACAGATAAGATACTGGGACATTTGAAACAATAAGCTTATGTAGTCAAAGGCATCTTGAAGCCCTCATTTAGTGTTTTTTCATTTGATGTTCTTTCATAAATCAGTTTTATTCCGCCACTTGCCTCCTCCTAGTCTATGTAAGGGCTACTGATGGTTCCTAGTCACAATGGCTGTGCTTTGTCTCCACAGTCAGAGGGAGTAATGCTTCGTAATACCAGTTGCTGGAGACTGGGGCAGTGGCAGAGGGGTGGAGAGTACTCTTGTGCTCAGATCCTGTATTGAGGGTTTCCCTCAGGCATCTGGCTGGCCACTGTGAGAACATGCTGCTGGACTAGATGGGCCACTGGCTTGACCCAGCAGAGGTCTTACGTTCTGTTCTGATCCAAGTGATCTGTGGTGGCATCGGGGGGGGGGGGTGTTTGGTAGGATACCCAGGAAAGACCCAGCTCATAGCAGTACAGTTTGAAGTGAAAAGGTAGCACAGGGAAGAGTGAGCAGTGCTAGAAGACCTCCGAGCAAGGGGGTTGGCACAACCCCCATCCCTTCCACCCCTCTGTCCCCCTGCAGCTTCACAGGAAAGGAAGTAAATTTATACAGTATGAAGGACAATTGCAAGCAATTAACAACACTGGCAGGACTTATTTAGGAAGACTTGTAATGTTGATTATATATACCTTTATACATATTGGTTAAATTTTTTGACAATGGAAAGGACATAAATGTAAAGAGGAAGAAGTATATAATGCTATGATATAAAAAAAGAATTACGGTAACCATGAGATGGGAGGGAGGGAGGGAGGTTGACAGTTTATTTGAACAAACTGTAGAAAAATAATGTATTTTAGTAGTATAAAATGGAAACTTAATATTATATTTTTTAAAAAGGAAAGGAAGCTCATAGGAGGTGGCCCTAGGTCATTGCCTGTCAGGCATGGGGCAAGCAATCATGGCAAAAGCTTCACTTTGCAAACAGCCTCCAACTAGGCCATCACCACCATGCCTGCTTCCCAGAAATTACTCAAGCTCAGCCACAGATTTCTGACACAATGAAAAAGCTACACAGATGGGAGATTTCATTTCATTTTCTTAAAACGCACATAGACCTTTACAACTGAATGTCAGAAAACACCTCTCAGCTTCCTCTGGCCAGACAACACCAACAAGGGCCCTGTTTCCAAGGCAGGCGCGAGATCCTAAAGTCCAGCGGCCTATTTTTATTTTTATTTTCAAAATGTCCATAGTTGGTCTTGAAGCCACCACAACTCCTGGGAGAGGTTGGGGGGGGCGAGAGGAGGAATGTTTGCAGGATGGTGATGTGTCACCAGCTCCTCCTCTTGGCCAGAGATGGTGGTAAAACAGTTGCTCTGGCAGTGGAATGGGATGTGTGGAACAGGGGTGGTGGTGAAAGTGGCTCCTCTTGGGGGGTGGGAGCTGCTTCTCTTGGTGGGGCAGGGTGGGAACAGCTTGAGTGGGGTAGAGGGAGCTCTGAGGGGTGGCTTGGACCAGAAGAATCTCCTTTCTGTCCCAGTGTAAAATTTCTTCAGGGCTGCCTTCTGGCCTAGAAAAGAGAGAAGGAAGGTACTTTACAACTGCCAAGTACAGCACAGCCACCAGTCTGACTCACAATGGGAGTATCTCCCCACCCCACACCCCACAGGCTCCTGCTCCTGAAGGTATTTTTGAAGGTGGGGGACTGCCTGATGTGCCTGCCTGCCCACCTTTTCGTCACAGCACTGAGGTGAAGGCTCTCAATATTGGGGGGTGGTAGTGGTGGTCAAGGATTTTTCAAAGACCTCTCCATTTGCTCTCTTCTCCAGCTTTGGGCCCTCAGCCACTTCTCTCTTTACAGGAGCATACCTGACACTCTAGGCTTGGATGCACCCCACTTAGTTGCTTTTGAGTCTAGGGGAACAGAGAGGGGCACTCTTGAACAGCACATGGGGATCAGGGTGAGGTGAGGACTTGCAATACTTACACAATGAAAATGAAAGTGGAAACCTCTTCAGTTTTCTCATCCTACATGAATGACTTGCTCTGGAAGAGCAGCTAGGAGATTGGCACCACTGGAGACCACCCTCTGTGCCTTCTTGAACTCATTTGTTTGATTCTTTCCCCCAACACACACAGGCAGCTTCCACCAATTTGTTCTCTGGCTCTAGAGTCACATGATTCATACTCCCCTTCCATTTCAGCCCACTGACCTGCCTCTCACAACTGAGGCCATGTGCAGATGGGTCAGAACTTTCATAAGAGGAAGTGGAATGGAATACCAAGTCCTCCACATCCCCGTTCCTTTGGCCTGCTAGAGCACCATCCCACCCCCCAACTCCTTGCTTTTAGCCTGCTGAGCTTCTCTGAGAGCTGCTTGATGGTCTGGAAGATAATCTTGGGTGAGACATACAGGGCCACTGCTGAACCTTTGAGGGGGGTGGGCAAAGCATCCTTCATACCCTCCACCTCTTCTGAGCAAGAGGAGACATCGGTGGGGGGTGGGGAGGAGAAAGAATTGTGAAGGGGGGAAAAACTGAATTACAGGAAACACATTATATGCCCAGCACTCTCAGAAAACTCCCAGGAAGTACCAAGATGGGAGGGCAGAAAAAAGGGAGATATATCTAGGAGTCAAGCACTTGCACATTAAATCTAAAAAGGTTTTAAGCAAGAACAATCTGCTTCCAGAAGGATCCACAGAGTCCCCTGCTCCTGTCCCATCATCCCCTTGTGATGTCTTCCCTTGCACACTGTAGGATCAGGATCAGTAAGGTGGGATAGTCTGCAGTTGCAGCTTGTCACAATACAAAAGGGTTGGGGTTTTTTTGCAGATGGGAAGCCATTGACAAGGATGGCTGAGATGGCACAAGCCAACTGTGTTCTGTCCCCCCCCAAAAAAAACAAATCCCAATGGGGAGCTCTCACAGGGACAGGCTTGCCTCCGGCATCTTGAGACCACCCTTGGCCCTATTCCCCTGGCAGAAATGCCCATCACATATCTGCTTCAACTCTACCAGAGGGAGGGCAATCTGAGGGCAATCTCAGAGAAGATACACCTCCCCCATTAGCTATGGCCTCAACCGGCAGTCACAGGCCCACCTTTCTGTGCCATTTTGTGGTGGCTGCCATCCCCCTCCATGTTTTCCAGCACCTCTAGGGGGCTCCTTGGGAAGAAGCACCTGCATCTCCATGGGTGGGTGGGCAGGTGTATGGAAGATAACAAAACAGGGCAAAGGGCTTACTCCCAGATTTTGACCTCCAGCTCAATAACATTGGGAGATTCTTAGAGAGAGTGGCGATTGGGAAACATTTTGCTGTGGGGGGGGAGGGGGGAAAAAAAGGCATTGGAGAGTCTAAACCAAAACAGCCACCCCATCAATGTCCAAAATGGGAAGAAGACAATAGTGGGGAGGAGGGGTGACAACAGAGAAGACCTTCCCTCTCTCTCTGGTCTTTTCAAAGGGAGAGGCAGGAAATGAGCAGGATACTCCCAGAATGCCTTGCAACCCTGTTGGATCTTCACTGCTGGGGGGGGGGGGCGGTGTTTGTGTGTGTGACTATCACCAGAAGTCCCTAATCTCTTGCATATCTTGCTTCTCTGCTCCAGGGTAGGGGAGACTGCACCATCCACCCATCAAGCTTCACCCACACCTCAGCAGCAAGCAGCAGAATAGCAACAAACATGCATGACTGAAAAAGCAAGAAAATGGGGAAGATAAACATGCCACACCCGCACACAGAAAAGTCTGGTCCAAAATCTGATCTGTTTGTGACATAAGCCATGGCCGCTATCTGGAAGCCCACTTGAAGTCCTGGGCTGTTCTCCCAAGACCCCTCAACCCTCTCCTTCCACCTCAGCAGTTTGACCATGAAGGGTCCCTTCGCTACCATCTTCATCTTCTACTCCCTCCTACCAAAAGGGGAAATGGGGTGGTAGGAAACAGCAGGTAAAAACCTTACATCTTCTTTTCAGAATATGTTGAAGCCACCAGCTCATAGATCTGAGGCCCTGGTTCAAAAGTGGAAATGATGAAGAGGACTCACACATTTGAATGGAGAAAAGAAACAAGATGGAGGAAGAGGTAACACGCCAGGGCTGCCTTGTTTAGCTTACAACCTTTAAACAAGGAAACATGGTTTTATGGTCTCCCTTTTCATCTGTCATGGTCCGGTTCACGGGTGATCAAAGTCCCAGCTGGGGACGTCAGGACCGGGAGCAAGATGGTGGGGTGGGAGCCAGAATGGGAGTCCAGAAGCCAGGAGTCCGGAAGCCAAGAGGCCGAGGGTCAGAGAGCTGGGAGTCAAGAAGCCAAGGGTCCGAGGGCCAGGAAGTAAGGAGTCATGAAGTCAAAGATCTGAGGATCCAGAAGCAAGGAGTCACAAAGGCAGGGGTCCGAGGATCAAGAAGCAAGGAGTTGTCGGGGCGTATTGATTTATTGCTCAGATAAGCCTGAGGTCCGGCACAGGAGTCACAAGTCAAGGGTCCGAGGAGCAAGGAGTCAAGGAACCAAATGCAGCGAGGCAGGGAATGTGTTGCTGTGGCAAAGAGCTGAAGGGAAATACTGACCTTATATCCCTTCCCAGCTCTTGCCACCAGGTGCTGTGAGTTACCAATCAGCCTCACCTGTGAGGCCGCGCCTTGCCTCTTCAGAACAAACGTAGGAAGGCCCCAGTCCTGGTCACAGGGCCTGGCTCCTGCATGCACACCTGACATCATCCATGAGCAGAGCTGAACATCTGCTTGTTGTCTGAGGAGCCCAGCACCCTCTTGCTATGGCATTTTAGTACCAGCCTTGCACCCTTTTGCTTCAGGAACACTAGCAGATCCTTGTACAGCAACATATGCAAGTCTAACAGAAGCACAGACAGTGAGAGAGGTTGTTGTTAACCTGCTTTATGTATCCTGATGAAACATTGTGTGTGTTTGGTTGCAGAATCAGGCCAAAGGCCCACCTACGTCAGAGGAACAAAGGAAGCTGCCTATGCCACATCAGGCCATTGGCATCCATCTAGTTCAATACTGTTGACACTGAATGGCAGCATTTATAAGTTCAATCGGTCTGTTTGAGTTCACTTTTGTGAAATCTTTTTCTGGCTTCAAAATTAGGATTAATGAACATTTTCCATGTTTGTGGGACTGCCCCCAAGATGTATAATAATGTATAAATTGAATAATTTTGCAAACCATGGGGAGAGCTCAGTCTGAAACACTTGGTAATATTCGCCGGAGAATCCATCTAGTCCCAGTGATTTTCCTGTCCTAAGGTGCTTAATAACATTAGTAACCACTTCCTGAGAAATTGAAGTGAGCCTGCAATGCTCAAACCGGATCACAATGTCCCTTGGGAATTCATCTGCTCTGCTTTTCCCAGTTGGGACTCTATGAGCCCCCTCTAAATCCACTGAGGGCAATGGAATATAAATGGAACCATATCCGCCCCTTCTACTTTTTCAGGTAAACCACAACGTTTAAGGTTTTCTGTCTGTCTCTGTCTGATTTTTCTTCTAGCTTAAGTGCTAGATCGTCAGTTGCCTTTTGAAGCAGCTGAATTTCAGATTGATTTTCAAGGGCTGTATTCATAGCTTCATTAGATGTTTTGGAGATTTCCTTAAGGTCTCCCAATAGTGAGTCAAATCATCTTTCAAAGAAGACTAGAGCAATTGCCCAGTCTGAGGCTAGCGCTTGTCGGATTCAGTTTATGTAAGCGCCTATGACACCCTGTCACCCTCCATATTGAGAGCAGATTTCCCGCCTTTTTGTTGCCCCAGGCCTCCCATTGCCATTATAGAGTAGGCCTTGCGTAAGGCCTCAGAACACATACTATTTTCTCCCTTAAATCAAGTTTTACAGTTTTGCTTTTTGGACCTTGAGCATTACTTTACTGGAGCTGTACATTTCTGGATGCTAAACCGCTTTTTAAAGATCACTTGATGCATTTATTATCCTGTGCTGATCAGATATATTTTGATCCTTGGCTAGCCATGCCCCTGCATTTCATTTCATTTCATTTCATTTCGTTTTTATCCCACCATTTTCTAAGCAGCTCAAGGTGGTGTATATGGTCCTCTGTCTCAACTGTTTATGTGGATGTGCAAACGCAGGGGGGTCCTCATGAATCATGCGACAGCTTTGGAGGTCAAGGGGCAGAAAAAGGCAGCATTTAAAAGAGGGGAAGAGTAGTATAAAGCCAGGAACTCAGGCAGAGGGGGAAAAGGAGGCCATTTGAACTCTGTCACTGGTGGGTTGCTGATCTGTTCCAGAGAGGTGGTGTCCAGGTACTTCAAATATTTGTCAGGCACTGCTTGTTTTCTACCTGCTTCACTGCCTCTTTTACGTACCAGAGAATCTCTTGGCATTTGTCCCAGACCGGGCAAAACTTCTTGTGCTCCAAGGCCTACTCTCAGCAAAGAAGGTGCAGTGTGAGAGAGATGGGCTGACAGTTACTAGTGGTTTATTTTTATTTACCAAAAATCTGCAGTCTGCTTTTGAAAAACGGGTGGTCCCAAAGCAGTTCACCACACAAAGCAGAAACGTTGCATTTAAAAGCTTGCATTTAGAACAAACTGGTATTGTAAAATCAGATTTAGAGGCAGGCGCAGGAGCCAGACATAATGCAAAACGATCCTTGTTTGCCGATACAAGAGTTGGTTCCTGAACAACACTTGCACACTACAGGCACAGACCCACAGTGTGCTAATGCAAATGTGTGTGCATATTACATAAACACACAGCATCACCTATTTGCGTGCTGACATTTCACAGTAAGCCATGCTCAAAGCAGGTCACAACATTCAAAAGTTATTTACATAATAACAGTGCACAGTTCATTCAGCCAAGTGGATACTTTGGGGAGGTGTCTGTATGTCTCTTTTCTCTGCATTGCTTTAAGAGACCCCCCCCCCCCCCAAAAATTATAACTGATTTCATGGAATAAGACCTGCACTCCTTAGGTCTGACACTCAGCCATGTCTGTGAAGATTGTGTTTTTGCTAATAAAGAGTAAGCTTCAACTTTGAACGGTGTGATTTACTGCCTGGCACGCTTTCTGACAATAGGTTTGGCCATCTCTCAATATATTTTGGCCAAACTCAGCATGAGGGTTCCTGAGGTGGGACTGGCAGTTGTCATTGATGTTTGGACACCAGCCACCATTTTGACTCAATATGGCAGACTTTGGTATGACTTCACCTGTTTTATGACATAGGTTAGGCCTCGTAAGATATCGTTGCTCAGCATAAGGGTTCCCAAGGATGGGGGCCAGTAGTTTTCATTGATGTTTGGATGCTGGGTGCCATTTTGATTCAAAACGGCAGACTGAAACATGACTTTGGCATGATTTCCCTTGAATTTTGGCATGATGAGTCCACACTCACAGATAACATTACTCATTTTAAAAACACTTATTTGTTTCTACAAATCTGTGGGTGGCACCAGGCACTCCCTGCTAGTGTGTGTATATGTGTAGGCTCCTAAGCAGGCTCAAATGGAAAGGATGACGGGGGGGGGGGGGTTGGGTAGAGAAGATTTTAGGGAGAAAGTGTGGGTCTATCTCCTTATTTATTCCCCCTACACCCCATTCAGGTTGTATGAACAGGGGAGATGGGGGAACCTGTACTCTTGTCAGGCCCTTTGGGGAAGGGTTGGGAAGTGGGGGTCTCCTGCTCCGCCCCCCATGCCAAAGGTTTTCTCCCTCAACCACCTCTCCCCAGACAGGGGGTGGCCATAGCAAGCAGCACCCAGATCAAGCCCTTTTGGTGATAGGGGAGGTCAGGGAAAGCGGGAAAAGGGAATATGCCTCTTTCTAGCTCTCTTCTCCCCACTGCAGGGGGCACAGTACCCCGAGAGATCCTGGGGGAGCTTCACACGTGCCCGTTCTGCAGGCGTGGCGGCGGCGCCCTTTGGCGAGCAGGTGACAGGTGGATGGAGGGGGATGCCTTGACTCGGCCATCGGCGCTGCTCCTGCGCCCTCTAGTGGCCAACGGGGCTCGCTGCAGCCGCCTCGGCCCTGCCTCTTTCCCCGCCTAGCTGCTGCCGGGGTTTGGTTGCCACGGCGACCGCGGCCTACACAGCCGTGCGAGGCCTGAGCTGAGTTGAGGGAGGGGGTTGACCTCGATACTGATATACCGCTGTTACCTCTGAGGCGCGGGGCGGGGTGAGGTGGGGGGTGGGAAGAGGCTTCGTCATGTGGCCTTGGCAGGGAGACACACCTGCTCCAATAAAAGTGGGCGCAGCCTCGCCTTAGAGAGCTTCAGCCCCCCCCCCTCAAATCCTGCCCCATCTCCCTTAGGGTCTTTCTTAATAAGTCGCCAGCACCCACTTTGAGGCCCCTCCTGCTCGTTAGGGACTCCACCCCACATATCCCCATGGCTGATCATCAGTTGCTCCCTCTTTGTCCCGTTTCCAGACCCTCATAGGGACCCCCATCCCACTGCTACAGAAACCCCCTCCCTCGTTAAGCCAAGGAGAGAGCCTTCTGATAGAATTTTGAATCTAACAGATCCCCCCTCCAGGGATCTCCAACATCTCAAAAAATCAGTCATAATCTCAGGGACCTTGAAGCCTCCCCCAATCTCTGTGCTGCTTCTCCCAGAATTCATTATTTTCCCTCCCCCAGCCCTCACATCTTTCAGCTCTTGTCCCCATTCAGGGACCTTCGCCCTCGACTTCCTACAATCTCATGGTTCGTTTCTTTGTCCTCACAGAGTCCTTTCCAGAGGGAGGGGCGCCATGGGGAAAAAAGGAGAGCGGGGGGCCAAGGACAAGGCTGCAGCCTTGGAAGAAGAAGCCAGGAATGCTGCCAGAAGGGCTGAACATGGGGAAGGTAGGAAGATCTACTCTGCCCCCCCCCCCCCACCTCTCATTCTGCTTTGACTCAGCCACTCTCTAGGGAAGTTTTCAGTCTCATGAAGATCCTGCTTGGCTGATATATGGTGGCTTGCTGAGTTGAGTTCCATAGCTGAGCATGGATTGCATCCCAGCTCCACTCTATTCTAGCCACTAGCTGCCACCACCCACATACAATCTTAGGATCTGAATGCCAGCTGCTTGGTCTCTCTAAAGCCCTCCCGGGGCTTCTCCCCTTTCTTCACAGAGGAATACCAGTGCACAGGGATCCTGGAGCAGGATTTCTTGGAGCTCTGCACCCGGGCTGGATTCCAAGAGATCCCAAAAGTTACACTGAGGCCACACCCCAATTCTTTCGCTGTCCAGGGTGAGTGGTGCTCGTTCCTCTCAATAACTTCATTGGGCTTTACATCCTCTGTAATATTTCCCCACTTCACAATGAGGCACATGAGTTACAAATCGAGCCCAATGCTGGGGTTGGGGGTTGAGAGTTTAAGGCAGTTCTCGGTCCTATCTCCCCCGCCCCTTGGATGTTGCTAGTTCTCTGTGGCACAATCCTGACAACAAATGATTGTGTCTTTGCTCAAATGCTGAATCTGGTAGCATTTTTTTTAACAGTGCCTCAGTTACCAGCATGGGGGCAATCAATTCCATAAAGTATTATAAACATCCCAGGCATCTCCAGGTTGAGCTTGGAAAGATTCCTGAGAGCTGCTGACAGTCAGTAATCGCTAGAGGGACCGATGATCTGAGGTGCTTTAAGGCAGCTTCCTATGTCCCTGTTTAACTCAATCAGAACCATGAGGACTGGAGTTTATTTTTAGAGGAAAAGGAGTATCTTAGTGGCAGAGCATCTGCCTTGCAGAAAGGAGGTCACAGATTCAATCCCCAATGGCACTTCCATGAAGGGCTGGGAAAGTCTTCTGGTCTGAAACCCTGGAGAGAACTATTGGTCAGTGAAGCCTGGATTGGGTTAGGTGGACCTCAAAGGTCTGACTCGATACAATTCAGCTTCCTATGTAAAGATGGCCATCTCTTGAAGCTATCTATACCTCCAACATCCGTTTTCACAGGAGATTAGGCATGCACTTGACCAGCCTTCCCCAACATGGTGGCCTCCAGATTATGTTGGACTGCAAATCCCATCAGCCTTAGCCAGCACACCCTGCGCCTGTCAGCCCCAGCATTGTATGGACATGCTGGCTAGAGCTGATGGACGTTTAACATCTGGAGGGCACCAGGTTGGTGACAGTCACCTTTACACTTTGTGGGTGGGTGCAGACAGATGGGAGAGCAAAATGCTACCCTCTTGGGAATGGCCAGACCAAAGAGGCAGCTGGAGAGACATTAGATAAGGTGGAAGAGGCCAGGTAAGATTATTGCTGAGCAGAGAGGAGGCCACGTCTGGTCAATAAATCCAGAAGGGTTTGGTGCTCTGTAGGTTGCCAGCTTAGCTTCCCTCCTAGAACGATGTCTTGTTCCTTATGGACCCATGAGAGAAGCTGCCAGGCTCTTTCCTCCTTGTTGCTCCCCTGGTGAGCTCTGACTTGTCTCCACAGAGGAGCCTGACCCACTGGCCGAGAGGGAGGGTCCCTACATCATTGCACAGATCCAGTGCAAGTACGCCTTCTTCCGCCCCACCATCCAGGTGGATTTGGAACATGAGGATCCCAAAACCACTAAGGAGATCTTCATCCGGAGTGAGTGAGGTCGTGTCCCTCTCCCTGGTCCACACAGACCTTCCGTCTCCCCTCTTTGTGCCCCCGGAGCAGGGTGGGCTGGGGGCTTCAAGGCCAACGAAAGCCCCACCTGCTTTTCTCTGTCAGCAGACTGGAAAATTGAAGACAAGATGCTGGGTATCTTTGCCAAGTGCCTGCCAGCTCTTTCCCACCTCCAATCAATTCGGTGAGTGGCACAAAGTCCTGGGGCAGGGGGCATGGCTTTCAGGCTAGTGGTTCACCCAACATCCTCCTGCAGGCTAAAGGGGAATACTTCTCCTGAATTCCCAAGTTTCATCCACTCTGCTCTCCTTTCAGGCTCTGGAAGGTTGGCCTGACAGACGTCACCTTCCTCTCTCTCCTCTCCATTGTGCCAACCTGCTCCACACTCAGGTAAGTCTTGGCTCAGAGCCAGTCAGGCCTCAGCCAGGGTCTCCTCCCCTCTGTCAAGTGATGAGGCAACCACCTGGGAGTCCAGAGGCAGGCGGGGTGGTCACTCGCAGCAGGCAGGAGCAAGGGCTGAGGCCCAGACAAGGAGGAGGGCAACATATTTCTCGGACGGATGAACTGACTGGAAGGCTGGGCTTTTAGGGGCCCAAGTGAGCCAGAATTGTGTGAATGGGGGCCAGGGCTGAGGTGGAACCCTTGGCACCAGGGAGCTTTGGGCCGCCTGATGCCCTGAGATGCTGTTGGGCCCCCACCATCCATGATCCTTGATTGACCATTGGCCATGCTGGCTGCTGGGTCTGCTAGGAGTTGGAGCCCAACAACAACTGGAGGGCCACAGTTTGAGAAGAGATGGCTTAGCCAGCCAAGTTCACGGGAGATGGCAAATGCTGCTGGCATAGACAGGAAGGTGTTCAGTCTTGACACCCACTTCCTGCCTGCAGGAATGCCCTGGTTACTTGATCCCACAAGCACCATCTTGATTTTTTCTTTTTAAAAATAAGATCAACAATAGAATAACAGAAAGGGGCAAATGCCTGACAGTGGCTCATGTGCATTGGGTGGGCAGAGAAGGGGAGCATATCCACACCCCTCTTCTCATTCTGCTTGCAGGACACTGGCCGTGGAGGGAAACCCTATGCGTGAGCGAGTGTTCCACAAGCTGATTGCTGAAGAGACCAAGTGAGAACTGAGGGGAGGCCTGGGGGGAGATTGGGAGTGGAAGACTGAGCTCTGGGTGTGTCTGGGTGAGGGCGTGTGCATGCATGCGTGCATGGAGGTCTCTTGCCTCTAGCACACACAGAGCCCAAAGGAAGGGAAGGACCACAGCTCAGCGGCATAGAATGTCCAAGGCCCAGTCCCCGGGGATGAGAAAAGATTCCTGCCTAAAACACTGTACAGCCACTCTGCCAGTCAGTGTTTACAATACTGAGCTAGATGGACCAGTGGTTTGACTTGGCATAAGGCAAGACGGGAGCCAGAAAAATATGTGTCAGGTGCAATTGCAGTAATCCAGGCCCTCTCTAGGGCAGCTGGGTGCCCAGTCCTGCTGAGAAGTGGCCTCTCTTTTCTTTCTTTCTTTTCCTCTCCTCTCAGCTTGGCCCACATTTCCCTCCGGAACAACGAGATCGATGACGAGGCGGCCTTACTGATTGGACAGGCGCTTTCTTCTCTCAAGGGCTCAAACAAGAACCTTGCCTCCATCAACCTCAGCTATAACCACATCACAGATGTGGGTGCTGGCTACATCGCCGATGTGAGGAGGCCTGAGGCAGCTCTGCACTTAGGCAGAGGCCGAAGGATTCAGGGCCTACATTCTGCTCTTGGAGGTTCAGGGGAGGGAGGGTGACTTTCTCCGAAGAAAGCCAGGAGTGGGAGCTTCTGGCAAGAGTGCTGTAGGGACAGACTGGGAGGTGGTTTAGAAATAGCATCCCAAGACTGAAGAGATGGGAGAGAGTGGTTTGTCAGGATGGAGGAAAGGCTCTGTGGGAGTGCAGTCCCACTGTCAGTTTACAGCTGACCACTGGCTCTTTGGTGATCCAGTAGCAGTTTGCCCTTTTTCCTTGGTGTGGCTGGAAAAGTCTCTGTTGGTAATTTTGGCGTAGTGAAAGCTTTTTGGTTCTCCTAGCCAGGCATGGCCAAACTTGGCCCTCCAGCTGTTTTGGGACTACAATTCCCATAATCCCTGACCATTGGTCCTGTTAGCTAGGGATGATGCGAGTTGTAATCCCAAAACAGCTGGAGGGCCAAGTTTGGCCATGCCTGTGACCTAGGCAGAAGATGCCATTGGCTAGAGTGCCCTTTTTCCAAGGTAGCTTCCTTTGGCAAAAGGCAACTCGCATATTGGATTGGAATGCAGGAAAATAGGATCAGCCGTTGCTGACTCCCCATTGAAACAGACATGCAACTGTTATAGAAGGGCAGCCCTTGTGAGGCAGCTGCTGTTTTGAAAGGCATCCTTGCTTTTCACAACCCATTTGGACTGGCAGTGCTGCCGAGAATCACACTGGTGTACGTAGACACATCCAACAGTGCTCACAGAACAAATTGGGAGTTTGCCCATCAGTATTTGGAAGCCTCAGAGAGTTGCATCCAGGGTGGTTGCAGTCCTGGGACTGCTCAGCACCCGGGGCCTTCTCTCCCGGAGAATGTGACCTTGCTCTCCTTCCAGTCCCTTGGCCTCCAGCCACTTAATCCCCCCTGTGCTTTTTCCTCCATGTCTTTCTGGCTCCTCCTGCACAGGGCCTGCGGCTCAATCGTTCGCTGCTTTCCTTGTCGCTGGCGCACAACCAGATCAAAGATGAAGGAGCCCTGAAGCTCGCAGAGGTCAGTCTGGCTGTGGCCCTTCAAGCGGTTCAGGAGGTTCCCCTTTTTGGGAATGGGATGTGTGGGACAGGAGCCCTAATTGACAACATTGCTGCCTCCCTCCCCTCTATAGCAGGCTGGCCTCTGCAGCCAGGGCAAGGAGAACAGCAAGTGGGTCCAGGGAGGGAGGAATATCTCACCGTCCCAACAGCCTTGCCCTGCTCACTCCACAGGTTCTCGGCCCGTTTGCCCTCACACACATGGAGGTGGTAGAGAGGAGGCGGCTTCTGCTGGAGAAGGAGGTCCAGGAAAGATGTCGCTTGGTAAGCAGGAAGGAGAGAAGTGCCAGAGGAAGTGGGGGGGGGTGGATGAGTGGGCTCCAGAACCCCCCTCTCTAGGGCCTGAAGGTTTGCAGCAGAAGCTGGCTTTGCACAGAGCTATTTGGCTTGCCTCTGCCATGGCCTCATAGAGAAACTGCCCACCAGCCCTAAATCTCTGGAACTGTTTCTTCTTGTTCTTGCACTTTTTGTTGCTTATTTTAGGATGAACCACAGTTGCTCATGTAGTTTTTATTATTATTATTAGATAAATTTTAAAAAGCTGTAAAACTTACCAGAAGTATGGGTGGAGAGGGACCACAAATGGCTGAACCAGCGTTCAGTTTGCTAGGATGCATGTCAGTCCTTCCATTTCCAAAGCCAGGCTCCCTCTATGGCTGCACCGCACATTGCAACTTTCTCGCTCTCCCTTTCCCTCTGAGTCTCCTGCAATAAGTAACAGAGCTTGCGCAGTAGGAGACTACCCTGATCCATCTCTGCTGCCACTGGGCTGGGGAATCAGCACAGGGCCATTTCTGCCAAGAGGCTGCTATTCTTCTGAGCCGACTCTTTCCACTCCTCTCTCTCAAGCCACAGAGACATGCGGAACTGAAAAACGAGCGCCCCTCCAGCCACATGAGCAGCATAGCCCTCGATAAGCTGCAGACAGCCAAGACCACCAAAGCCATCACTAAGAAGAAGGAGAAGGAGAAAGTGAGAGCCCTGGAGCAAGCCAGGAGACAGTCTGAAATGAGGGGACCCTAGGAATGCTGTTTTGAAAGGCCTTGCCCTCACTGTGGTTGAGGGAGGCAGGGGGTAGTGGAGAGATGGGGTTTTCTTCTTGTCGGGAGGCTGATTCTCCTCCTCCTGTTTATCTCCCATGGCTTCTGCCTCTCTACTTCCAGAGGCTAGGCTGGGGACTGTTGGGTGCAAGGACTTTTCTGTGGTGGCTCCCCATTTGCACAGATAGCATCTCAGAGGCAGGGAAGAGCCTTTGATCCTCCCTAGCCTTGGCTGCTGCTTTTCACTTCTGCTTCCACTGACTCTTCATGTGCTTTGCCAACCTCATTTTCTGCTCTGCTGCTAATTGGTGTGGAAGCCATTTAGCCTGAAAGCCCCCTTGAGGCAGGATCCAAATGAACCTATCCTCCTTCTCCTAAATGCTGCACAGTTTCCTCTGCCAGGAGGGGGCCTGCATCCCTCCCCACCCCCTGGTCGTTCCCTTCTACTGTCCCAGCCTCTAAATATAACCCCCTGACAACCATCCCCTCCCCCACCCACTTCTGCCGCTCTAATTAGCAAAGTGAAATATAAAAGCTTTTCTACTTTCTTACTGTCTCTCATTGGTTTTGTTTACTGCTTTGTGTCACCCTTCTAGCTGTGGAATTCATTTAGTAAGTGAAGGATGGAGGGAGTACCAAGACTGGGTTCCCAGTCTGGGATACATCCCCTTCCCCCTCCCCAATTATCTCAGCCCTGACCCCTTCTTCTTTCCCTTCCCACCAGCGCATTTGGCTGAGGTGTGATTCAGGATGCGGGGTTGGATTTGAATAGGGTTGCCATATTTCAAAAAGTAAAAACCAGGACACTCCAAACTTTCTTGAGCTTTTTCTTTTTTCTTTTTAGGAAAACCAAAAATTTGTTAAGCATTTTTTTTCCAAAAGTGCTTTTTTGATTGACTTGCCTAAGATCCAAGACCAAGTGACGCCTTTCGGAAATTCCCCCCAGATGTCAATTCCGCCTTTGAAATCCCAGTAATGTTCAGGAAAATCTGAACAAATGGCAGCCCTAGATTTGAACCATTTTTAGAGGGGTGGGGGAAGGGACTACGTACTACCTATTTATTAAAAAAAAACCCCAAACCTTCCCTTCTTTCTAGGAACTTCCTAAAAAGGATGACAAGGGCCAGGCCAGTGCAGCAACAGCTGCACCAGCAACTCCAGCAGCTCAGTCCAAGAAGGAAGACTCCAAGCAGGCCAAGAAAGGTGCCCTGAAAGCCTTCTTTACTGCTATTTCCTCCCCCTCCCTATGGACTGTTTTCAGACCTTCACTGGCACTCGCAAGGGCTGCTTGACCACAGCCTTCTTGATTTCCCCCCTACAGCGGCTCCTCCTGCCGAACAGAAAGCCGCCCGGGGCAAAGGAGCAAAATCGGGCACCAAAGACAAACGGGCTCAAGTCATAGAAGTGGAGGTGAGGCTCATTCGAGCATCGTCCAGCTCAGCTCTTGACCTGGCTTAGTTCTTCAAGGAGGAAACTGGTAGCCCCAGCCCCTCACCCTTCCTTGACACTAAGTGGCCAAACCTCAAGGCAAGGATCCTTCCCCTCCTCCTTCACACAGGGACCATCTGTGGCCCCCCAGATTGTGTGTTTGGAGCCCAAGAGCAATAATGGCCAGTAGCCAGGGGTGGTGGGAGTTTCTTCCCTGCCCCATCCACACACCAGCCCTTCCAGCCTCACATGTCCGCACATTCAGAGAGTGTAGGAGAGGGCTGGGAAACATCTATGGGCTTCCCAGTGTTTCTGGACTGTAGCTCCCATCATCACCATCATCATCCTTGACCGTCAGCCATGCCGGTTCCTGCTAGGGAGCATAGATGACCCCCCCACACACACACATTACTCTAGAGTTGAGTTCAACAAGCTGTTGAATGGCTGCCATCTTTCCTACATGGTGCCTTCGCCTCACCAGCTTTTCTGTTTTCCTGGGCAGGTGATAGAGCCCACCGAGATGGTGAATCCACTGCTGGAGCCAGCAGAGCACAGGGATGGCCAAGTCTTCCTGCCAGGCAACCGGGTCCTCATCTACTTGAACCTCATCCGTACGTCTCCCCTGGAGCAGCAGGGCCTGGCTGGGCCAGGCGGGGTGAAGAGGTTGACTCACCTAGCGGCTTTTTGTTGGGAGCCAAGGCCTTTCATGGGGCTCCTGACCAGCCAACCCAGCTGCTGTTGTTTCCTGATTTGTAGATGACTCTAAGCAGAGCCAAGTGCTTGGCCAGCTGTGCCGGCTCTATTCAGTTCCCAAGATGGGCTTGGAGAGGGTGGGGACGGGAGGAAGCACCCTCTGAACTGGGAGGGAGATCCTGAGCTTAATTCTCTTCTTTTGCTTCGTGCCCAAACTCAGGTAACCAAATCACAGAGAAGGGCTTGCAGGCCTTTCTGGTCGCCTTGGAGCAGCAGAGTGTTAGGGTGGCTCCTGGAGGCAAAGGGCCGATGGGCCTCCTGCGGCTGTCACTGGCGGTGAGTTTGGGGACGGGGATGGGGAGAATAGCTGAGCCTTTGGGGCCTGGTTCTTTCCATCTGAAACTTGTGCCCTCCCTCCTTTATGGGATTGAGGATGAGCTGGGGAAGCCTTACTGGTACTGCAAGCTTTGCAGGTACCTGCCTCCCTCAATCCCTCACCTGGATCATTTAAAACTGTTTCAGAAAAACAACTATCCAGTGGACAGCAAGACCTATGCCAGGATCCAAGAGCTCATGTGGACACGTGACCCCGTTCCCAGGTCAGGGACAGCAGCCAGGGTGGCAGAAGAGGAGACGGGGGCGGCGTAGAGCTTTAGCTGGAGAGCACACAAAAAATCCAGGATGATCCCACTGGCCTCCTCACAGCGCTCCTTGGATTCAAGCATCACTTGTCATTTGAACGCAGGAAGAGGGAGGAAACTGCTTCCCAACCCAATTCAAGAGAAGTGCAAATAAACCTGATGCTCATCTCCTCACTTAAGGGTGCAGGATCCTGTACTAATTTAGGGAAAGATTTCAGGGGGAGGAATCACTCTGTGGATGAGAGGCAGAGAATTGACTTAATGGGACTGCCAAGTCAGAGGGTCGTAGCAATATTTATCCTGCTGACAATGGAATTAGAGAACTCCAAATCCACCATCCCTGCCTGATAATATGCATAAAATCCAGGTTATGGAGTAAATAAGAGGCCTCACCTGCTAGGTTGACAGCAGTTGGACTTGGGGACATCTAGGAGAGACCCCCTCCCCCTAAAATCATTGCTTTCTTGTGGCAGGATGGGGCAATCACTGGGGTGGGGGATATGGCATGGCCACTAAGACCATGGTAATACCTACTCCAGCCTGCTGCACCCCATCCAACACACTCCACTTATCACAATATTTTCCCCCTTGCTTGCTGGACACACAGACTCCTCACACACAATGAGACCCCCAAAGCCCCCTCTCCCTTTGGGAAAGGGAAGGCTCTCAGAAGAGAACTGCCCCTTAGAGGAGTTTGCTACAAAGAGGCTCACCCTCCCCTGTTGGCGAGACCCATCCAGCCCTCACTTCCCTCTACAGCATGTGCAGAAACTGCCTTCTTGACTGTTGGACCCCCTATTTGTCAATGTGCTAAAGCTTGGGGGTTTGAGACCCATCAGCTACCTTTGCCTGGTTTAGCCGGACAGTGGAAGCTGTTTCCTGGGTTGTGGATCCTGTCGCCTTTAGACATCATCTAGGAGCCGCAGGGGAGAGCTGAGTGCAGGGTGCGGACCAAAGGTGGACAGACTATCCCAGAAAGAACACTGTGTGTCCTCCACCAGAGTGAATGGTGAGCAATGATTGGCTGAGAGTTTGAAGAGTGGTTTGAATGCTGGGAGGGAGTCGGTTGAGAGTCAGTTAGAGCCTGGAGATCAGAGAGGGAAGAGCTGGGGGTGGATGTGAAGCAGGGTTGGTTAGATGAGTGGCATAAGAATAGAATAATGGCCTGGTTAGAGCTGTAATAAAGTGACAGATAAGATACTGGGACATTTGAAACCATACACTTGTGTACTCGGAGGCGTCTTGAAGTCCTCATTCAGCGTTTTTTCATAAATCAGTTGTATTCTGCCACATGCCTCTTCCTTGGCTACGTGAGGGTTGTTGACATGTTCAGATAAAAAAATTACCAATGGTGGCAGTGCAGATCAAGGGGGCGTTTAGTAGAATACACAGAAAAGGCCCAGCTCTCCTTTAAAAAAGTGAAAAGGTGGCACAGTGCCAGAGCGGCTCAGAGCAAGGAGGGCTGGCACAACACCAGCCCCCTGCTTCCCCTGCAGTCTCACAGGAAAGGAGCTCATTTGGAAGAGGGGCGGTGGCACCCCCAGATCTGCCCCTGCTGGGTCTGTGGCAAGCGATCATGGCAGCAGCTCCATTTCACAAGGAGATGCCAACACCACAGCTGCTTCCCACAAGTTGATCAAACTTGGGCATTAATTTATGACAAAAGGAAAAAGCTACACAGAAGAGCAAATTAATTAATATTAATGAATGAATGAAAACCCTATACCATTGAAAGGAAGAAAATGATCATTGGCTTTTAGCAGATCGAACAGCAGAAAAGTGCACATGCGTACCCAGCAGCTGGTAAAGTTTCTTCTACTTTGTTGGCATCCCCCTGCAAAGGAGCTCCCTCCCCACACAGTCTCAGGCTCCTTTACCCTTGGAATGACCTTCCATAGGTCAGTAGTAAAAAGCAGGATAAAGCACACAAAAGGAGGCTCAAAAGGAAGGTGGACAGTGCCACCTCATGGCCACCCAGCACCTTATTCCTGGACTGAGTTGTGCATGCTCACTCATTGCACACACAAGTGCGCACGCATACACACTACAATCTCATTGGAGAAATGAAATCTACAAAAACAGTTCTTTATTGCAACTTCCAGTAGCTTGGGAGTGCTCCTGGATCCGACAGTGTCACCTGAGGCTCAGGTGGCCTCAGAGGCTCGAGGGACTGTTTCCAAACTATGGCTGGTTCCTGTGACTTGGCCGCAGGACTCCATGCTCTGATAACTTCCAGGATGGATTACTGTGCTGTGCTGTGTGTGGGACTGCCCTTGAAGACACTTCAGACTGCGCCCAGGGATGTTTTGCTGCTGGAGGCAAAACCCCCTGTGCCTGCCCCACCTCAGCCCTCACCACTGCCAGGCGCTCACTGTTGCCAGCAGTTTGCTACCTCCTGTTCCTTGACCCTGATGGTACACCCATGAATGGCAGCGCACTCCTCCACTCGCCCCTGGGCTACCCCAAAAAAGTTGAGCAGGACAAAGATGGCAGCAAGTAAAGGAGCACGCTGCTAGGGTCAAGGAGGCGGCGGTAAACACCTGGCAGTGGTGTGATGGGTCAGTGCATCTGGCTATTAACCAGAAGGTTAGTAGTTTGAGCCCACCCAGGGACGGCTGCGGGCAAGATTCCTGCTTTGCAGGGGGTTGGACTAGATGACCCTTAGGGTCCCTTCCAACTTTACAATTTTAAGATGCCTTATAACAAGTCCGACCCCTTGGTCCATCCTGTTCCCATATCGCCCACACTGGCTGGCATCGTTTCAAACAGGGAATTGCCAGGGATTGAACCTGGGACCTGCCGCATGCAAAACAGATGCTCTACCACTGAGCTGCGTCTCTTGCCTGTAGAGGAAGAGACCATATAAGTAACAGCATTTAGGTGGGGAGTAGGAACTACAACTCCCAGAAGTCTGTGCGGTCAGTCGTGCTCGCTGACTATAAGGACGTCAAGGTTTCCCCCTGAGCGCCGCTCGCACTTCGGGAGCGTGTTGTTTGGGGAATTGGGGAGGGAGGCGGTGTTGAGATCCGAAGTCGAGTCCTGGGAAAGAGAGGGGAGAAGGGAGAAAACTGGGAAAGCTGCAGGAAGTAACTGGCATGGGGAAATAAGGATTTTGGAAAACAGGTACAGTAGTTTCAACGCCCCCAGCCAGCTACCCGTGGTGTTTCTGGATTTTTGAGTCATCATCATTATGGATGGAGAAGCACCAGGTGCTGGGGAGCGTCTGCAAAATCCTCCCAGAAGAGGCAGAAAACACGGAAACCGGAGGAGACAGAGAGATCAGGTAAAAATACAATAGCCTTGTTAGTTGTAGCCCACCTTGGGAGGATACCATTTTCCTGTACTCCTTTTAAAAAATAGAATGAAAGAGCTTCTTAGAAGGGAGAATTCTAAGACTGGCAACTTCTCCCATTTCCTTGCAACCTCTAGTGAAATTTTTGCACCTGTGCCAACTTTTTAAGAGACTGGAGCCCTGGAAAAGGAGGGTCTATGGAGGACAGGATTGGCCCTGCCCTCCACCTCTCCTATAACTGCAGCCTGCAACAGTGAGGCTAACAGCATCTGCAGGGCACAGTATTTTTACCGCCTGCCCCAGGCTAGGGCTGAGGAGACCCAGGTTCAATTCCTCCCTCAACCATGAAATTCACTTTACTGGGTTGTTGGGGGAATTCCGCACAATGTATATTTCCTTGTGCTCTCTGCAGAAAATTGGGAGCATAAAATGTAAAAAAATGTGAATACTCGCCCTCTCACTGTTTGTTTCCAAACTTTGTTTCAGGATGCAGGTGTTCGCCTCTCCAAGGCTCTTTCTTATGTGCTGCGCCATGGGGCAGAGAAGTTGGGGCTACAGATGGGGCTTGGTGAGTGTTTCTGCCCTTCCACACCCCACAACACTGCCTGGGAAAAAGAAAAGGAAAAAACCTTCACCTGCTCCTGTTCTGCCAGCCACAGGATAGTTAAAGGCAGAAGAGCCCTGCCAAAAGGAAAAGCTGGCAACCCTCAAATGTGTCGTTTTTTAAAAAATTGGAAGCCAATTATTGGTGGAGCAGGTTCTAAAGAAAACCTTGCCTAAAGCCCTGTTCAGATGAACCACCCACCCACTCACTAGCCCAGCTGGAATCAATTTGGGACACACCCAGGCCCCCCCGCCCAGCAGGAAGGAAATTTTTGCGAGGAGTTCCCTGCAGAGCACAGGTGACTTGAGCAGTGGAGCCAAGTTGCAGGGAAAGGGAATTTAATTCAGTCTGGAATGGGGAATCTGGTTCATCCCAAGGGCCGCATTTCCTTTTGGGCAACCTTCTGAGGGCCACATGCCAGTGGTGGGCGGGGCCAGAAGCACATGTGGGCGGAGCAATAAATGTACATTTTGCACTTGTACACGGGACTCATTTCTACACATACACTCAACCCCACCGCTATTTTCTGTCTTCTGTCCAGACAAGCGAGAGGCATTATCAGAGTTCAAGGACACATTTCAGTCAGCCCCAAACAGAGAGAGGCGGGGGTGGCCTGGGGAGAGTTCTGAGGGCCACATAGAAGGACCTGCAGGGCCACATTCAGGCCCTGGGCCTGGGGTTACCCACTCTTGAATTAAACTTTTTAAGATGGATTTACCTTTGGGTTCTCGAGCTGCTATAACATTTGGTGCCACCCTGAATTAAAATTGCATCTGTTCCTCCGTTATGCTCCATTTTCACTATTAACATTGTGGGGAATTTATTTTAAAGCTTTGTACATTATTAGCCATGCTTTTCTCACCTCAGTCCAGCTAGCTGGCTTGACAGCGCTGTCAAAGAAGGGAGTTCTTAAACGTTTTGTTCTTCCCAAACTGCAGATGGCTTCGTGGATGTGGCGGAGGTCCTTCATCTGCCACAATTTAAGGCTTGGACCCTGGAAGACGTGCAGCGCGTTGTGGAGACAAATGAAAAGCAGCGCTTTGCTCTACGCCCCCACCCTTCCAGTGGGCAGCTCCAGATCCGGGCCAATCAAGGGCACTCGCTGCAGGTGGGGAAAAGGGTGTTGTTATATATGGGAATAAAAACGGGAATGAGCTCCAATTCCATGCTAAATGCTAATGTGGTATTAGCCTGAGTTTCTAGCCCTTATGAGTTGTGGAGTGGGGAACCTTGGGCCTTTTGACAGTCCTGTTTTATATTTTTGAATGTTTTTGCCTGATTGGAATGTGCCTGTGAACTATTGAGTTCCTGAATATAGAGGGGTGTTTGTAAGGGTGCATAGGAACTAGCCTACTATGCCAGGATATAATTTATATTTGTTGCTCTGCTCACTTTCACCTCTAACCCAGCCCATCACTGGCATGTGGCCCCCGGAAGGTTGCCTCAAAAGGAATGTGGCCCTTGGGCTGAAAAGGGCTCCCCCAGCCCCTCCTTATGGCAACAAACTTGAAAGTATGTGGGCTCCCTCAGGTGAAACCTCATAAACTGACCATTAATGTTCCATGAACACACCAGGTGTCTGAACTGGAGTTGATCCCACTACTGGACCCACGGGATTTCCCAGAGGTTGTGGCCCATGGCACCTATCTGCGCCACTGGCCAGGAATTCGCCGCAACGGCCTCTCACGGATGGGAAGGACGCACATCCATTTAGCGCCAGGGTTGCCGGGGGATGGAGCTGTCCGGAGTGGTGAGCATACCGTTCCTCGAGTTGCAAATCTGTGGTCTGCAGTGCCCCAACCCCCACCCCAAAATAGAGAAAGAAAAACACCTGCCTGTGAATTGAGATTTTTGCCTAAGGACCGTCTCTGGCCGGTCGGGTTGGGGGACCTCTCTGCCCAGGAAGCTCCCTTGAACCACATCAGACCATTGGTCAATCTGGAGCGATATTGTCTAACCAGCAGTGGGGAAGCTCTGACCCACAAGCCTCATCAGGTCTGCCAGGCCTCTGGATTTGGCCTGCATCCTAGAACTCATTTGTACTATACATTTAAAGCAGCACTGCACCGCTTTCAACAGTCACGGCTTCTCCCAAAGAATTCTGGGAAATGTGGTTTGTTATAGCTGTTGCACACTGCTAGAAGACCCCATTCCCCTCACAAAGCTCCAATTCCCAGAGCCCACCCCCCCCCCCCAAGGAAGAGATTGATTGTTTAGCCATTCTGAGAATTGTAGCTCTGCGGCAAAGATCAGAAAAAGTGGGACTGTCTCTGCTAAAGAGACACGACGGAAGTGGATGACGGAGGCCCTTAACTGTGTTGTTTTTCCTTTCTAGGAATGAGAAGCAACTGTGACCTGGCTATAGTCATTGATGTTGCCAGGGCTCTGGCCGGTAAGTGGGAAGGAACTCGAGACTGTGTGGGTTGTGGGCAGTCTCTCCCTATGGTGCTAGACTCCAGTTGCAAGCATCCCTGCCTGTTGGCCTTCCTGGTGGGGCTGATGGGAGATGGAGAGCTGCAGACTCCCCTACCTCCACTGTAGGTCAAAGGAGGAATAGGACAAGCAACCCTCTAACACAATTCCCCACCCCTTTGCTTGCCGCCTGCTCAAAAGGAGGGTTTGTAATGGGGCTGGCACCATAGGGCAGCTCCCTGGGAGGGACCACTGCTGGCCTCACACAGAGACCTAGTGGGCACCCTCCTCATCAGATGAAGACTGTCCCTTCAGAGAAGCAATTAGTTAACTGAAATTTCCCATAGCCCCATAGTCTGCTGCCGTTAAGAAATGGGACTGGGTTGCTGAAGGGTGTCACACTGGGGCCAGGGACACTGGGAGACTGATCTCACTGCTTGCTAGGATGAATGACATGGGAAGGGGGAGACCAGCCGGGCTGCCACCCATCATATATCGAAAGTGTAGCTGCAGGGAGTCTGCTCCTTCCCCTCCCTGCCGGAAAGAACTCTTGTAAGAATGTTGTGATTCAGAACTAGCATCCAATTTTGCTCTCCTCCTCCTCCCTCCCTCCCAATTGCTTTTCCTTTTTTTAAAAAAAAATTATTTTTATTAACTGGCCAATCACATCAAATTAAATCATATCACATAAATTCCGAATTACAAAGCCGAATTTTAAATTTTGTTGGGGGGACCCATATTTCAAGGTCCGAAGGGGAATTCTGATCATCTTCTTGCTGCTGCATTAATGTCCCAATCAGTCCAAATCAGTCCAAACAGAGTTCATAATTCTATCCCATCTTATCTTGCTGTTTCCACATCACATCTTGTTCATATATTTTCTCTTTTTTCTTTATGATCTCTTCTGATAGTCTCCTTAAGCCAATAAACACCAATAGTAATAATAGTCCTGTGTGAATTTTCCGTTCTTCCAATCCTCAAATCGAGATGGTTTCCATATATCATCTCCTTCATAGATAACATCACTCTTTCCATCATAGTCTCGTAAAACTGTCGCTCTTAAGTCCCACTGAGGAGTTTAACCCACAATATATAAACAGCTCTATTTCTCTCTTTCTCCTCCCAGACTCAAGACCTCCGACAGAACTTCCCAATATGGCGACGGCATTTTTAACTGCGTCATTCCAAAGCTCTTACACATTCCACGCTCTTCTTAAAACGTGCTTTGGTTCGAAAGTTTATTTCCACACAGCCTTAAATCCACAGCTTAAGTCCTTAAAACGACATTTCTGACTCGTGAGGGGAGGGGATTCTTGTTTAATCACATAGGAAGAAAAGAAGGGAGAGTTTTTCCCCCCTCCCCCATCAGTCATTTGCCGTACCTTGTCTTGGCGTATCTTCTCATGTTTTATTCTTATCTTGTTTTGTCAGAGATCTCTTCTGTTAGCAGTCTTTACTCACCCTTCTTTCTTGAAATATGTGCATTCCTTTCATCCAAATTGTTTCCTTTGAAGTTCTACATCTAGTGGCGCGAATCAGGGACGGCGTCCAGGAGTGCCGAAATCCCACAGGAGGGCTTTGTGCCTAGTGCCCCCACCCCCACAAATTCGGGGGTGGTATAGGGCACAGCAGGCAAGGGCCGTCCCCCCCACAATCCTGGGGGGGTTAAGGAGGCTAATTACCCCCATCATAGCCTCCAAATTACCTCGTGTGGGTCAGAGAGATGTTATTGTCAGCCATCTTCCAATGCGCCCCCTAGTGCCCCCCCCCAATTGCTTTTCCTTTGGTGTTGTGCCTTTTAGGTAGTCCTTGCCCTCAGGCTTGCAATCTTGCTAGTTATCATTGTAAGCAGGTTTGCTGTTCTGGGTGCCTGTTTTTTAATCCAAAGAGTGGTGTAAAACTACTTTGAATAAATGAATGGAATTCAAGCATCCTAAATTCTAGGGGGCCTTCCTCCCAGCCAGCAAAGCCCTCTCTGGAATGGACTCCAGAGTTGCCTGTCATTCATCTCGCACCACGCTATAGGGCAGGGTGAGGAAGTGGTTCTGGGCTTAACTGCCTCTCACCTGTGAAATGTCTTCTCTGCAGATGGAATCAAGTTTTACCGCTCAGCTAATGAAGTGATCCTCACTCCTGGCGATGCCAATGGGCTGCTGCTCCCCTGCTACTTCATGGAGGCCCTACAGCTCAAGCCTAGGCGTGAGTCGGGCAGCCTGCCTCTTGCCACTCTGGCCCGGGAGTGCTTGGGCAGCTTGTCATTCATGCTGCTGCAAAACCCATAACTTTTGAGGCATGCTGGGTGGGCTTGGGGGAGAATGAATGAATTTTACACAAATCTCGTGAAGGATTTAGTTGCAGCTGCATTGAATTAGCACTTCAAGGTCTCGCTTGCTCTAACCCACAAGCCCTGCAGTGCTGCCTTTCTGGGCTGAGATCACAACCAGAGTCCTGCACATGTTGTTCTCTAAACCCACAACCCTCGCCAATCCAAACCTCCCCGGAAGCCCTGGCAATCGCAAGTACTTGTGCATGATATAGTTGCTATCTCACATGATTGACAAGGGGGTTGCCCTGTCCATCTGTCAAAATTCCAAATTCCTGCACTGTGCTGCTGAGGTGGGCAGTGGCGGTGGCAGCACCAGAGTAGGATGGTTGCTGAGGAGCCGCTGCGGCCTGTTGTGACTGTTCTGCCCCAGCTTGTTTGGGCCTCCAATGCAGCTGTGATGGGCCAGCAGCTCTCGGAAGGCTAGCCTCACTCTGCAGTCTACAGCACCACCTGTTGGCAGCCAAGCAAACAGTTGTATGACAGCAACCCTAAGCAAATACAAAATTGGAGAAGATTCCCACCCTTCCCCAAGTAGCTATGGGCAGCATGCATAGTTCTCTCCCCTCACCCACTTTTGTCTTCACAATCTTGTGAGATAGGTCAGGGAGAGAGAGAGAGAGAGAGAGAACACAAATGAACATGACTGGCCAAAAATCCCCCAGTGAACTTCATGGCTGGGATTGAATCTGGATGTCCCTAGCACTAAGCCTTTGTACATCCTCAGGACCACTTTTGTTTCATGTTCCTGTGACATGCCTTGCAACTAAAAATCAGGAGTGGAGGCTGCAATCTGTATACTGGGGGCTCAATGCTTTTATGGGGAGTCACACCATGTGCTTTTTTTTGTCCCCCAGGGTGTGTGTTGTCCCTCAACTGTCCTGATCCTGAGCCACTGGATGCATCTACCTCTTCGTAATTTATGGCACTTACATTCATTTCAATGTAAAGGCTTTATCCAAACACTTAAAAAGAAAAGCAACTGATTACATATTGTTTGAAGTGATGATGTGAACAAAATACTGATTGTATTCGCTCGACTGATTTCCATGCCAGGCCACAGACGTACTGTAGCAATTTCTGCTTTTGTTTTTCCATTGTACTTCTTTGGCATCCCTTTTCCTTGTTGGGATTCTTTTGGTTTTTTTTGGCTTTTCTCCAGCCTGCTGCTACCTCTCCATTATGTCTGGATGGTGCTGTTTTGGCAGCGTAAGCACCAGTACTCATATCTGAACACAGAACAGAAGGAATTATTCACAACATCCACCTGGAAAGCGAGAAGCGGAACAAAACAAAAGAGAAAACCAAGGATAGACTACCCATAAATGAGGCGGATATTGTTTTTCAAGTGAACAGTGAGATGATATGTTTATTTCACGGAGACAAAACAAGTCATTGTGGGAAAATGTGGAGAAAGGACAATGAGAAGCATTACAAGTATGTATTTATTTATATATTTTTATAGCTCCTTGGGATAGATAATGAAAACAAAAAAAGCAAATCCCCCAGCAAAATAGACAACAATACAATTTTGTGACATCAAAATATCCTTAAATGCCCCCCACAACAATTGCTGACTTAACGCTGAGCACACACACTCCCCCCGAGTGAACTGTAGGACTAGGAAGGTTCTGCAGGCTATACACATCCTAACATAATGCAAAAGGGCAGATATGGATTTGGGGTGAGAGGCTGGTTCCAGGAATTTGCGCATCCCCTCCCAAGAAAAAGGCATGACAAGACATCCCTCCCTCTCTACCACAAGCACGCCGATTGCCACACTCCTTAGAATACAATTCCTGCAGATCTCTGCTCCTATGCTCATATTGGGAAATATTTATCACGCCCAGTAAGTATTCCCAAGCCCTTATAGGGCACAATTGACCCCGGTTAAGAGTCTCTGATCAGACACCTCCACAAAGAGACTGGCCTAGTGTGCGCAGTTTCTGGGGGAGCCCTAGGGTGTGGAAGAAGGTCAGAGAGCTTCATGGCCTCCCGTCAGCTTGTGGAAGAGTTCTTCATCCAGCGTCTGGCTCCTGTCATTTGCGCGGGTGGACAAGAAGATGTACCCGCCAATGTACTCGTGCACGATCTTGCAGCCAGCAGAAATGCAGCTGAAGGCCACGTTGATGTGCTCATCAAACTCTATGGCCACCTGGGGAAAGAAGGTTAAAAGCTGAGCTTGTGGACGTCTCTTTGGGTGGTCACCTATGGTGCGTATAAATCTTGTACAGGCGAATAAGCAATAAAGTTTAAAGGGTTGTTCTCTTTAGGCCAAAACTGCAGTGGGGGGCGGGGAGGAAGACATGTCCTTTTACTTGTGCATTTGTCTCAATCAAATCTAATGCAAGGATAGGCAACGTTGGTGCCCTCCAAATGTTGCTCAACTCACAACTTCCATCATCCACAGCCAATGGTCGGGGACGATGGAGCATGGAGGCAGGGGCAGCCTGTCCTGTTTTGCCACTTAAGGGGAAATGGGAAGGGCTGTGCCGTCGCCCACACTTCCTGCCCTCTCACCTGCACTGCTACGTTGTTAGTAAGAGTCAGGGACTGGCTACGAAAAATGCATATTCAGAGAACTCAAATCCCAAGCTCCCCACCCCACCGCTGACCTGCCGGATATCCCAGTTGACATTCCACTGGCGCATATTGCTGAACCGCCAGGTCTTCACCACGTCTCCAACGGCCAGGTCAATGCGGATCAAGCGGTTGTTGGCGATGCCCAAGATTTCGTCCTTCCGGCTGCCCTTGAACCTGCACACAAAGATGGCAAGGCTCTGCGTTTTTGCTTGCATTTATAAGGTTCCTCTACTTTTAATCTAGAGGGAGTGTGTGATTGAAGAGCTAAAGGCTGCGTCATCACCATCACTGCAGGGAGGGTGGGAGCTGCTACAAATTTAATAAATAATAATAGCAATAATAATTATGGGGGGGGGGCTGGTTGCCTCTAAGAGCTACTACAGCCCCCTTCTCTACATTTTCAATCTTCAGTTTAAAAAGGAAAGCAAATCGCTAGTCAGTCCTCATGTTTTCAGTACAGGCAACTCCCCATTTATGCGGGGGTTGCGCTCCGAGGCACTGCGTGCATCAGTGGGACACAGGTAAGCCTGTCCCTGCCCTGTTATGCCACACACCCCTTCCTAGTGTCCAAAACTGCATATGCCAGCAATTGTGCGCATGTTGAATGTGCGCAAATGAGGAGTTACCTGTAATAGAAGCATTGCAGGTATGCAGTGTTGATACCTACTAGCCCAATAGGAAGGAATCTGCAGTTCGTTGGGGGAATGAATGCAAAAGTTCTGGGATGGTAAGTGTTTTTACCTTTTTTGTGATTTTTCAAAATAATAGCAACAAAGTTTTGCACTATGAAAAAGTTAATACATTAAATAAAGTAAGGACTGGACATCCCTATACATTTTATAGTAAACCACTTTGAGGTTTTCTACAATCAAACGGTACATAAATCGCATGAATTAAATAAATAAAAATGGTGTTGTGGCATTACAAAGACTAAAATTTATAGTGACTTAAGCTTTGGTAGGCTAGAGTCCCCTTCATCAGAGGCAGTTAAGCCGCAAAAGTTTATGCAGCAATAAATTTGTTAGACTCTAAGGTGTCACAAAATACTTTGTTGGGTTTGCTGCAATATAATAGCTGAGCTACACCTCCAGAATTTTTTATCCCAAATTATAAATCATTTATGCAGCTTAACATTGTAAAGACATGATCCAGCCGTGAACTGCGCAATTTTTAACTCCATGAATTTCAGTAAGAAAGTTATCCAAAGCAATTCCTATTCAGGAGACAGGAGGAAGATAGCATCAGGAGACTTTGCCTAGCAATGGGTTGTATCTAAGCACAGTCTTACTCAGAGTAGACCCACTGAAATTAATTGGCATGACTAACCTGGCTTCATTATTTTCAGTAGGTCTGCTCTCAGCAGAATTTAGTTTGATACAACCCGGTGTGTTTTAACATGGGTTCAACTCTTTGGTGCTGAAAACCAACAGGATTTTAAATCTGCATTTGGTTGTCCTTGATCATTATTAAAAACAAAACAAAATAACCAACAGAGGTTGCTCTGATGCAAAGTCCAACATCCTGCCTTCCATAGTGGCCAACCAGATGCCTCCAGCCAGCCATGATGGCAGTGGTTCACTCCTTTCATTGCTCCTCAGCAACTGATATTCAGTGATATCTGTGCTTCTGAATCTGGAAGTTCCATTTTGCCATAATGACCAACAGCCCTAGATAGACCTCTCTGGATTTTTTGCATGTCTTCTTAGATGGTTTTAACACAGCATCTGTCACCCTGTCAGACCAAAAGGCCCATCCAATCCAGCATCCTGTTCTCACAATGGCCAGCCAATGTCTGTGGGGAGCCTGCAAGCAGGCCCTGAATGCAAGAGAGACTCTCCTAATCCCCGCTGCCAATCTGTTATTCTCAGCAACTGGTATTCAGAGGTAAACTGCCTCTGACTCTGGAGGTAGAACATAGCTATGTTCTATGCATCAGATGAAGGGCTCCCTCTTGTCTGCCTTCTCTGGTTTCACTGGTTGCCCCCAAATTCTACTTATTATCAGAGGTGTGTGGGGTGTTGTGTGCTACACATCAATTTATTTCAATTAAACACCTATCATGAGAAAGGGAGAAGGAAAGACTTCTTCAGACATGCAAATAACTTCCAGAAGAAGCCTTTCAGAATAAAATAAAATAAATAACGCTGAAAGATTTTTCATTCTTGCTGTCGACACCAGCGGCAGGTCATGAAAAGGTACTTCAGTTCCCCCCAAATGGTTTTCAGGGAAGCTCAGCAGTTTCTTTACCTGACTACAAAATAAGAGATGCCAAAATCGGGAAGCGACTGCCAAACTTGAATAAACTTCATCTTGGCATCAGGGAGCGACAGCTGGGCCACGTTCTGGTAGGCCTCCAGGATGCGAGGGGTTAACTGTGAGAGTTGCAAAGGGAGAGATTAGTGCAAACCTCTTCCTTGGCCTCACAACCATTGTGCAAAAGAATTTAGTCAAGGTATCTCAGGAGGTGTGTGAATGCATAGTGAATCAACAAAGCAGCTTTGAAAAACCTAAGGCAGATTTTAATTATGTGTATTGTTTTTTTTAAGGGACGCGGTGGTGCTGTGGGTTAAACCACAGAGCCTAGGACTTGCCAATCAGAAGGTCGGTGGTTCGAATCCCTGCGACAGGGTGAGCTCCCGTTGCTCGGTTCCTGCTCCTGCCAACCTAGCAGTTCAAAAGCACCTCAAAGTGCAAGTAGATAAATAGGTACCGCTCTGGGGGGAAGGTAAACAGCATTTCCGTGCGCTGCTCTGGTTCGCCAGAAGTGGCTTAGTCATGCTGGCCACATGACCCGGAAGCTGTACACCGGCTCCCTCGGCCAATAAAGCGAGATGAGCGCCACAACCCCAGAGTCGGTCACGACTGGACCTAATGGTCAGGGGTCCCTTTACCTTTACCTATTTTTCTTTAAAAAAAGAATTTGGTTTGATGTTTGTGAACTGCTTAGAAGCTACTTTGGCAACTGAGAGGTATATAATAAATTAATACTAATAATATGACCATGATGGGAGTTGTAGTCTTGAGGGCCAAAAGTTCCCCACTCCCAATCTATAGGAATGCCCCATGTTAAGACTTCAATGGATCTGATTTGTAGATTGACTTTTTCTCCTGGCAACTGCTGCCAAAGCAATCAGTGGTCAGGGTGGTTTGGGGCCGTGCGGCTCAAAATTACCTGCTTTGGTTTGAATTTCTTCTGGTAGCGAGGAGACACGAGCCACTGGGCTCCCTCGGCCTGCTGGGCAAGACGGGCGTCCGGGTTGGTTTGCTGCAGCTTCAGAAAGGACAGGATGTTCTCCACCTCGGCCTGGTAGGATGAGTCTGCCATGGTCTTCCCCTTCGCTGCCAACCTACAACCTGCCATCCAACGGGCATATTGCTGTTCCTGGTGAGGGAGAGGAGGAAGACACTTGCCTTACACTGAGTTCGCTCTAGCCCCTCACCCATCCTTATACAAGGCTGTTTGGAGGAAGTCAACTGGGATGGCGTTAGAGCTGAGGTCCAGGCTTTGTGTGGGGCATTCTTTGTACTCAGCCTGGAAACTGCAGTTAGTGCAGAATACTGCAGCACAGACTATTGAGAAAACCAAGACCCTGGCCGCGTTCTTGCCATACATTTAAAGTGCTATGATACTACTGTAAATAGCCATGGCTTCCCCCCAAAAAATTCTGTAGTTTGTTAAGGGTGCTGAGTGTTGTTCAGAGACTCCTGTTTCGCCTCAAAGAGCTATTATTTCTTTATTGATTTATCAAGCTTATTAGATTTATAGAAAATCTCAGGATGGTTCACAAAACCCACTTCCAGAGTTCCCTGGGAAGAGGGACTGATGGTTAAACCACTGGGAATTGTAAGCTCTGGGAGGGGAACGGCGGCCCACCAGTCAGAGATGCAGTGCTGCAGTTGCACTGATTTTAGATGATGACTTTCAGGGCTCCTTCCAACTATGGTAGGGTTGCCATAGTTCAAAAAGTAAAAACCAGGACTCCCCGAAAAGTTGTTGAGCTTTCTTTTTAGGAAGACCCCAAGATTGTTGACGTATGGCAGCCCTAAACTGTGGTTCTAAACCGGGCTTCCCCACCACCCCACTCACATCCGAACATCGCAAGTGTACTTCGCTCATCCCATCGGGGGAAGGTACCAAGAGCTTGATGCAAAATTTCTGGCCAGAGATGTTGACGTCCGGCACAACCTCACAGCCTGGAGTGGGGCAGAAACAGGGTTAGGAACAGTTAGAAGCTGGCATACAATGCTGTCTTCTGCAGAGAATTGGGACCACTGGTCTGTCTATCCCTACACTCATGGAGCTGCACTTTCTCGTTGAGGAAAAGGGCTGGAGGCTCAGGGATAGAGCAATTTTTTTGCAGAAGGACTCGGGTTCAATTCCTCACATCTCTAGATAGTTCTGACAGGGACTCTTGGTCTGAAACCCTCGAGAGTCTCTGTGCCAGTCAGCGTAGATGATACTAAACTGGAAGGACCCAATGGTCTGATGCAGTATAAGGCAGGTTTCATATACAGTGGTACCTTGGTTTACAAACTTAATCTGTTCCAGAAGTCCGTTCTTAAACCAAAGCGTTCTTAAACCAAGGCACGCTTTCCCATAGCAGCGGGGGACTCAATTTACAAATGGAACACACTCAACATGTCCTGCTTCCAAGGCAAAGTTCACAAGCCAAAACACCTACTCCCGGGTTTGCAGCGTTCTTAATCCAAGTTGTTCATAAACTAAGCTGTTCTTAAACCAAGATACCACTGTACTCATATTTGGAGACGTGCTCCATCCTTTGTAGGCCGTACTAATGCCGGGTTGGGAAAGAGGCGTTGGCAAGGTGGCTGGACTCACCTTTGAGGCTGAGTTGCTGCACAGGTTCTCCCAGAGCTTCTTCAGGACTCTTGTAGTAGGAGATGGAGGTCTCTTTGAAGATCACCCAGTACTGCTTGTAGCCCTTCAGAGTCAGCTTACGGGGCCTGTAGAGCAAAAAGGGTGACTGACAGAAGGACATGAGCTTCATCTCCTCTTCTCCCAGCTAAACACACCCAGCTCTTTCATTTGTTCCCCATAAAGCCTTGTGTTCCAAACCCTTAAACATCCCGGTCAATTCCACCCATTTTGCTAATGTTTTTAGTTGATCATAATATCCCAGCCCTTCCTGGAGATGACAGGGATTGAACCTGGGACCTTCTGCATGGAAAGCAGGTGATCTAACCACTGAGCGCCACTGCCCTTCCCCAGGATCCATTCCCTCATGAAACATATGGTTTGATAGCTCACCTGAATATTCGGAGATAATCCTTTAACTCTGGGATAACTGTGAGACTGTCCTATTTTGGAAATGACAAATATGTGTTGTTGTTGTGGTGGTGGTTTTACATATTTCCTGTATTTATACTGCCTTTCAGTCTCATGGTCAAATAAATAATAATAATAATACAAACAGCAGAAATAAAACAATGCAACATTTTGGGTTGTCTCCATCTAGGTTCTACTCCAAGTAGACCCCATTGCAATTAATGAATGTAAATTAAGTCTATCAACTTGGGTCTACTCTGAGAAGGCCTAGCACTGAATGCAATCTTTTGGAACTCCATTCTGGTACTTATCAGAGAAATACCACCCCTCTTGTCTTCTGGACCCTGGTGGAAAGACTTCCCTTTTTTAACAAGCCTCTTAAGTGGAGATCTTTATTGCCGTCAGTACTGGATTTGAAATTGCTTTTTTTTACATACGAAATCAATTGTTTTACACACAGGGCATTTTTAGCTGTTTACTGATGAACATTTGTTTCTCCTTTCAAAAATTGCTTTTATATAGGTAATGTGTTTATTTATTTTACATACGGAATTGTGCAATTGTTTGCTTGTATTGTGAAACTGCTTTGAGATATTTCATGGGAGGGGATTCGTAAACGAAAATAAAACAAATAACCCATTTCAGAAAACCCCAAAGGAAAAAGGGAACTAAATAGCAACAGAAGCAGAAGCAGCAGCTGATAGAAACCTTGCTGGCAACAACATTCAGATCAAGAGAGGGAGGCTCCAGTCAGAATGCCTCCGCATAAGGGAAGGCAGGCCCTGTTGGGAACTTACCAGAACGTTGGGAGCTGCGGACGAACCTTCCAGTTTGACCTCCAAGGTGGCGAGGGCCTTGTCCAGGTCGTCAAGGCCAGAGTCGCCAGACTGCTCCACGGGATTGGTGTTCAAAGACAATTCATTGATATGATACTGGAAGGAGCAAAAGCTCTGTGAATTAGCTTTGTGCAATACTGAAACTCGAGTCTCAAAACAAAGCTCTGAATACTTATTTCCGTATTTATAGAACAATTTATTTACACCTCCTAGTGCAGGGGCAGGGAAACTTTTTGAGCTCAAGGGCCACATTCCTTTCTGAGCAACTTCCCGAGGGTCAAATGCAAGCAGTGGGCAGGGCCTGAGGCAAAAGTGTGGGATAACCAACCTCATATAACCAACGTGTTTAATAATATAATAATAATTTATTATTTGTACACCGCCCATCTGGCTGGGTTTCCCCAGCTACTCTGGGTGGCTTCTAACAAAGATTAAAAATACATTAAAATGTCACACATTAAAAACTTCCCTGATGTCTTTTTAAGTCTAATTAATGCACGAAAGGGTTAATACTATAGAGTAAGCTGTCCTGCCAGGCTTAGCAAGGTCACATCCCCTTACCTTGGGAGGAAATGGGTAATCAGGCCTATTTGTTCAACCTTTGGTCTACCAGAGAAGCTCAAGGTGTGAGGAGGTCTGAGCTGGTTGCTGCAGCTCAGAGCACATTGCTCTTACAAGCCACTGTGGAGTACCTATACTACTAATTTAGGAACTTTTAGCACTGTAACTAAGCCAAGTTTTACTTCCTGTGTAACTTTTTCTGAATGCTGTATGAAAAAGCACATGAATCTGGCCTTTGGAGAGTTTGTAATTAAATCTTTTTTTTTTTTTACTTACCAAGTGTGTATTATTTTTCTATGCTAGGGGGAAACTTTGGAAAGGCTAATTTTAAAGGTCCAGCAACCTATATTTCCATGCTTTACCTTGCTGCATGTTTTGTGATTTTAAATCTCTGCTGGGGTTCTCTCACCAAAGAGAACCCCAAACTTGGATCTTGGTGTCCAGGGAATTATCCTTATATCCTATATATACCTATTTTTCCATAAACCAACAAAGCGAGTGGAGCAATTAATGTAAATTTTCCTTTTTTGCAGTAGGCTAATTTATATACACGCTCCTGTCTCTGTCCTTCGTCCAGACAACAGAGAAGCACCATCAGCATTCAAGGACTAATTCCAGCTCAGTTGGTAGAGCAAGAGACTCTTAAGCTCAGAGTCAGGGGTTTGAGCCCCTCGTTGGGCAAATGATTCCTGCATTGCAGGGGGTTGGACTAGATGACCCTTGTGGTCCCTTCCAACTCTGCAAGTCTATGATTCTAACACTCAGAAAACTTTTTGTCCAGGGAGAAAAGGTTACCTGCAGAGCCGCAAACACCACCATCTCTTCCTCGGTGCAATCTGTCTCCTCTAGTAGCACGGCCCAACGCGCCTGTTCATACAGCTGGTTGATCCTCACGGCATCGTACTACATGGGAGGGAACGAGCAACAGCAGAGGCTGAATGCCAAACCAGGGTTCAAATTTCACCTCCTCCAGGAAGTTAAGTGAATTTTTAACCCACCTGTCTTCCTGTCTAGGTGGAATACAAGATCTTCCCTTACATCAGGGATGGGGAACTTGTGGTCCTCCAGATGTTGAGACTCCAACTCCCATCAGGCCCCAACCAGTATGGCCAGTGGTCAGAGGTGATGGAAGCTGGGACACCAGCAACACCTGGAGGGCCACAGTTCCCCCCTGCTCTGCCTTACACATTAAAAAGCAAAGGGTGGGGACTTGCTCTGCAAGCAACCCTCTACAAATTGGTAGTTCCCTGTGGCACACACTCCAAGGCAAATATATGTTTTAAAATGCTAAATATGCCACATACTAAACATGTCACAGACAATGGGCAGAGCAACCCTACATCTTCAGCAAGGTTTACCGACACCTTTTAAAAAACCTGTTTATATGTTTTGCTCCCTGGTCATTAGGACTAGAAGCTCCCCAAGTCGCGAGGAGTAGAAACGCACCTACACACACACAAAGATAACTGAGATCCTCAGAAGGATTTTGGAGTAGCCACCAGGTTAGGGGATGCATATTATTTTTTAAAGAAACAAGTGGGGTAAGGCTGAAGGCCCAGATCCAAGGGGAGCACTGACCTTGGGCTCCAGGTCAAAGAAGCTGTAATATTTGAAACGTAGCCACAAACAATCGTTTTCTTTCACTTCTTGCTGCAGCAAAGTCCGCGACGAGTCCAGCCACCTGGGAGAGAAATCCACTCTTAATTACAAACATGGAATTCCAACCAGCACTTGAATCTCTCCTGCAAAATACTGCGTTTCATTTCATCCAGCAGTATAAAAATTTTGTTAGATCAATTGACACAGGTTCCCCACTTGCGTAGTAGATAAGCAGATACCACTCTCTAGCAAAATATCTCAAACTCTTGCATTCAAGAAAGTGGCGGACCTTGGGGTCTCAAATTACAGCGGTGCCCTGTGCAACGCCAAAATTTGGGGGTCCCGCCTTTCGCCTTCCCTTCTGCATCATAGTAGTCCTACAGTTTGCCCAAGCTAACTAGCCCTCTTCTCCTTACCTGCTGTTGATCTGCGTCTTCTCGGAGAGGGAGCCTGGCCGGTGCATCTGCAAGATCTGATCGGGTGTCAGTCCAGTCTGACTGACCGACAGCATCCTGTAGCAGGCCTCGGTTTCGGCACTGTCCGAGAAGTGAGCCGGCATGCCGCGGAACAGCTGCTGCTCTGCACCTGGTGACAGAACAGAATGGCGGAGGGGTCATGGCTGCGGAATTGGGCAGCCTGTATAATTTGTCCTCTTGAGAAGGATCATCGTATGACCTTTGGCTTGTTCAAGTAAGTGCAACTGAACTTCTGGGCTCCATGTGGCGAGAATAAATTACCTGGGAAGAGACCCGGTTCCAAAGAGAGAAGTGCCTCCCATGGAATCACAGAATTTTACAGCTGAATTGAGACCTTGGAGGTCATTCCTACTCATTGCAGGAATCTTGCAATAGCAGCATCCCTGAAAGCCTCTACTTAAACACCTCCAGTGCCTACCACCTCTTGAGGCAGACGCTTCCATGGTGAAAACAGCTCTTACCATCAGGATGCTTCTCCTAATGCAGAGGTAGCCTTCCAGAGTGGGGCCTTTTCAGTTGTGGCGCCTCATCTGTTGAATGCTCTCTTCAGTGAGGTCCACCTGGTGCCTTCACTGACATCTTACCTTTTCCCCCAGGTTTTTCATAGACTGAGATAATGTTGCTTTATCCTATTTCCAGTGAATCCTGAAGCTACACACTTTTGCACAGGCAGGTGCATGCACAAATGTACACACACACACACACACACACACACAGTCAGTCAGTCATTTGGACACCCCTAAGTTCCTTACTTGCTGGCAAGCGCACCCCAGTCAGGTCATGGCTTGCTACAGAGCTCCTCTCTTTGTCCTTCTGCTTCCGCTTCTCCTTCTCCTCCGGCGCACGCAGTAACGACAGCTCTTCGTAGTGACGGATACCTGCAGAGAGGCAGAGGCTGCATGAGTCCTTTATTCAGGCTAATCATAGCCAGATAAATTCAATTCAGTTTGCATTTAAAGGCAAACCTTCCTAATTCTCACTTTCCAAAAGAATCTGAGAACCAAAACACAACCATCTTCAGAATTTATACTTCTATGAACAGACCCTCCCAGTGTCCCTATTTTCCAGGGACAGTCCCAGTTTTACAGAAGTCGTTCCTGTTTCTGATTTGATGCTGGAATGTCTCACTTTTCCTTAGGATGTCCTTATTTTCATTGGATAAATGCTGGAAGGTATGGAGTTATGCAACCCCAAGCCAAAGAGATAAGTAAGTATACAACCTTTAGAAGACATCTGAAGGCAGCCCTATGTAGGGAAGTTTTTTTAAATGTTTCATTATGTTTTTATATATGTTGGCAGCTGCCCAGAGTGGCTGGGGCAAACCAATCAGATGAGTGGGGTATAAATATTATTATTATTGAATAGGGTGTCCCTATTTTCATTGGATAAATGTTGGAGGGTATGTATAAATACAGTGGTACCACGGGTTACATATGCTTCAGGTTACATACGCTTCAGGTTACAGACTCCGCTAACCCAGAAATAGTACCTCGGGTTAAGAACTTTGCTTCAGGATGAGAACAGAAATCGTGCTCCGGCAGCGCGGCAGCAGCAGCAGGAGGCCCCATTAGCTAAAGTGGTGCTTCAGGTTAAGAACAGTTTCAGGTTAAGAACGGACCTCCAGAACGAATTAAGTACTTAACCCGAGGTACCACTGTAGTTGCAAATAAAAGTATAAACTCTACAATTATATTATTCTAAGGGTGACCAGCTGCATAGGAGGGCAGGGAGCAGGATTAATTGTGCAGAGGAGAAAATTCCAGCCATTGTAGCTTTCTCTGCCCCTGCACAATGAATATAAATGTAGTTGCCCAGCCTGTGTTTGGGGCCAGGCACCCTGCCCTCCTCTGATGTTTAAACCATAGGGCTTGGAAACATAGCATTAGAAAGCCCAATCTCTGAAACTGAACCAGCTGGACAGGCACTAAGCAAAGTGTCACCAACCTTTTGGGTACAGTGAGCCCCATTGCAACATTCAGAAAGTGCTGTGGGTGCCACTCACAAAATGTATGTGCGATAAGACAAAATGGCTGCCGGGAGGGAGTGGAACAGCACAAAATGGCTGCCACACCTAAATTATCACAAAAACAGATAGGAACACAACATAGAGTGGGCATGCTCCACGCCCTACATCCATCCCCATGCTTCCTCACAAAGAGAAGCTCTTTATACCTCTCTCTCCTCTGTTCAAAACAGAAGGGACAGCGGGGGCATCCAGTTAAATGTGGGCACGTTTAAAGGGCCATGTACAATGGTCAAGCCAGTTAAAACAGCATACTGTCCAACTTTTATGGAGCCAAAACTGGGATGCACATCTTCCTGTATCTGATCCCGGGTGAGTCACATGACCCGCACAGTGCTCTCAACCTGAAAAGTGTCCCCCCCCCCGGGTGAGATTTTGCATGGTGCCCAAAAACATGCAAGATCGTGACACCCAAAATGGCCACTGCGATCTCATGTGAAAAAATTGGATGTCCCTTTTTTTCTGGGGTACCTGGGAGGTATGAAATAGGAATTGAGCTGGAAAAGCAAACAGTCTCTAGCGCATTTTGGGTTTTTGAGGAGATACTGGGTGCCCATGGGCCTCACACTGGCAACCCTTGCACTAAATAACATTTCAGAGCGTTGGAGACAAGCACTCGCCCTCCTTGCCGCTCCCAGGAGATGCTCTGAGCTTCTTGTGGTGCTCACCAAGTATCTTGCAAAGGTCAGCAACTGTGCGGAAGACTGGCTGGGCAAAGTTTGCCCGGATCCTGACTTTGCAGCGATTCGGTAGGGAAAGCAGTATAGGCTTGTGCTGGGGAGTGAACCGAAGTTTGGCATCAGCCAAGATCCCGTATTTATCCAGGCTCCAGTTGGTCTTCAGCAGCCAAAGTTTCTTCTGCTCCCACCACAGGGCATGATCTGACCAGTCCCTCTGAAGCTCTGGAAGCAGGAAAGTTGAGGCAGGGAATACCCTTTAGCATTTAGCATCAAGACACAGGGCCAGAGAATACAGTACTGAAAATAATAAATAATCCAGGGTGGCTTGATTTAAATGAGCGTTGGGAAACCTTTTCCCACCTGAGGGCCGCATTCCCTTCTACACAACCTTCTGGGGTCCACATGCCAGTAGGGTCAGAAGCAAAATCGGGCAAAGCAACAAATGTACATTTTACCTTTGTAGAGGAGGCTAGTCTTCACATATACTCTCTATCTTCCATCCAGACAAGCAAAAGGCATTGTCAGAGTTCTGGCACATCTCAAGTGGGTGCCATTGCCATTATAAAGAGAACGAGGTGCACACGATTAGTTCTGGCACCTCTTTTTCTAGAAAAATGGCACTTGCTCAAGAACATATTTCAGCCAGGGGAAAAATACACTCAAGGAGGGCACGAAGCAAGGCCAACAAGGGATGTGGCCTGAGGATAGAGGGTGTGACCTGCAGAGAGTCCCAAAGGCCAGACAGAGGCCTGAGGGGCTACATTTGGCCCTATAGCCTGAGGTTGCCAACTCCTGATTTGAACCACTGTAGTTTGCTAAGGGTGCTGAGAGTTGTGAGAAGACCCCCTTTCCTCTCACAGAGCTACAGTTTTCCTCTCACAGAGTCACAGAGCTACAAAGTTCCCTGGAAACAGGGCTTAGGTGTTAAGCCATTCTGGGAATTGTAGGTCCGTGAGAGAACAAGGAGGGTCTCCTCACAACTCTCAGCACTCTTAACAAACTACAATTCTCAGGATTCTTTGGGGGGAAGCCATGACTGTTAAAGTGGTTTAACAGGGCTTGAAATGTATTGGGTGGGGCAATATCAGTTTTGTCGTTCTTTATGACAGTGGCAATGACAGACTATTATCTTGTGTACTGCCCTGAGATTTTTGGGCAAAGGGCGGTATATAAATTTAATAAATAAATATCATTATTTTATTAATTAACATGGAATACCAATATGTGATCTTGTGTGAATGGCATTTAGCATTACCCTTTCGCATCCCACTACTTAAACAGAATTGAAGTTCTTCAGGTTTCTTAGACGAGGTTAAGATCAGCTGAAGTTAAACCAAACCCAATTCCTGCATTTGTTTCTTGACCACCCCAAAGTTCCTTGTCTTTGTTTCCATTAAACATCCACCAAGTAAGAATAAGAGAAAACTTTCCTTTCTGAGAGAGAGAGGGAGAAGGAACCCTGGTTTTTAACGGCTCCATTTCCCCCATTTTCTCTGTGCTCCGTGCATTAAGTTGACATGGTACAGCCACTTTGCAAGGACTGTGCCACCTCAGAAACAGCTGTCAAAATGGCCCTAGCCCTGTTCAGCTAAGAATAGCTTGGTTAGTTCTGGGCCTACTTATCACATCACCCTCTAAGTGGGTTGTAAGGGGAACTAGCACCAGTTCCCCTGAAAATGACAGGCTCTAAGCTTATACATATTGCTTATCTAAGCAGTGCCAGAAACCCACACGGGAAAAGGATCCGACCACAATTCCCCCACCCCCACTGAGTCACAATTATTCTCCCAAACACACACAAATGGGTCCAGGAGTATCCTTTGTACACACCATAGAAGAATCCTGGGAACTGTAGTTTGTTAAGGGTGCTGGGAATTATTCCTCTGTAGGAGGAAACTACAGTTCCCAGGATTCTCTCGGGGTGTGCGCTTTAAATATATGTTGTATATGCAAGCTGAGCTGGATATCAACCTCTTTCAACAAGAAAAGCAGTGAGGGAAAACATCTTGGAAGACTTACTTAACTTATCCACAATCTGCAGCATTATGCCGCCGATATGCATGTTGCCGGTGACCCGGAGGGTGACTGGGTCAGCTTCGGGTCCCAGATCTTCCACAAAGGCTCTGAGCTCCCAAGAGTCATCAATGTATTCCCCACTGGCTGTTTTCAACCCAGCCATGGTGAGAGCCCTAGAGAGCAGAGGATACAAGGGTTGAGGGAAAGAAAAAGCACCGACAGTTCATTTCCAGGCTCAATTCAAGAAGCTCATGCTACCAAGCCTTAAACCTGTAGCAGGAAACCATTTTCATACTGGGGGCCACATTCTCTTCTGGGTAACCTTCTGAGGGCCACATGCAGGGGCACCAATTCCAGGGGGCCTGGGCACCCACAAATGTGTTTCTGTGGGTGCTCAGCCTCCAATTCCCCCCCCACACCGCTGCCTGCCGCCACAGTAGATGGAGTTCCTTGGGAGGAGGGACTGAGTCTGAGAATTGTAGTTCTGGGAGGGGAATGGGGGGGTGTGTGTCTCCTAACAACTCCCAGCACCCATAACAGACTACATTTCCCAGGATTATTGGGGGGGGGGAGAGCCAAGACTGTTTACAGTGGAATGATTCTGCTTTAAACATAGAGTAGATGAGGTCTACAGGGGAAGGAATAGCATAGTTGAATACTTTTGTGTCAAAACAAAAGACAAAACCACTCCTGGAAATTTTATTTTTTTAAACCGAAGCCTAGCATATTGCAGGGTGCACTGTGCAATGCACTCTCCATATTTACAACCTGCAAGCCAGGTTTGACAAGTTACCCATTTCTTCCTGTGTGGTTGGGAAATCAAGCAGTATAATCTTCCATGCGCCCAGAGCAAGGCTCACTCCTACCAGCAGGATGGAACAGAACTGGGTAAGACACTTCCTGTCAAAGGCCTTGTCTAGACTGCTATAATCTCCAGCTTTCTTGTCTTCCTTCCTTTCTTGGTACTATGATGTCTCCTCTCCAGTTGTGCTAAATTTGCCTTTTGCTCATGTTACAATGAGTCATGATGGACCCAAAGCCTTGACTATGAGCTGCGTGGAATGCTGCCCTTCAAGCTTCTAGTCCTCTCTGAACTCTCCAAACTAAGTGCATTGTCCCCGATGCCCCAAAGGTGGCAGAACAAGGCCACCGATAGATTGTTCAGGTGTGCTGCGCGGCAGGTGTGGGGAACCTTTGGCCAAACAGATGCTGCTGAACTCCAGTCCCATCATGCACAGCCATTGCCCATGCTTTCTGGGGCTGACGAGAGTTGTTCAGTGGTACCTCAGGTCACAGACGCTTCAGGGTACAGACGCTTCAGGTTACAGACTTCGCTAACCCAGAAATAGTACCTTGGGCTAAGAACTTTACCTCAGTATGAGAACAGAAATCGCGCGGCAGCGGGAGGCCCCATTAGCTAAAGTGGTACCTCAGGTTAAGGTGGTGAAGAAGAAGAAGAAGAAGAAGAAGAAGAAGAAGAAGAAGAGGAGGAGGAGGAGGAGTTTGGATTTGATATCCCGCCTTTCACTCCCCTTCAGGAGTCTCAAAGCGGCTAACATTCTCCTTTCCCTTCCTCCCCCACAACAAACACTCTGTGAGGTGAGTGAGGCTGAGAGACTTCAGAGAAGTGTGACTGGCCCAAGGTCACCCAGCAGCTGCATGTGGAGGAGCGGAGATGCGAACCCGGTTCCCCAAATTACGAGACTACCACTCTTAACCACTACACCACACTGGCTCTCTAAGAAGAACAGTTTCAGGTTAAGCCACACTAGCTCTCTAAGAAGAACAGTTTCAGGTTAAGAACGGACCTCCAGAATGAATTAAGTTCTTAACCCGAGGTACCACTGCAGTTCAGCAATATCTGGAGGGCCACCTGGGTTAATGCCAAGGAATGCAACATGACAGGAGGCGGTGGTCACATCCACACCATATATTTAAAGCACATGGATTTCCCCAATGAATCCTGGGAATTGTAGTTCTTTAAGACTGCTGGGAATTGTAGCTCTACAGTTCCCAGGATTCTTCTGGGGGGAAGCCATGACTTTCAAAGTGGTATTCCCATTGTGCATTAAATGTACAGTGTGGATATGACTAGTGTTTAAAAGGGGGATGCAGGTGGAGTTGGACTACACTCCCACAATCCCTGACTATTGGGCCAAGGTAGCTGGGGCTGATGGGAGTTGGAATCAAAGAACATCAGGAAGGCCACAGACATTCCCCGTTCCTGCTTCACAGCAAAAACATAGCAACAAACCCACTCACAGTAAATAAATTCATGACATTGCATGGGTCACAGCCCTGTGACTATCATGCCCAGAATCTGGTGAAATATCTGTTCATTTTGCTACGGTAGTCAAGGGCGATTCTTGCTAATCTTACTTGGCAACCCTGACCAGGGTTACCAAACATTTCATGCTCACACTGAAATGAGTGAAACATCATTTTAAAGAACAGCCAGTTAGCAAGTTTCTTTTTGCCCCTCTAAATTTATAGCTTTGTTCCAAGAGATCCAAAACATGCACAACCCCGTTAGGTTAGGTTTAGTCCAGCGTCCTGTTCTGACAGTGGCCAACCAGCTGCCTCAGTGGGAAGGAAGCCCACAAGCAGGACCTGAGCATGACAGCAACTCTTGGGTAGCTCAGAACATGAGACTCTAAATCTCAGGGTTGTGGGTTTGAGCCCCATGTTGAGCAAAATATTCCTGCATTGCAGGGGGTTAAACAAGATGACCCTCATGGTCCCTTCCAGCTCTACATTTCCATGATTCCCACCTGCTCTTCCCAGAAACTGATATTTAGAGGCAGAACCGGCTGGTGATCCTGATCCAGGCCGAGAGCAAATTTGGTTTCTGCACGGTCTGCCGTGAGTGGGAGGCAGGAGTGTTTAGAATGAATATAATCCAACCAGCATTGTGGAATGTGCTTCCTATTACTGGTCTTTCAATTATCATCTTTAGCCCTATTTTTTTGCACTGCATGTGACTTTCCTTTTGGGGTGATGGTAACGTCTGTCTGAGTGGCAAGGGGTTACCATTATACTGTCCCAATTTTGACATCCATTCCAGTAGTCATGGGCAGGGAGATTACCGGTATTATTTGTGGGGTAAGACTCCTCATCACTGTTTCCAGCCTCTCCACTTCACAAGAAATCGCTGGATGCCTTTCTACCGAGCCCTCTGTTGTGGCAGTGCTAGTACTGAATGGCAGGTCAGTCCAAAGCAAGACCATAGTCATCATAATGTGATTGCAGATGAAGGGGCAGATCTGCCATGGACCACTAAGACCTGGGAGTGCGGGGTGAGCTTGGTGGGTCTAACCTAACTGCACTGCGCCTTCCTGGGTACCTGGTGCAGCACCAGGTCCAACTGGAAGTTTGGAGATGGAGCTGCCCATAGGAGCTCCCATCTCCTCCATTAGGAAATGTCTTGATCTCAGGGCAAGCATACAGGGTCTGTGTCTAGTGTTGGAGCAGAGATACAAACTGGGGATGCTGCGGACTGAACTGGCCCAGGTGGATTTTAATCTGATGTGGGAGGATGCCAGGACATTTGTGATTTTAACATCCACCTGGAGGCTGTGGGGGCAGCTCAGGGCTTGATGGCCTTCACAGCCACCCTGAAGTGATCAATGACCCAACACACCAAGCAGAGCGTATGCTCGATGTAGCTTTTGCCTTTAGTGATGTGGTAGGTGGTCTGAAGTGGTGTCCGTGTGCTCTGCTCCCCCCTAATTAAGTCTGGATTGGTGGTGGCAATTTGGCCCTGCAGGGGTGGTGGACCTGTGCAGATGGTCTGCCCTTGGAAAAAGGGATGGGTTCCTGGGAGATCTTCCAGCAGAGAAACCAGATGATCCTGTCGAAGCCCTGGTCTTGTTGGGGAATGGCGAGATGAGACGGACAGGAGTCAGGATCATCCTTGAGCTTGTTTTCCAGCATTACACAGCCCAGCTGGCTCCCTGGTACTTTTGGGAGCTAAGGGCTATGGAGCAAACTGGATGAAGAATAGAGTGGCTAAAAAGGAAGGGCAGCTGGGCCAAAATCAGGGGAACTGGGACTGAGTAGCCTGTTCCTGTCCAGTTCCAGTATTGTTGGTGCTTAGGTTGCATACACACCAGTTCCTGGGAATTGTAGTTTAAGGATCCTGGGCCCTATGGCTCTCTGAGGGATAAACCAAAGTTCCCAGAATTATTTGGGGGAAGCCATGTGCTTTAACTACCAGTATATGGTGTGTATGCAAGCCGACGTCACACGTTTGTTCCATCCCATTTTGTTCAGACTTTTTGAAAGAACTCACAGAAAACTCACATTTAAGTTTTATGCGTCTCATACACGCTTTACACAAAATACACATTTCCCCTCCAAATCTTTTCAGTTCATTTTCCTGTAAAGTACACTTTTTGTACACTTATTTTTTCATTCGATGTATTTCTGTGCACGCATCAAAACTGTATTGCAAAATTCAGAGGAGTGTGCAATCTGATCGGGAATTGCACTACAGTCCACAGACAAGTTGAGTAGCATTGGATTGGGTCAGTCCACTAGAAAAAGTAGAACAAATTTCTCCTTCCCCTTCATTTGTAAAGCATATATTTTTACATTTTGCTTATGGGGAAACAACGTACAACTGCTGGTAAGACCTCACCATCCATCATCTTAATTTGACCCAGTGGCAAACAAACCTATAAATTTGCAGTGCCCAAAGACGTTTGAAGTCATTTTAAGCAACACCCCCCCAGACACATACAATCCACCATCATCAAGTGTCAGCTATTATTACAACCGTTTCCAGGAAAACCCACAAGCTCTTTAGCATATTATTAAGAGCAAAGGTGACCCTCCTCTTCTTTACAAGTGGGCACAGTAAGAAGTGGGATCCTAATCTCTCTCTCTCTCTCTCCTGTGCGTGGGTGGTGCCATTTTGGCCCAACAGGGATTGGTGCTCACACCCTGAGCGTCAGAAATAGAAGGAAGTAGCGGCATTTCACTTCCTCCAGGGCAAGCGACTGGGTATTTTACAGGGGATGTTCCCTTTGTGCTGGATTAAATAACCTAGAGAATAAAATAGCACAAGTACTATAATGCTCTCTAAGAGAAATATGAACTGGAGATGAAGAGGTCTCCTAGCATTTTTTAATGTGCTTACTTTATCTCGGGTCAGCTTGCTGATAAATGCACAGGAGGCAGGGTCGGTACGGCCAGCCTGCCAAAATGCTTAAACGGTAGAAGGATCCTCAGAGATACGCAGAGTAAGGCAAGTCAGCATTTAAATCCCCTGTGAAGTCCTGCTGTAGTCAACAGTTTTAACCAAACAACTAGGATCCAGAGCGAAATAGCTGAACTAGAATTTATCACCAAATTTGATTCCAAATTATTCGGGATTCATAGCCAATGCTCTCCCATCCACCCTGCAACACGAGATTTAAAGTCAGGTGGATTTGTATTATTGCCAGTCTCTTCCGATGTGAAAGATCACTGTGCTTACAGTGGTCATTAGACTTTTGTGCAGAATTACCACAGGCTAGAATAAACTCTTCCGTTCCAGAGTTTCTTTCCCCCTACTGTTTGCTACTTTACTCTCTATGCCAAGTACAAGGATGGGCTATCTGTGGCCTGCTGCATGTTTGCTGGACTCCAGCTCCTATCATCCTTGACCATTGGTCATGCTGGTTGGGACTAATGGGAGATGGAGTCTAACCATGCCAGGAACGGTGGCAGAATCTCCATCCCTGCTGAGGAGAACATGTGAGGAAGTGTGCTCTGACCTACATAGGCTTCTCCCACAAAATAAAGAACAGCCCTGTTGGAGGAGATCAATGGTCTATCCAATTCAGCATTCTGCTTCCCACAGTGGAAAACCAGATACTTCCAGGAAGTCCACAGGGAGGGCTGGAAAGCAATCCCTCTCTCCTGTTGCGGGGCTCCTAGTTCAAGTGATGGCTCCACCATTGTTGGACTTCAGTGGAGAGGCCCCATGGGTTTGTGCATAAGTGAGCCTGTCTAGGAATAGTTGAGAGGCGGAGGAGGAGCTTCCTCTTCTTAATCTGTCAAAACTAAACCTGTAAGCCATAAACCAGATAAGAACCCTACCTTGAGGCTGCGGTCTCTACGCAAAGAACTCTTTGGACACCAGCGTGGACCAGGAAGAGGGTTCGGGGATTTCTGTGGACTGCTCAGTTGACTTGTTGGCGTTTCCAAAAGGCCCCTCAGCTCAGGGCGTTTCTCTGCACTCCCCCACCTCTTATCAACTTCCTCCCTGCCTGTGTGACACACACACACCGGAACTGCCACTTGCTCAAAAGTGGAAGTCATTTTTGCAACCTCGTGTTTGCTCTGAGCAGGAAGCTTTTATAGCTCTGTGGGTGGGTCAGGCACTCGGCCAAGCACAGACTTGCCAGGATTGTTTAGAGCTGTATTTCAAACACATACCCCTCAACACATATACGTACCTGCGACCAGGTCACGGCTTCCGTTTTAACAAGATGTGCAAGCAGGGGACAGCAGCCTGCCCCCTGTTGGCTACAAGGGGTAAGAGCACCCAATCTTGGGGCTATTTAAAAAACAAAAAACCATTAAGGGAATGCTTTTTACACACACACAAAGGTAGATGGGCTGGATGAACATCTGCAGCAGAATGATTGTGCACAATGGTCAATATTAGTTCAAGACTGCAGCTGGGGGGAATTGTTTTTGAGTGTGGCCATGTAAAACACACACACACACACACAGCGCCTTGCAAACAGAAAATCAGCACATCCGTCAAAGGGCTGATGTGCTACTTTTATACACACAGTGGAATTTTCTTGACACAGGGAAGTACAGTGGTACCTCAGTTTACAAACTTAATTTGTTCTGGAAGTCCGTTCTTAAACCGAAACAGTTCCTAAACTGAGGCGCACTTTCCCTAATGAGGCCTCCCGCCGCCGGTGCCCTTCCACCATTTGGATTCCATTCTTAGGTAAAGTTCGCAAACTGGGACACTACTTCCAGTTTTGCGGAGTTCGTAAACCGAATTGTTCGTAAACAGGACTGTTCTGAAACCGAGGTACCACTGTATTGAAAATAGTGTCTCCTCCTCAGCTGCCACATTTTGCCCCACATGTTCATCGAGGCTGCAATAGCATGAAGGTGTCACGTGAAGTATTGGGGACAACTCATGAACACAACTGTGGACAGAACTGTGCATAGTTTCCTAGCAAAACAGTGGTAAATTCTGGGCCACAGCAACCACAAATTCGGTTACCAGGAAACCGATAAAACACAAATAATGGAGATAAGTGAGCATGACTCCCTTCCATTTCCACCCTCCATCCCAGGAGTCAGCCAGCCACTCACCCCCCGCAAATGTTAGAAAGAGAAGGCATGATATTAATGAAGTTTACAGGCATTTTTTTATTATTATTATTTCCTTATTGCACATACTTTATTCCACTGATAGCATTCAGGGCAAGGGACAAAGTTACTTTATTTTATTTATTAATTTACCACTTTTGATCAAAAGATCTCGGGGCAATGAAGCCTTACTATTGAAATGATAGCTCACTCTCCTCTTTCCTCCCATCAAGCAGCCAAATTTATCATCAAATAGCAATTTCTGAACTCCTCCACAGTTAAAAAGGAATAAAGAAAGCTTAGACCTGACCTTATATTGTAGACTGCACTAGAAAGTCTTTCAAGAGTGCATTCCATATCAACAAGCATTCTAAATGGATCTCTTAGCCCAGGTGGCATCTGCATTGAATTTTAATTGATTTTAACGCATGCACCATTATTGTTTTTTTAAAAAATAATGTACATAAAAATGTTCTTTTTTTAAAGAAAAACATTTTATATGTGCAATTGCTTTAACTGTTTTGATATATTTAACTGTCGTATCTGTTTTTATTATAATATAAATTGTTTGGGATACCTCATAGGAAGCAATTAATAAATTAAATTTTAAAATGGTTTGTACAACTAACCTTGTTTTCTTTAAAATTCACCCCAGCATTTCTAGATAGCCTTTACCTAGAAATTTGTAGTTCTTTGACAAGATGGTGGTGGAAGTGTACAGCTGGTATATAAAACTCTAGATAAACACAGTGCTTCCCTCCTGGAGGTATTCAAGGGTACACAGTACCAGCAACCCCCCCCCCCCCCCCAATGTTAAAAGTGTGACGCCTCTGTAACGACTTCATGGTGAGCCCTGGCACCTTTTTCTTCTTAAAAACATTCTACTAAAAGGTCTTATACCAGTGACACAATGGTGACCTTGATAGTCTTTGGAACTGGCATGTGGGCTAGAAGCAAATTTTTTGACAGAAGGAAAACCACCAAATCTGATATTGGGTCAGAATTTTTAAACCCACCCCGAATTTCTAGCCATTGTGGCCACAAAGGCACACTTGAGAACAGATGGGTCACGTCAGGTCAGGCCTGGGGAATTTTCAGAAGCCTAAGGGGTTTGTGAGAAAGCATTGTCCCTTGTATAACTGGCACACTTTTCACAGCCAGCAAGAAGCAGATTTAAAATCTCCCAGAGCCAGATGTTGCAAAATCCTATCGTGCAGAATTTGGCATCTTACATGATGGACCCAAGTAGACGGATGTTTTTCTTGTTGCAACGTTTGGATTCTTCAATCGCACTCCTGTTTGTTATTTGGCTTGTGAGATGAAACACTTCCGCTTCCGAAGTAAATGCCAGTAGGAGGAGGTTGGCACCGGTTAGAGAGAGCAACCCCCGCCTCCCACTCTTGGAACGTTTTCTACTCTCTCCATTGCTGCTTTGGCTGATGACACAGAGGCCCAGCCCCGGCTCATGTGTTTCAGCTGCGCAAGCTCAAGACAGGAGCCATGAGGTGGCAGTGATGAAAGTAACAGCTAGGGCTGCGGTTCCCCTTCTGAAGGGAGAGCTTCCAGCGAGGCTTCCTCCTGCAGCAAGCAGAATGCAGGCTTGCTATTTATAAGCCCTGTTTGGGTTCCTTAAAGGCAGGGAGGGGGGGTCAAGCAGAAAGCAGATCAGCATCTACGGGAAGAGGTGGGTGATTTGCAGTAGCTCAGCAAGAGTTTTGAACTGGCAACATCTTAACGCCAGATGGGGAGCCTTTCTCATAGCCATATTCCCTTCTGGGGGCTACATGCCGGTGGCAGACAGGGCCAGAGGGAACAATGCATATCAATCCAGGGTTGCCCCCCCCCCTTTGATCAGCTGCCTAACCAGCTGTTCTAGGGCACAGTCATTCAGGGTCTCCAGTGGTGGTTTTTTTTTTTGTCCTGGTAAAACCTGCATTTTCTTGCTGAATTGGAGTAAACAGCAATCCACAGAAACTCGGTTGCCAATTGCTCTGATTCAACAGTAAAAACATGAGTTTTCTTGGGGAGAGCACCAGGACCAAAAAAACAAAAACTGCACCCCAAAACCCCACTCGGATATGGAGCTTTAAAGCCTGCACCTGCACCTAGAAAGATAGCACAAAAGGAAGGCCGGTTAACCCTGAATTTGGCTTTCAGAACCTCACGATCTGATAATTTCAATGCATATTGGTTTGCATATAGCAACAGGGAGGGATCTTCCCATATCCCTCCACCTTCTCATTCTTTGTTATGGCAGGGGTATTTAAACGCCATCCAATAGTCAGTAAAGCATGACTGGAATTTGGTACACTGGCTTGCCGTTATTTTATTCTGCAACACTGTACTTTTTCTCAGTTACATGTATTTTTTATGCCTACATATTCTTGTATAATAATAATAATAATAATAATAATAATAATAATAATAAACAAACCAGTACATTTCCCTTTGTCATTGGTGCCAATACGCACCACTGCCACCACTCCTCTCCAGCACTTTCTACAAGGCTACTGAGGGAATATACAACACCTGCAACCTTTGCACTAGGCAGGCAATTCACCCTGTGGTCTCTATGCCCACTACAGACCCAACTATCTATGTTCCTAATGATTCAATTGTCTGCTACCATGATCCCTCCATCCCACAGCGATGTGTCCTCAGCAGAGGATAGCTGTGCTCCTCCAAGGAGCTGGGTCCATTCTAAGGGAACCATGCTCTCTGTCCTAGGCTCTCCCTCTCCCTGACAGCAAGGGAGCTATGAGAGTGGAAGTGGGACACAGCTATAACTTCCCTAAAGGTCTCACCCACCAACTTTGCTGCCTCTCTTAGCTTTCCCAAGTCCGTCACCTTGGCATCAAAGGAATGAACTTGCTCCCAGAGCCAGGAGCTCATTGTACCTCGGACACACGCCTAACTTCTGTCCAAGAGGAAGATAAGCATGCATGCTACCAACAATGCAAAACACTGGAAAGCCCCTACACATTTTACCTGCAGAACTGTTTTGTAGTTTGACATTTCTCAAAAATCAACATCAAATGCCTAGATATAGCTGTGATTTTTCAGTTCTGCTTGTATTAAGAGACATAGACTGAAAAGATTCCATGGTGGTGTCTCTCAATGATACGAAACTTATGAATACAATTGTGGGGGACAGAAACACTTCAGGCCTATAGCTTTAGATTTCGGGGTGCAGAAAAAGATAAAGGCAGGGTTCTGCCCCACCTTATCTGAGTAACCAGCCTTCCCTGACTTTAAGTAAACCATTGGCATTTTCCCCAAACATGGGTAAATATTTGCAGTTATTTTCATTATCTATGCAGGTAACCCTTCAGAATTTCTTTAAAAGCTTTTTTTTTTAATTAAAAAAAAAGGCAAAGAAGATGCAGTCCATCTTACTGGTTGCTCCCAAATATGGCTCCTTCAAAGGTTTCTGACTTTTGGGCTACATTTATGGTCAATTCCTGGCCGGGGGTGTGTGTGTAGATGTAGGACAAAGCAGCAACTGTATGCTTGCCTGCTCCACTACAGGGCAGTTGAACTCTGGCACTGTTGCAATAAGAACTCCTACAGCAGAATTTAACAAGAAGCGTGTAAGAAATAAAAGGGGAAGCCTCGAAATGAATCATCCCGAGTCTGGAAAACATGAGCTGCTGGTGCAAGAAAGTTGTTGACAATTGAATACGCCCCCACACCCATCAGACACAGTGACTCACGTTCTGCATTTCACCCCTATTGGTGTCCTGCCAGTGACAGCAACCATGTCACCCACTTTTGAGTATCAGGGAGCCTGTTGGTTTAACGGGTGGCAATCCAAGCTTAGCAAACCATTGATGCTGTTGGAAATCAATCCCCATCATCCTAGACCATGGGCTAAGCTGGCAAGGAATGATGCGAGTTGCAGTCCAGCAACACCCAGGGAACCAAGGTTGAACAACACAGGTGTAAAGCGTTTGTTTTCTCTAGTCAAATAGTTAAGAACTCAGCCTATAGCTGCTCACAGAAATGTTTAGCTCAGGAACAGGAAACCTGCAATCCTCCGGATGTTGCTGGACTCCCAGTTCCCACCATCCCTGACCACTGGTCATGTTGGCTGGGGCTGATGGGAGCTGGAGCCCCACATTTAGAGGGCCACTGCTTCCCCATCCCTGTTTTTAGTTCAAATGTGGGGGTCTAGTGCGTGCTGCCCTCTAGATGCTGTAATTAAGGGGGGGACAGAACAGGAGAGGCTACCCTCCTGGGCCCAGGGAATTGATCAGATACATTAAAGGGCTTTTTTCTCTGTCCCCCTCAAGACCCCACTTCTTTCATAGGTGGTGACAAAAAGAAAACAAATGCGGGCAGAGAGGCTTAAATCTCTGTGCAGTCCAGCCCCCTCCTTGGTCATCACATCCATCATTTGATGAGTAAGGAGGGGGTGAAAACCTGCCTCCTCTGCATGCAGCTGTGGAGGGGTGGGTAATTTTAGAAGCCACACCTTTCTGCGTAAGCAAACAGTTCAAACTTGGAAGTCCCCGATTAAAGTATGGTTGGAATAGGGAACCTTTAGCCCTTCAGAAGTTGTTGGACTACAACTCCCATTATCCATGACCAATAGGCCACGCTGACTGGCATTCATGGGAATTGGGAGTCCAACAATATGTCAAGAGCCACAGGATCCTTCTCTGTGAAGTATGCCATTAGACAAATCCACAGAATGGTCATAGGGAAGTCAAGTCTTCTCTCATCCTCAGGCTGATTATGCCCCTAACCAAAGAATATAAACAAGCAGCCCGCAGCTGGGCAATGAAAACTGGAGGAATTTAGAAAGGAAAGCACATCAACCCCCCTTAAAGACCTGGCAGGCTGGAGAGAACCCAGACCACCTAGACAGATAAATTGCTACAGTGCTATTGGGTGTTTGGCCATCCTTCAAGATTCCTGGAAGATTAGGCACCCCCTGCAAGCCCCAGAGGTCCTTTAAGGTGCCTTAAAAATCAAGCTACTATTTTCCTTAAGCAGAGTCTAGCAAAGGGCAAGGAACATGTCCTTGCTTAATGCAAGAGTAAGGCCAAAGTTGACACTATTTCCTGGCTAATGTCAACATTTCTACAGCCCTTAATATTAAGTACTTAGGTAACACTTCAGTGAAATCTCAGAAGTCAAAGAGTTAAGATTTCCACTAATTGAGACATGTATTTCAGCGCCATATAGGACTAAGGGGTGACTCATGCCCTTTTCCTGGATACTCCACTGTCACTCACCACCCCAGACATGCACCATTCTGTGGTCACTGAGCACACTCAGACCTCATTCATCTAGCTGGGGATATTTTTCAATTTTTGGTCCCTTTACAAACATGCATTTCCCAAGCCTGCCTCCCCTTCGTGTGTGGACAGTACTTTTTTTCTAAAAAAATGTTTCAGGGTACTCTCATTTTGACTCAAGAAAACCACCATTTTATAGTTCAAATCAGGAAAAATAAATACAGTAAATGGACAAAAGTACAAAGATTCACAAAATGTTTAGGGGTATGCGTACCCCTGCGTACCCCCAGAAAAAAAGCACTGTGTGTGGATGGTATTGTTTTGGTCAAGTTTGGAGAATGAGCTTGCAATAAAACAGCCTATGGACTTTACGCCGAGTACGCACAGACCTAACTGCTATCAGTCTAGTTCAGAGATGGGGAGCCCGTGGTCTGCCATTGTTAGCCTTCCCACTCCAATTAGTCCCAGCCAGCGTGGACAATCGCTAGGAATGTTTGTTTGCTCCCACAAGAGGCAGTTATGGCCACCAACTTGGGGGGTGTTTAAAACAAGGGTTAGACAAATTCACAGAGGGAAGTGGGATTGATGGCTACTAGCCACAATGGCTATATTCTTCCTCTACTGCTGGAGGCAGCATGCCTCTGAATGCCAGTTGCTAGAAACTGCAAATGGGGAGAGTTGATGACATACTTGGGTCCTGCAGGCGGGCTGCGCATTGGGACAACTGGCTGGCCATTGTGAGAACAGAACCCTAGACGAGATCAAGTTAGTGATCTGGTTTGAAGAAGAATCAAGATGTCCACAGGAAGGTATTGAAGAAATCACGCTGCCAGAGACCATCTATGCTTGGAAAAGCCAAAGGCCTCGTGCAGACATGACTGCAGAAGCCACCTTTGATTGCCTGCTACGGGTGAGAGTGCCAGCATGCACATGCTCAGACCAGAACCTTGACATGAACGGAGGCGACTCGGGAAGCCAAGGCCACTAACTTTGCTTTTTTATTGGATGTGCAGCAGACGACAAAAAAAATGCAGCCTCACAGCCAAAAGAAACCAGACAAATGAACAAGTGATGCGCTTTCTCCACGCCACAGCCATCGGCAAAGATAATTAAAAACTTGGGAAGGGGGAGCGGGGAGGGAAAGAAGAGAGCAGCTCACAAATGGGAATAACTGCTGAGTGGCAGAGCGATGGGGCCACAATGACTGAGAGGCCACGCCCTGTGCTGGCAGGGTGCTTGATGTGAGCACACACGCATGTATATGTGCGAGAGAGACTAACACACCGCTCAACTGTACAAGTCTCTGCCTCTGACAGAGGGGGTGGGGGCGCCCTTGGACTGCGTTGCCAGCATCCAGAAGTCCCAGCTGCCCTTTTCAACAGGGGAAGGAGGGAGGGCGCAGAGTCAAAATCATCACCGAATTGCGATCAAACCAACATCCATGAGCTTCTGGATTTTCTGAGCAATGACGGGATTCTTCAAGTGTCTGTGGGAAAGGAAAAGAGGAGAGTTGTGTCAAGTCAGGACCTTTGCCCCCACTGTGAGGCTGAACCATGGGATGGGAGAAACTGGCAGCCCTCCAGGTGTTGCTGGACTTCAACTCCCATCAGCCCCAGCCAGCATGGCCAAATGTCAGGAGCGATGGGAGCTATAGTCCTGCCACACCTGGCTCCCTCTCCCTGCCATAGTGGGATCCTTTTATCAGCATCAAGGCAAGGTTTCACTGCAAGCAACTGACCAGAGGGTTTCAGAGGCCACAGGGCAGCAAGGTGCAACTGGGCACTGCACTGTCAAAGCCAACACACACGTCCAGTCCAGTGTTTCACAAACTTGGGTCTCCAGCTGTTTTTGGACTACAATTCCCATCATCCCTCACCACTGGTCCTGCTAGCTAGGGATGATGGGAGTTGTAGTCCCAAATAAACTGGAGTCCCAAGTTTAGGAAACCTTGGTCTAGTCTTTATGGATGCGTTCTTCAAAGCTTACCTCCACATCATTTTTTATGCTGAAAAAGCCCCCCTTGGCTTATACTCAAGTGAGGGTCCTTTCGGGCTGCTCCTTCCCCCTCCTCCACCTTTGCTGCTGGTGGCAGCGGAAGAACAAGCAGCCCGAAAGCACCCAGGTTTGTGGTGTGGTAAACCGGCTTATACTCGAGTCAATAAGTTTTCCCAGTTTTTTGTGGTAGAATTAGGTGCCTTGGCTTATATTCGGGTTGGCTTATACTGGAGTATATACGGGTATTACGTTTATATCTCAACTCCCCGCCCCCCTGCCCCGCAATGCCAAAGGACCTCAAAGTGGTGTACATAGATTTCCCCTCCCCATTTTATCCCCAGTGTCTCCCTGTGAGTTAGGCTGAGAGACAGTGACTGACCCTGAGTGACACAGCAAGTTTCATGGATACACGGGGATTTGAATCCAGGTTCTAATCTGACACATTGTTTGTTGGTTAACTTGTTGCCCTGCAGATAACTGCTGAACTACAAAAGTCCCATGAGCATCTGGCCAGCATGGCCAATGGCTGGGGATGATGGGAGTTTTTTGTTCAGCAGCATCTGGAGGGTCAAAGGTCAGCCACCCCAGCAAGACACTGTCTTGCACATCTTCTCTCTCAACGTCTCTACTTCTCATGTCTCTCATGGCACCACACTCCAAATCTCAGAAACTTTTAACATTTCTGAACGTTTAAGAAGTTCTCAACTGAATCCAGAACAGAAGCATGCAAAATCAGAAGAAATGCAAAACAATTGGCCTACATGCTGATCTGTGCTTATTGCTAGACTGCTAAGTGCTCTGTGTCTTTAGTGGCCTTCAACGTCAAACATTCCACTTATAAACTAGAACTTCACTGCCTGTGAAGACAACATGAGGTGGACCAGCACATCATCTGAGCCACCACACAGGCTATGTTAAGAGCCATCACACTACCGTCCACACTGGTGCTTTCTCCCTGCCCTCACTTACTCGCTTAGGGCTTGTGGGTCTTTCTGCATCTGTTCAAGGATCAGCCTCATGGCCGGGTCACTCATGATCTGCTGCACCTCTGGGTCGGCCATGGCACGGCGCTTCACATCCTCAGGGTTGTCATTGCGGTTGTACTGGGACATGAGGCATCGCTGGTAGCCCTCTGTAGCTTCCTGTAGGAAATAGGCAGGACCATGAGGGCACGTCAAGATGGGTGTTTCCCCGCCCTCCTCCCTTGAATATCTTCACACTAGCAAAATTCTTATTTCTCTGCATTGTTTTTGGCTACATGGCTTCAAGGCGTGATGGAGGGAAAGTTATTCACCACTACCCCCTTGTGGGCCGTGAAAATTGTAAAGATAGATTCTGCGTAAGGATTGCAACAACCTTCCTGGTGCCCCCTAGAGGCTGCTGGACCACAACTCCCTTCATGCCTTTACCACTGGGACCACGCTGGCTGGGGATGATGGGAGTTCAGCACCAGCTGAGGGGCACCAGGTTGGGGGAGGCAAAAATAGAATCCTCTCCATCCCCAAATTATACCTGAACATTTCTGACTCACCCAATGAGATTGATGGAAAGCAGATTTAGGATACAAGAACATACTTCATAGAATGCATTATTAATTTGTGGGATTCACTGCCACCTGATGTGGTGATAGCCCTTGTCTTAAAATAGGATTTTTAAAAATCAGGGAGGCCAATTAACAGCTATTAGCAACAATGGCTAAATGGAAACTTCATGTTCCAAGGCACTGTATCTCTGAATACCACTTTTTTTTTTGGGGGGGGAGGGAGAAACAGCGTGTGCCCTGCTTGTGGATCTCCCAGAACATCTGGTTGGCCCCTGTAGGAAGCAAGAAGCTGGACCACATGAATCTTTGCTGTGTCCTAGAAGGCCTGTTACGTTCTTAGCAAAAACAGATGGGACAGATGAAGTGTGTACAGGTAGGAGGAAAGAAGCCAATTTGCTGAAAGTTCAGAAACACCCCATTTCCAGGAGAACTGATACCACCCCCCCCTTTTGAAGGCTGGACTTCACTGGAAAGGCCCTTCCTTCATGACCATGACGAGGTCAGTTTTAATTCCTTCCCACTTGCTATTACCTGCGTTTAAGGGAAGCTCTTTCCCATTTCTCTGCCACAGCTGTATATCCAGCAAGTGCTCACCTTGCAGTTGGAGTCCAGCTCAAGGGCTTTCTGGTAGACATCCATGGCTTTGGTATAATCTTTCATTGCTTCCAGTGCTGCTGCCTTGCGTGTGTAGCCTTTGACTGCAAGCCAAGAGCAAAAGTCATCAAACTTTTGAACTTATTTGCATCTTTTATCCTATTCCTTCATATATCTCAGTTTGAGTCACCCCACCCCCTTTGTTTATTCAAGCACCTTGTCCCAATTAAGTGCTCTTGCCCCTCTCAGCCCAGATACTGCCTGGTGTTATCTTGAAACAAGGTGCAACCCCCATCACAGTGGGATTTTGCAGATAACTGGCTGCTAAACCTAAACCAACTCTCCAACCATCCCTTAAGCTGCATAACCCCAAGCCCTTGCCTGATGACCTGTTCTTGCCTTTAACCTTCCCAAATCACTTCCTTCCAATTGACATATTCATGTACTTACTGAATGTGGGTTCCAGGCAGATACATTCTTCACAGTCCTGTGGAAGGAAGAGAAGCTGCTTTAAAAATCGATTTTTCAGAAATGAGCGCAAGGCTCATCTGTTCCTTCTCCAGCCATTCCCAGTCAGAAAAGCCTTCTCTCCATTTGCACCCCCGGATGCTTATGCCTCTGCTATCAGACTGCCAGGTTTGGGAATGGGAAGGTGGGCAGATGGGATGGAGGTAAGAACAATCCATCTCTACCGTTCCTAACCATGGAACCACACTGGGGGCCTAATTAGTCTGCCTAAGTGTGGGATTACCTTCAATTCCAGCAGGCTAGTGGTACCAAAGAATCAGAGATCACCTTCAGAACACCTCCCTGGAAAGGACTATAAAGCTACCAAAACCACATGGATTATCCTGAACCACCTACGGCTGTTTGTGGGTAGATTACAGGCACAACGCTAGCTAGGCCTTGTGCCAAGACACCTGAGCTTATTTCAAGCAGTTGCTTGCAAAGCAGCGATAGGGAACCTGCGGCCTTCCAAGAATTGCTGGATTCAAACTCCTATAAGTCACAGGGAGAATGGTCAGGGATGATGAAAGTTCTAGTCCATGACCATCTGGGGGACCAGAGGTTCCCTATCCCTGCTCCTAAGCCTAGTTCACATAAGTGGCAGATGAGGTGGCAAATTTGGGTCTGAACTTCAGATTGCAAAGGTCCTCCTTATAAAAGAGCTCACTGCAAAGAGAAAAGAAGCTGGACACCAACAATGTGGTTTCTTCCATGGCCAGATGACCCCAGCAGCTAGGAGTGATTCTTGCCAGTTTCAGCTGGTCCACCAGCTATGGCTGTTGCTGCATGGAAATAGCCTTACCATTGGTGACCTGCCCACCTGACAAAAGTTGGCCTGTGGTAGGTAAGAGTCTGGCTCACTGACTGAATTCAGTCCCCCACTTCTGGTGAAGACAATAGTAAGCATGATGGACTAATGGTTTGGCTCCATACCAAGGCAGCCTCCTATGCCTAGACCTAAAGTTTCTCTTAACTTCTGCGTTGAATTGTCTGCCACAGAGCTCCCAGCCTTGTAGAGGATTTGGGGTGAAATTTAAAGGGGCACATGTGCTGTGCAATGGGAGTGTGTTGTGAGACACAACCAACAGTCCCCTATATTTGGCAGAGGAAGGAAGATACAGGCAGAAAAGCCCCTTTCCAGGAAGTGTGCCCACCAAAACTAATCTAACACTGAGGAACCCAATGAGCTTCTGGTAAGAGCCCTTTCTCCCCAGAACAGAATTTGCACAACACTGGCCTAGGATCCTGACCTTTACTGCTAACTGGAACTCCAGCAATTTGGTGTAACAGGCAGCTCTGTTGCTGTACAGTTTGGCATCGTTGGGGTTGCGTTTGATGGCTTCTGTGTAGTGTTTCATTGCTTGTGGATAGTCCCCTGTGAGGGAAGAAGAATCATTAGCTCATATAGAGGTTTTTTGAAAGATCCAAATTCTCTTTTTTTTTTAAATGATATTTATTGAGAATTTTAAGGTTACAAAGAAATAAAAAGGAAAAAACAAGAGAGAGAAAAAAGGAAAGAAAAAAGTAGACAAAAGTAACAATTAAACAATACAAATCAGTAAAAACCAAAGTCAAAAAGAAAAAACAAAACACACAATACATCAAATTCAAAAAGCAAAAGTAAACAAAATTTTTTAAAAACAAATCCAATATTCCCAAATCCTTAACTGTCATTACCTTATTTCATCGACCTCCTCACACCTCCCTTTTTTGTATTCTAGTTATTAATTATCTCAGCAAATCCTTTCCATCTTTCACAATATTGTCATTAAATTACCTTAATCTATTTTAACCTTATCTTACCATAAAAAATCCTAAAACTTAAAACTTATTTATACCAAATTCTCTTAACCATTACATATTCTTACAAAAATTTTTTTAACATTTCTGCTAAAGCCCAATAATTTCATTCCAACGTTTTTCTAATACTCATTAATTTTACAATACTTTTCTAAATGAATTTTTAAAAATTTCTTCCAATCTTCATCCATCGTCTCTTCTTCCTGGTCTCGGGTTTTGTCAGTCCTTTCTATCCCATCCATCTAGTCCATCAACCTGGTGACCTTATGTCCGAGGCTCTTAAGTCTCTTCCATGTCCCTTCCGCAGGTCTTCTTCATATTTATACCTGTACTTTACTTTGTCTTCTGCTCCTTTCACTCGGGGAGACTCCAGCTTGACAATATTTTTGTCCCTTCTCGACACGTCAGCCCCTTTTCCATAGTCAACACTGAAATCCATGTGGTATGTGAAGGCATGTTTCGAGGCCCCTCCAAAGTTAGAGGCCCCCACAACTCCGAGCTCCCCCCAGCCCAAGGCCAGACTTGAAAAATCAAAATCAAAACATCCTTGCATGGGGGGGGGTGTCGATCCAGCCCCCCATCTCCAAAGCAAACAGAACTCCATCTCTCCAAATCTGACTTTTTCCAGGTTCATTCGTCAATTCCAACAACTCATGTTCCTGTTGGGCCACAGCTCCCTCCATCTCTGCCACCCGAGGTCCAGCAACAACCTCCTCCTTCATCTCATCTGTCAAAGCACATTCCTGAATTAATTCCTGAGTGGGTTCTATATAGGTACCCACTGCCTGTCCAAAATTTCCGATCGCAACAGTCATCAAATCCATCTTCTCATGTAACTGTTCCAATAAAGCACTTGTCTTGCAAAAGGCAAGCACCAGAGCCTCCGAGTACATTCTTGTTCATGGTCGAAGTCTGGTCCCACGATCTTAATCTATTACAGCTGCAAAGCTCCCCGAAAGATCCAAATTCTCCACACGTTATTTCAATAATCCTTACGAAGGACTGATTAGGCACAGCTAAGTGTGAACTCCATGCTAAGAGACAGTTGACATTCCCTCCATTTCCAACGTTTAGGCTGTGTGTGCAATTTCATGCCTAGCCAAAAAATAGCACCACCCACGGCAAAGAGGGAGCTATTGGCAGGCTTGGCAGAACCAACAAGTTTGCAGAAGAACAAAAACATTCTAAATGTTTGTATTGATAATAATGTTAACTATAACCTAAAGGGAAATCCCCAAAGGCAGCCTAATAAAGACTGGCCATACCATGGAATTCTGAACGGCTGGGGAACCAAAATGGAAAGGCAGGTGGGGCAAGGAATGGAACAGAGGTCCTGATTGATTGCTCCTGTTCACTTCTCTAGCTAGGAAGGGATGCTGCTTTCCAGGTCTGCTTCCTGGAGGCAATGGGTTAGCTACTGTGGGGAAGCAGGGTGCAGGACTAGATGCAGCAAGGCTTTTCTTGTGTCAATAACCATGTTAAGGTAGGTTAGCATTATCAACCCCATATTGTAGATTGGAGAGGGGGCAGTGTTGGGAGAAAGGAGGCTTATCTAAACCCACTTTGTGAGTTTATGGCCAGATGTGACTTGGGGCTCTTACAAAGTCTGCACATTCTTTACCAAAACATCAACTACGAAGGGAGGTCTGGTTCACCAAAGTAAGACTTTTGTTGAATTATATACCATTCTAACTGGAACGGTATTACTTGCTTTTATAGCTGTTTTTATTGATTGTTATACCTGTACATTATATGAAAGAAATTTTATACAGTGACAAGCAAAATACATTAGTTACATGGCTTAATATACTCTCAGTTCAACACATGCCCTTACAGAAACTCATGTCACTATGGACAGGATAGTTAGGCATCTGGGCCTATTTCTTCTGCAAAAATCGATCACTCAGCTACTCTCACCAGTATTTCCAAGACAGTCTCTGCAATTAACAAGTAGCCCCCTGCTTTTTGCAGTGGCTACCTTTCAGTACACAGAACAACAATGGACTTGCAAGCACAATCCCTTACCTTTCTGAAAACACTCATTGCCTTTGTTTTTCTCTTCCAGAGCAAGATCAGGATTTATATAGGCGACTCTTTCTTGCTCTTTCAAGATTTTCTCAGCCTGAAACAGAAAGTGAGCTTGAACAGTCCTGTCAGATCTGAGGCAGCAGATTTATGAAGCAGCTAAGCCTTATTGCGTGGATTCAAGGTGTCAGTGCTATTGGAAAATTTGGAGAGAGGGTCCCTATCCTTCCCCAGCAACCCTAACCTAAGAAGACTGATAGCCAACCTTTCAACTGTAAGCAACAGCACACCATATTATCATGGCAGCTTACACACCACCTAACTAAATGAAACAACTTTTGACTAGTCAGAGGACTGCATATAAAGGGGGCAGGGGCAAATGAGTCTCCTGAGAGACTTCAATAATTCAGCCACATCAATCTTGATATGGCCATAGTTCAGGGGATGTGCGGAAGAGCCTCCTCATCAAATCTCAAAGAAGTAAAGGAGAATGTGTTCCTAAGGAACTGGCACTGAAGCCACATAGGGCTTTAAAATGGTCACAATCACCCTGGATGTGAATGAATAGCCAGTGTTAACACCCAGGGTCATAGCCAACTATGTTATATTCAAAGTAGAACCACTGAAATTAATAGGTCAGTCAGGGTAGACCAAGGGTTCCCAAATGCTGGTCTGTGGACCACCAGTGGTCCACAAGCTCCAGTCAGGTAGTCCACAGCATGTCTATGGGTTCAATTTTGAAGATGGGAGGCAGCACATTCATTGCATTAAGTACGGTATTCATATTGATTATTGTAAAAAATTTTTGCTACTTTTGATTCTTACGTTGTATTTTATTGTATTACAATTTGAATTCTATGAAATTCAAACTGTAATACAGTAAAATACTGCAAAAAAGTTATAAAACGACAATTAAAAATCAAACAGCATTTAGCACAACACATTGCAACAGGCAAAGAAAGCATTGCACAGCCCACCAAAGCTATTAGCAGTTTTCAAATGGATAGTGGGATAAAAAGTTTGGGAATCACTGGCGTTGACAATACTGAACTAGATGGACCAAGCCACCTGATTTTAGCATAAGGAAGCACCAGCAGAGACTACAGAGAGGGGTCGCAGTTTGGTTGTAGAAGACATACTGTGCGTGTTGCTGGTCCTAGGTTCAATCCCTGGCATCTCCATTTAAAAGGACCAGCTAGGAGGTGACACGACAGATATGTGCCTGGCGAGCCAGTGTCACAGTAAACACTGAGCCAGCTGAACAAATAGTCAAAACCGATAGAAGGCAACTTCCTAAACGTCAAACGTGGTGCCACAGCATCTTCAGTCAAAAAGGAGCAGATAGCAGGAGATGGGAGAGACCCCTCTCTGTGCTCAAGACACTGGGGAGAGCTGCTGCCAATCAGAGTAGACAATTTCTGAACAAGACAGACCAATGCATGGCTGGGAAAAAAGGGGAGGGCCAGAACTGCATGGGGGAGCCAGAGTTTGCAGGTTTGGCTGGAGTATCTAGGGGGTGAGGAGGGTGGATGCTGCTGGACTCCCAACTCTCATCAACCCCAGCCAGCAGGGGTTGGTCAGGGGTAATGGGATTTGTAGGCCAGCCACATCAGGAGTGGGAGAGGTTTCCCAACCCCGAGCTATAGCAAAGCTCTTGCAAACAAACACTTGCCTGTTGACACTTTTTCAGTACATCCGGAGTCCGGTGTTCAGCCAGAGACTTGTTGTAAAACTGAATGGCTTCCTTGTACTTTTCCTCCTTGAAGTAGGAATTGCCAATCCGGGCATAAGCTCTATATTCAAGAGAACAGGCCATGGAATGAGCTGCTGGAAAGCATCCAATAGGTGAAGAACCCTGACCCATGATTCCCAGGAGGCTTTGTTGCAGGGGAAGGGCAGGGGCATGCAGGACAAAGACAAATGCCATGCTAAGGGATGCTAGGAGAAATAATCTTTATATACATCTATGTTGCGAGCACATTTGGAATACTGTGTACAGTTCTTGCTACTGCTTCTTAAGAAGGATACTGTAAACACAAAAAAGAAAAGAGAAAGGAAGAAAAGAAAAGAAAAGAAAAGAAAAGAAAAGAAGAAAGAAAGCAACCAAAATGGATCAGAGGGATGGATCAGGTGTTTAAAATTCTGCACTATGTGGAAGAAGTAGATAGAAAGTGTTCTCCCTCCCATAATACTAAAGACCCAGGGTGGATTATCCAGTGAAGGTTATTGGAAGAAGATTCAGCATAGGCAAAAAGAAGTACGTCTTAGAATCACAGAATTTCAGAGCAATGCAGAACTCTTTTGCTTAACATGGGGCTCAAACCCATGACCCTGATATTAGGAGTCTCATGCTCTACCAACTGAGCTATCCCTCATCATGTCTTCACATATGTTAAATGATGGAGTTTGGCTATGACAAGATGTGGTGAGTGCTGCCAACTTGGATGCCTTTGAAAGGGGATGAGACAAATTCAAGGAAGGAATTAAGCTATCAAGGGCTACCAGTGGCTGAGAGGGCTACTGCACTCCGCTCTGCTTGGGGGCCTTCTGGTTGGCCATTGTGGAAAACAGGCTCCTGCTGGGTCAGGCCAAACGTCTATCTAGTCCAGCCATCTTCTTACATTTGTGTTAGGCAGGCTAGGCAGGGTAGTGATTTTATAGCCCAGCAGAATCTAGGTCACACAGCACCATGCAATAGAGTACATTTCAAGCCGTCATGACTCAAGTTTCCATTCAGCTCATGCATAAAGCTTTATTCAGTCAGCAGTCAGGTCTCATTAGTTCAGGGGTGGGAGACCTGTTGCCCTCCAGATACTCTTAGACCACAATTGCCATCATCCCTAACCTGTGGTCACACCGGCTGGGGCTGAAACAAGTTGGAGTCCAACAACTTCTAGAGGGTCACAGGTTCTCCACATCTCTCACCCCTGCATTAGCTCAACGTCTTAAATTAAGCAACCACGTTTTTAAAAAATCAAATGCTCTACCACATGGCTCAGTGGTGGGTGGAGCCAGAGGGGAAAGTGGGCAGAGCAAAAAATGTGAATGCTACTCACTTGGCAATCTGCCGGTAATCCTCCCGGTTCTCGCGTCCCACTTCAATGGCCTGCTCACACAGTTCCCGGCACTTGTTGTAGTCCCCCTTCTCAAAATACACCGCTACAGGAAAAGGAAGGGGAAAGACACAGTCGTGAACCCCTGATTTCCCAAGACTGGGTGAGCTACAAATGAAGACCTCTGGCTGGGAAATCCATAGCTTCCGTCTAGTTTTATTTATTATGAAAATAAAATTTATGCGGCGCTTGGCCTGCTTTCAAGCTATCAGTTCAGGCCTCTGGCAAGAGCAAGCCATCTCTTCAACATTTCGCTCCTAATCTTTGTCAGAGCAAGTTGCTCATTCCGAGCTATCCATGGTCCCACAACCTTCAACCAGCCTTAACTCCAGCCTCACTGCTTTCTCTGTCAGTACCCAGGAATGGACCAGTGCACGACAATGACCAAACATATGGGGGGACACAGGGTTCCCACCCCTGGTTTAAAGGAACCTTACTGACCTGGTTCAACTCCAGCCCACGCTAAACTTTGTTTTTTGCCATTTTAAACCTACCATGAGGCTGTTCATGCACCTCAGCTCTGCCTGGGATGGGAAGAATGATGCCCCACAATCTCACCTGCTTGGTTCGTGATGTATGTCATATTGGTTGGATCCAGCTCCTTTGCCTTGTCATAATGCTTCAGGGCTACCTCAAAATCTTTCTTCTTATAAGCCTCATTCCCCAGTTCTTTTTCCTTAAGAGCCTGAAAGGCAACAGACACTCAACTTAATAACTGGTATTGCAGAATGGCAAGACATAATTCAGCCAAAAAATCTCCACCTTGCCAGAGACAGCATTTCTTACGTGTAAGTGTATTTCAAGGATGGCCATTTGAACCTGCCCAGTGTTTGAGATCAGTTGAGACCCTGAAAAACCACACCCCTCACCCCAACTTCAGGTGTTAGGTGTGCAGCTACCAGAGAGCTTTATGGTTCTGGCATCCCAGCTGTGGAATACCCTCCATAACAGATCTGCTTGTTACAGACATCAATATATTTTGTGGGCCTGGTGAAAGCTGCAGCATTCCTTTAATGAGGATATTTTGATACTGCCACATTTTCCTGATAATGGATTTCTGATGTATTTTAGTACCATTATTTATCAATTACATTCCCATTCCATCCAGTGGCTGACATTCTGGGCAGTTCACCAAAACAGCATAGGGTTCTTTTGAACCAAGTTATACTCAAAGTAGACCCACTGAAGTTCATGGACCTAAATTTGCCATGTTGATTAATTTCACTGGGTCATGTTAGACCTAATCTGTAAGACATAAGAGTAAAGGTAAAAAAAAAGGTAAAGGACCCCTGGACGGTTAAGTCCAGTCAAACTATAGGGTTGCTGTGCTCATCTCACTTTCAGGCCAAGGGAACCAGCATTTGTCCACAGCCAGCTTTCTGGGTCATTGGCCAGCATGACTAAACTGCTTCTGGCGCAATGGAACACAGTGACGGAAACCAGAGCGTATAGAAACGCCGTTTACCTTCCCACTGCAGCAGTACCTATTTATCTATTTGCACTGGAGTGCTTTCAAACTGCTAGGCTGGCAGGAGCTGGGACAGAGCAACAGCAGCTCACCCTGTTGTGGTGATCGGCAAGCCCAAGAGGCTCAGTGGTTTAGACCGCAGCGCCACCCACTCCCTTAAGTACGAGTTTTTGATTACTGTGTATTAATTTTGATTTTATGTACCCTTGGTATTTTGTATGGTATGTTTAACAAGACCTGTGATAAGATGACAGCTATAAAAAAGCTTTTAAGAAAAGGTAGCCAGTCAATATATCTTCTGAATAAGGTACATAGTGCTGAGACTGAGCACTCTACTGTTGCAGCCAAGTCTCCTGGGCCAGCCAGTACCTGCTTCTTATTCTCCGGCAGATCTTCCTCCATGGGTTCTGGCTTGGGCTCCTTCTTGGGGGGTGGCGGAGGGGGTGGAGACATCGCTTCGTCCTCATCATCTGCACTGGCCAAGTCAACTCCAAGTAGCACCCCAAGGGTTGTCATCACCCGCGGGTCCTTTAGTTTCCTGTCACGAAGGCAGGCCACAAAATGGGTCATGAAGAAATGCAGCTTGGTGGACTAAGTGCTTGAGACCCGAGGTTGCAACCAATGTTGGTCTGGCTCAGAACAGACCCACTGAAATCAATGACTGATGCGGGTCCATTCATTTGAATTAGACTACTCTGAATAAGATATAGGTGGATGTAGCCCCCAGGATCTAGTTCTGCGCAAGTCAGTGTCAGACTCCATTTTCTAACGGTAAGGCTATTGAATACTCCAGCAGCTTTGAGGGGCAGCTATGTTTCTGTGATTTTTCTGAAATGGACCAAGTCCATCAATTTTATGAAAGACTGTCTTAAAAGACACCCTGTTTAAGGCTCTTTGAGGTTTTTGCTACAAACTTCCTATGAAACTGAAGATCCTTGTGCTGAACGCCACCCACATTAACTCAATTTCCGATACTATGCACGAAGCAGGTTTTTTTCCTGGTTGCTGCCGGACTTCAAGCACATTAAAAAAGTAAATATGAACCCTTAGTTAGAAATTTAGAGGTGCTCCTGGATCTAGCTCTCTCATTCGAACTACAACACCATCCATACTGGCTCTCAATAATTTTTCATTCCAGCAGACTTTTAATATACCAGGTTGAAGACATTCTGCTGAACACTATGTCTTACCTGAAATGCCTCAGTTATATTTTTACTTCTGCTATATTCTACTATTGTGATTTAAATATTTCTTAAGCTGCCTTGCATAATTCCTATATCCTGGAATTCCTTTTAATGGTGTTCCCTTCAAGCGGTACAGGTGCCATGACAACCTCAAACTGCCCTTCTGTCAAGTACACAAAATTATTAACTGTGATAGTTAAATTATATCCACACATACAAAAGCAATGTTATCTGTGAATGCCAAAATACTGGTGATGAGAAGCAGGATAAGACAATCACCACCAAGCCCCACTTATGAGCTCCCAGGAACATTTAGGAAGCTGTGAGATAGAATTCTGGGCCTGATGAGTCTTGGGCATGACTCGGAAAGACAACCCTACAGCATACAATTCCCAACTCCCACTCCAGGCACTTACGCCCCCAGGTCTGAAGGCTTGTTGCGGAGCTGCTCGATCAGTTCTCTGTAGCTCGGATCACTGAGCAAGCCTCTTGTGCGGGGATCACTCTCCAGCTTCTGATAAAGGTTGGGCAAGTTGAAAGGGTTCATGAGATTCCTTTCTGAAGGATGAACAGGGCAGGGGAGAGAAGAAAGGCAATATCAGATTTGAGTGACACACAGCAGCATTCTTGACAACAGGGCCTTCCCTGCCCTCCACCATCTGTAAGCTCTGGGAAAACCCAGGGGGAAGATTACGTCATGGAAGGTGTGAGGTTCCTGCTGCCACATGCCCACATTATTCACATCTTTCAACAGCTAGACTGTGTGGAAACAGCAGCGCTGCTGAATACCTGTGGTCCCCGAGCTAAGGAAACACAGAAAGCCCAGTCCTACAGTTCTGACTCACACTAATGAGACTGAAGCCCAGCTATCTGCAAGATCTAAATTCCTTCTGGAATAGGTGTCTGCACCAACTGCAGGTCTTGGAGATAGCCTGTAGCTATCTTATCCATGCAATCTAGGGAAGTCTTTGCCAACCTGGCGCCCTCCATGACAGTGTTGGCTAGGGCTGATGGAAGCTGTAGTCCAAAACATCTGGAGGGCACCAGGTTAAAGAAGGCTTTGATAAGGAAACAGAAGCACTCCCTCTTTCCTTCATCTTGAGTGAGTTCAGCTGGTGGAGCAAATGCACCAGGTGTTCTCACAGCATCAGGCACTAAAGACCTGTAGTTTCATGATTTTCTGTCAAGTAAAAGGGTATTGGGGTGTTTGGTTGTGCTACAGATGCACCATGATGTTTCTTCTCTGCGCTCCTCCTAGCAGTCATTCCTCCTCTGGTCACTGCTATGGATGCCCGACCTGTCGGTCTCCAGAAATTCTGTGTCACTCAAGAGCTCTCTCCCTTTCTGTGGTTTCCAGAAACTGGTATTCAGAAATGTTACTGTCTCCAACTGTGCAGGCAGAACCCAGCCATCATGGCTAGAAGCCTTGGATAGCCCTTTCTGCCATGAATTTGTCCAATTCACTTTTAAACCCACCATCACTGCCTCCTATGATAATGCGTTCCATAGTTTAACTACACACAACATAGTACTTTCTATTATCTGTCCTGAATCTTCCAACATTCAGCTTCAAGGGATTTCCACAAATTCTAGTTCTGAGGGAGAAAAACTTTTCTCTAGTCAATTTCTCCATGCCATGCATAATTTGGTAAACTTCTATCATGCCGCCTCTTGTCTTTAAACTAGGAAGTCCCAACACTACAACTTTTCTTCATGGAGGAGTTGCTCCATCCCCTTATTTGGGGATGTCCTTTTGTAACTCTACATTATGCTTTTTGAGGCGAAGCCACCAGAATGGTACACAGTAGTTATGCTCTTATGCTGAGCATTTGAAAAGCTACATTTTAAATTCTATTTTAACCTGTATTTTAATTAACTGGTATTTTTTGTTTTTGTTCCCCCCACCCCAATTATGTTTTATTGTAATTTTATTGGTGTTAGCCGCCCTGAGCCCGGTTCTGGCTGGGGAGGGCGGGGTATAAATAATTTATTATTATTTATTAAATCAAATCATTTTAAGATCCAACAGTCTTCAAAGCTCAGCTGTGTCGCTTACGCTCTCCTAACTCAGATATGTTTCCAGAGAGATGTCAAGTGGGGCTCTCACAACTGACAAGCAACCACCAAGAAAACCTTCATGACTTCACTGGAAAAGCATGTGCCATCACGACATGGCCCTCTTATCAACAGTCAAATCCAGCTATATGTGTATTTGATGCTCTTCAATTTTATTATTGAAATCTGCATCACAACCCCTGTAACAAAGCCATTTCCCTTTGTGGTACAGGGTAGAGGCAGGGAAGGTTACTGAAATCAGTTGTCCAGTAGTTATGAAGCTTCATCAGCATGGATCCCCTTACGCCAGCTTTCCCCAATCTGCTGCCCTCTAGATGTCAGGGGACTCCAACTCCCATCAGCCTCAGCCAGCATGGCCAGTGAGAGCTGCAGTCCAATAAAACCTGGAGGGCAGCAAGGATGGGGAGGCTAATGAGAGCTGCAGTCCAATAAAACCTGGAGGGCAGCAAGGATGGGGAACACTGCCTTTCCTAGGACAATTTATCCAATTCTTTGTCATGGGATAATTTCTCAAACTTCCATGTCACGTTAGCCACAGAACTAGTTCATGTAGGCAAGTCTTAAGAGATAAGGAAGGAAGCAGATCTGGGTGTGACTTCCATCACCTGCATGCCTGGACTCCATGTTTTGCAGCCCTTCCTTCAACTGTGCGTTGCCTGGCTCATGTTTCAGCCCTTCTGCATATGTCTTCTTGGCCTCTTCAAAGCGGTTCAGAAATTCCAAGGCAGCTGCCTTTCGGGAATAGCCCTGAGAAGAGAAGAAGAGCAGCCAGGTCAGCAAATACGGTATGAGACAAGGCAGAGCAGCCAATATATCAGTTTTCCAAAACTGACATGAAGGACTATACAAAACTCTAATTCACCCATGCTTGAAGGCAGCTACTTGCCTAATTGACTATGCCAACTACCAGTTGTTGTAAACCAATGCAACAGTTGCAAGGAAGAACCTTCTTTAGCCTGCAGACCTTGCATATGCAACAGTGGTGCATGACACACTTTGGGCCAAGTATCTGCAGTGTGGTGCGGTAGGTTAGACCTGGGTTCAAATCCCTACTCAGCCATGGAATTCACTGGGTGACATCAAGCCAGTTACTTATCTCTCAGTCTGACCTACCTCAGGATAGGGGTGGGGGAGCGCAATTTATGCTACCCCGAGTGCCTTAAAAGGATAAAAATGTAGTAGGAACTTCAATAATGAATTTTTTTTCTTTTGTTATTGTCTACACTGACCGATAGTGGCTCCCCCAAATTCCATTCAAATGAGAATCTTACCCAACCCTGCCTGAAGATGCTGAGGACTGGACCTTTTACATGCAGAGGACATGCTTTACCACTGAGCTACACAGTGCTTCCCCAGCGCGCACACACAGCTGGAAGAAAATGCCACGCCTGAACTGCAGTGACTTCATTGCCAGGCATTTAATGCCCACTTCTCTCTTGTTCCTTGTGAAGTGAGGGAGGGCAAAGCCTTGGGGCTCTCATTCTGGAATCACAAGTCCACCAAACAGAATAATGGTATATGGCAAGGATGGGGAAACCTTCACCCTCCATACGTTGCTGAACTACAACTCCCATTGCCCTTGGCCTTGCTTGCTGGGGCTGATGGGAGTTGACAATTCAGTAACGTCTGAAGAGCCAAAAGGTTTCTCACACCTGGTGTATGGAATGGGCATTTCTCCACAGCTGTGTCATGTCTCCTTGGCTAGAAGGGGGTTCCCCACCTTGCCCCACTCTGGCTTCAGTTCAATTGTCTTGCAAGCATCTTCCAGGGCTTTCTGATATTCGCCTTTCTTGGCATAAGCAGCAGACCGATTGCTGTACAGCACATGATTGGCAGAATCCAATTTGATGGCCTCCGAGTAGTGCTTGATAGCTTCTGCTGTGTTGCCTGAGCTCAGGGCTTTGTTACCCTTCTCTTTCAATTCATTCACCTGGTGGGAATTAAAAAAAGAAGTCAAAAGCTTGCTGAGGATTCCGTGCACTAGTAACCCAGAAAAAGAACCTATTGCTCCAGTGAACTACTTCTTACCAAACTCTGAGCATCCCAGATGAGTAAACACCTGATTCTAACTCCCACTGTTGCTATAACCTTGAATTGAGGCATTTTTGCTAAAAATTGGAGTTTGATGGTCAGCAAGCAAAAGGCCCTCCTCTCTTCAGCAGACTTTTTTCAGTTTTTTTTGGGGGGGAGGGGGAGAAAGTAAGTTTCTGGCCTCTGAAAGTTTATTGCACATCCATTTTCAGCTACTTACCCAAGGCAAAACACACAACTTACAGTAATAATACATCAATGCAATTCTTACATCTCTAGTTGCAATCCTAGCAAAAGCGCCAAAAGGTAGGTCATCATTACTTATCCCCCTCCTCTCAAGCTTTCCAGCTCCTTGAGTGGGATACAGGGTTAGCAAAAGCATCTGACTTTGGAATGGCTTGCCTCTTGCACTCCCATGGTGTGATTTTGCCTTTTTACATTTGATTGATGCTTTATGGCATTTTTGTACAGTGGTACCTTGGGTTAAGAACTTAATTTGTTCTGGAGGTCCATTCTTAACCTGAAACTGTTTTTAACCTGAGACACCACTTTAGCTAATGGGGCCTCCTGCTGCTGCCGCACATTTTCTGTTCTCATCTTGAAGCAAAGTTCTTAACCCGAGGTACTGGGTTAGCGGAATCTGTAACCTGAAGCGTCTGTAACCTGAGGTACCACTGTATTTTGTTTTAATATGCTGTTCACCACTTTGGCAGCCTTTTAACCAGAAAGCAGCATATAAAGAGTTGGGGGGGAATTGCAGATGGAGGGGCTGAGGGTGGCTTGTGAGTTAAGGGCAGATGCAAGATGTGAACCAAGGAATTCGACATTTTGTAGCTCAGTCTCTTAACCTCTTAGCCACTAAGCAGGGACAGGGAGAAGATGGGTCATGATTAACTGGCCGAGTTTCCCATTCCCAACTGCTTAACAATAGCAACAAAAAATGACTTTCCCACCTAAATTAGGTTGCTGAAATTAAGAAAGTACTGAACACAAATCCCAAGACTTGGAATATGTTCAGAGGCACCCTGCTCCTTAACTCTTACTCTATCTTTTGTACTTGACCAGGCATAGGAAAACCTGGCCCTCCAGCTGTTTTGAGACTACAATTCCCATCATCCCTGACCCCTGGTCCTGTTAGCCAGGGATGGTGCGAGTTGTAGTCCTAAAACATCTGGAGGGCTGAGTTTGCCTATGCCTGTACTTGACTTTCATTGGTAGATCTTGGGAATGCGCTTTTGTTTTGTTTTTTAAAAAAGACCTCCAAGTCTGCCTACCTCAGACTATAGCAACTGTAAGAAATAAACAGACTTCAGCTAATGAAATCTGTATAGTGTGGCAACAGTTGTTAAGTGGTTCAGGTTTAGGTTTCTTGTACTCTAAATATCTGCAATAAGACACCAATTCTCAACCATCACTGCCAGATAGAAGTCAGTTGTTGGGCATTCCATTTTACAAGGCTCCACAATCCACCTGGCTGAATTTAGCTGCCAGGGCTTATGTTGCACAGGACTGCATTCAAATATGCATCTCTATAGGGAATAATATGTTGCACTTCTTTGCAGTTTCATATGACACAGAAAGTGTTGAACCCTCTATTGCTTACAAGTGGGCGCACTTTTCTTCTTACGAGTGACAGATGTGAGACACTTCTTTCCCACCTGAAGGTGAGTAAGTTGGCCAAAGCTGCTGCAAGATATTCCCAGCGACTGTTTCCCTCTAGAAAGAAATGACGTGAGCCTGAGGGACAGGCCCCCAGGTATGAGTCACCGCCTCCACAGGTAGCCAAGGGAGTTGAAACTGCAGCATCCGCAGCCCAAATGAATTAGCAGCCCACCATCTGCTGATGCAAATAGAATGTTGTCCCTGCTGTGTCCAAGGCTGCTCCTAAGGGGGACAGGAAGCTGGAGGCAGCTCCCTCTGAATCACGGCTCTATTCAGATAGGGGTTGCTTGCTGAAATTACAGACAGCCAAGGGGAAAACAATCTCCACTTAGCTGCATTAATTTGGGACAAAACGTTCAGGCTACACATGTAAGGATTTTAGAGCCCTTTCAGTCTTAGAGGGAGACACAGCTGTACAATAAAACACAGCAAGATGTCACATGCAGAAAGGGCACAAATTGGCAGGCAAGGCATGGAGGTGGTAAACTTTCTCTAGAAGAAGAATATTACCCTACAGCCACACACCAAACATTTAGGAGGGACAGTGGGGAGAGAAAGAAAGCTGAGGCCAGTATTGTGAAGTGATGCAGGTGGACTGCAGCCAGGTTGCCATGGTATAACCTTGGCAGATTCACCTAAACACTCGGCGCAACGGGCTCTGTTTTTCACTTGACGGTGTGGAATCACCACCTTGCTAAGCTTGAGGCCTGTTTTGTTGAAGATTACTTTCTTCCTACACCCATTTTCACATACAAAAGACACACAACAATTTGGAATGGGGAGGCAGCTCCTATGTCAGGAAGTGAGTTGGCACCATAGCTCAGTGGTATACCACATGCTTTGCAAGCAAAATGCTTTAGGTTTACAGTAGTTCCAATTTAAAAGGCTCTTTGCTAAGAAGACTGGGAAAGACCTTAGTGCAACAGTTGCTAGTCACAGGAACTGCCTTATGAAGAATCAGGTTGTTGGTCCATCTAACTGAGGACTGTCTACACTGTCTAGCAGTGCCTCTCCAGGGTCCCAGGTAAAAGCCATTCCCAGCCCCTACTGGGAGATGTGAGGGTCTGAACCTAGGAGCTTTTGGATACAAAGAACGGGTCTCTACTGTTGACCACGGCCATCACTCCCAAGTGTGACAGCAATTCCTACCTCAAAAGTTTCCTTCTAGCAGGTGCCGAACATGCTGCAACATGCAGGCTGAGATCGGCTCAGAAGGCTCCTTTGGAAAACAAACAGGCTTTTTAAAAGCTGCAATGCCCCACTGAGCCTTGCTCAGCCTACCTTTTTGCTTCATCTCACAAGGGTTATAGAGCTGCATCCGCACCTAAAGCATTTCACTCAGAAAACTGCCATCAACTTGCTCATGCTACCAAAACTATACAATTCACCTAGAAATATAGGAAGCTGCCTTTACTGGATCAGAACTTTGGTCCATCTAGCTCAGCACTGTATACACAAGACTGGAAGGCCTACAGCTTTACACCATACCAACTTCCAAGTCCTACCTAGAGATACCAGGAATTACAGCTGGGATCTTGTACCAACAGAGTAAGAGCTACATTATTAAGCTACAGTCCTTTCCTAGTTCCAACGGTTCCACACATACTGTCACCATGTGCCCCTAAAGCTATTCTACAGATCTTCCTGCAAGATTATTCCTGCGGCAATCCAGGCCTTAGAAATCACAACCCCTAGTGGAGCTTCCATAAATATTAAATATCAAATTTCCAAAATGAGGTAGAGCTTTTGGCATTTGTGCTATTTTAATTGCATGCTCCACAACAGGCCACCCTATCTACCAAAATCCATCAGGCTGCTACATCTTATTCAAGATGTCTGTCAAGACACTGCTTCCCTCATGGGCTCCACCTCAAAGACTGCATCCCAGGACTGAGGAAGAAGGTGAGGATTTCAGCTTGGGAGGGGAATACTGTGGTGAGGAACAGTGCCGAGTGGGAAATGGGGATTACCTGAGGAGCAGTACTAGCTGCATTGGTGTGGGGCATAGCTTGAGGGATAGGCTTTAGAAATAAACTTATGCACATAAATTACCTGTGATGGTTCAAGAGTCCACTCACAGTAGATCCACACCATACATTTAAAGCACACCCAATACACATTTAAAACTCATGACTTCCCCCAAAGAATCCTGGGAATCGTTTGTTAGAGATGCTGTGAACTGTAGTTCTGTGAAGGGAAAAACTACAGTTCCCAGAATTCTTTGCAGAAAGTCATTAAGTTTTGAATGTATGGTATGGCACCGTCTTCAAACCATCACAGATTACTTATTAATATAAGTTTTTTCCTACAAAACCGAGCTCGCAAACCATGCTGCAAGGAGCCTCGCCTCAAGCTCTAACTCTGTAGCCGCCTTTTTAATGGTCTATCATTCTCATGACCTCTTTGATGATACAGACCTTAATTCCCACCCTCCAATGACATTATTGGTTCAATGACCCCTGCAATCAAGGGTTATATACATTTTATGAAATTAATAAATCAAGCTTCTTGCTATCCCTCACAGAAATCTAGTTCCTCTGCCCCACACACTACTGAATCCACCAGCCCCACAAACCCTGCCATTCAGCCCTCCAATTCATATGCCATGGCCCCTTCCCCCTACACTCCTAGCCCTGCCGTGATACTCCAGGACCCCTAATTCGGATGTAGCCCCATCAACTACAGTATGTATTTGCTGAAAACCCCTCCATGATGTCTGGCAGAGAGCCCATAAACCTTCCCCACTTCAGACCTTACAAGCCTAGCCTTCCCCCCGCAGACCCCCTTCCCCATCTCATTTCTTCACACGAGGCCTTGCAGAGCCCTTTATTTCTTTATCCCTTCAGGACCTTCGCAGTTCAGCCCCCCCCCCCCGCAGAAGGCCCCTTATGAGGAGGTAGTCTTGCTCCCTTCAATATCCCCTCATGACCTGACCCACGAAGGCTTCCCATAATGCTTTGCAGGTATAGCCGCCCCCTCTTCGCAATCATCCCGTCAAAAACTACCCGAGACCCCCTTCCCATTCCTAACACCCCCCTCAGTCCTTCCCATGATCCTTTGCCCCGACCACCTTTTCAAAAAGAAACCCCCTCTCCCGTCAGAACCCCTTTTTCCCCAGAATCCCTTGCAAAAAATAATCTCAGCAGCACCTAACACCACATTTTCTCCCCCTCTCTCCCCTTCCCGAGACCCCCTTTAGCACCGCCACCTTCCCATGAGCCTTTGCGGTTACTAAAAAGCTCCAGCCACTTCGCCCACCTTCTCCATGGCGCCGGCCAAGTCTCCCGCGCCACCGCTGCCGCTTCTAGTTAAGCCTTTCCTCCTTCCTGCGCCCGCCTTTCCTTTTTCCCACCAGCCTTCTGGAACCTGCTAGAACCCTCCAGTCCCCGCCCCTGCCTTCTTATTGGATCCCGCCTGGCGCGAGGCCGCGCCCGCTACCCCCCTCATAGGGCGAAGGGGGAAAGGCGGGGTCTCACCCTGATAGAATATCCGTCCTCGGCACGCGCTATTGGCCCCAACGCTTGACAGGCCCGAGCGGGGCGGAGCTTGATAACGGCAATCGGTGTGCGTCGCTGTGTCATTTGCCAAGCGGCGGCCTCGTTCCTCTGGAACGTCCCGCCTTCGGGTTTCATTGATCAAAACTGCGCTGCGCTCCTATTGGGTAGACCGTGAGTTGGAACGTCAGCACAGGCTGCGCCCATTGGCTGGAGCTTTGTTCGGATTTCTCCGCCTCCCCATCTTTCTTATTTCCAGATTTTTCCTCGTGGGACGTCCTTGAACACTTGGAAAAAAGTGGCATACAGTAATGCCTTTTTTCCCCCTTTTCCAAATGGTGAACGGAAGTCTCTCACATTGTGTTTCTATAATTTCTATTATCATATCATACATGCAACGCAGTTATAAACAAAATTAAAAATGTTTGTCTTGAGTAGTATTTTTAATTACAAATTTTGTTTACAATTTTTTATTTGGGCACTTCCATTAAACAGACATCCACAGTTAACAATAAAGTACATTAAATAAATAAACAATGACTTTAGGCTTCCTATTAATCAGTCCCTTAAATAAGACATGGAGAGGGATGGCAATGGTCATACAATAAACCTAAGTTGGGTTCATTTACTGCAGGGGTGGGAAGTCTGTTCTGGCCTGTAGGCCAGATCCTTCTCCCACTTCCAGGGGCAAATTTGACAGGTAGGTGGGGTTGTGCACCTGGCAAGCACCTAGCATTGCTGGTCAGGACTTCAAAGCACCATGTGAGGTTTGCAAAGAGCCCCACATGGTGCTTTGAAGGGCTGCTGATCAACTTGCACTCTGCAGGAATTGGCTGTATGATCGAGTTCCTGACAAGGAACTGAGTCATGCCACCACACCTGATGTCACATTCTGTCAGATGTGGGGCAGGTGTATGTGGTATAGGAAAAGATTAGGGCCCTTGTCAAAGCAAAGTTGGCCCATGGGCTAGAGGTTCCCCAGCCCTGCTTTAATGTATGGAGTCTCCATACATGGTGGGCTTTTTATGCTGATTAGATTTCTCACCGGAAAGGAAAATTAAATGGGAAAATAATAGTGGATGGTAGTTCAATGACAGCATTGCATGGATGCTATGAAAAACTTGCATGCATCAGCAGCACTGAAGTATACAAAAAACTCCCATATGGAGGTATGGATCTGGCAAGTAGCTGGATGTGCGACTGCCTGGGAGTGACATGGACACAATTTGGGATTCCATGATGGAAGAAAAGTGGGACAGAAATATAAGAAAACAAATAAATCCCAAGGTTCTTTGGCAGCAGGGTCTGTATGTGTGTGTGTGTGTGAAATTGGTAACCTGTGCTAGTTATCTATGATTAAAATAAAGATAGGAAGACATGATAAAGAAGTGAGTGCAGGGGAAAAGTGAGCACAGGTTAGATAAAGACAATGCAAGGCTTAACAGTCAGTGGGGATTGAGGGGTGTGGGAGAGAACCAGCAGAAAATCGTGGAGATTTTAAATACACAAAGGCTTAAGTAGGATAAAATTTGAGTCTGTTTTTAAGGATATGGAGTTACAGAGGAGACGGTCCTGAACTAAAGTAACCAGAAGATTTTAAATACATTCAGTGGTGGCTAATGCCCATTTGGACTGCATACGTAAAAGGCAGGGAGCCCAGCAGTAGGCAAAGCCAGAGCTAGAGCCAATGACAGCTGGAGCCAACTAATTCTGCTTTGTTCCCACCCTCCTCCCTGTTGAATTCTACAAGGCATGGGTCTGAGCAGTTGTGCCCTTGCTCCACAACTTCCCCTAGGTCAACCCACTCTTTAGCACTAAATCAGAACAAGCAGCAATCCACAGAAAACCCGAATGCTATTTGTTCCGATTCAGTGCTAAATAACAGGTTGCCCCAGGTAAAAGTGGCGAGGGAAATGGGGGCATGGATAAGACCTAAGGAGAAGAGAGCTGGCAAGCAGTGCCACCCCCTGGCCTGGTTGTCAGTAGGAAGCAAGGCAGGTGAGGGTTGTCTGAGGTTGGTAGCGCAGTGTCCCATTTGCCCTAAATGACCAGCTGCCACTGATAATATTAAAATCTCATGATTTTACAATAGCACACTATGCCTGACTTGAGAATCCTGGGGTACAATATAAATTAAAAACCGAGTCTGTTTTGTCCACATTGTAGCTGCTGGTGCTCTGGGCTGCAGAGGGAAAGCAAAAAGATTAGTTTCTCGGCTATAATTAGAAGCTTGGCTTCTGACTTCGCCTGGTGGTGCCTTGGCAACCTACCTAAAATTAGCCTAGCAGCCACTCATGCCAAGTGGCAAAGAAAGGAAAAAATGGGCCCAAGTAAGATTGTGCCTCTTTCTCCCCTTCTAAAGTTATTTTGGGACTGAACCTTTGAGGCTGGACAGTGCACCTGTTTAATCATTATGTGGTATTCCTTTTCACAGCCTTGACACAACAACTGTTCACTGATATAATGACCCGCTGACAAATCATTGAACTGCACTCTCATTTCCATTTCCCCCTGCTTTTGGTCTTATATTGCCCAAGGTGACATCCACACCATAAGTTTAAAGCACATGGCTTCCTCCAAATAACCATAGGAACTGCAATTTACCCCCTCAGAGAGTTGTGGTTCCCAGCACCCTTAACAAATGACAGTTCCCAGGATTCTTTGGGGGAATCTCTGTGCTTTAAGCATATGGTGTGAACGTGATTTAAGGCTCTTCATTTATTTTTAAGCTGGACTTCATCCAGACAGCTCTTCAAATACAGGCATCCCCCACTTACGCATGATTGACCTGCGTGCAAACACGTATACTTGAGGTGCTGGGAAACAAATAAATTAATTCAATTCAAACCTGGAAGTGGGGAGAGAGAGCCAGAAAGTCCTCGTGGCTCATGAGGAGACCATCCCTAGAGCCTGAAGAGAACACCAGTGAGCCAAAAGTCCAGAAACAAAGCTTTGAAAACCAACTTATTGGCTCCAAAACAGCGCATGGGAGCTCTCACTGCTGCTGCACTACGCTGTTCAACAGCTGTTGGGGAAGCTGGATTGCAGTGTTCCCTGACCTTTCTGGTGATTTGGAGGCAAAGGCACTGTATAAAAGAAAAAGAGCATGGAGAGCAGGTAAAAATAGTTGTTTAGAGGGTGCTCCCTACTTACACACATTTTGCTAATGCGAGCAGGGGCCTGGAACATACCGTAACCCCCGCTTACTGTACAGGGCTTATTTAGATAGAGGTGTGAGTGGGAGGCAAGGGATTCAAGTACATACTGGAAATTTTGGTTTGCACAATTAATGTGGGTCAAAGTGCTCTGTCGCCATAGCACAACAAATATACCTTTTAAAAATGCTGTTTTGTGGTTAGGAAAGTGATGGGGAAGCACACTGAGAAGTGTTCAGAGATTTCCAAACTTTTCATGTTGGTGACACACTTTTAGATATGCATCATTTTGCAACACAGTAATTCAGTTTTACTAGCAAACTGGAGATTTAACTAACCCATTTTCAGCCATGGGAGGAGAGTGGGGAGCGTTCGCGCGACACACCTCCACATTGCAGCTGACACACTAAGTTCGGAAAGCTCTGTGTTAGATAAACGATTGGCCAATGGGAAAATGTATAAGAACAGCGAAAGGACAAGGGCTGATTGTCATATACTGCCCTGCAAACAAATCAGAATTAATGCTCAATAAAGACCAGACGTGGTCTAAGCTCTGCATAAGCTTTTTGCAAGCAGATCAGGCTGAAGGCTCAGTAAACAGGTGTGGAGGAGGGAGAGAATATATGATGCATATTCAGATACAGAGGTACTGGTAGGGCAGGAGTTTCATGGCCCTAAGCCATTAGAATGGAGGAGGGCCTTCAAACTTATCAGGGTCAACCATGGGCGTACCCAGCATTTTTGTTAGGGGGGGCACCTTTTGCTAGGAGGGGGCAGGTTTTGTTGGGGGGGGCAATCAATTGTATTGATTTTTATTTATTTAGCGGGGCAGCTGCCAAAAGGTCGACCTAGTCCAGCATCCTGTTCTTACAGCAACCAAGCACTGAAGTAATATACCATATATACACATTACCATCAAAAGCAATTGGTTCCCAGTTTGTTTCCAGGCCCAATTCAAGGCACTCACATCAGTGTTTAAAGCTCGAAATAACTTAGTACCGAAATATCTGAAAGAACGATTCCTCCCCTATAGAACATCTCAGGCGTTAAGATTGACAGAGGGGGGTGCTCTTTGTTGTTCTAGTCCTCAGAAACTTGGGGTCACGGTGTCAGCCTGGGAGAGAGCATTCTCTGGGGCAGCTCCTAAGTTGTGGGATTTCCTCCCCAAAGAGGTACATCTAGCACCTTAACTATGTCATTTTCATTATATGCTGAAGAGAAGTTTTAAATGTTTGATGTTTTGCTGTGTTTTTTATATTCTGTTGGAAGCCGTCCCAAGACGCTGAGGCAATCCAGTCAGATGGGCGGTGTACAAGTAATAAATAGTAATAGTAATAATCAGCCTGTGTACAGTATATTATATATACAATATTTTAGGATCCACCCTAATTTTGCAACTGTATTTTTAAAAATCGGTTTTTAGTATTATATATTTAAAACAGTTTTAACCTGCCCTGGGACCTGATGATGAAGAGTGGGTAAAAATTGTAACAAGAAGTGGCATGCATATTTGTGGTATGATAAGGTCAAAGCACATAAAGCATTTAAAAATCATATTGCCAGGAAAGCATTGTTTAATGTCTGGATAAGATATAAGGATCTATTGGAAAATAAAACCCCAAGGTGGCTGTCACCGATGGAAGCGAAAGCACAGAAAAAGCTCAATATGGAGGCCAAATGGCCGAAATATTGGGAAATTCTGGAACAAGAGGGAGCTAGATTGAAACTGCAGAGTTTTGAGAGACTAAAAAACAAAGTGCGAGATTGGCTTCATTATTATCAGATAATGGAGGCATACAATTTGGACAAGAAAATTGGCTTCCAGGTGGAAAAATCAAAATTAGAAACAGAACTGTTAGAACCCAAAACTAAGATCTTGTCAAAGATGTATAACTTGCTGTTGAAATGGAATACTCAGGATGAAACGGTGAAATCTGCTATGATTAAATGGGCACAAGATGTTGGACATAACATAATGATGGCTGACTGGGAACAGTTATGGTCCACAGGTATGAAGTTTACGGCATGTAATGCCTTAAGAGAGAATATTATGAAAATGATATACAGGTGGTACATGACACCAGTCAAGCTTGCAAAAATCTATCATTTGCCCGATAACAAATGTTGGAAATGTAAAGAAACTGAAGGTACATTCTTTCACCTTTGGTGGATGTGCCCAAGGATTAAGGCTTTCTGGGAGATGATTTATAATGAAATGAAAAAGGTATTTAAATATACCTTCTTGAAGAAACCAGAGGCCTTCCTCCTGGGCATAGTTGGCCAATTGGTGCCAAAGAAGGACAGAACTTTCTTTATGTATTCCACAACAGCAGCAAGAATACTTATTACAAAATATTGGAAGACACAAGATTTACCCACTCTGGAAGAATGGCAGATGAAGGTGATGGACTATATGGAATTGGCGGAAATGACTGGCAGAATCCGAGACCAGGGAGAAGAGTCGGTGGAAGAAGATTGGAAGAAATTTAAAGATTATTTACAGAAATACTGCAAAATTAATGAATGTTAGAATGATGTCAGAAGTGGTTTTAGCAGCAATGTTATAAAGGTGTATGTAAAAATGGATTGTTAATAGGTGAGAATCCAAAGCTATAATATATTAAGTTAAAGGATTAAGACAAAAACAAAGAGGGAAAGGAATTGCTGAATTAACCAATTGAACTGGAATACAAAAAAGGGAGGTGAGAGGAGGTCAGGGAAACAAGGAAATGAAATGTAAGGTACGGAAAGACTGATTTGTTTTTAAGTGTTTTTTTTATCTTTTTTCTGTGTTTTGTATTTTGTATTTTTTATTTTTTCTTTTGTTTCTTTTCTTTTTATCTATGTAATCTTCTGTTTTTGAAACCTTAATAAATATTATTTCAAAAAATAAAATAAAAATTGTAACAAGAAGAAGAAGAAGAAGAAGAAGAAGAAGAAGAAGAAAGATTCCCTATAATCATTACAGTCCAGAGCCTAAAATGTGCACCACTGTTGAGATAATATATTCCCAGCAAAATAAACACATTTCTAAAGATATCAACAATCGCTTGCTCTTCTTTTCTCACCAGAGAAACTATTATGAGCTGATATTCTTAGCCTGATTTTGTTCTTCACTGTTAAGGCTCGTGCCGCTACGTTGCAGTTGCAGAAACGCCTTTGTGGAACTACATTGCCCAGAAGCCCTTGCGCCCGAGGAGGGCGGGGCCCGAGCGAAGAGGCTTGAAAGTCAAAGGCCTGCCTCCATGTGTGCTGCTGGGGTAGCAGTAGCAACAACAGCAGCAGCTGCAGCTACAGCTAGCAATCTGATTCCACTCTGCCACCTAAATACCAGGTGTTATAAATAAGGGAGAAGAATTTCTCTCGCCTGCTGAGTGACCAACCAGGGCAGCAGGCTGAGAGCCCAGTGAACCCCCCTTCCAGCCCTTTTCTTGAAGCCATGCCAGGCTTCTTCATGTTCCTGGGAAACAAGAGCTTTCTTGGAGCCTTTGGGAGGTTGTGGAGGGTCTGGGGCAGCTGCCCTATAGCGCTGCACAGTAGTAGAAGGAAGGGCGCGTGGAGTGGAGGCAGGGCCCCTGTCTGCAGGGTGCCAGAGCACTGGGTGTTTGCACGGGGCATCCGGAGCTGGTTGGCTGCTCCCCCATTGGCCATGGCAGCCAAAGTGGATTTGACCACCTCCACTGACTGGAAGGAGGCTAAATGTAAGTGACATGGAGGCAAAAGTGTGTTGTGTATGTGTGTGTGTTTCTGTGGTGTCCTGGTGCTCTGGAGCAAATTTGTGGCCTCCTGCAGTGTTGGGCCCCTTGTTGCCTGCTGGCAGTCTCTGGCACAGTTTTCGTCTCCTTGGCTACTTTATCATATACTCCCCCTGGACACATGATCCTCATGTTCGCTGTGATTGCTGAAATCCACAATGCCCCTTATTTGTAATGACACTGCAGCTCTGAGTTTTTCACTACTGTGATAGGACAAAGGGGTGGTATTTTGAGGATGGTCGGCCCGTAGTTACTGAACCAAGAACTCTTCTTGTGTCTGTGTGCACTGTGAACCATGGGTATGTATCTCACCTGTTGAGCTTCCTCTGTTTGGGAGTGGGAAAAGGCTTTTTGCAGTGCATCATGGGAAATCTAAATGGTCTCCTAGGAGACTGGCTATGGTAGCCGCCATATGTTTCCCAGAGGCCTAGAGAAGGGGGGGAACCCCTCCCCCCACTTTTGATAAGAAGCTATGGTTTTTGTACCAAACAGGTGCTGGGATGCAGCTGGTAGGCTGTATGCTGGTGGTTATGTTTTGGAATGGTCCCCTAAATAAGGTTGCCAACTTAAAAAAGAAAGAGAAAACTTTGGCTGTGCTCCTGGGCCTACAATAACAGCTTGACTGCTAAGAATTGATGGATGCTTATCCATGCCTGGATAAGTGGTAGGGCAAGCTTTGCTGTTAAATTTGTACATGTCACCCTGCTTTTTAAAAGCACAGGAGCAGAGCTAACAGTGAAAGGTGGCAACCATGCCAATGACCAGGACTGCCTTCCAAGCCTTCATGTTTCTGTCAGTCAGAAAGGACGTGTTAATCTATATGTGCCCCAAATGCACCTTTAGAGCAGTGAATTGTTTTGTTTTTGTTTCCAAACTCCTGAAACACTTTTTTGGAAGCGGGAGCCTGAGAATACTTTCTATACAAATTATCTGTGGAGGCACCTGCATATCAAGCTGTGGAAATTGTGTGCCTTGTAGTGCAGTGGGCTGGAGCCTGCTATGGGCTACCTCACTTGGAAGAAGTGAATGTACAATAAAACGGCTGGGAAGGAGGGATGAAAGAAACTGGTGGTTTAGAGGAGGGGGTGGGTGGGATAAGGTACAAGTTGAGTGTGAAAGGAAAATGGGAGAAGACATTACAGGAGATGGGTAAAAATGCTTAGAGTCACATGAGAGTATAAAGACAAAAATATGTTTAAAAAGGCCTCCACTTAGAGCCTCCGGATCAGCAAATTCTGCCTTAACATTGGGAAGGCTGAGTTGCAATACCACCTGAGCTATGCTCAACTTGAGGAAAGCCGAGTTAAATAACTACTTGCCACAAGGAAAGCGCTGTGGCAAATAATTTTATCAATTTCCAAAGATGGGTTACATACTGGCAGAATGTAATGTAAGTAATTGTCAACTGATTATGCCAAACGTTTCCTCCACCTCCCATTTTGTGACTGGGGCTGCATACAAGCTATGCTTTTAAATCACATTCAAAGAACATTTCTCCCTTCCAAAGAATTCTGGGCACTGTAATATGTTAGAGACTGCTGGGATTGGAATTGTAACTCTGTGAGGGGTGAACTTCAATGCCTGGAATCCTTTGAGGGGGAAATGTGCTTCGAATGTGCTTTTGTGACTGGGTGCGCCTCAGTAATTTTCAAGCGGTCTCAAGTGGGGCCAGGGAGTTGAAAGTAGCCGCTGATGTAGAGGTTTTGGGAATATGTTCCAAGGGCTTCTCAACCCTTCATTTGCATAGGCACAATTTAGGCATATTTGGCGTGGCTGTTGCCCTAGCATAAGTGGAAAACATGCTTTGGAACAGGGATGTGAGGAATTTGTGGCTCTCCAGAGGTTGTTGGAACTCCAGCTCTCATCCAGCCCTAGCCAGGATAGCCATTGGTCGGGGATGATGGGCTTTGTAGTCCAACTATTTCTGGAGGCCCCATCCCTTCTCTAGAAGCGTGCCTAGCGTTACACTTTCTTCTTGGGCAGGCTTTATGCCATGAATGTTGTATTGAGGAACACAGCACCCAATATGCTCATGACGAACTGTGTGTTTCCCAACAATATGGTTTGAAAGCCGCTACATATATTGGTTGGATTTGCAAATCTCTGCAGAGGGGTGTTGAAGTTCCTAAGGGGTTGAGCATAAGTAATCTTCCAGGAGGCTGATGAAGCTGTAATAGAGTTGCCAAACTCTTTTTTAAAAAAACCCTGCCACCTCATCTTAATTAAAAGAAAAAAGAAACATTAATAAATGTCAAGGATAAAGTGTGCCTGAGTGGAGAGGGCCTCTTTGGTGTGAAGGGAGTCGGCTTCTGTTTGCTGAAAAGGGACAGTACTGTTAAGCACCTGTCAGAGGCAGTGTGTTTCTGAAGGCCAGTTGCTGTGACAGCCCCCCCCCCCCCGTTTCCCCCTCTTTTTAAAAATTCATTTTATAATATACATAAAGCAGAGCTATAATGCATACAGTATAACAAAAGCCAAAAATTAAAAGATGAAAAACAACACTATAAAGTAGGCACATAGAATGAGTAGTTGTTCATGAGTTAAAATAACAAAGTCCAAGTAAAGACTAGTAACGTTATCAGATCAAGTATAGTTCCAGATTTGCCAGTCTTATGATGAGTGTCTTGAAAATTATGGTTCCACTGTATATGCCACAGAGAGATGCAAAATCTTACAAAAAGTGTCTGGGGGTTCTAGGCCTTGTCAAAATCTAAAATTATTTGTGATCCCCCCCCCCCATTATAGCTATATTCCAGAGTGAGCAATACTAAGCGTTCAGTGTAAGATTTTGGGCTGTTTTCCACTGAACTGCAGTTGCTGTTCATGCTGCCAATATAATATATAAGACCAATTATTCTGACAATATATTTACAGTGGTATCAAAAATATTCAGGAATATTTATTTTGGACGACACACAATGTTGTAATGTTTATCATTTCTGTCAAAATTAAATTCCAAAAATCTTGCACCAATTGACCCCACCATAAATGAGGATATGTACCAACTTTATTGCTACCCCGAGGTAATATAAAAGAAAACATTTTTGACATTTGCAAAGGATCTTTCCTGTTTTAATATTTCTTCTTTCTTAGAAGAGTTTCAGTTGTAAAAATGAAGTGATAAAGAGAAATAAAGAGAAAAAAGTGCAAAAAATACAGTAAAAATAAAATTGTAATGTGATACAATCTTATGGAAATTAGGAAATCAAAATGAAAGCCTTGACAATGCATTTTCTGCTCTGCCATGGTTTTTCTTTTATTTTCTTCCCCACCTCCTTTTTCTGTTAGCAGGATGTGATTCTAGCAGGGCTGAGACAATTTGAATTGGTTGGCAACCATATTTCAGAGGCCTTGCTGGTTTCCATATGGGTTTTTACGTGACACAACAATATGAAATTGTTGGCCCTGTAAAACTCCCCGAGTTCCATGTGAATAACAGAAAAGGGACTGGCTGTTTGATCACTCTGAAATTGTAACTCTGTGAGGGGAATAGGGGCCTCCTAATAACTCTCAGCACCCTTAACAAACAAGAGCTCCCAGAATTATCTAGGGGAAGCCAATATTCTTTAAAATTGTAAGGTGTTTTCAACGTATGGTGTGAATATAAGACCCATTCAACTCACATCAAAATGGCTGCTGACAAAATGGCAATATGTCGACAAGTGGTGGTGAGAGGTGGCATTCATTTGAGGGGAGGAGAACTGGAGTGGCTGCCATTTTGTTTTTCCTCAGAAAGCACTCTCCTGAGGTTCTTTTTGAATTTTTGGGAAATTCAAAATGGCCACCTCCAAATAAGATAGAAGCCTTCTTCATTACTTGCTGCGGGTTGCTATGGTAGTGGAGTGCAGTTCAGTATTTTAAGGGGGGAAAGGATCTTAGCAGTAATCAATTTCATTTGGTGAGGCCAACGTTTATACCTCTCCAAAGAAAGTTGGACTGCAGTGGAGGAGGGGATTTAATGACTTTTTCACATTTTTTCACAAGTAATATTTTAGAAATGTTTGGATTTCTCCTCAAATTATTTGGGTCAATTTTTCCAAGGGGTGTGTGTGTGTGTGTGTGTGTGTGTGTGTAATAATGGTCTGTGACAGCGTTGGGGAACCTGTGGTGGTGGATTTAATCTCCTGTTGGGTCCAGCCACCATGACCAACAGTAAGAGATGATGGGAGTTGTAGTCCAACCATGTATGGTGGGCCACAGGTTCCCTCTCCCTGCTCTACATGTGACACAGTAGAGTGATGCCTTGGCTCGGGCATAGGCAAACTCAGCCCTCCAGATGTTTTGGGACTACAACTCCCACCATCCCTAGCTAACAGGACCAGTGGTCAGGGATGATGGGAATTGTAGTCTCAAAACATCTGGAGGGCCGAGTTTGCCTATGCCT